GATCATTAGAAGAGATCACTGCATTACTTCGCTACGCAAACGAAACAGAACACCTCTGTTAGGATTCCCCGTCGGAAGAATAACAGAACCGTTACAGTTAACTTATCGAGACTTTCCTTTCCAAACTTGTTTGTTCCTTTGTAGTCTTCCTTTATAGTAAGAAGAAGCTTGATATCCTAGAAGTCCGCACTCAAAGTATAAGCCTTTCTCCCGACACTTATCTTATTCCTCATTCGAGACGAATTTCTTTCCTCTATATTAAATCGCGCTAATTATTCTGGTTTTCTTCTACTAGTATCTTTGTCCGGACTAGTAGTTTCCCTTTTAGCTTTCTCGTAGAACGTAGCTCTTCTTGAATTCCTACAAACGATTATCTAACTAGATAACGCCTTCAATTATACTGACAATGTCGTTGTAGACTATATTTTGTCGTCTTATTTCTTTATAGATATATTCCTTCAATCCTCGACAGAACAATTCTATCAAAACAAAGCTATCTTATCCTGTCTTAGTACTATATCTCTGGAACTCTGTCGTATAAGTAAGAGCTATCCTAGTTTGGCGAAGATCCAGCATCTTTCGTACTACTACTTGGGTAGTATCGATATCTCCAAATATTCGTCGCATTTCTTTTTTCATCCCGTTCTATGACTTGAAGATAGTTTTCGTAACTACTATCTTTCCGTCCTCCGATTCATTTCTGAAGAAGTCTTCAAAGAATAGTTAGACTTATTCCAAAGCTAGTCCTCGTAAATAAGAAGTTACCCAAAAGCTTTGTTGATTATAGTTAGCCTCGAATTTCTCGTAGTTGAAGTTGAAGTAGATCTCTACCTGAAGGATGAAGGTCTCGAGATCCTTTCGGTTGCTATTATACTTGTCGGGGAAGGCAACACGGATTGATTCATTAGCCTCGACTTTGAATTCATAAAGTAAGTCGGACATTTCGATATCCTCCTGGAGTCTACTAGTCGACGGTGTGAGGTTCACCTAACTAGCACTCGGGTTGGCGATAGCTGGCTGCTTCGCGGCAGGCAGCTTCGCGGCTAGTGGGGTTGCTGGAGCTATAGTAATTTGCTTACTTCGGCAAAGAAGTGTTTAAAGTGTAACAGTTCTGTTATTCTTCCGACAGGGAATCCTAACAGAGGTGTTCTGTTTCGTTTACGTAGCGAAGTAATACAGTGATCTCTTCTAATGATCCGTAAGTGATATCAGGGTRAGTGAATCACGGAAGGAGTCAAGTGTAATCAAAGTAAACTGTTATAATTGATATTCAAGTTGAGTATGAAGCTCCTATCTAGTAAGGAAATTACATTGCTTATATAGAACCTTCCTGTTCCTAGATCCAAGTGAACCCCTAGAATCCCCATGAATCCCTAATGATTCAGCGGATCGCTCAGCGGGACCCTGATCCGGCCGTCACGTGACCTTGTCACATGCCTCTATAGTTCTCTGTGGTAGTAAGTCATACTTACCCGAGCCTCAGGCTATAAGGTTGGCGTTCGTAACATTCTTATTAATATATTACTATTCTTTAGTTATTTCTTCTCTAGAAAACTAACTTATATTGAGAAAAAAAACTGCAGTTAATTATACTACTAATTGTTTCGTTAATATTATCGATCGACGTTTCAATTATCCCCCTTTGTTTAATTATAACTACTGGAGTCTTTTCGAAATTCAGAGTATTTTAGGGAAAGGTTTTATTAAAAATCAATATAACTCCAAGTTTTGAAGACATTTGGAGAAGATTGTCAGGAAATCCGGGAGTTTTGCTGTGCGAGGAGAGTCCATAGAATGCCGCATATTTTAGTATGCGGCTGTCTAATTACACTATACTGTATTAAGGCCCGGCTCGTAATATTTTACCGATCCACTATTCCGAACTTAGTCAGGTGTGGCATATCCCTAACTAGTTCGTCCTTATCACGTGAACATCCGGATCAGGTGATGTCAGCTAACATGATGCTAACTTAAAATGGCACGAGACTTGATGACACTCTTTATGTGATGGCAGAGTCTGCCACCTTTTGTCATCTCAGTGCGCTGACGACAACGTGCAGACAAGAGGATGTTTTCGAGCTGATAATTCTAAGAGGGGTAATTCGTTGAGCACTACTGCAGGACTTCCAGAGGATGAAGATGTGATCTGCTTAGGAGGTTAGGAAGATGCGTGGTTGACAGCAGCTTCGGCGCCTAACGCGATAACAGACTTCGCTTCAGCACAAGCTTGTGGTTGCTCAGGACTGTGGGACATAAGGCTATCTGGTCTTGTACTCCCACACTCCAAAGACTCCTAATTGAATGGGTTCTCAGGCGATCGTGACCAGCCACGCTTTGAACGACCAGACCGTGCCTGGCAGGCCCAAGAAGAGAAGACAACCAAATTATACTAGCAAACGGCAAGTTGGCTGCTGTTTTTGGGGGGCTGTGGCTGCTGCCGACTTGCCAAAATTTCCCGCCGCTCTAGAGGTCGGGTCACCTACATTCTCATTGCATGTCGCTTTCGATTGCACTAGGCGGCGCTAAACACTAACTTTCCTTCTGAGCGGAGGTGACCCAAGAGAGAAACAGTCTTCTGCCTACTACGGCGCCAATTCTCGCAGCATCTCAGCGCCAGCTGATTGGTGACGTGATAGATCCTCGTCATGTCTACCAAGCACACGATTCTACACCTCCGAAGCGAGCAAAACCCCCTGGAGCACCGTTCTGCCCTCACTCCAAGCACCACCAAAGCCTTGATATGTGCAGGCTACGAGGTTCATGTCGAACGCAGTCCAAAAGATCCGAGTCGCAAGAGAATATACGACGATGACGAATTTGAGCGAGTTGGTGCGAAGCTAGTCGACGACCAAAGCTGGTCGAAAACACCGCGAGACCACATCATCATCGGACTCAAGTTGGAACCGGAAAGCTTCCCACTAGTAAATACCCACGTACAGTTTGCGCACTGCTACAAGGGGCAGGCAGGATGGCAAGATGTACTGTCGAGATTTCGCAGAGGGGGAGGGACTCTGCTCGATCTCGAATTCTTGCAGCTCGCAGATGGCAGTCGTGTCGCAGAGTTTGCTTATTATAAAGCTTTGGTGGGCTCGGCGTGGGCCATCAAAACCTGGAAATGGCAGCTGGACCATCCAGGGGAGCAGTTACCTGGAGTTGAAAGCTTCACGCAAGGGAGAGGGTACTACCTGAATGAAGATGAAATGTTGGAACAACTGCGGACCGACCTGAGGCTTGGAATTAAAAAAGCGGGCCGAGCTCCAAAAGTTTTGGTAATGGGTTGCTTAGGACGCTCTGGCGTCGGAGCCGTAGACTTGTTTCTCAGGGCTGGCTTGGATAACTCACAAATCCTCAAATGGGATCTAGCAGAGGTGTGTATGGGAGGACCGTTCTTGGATATCGTCGAGTCGGACATTTTCGTCAACTGCGCATACTTGAGCAGTGGTTCCCCGTTTCTCGATGCCCACTCTCTGGCTTGTCCTTGGCGCAAACTCTCGGTAATCTGTGACGTCTCTTTTGACGCTGCAAATCCTGACAACCTGATACCCGTGTATAAGGTCAGTACTACCTCTACCAGCTCAACCATTCTAGTTGATGTGAAGGGTGGACCACCGCTCTCAGTTATCTCGATCGACCATCTTTCTTCACTGCTACCGCGGGAAAGCTCGGAACAATTGAGCATTACGCTCCTGCCGTATCTGCTGCAACTCGAAGATTGGAAGAATAATGAGGTATGGAGCAGAGCAGAGAAGCTGTTTCGGGAGAAAGCTGCGACACTCCCGCCAGATCAGGTCGGTGCATCACGTCGAAGCATATCGCAAAGAATGGAACCACAACGACTTACGGATGAGTTTTGGGCTCATCATAGCTTTAAAGATGAGGAACGACAACGATGGGACGTCGACAACTTGGGCGAATTCGACGAATTCGACCAATGGGAACGACGACTCTGGGAATGGGAACGACGATGGGATGTCCGACTAGATGAATATGGCCATTGGATATATGATGACCCTGATAATAAGTTTGCAAAAGCTTACTTCGAAAGCACCAAATTAGCTTTATCTACGGCCTTTGAAACCTTAGAAAACACTTATCTTTGTCGAGCCTGCAAAGACATATTTTCTTTTGACCGACAATTCACTCTATCAGAATTACAAGATCCAAATAATAACTGTCAGCTCTGTAAGCTCTTGTGTGATTGTTTGCTGAGCCGATACGACCCGAAAGGAGACACCTTTCATTTAAAGAGATCCGGATCTTTCTTGAAGAATACTCAAGACGAGAAACGTATTCTAGGACTTCTATCTCATCCAGGTTTGCTTCCCATATGTTTTGTATGCAATCTGTACTCACATACTAATTTGGAATAAGCTCTTCCGGTCAACAACAATAACATAGTTCAAGTTGGCGTTCCTAATTTGTATTCCATTGCATCACCATTTCTTGGTGGAGGTTCTCCATATTTCGAACTGTTGCGTCAATGGCTCAAAGATTGCGATGAGCACCACGGTAACTGCGCGGTGGTGCAAGCAAGGTGCAAGCCAACGAGGGTGCTATTCGTCGGGAATACAGACCCGAACAAAGTGAAACTTTGTGAACCGACCTCCCCGATTGATTATATCGCGCTTTCTCACTGCTGGGGCAAACCTTCAGATGAAGACAAGAAGAATTATAGTACTACTAGCACCAACTATAAAGCTCGGTTGGATGAATTCCCTCTCAATCATTTGCCGAAGACATTTCGAGATGCTGTTCACGTTACTCGAGAACTTGGCATGAAATATCTTTGGATTGATTCACTTTGCATTATTCAAGGAGATAATGGTGATTGGGAGAAAGAATCTAAGCAAATGCAAAACATCTTTGCTTCTGCTTACTGTACGATTGCCGCTAGTTCCGCAACCAGCTGGGATGAAGGGTTTCTTAAGCGAGAATCTGGCCATAATTCTATTCGGATTAAGGACATATACGGGCAGCAAATCTCTATTAGCGATAACATAGACGATTTTGAAAATGATGTTGAAAAGGCTCAACTGAACCAAAGAGGTTGGGTAGTCCAAGAAAGAGTATTGTCTCGCCGAATCATTCATTTTACCGAAAAGAATTCATATTGGGAGTGTGGCGAAGGGGTGCGTTGTGAAAACTTCGCAAAATTGAAATGGTAATTTCTCAATCAGAACTATACTTTTGACCAGATTTTTATACGTTGATAGTCTGTCTGGTAGACATCACTTCCTCCTCGACCCGAGATTTCCAAATCGTCTTAGAGATTCAGGCTATCATCGCTCTGTCGACTTTTTACAATTCCTCTTTCAGAAATACGCAAAATGTGGCCTTACCAAAAAGTCTGATAGAGAAGATGCTATATACAGTCTAATGAAGCATATGGAAACAGCGTTCAGGACGACATACAGATATGGAACTTTTAGAATCTTCCTCCACAGACTTCTTCTATGGCACCGGTCGGATGAGGAAATACCAGGGAATGTGCACAAGCACTATGAAGATCAACTGCCATCATGGACCTGGATGACATATGCAGGAATCGCTTTCCCTCAAATTGTTCATCTCAAGCTTGCAGATATACAATATGATGGGAAGGATGCATTGAGAGTGCGAGTTCGAAGCTTTAGGAATTGCAAAGTCAAAAAGGAAGAGAGGCAATATCGGATTTTGAACGACGTGTCTGAAAAAATAGGAGAAGTGTGGTTTGACGAAACGGACTCTAATTTTGGGCACTGTGTTGTTGTCGGAATGGAAGATGATGCTGAGGCAGATGCTGATAAAACCTACTGGATATTGATCATAAAAAGGGGAAAGGGATTCAAGGGTGGGTCTAAGAGTTGGTTCAAGAGGGTAGGAATTGGAAAGGTCAAGGCACTTTATGTATCTAAGGGAGGGGATGATGGGCGATTAATGTAATGAAGTGAGGCGATATATATATCAACTATCTATGATGGTCAACAGTTTAGGCCTATCTTGTGTGCTGATACCGTGCTCCTCTTAGCACTCTGTCATCGATAAGGTCGGCACAGTATGCGAAGGAATCAGGTAGGTACTGTACCGTTGCTTATGCGTAGAACAGCTGGTCAATCTTTTCTGTTGGTCATGGAATTCTCTGGCAGCGAATGCCTTCACGTGATGCGGCCGCTGGAATGCGTGAAGGACTGACGTAAGGGGCGTGGTGATCGGAGTATATCGGAAGAGCGGAATTTTTCGGCAGTAGTCCGCCGCAGGTTCTATTATGTAAGATAAAATACGCCGTAGTTATGGAGTACTGTAACCGCTTAATTGGAGGTACTAAGACATGTAGCAACGTCCCCTGACACAGTACTCCTTAGTCACTATAGAGCTGACAATTACTTAGCAGCATCGTGGCGAGACTTGGAAATCTAGATTCAATCGTCCTATGAGTTTGAAAAGCGAAAAAAGCTCGATAATAGTACTATAAGTTGTAGAGTCTAATTAGACTACCAAAAAAAAGTATTTTGTAAATTATAAAAACAGTGACAATATAATTTAATTTTCGGAGTAAATAAACTAAGAATATTCAAAAGAAAATATATAATATAATTAATATAAAATTATAAAAATTCTAATATATTTATAAAATTAGAATTATTTAATTTTAAAATATTTATATTTTATTTTATAATAAAATATATTTTTTAATATAAAAATTGTTGAGAAAATAAAAGTGTAAGTTATATAACTAGAGATACGTTATTCTGGACTTATATAATATTAGAAGAGAAGTTCTTAGAACTTCTTTTCTAGATAGTCAATTTAATTACTTTCTATTTCTATATTTACTTCTCGCTATTTATTACTCTTTTTATCTATAACTAGTTATATTATATCAATAACTTTTAGTTTCAATAAATTATAAATTTAAATTCTATTTAAGTTTAAATAGAAAAGATTGAACTCCAAAACTATATAAAAGTCTACGAACTACAGCGGCCTTGACTTTCTAGTAGATGTGGAAACACTTTAAGTAGAAGTATTAATAGGGAGGGAAGAGTAATAGAGGGAAACCAATCCCGGATCTTTTGCAGTGAAAGGGACGTTCTCTTAAATTTTCTACTTGCGAGGAGGCCTTGATGAAGTCGCGGTCCTTCATTGATAAGTTCTCAAAGAGAGGGATATTATGTGGAAGGATATTATCGTGGAAACTCTCGGAGGCAGGCGGCGTTTAGAGAACCTATGTCGCTATCCGGTTCGCTTCTATTTCTAAGAAGCTGTAGCACTCCAATAACATGCCGTTGTCGGGATGCAAAACCTATTGGAGAAAGATAACCCAAAACACTTGGGTACTCTCAAGAATTTACCGACCCCCTATAGTGAACAGGAGCTACTCGAGGAAGCTAGGATATATAAGAGTAAGTGAACAGCGAGAGAGAGGGGATATAGCGACCGGATTACGCCGTTATATCTCAATGGAGGTATAGTCTACAAACCACCAACTGTTCGCCGATTGAAAAGTTTATCCCAATAACGAAATATATAGAGGATAAATCAGAGCTATAGTCAGGATAACTTGCAAGCTGCTGTATAGATTCCATGGGCCCTGATCTGGTGCTCGGCACCTTCGATATCCTAGACTACTGGAGGCTGGTTCTAATTTCCAGTTTCTACCTATATTTAGGCGGCGAAAGGATCATGTAGGGCGGGATCTTGTGGGCGCCGAATTCTTTATGTTTGTAATTAATAGTATGAAGTAGGCGTATTATTCAGTTGTACAGAGGCCTCTATTACTATAGTAGCTAATTATACTACAGTCTTTTACTAGAACCTTCGTACTCAGAAAAAAGCCAACCAAGTGCATTTGTATAAGCATAAAATATAAATTAAAGCAAAGCGCTCATTTATTAGGGGAAATAAATCTAGTAGCAGTTGAATGAGAAAGCTATGAATGCATATATATTTTATCAGAACACATAAAGGGTTAAAGAGGATACCTCACCGCGGTATATTTAAGTGAAGCTAGCGGCGAGCGAAGGACACTGAAAACCCCCTCTTTGGACTTATAAAAATCAGAAAAAGATAATAATCGTGGGATTCGAGCCCATGCCCTCTCGAACTAGTAAATCGATTTCCTGTGTAACCTCAAACTGGTACTAAATTTAGGCCAAAAGGCTAGGGTTGGCTCAAGGCTCCCCTCTCCGCCCGCAGAGTTACGGATGTTTAATATTTACGTGATCCAACTTCCACTGGTTTCAATTCTTTACAAAAGATAATATCAAATATTCCTCAAAGGTCACCAAAGAGATGTCTCCTATCGTGGTGCTACACTACGCACTTTTGCGCTGATGCGCAAACCATTCATTTTATTTAGTCCCCCTCAAACTGTATGTGATGAAACTAGATTCCGCAATTCTCAAACTTTCACGTAGCTAGGACTCGGCCACTATTATCAACGTTCCAGTGATCGAGAACATCTTATGAGGTACAACCTCCATGGGTCACAGGGTCACAGGGTCAAACACGTACACAATCGCATTGTACTCCGCTAATTATTCCAGGCAGTACAATTTCCAAGTCATGACCCCTCAAACGCTGTGTGAATCTACTCTTTTGATCAACTAGCAACATCTTGAGCTTTTCAAGCCAAATCATTCTCGCCCTCAAGGAAACCATTCGGGCCCGTCGCGAGTCGCGATGCTCAGAGATTCGCGGTTGTTGTCGCAGAGTTGGTTGTTTCCCCAGCAGGAGGTGCGCTAGTTGGGAAACCTCCCGGAGGAGGTCCAGTGAAGTTTCCACCTGGAAAACCCATATCCACCGGGGTAGCAGCCGTGTCGGGATCAAGAACAAGTGTTATTTTCCCCAACAGACCATCATTCAGTGTCTCTCCAGTCTTTGTGACACGGATGTAAGGATTATATCCAGCCGTCGCGTTTGCTTCTCCGGTGAAAATGAAGTCCTCGGAGTTCAGTGTGAATGGATTCTGGTTATTAGAATATGGCGCCAAAGCATTGATTTCGGTGAGATCGGATTGCTCGATGTAAAGTTGTCCAGTCTGAGGTTTTATTATAGTAAGCCTGCCGCCGATCAGAAGGGGAATCGCAACCACGTACGTGTACCACTGTTCCTCCTTGCAATTTGTCATTAGCGATTGTGTAGTTCACATGCGCTCTCACCTGAACGGATTTAGCAGTGTGTTGATTAACAAGGTTGAGGTTAAACTCACGTGGATATGTTGAGCTCTTCCGGTGTACCATCCTGGCACTTTCGTAAGACTAGATGGAATCCGACAGATCAGCACGCATCACAAATGCAACTCGGTATTGTAGGAGGTGAAACCCACACTTGAACAACACCATCATTGTCCGACTGCACAATACCACGCAAAAATGTCAATCCCTTAACCAGTCAGCCACGAGACGCTCAACCAGATTCAACAATAAATACCACGGTATTTTGCGCTGCAACTCCACCATAGACTCCAGTACTGTTACAGGCCCAGAAATCAACAAGAACGTTTCGCAACGGCTCGCAGGTATGAACATTCAAGAGTTGCACATCTAGCAGAAGATCGATACCAGATTCCTCCTCTCGAATATCATCCCTAATCAATTGTCCAGAAACATCTACCAACATGTCAGCCCATCGCATTCATTTAACCTCCCACCTCATTATTGTATCTTACAATACGGGCCCTCAACTTCCTCTGGAGCGAGAACACAAGTCGCATCAGATTCAACCCGCTTATCAAAATTTGGCTCAAGTCCACGACTCTCCAGATACATATTCACAAATGACTGTGTATTGGCATCTCTCCTCTCAAGAACCTCACGAGACTTAATCTTCTTAGCGCAACTTGAGTATGTCTTTGCTGCCTCTGCGACCAATGCTTCTCGGCGAGCGATTGCGGCTGCGGGTTGAGGGGCTCCATGTGCAAAGACCGTGGCAAGGTTTGCGAGACCCAGAAAGGGTGCGAAGGCTGTGTCGAACTTCATGATAAATGGAACGAAAATCAATGAACTCTTTTTCGCCTGGTTTGAATATTAGTAGCGATTGACATCGTTCGTTGGGCATCTAATATACAAGGTCTCAGGACCATTTCCACACCCCACAATAATCGAACCAGATCCCGTCACGCAATCCAATGCTACTCTGTATATTGAAACTTCACTATGAAACAATGGCATATCATCGCTTCAAAATAGGCTTAAAACAATATGTGGACAAAGCGATGGAAATCTACGAAAGATAGAAGGTTGAAGGTAGACGTGTAGGTAGACGCGTCATCTCTTGATTTCAGGATCCATAGAGGAAGTATTCGCGGTGAGCTATTACAGCGCTTCTATTACGATGCTTCCCATCTCCATCTTTATCGTCTGGTGATCTCATTGGTGGATATGTGTTGATATTGGTATGCAGGCTGGTCGCTAGGTAGTGCTCAAGGGCGACGCGGACTATAGCCGCTGCAGGTACCTTGCTTTTCAGTGGGAGGGGTATTGAAGTGCCGAGATGCTTCCCGGGGAGGAGTTGAGAATGTGGGAAGTTTGATCTAGAGTTTGGATAGTGGCGCTTAGTACGTCTATCATAATTTAAATTTTAAATTTCAAATGCTACTTTATTTGTTATTGTAACATAATATAAAATTGTTAATATACTCGAGTATATATTTTGGTTCCCAAATTACTATTTCCAATACAAGCTAAAAAGAAATATTAGTAAAACAAACTAAGTTCCTCACTAAGAAGTAAATTATTAGAGCATGTTAATAGTGATCACTGATGAATAGATTGCCTGCTTATAGGAGATTATGTAAGAATGAGAGCTGTAGAGTTGAGAGAAGCTTCGCAGATAATATCGTAGAGAAGGAGATCCTAAAAGATCAAAATCCGAAGAAGCAGATATAGGACTACTATCTTCTCCAAGTCATTATTCTGGGAGCCAGAGGCTGGGAGCTGATGAGTTGTAGAAGAGGAGTCCGAGGATGTTGCCGGGCCGATTGGATGGTAAAAGGTGGCTACTCCCGAGTTCCTTTCGGGAAGTTCCGAAACTAAATATCTAAACATGATCTTGTTTACGCATGGCTCAGTGGCTTAGGCCGGGGTTCACTAGTTTTGCTACTTTCATCAATATACTACCACCTACTATACCATTCGTGTGGTACACCCTTGGTAGATATTAATTTCCTTCCAAAGACCAGGTTTTAGTTTCATTATAGCCCGGTTAAATACTTAATTGTAGTTTAGACTAACATACGGATTGCTATACCATTCGACAAATTTATCTATAATTAGGAGCTTGATATAAGTGACGGTCTATCGCCACAGAAAACGAGAAGTCGTCGTAAGCTCCAGTTCAACAAAACTGCAACAGGTTCCGGATATCTAACCCGGCTAACCCGGCTGAAAGGTCCGTTATGGGACCCTTGGTAGACTGATAGTCGAATTATCCTTCCAGGAATAGCCAAGCGATTTAAGCAATTCATAATTAGAGATGCGGGGAAGTATATTGAGGCGTACGTCGATATGTAGTAAAGTATATTGAGGCGTACGTTGACATGGGCTACCGGGTCTTGCTCGCGGGAAGTAGTGAATAGAAACGCTATTATAAAGTCATCTATTGAAGTGTCGAGGTTGGGTTTCAAATAATCAATTTCACTCAACCGCTCAAATAATCTCGCTCATCTCTGCCAATATGAAGTGGCATAGCAGCATAGTGGTCGCATTGCTGTCCGCATCTGTCGTAGTGAACGGCATCCCCCTTGGCACAACAAGTTGCACCGTCAAATCTCAGCGCAAAGCTTGGTACGGTCTATATATCCACCAAGCTCTACCTCAAAAATTTAACTAATAGCACAGGCATACTTTAACAAAAGATGAGAAACTGGAGTATCTTGACGCAGAGAAATGCCTCATGAAGCTTCCAGCAAAACTTGGCCTCCCAGGAACGAGAACGCGATTTGATGAGTTGCAAGCTTCTCATGCTATGCAAGCTGAGATAACGCATGGTGTGGTTTGTGACCGGGAATCTTATGACCAATCATGGCTTATTTACACCTTTAGGGCGCGTTCCTCCCATTCCACCGCCTGTTGATGCATACCCACGAGTATCTCATGCAAACTGAATGCGGCTACGAAGGAACACAGCCGTACGACGAACATTAGTCCAGAGCGGGAATACCTACTGACAGAGACTAGTTACTGGGATGAGCCGAGAGACGCAGGGAAATTCAGCAAGTCCGTGGTTCTCGACCCTGATGTCGGTTTTGGTGGCGATGGCGTTGCGCCAGACAACTGTATTGCAGATGGCCCCTTTGTGGGCTATATGAATGGAATCGGTCCGGGCCATCTCATTTCAGATCACTGTATTGATCGGAAGGTCAACGATGTCGCCAGTCAAGCAGCAAACCAATCCTTCGTCGACCAGTGTTATAAACTTCAGAACTACTCGACTGCTTGGCCATGTATGGAGGGATCTCCACATAGTGGAGGTCATGGTGGTATTGGGGCAGAGGTAATATATTACAGCATATTTCTGTAGGACTGATTACTGATAAACCCAAGATGTTGAATCCGATTTCGAGCCCAGGAGATCCTATCTTCTACCTTCACCATACATACCTAGATAAGGTTTGGTGGGGATGGCAAGCTCTAAACTTGCCAGCTAGTGTATCGGAAATTACTGGAAGAAATGTTCAGGATCCATGTGCTGGCTTTGGAGGGGGGCTGCCGTGGACTGGACCGAACGGCACGTCCCCCTTTCCTGGCTGGCCAAATGGAACGATTCCAGGCTGCGAAAATGACACAACTCCGGTTATACCACAAAGCCTACCTGGCGACCCTGGAAATGTTACTACAATGAACCATGTCCTTAACATGTTTGGAATTGTTCCTAACTCAACTGTCGGGGACGTTCTTGATATTAGAAATGACTTCTTATGTTATGAATATGTGTAGAAAGATAGCTTTTGAAGGTGGTTTGAATTTGACGATTAGGCTCTGTCGTCTTTAATAGCAACGTTGGCATTGTTAGAGTATCCAAGTCCCTTGAAAAACCCAACATTGACAGGCGATAACGGATTGGACTTGGGTGATAACTTACGGCTATATAAATAAGCGTCACATTCGGTATATAAGGCTATCTCTATTCAATAACAATTCTTATTATTTACTATATATGAGTAAGACGAGACCCGATTGTAAAGCAAATTGCAAGCTTATTTGAAATTCAAGGTGTAGGCTAAGCTAAGTGATAGCTAAAGTCTAATTTGCCTTCTCGATTAGGAAACAATAAGGCTAGGTATATAGAGGTAGTAGGAATGTTAATAGGTTTGATTCTATTTTGGTAAATGTTTGAAATATAGGGTGGGCGGTTATTAAAACAAGCAGTAGTCATGTCAACAGAGTCAAGCCGTCATCTATAATCGCTAAGATTGGAGGCGGTTAGTAAACAGGGTTATTTCAGCTATATAGGTAATATAACACAATGGATATATGTATAGATTTTAAGTAATGATAGCATTTTCATCCACGACTAGTGACTATAACCATCCCCATGATGTTTCACTCGGCAGCAAGAACCCCTTCAGGTAAATTGTGAGAAGAACTCCCACGTCTCTGTGTTCGAAAAGGTCTGGGAAGCACCTTTATCCATTGGTGTTGGAGTATGAGGTCCGTCAAATGCAACCCATACTACGGGATAATCCGCCTGGCAGCCCGTGTACTTGGTCTTGATGTGCGTTCCACTGCCTGCTGCGGGTTCCGGGGCGTTCTGCGGCCCTGTACACCCGTTGTTCTTTACAAAGCGGTCCCTCATCTGATGAGCAGCCGTGATGGGTAGCACGTTGTCGCTTACGCCATGCTGGCCATAGTACGCAATCGGATCGTTGCCGCCAGCGCAGCCACTGATCTGAGGGTTTCCGGACAGAGCAGCCACGGCACGGAAATCCTTTGCAAGAGCGCAGGCAATAGCGTAAGACATAGCACCACCATAGCTAAAGCCAGTCGAGAAGCGTAGATCCCGGTCGATGCAAAGGTCATGGTCAAGGACATCATTGATCTGACTGATAAAGGTGATATCCTCGCCACCGTTGTTGGCCCAGCCATTATCGAGGCCATTTGGCGCCACGTATATAGCACTGATGTTGTCATTTGCTAGCGGTGGGATGCCGTACCAAGGGAGATAGCCATTCGTGCCTGCGATGACTTGACTTGCAGTGCCTCCAAGTGCGTGTAGGGTGTAGATCAGGCGATAGGGGTGGCTACTGTCGTAGTTATCAGGGAGCTTTACGAAGTAGTTGCGGCTCTTGCCATTGACTGTCATCGTCAGAGGCGTGTTGACGCTGCCGCTCGTGACCAACTTCGAAGCGCTGCCACAGGCAGGAGATGGTTTTGCTGCGAAAATGCCATCCAACCCACCAAGGATGAGGAGCCCCGCCGCCACTAGAGAGTTTGACCTGCCTTTCATTTTAGAATAAGAAATGAGGCAGATTTGAGGGAAAAGAGGAGACGAGTAATTCCTGGATAACACAAAATGGATTGGCTCAGGTAAACATCCCTAATAAAAAAAGGGAATTCGTGATCAAATATATATGAACCCGACATCCCCTTTGGAAGTTAGCGGTAACCCCGCGTTGAGGGTTGGTAGAGTTACCATCGCGGATCAAGTAGACGGAAGGTTAAAACTAGAAGTATATTAACCGTATATTGCAAAGGTCTCTCGTTAACCATTTGAATATGCCGCTCGGTTTAGAAGAAATCAGAAATAGGGTATTGGGATAGAGTTGCTACTTCCCATCCAATACCCATCCAACGAGGGCATTCCGTCACTGGCCGCAAGTACCGTGAAGCAATGCCGACGCGGGCGTCATACTTCGGGAGAGTCATAGGATGGTATTCCTATTATTTTAGGGATTTCTAGTCTGCATAGCCGATACACAGGTTCGTTCTTCATTGGAGCGGGTCCGGATAATTGTATAGCTATTTGAGCATTCTGTATCTCCTCTTGGCAGGCTTCAAGCGAGTTGCCATAATTACTTGTATAATCTGCGCCGAAACTGGACCGCTCCAAAATCCACTTCCGTCTTTGGAGCAGTCGCTGCATTAACCCGAGCCGAGCCTTGAGCCCTGAGCACGCTGATGAGTCAGCTGGATTATTTTTAGGGGGATCCTCTTCTAGCTCCTTTAGAGAATCGGTCAGAGGTTCCATACTGTCTAAATATAGATTGATCTTGCTGATGCTTGTTGTCAAAAACACAGCCACCCTTTTAACCTATCAGAGTGGTCGGGGTAGGTATCCGTTCTCGCTCTCATGCTGCACAAGACATGTGAACCTTATTTTTTCCCAACCTAGAGTTCCGCTCTCTTCTCTATAAATTCATGTAAACCACTAGGACGCATCCTTCTTATATGGCTCCTCAGGCTTAGTATTGACGTCCTTGCCGTTATTTACATACAACGACCATAAGGGCAACGGTACCTGACCCCCTTCGCATGCCGCCTTATTGAAAAATTTAGAATAATCCCTGTAGCAAATTTGATCAGAGTCATCCTTTTCCTCGTGAATAAGCCAAGGAATTCAATCACAGAGGGGAGATAGATGGTTGACATTTTCGTCTTCTGTGATTTTGGTAGGGTGGGATATCGGGTATTTGCTGCCACTTTTCGCACTCCTCCGTAGGGCGGGCGGGACCTCTCGTGTCGCTTCCCTGCTGCGTTCAGGGGAGCATCACGTGAGCCAACGGAAAGGCTTCAGACGTCCTTGGCACCAAGATCCTCTACTCTCCGAGCTGCGTACTTGAGATTGGAACGCTGTCCGTAACAAACTCCTTTTCATGATCATCTGCCACAACCATTCTCTGCACCTTACACGATTACCGACGACCAATACATCCTCTGATCGTCCCAGAATCAGCTCAGCCATGGACCGCCTTCCGCAAGAATTAATCGACCGTATCACGAGCTACTTGGATGATGATGCACTCGAAAGCACACTCACCGTGTCCCGGAAATTCAATATTGCGACCGAAATAAAATCAGAGATTTGGGAACGCTATTCAGTTGATGGATCTGACATTGACATGTTTCTCAAACTCTACAATAACCACCGTTTTCGCTATCTCACAGACTTAACATTCACCACCAGCTTTCCTCCCTTAGAGGTGCCACCGTGGATACAAGAGGTGGAGGACAATGGTGGCGACATTGATGCTCCTGAATGGGAGGAAACCGCGTGCCGCGACACCGCTGATGATCTAAGAGCTCTGGACGAAGGATTTACCCACCAGATCAACTCCTTGTTTACAACATTGAAGATAATTGAGGATGGCATAGGCAAGGTGCATGATTTTGGGCGGATCGATCTTAAAATCAGTACCCCAACTAGAGATGTGGATTACTGGTATTGCATACATCGTAGAACCGTTTGCTGGCGCATTCATCTACTATCGCCGGAGACCCTTCCTCGCCTTTCTACGATCCGTTCCCTCAATTTCCAACACGATGACTCGGATAACACGATTGTTTGTATATCGAACGCAACATCATTCAAAGTAGATCCTCGTGTCCTTCTAGACATGGTTGTTAAGCTTCCTAATCTAGAGCATCTACGCAGTAATCTTTGGGAAGACGGATGGGAAGCTAATAAGAAATGTGATGGCGTTAAATACGCCACGCGTGAGTGGGAAGGGCCTCGTCGGGACGCGCGCAATGACTTTGTCAAAGCTTTTCAAACTGCAGTCCTGCCTAAATCACTTAAAGAGGTGATGCTATGCTTCAGAGGTCTATTTGGCATGTCCTGGGACATCGATCAGTGCCAGGAACTACCAAATCTGATAAGCCCTGCGCCCTACGATTTATTTAGCTCGAGCCTTCATATCCTCTCACACCAGCTTCGAAAACTACAACTTCATGTCATGGCTGACGAGACCTTATTCTGGCCGGTTAACTGCGGTGATAACGAACCCTCCTGGCCCAACCTTGAAAGCCTAAACGTCATGTTCCATATGGCAACCCCCAAAGGAGGGTGGTATTTCCATGGGCCGGAAGGAAACGGCAGAGCAGTTGAAGGTTTCGAGGTTACCGAAGCTTCGTATCCGCCACTTGGATTAAACGATATGGATAGGGATTGGCACCGTAGGCCGATGAATCCGGGGATTTGGACAGTGAGCGATAACCGCCATTTTCGCGTTGTTCCTAACGAAGAACTGTTATTGCCCTTTCTAAATGCATTTGCGAAGGCTGCTAGTCACATGCCTTTGCTCAAGGATGCTGTACTCTGGTCGCCACTTGAATATTCCGAGGGGGTCTCAAAGGATTCAGATACCTTCTTTGATAACCAGAAAGGATTTAGTAGCTTTAGTGGCCTTAAAAAGTCATGGGGCATCGCTTACGTAGCGCCAGGAGCATATGCATTCGACACAGTCCTGAAACATGTTTCTAAGAAACGATATTCTGACTATCGTCGATTGTGGTGGATGGTGGGGAAGTGGAGACCCAATTTCGAATTACATAGCCTATTTCAGCAAATTGGACGTCGAGCTAGCCCAGAAAAGCTAAAGGAGTATTGGAAGGATGACTTAGTTGGATATAGGACTTTGGGGGTTTGCGACCACTCTGAACGATGACAAAATAGCATAATGAGGTATTTCACAACCTACGTCGTCTGTGACGGAGAATGTTACTCTTGACTAAACATTTTGTATTAGACAAGAATATATGAAAAGCCCTTGTGGGAAATAATGCAATATTGGTGCCCTAAAGTTACGATACGACCATAAATGCCAAATATAATGGACCTAACACCAATCTCTGCGCCAATGAAGCCCTCTTGGTCTCCGTTGCAAGTGCGGTCACCCTTCTTAGATAGTTCATTTCTCGGCCGGTTTCTTCTCGTCTTACTCGCTTTCGTCCTGCAGATATATGTTAGTCTCATGGAGTAGGTTGGGCTATTTTAATAGCGACGTACCTCTGTTTTTTCATCATCTGTTGTTTTGTCCTTTTTTGGTATCTTCACCTCTGCCTTGGGGTGCTTTGGCCATGGCATGTCCCAAGCGCTCTTCTTCTCAGTATCCCATTCCTTCTTGAGCTTGGCGATAGACTCTTTCAACTTCTTGTCGGCTTTGGGTATTTTCTCAAGTCTCTTGATGCCGTCGTTCATCTCAAAATTCATTCTTTTCACACCTGTTTCAAATCTCAAGTCCATCCATTCACCCCACAATGCTTTAAGTCCCATCTCCTGCCAGGCAAAATCGGTTTTATCAGCTTCCGATTCTGATTCTGATTCTGATTCTGATTCCTCATCGTCCGTTGCTGCAATGGCCTTTTTGGGGTGCTTTCCAAGCTGAGAGTCCAGTTTTCCCAACATCTCCCCCATGCGTTTCTGCTGGGCGTTGAAGGTTTCGTTGATCGCTGGGGTTCTCATGTACTTCCGAACACCAATAAGCGATTTTAGCAGAATTATTTGTGTCTCGGGTGTTCCATCCTTCCCCTTCTTCTTCCCACTTTTTTTGTCCACCTTCGCCGGTTGGCTCTCGATGTTCTTCGTCGTTGTATCTTTGGAAAATACAGTGTCTTTGTTTGCCGATGAGAACGTCTGCAGAGGGAATATTTATTAGCCAGTGAAGTACCACTCTCGGTGGGGAAAACTTACTTGAGCTTTGGCGGGAGCATTAATTTCTGCTTCCAGATATACGAATTCATCGATATGTTCATTTACTGAGGGATAGACAGAAGCTAGATGTTCTCGAGGCGTTAAAGGCTGCCCCTCTGGTGTGCCGTCTGAGGCTACCAATTCGAATGTCTGTCCTGGATCTTTATTTTCTCCATCCATAACCCATGTTGCTTTGAAGTAAGTGGCGAAATCTACTTTTTTGTCGCTGCCGTCAGGGTTAGGAAACTTATTGCCTTTAGCCTTAGTTGTAGCGATCCAGTCGAAAAACCCGGTGACAATTTGCCATTCCATGATGTGCTCGATCTCGTACTTTGCTACATCTACCTATCAGATTTTCCTTTTCCTTTTGTAGTCTTGTGCTTTTTTAGTGGTGCCTTACCTTTTTTGGACTCTGGTGATCCCTTAGTTCTTATTTTTTTGGCTTCGGCCTTAGTGAACGGTCCTTTCCAAGTATAGTCGTCACAAGATCTAGGAAAATCCCAGCCGTAGTATGCCAAAGTATCCTAGATATCATTTAGAATAGACTCAAGGTAGAGAGTTTATGATCACTTACAGTTCTTTTGTTACTAACGTCTGGAGAGGAGCCTGCATTCCAACTTATACTGAATAACTTGCCTTTCTTCGGCCCTCGCTTTTGAATATTGCTATAGTGCGCCATGCCGGACATGCTACCAACGTAAAAGTCTCGTCCATCGATCGGCGACGTAAAAAGATCTCTAGCTTCAAGAGGCTGGAGTTCCTGTAGCTGTTTAGCGGCAACGGCGAAAGCTTTCGAGCAGTCCAATTCTGGAGCTGAACATGAGTCTCCCTCTGGCTCGGCTCGCTTCCCCTTATCACCCTTTTTCCCTTTCCCTTTCCCTTTCCCTTTCCCTTTTGCCTTGCCGGTTGCCTCCTGGCAGTTGCTGGTGCTGACCTTGGTTGATGTGGATTTTTTGGTCTTGGTCGCCTTCGTCTTAGTCTTCTTGGTCTTGACCTTCTTAGACTTGACCTTTTTGTCTTTCGCTTTAGTACCCTTTGCTGGTTTTGCCCCCCCTTTCTTCTTATTAGCACGGGCTTGAATTCCATGCTCATCGTCATCCTCATCGTCATCCTCATCGTAATCCTCATCGGCATCCTCATCGTCGTCCCCCCCCTCCATAATTTCAAACAACAACCCCTCTGTTTCCACAGAACCTCCCCAGACATTCTGGGTGACGATGCACTGAGAGATAATGCTAGTCAGGGCAGACTTGCAATCCCCCTTGGGATGTAGCACTCCTTCGGTCTGGGAGAGTGAAAAGACTATTGGCCCAGCATTGTAGATGATAGGTCCGGCCCCGATGTCCTTGAACCTATTATTGCAAATGTCGTCAATGGTTCCGTTCCCTCCGAGCTGAAGACTACTAGCGATATCCACCCCTGAGGGACCATCTGCCTTGAGAGGATCGGCAGTGTTGCAGTTGAGAGCATAAACTCCAAGTGCCTTGAGACTCAGGAGAGCCGTCAAGAGGGGAATCGTCTTCATGACCAGGCGTGTCTTTGAATGTTCCCAAAATCAAAATAGATGTTTTCCTCTTGAAAGTAGTTTCAGGTAATGAATGAGACTGTATATATGCTTCAAGCGAAAGTTGAGTTTCGAAAATAAAGGAGTGTGTATTCGTGAGAGACTCAGGAATGAATGTCTGCTTCCAAATAGAAGACTTAAGGACAAGAGAAAGGAAAGTGATGCGAATGCGGATGAAGAAAAAAAGAGAGAATACCGAGATATTTCTAAGAGTCTATATGCTCAACACTTCATGATGAAGGAGTCGCAAACCATAGTCACTCCTAAATTTAGCGAGATCTCGTGGGAGTCGCCAATAATGGATGTGTTTCATGTTTTTTGGGCGATATCTTGGCCGAATCCTCACCAACTACTACTCCGTAATCCTTTTGATGAGTGGAGAGTGCACTGCCCGTCCAGACATCTATTAGGATCTAAAGTGGCGGTGCGCAAGTTATGGAGTTCTATCGTACCCGCTGATGCATTTTTTGTAAGGATAGAAATTAAGGCAGATTTTGTTTACGAGGGGATCAATTCAATCGACTCGCACAGTCGCTCGCAGATGCCCGCCCGATGCGGCCTGATTTGATGCTCTCGCGATTTCGTATTTTTGTTTTATATTTTTCTAGATTTAGTTCTATCATACTATTTGGCTACGCCCTCTAGATGTATATCATTTGTGTGGTCTAAATTAAATTTATTATTTGCGCTTAAAATCGTGTTGTGTAATGTTCTCGATATACTCGTAACTCGTATCGGCGGCGGATTCACGGCCTAACTGGGAGGCGCAAATAGGTATCTTTTACGATATTTTCCCAGTTGTTGCACAGGAGGTGGTAACACCGAATGCGCCGCTGGGCGGCACTCACTTACTTGGCAACGAGGTGTTGAAGACTGTGGGTCGTACGAAGTTGTTCGATCAGGTCTACACCTCTATGTAGATAGGTGGGGGCTACTACCACGTTACTTTTCCTATTTCTTTGCCCTAATCCAATCCCTCCATGCCTCTATCACTCTTGAGTCTTGTATCTCCGGATCCCACGGATCCAGCAGGAAGTACCAAGGTACCTTGGTAAGTAAGCACAGCGGCGCTGGAGTTACATCGACCAATACGAGCAGTTCGTTTGCATCCAAGCCGCAGCTAATCATTGTCGGAAGCGAGTCGCCCCCGGCATCCTTCCGATCCCCTTCTCTTGGTATCAACCTCAACGAGAACATTCACCGCTACTAAATGCAGTTCTAAGTGCAGGTATGCTCATCCTTAACTACGCAGTTCAATGTGGGGACTGGTAGGTATGGTGAGATTTTACGTCTTGCACACACAACCTCGGTACCTACCACACCAATTTTATCCTTTTCAGCTGCGGCAAAATACCAAGACTCTTTAGGGCTACCATTTTAGAAATAGAAGGAGTGCCAATGCGTATCTCATTTGGTTTCTCACCCTCGGCAGCTCGTGATCATTCCATTACATCAACATCTTCCTTTCAGGATGGGGAGCTTTTTTCCTCGCGCTAAGTTAAATCATTGCTATTTCTGAAATTTCTGAAACAGAATGATATGTGGCAGGGGCACTGTACTTGAATGACTACAAGTTGTATTCTTGCAATGCATATCCCATCTCATCCCCGTTTGGTTTTCTTTATATTCCTTCATTACTTTTGCTACCCGTTCTAGTCAGTGCCTTCTTGAACTTTGTTTCAACCCACGCCCTTTACAGTGGCACTGTTACTATTTCGTCACTCATTTAAAATTTATGTTCAATCAAACTATGCTTCACCCTATACTGTCATTTCTGTTAGCTTTAACATTCTTCTGGAGTGCCAACGCAGACGTAGCAAGAGATGGAACCATCCAGCTGGTTCCTCTGTCGAGTCACGACCTCGGGTTATCCCGCAGATCCGTGCCTGACTTTGCACTTCAACAACAATTGAGTCTCATCTTTGGACCTAGCGCGAAGGACAGTGAGTAATGTCTCTCCATCCAATATGCTTCGCTAACAGCTTTTCCTTTCTAGCATCCATCCTCGTCAATGTGACGCTGGAGACAGGCAATGAAGAACTGATTATCTCTACGGACCATTTCGGAAATGCACTCAAGTCTACTACTTGCGAGCCCTCGCTTGCCTTGGAGTTTATCTCGAATGAGGAATACAACATCGCCGTCGACAAATGGGAATGGGTCAATTTCAATGCCAACCGAACCTTCATCATGCTTGTCGATGACTGTCCAGGAAAACCAGGGACCAATCCTTGGATTGTCAACAATGCCACCTACAACGAGCCCGGCCTAATGGTCAGTTTCAACGCTGCCCAAACCACATGGGAATCCCTTACCACCATGTTTACGTTTGACTGGGGTAGTGATGTTACATCCAACGTGCTTGCTCGTCGCGCCTTTGGTATTGATGATATCATCGAGACAGTAGTGGATGGCGGAAAAGCTGCGAAAGAGGCAGCCGAAAAGGCCGCAAAGGAGGTGGAAGAAAAAGCAAAGGAGGCGGCAGAAAAAACAAAGCAAGAGGCAGAGCGAGCTGCCAAGCTGGCTGAGAAGAAAGCTAAAGAACTTGCCGCCAACACAATCAACGTGGAACCCAAAGTGGCATCATTCCCGTTGGATTTGACAATCAATAAAACCGTATTGCAGCACCAGTCGTCCTCGGGCCTCTCTATCGACCTTGCTTGCATAGACTGCAAAACTTTCGGTACGTTAAAGATAGGGGGCCATGTCAAAGGGACCATGATACCGCCGAAGGTCGATGAATTCTGGATGAGTGTAGAGCCTTCCGGTGTGGGTATTGACATGAAACTTGCAATGACCATCGAGGGCTCTGGAGACTTGAACCGTGACATGCGTTTCGGGGAACTCACCATACCTGCCTTTGCCATTTTCCAACATATCATCTCCTTTGGACCCAAGATGATACTCTCGGGATCTATTGCTCTTAAAGATGCCGAGGCTGACGGGACTTCTATTATCACCACCGGTGTAAAAGCCGCACTGCCCAAAGACGCAAGCGCGAGAGTCGATTTCACTGGGAAATCCGGTACTGGTGCGGGAAACTGGAAACCCGTCATGGAGACCAAACCTATGACCATCAGCTCTGGTATCGATGCTTCCTTCGAAATATACACAAAGATTGCAATCTCCGTTGAAGCAGAATTCTTCGGTATATAATCCTACCCCATGGTCCCAAAATGAAATAATTAACAACCCCCCCAATAGGAAGTGCTTATGGAATGGACGTTGGTGTTCATGTTCCAAGTATCAAGATAAATGCTACGTCTGAGGAGGGTAAGACACTTCTATTCCGTCCCGAAATGAAGTCAATACTGATTCTTCGTAGATGAAGAGGGGGTGTGTATGGAGAACCCCAAGACTAAAGGTGTTACTGTCACCGGGGGTATGGACGCGGATGTGAAAATGACAGGATACTACGGCAGAATTATAGACCACCAAGAGTTCTTTAATAAACAATTGTATACGAAGGCAAGCCTTGTTAAATTCGAAGAGAAGTGTTATTCTTTTGGCGACGAAGTTGGAGCTGTCGATGAAGATGTTGAAGACGAAGACGAAGAAGCCGAAGATGAGGAGGCTGAAGACGAAGAGGTTGAAGACGAAGAGGTTGAAGACGAAGAAGTTGAAGACGAAGAGGTTGAAGACGAAGAAGTCGAAGACGAAGAGATTGAAGATAAGGAGGCTGAAGACGAAGACGAAGAACCTGAAGACGAGGATATTGAGGATGAGGATGTAGTTGAAGACGGAGAGGAGGTTGTTGAAGACGAGGAAGTTGAGGACGAGGTTGAGGAGGAGGAGGTTGCTGAGCAAGACGAGGTTGAAGACAAGGAGGAAGTTGAGGACGAGGAGGTTGAAGACGAGGAGGTTGAGGACGAAGAGGTTGAAGACGACGAAGTTGAAGATGAAGAGGTTGAAGATGAGGAGGTTGAAGATGAGGAGGTTGAAGATGAGGAGGTTGAAGATGAGGAGGTTGGAGATGAGGAGGTTGAGGAGGAGGTTGAGGATGAGGAGGTTGAGGATGAGGAGGTTGGGGATGAGGAGGTTGAAGACGAGGAGGAGGTTGAGGACGAGGAGGAGGTTGAGGACGAGGAGGTTGAGGGTGAGGAGATTGAGGACGAGGTTGAGGAGGAGGAGGTTTCTGAGCAAGACGAGGTTGAAGACGAGGAGGAGGTTGAGGATGAGGAGGTTGAAGATGAGGAGGTTGAGGAGGAGGTTGAGGATGAGGAGGTTGAGGATGAGGAGGTTGAACACGAGGAGGAGGTTGAAGATGAGGCGGAGGTTGCTGAGGAAGACGAGGTTGAAGAGGACGAGGAGGTTGAGGACGAGGAGGTTGAAGAGGAGGCTACTACAACAACAACCACTAAACATGCTACGAAGACAGTCACAGTAACAGAAGCTTCGATGACAGCTAAAGCAACAGAAGCTTCGAAGACAAAATCGGCAGCGCCAGAACTATCCGATGACACGGAGTCTACGGAGGACGATGAGGTTGAAGACGAGGAAGCTGAAGACGAAGATGTTGAAGAGGATGCTACAACAACAAGTAACAAACAACCTACGGAAACAGCCAAAGCAACAGAAGCTTCAAAGACAACATCAGCAGCGCCAAAACCATCCAATGGAACGGAGCCTATACCTAATGAGGACGAAGAAGACGTCGAGGACGACAATGATTCTGAGGACGCTAAAACAACCGATAACGAACAACCTACGAAAACAGCTGAAGCAACGCAAGCTTCAACAACAAAATCAGTAGCGCCAAAACCATCCAATGGCACGGAGCCTACAGCTAACGAGGACGTCGAGGATGTCGAGGAGGATTCTGAGACGGTGGAAAAGAGACGCCGGGCCCTCCTGAGCCGTATTAGCAGCCGTCATGTTAGAAAATCCTGGTTTGGATTTTAGAAAGAGCATGGCTAGGATAGGTACTGCTGGCAAGACTTATCCGATGTATGGCCTCACCTCGACGGTACTATTAAAGTAGTGCCTAATGCCTGTTTGGATTTCCTAGAGTACACCTTCAGTTGTACCTACGCACACGGTTGGGTTTTTTTTTTGGAATTGGAAATAAAAATAGATAACAGCTAGACTTCCAAGGAAGTAGCAGAAATATATATATCTTTATTTTCGGTTTATTAGCATTTAGATTTCTATGTTTTGAGAGAGCCATTCTTCAATCTTTTTGTGGCAATTGGGGGTTTTGGGGATGCAGTTTGAGCATTTGATGTATCGTTACAAGAAGGTGCTTGCAACTAATAGACGAAGTTACATTTGCTCTCTCTCGGCTAAATGGTACATAACACAGAACCCTGTTTAGGGGGAAGGATCACGTGATGGTGCCTAGCAATTCATTACACTTGCACGTATTGAAAGATACTAGACGCGATTTGATACCCTTGGCGCGGAGGCAAAAACCTATCAAGATGTACTTCGTAAAAAGTAGGCCATTCGTACCATGTAGGTTGTAGTTAGTTCACTACCCCGGAAATCCGGGGCATCATCCCGTAACAACCCCACATCTCGGGTATATTCTCGCCCAATTGACGAATTAAAGCTGTCACATAGTTCTACACCGTATCTCCGCAATAGCTTCTTGATATATTCCAAAGGATTTTCGGTTACCTAGGTAAGAGATACGAGATGATACGGGTAGGCAGCTTAATTATTGGGAAAGCATAACGTGATAGCCACGCTGCATCGCTGGGCATAAATAGAACTTGAAGCTCGTGGAATGAGTAACTGTAATCCTGCCAACCTTCAAGATGAAATCTGCGATATACTTCACCTCTTTCCTACTCTGCGTGGCAGCGGCACGTGACACGCCCCGACCAACTGCAGTTGTCGATGCTGGGACGGTTGTCGGCGTGGCCACCTCTCTGCCCTCGTCGAAGGTAACAGTCAACAAGTTCCTCGGCATCCCTTATGCTGAGCCTCCTGTGGGCTCAAGGCGATTCTTGCCTCCGACTCCCCACGCCCCTTTCGGAAAGAAGCCTCTCGATGCCAGTCAATGGGGTCACATTTGCCATCAGCAAGATTCAGGTACGTCCTTGAGCATGTTACGAGTATTTCCCAGCGACAGATCCACTAACTTAGTGCAGTGGAGAACGTTGGTGAGAGCGAAGACTGCCTCACTCTAAACGTCTACACACCTGATACATGCTCTGGAACAAGGAGACCCCCTACAACAAAGCGATCCGTATTGGTCTGGTTCCATGGGGGCAACCTGCAAGCTGGATCCTCTCATATCGCGACTCTTGACGGCACCAGCTTTGCTACTAACCACGACATCGTAGTGGTGACCTTAAATTATCGTGTGAACGGTATATCAAACCTCATCTCCAAGCTGAGACGTATATTCTAACTCGGCCTGTGCAGTATTTGGCTTCCCCAACTCTCCTGCCCTCCCTCTCACTAAGACCAACCTTGGCTTCCTCGATCAGCGACTGGCCCTTGACTGGGTGCAAAGGAACATCCATGTATTTGGCGGCGACCCAAAGAAAGTAACGATAGCCGGCGAATCGTCAGGTGCGTCTTCAGTCGATCGATTAGTTGACACTTTTCCACCTCCCCTGATTCCACCATTCCGCGCCGCGGGAGAGTCAAGCGGCCAAGCCACAGTGAGCGCCTTTGACCGAAACAGTGGCCCAGCCTCCTGGGCCGCGCTGGCCTCGACGTTGGGCTGCAACAATACCTCGCCGCAAGTCGAGCTTGTTTGCATGCAGGCTGCAGACGCGCGGACTATCAATACTCTATTAACCGGCAGTACGCTCGACTTCAGTCCTGTGAACGATGGGGTGACACAGGTTGAGCTGCCATATATTGCCAAGCGGGCTGCAGGTGCCGCGGCGAAGGTGCCGCTGTACATTGGGACATCGGCTCAGGAAGGGACTGTGCTCGCTAGTGTTTACGGGGTGGACATCGCAAACTTCAACGAGGATCAGTTGGTTCAGTTCCTCTCCATTTTCACTGGAGGAAACAAGGAGGTGGTTGACCAGTTCACCGCCCTTGTGCACTCTATTATGCAGACGGACGGACTGTCTCTGTTCTACGCCGCAACGCAGGTATACACGGAGCTTGTGTATCAATGTGTAAGTATAGCGGTCGCGGCTCTTTGATTAGAGAAACACTAACTAATTGTGCCACATGTAGCCAGCTAAGCTGGTCTCCCAGGCGGTGGCCCAGAGCGGTGTTCCGGTGTGGAGGTCCTACCAGAATGCTTCCTTCCCCAATATTCATCTGCCCGGTTACACCGAGTTGGGTGCCTATCACACAGCAGATCTCGGGCTTATCTGGGGTACTTACCCGACCGAAAATGCCACTCTTGCTGAGGCCAAGCTGAGTAAAACGATACAGGCCTCTTGGGCGGGCTTCATCAAGGATCCTTGGGGAGCGGGTCCTGGATGGGACAGAGTTGACAGCAACGGAAATAACCTCGCCTGTTTCGGATGTGACGGTGGGACAGGCGTTACGCTCATCGACGAGCCAAAGGCCGATGCGAGATGTCCCTATTATCAACTGACTTATGACACTACGAAATCGCCGTATTTCTGAAATCGCACATTATACAAGCATAAGGACGACGAACTTCAGCTATACGAGTTGTGTCGAGCTGTGCTGAGGAGGATTCGAGAGTCATAATTCTAGTCTTACAGAGCAGCCAACGCTTTGGAGCACTTCTAATATAGCAATGCTTAGGTACTTAGTAATTAGGCCTTTTGGTTATAGGGCTCTAGTAAATAGCCGTGAAGTTAATGTCTATACTACTTAGTAATTAACGATACTTCAAAACGGTGTTTCTTTCTAATGCTCCGGGAAATGGAGATCTACCCATAGCACGGGTCAGCTCTAAAGTTGCAGTACCGCTGTATGTGCACCATAGTAAACTGTTCCGCCTGCTCATCATAGTCCCTATCTACACCCATACCGTCACACCTAAATTGAAGCTCTTCACACCTTCCTGTCGTAACACTATCGTAAGCATTTATAGTGGTCAGAATTATAATCAAAACCATAAGGAAATAAATCTCTCCATTGCTCTCTACCCAGGCTAGCTTATACGTAGGTCGAGTCTTTGTATTCCTGCGATAACCTATCCGACTACGAAGTATGGCATATTAATAACAAACCCATAGCTCATATATAACCTCTTTCGGCTGATTTCCAACCTCTAATTTCCTCTTTTTGATTTTGTCATCCTTTAGAGGCTTCGGCCTAGCAGCTATGCAGTTCTTCTAGAGCCAATCTAACATAAACAGCGCTAATTAGCTGGACATATTCAGGGGTAAGGAGGCAGTGGCAGATTGTAACAATCCGGGGGCGATAGTAAGGTGCGAATAGCTTCAATTCGGGAACAGCGAGTTCAGAACTTAGGTTGAGCAGGAGGACCGGTTTACCATAGTGCACCTACCCATGCTACTGGCCGATCTCTATTTTTCGGACTATTAGAAATAAATGACCTATGTCTAAACTCCACAGGTGGCCGAGCTCCAAAAACCAAATACCTCTCAATTGGGTTTGTGAGTAAGAGTACGGGACGGCCGAAGGCCAACTGGTATCGTATGTGACGTAAAATACTCTTCCTTCAACAAAAGGGAAGGGAAGTAAGCGTAGCATCCACGACACTGTTTTCGGAATCTAGGGTGCCATTTCTCCTCATCCCAGGGGCTTTTGCTACCTCGGCTTGGGAAGAGCCTCTTAGATGTTCCTGCGCGTAAGAAAGCTTGGCTCGATATACTTCGTAAGGCTGCAGATACGAATATTAATTGAAGATCTCGCCCCAGGGAACACCGACGTCCTATACTCCGTAATCACGACCAGCAGCAGTTAACGTTAGGGTGACTACCCCAGGTGTTGAGCTAGGGATCCAGGCACAATACGCCTAAAGTTAATTTACCCTGCTTATTATCACCAGGGAACATATATAGGCGACCCCGACAGATTAGGTACCTAGCCTATCCAAACATATACCAGCGCTACGTTGCGCCGAAATTCCCGCATAAAGACTCACTAACTTGCTGGTGAGCAATTTTAAACCCCAGGAGTAAAACGGCTCAATACCCCGGACTTCATTATTTGAATCTCGTAATCGGTCGAATGCTCACACAGACATGATTTAGGTTGACAAGAGTCATCGGCGACTGCGTCTACGCAAATTGAAAACGCGGCGCAGTATCAATGGGATACGAGGTTACCAAAACCTCCTGGCCCTCTGAAAGACGATGGATGATGTATATATTGATATGTCTCCCACATCTTCTGTCTGTCCAACTCAGTCAAAATCACTTGCCTTATATCTCTGTGATTGAGTGGAAGATCGAATAACCCACTGACAACACCGAGAGATTCGTAATAATCCTCGCCTCAATCGAGCACATAATGTCTTTTACTACTACTAGTAGTACGCGGTTAAAATATCCGGCCAAACTCACATTCGCTCTCCTCCTGTGGCTGGGTGTTTTTTCCAATGCAGTCAATACCAGCAGCGTACCCCTCCGCGGAGAAGATCCTTGCCCAGTCTCATGTGCGGTATCAGGTAGCAAGCCTGGTAACTGGACCGCCTATTCCAGCGTAGACAGACTCGATTTCTGTCACGACACAATGCTGTTGGATTTTGCGGTATATACCCCTCTTGGCGGCCCCACGAAACACACCACCACCATCAGGGCATGTACTCAGACCCAGTCAAAGTCCAGTCCCAAGAGAGCCCTTAGAAGACGGAAATCGCTCTCTGATCGCGGAACTGAAGCCACAAATCCAACAACCGCTGCTGTGCAGGTAGCCTGGTGGAACTCAAATTCAGCCCAGAATGCCGACATTTCCAATATAGTGGACGAGACACGCAAGGTCCAGGAATATCTCACCGCTAATGCTGATACATCTTTGGTCTTTGCCTCCAACAAGAACGAGGCAATTGGTGTCTTCGCAGGTGCCCTCGTTAAAGACACCATTCTGAAGTCCACGGCAGTCCAGGATTTCATAACCCACGTCAACGACAAAGGTGTCTCCCAAAGCTTGCTCCTTCAAGTCTGTGGGTCGGATCTTAAGGCGGACTTTACCTTCGGAATCGTGGCGGCTACGGGGGATTCCAAGCTTGAACTCGTCCAAAGTGCAGTAGCCAGTTGGGCTAATGGTAGCTGCTTAGCAGGGGGCGACGGCACTGATTCACTGAAGGATATCAACATCCCCGTTCCAACTAAGATCGACGTTCGATCCCCAGCGCCCGTTCGTCCTCGCGATCTCTGTAGGACTACCACCGTAACCTCGGGCGACAGTTGCCAGTCCCTAGCTACGGCTTGCGGTACTACCCTAGCCGACTTCCAACAGTACAATCCCGGCTCAAGCTTCTGCTCCACCTTGCAAGTCGACCAGATCGTATGCTGCACGTCTGGCTCTCTTCCTGTCCCAACTCAGAATCCAGATGGCTCCTGTGCTTCATACGTCGTCCAATCTGGAGACTGGTGTGCAAAAATTGCCGCTGCAAATGCTGTTACCGTGGACAATCTCGAGACGTGGAACCAGAACACATGGGGCTGGACCGGTTGCGGCAATTTGCAGCCCAAAGTCAATATATGCCTTAGCACGGGAACCCCTCCTATGCCTGCTCCCGTACCCAGCTATATCTGCGGTCCACAGGTGCCGGGAACTTCTCCGCCTCCTTCGGGCGTCAGTCTTGCCAGCCTCAACCCGTGTCCCCTGAAAGCGTGCTGTGATGTATGGGGGCAGTGCGGGACGACGCCGGAATTCTGCACTCCTTCTGGGACGGGCCCTCCCGGGACGGCTGCTCCCGGTACCAATGGTTGTATATCCAACTGTGGGACTGATATTGTCAGCGGAACTGCGCCAGCCAGCTTTATGAGTGTTGCGTACTTTGAAGGGTGGAATCCGTCCCGGCCCTGTGTACATATGGACGTGGACCAGATCGATGCCACGAAATACACGCACATCCATTTCGGATTTGCTGGCCTAACAGCCGATACCTACCAAGTTAACATACCCTCCGACGTCCAGGCGCAATTCGACCGATTCACAACATTCCAAACGCCGATGAAGAAAGTCCTTTCGTTGGGGGGTTGGACCTTGTCCGCATCTCCATTCGACAATCAGGTTTTCCGTAGCGGAATGAGTCCACAGAATCGAGAGGCCACATCTACAAACATTGCCAACTTTATTACTGAAAATAACCTAGATGGTGTCGATATTGACTGGGAATATCCTGGCGATCCTGACAACGCTCAGAGTAGCCCAAGTGACGGCCCCAATTACCTGAAATTCATTACTGTACTCAAGGGAAAACTCCCAGGGAAGACAGTATCAATCGCAGCACCAGCCTCGTACTATTATCTCAAGGGCTTTCCTATTGCCGCTATGTCGAAGACGATCGACTATATTGTCTTTATGGCGTATGATCTTCACGGCCAGTGGGATTATGGTCATGAGTATTCCCAAGACGGATGCCCAGGGGGAAATTGCCTACGCTCCCACGTAAATATCACCGAGACTTTGGACGCATTGGCGATGATCACAAAAGCAGGCGTTGAATCAAGTAAGGTCCTAGTAGGGGTCTCTAGCTATGGACGGTCCTTCGAGATGACAATTCCCGGCTGCAGAGGGCCAACGTGTACGTATACAGGCCCGAACTCGGGGGCCACACCTGGAAATTGCACACAGACTGCCGGTTATCTTTCCAATGCAGAGATTGGCACGATTATAGGATCTGGCACTTCAGGAGTTAGACAGTTGTATGACGGCGGTAGTGACTCTGACATACTCTTATACCCTACCAATCAATGGGTGGGTTATATGTCTGATAAGACGAAAGCATCCCGCATTGAGAGGTACAAGGGCTTAAATTTTGGAGGAACAAGCGATTGGGCGGTTGACCTGCAGCAGGTTCCGGCAAGCCCATAAGTTGATGACGACCTGCTAGCCTATAGAAACGGCATTTAATTTTTGAGAATAATCTTTCAAAGTCTTATACCTCCAAATATCTTAACAAAATTTTCCCAACAGCTCCTGTCAAGTTAAAATACAGAAGTGAAGTTGAGCAGCAATATGTTAAAATACAAGTGGCCAAAACGCTTAACAAATAGCGAAAACGCACAAACACAACCAAGATTAGCAAGCGTATTCGGGAGAGCTCCGGTATAAAGTTATAATAGAAAGTATGAAAGGTCGGTTACTAGAGCACCGATGGAATGTCTGGCTCGTCCTATATAAAAACCGCCTTGGGACTTCGCTACAGAAATTTGAAATTATGCAAGAATAAGACTCAAGAGATGAACAGAGAGGATAAAAGTAAAAGCTGAAGATAAAAATAAATACGAAATACTGTAGAGGGGCATCCTCCTCGGGACAAGACCAGGGCCACGCTACATTGGAAAATAATCTGCCTTGAGAGATCAAAGGAGTTTTTTCGGGAGGGATGGTAGGGTGGCGGGGGTATTTGGACTCCTAAGGAGTTGACTTGATGGCCTGTATTATGACTACTTCAGCCTCTTAGCTAGTGGTTCGATACCATCTCACCCTTCCATGGCTATTGGCCACCTGCTGTTCCGAGTTCCTCTGGCAGCCAAAAGGAAAAGGAGAGACTGCTCTAGGTGGCTTAATGGTGACAACTCGCCCACTACCTAAGCACCACCGAAGGAAGAAATATTAGTTGCGAATAAAACCTGGTTGGAGAATGAAGGTATCTAACTTTCAAACTTACAAACACCATCAGATCCAGCAGGTGACGAGGGTGTAGTTGCATTGCATTTACCATTTTCACTGGTAACTGGTCTCATTACTTGACGACATTCTCTCTGAGACCACGCGTTCTTAAACTCTTGACATGAGTCCCTGCAAAGACTCCAGGCCCACCTCCGTTCCCCTTCCCCTTCCTGGCATCTATGCCACCATTTTCCAGCGCCTTGCGGAGCTGATCCCCTACGCCACTACCAGCTCCACTATCATCACTGCCCCTCCTACTGCTCACGCTCCCAGCATCCCACGGCCGGCCAACTTTCAGCAGTCCCTTAACACCGCCCGCCTTCCTCGTAGGCAACTCACTCGTCCCAGCACTACACACATAAAGCAAATACTTTAAATTCGGCAGCGTCTGTCTAATATCCAAAACTTTCAATCCCTGGCTTTCGGCGAGCCGTTCGATATCCTTGTTTAATAAGAAGACGCCGTACTCAAAACGAAACCGCAGAGTGCCTTTGTTGAATAAGGGAAATGTGCGTTGGTTGTCTTGTATTGTGGAGATGTAGTCATTGATTATAGATCGAGATCCGTAGGGCGTAACGGGGTATGGAAGGGGGACACTGAGATAGTATTGCAGAATCTCGACTACACGGGCGACATATCCCAGGGCGGCGGAAACGGAGTCTTCATCCGCATCGTCGAATTGGGAGTTCGGAAGAGGAAGGGAGCAGATTGTAAAGAGGAGTGGCGAGGAGGTTGGTTCGATGGGGAATATAGATAGGAGCTCTTCGCATAGACGCCGCCGCTGTTGGCGGGTGTCTGCTGCCGTGTTGCTCAAGCACGCTCGCGATTGTGCGAGCTTGTCTTGGGCGTTGGTGATATCATCCAATACTCGTGCTTGTGCTTCTCGGCCGGATTGAATGGCCTCTCTGCGTGCGGCTATTGAAGCTTTCAACTCTGCGCGTCTCCTTGAGGATTGCTTGAGCAGCTTGCGTTCCGAAGTAAGATAACGTTGGGCAAGTGCTGCCTCTTCGCGCGCTTGTGGAGATTCATCAATTGGTGTTTCTTTCAAGATCACGTTGATCTGATTCGCTAGCTCTTCTCGTGTTGCGAGTGCATCCTGTATGGATTCGTCGAGGTTCGCCAGCCTCATTAAGGCGCTGTAGGAGGAGGTCGGCAATTCGGGCGCGGGTTTCGGTTTCGGAGGTTTGGAGGTCATTTCGGTGGTGTAAATGCCATCGGCAAGGTGGAAAAGAATGCAATTGGGCGGAAATGGGTGGTTTTCGAGAGTGCCGATGAATTGCAGTGCGGGGAGTTTTACCTCCTCCTCAACAAGCGGCGAAAAGCCCTCCCTCTTAACCCATATCCTGACCATAACCGTATCCAGACGTGTGATAGCTGGACCAAGGGTGGAGAGGTCAAAGAATCGAAATGTGGGATTCATAGTCTTCTCCATTACTTCGCTGACGTATATAGGATCATCCTGCCCTTCGCAATGCAGCGTAAAGAATGTGTCTGCCATTCGGCTGTCTATCACATCCTCGAGCCTCTTCTGACGGGATCCAGGATCGCCCCCCACCCAGCTCGAGCTATCTCTTCGCGAACTCGGCCGCCGCAAATCCCCGGAGGAGTGTGCATGATGAAGTTGTGATTCGCGAAGGGCTTCGAGCTTCTGCGGAGTCTTATTAAGGGCGGCATCGTCAATTGTTTTTCCGCGCGGCCTTGTTAAGGCGAGATTGCGGAAGTATATGCCTTGGAGATGCCGCAATTTTCGATTTTGAGGCAGGAGAAGAGGTCGCGATGCCTCGGCGACCATATTGATGGTGTCAACGAAGCTATGATGGTGTTGTCATGGGCGCAAGACATTAGAATACAGTCGGTGGTAACAATCTCCGATTCTCAGCCTCGCTTTCGACCTTGTCTAACAGCCAATCAGAAGCGATATATAACCCCTATTTTCGAGTATTATCACATCTGGGGATTATACTGGGATATTGGAGGGCTTGAAACTTTGAATCACCGAAGCATTGGCTCCGTAGTGAGTGGTCTAATTTTCGGCTTTGGTTTTGTTCATCCAGTATTGTTTAGATTGTATAAAGTTACACGTGATTTCCCCCCCTTTTTATATATTCCTCGGTAGTGAGACCCGACAACTTCCTTGGGACACATCGTGCAAATTACGGTATTCGCATTTTCAATTCAACAGTAGAAAAATAACATCTCGGGGCACTGAACTACTCTAGCGAGCATATTTCATGGTCTTTGAAAAAGATGGGTGAACACTTTCCACATCGAGACACTCCGCAAGTAACGAACAACGGGAGCACTCTACATCTGGACCCTGTGGGTATAAAATGGAGATACAAATCGACAAGTATGCTGTCCTCATATTCAATGCCAACCGCATGGCAGAAGCAAAAGTGCTTTTCCTCGCACTTTTGCGAAATGATACAACAGGTTGTATTCTTTGTTCGGCGTATTTCCCGAATTTTATGACTCTCTATTACCAGTATGGGGGGAAATAAAGTAAATATTATATAATGGCATTTGAGAGCTTGTGATGTAGAGTTGAGCTACTGTCAAGATAATTATTACTGTCAAAATCATTACCACCGTCATATATTAATTTGCTCTTAAATCATTGGATGCCATTTTCAGGTTTGGGTCTAGTTCGGATTAATGATATAGCTCTTCTTTAGATTGAGCTTCACAGGCTGGGTGGTCCTCCTTCTCATATTCACTAGAACGGCTTGTCAAGATCGAATTCCAAGATTGTTCCAACGAGTTTGTTAGCTCCCAAAACATACGAAACGTATTCCGTGTAAATAATGCTAGACGATGCTAATGAGTACGATATTCTTCATAGAGCTCCCAGCTAGAAGTCGCGTTGGTCCGATCCATAATAGTCTTGCAGTCAGACTACATTACGTGAGTGTTCCAACTTTATGAAAACTGCAGTTAGAAGTTATCAGCTTTTTCATAACCTAACGTCAAGTTCCGGCTCAAAAATTGAACGTCCCATGAATTTTCTTCCGCAATACACAATACACACCTTCAATCCAGCCAAAGACCATAACCCAGCAACTCCCTAAAGGCCTCTAATTCTTCCCCAAGCTCTCTTCAAATGCCGTCCATCACCCGAGAGGATAGACACATATACGATGTATCTTCGGGTTTGATATATTGAAATCTACATCGGCCTTCTATCTTCTTATCGCAAAGCTGTCTGTATGTATAGCATAACTGACTACTCTCGTATGTGCCTTCAATAGACTCTGTCTTGCCTCGGAGATTGTAAATGGGTAATTTAAGTTAACGGTACCCTATTGATGTAGCTTTTCTACTGTGGCAATAATAGGTAATGCATCCGTCATCTAGAGGATAGACCTTGTCCTAGTAGGGTAGGGCAGAGTAGTCACAGCCGTCGAGGACCTTAAATCCCAGTATCTCACCGTTTTATCCCACGAATTGGTCACGATCATGAGAGCATGACTCGTTATAGCATTGACGAACCCTAGGGATCTAATGGGGGCATCATGAGCGGCTACTCGTTGAGCAGGGCCACCATTGGAGGTTAGATCCAAAGCTCTCACAGTCTTGTCTGCGCCTACTGGAGCAACCTGGAATTAGGATTGCGTGATGCTTGGACAGTAAATTGAAGACATGGTGCGATGCTGAACCGCAGCGACGAGATCTTGAAGTTGCAAAAAAGATGCTGCATGAGAGAAACTTACCATTCGTTCTTACACTTTCTATACGCATAATCGTATTCCAGCATTGCTGTGCATCTTTCATGCGCACATAAGTTAGCTTGTTTCGATTCTTTGCAGATATGTAAGATGTATGCTCGACACCTGGAAGCTGTAAAACAGCAGCTAGAGGGATAAAAGCAGCATGCCATATGCAGATACCCCGCCAATATGTCAGCTTTAAGAAAATAATCACTGTGTACTAAGAAGAGCGGAGTCCATTCAATTCTTTATAATACTGAGGATATCTGAGAATGTTCCACAGTGCTACGTATTTTTCCAAGGCATGGAGACAGTTAAAGTGGCTGGCCTATAGTAGTCCTTCCCTGAGTACATGTGGGAAGCCGGCCGAACTCCGCAACACTTTTCCTCCTGCATCTGGTTTACCCGTCGGCGAACGATCCCTGACAGCGACCTGAGTCATAAATGAAATAGGGGTACGTAGTATTTTGTGTTAGCTTTTCGGATATGTTTTGAAGTTGTTACGGATAGGAATTTGCATTAGTAAAGTTTTGCATCAAATTTGTTGATACAGGGTAGATATCCACGGCGGTTGTACTTCGTAGGATGTAACCACATCTCTCAATCGTGCATCGCATACGGTCCCTACCCATAGTACTTTAGAGATTACCTAGGTAACCTTAATTCTTCCCCAGGTCTGTGGATGTTACATACCGGAGCGGAGATTTGTAGGATGCGATTTCTGTGTCGCCATTGCCCCTCTTTCAGACCAATGAGAAGTGGGGAAAGGGGGGAATGGCTGCGGTTTGTTAAAGGCTCCTTGGATTATCGGTCATGGGCCTTCTTGGGGGAAGTAGGAACTATAATGGACAAGTTATATGGGTAGTTGCAGCCTACCATGTAATTCAAATCATCATAGGCATAGCAGGCCGAAGTGAGAGTTTTAGAGGAGAGAAAATCGAGAAGTCCATTGCGAGCTATGTGACCACCTCCACCCCCACTAAACTCCGAAGCATGCTTTTTTGTTCGAGAAGCTGGCGGTTGAATGCAAGTAGAGCTCCCACCCCCCCAACCTCCCTAGATATCTATTGCGAATTAAAGTCTCGCTCCATGTAAGCGTGTGCGGCGCTGCAAAAGCGGGATGTAATAAAACTCAACGAAATGCTGCAAGTTTCAATGCTGTCTATGTTGAATGCCCCCGTACGAATTAAATAACCCAACGCCAAAGAAACCCCGCATTAAGGCATCCATCCCATAGAGCGCATTAGTTTCCACTACCCATATTGTCACTCAGCAGCGTATGAACAGGAGCGTTAAGCACGTCTCTTCCCTTGAGGAAGTCGATTTCGAGAATGAAGAGAAATCCGATTAGGTTCCCGCCGAGTTGCTGGACGAGCTTCCCAGCAGCCGCAGCAGAACCACCTGAATTATGTTGCGTTAGACATGTTGAGTCACAACTTGACGAGCAGTTGTTCTTACCAGTGGCTATGATGTCGTCCACCACCAATACCGACTGACCCTTCTTGACGGCATCGCTTTGAATCTGGAATCCGTCCGCTCCGTACTCCTTATCAAAACTTGCCTCCTGGGTTGGCCCGGGCAGCTTCCCCCGCTTCCTGACCGGTGCAAAACCAGCGCCCAGGCGCAGTGCCAGGCTGGGACCAAAGAGAAACCCTCGGGCGTCGAGGCCCACTATGACATCGGGCTTGACGCCCTTATTCAGCGTGAGGACCTGCAGTTCGAGGGCGCGGATGAGCTTTGTGTGGAGGGAGTGGTCGGCGAAGAGCGGCAGGATGTCGACGAAGTCAATGCCGGGGATGGGGAAGTCGGGGAACTGTCTCAGGGCAGCTCGGAGGCTTATCTTTGTACTGGCGAGTTCGGAGGAACTGGCGGTAGTGGAGGAGGGCTGGGGGTCGTGTCTCGAGGCATGGTCGATGGCGGCACTGGCAGAGGCAGATTGCGAGATGGGAGCAGCGGCGACGACAGGTGCGGGTGCAGACGGCGCGGTTACGGTCATCGTGAAGAAGAAAGAAAGAGAGAGAAAGAAGACAGAGCGAACGAGCGGACGGGCAGCAGAAGAGGAAGAAGAACAGGCCCAGTCCAGTCCAGTGAGGTGATGTCGGTGCCGGTAGTGAGTGAGATATGCAATTTGATAAAAATTTCTGGGATGTGCAAACGCAACGCAAGAGATGTTTCGGGTGGTCGGCGGTCGGTGGTCGGTGGGCTGGCGGAGGGTGGTAGTGGGAGTGGTGGTGGTGGTTAGTGGTGTTAGTGGTTGAGTTTAGTGGTTGGTGGGCAGTTTAGTGGTTGATTTAGTGGTAGTGGGTAGTTTAGTGGTGGTGGTGCAATAATAGACAGGTGGTAGGTGGTAGGTGGTAGGTGGTAGTGGGGTTGCGCACGGCGGCGGTGGACAGTGGGCGATTGGCGAGCGAGCAGCAGGATTCAAGGTGGAGGGGGAGGGCGAGGGTTGAGGCTTGAGGCTTGAGGGTGAGTGTGTAAGGTAGAGTAGAGTTATTACTCCAGCAGGTGTGTGGCCGTAGAAACACAACTCAACCAACACCAGCAACTGGTCGCCTTGCGCAGACCGGCGGATCGCAAGGGCAAGCAGCCGCGCGAGGGCTGGAGCATCCACCAGCTGCAAATGAAGACCGGGCCAGCAGAGGACGAGCTCAACAGGTCGACCTCCTGCTGGTGGTGGTGGTGGTGGTGAGGGTGAGGTGAGGTGTGCTGCGGTGCTCGATGGATACGGTCAAGACTGGAGCCCGGAAGCACCACAGCAGCTTTATCAGTGTCGCACCGAAGTGGGGGATGAGGGGAAGGAGGAGGGGCAGGATTCAGATGAGAGGCAGGTGGAAACAGACAAGTCAGAAAGAGCCAGAACCAGAACCAGAACCAGAGACGGAGAGGAGACCAGGGAAAAGAAAGGAGTGGAAGTTGATAAGGGAAATGGGTCGACGCCACTGATCAGTCCGACTGCTCGATCTGCCACCGCACGGGTTGGATCCTATGGCCTTTGCAAGGACTATCCCCAGTGGGCTCAGAGACTCCAACTCTGTCTACCTTTGCTAATGGTGCGATGTGGTGTGGCTGAATCGCTCTTCGAGAAGGATCTGGAAAGAGTGTACAGATCTGCAGAGTGTTGCAATTGCAACTGGAGGAGAGAGGTACGAACAGGGCAGAGATTCACAGGACGGTTCTCCTGGGGAAGACACGACTTTTTCCAAAGCCTGGGCGGCTTGTTATCTTTTCACTTTCCGTGAAGTATATTTGCCTTGCACCAGTGAATCAAACACCCAGCGTTACACTGCGTAGTACTTCGTACATATTGGCCTTATGAAATATGTCTCCGGAGGTTTCTACGTGCATTGCTGGGGCTCATTTTTCCTTCCAGAACGGCAGCTACCCGTCCAACCAACCATCCATGAACAAAACAGACTCACGTCAGGAGAATTCCCCGGTGTCAAACGGGGTTTGCGGTGGGACGACGTTTCACTCAATCATCGACCCACGCTGTTTTGCATCGCCCTATCCCAGCAAGCAGGAAGCATAATGAATTATTCATCATTTCATTATTATCACTCCATCAAGCGCCCTCGGACAATAGCCAAAAAGGACTTGAACCGACGAGGCGAAGATGCCGACGCCCTGCAGGCCGCCAATGGCAGGCCCAATATCAACCTCAATATCAACTTCTTTCCATAATCCCATCCATTTCACTCTCCTTGGTGGATATATCACCAACATCCGACCGCAAATCACGAAACCACCCCCACCGGTCTGTGGGTGGATGTCACCGTGTACAGGTACATGTGCAAGGAAAGGCCATCTAGATCTTGCCACTCTCACTTGATCAAGAGCCATCGCCTCGTTTCACATGATTTCGTTTTGCTTTTTGCTTTTTGCTTCTTGCTTCTTCAAGCCGCCTGCCTTGTGAGGCTGTGGCGCTGATAACGCCTTCAAGATTCCCGCTCGCGCGAAAGAGCAGATGCCCGTCCCCGGCTCCTTGCCCGATGGGTCCCCAGGGACGGGGAGCAAGAGCCCTTCAGCAAATAGCTACCTCCAGATCAAGACCCAGGACGCCACTACATACTCGAGTGCGATACGAGATAAGTCCAATATCAAAAGCGCCCGCGCGGTGGTCAATAACCAACCAATATCGCCGATGACGATTATTAGGCTGCGATCTCTGTGCGACCATCGGGCTCGTATCAGAGCCCCTAACCCGAACCTGGCCCGCCAGAGAAGCCAGCTCTTGCTAGCTGGGCCCGATATCGTATTTTTATCGATAAGACAGAGTTTGTGGTGGGGCAGGTACTCGTCAATCAGGCACAGGTCCTGGCTCTTCCGTGCTTGACCGCTGCTTCGGGGTCAGGATGGGATGACGCGCTATAAGCAGCAGATATGAGCGGCCAAGGACTTCGCACTCTCGGCGCATCTCGATGTCTCGTCCAGCCCTGGACATATGCACACAATTGGGTCAGAGGCAGCCTTGCTGTTGTCAAGTCTCAAGTACATCAGTCTGAGGTGTGTGTGAAAATCCTACTCGGAATGCAGCTAATAAAGCTTTACTACACACGGTATGGCGCACTGCCTCGGGACGTCCCGCGGCTCTATGGCCACCCCGCCAGCCCTATTACAGAGTATATCTATGCACCCTCGTATAAATCTTCTCAACAGAAATAAATCTTATAGGTGTCTGGTTCTAGGCCAGATACAGCCCAAGCTAACGTAATAACAACCTCGATTTATGCTCTTGAATATTTTGGGCGTAGTATTAGCTGCTCTGGCTCCTGAAGCAGCATGGTGCGAATGTGGCTGGCATCCGTAAAATTTGTCACTGATTAGTCATGAAAAAGAAATTGCGTGCATCCACACTCCCAACAGCGACTTCCCAACCACGACGACAGGCTTCATCATATTTCAGATTCGGTGCCAAAATAGTACCTACTTCCTACCAGAAATACTACCTGTGCAGGGGGAACATTATTAAGGCTGTAGTAGGAAATTAAGAGCTGCAAGACACTCTAAAACTTCCCATCGTTTCCAAACCCCGAGTGATATTGAGTCCTCGACTCATGTTAACAAAACATGGTATGTGACTCTGTTACTGTATTAAAAGGAGCATTGCTTACTAGCTATACGCAGTGATAAAACCAGCTATTGTTGAATTCAAAAATGTCTACTTAAGCCGTGAAATACCACAGTGGTAAAACTCCGACAGTCCCGCGAGTTCGTGCATCCGAATTCCCCGAAGATTCTACTGGCTTCCTCGAAGAAAACATGCGCCAAGATGGTGCCATTGCCCAAAACTCGCCATGCCTGGTAATTTGTGATTGATTACCTAGGATGGGGATGGCTTCTAATTCGGTCCGGTCTACCCTTGATATCGTCAGGGGAATATAATGCTGTTGGTACTTGTGAGTAATTCTACCTTCTTTGGTGCAATAATGGATAATACTTAAATATCCAGATTGCTGCATTCGAGGGGTCCTCAAAATTCTGCAAATTGAATGATGGCTCCAGTGGAGTTTTAATGCTGATAGGGGATTCCATGTGTACTTCCACGTGTCTCAAGTGACGATGTGGGATGATTATGCTTAAAGTTAGGCCACCTGTTGTCAGACCTATTGGGTCATGCCACAATTACTATCGTTTACTTTTCGTGATCACAAGCATTTGATTTCATTTTAGTTTAATAATACTTTCCATGGGTGAAGTGCGCAAATCATTATTTAACACGCAGGACTAGTACTCCGCTAGTTCACGTTAAAGGCGTGCAGTTTCGTTTCAATGATTTATTGATTTCATTGGATACATTTCAAGGCTCGCCCCATATCGAGCTTGAGTATCGAAGTCGCGGATCGCCCATTCTGCGTAATAATGTACATCAAACAATTGTTATGGGGATCCGCGCAAATTGCAAGTTGCAAGTTTTGTGTAATGAAGGAACTCTAGCAGTAGTTTTGTTGCTTCCAACGGTGCGGGTGCTAAGGTGTTTGAGCCGGAAATGTTTCTAAGCAGAAACGACCTACTCAATGCCTAGATACGCGCAGTGTTCGGAAACTTCTCCCCTCGTTTTAAAATCCACCGCAATCCGACCGAAGCAGGAAAGCCTAATTTTATGTCAGCGTTGCACTCTTTGCTTGGAGTTTGATATCTTACATCGTTACGGATATGCTTTCTATTGTAGTAATAGAAGAGATTATCCAGGTGATACTTGCCTATAGTTCAAAATTAGTAGCTTATCCGTTTTATCCTTGGAGAGTAACTTGCAAACGAATTTCAGAATAGTATGGCAGTGGCTGCAAAGACGTAGAGGGCAACCTCCGCACTTATACATAGCTTGGCTAGGACAAACCATGCAACGCTTGTTCTTGAGGCGCTCAGTGTTTGGAATGTCCTCTGGATCGACGACATTCTTCCCACCCTTAATGATTGACTGGAACTTGTAATGTTCGTGGTTGATGATGTCCAGCTTTTCATACAGGCAGTCGTCGCAAATCTTAACTCTTCCAACGTCGATTTGGCGATAGGGGCAACCTCTGCAAAACTGAATACCGCGGAATCGCTTGATATTCTTGCCATCGAACCGGCTGGTAGTGTTATAAGGCAGTGGAATGGCGCGCTGATAAGCCATGGCAGTCACTTTGATTTCGGGGTTATTCATCGCCTCCTCCAGGGGGGAGACACTTGGTTCGTCATCCAGCTCATGGCGATAACCCATCGACGAGTAGAGCTCCTTGAAACCCGATGTCGAAGCACGACAGTCGGCGCAAAATCGGGATGATGCTTCTGTGGGAAGCAGCAGCGCCTCCCTCATAATGCCAAAGTTGCAGGCATAATGACAGAAAGCGCACTCGTCATCTTCATAGGGGCTAGTGCATTCGACTTTGCGTGCTAATCCTAGCATACTAATAGCGAGGTCTTCAAATTGAGGGCCATTAGGCAAGCGGGAAACTGGCGGCTTCGATCCTGACCGCTTGGGCTTGTTGCCGGATGCCACCCTTCTACTAAATGCGAGGACATCTAGAGCGTGCTGGTAGATTCGAATTATCTCTTCAGGGCTCAGCTTGTCATCCTCCCTTGGATAATTCTCAGCAAGATCTTGCTTTGCAAGCTCAATCGTCTTTTTGCACACATCCTCTAGGTCGGCATCCAACTCATCATCTATGGTCATCTCTTCATCTTCGTCCTCGGCTTCGTCCTCGTTGTCAGATGACCCGTCTCTATCACCAGGGACTGCAGTATCATTGGAGTCATCGGAGCCATCAGAGTCACCAGAGCCATCAGAACCACCAGAACCATCAGAGCCACCAGAGCCGTCGGAGCCGTCAGAACCGCCAGAGCCGTCAGAGCTAGGAGGTCCACCAGAGCCAGCAGTTGGATCGTAGAAAACCTCATCAAACCCTTCAAAATGATAAGTGACGCTAGATTCACCAGGGTCGGGTCCATCGATGTGATTAAGCCTACCAAAACGACCGTTGTCGACAGACTCATCGGTACCGCTAGCGAGACCAAGACCCCCATGATCGTTTAACACACTATCGTTATCGCCCATAGAGACATCATCACCAACCCTCTGATTTGCATTGCCGACACCATTGGGTTGACTCCAATAACCGCTAAAGCTATCATCGCCATTGGTTTCATGAGCGCCATTAGGTTGATCAAGGACACCAAAGGGATCACGGCCAGGAGAATGATGATGATCACCATCATTGCTGAAACCTTCGTCGGTACTACTCGCATCGACATCCGTATCGCCTATTCCTTCCGAGCTTCCAGATTGACCAAGGCCGCCAGGGTTATCACGATCGCTATTGTTGTTGGTGCCATTATTGCGACTGCTGACACTGCGATCACCACTATCCAACCCAGCAGGGTAACCAGTATGACCGAGACCATTGGTATGACCAATACCACCAGAGCGACCAGGACTAACAGTGCGATGAATGCCACCGGTGGGACCAGGTTCACCATCGCCGCTGAAGCCATCATTAGGACTGCTCATGTCGATGAGATCCCCGTCCACCCCATTTTCGATGCCGGTATGATGATCACCCCCTAAACCATCAATGCCGTTAGCTTGAGTAGGGGCCCTAGGGTCGTCAACGCCCCAATAGCCTCCAAAGTCATCATCGCCATCCACCTCATCAGGGGCACCAGAGCGACCAGTACCACCGAAACCCTCAGAATGAATAATACCAGACTCAAAGGGGCTACCAGCGTAATCAAGAGTGTTGTAACCCGCGAAGGTATCAGAACGATCCCCATCATCAAGCCCACCAGACTCATCGACATCCATCACACCATCAGAATCCGTCCTGCCCAGAAGATGCAGAAGACGCAGACGCAGAGATTTACCGGTAGGTTGAGGATTCGTAGTGTGACCAATGCCAATCTCAACAGCATCACTAATGGTAGCTGGGGCTGATGAAGGCACAGCGGTCCTAAGGATATTGTGGCTAGTATCCGAAGTGTACCATGAACCTAGCGGGTTGTTATTGGTATTGAAGGTCGCACTTGAGGAGGGTTCTATCCGATTGGAAACTCCCCGACGCCGGGCCATAATACCTGCTAAAGTGATGGCGTTTATGAACAGGCCACCATCGAAGAGATCCAGAGTAGAGCCAGGCTCCAGCATATCAAGGAGAGAATGGGGCATGCTAGGGGTTACTTGAGGTTGATCGTTAGAACCGACTTGGGCAGCAGAGCTATTCTGGTATTCGTTATTATTAGGATCGAGTAGGCTATCGCCGAGCTCGGTAGCGCTCGAACCGTTGTCGGAAAGAGTAGCATCACTATCGTAAGGAGTAGAGTGTTCGACACGGGTTTGAGGCATATCATCCCAGCCATCGCATCGAATTTGGCTATTGGGGCGGTATGGTAGCTCGGTAATCATGTGGTCGAGAAAGGGGGCGGGGATTCCACTATCATGGTTATTGGGAGTGCCCTGCGGCATGGAGACCTGTTGACAATTGGACGCTGCAATTGGCATGGTGCTTGGTGGCAAATGATTCGTTGCGCCAGTTTGAGCAGAAGTCTTTTGCGAGGTGGTGGATGAGCGGGTTGCAATAGCACCGATCTGAAGCAAGTCGAAAGATGTTCCTGGAGGAGTGTCTATATAGACCGGGTTAAAGGCTCCAGGTGGAAGAGTGGGGTTTAGCAAGGGGTTGGTCGATTGGGGGCTTTTGTTTGCAATTATCGATTCCCAATCTGTGTAAGGTCGCACTCGAGGGTTAGCGGATGAAGTTGAGGTCAACTGTGCTCCGCCGCTGGAAGCCGAAGTTGGTTGAGAGCTTGATCCCCGTCCCTGCTGATTTTCGCTGGAAATTGGCTTCAGCAAAGATGCAACAGGTTGGGAACTCGAGGCTTCCAATTCCTGATTTTGGGTAGATTGCGCCATGGTTGCAATCCTGTGGGCTGTTTGTTGACTTCTTCGATGCTAGAGAGTAATGTTACGATCTACTCTCGCGTTGACGAAGACACCAACCCGCTCACTCGCGTCGGGTCGGAATGACGTTGGCCCGGATTCTTTAGCCCGCAGCGTATTCACCACTGTGCTATCCAGGACAAATTGTCTGCAAGGCTATTGGGCACTTCAAGCTTTTGACACACCCTCAGAACGCCCTATCGTGTATCTTTACTGTTTTCCGGGCCATTGGGAAAACCCATAGCAGAGCCCTCTGGTCAGAGTTGTTGGGCCCATTTTGGAAGTCTGCGTTCTAAAACTGGGTATTGGAGGGGGCTTGGGGAGATTCATGATGCTAGTAGCACCTATGAGCTCCTTTTGCTTTCCTTTGGTGTTTTGCTTTCGTTCTCTTTGGGGGAATGCCCCAGCTGATACCTGTTATTGAAGCGCTCGAATCTCCTCCTTGTGGCCTTTGCAGGACCTCAATTCCTCTATGGAGACGAATGATATCTTGCAAGCTGCAAGTCTATGGCAGTGTGGTGCAATGATTTGCCAAAGCCTCTTCTAGCTGTGGCTTCATGCATTATTCCGACATATTGCTCTAGGGTTGCTGCTTATCATAGCAGTAACCCTCGCAACTAGACTTCCCGGACATCCAGACAATATGGCTCTTAGCATGAGTGGTTCTGCAAGTCGCGGACCTGGAGATGTAAGACCTCTTCCCTGGGCGGGGCCGGCGATCCAGGGGGCGCTTGTACTCTGTAGACTAGGTATTCAATCAAGTGGCTGGACGAGGACTGAGTGGCAAATATTTCCTTGCGCCAGATTGGAGAAGATCGTTCTGGACGGAGTTAAATGGGATGCTGGTCGAATAGCAGCCGCAAAAGAACAAGTCAAAGCTGGGTCTTGAGCGCTGGGGCTGTGAACTGGGCCACACTACCCCTATTTTTCAACGCATTTTAGCCTCTCCTGTTGGCGGTTCTTTGGAGATGGGCTCCAAGATCCCTTTCATCGTTGAAAACTGAATGGCTTGCCCCAAGTCAAGATGAAACTCGGCCTTGTACAGATTCACCGTTTTATGGTCGATATCTTTCCTATTGAAATACTCTAGCATTAGCAACCATTCGCGCATAATTCAAATGACTAAAAATGGCAAGTTCCAAAGTTTCCAACCTCTATTGAGAAGGAAAGCTCGCATCCACTCGCTTTGCAGAGGTCTTATATAGAAAGTTATAGTTCATAGTGCAAGTGTCCCCATGAAGTAAAAAGGTCAAGGCGTAATAGGTATATTGTCCTAGTAATGAACAATCTCCATAGATCGACACTGTAGCACACTCACGGAATGGAGGTGTTATTTTTGATCTCCAACGAAGAGTTCAAGATGAGAAAAAGGGGCCTACCAGAAAATATATTGACGCTGATAACAGGAGGGCTCTGTATAGTGGCAATGTTAAAAGTGCGACAAGGTTGCCCTACCCAAGATCACCAGCAGAGTGCCAAGGTGAATACAAAGTTCACAGAGCTAGTTGCCAAGAAAGCGACTACAATGTTACAAGAACGGATTGCGACGAAAGTAACCAGACTCTGCTTGCTTTATAATGAAGAGAAGATCTCAGTAGACAAAGAGTGGATGATAGTCGATCTGGTGGTGATGGGCGCGATATTTGTGTTGACCATTTAGAAAGGAAGAGGAGAAAACGCGACTATGGAAGTCAATGAAAGGCGGCCAACTATAAGCGAAGTCACGAGGTATTACAATCAGGTTAATATGATAGAGCTGCGATAACAAAGGCGGTGGCGCGATATGGAGTTATGTTATTCCGGAATGGCACTTCTACTGAAGGATAGGCTATGTAGCTTCTAGGTCTTCTAAACATTAGAAGCATATTGTTATGAAATGGGACGCGATAAGATTACATAGTTACAAGTGTTGAATTGCGATGTTCTAATTCCCTTGAGATGGATTTATAGAATTCTTCCCCTCTTGCTTCTAACTCTCGCTGAAGTGTCATATATATTAATTGCAAATATAGACCAGACTCATACAATATCCTCCAAGTCAGTAGCTCATGCCCGCGCTTCGAGACCTGCCAAAACACATCAGAATCTAGCGAAATAGTTTAAATATCGGAAAGTACTCTCAACTTAATCTCTAATGGACCTCTGCCAACTAGCTATTTAAGCAGAGATGCTATAGCCCCTTGTGTTAATATTAGTGCAGCTCGTTTGTCGTTATTATAACCTCGAAATCTTAGCGGCGAAGCGAAACGAAAAGGGGGGGAGTATCACGTGACACATAACCTTGATCATTGCTATATTTTATAGGGATACTTAGATACAGGAGGCGATTCTCTGGGATAAAAGGGGACTATAGTTAGGGTCCTAATAGAGGAGATACTATTATAATAATTGTGATCATCAGATATAGGAGGATGGTGGTGTGACTGTCACGAATGTAAATAGGAGTGCCTTAATTAAGGAACTATCTCTCTATTCGACTCTAATTGTAGGTATGAAGATATTAAGCTAAAGAAAGAAGGAGAGAGAGTACAACTTTTCTAGGGGTATATATCCCCCTTAGGTGAATCACGTGACGTAGGCACGTGACAGTCCACGTGGTCGGTTAGTAAGAGTGGGCGCACGTGCCGGGCGTCGCTCGGGAACCGTCACATTTAGTGCCTCTAAAACACTGACAAGTTTGTTAGCAAATAGCATTAGCACCTTCCGATAAGCCTACTATTGGTACACTACTGTAGGTACGCGTCAATATCTCACGGACCGCGTCTCTGGGTCTCCGATTTGCATGTGGTTATGAAGTTGGGACGTGGAAGCTGGTAGTTTAGACGCGGCATTAAATGCCGAGGTGGGTACGCGTACCGCCACCCGCCGTTTACCGCCATGATGTTGACAAACATCATGCCATCGTACATCATGCCATACTTGCATTCTATAAAATACAAGGAATAATTATAATAGCTGATAAGTATGTAGTATATATATATAATAATAGGTATCCAGTATCTACAATATCCTACAACATTCAAAATCAAATCAAGTATTATACTCTGCTTATTTTATAATTATTCTTGTGAAAGAAAAGGAGAATAAAATGACAAAACATCACAACGAAGCCGCCCCCTTTAGGAGTCAGCACCCTGAGAAGATAAACGCATATCTAGTCGGCGGTGGAATTGCCTCTCTTGCCTCTGCTGTTCACCTCCTGCACGATGCCAAAGTCCCCGCCTCCCAGATTCACATCCTGGAGTCCTCCAGCGTTCCCGGCGGCTCCATGGACGGCGCCGGTACTGCTGAGTCCGGATATGTGTTGCGCGGAGGCAGGATGCTGAATTTCAGCTACCTCTGTACCTACGAGCTTCTCGCTACAATTCCATCCCTGAGCGACCCGAAGAAGACGGTCATGCAGGAGATCGAGGAATTCAATGCTATTCCGGAAAACAAGACTAATGCACATGCGAGACTGGTCGCTAAAGGCGCAGAGGGCCCGGAGATTGTGGATGTTAAGCAGTTGGGGCTCAGCATGAAGGATAGATTAGATCTGGTGCATATGAGTCTTCAGACAGAGGGGTCGCTAGGAACAAAGAAGATCACGGATTGCTTTGGGGAGGCTTTCTTTGAGACGAAATTTTGGTACATGTGGGCTACCATGTGAGTAAAGTTTCCCCATGAGATATGCATTTGGTCTGATAAAGTGATAGGTTCGCATTCCAACCGTGGCACAGCGCAGTGGAGTTCAGAAGATACCTCCACCGCTTTATCCATGAGTTTAAAAGAATCAACACCCTTGCTGGTGTCGATCGCACCCCCCTCAATCAGCACGACTCGATTATCTTGCCAATTGAGACCTATCTCAAGGCACAAGGTGTCGACTTCAGATACAGTAAGATGAGATGGATCGAAGTCCCACAGCTATGACTGACGAACCTCTAGACACCAGAGTAACCCGCTTCTCATTCCAAGAATCCCCCCAAATCACTGTCAACGAGATCCACACCGACAGCAAAGGAACCACCGGCGTAATACACGTCCAAGATTTCGATATCGTCTTCGCCACCATCGGCTCCATGACAGCCTGCTCCTCCATCGGCAGCAACACCAAGGCCCCAGCCCCCATCCCAAGCACCCAGGACGCCCTGAAGGCACCCGACGGAACCTGGGCGCTCTGGGACTCTCTTACACACAGCCAGCACGGCGCCGCCTTCGGCAACCCCTCAAGCTTCTACACCCGCCCCACCGAATCCAACTGGCTGTCCTTCACCGTAACCCTGCACGACCCCAGCTTCTTCTCCCGCCTCGTGGAGTGGAGCGGAAACACGCCTGGCACAGGAGCGCTGATCACGTTCAAGGACAGCACTTGGCTCATGTCTATCGTCGTGCCGAAGCAGCCCCATTTCCTGAATCAGCCAGAGGATGTCCAGGTTTTCTGGGGCTACGCCCTGTTCCCCGATAAAATTGGAGACTTCGTCAAGAAGCCCATGGAGGCCTGCTCCGGTCAGGAAATCCTAAATGAGCTCCTAGGCCATCTCAATTTCCCGCAGCACCCGACGCTCGAGTCGGCGACGACTATCCCTTGTATGATGCCCTATATCACGAGCCAGTTCTTGACGAGGGCGCACAAGGACCGCCCCAAGGTGATTCCAGAGGGGAGCACGAATCTGGCGCTTCTGGGTCAGTATGTCGAGATCGACGAGGATACGGTGTTTACCGTCGAGTATAGTGTTAGAGGGGCGCAGATGGCAGTGTATGAGATGATGGGGGTGAATAAGAAACCTAAGGCGATTTATAAAGGGGAGCATGACGTTAGAGTCTTGGCGGAGGCGCTGAAGATGTTGATAACTTAAGAGTAACAGGAACAGAAAAGCCCTAGGATATGCAAAAAAGTATTTACACATCATATTCCGTTCGGGCCCGGCGTTCCCCAAGAATAAGACATTGTGCTTGTAGTAGTAGAGCTGATAGAGATGGTGTTCGTAGAAGGCAAAATAGCGACTAGCTCTCTACCTTGACTTGGACAAAACATGGTCGCAAATCGGAAGGCGTCGTGTTTAAGCTTGTTAATACTCGACAATATCGCAGTTTAAACGTCCAAGTACTGTTCAAAAACGTAGCCAGAACTCACTACTCGGGATAGGCCAGCAAAATCCGACTCCTACCTATACGAGGTGCTGGCTACGAACCTAGAGTTATAATATTACTCTAGAGCCGACAGGAGCAGCGTAATACGACGACGACAACGATCCCCACCGCTGCCGCTACTACGCCCTCAGTAGCTTTACAGTTTACGTACAACTAAAAGGGGCTTTACGATATAAGATAACTAATTCCTCGGTTTCAGCCCTTTTCGGGACTTCGCGACGACTATCGCTGTTGTAGCGATCTGCCTCCAAAAGTCAGAGTTTTCACTTTTACTTCAGTACTTTTTACGAATAAATTAAACTTAAGAAGAGGAATATAGTAGTAAGAATATTAGATAAAAAGAAATCGATATTATAAAACCATTTATAGTCTTTTCTTTTTACTATAATCTAAGTATTATAATATAAAAGCTATTAAGCTCTTTTTCTCTTCGTATTAAACTTTCGACGAACTTATTCTTTTTCCTATAAATCTATACTTTATTAGTTATAAAGAACTCTTTCTATAATATTAAAGAACTAAGTTAATAACTATTAAATACTATAGAGGAGCTAGGAGGACCGTTATGATTATCAGGAGGAATCGTGGATAAAACAACTAAAAGATTGTAGTCAAGGTAATAGGTATCAATTAAGTGGTGGGCGTAGTGTCGGATTATCGTCGTTTAGATATCTGGCTAAAGAAGTCTAAACTATAGTTTAATGTTCTTTTTGAGGAGGTGAATATCCAGAGTGCACTCAGGTATTAGCATTTTCAGGACGACTAATAGTCACAAGATCCAGTTATTAATACAAGTATGGCAAATTGAGCTTGTATTCGTAATTATCCTAACTGGCCAGCTCCTCCCTGGCCCAGCTGTAGGGTGGTGAATTGCATATATTGACGTACTCTTATTTGTAAAAGGGAGAGTGAGTGCCAGGAGCTTATATGTCCAGGTGCCACCACTTCTCCACGTGCTAATTCTAGTACAGGTAAAAATGCAAGAACGAAGTAAATAAGTGGTAGTCCCTTGGATCCCCACCACACTATTTAAATAGAGATATTATAATACCTTGTATTAATATTTGTATAGCTTGTTTGTTGTTATTATAACCTCGAAATCCTAGAAGCAAAGCGAAACGAAAAGGGGGGTGTTGTCACGTGATATATACAATAGATTATTGCTAGGTATAGTTTATAGGGATACTTAGGTACAGGAGGTGATTCTACAGGAATCAAAGGTGACTATAGTTAGGGTTCCAATAGAGGAGATTCTATTATAATAATTGTGATCTTGAGACATGGGAGGGTGGTGGTGTGACGGGTGTTGGTTTGGCGACGTAGGTACCTAGGTAGGTAGTTTGGATACTTCTACCCTTTTAAATATTACGATTCTACTCTCGCCACTGCCCTTTAACTTGAAGCCCGTTCATCATATCTCAAATGCTGTCGTCTCTTCATCAAGCAGGCAGCCTTCATCCATTTAACCCATCCTTGGTCAGGCTATGCTTCGCAGGTGGGCTCCCTTGTCCGTTCGTCAGCGCAACATAGTCCAGCAGTACAAGAACCAACTTAAGTAAATAGCTGTCACATACGACCATAGACTGAGGAGAAATGGGCATCCCGTCCGCTCTGCCATACACAAGCCTCAGATCGGCAGATTAGTAGTTGGGTGGGTGACCACCAGCGAATACCTGCTGTTGTATGTTTTTTTTTGTTGCTGTAAATTAGCTTTATCAATTCCTTTTGGCGTTATCTAAGTTACCTAAGGTATGTACCTACGGTGTCCTCCACAGGCCGTATAACTGAAATAAGAATATGTCGGTCGAGGAAATGATCATAAGAGTATGGCATTTAAAGTATCATAAATCATATCTCTACATTTTATGTGAATCCAATGGGTATCTCTCGTATATCTAAATCGTAATCATGCCTTCCCCAATTCCATCGTCACAAAATCCACCTTACGACTTAGATCCAGATCCAGATCCAGACCCGGACCCAGGCCCAGGCTGAGATGCACCCTGAGGCTTCAAGCTCTCTTTCAGAGCCAAGTCCAACGCCTCGTCATCGGCTGTACTCGGCTTCTCCTCTTCCACTACTCTATCAGCAGGCCGTTTCCCGTCTACAGCAGCCCGATGTTCCGCCTCCCTCAAACTCTGCCTCATGGTATACTCCAACACAATCTGCTCTTCGGTTTTCTCCTTCAAAAGCTGTTCCTTCGATTGCTGAATTGCAAGATTAAGCGCGTCGTCGATCTCTTCCGGTTCAAGAGTCAAGTGTCGGTCTTCTTGAGATCGCTGGATCGCGAGCTTCAGATCCTCATCATCATCCGAGTCAAGAGGCCGCATCTGATGCTCCATCAAACTCCTTTGAATAGCTTTCTCTAGCAGAGATTCATGTTCTGCATCCTCCTCCGTGAATTCGACAGATCCGGACCCAGAATCCGATGGGCGCCGCCCTGCTTCTGTGATGCTAGCTTGGATGGCGCGGTCGAGGGCTTCTTGATCGTTGAGAGCGAAAGTCTCCCCACTTTGCAGTTCGCGCACACTGGCACGGATGGCGCGCTCGATCATCTCGTCTTCCTCGGGAATGCCCCGCGAGGTAGCGGCGACCGAGGCATGTATTGCATCTTCAAATTCGGCTTTGGTTGCTTCAACTTGGCTTGTGACGGGAGTTTCTTGAGCTGTGACGGCAGGCTCTTCCGTAGCGCGAGGCGAATGGTCCTGTGGATCGCCGCGTCGGCAGAACGTACTGCTGCGAGAACCTTGCCAGTGATGGCCTTCACGAGGCTCCTCCCGGCGTTTTGCTTGTCTCTCTTTATGGAGCTTCTTCCTCTCGTCAAATGATAAGTGACGAGTTTGGAGGAATCCCTTTGGCGATAGATAACCCGTCTGTTGGCCCTCGGGCCCCTGTTCTAGTATCTTCTGCCTGGAATTTTGATATTCCGCTTTATGTGTTGTCCAGCGATGTATAATATCCAAGCGCTCTTCCGGGGTGGCCGTCTTTGCATCTTCAAATCCCTTGGCTGACCGCGCTGCAATGATATAATTCAAGACACTCGAGCCAAATAATTTACGGACTTCTTTGTGCACGCCCATGAAGGCGTAGCCGGGAAGGCCCCAGATAGCTAGATTGGACTTAGTTGAGTTTCCAATTTGGGATCATAATTGAGACTTACCAGCACCAGGCTTGAGAATAAGACCCCCAATGCCCTTTCCGATGCCCTTAATGAGCCCAGCGGCACCCTCCTTTTCCGCACCCCGAATGGGCTGCGTGACGAGCCCTGTGATTCCGTCATATATTCCGTATCCGAATTCCTATATTATGTTAGCAGCCACATACTTTTGCAATTCGGGTGCGCCAACCTTTCCTGCCGCTCTAAGTCCGCTTTGTAGGTCCGTCACTCGTTCCTGTGGGCGGACAGTATCATCACCATAAAGCTTTGGGGCATTGTGAAAGCCACGCGCAATACCTAAGGTAAAATCCATTGGTGATTTCAAACCGGCAGCAACTATGCGATGGACGCCTTTTCCGGCTCGCCCTGCATTTTCTAGCGTCATTTGGCTGGGGTCGAATTCTTTTCTGTGGAAAGCTGCTTTGCTAGTTTGGCTCCTTTTAGGCGACGGGCAATGAAGACCAGGGGTGCGGTCTTTCGAGCCTGAGCGTGAGCTGGTATCCCTATCTCTCGAAAGAGATCGGGCTCTGTTGAAAGTACCTCTCAACGCCTGCTTCAGTGAATCACCCCGCTGGGTACCCAACGATGTCGTACTGGTCATTGGTGTGCTGCTAGCTGGGGCATCCAATGATGAACGCTCAGCACTCTCATATGATGTCTTCGCTGATGTTTCAATTGTTGACGCCGCCGACGAAGTAGTACCGTCCGCGTTGAGGGATGATCCAGCGATGCTTTCGGTACCAAGCCCAAGTTGAGAGTGGGAAGCGGAGGATATTGGGGGAGTGGTTTCGCCAGAGCTCGACGTCTCTTTCATTGTCTCTACCCGAGTTCGAGCTTTTTTGAAGATCTCAATGGGAAAGTCCGCTACGCCCATAGTCAGGCTAGCAAGTGTTCCAAGCAAGGCTGAAGCACCTCCAGAAATAGGATCCCAGGGGCCGTCATCAGTCTCGTACTCTCGAGATCGATAGCTAGATATGTTCAGCATAGCAACTACCTAGGGTTAGGAGGTACCTACAGTTTCAGATCTGCAAAGTCCAAAAGACCTTCACTTGCCAGGATATTTGCAGCTAATGCGCTTAATCGAGTTTTAGTGCGCTTCACTCGCCAAACAGCGACTCTACTTGGTGCGACAGAGCATCTCAAACTATCCACGTCCAGCATATCATGGAAGCTCTTAGCACCAAGTTCATTCCCATTTTCTTCCTTAATGCGAGCACCAAGTTCTTTTGCCTTGGCTAATGTTTCAGGTTTGAGAGCTTCAAGTAATGCATCGGCCAGTTTATCGGCAGTGAGTTGTGCATATGGGATTGGGAGAGGGCCAGCTCCTGCCCTGGCAACCATCGCGCCCCAGAACGGCTGATCGCCGAAGAAAGGCACTACAACAGTCGGCTTACCTGTAGAAATTCCAGCAGCGGTAGTTCCGGCGCCTCCGTGATGCACCACGCAGGATACGTGCTGGAAAAGCCAGTCATGTGGTACGTTTCCTAGCATGAAAACGCCCTCGGGAATACCCAGGGCATCAGCTCCCAGGCCACCCCAGCCTTTGGACACCAGTGCTCGCACTCCCGTCTTTTGGACTGCTTCGAAGATGAGTTTCGTCATCGCATTTGGGTCATCGACAACGATAGAGCCAAACCCGATATAAATCGGTGGTGGTCCAGCAGCGAGGAACGCAGCGAGGTCAGGGTCAGGAGTATATGATGAAGCTAGTGAAAGGAAATAAAAGCCAGATATTGATATGTGCTGGCCCCAGTCGTTGGGTTTGGGTATAAGAGCTGGTGACCTAACATTTCCGTGAGCCTTGTGCAGTCTCACACAGATGCAGTGGAACTTACCAGCAGTAGGTGTATGGAATCCGGAGACGACTCAGCATTCCAGGGGCCCAAATCAAGCTGATGGGATCAAGCCCAAGTGCACGTTCCCTGAAGCGATTTATTACGTCTCCGAGGCCCTGCCAAGTCATCATCTCCACTAGGGCGTATGAAACGAAGTTTGTCATGTTCACTTCCGCGTTTGACGACTGGATGTTTGCGAGAGGGTGCGGAAACGACTGGGTAGGGGACCAAGGCATTCTACGCATATTGTAAGTTAAATGTTGTAGTTGAAATGAGTATAGACTTACGTGAACATCATGTGAAGTGGTATGCCCATCTTCTCCGCGATATGGATATGTGCGAAACTCGGTGGGTTGGCAATAATGGCGTCGGCAATGAATGGAAGATCTGCAGGGTTGGTATCCATGTTAATTCCAGCTACAAAACCAAGGTTACTTGTGCTATCCTTGGAAGGTGGTGCTCCAAGACCGTTGCCAGCTTCGACACATGATCTCCAGCAGCCTAATACAATCTCCTCCATGCCTTTGCGGCGTTTTCCAACATCGCCGCCCTTAAGGGAGTCAAACCCGGGCATTAACCCAGGATTCTTGACCATGAATGCCATGAGTTCAGAAGGGTCTCCCCCAATGCTAAAGAATTCCAGACCATTTTCTTCGACAAAGCCTTGGAACGTAGGATGCGTTGCCAGCCGCACCCGGTGGCCATATGTGGACTTCAGCGTTTTCCCCAGGGCAACGAATGGCTGTACATCTCCTCGCGAGCCCACAACGTGTATAACCACATTAAGACGAGGGGGTGGTATCTGACCGGGCGACCCACCTAAGGCTGGTGGGATATATCCAGGAGGGAGCGGGGCTTGAGCCTCTTGCTCCACCAGCGATAGTTGATTCCTTAATGCGGGAACTAGGAGGTCTGATAGCCTACGGGTCTTCTGGTTGATGTTGATATTTACTCGCCCATCGCCGGTTACATTCGCATTCGTATCGAACCCGTCCTGTTTGATCTCTATATGATCGTGGCGATCGCCATATGCGGGAGGAGGCTCGGATGGCTCATCTTCGGGAACGTTCAAATGGGTAGGTCTCGTGCTGTGCCGGAGGAAATATATTAGACTAGGTAATCGGATTGTGTTCGGAAATACTCACTGCGAACTGCTTGACTCGCTCTGATCAAAAGCCTGGTCGGTAGCCTGGTGCTGGCGTCCCCTTGACTGTCTCCCTCTGCTAGCCGGTCCATCGTCCTCCAAGCTCCCAACAATTGCAGCCTCAGTTTGTGCAATCAATGTTGCTGGGATCGAACCCTCCAGTTCATGACGGTCGTCGGAAGCCATGTGTGCGACTTGAGCTTGCTTTGTTGGCACCCGTTTACGAGAGGTTGCAGGACCCAGTAAAATCTATGTTTCCATGCACAATCCAAAAACAGCAGAATTGCAGACCTGGCTACGCGCGTCTGCTTCTTGTTTCGATCCAGACGCCCAACTTCTTGGCAGATAGCGGACTGACGATAATCTCTAATTCGGAGCCCTGCAAAACACAGTGTTTCCGCTATCACTATCAAACTCGCCTTCAGCTATCGTGTATTGGCGTAAATATAGGAAGCACAGGCGGTCGCACAAGTAGAAGTTGACGATAAAAGAACAATCGGTAGGAAGAGGGGTTGGTGGAGTAGGTCCAGCGGCGCTGACTGTGGCAGGTTGGTGTTGTTGGTGTTGATTCTGAGGGTATTATTCTTCCACTGCTGGTCTAACTCAACATTATTCCATCCATCTTGGTCGTAGTGCTCTTTAAAACTCCTCAAAAGCGAACGATTCGGTGGATTTGGGGGACGGGGAGGCAGGTTTGAGTTCTGATGTTGTTGATGACGGCGATTTTCTCGTGGTGGTTTCCGAGGTACGAGTGCGAGTACGAGTACGGGTTGGTGGGGTGTGTTGGCGAGAGACAGAGAGCGAGTCCGAGTCCAAGTGCAATGTTCATAATAATGAGTAATAATAAGTAATAATAAGCATCGATTTCATTGCATTCACAAAGAATAGAGGTCCGCACGGTTTCTGAATAGCTATCAAAATATGTCACTCAAATCGTGGATAAGCTTTGAAGAGCTATCATGAATAATTGCCCGGAAAATATCTCATTAGGAGCTTTCCAAATCCGATGCCAACATCCTTCGAGGACTCCATATACAAGTAGCCTATCATATACGAAATACGACATTGTAGCCCCCACTTTCTGGATGGATATCAAGGTGTTGGATACGCGTATTCACTGACGCAAGCTGCCAAGGACTTTCGAAATAAGCATTGCGCTTGGTAGGGGTTGCACTGATCACTTGAATGTCTTTTGCAATAGCTCGGCCTAATAATCAGCCTTGTTTCTCTTGCTTTGTGCTTTCACGTGAATGATAAAAATACTCGTAATGGCGGCACTTCGTGAAGGCAAAGCAGACGGCTTTTTTGGTTAAGGGCCAGCAGCAAAATAAAGAAAAAGGATGATTTAAAAAACGCACGCCCACTGAAGAAAAGTCCCGCGTTCACAGCGCCCTGACTTATTATAACGCCATGATTAGTGGCTGGCTCCGCCCGCTCTGGATCAGCCACTCGGATCGGAGAGCGAATGGGTGGAATCTGATGATGAAGCCAGGCGCTTTCAGTATCTGAATGTGGCTTTTGATCTCGGTCCTATTTACTTCCGCTGGTTAGGCGTTTTTCACTGGGGATGTCCCCGCTGCGGAGTTCTTGCTAGCGGTACTAGTAGTCTACCTACCTAGGTATGCTTGAAGTTGGAACATGGAGTACGTCGAAGCTCCAACCAAAAGCCCACCAATTCCCCAACTTTCGGAGGATATTTATCCCCAAGACCCGGATTTGATGGAGCCTACTATTTCTGAGTATCTACTCCGTAGTATCTCAAACATAGATTTTGAATCCAAAATCCCGGGCCGCCTGGGCCGGCCCGGGAGAGTGCGGAGAGGAGGGATGTCACGTGTCAATACCAGCAGTTTGGGCACGTGATCAGACTCGTATTTGATACCAGGATATCTTCGCACTATTTTTCATACAGACTAGAGCATCAACAACGTCCTATTACGAAGATGATCGGCAGGTCCACTCCACATCGTGGGCTGGCGGGAACTGTCTCAAAGCCCACACATGATCTCGGCCTCGAGTTGTTATAATTGTCGCTAGCAGCTACTTAGGGGGTTCCGGCCAAGGCCCCATCACCACCATCGATCAAGACGACGGAATTGACCCAGTTGAGGTGGGAAATCTACACATACATACCAGTATCATCCAAACAATATGCTCTGGGCTGGACTGCGCGTCTTGACGCCTGGCAATCTCATGGCTTAATGCGCAAGCCCTCGCAGCGGGTATGGCAATTTCCCCTTATTGCGCTTTGTTGGCGCCCAGCCGTTGTGAACGACTACCAATACGTAAGGTACCTTACATAGGTATGTACGAAGTACATGTACATGTACGCATGTTTACGGAACACAACGCACTGATCCTCCGGCTTCTGTCCCCTGGTTGCAGACCGGCCAATATCACGTTCAGCTGCAATCGTGGCCCGTTGGGAAAAGCATCTTCCAGGGAAGGTTGATCGTTGGTAGGGTTCTTCGTCAACCCCGTCCTCGCCAAACTCCCAGCGGCCCAGGTCCTGGACTCCCAAAAGTTGCCTTGGTGGTAGCACAATCACACAGAATGGTGCAAAGTGCTCCGGAATAAGGGTTCATTACGTCGTACGATGTAATAGTTGCCTGACAATACATCGCACCTGCATCTGCCACGCAAATTATATTCTGTTCCGACCTATGTCGCCTAGATAGTATCCCAGCAGTGATATAGACAATACTTACAGCAAATATTGGTGGCGTGCACTTATGCGCTGGCTCAGGCATTGTTCAAGTAGTGCTTCGGAAACTTCATTTTAGCTGCTGACTGCTTGGGCCGTGAGACACGGCACATTTAGAGCCACCAGACTCCCGCCTTTGAGGCGTCCAGTCAAGCTTTCAAGCTCTTTGAAAACACACCGTTCCGTCAACGCCTCCAGGGCCAATATCATGAAACAAGATTCATCGCCCCACGCCACTTAGCGGAAGGTATGGTTTAACTCACTCTCCGGTACTCAGGTCCTGTTACCCAGATCACGCCAGTGATGTGACATTCTCTAGATCTCACTCTAAATATCGATCCAATTGTGCAATGGTGCTGCAGCTCAAATTTCCCCTCTTCATCACATCCTGTTAATCAGGTCTGTGTTGGCCGCTACCTTCGAATACGAACTCAGGCGCTTGGCGCCATCCCAATGTGTATCTGCCCCAGTCTACCTCAGCCTTAGTGATATGCAGCATCCTGGACAGGCCCTCTTCCACCCTTGCACCCCTTTTATGGAGGTAAAGATATAACGATGGCTCCCTTCTCAAGATCTCCCCTTATCAGCAAACTGGTCGTGACATTCCTCCGCTCGTTCAGGGTGTCAATGACAGACTAGCACATAATTGCCAATTCCTAGTATTCTCTTACAGTCCAATCGCCTGGACTTTTCTGTCGTTCACTGCCAACATGTCCCAACAGTGGAAGTCTCTCGGGGCATGTCTTCTATTATTCTCCGTATGTCGTCCAAACTGTCAATTAGACCTAAAACTAAGAGACATAGCTTCCCACTGCCCATTCTGCTATCATTGAAAAGCGTCTTGTGACCCCGTCGACACTTCCCGGATCATGGACCTCTCAGGGCTGCTACACGTTAGTCCAAGGAGAAAACAATGTTTAAAAATGCGTAGCTAAGCTGTTTAGGGACGTCCCAGGCCGGACCTTGTCGGGCGGGAGCTTTGCAGGGCCTACCGTGACTGATGAATCTTGCATCAACTACTGCATTACAAATAATTTTGCATATGCAGGGACTGAATACTCTGATGAATGCTGTAAGTGTTGCCGTTATTGATCAAGATATAATATTCCCTACTAAAACATTTTTAGATTGTGGTAATAACCTTGCTACTGGCGCTGCGGCAGCACCAGCAACTGACTGCAACATGGCTTGCGCTGGCAATGCTACTGAGTCCTGCGGTGGGCCCAACCGGTTGAATGTATTCTGGAGTGGTGTCACTGTTGCTCCTCCTGGAAATAAACCAACAATTGGTTCTTACAATTATTACGGTTGCCAAACTGAGGCTACAACTCAGAGGGCATTGTCTGGAACTACGACTGCTTCAAACACTATGACCGCTGAGGCATGTGCAACCTTTTGCTCGGGATATACTTACTTCGGCATGGAGTATGCCAGTGAATGTATGGGCTCCCCATATACCCCTCTATTTCAAGAGCTTACCTCCCAATTAAAGGCTATTGTGGAAACTCATTCAATACTGGATCTGTTGCTGCTCCTGCCGGTGACTGCAGCATGCTATGCTCTGGGAATTCGAATGAGTTCTGCGGAGCTGGTGGGCGACTAACAGTCTACGCGCTTAATAGTACTGGCGGCCCGCCACCTACAAGTACCACACCCCCTTCGACAAGTGTGACTCCAATTGCAACTGGATTTCCTACTGGATGGAGCTCTCAAGGATGCTGGGTTGATGGCAAAAACGGCCGCATCCTGAACCATCAACAACCAGACAGCACTACGAATACCCTCCAAAGCTGTGTCCAAAAGTGCGCCGGACTTGGTTACACCATCGCAGGGGCTGAGTATGGCAGTCAGTGCTTTTGTGATAACTTCATATACAACGGTGGCGCCCCCGCTACAGCACAATCCGACTGCAATGTGCCTTGCCCGGGTGACCCAAGTGAAAATTGTGGTGCTGGAAATCGGCTGTCCATTTATTCCATTGGAACTCCTCAGGTATTTGAAGCTCCCGGACCCCAGAAGACAGGTTTGCCCACCGGTTGGACCTATGCAGGATGCCTTCAGGACAATGTCGTATCGGCTGAAAGCGTCCAAGTCAATATTCCAACATTCCCATACAAACTATGGGATAACAACCAGAACAGCGCAACGGCTTGTATTACCCAATGTCAAAAGTTCGGATACAACGCTGCTGGGCTCGAGTATGGTTCTCAATGCTGTAAGTGATTTCCCTCCGGCTTCCAACTCCCTTCTTATATCAATTTAGTCTGTGGCGATGTTCAAAACATCTTGGTCGCCTCCATGCCGGCGGTATCTACAAATCCCACTGACCCGGACCACTTTACCTATAAGACGCCCCCTGCCATTGTCCCTGACACACAATGCGATGCTGCATGTTCAGGCGCACCGCAATATCTTTGTGGTTCCGGAAATAGACTCACATACTATACCTTCACTGGAACTCAGCCCTTATACTCCTGGGATTTCCCCACAGGCAATGCGGCAGGCAAGTATTCCCTCTTGATTGGGGGTGTCATTGTGCCACTCATCACTTCTCAGGCAATTACTGGCAAAATAACGTTCCTTGAGAAAGCCGGAACGGGTGCGCCTAATGGTACTGGTGCATATGAACTGGACTTGACTCAAATCGACAACTTTTCGGCCGCTTGGAGGCAGATGACACAACCACAATCCGACGTATTCTGCTCTGGGGGTGTAACAATGCCCGATAAAGCTGGAAGGCAAATAAATGTCGGAGGATGGGCTGGCGAGTCAAACTTTGGTGTAAGACTATACCTGCCTGACGGATCCCCAGGAGTCAAGGGTGTCAATCAGTGGGTGGAGGACAAAGTTCATCTGCAACTCCAAGTACCACGATGGTACCCATCTGCGATGGTAATGGCAAATGGATCCATTCTTATAGTTGGAGGCGAGATTGGCCAAAATGCAGCAGAACAGCCCACTCTCGAGATTCTTCCGCCAACCGGTGTCCCTGACGCTTCGACATCGAGCGGATTCTCCAACACCACGAAATATCTCGACTTCCTGGACCGCACAGCACCTTTCAACTTGTATCCTTGGATAACCGTTGTTCCGTCCGGCATCCTGATTGTTTATTACAATGAAGTGCGAATACTTGATGAGGTTAACTTCAACACCGTCAAGACTATACCCAATATGCCCGGAGCCGTGAACGACCCAACCGGCGGAAGGACATATCAATTGCAGGGTGCGACTGTCAGCTTGCCTCAGTATGCGCCATTTACGGATCCCCTTGGAATATTAGTCTGTGGTGGATCTACAAGTGGAGGCGGCTATGCAATTGACAACTGTGTTAGCACACAACCAGAGGCAGCAAATCCTGTCTGGGCAATTGAAAGAATGGTGAGGAGCACAATTCCATAATTTTTTTCTATTTACTAATAAACCCCTATTAGCCTTCCAGACGAGTTATGCCCTGCATGGCCGGGTTGCCCGATGGCACCTACTTGATACTCGGCGGCGGCCAACACGGAGTAGCAGGTTTTGGTTTAGCTGGGGCTCCCAACTACAACGCCATCCTCTACGACCCCAAGAAACCAGTCAACCAGCGAATGAGTGTCATGGCCAACACAACCGTTGCCCGAATGTATCACTCAGAAGCTATCGTCCTCCTCGACGGCCGCGTCATGGTTTCCGGATCCGATCCCTCTGGACAATTCCCCAGCCCAGCAGATAATTTCCCAGAAGAATACCGGGTCGAAGTCTTTACTCCGCCATATCTACTCTCTGGCCTCGCTCGCCCAACGTTCACGATCACGAATAAGGATTGGACGTACGGACAAGCAGTAACCTTCACATCCTCAGTTGCAAATATCAAGGTCTCGCTCTTGGGATCCGTCAGCTCCACGCACGGTAATTCCATGGGCCAACGGACCATGTTCCCAGCAGTTTCTTGCTCCGGCACTTCCTGCACAGTCACTTCTCCTCCGAATGCTCATGCTTGCCCACCCGGATGGTACATGATGTTTGTCTTGAACGGTCCTACGCCGTCAGTTGGACAGTTCGTCCGCATCGGCGGCGATCCTGCGCATCTTGGAAATTGGCCCAACTTACCAGGTTTCCCACTTCCTGGAATTTGAAGATATAGTTTCCATTAGGTAATTTTTAATGGCATATATATAGTCGTTATCAAAAGTACAGATCTTTGGAAGTTTACCTAGCGCACAGCTCGTAAGAAAAGCATAATAAATTATAAATATGTATCGCGTGGCCAGAAGGAAGGAGACTCACCTGGAGTATAAGCTTATTTACCTCCATTGCCAGCCATCTGTCTAACAAAGGACCTTCCTTCTTTGGCACCCTTCCTCTGTAGTTTAATTCTCATGTATATATATATATATTACAATTGAATCTGAAAAGTGTCTACATATCAAAGTCTCTTATATTCCCATCTAGCCTTTTTCTACTCTAGTGCACAATTCTTCGATAGCCGAATAAAACCTCAGATATTATTAACAAAGCAAATAAGAAAATATATTTAACAAAGGCAGTGACAAGCTATTCCAAATTTGCATATCTTTCCTGGATTAAGATGGCGTTACCTTTTACAGGGGTTACATTGTCTTAAATAATATAAGTGATAATTTAGGAATAACTAGTACTCTCTCAAGCTTTTAGCTGTTACATGGGATCTATTGCAAGCCCCGTTTTAGGTGCTAATTTGTTTAACCAAGACACTTCACGCCGGTTTAACTTATATCATGTTTCTTGTAAATTGCATTTGGAAAGATTAACCCCACAAACAGAAGAGTATTATAAATCGACTTCTTTTATATTTTAAACAGATCGGCCGTAACGCTACGCAGAGTGGTATATATAATTCAAATATCCAACATCAAAAGCCGTTTTACAATAAGTTTTAGACGCCCCTTTCAACGTCATGGCTCATCCTCATCCGGAACCCCGTACTAACATTTTCCGGCCTTCCCGCAGACCTGGGAGTCGGCACCCTCGCGGAAACGGAAAGGCGATCACGTATCCATTCGGTCTCAACACTCTTCCTCGCACTACGAGCCCCACTAAGCATTTGCTCGATTTTGAACACTTCAAGAGCACTTGCATTGCCTCCACTCTCCGAATAAATATTATTCCGCTCATTCTTTGCCCGTTTTCGTTGCTTCATGAAATTCTTCGAGTTTTTGATAAATATTCCAATATCTTCAAGATAGAATGCGATAAATACCATAGGAATCGAAATAGCAAGCCCGATCCCGAACATATACTTGCTCACATATGATAGTGGCAGACTCGGGCCGTTGTCGCCTTTTGGGAATTCTCTGATCGGGACCGTGAAGAAACTTGCGATGAAGCTCACTGGCAAGAAGATAATCGTGACAATCGTAAAGACCATAATAGTTTGACTCTGCCTCGCGGTGCTAGTAGCCTGGTCGCGCGCAAAGCGAGCTTCGAAAGCGTTGGCGTGCTTTTGTTTCAGATCTAGCATGTCGGTGACTGAGTAATAAATGCGTTCTGCTTGTTTATCCATGCGGTCAATATCCTTGACATGCGTGCCGACAGTCTTCATCTGATCCGCAAATCGCTTTTTGACCTCCTGCTGTGATCGTTGTTCATCCTTATAAATGTCGCAGATAGCGGTTTCGAGTGTTGGGAGAACTAGTTGCTGATCCTCAAAGACCTTCTTTATCATATTCAACTCATCTCTGATATCTTTCGTCTCAGCCAACAGTGCAGTTTCGTTGTAAATCTCGAGTAATTTGTCGACAAATACAGGCCCGCGCATGAAGTCCTCGAAATTGAAACCATCTTCCTGCATCTCTCGTTCCGCATTATGAGAATTATCGAAGTCAGAAGAATTATATTGCATGACTCGAGATGGCTGATTTAGCCGTCGATGATGAGCTAGCCAGCGGGAAGCCTGCGCAGAAGCAGTATTAAATTCTTTAAATAGAACTGTTTCCCTATCGGTTGCGTCGCCAATGCTAGATTCAAACATGTCAAGGAATTGGTAGTCTTCGCCGCCCATACGATGCCGATCGAATACTCCTGTACAACGACTTGTAACAATCATGGCCAGATCGTATACCGACCCGACCGGTTCGCGAGTTTTGTCATTAATGTCCTCTATAATACTGTCAAGGACATTCAGAGGGTCATTCTTGGGTTGCTGCCACCGTTGTGGGAAACAGGTTACGACGAGGTCCTTCCCAAGTACCCACATCCAAAGTTGGTCCACCATAACGATTTTAGGATCACAAGATTCTTCGGGGGCTTTTTCTTTCAGCTGGTAGCGATAGACTACTTGATCTTGGTCACGGTAGTGAGTATCGATATTGTGGTAAAATGATTGATCAAGAGTGCGCCGCACATGCAGGGAAACTGTGGAGCTCGCAAGATGTGCACGGATAAGCATCTCGTCATATGTTGTAGATTTGGTGAGCGAAGGATAAAATGGGGATTTAAGCGTTTCGGCGCGTTTGATTGCCGCTTGCATTTGTTGGCACCGCTCGTTTGTTTCAAAATGCAGATACGGCATAAACGTATAGAAGCTACCCTTAGATATATGTAAGTTATCCTTTCGGCCTAGAGAACTTGTGGAGTGGGAATGCTTGTTTTGGTGTAGGTAGTTCGCCTTGCGCTGCTCCTTAGGAGTCGGCGTTTCAATCCCAATCTTAGGAGACTTGTTGCCCTTTCCATGGCCCTTCTTTGGCTTCTCCTTCTGGCTTCCCTTGGCGTGGTCTTTTCCACCATGTGGCGATGACTTTCTTAACCACTCCGAAAGATCGTCCCCTGGAGACGAGGTAGAGGCCCGGACAGGAGTCCGGGGAGGAGGAGTGGCATTTGAATCCGGACCTCCATTAACGATGATTATTGGAGGTCCTTGCTCCTCTGCGGAATTGAATGTCTCGGCTTCAGGAAGTCTAGGAACTCGAGGAGTGCTTTGACATAGCGGTCTCATGAAGTGTGAATGACTCCGCTGGCCTCGGTGTTGGTGACTAAACGATCTTTCTAGCGCTTTGAAACCTTCGATGTCACTTGCACCTTCTTCGATGAATAACTTAGTCAAAAGAGCCTCCACCCAGGCCATATTGTTTGCAGGAAGGTGGATCCATCGAAAATTTGCGGCCTTGTCTGTAGGACGAATATTCATGGCAGGTTTTCGTGAATTGACTGAATCGCGCGCGTAGAGTAATTCGAAAACTGTTTTCCGTTGTACTCTATTTTCATTATGGAAATTTCCAAAGTCGACAATCGTCGCGTTGAAACCGTTGCAGGCTCCGAGGGCATCCTCCGACAATGTCCCAATATTATTAAAAGGGGCTAGAAGATTGACGATATCTTTGCGTTTATTCTGCGCGGCTCGAAGGAAGGGAGTGCTTCCAAAGGTGTCCCGAGCAGCCCTTTTGATATCTTTGCAATCCAGCAGGCATTGAACAACACTTATGTGGCCTCCTTCGGCGGCGAGATGAAGTGGAGACATTCCGGTGAGAAGTTTCCCATTTATGTCTGCACCAGCAGCTATCAAGATGCGCACAATATTCAGGGAGCCAATTTTGCAGGCATTATGGAGAGGTGTCCAACCGCCATCGCTCCTTGCATGGACACTGGCACCGTACTGAAGAAGCAACTGAACAATATCATCTCTGTCATGCGCAGCTGCAATGTGTAGACCTGTCTTCTCCCGTATTTCCACTGCAGCGATATTTGCTGATGGACCACCCCTGGATCGGGTGAGCAGCTGTTCGACTAAACGTTTCTTGCCTGTGGCACAAGCCCAGTGGAGAGGTGTCCGATGTAAATTATCTTGCCCCTCCTTGCCATCAATGTGGATATGCTGGTTCAACAGGAGTTCAATAACGGAATCGCCCCAGTCCATCACTTTGTCTGCAGCCAAATTATGAAGCACATTTCTCCCGCGCAGGTCCTTCGCATTGGCGTTGGCGCCCTTTAGGATGAGCGAATTCAAGATATGCCAATGATTCTTCCAGGCCGCCGTCATGAGCGCAGTTCGTCCCTTCTTGTCGGCAGTCTCTGGATTCGCCCCATGCTCAAGCAACAGATGAACAATAGCAGCATGGTCTCTTTCGACGGCTCGGAGGAGAGGAGATTGTCGACTTCCAGGTGCCGCACCGGCAGGCGCACCTTGTGATAAAAGATAGCGCGTTACCGCGGCCTTGCCCTTCTCTGAGCTTCGCATCAACGTAATCCGCATATGATGATCTTGCAGTTGGCCTCTGGTCCTGGATTCATCAATGAGGGTTCGTATCCTTTCGACATCGTCATTTTCGGCAGCGCGCAGCAATTGCGGCTCGAGGCGCTCTGTGTGGTCGGTGGACCTCGACCTCGACCGCGTCGATGGTATTCCCTTTGCTACCATTGTGTCGAGCGGATTTCTCGATTCTTCTAGTATAAACTGTCTCAAACGTCGAGTTTGGTGCTGGCTTCTGCCACTCAGCCTGGATTGTGCATGGTGTCTTGTAGTTGCATGGAGCTTGGAGAAGTTGATTCCAAGGCGAATTAAAAATCGAGATGGCTGCGGAAGCAGAGTTGCACGGTGCAACTACCACTCAATTGCCGTGGGGAAATAGCTGGGGATGTTGACATGGTAGCTGACGTGCAATCAAGGATCACCCACGCCGGGCTCGAGCACTCGAACTCTCCGTGCGTTCAACTCCGATTTTGAAGATAACGTCATTGTGAACAAACACCTGGCACCTGTGTGACCTTGACATTGGCTTTAGCACATAGTAGGGCTCGGTGAGTTGAAGATAGCTATGCGTTTCATTAGGCTTAAGCTACCTTAGCTAGCCTGTGACGTCTTCCAGGAGTGGAAATAAGGTTAAGCGGAGCGGTCCGAAACTTCCAACATTCCACAATAAAGGCAGTATATAAATCCCCATAACGTCTCGGCATCAACAGACATATGTTTTCTAACCAGATCGGATTCCAGGAAGAGCTATGCTTTTCAACATCCCAAACAGAGTGATCGATGCTTGAGGCGGAGTGCCACGAGGCTCAAGTATAGGTCAAACATGAAATGACCAGGTTGAGTTCCTCACGGACTATCATACTGGGGAAATCAAGCAGACATACAATGTCAAAAGCACTCTCCTCAACGAATCCAAGGAAATTTCTAGTGCCTAGCGAGCCAGATCCTTTCTTTTTGCGCTCGGTATGTAACATTCGCTGGTGGTCCTATATTTATATACAACCGTTGATTTTACTCTTTTGCTTCTGTGTCTCCACACAGAATTTTAACTAGCATTTATGGGAGTCCAAACCAAGCCTCCGATACCTCGAGATGGGAGGGGACCGAATGTCCCACGCCAGTGGCATATATTCCCTGCACATTTGGTCCATAGTCCGACGTCGTATATTGATTCTGCGGGGTGTTTGCCTTGGTGCTGGTGGCAGTTTGACTGACACCAAAAACGCCTGTCCACTGTTTGATCTCCTCTTGATAGTTCTGAGGCGCAAGTGTGCCATCGGCAGAACCGTGCCAGATCTGCATCTTTGGTCGAGTTCCATTGTAGCCAGGGTACATGTCCTCCGCAATTTTTGTCCATTCCGCCACAGTCTTTCTGAACCGTCCTCCTGAGCAGTCATTGTTCCACTGATCCACCCCACCACTGTTGGAGACAAAACAGCCAGCTGCTACGCCTGAGTATAGCGAGACAGCTTTGATAAGGTCGGGATATGTAGCTGCCAACACGTTGCTCATCATGGCTAACGAGTAGTTAGCAAAGTATATTTTTCCTCCCCCTCCGCTCATTATCGATTGCAAAAGAAGTATCTCTATACTCACCACCTGATGATCCACCCGTCACATAAACTCTTTCTGGATCTATACTATACTGCTTGATGGCATATGTAATCATATTTGCAATGGCGTTCGAGTCGCCGCCACCGTCTCGCACGAGCGATTTCTTGCTCGAGACATCCCAACAAGTTCCACTGTTTGGGCTGCTAGGCCAAACAGTGATATAGCCTCCTCCATCAGAGCCCTTCTTCCATGGAATCAAAGAATTCTGGAAATACGATTGGGCGGATGACTGGCAGGAGTGGATGACCACGACCATCGCCGGAGTTGGCTTCACATTGTCTGGTTTGTAAACCCACCTAAGTTCCACTGTTAGGTCAGATTTTACTGAGACGTCATTTACATTTCCACTTACATTTGAGCTTTCGCTGCGGTACCTCCATAATTACTGACTTGCTGCAAGGAAGCGGCTGATACCACACATGGCAGTACCAGTGTATTGAAAAAATTAAACAAATGCATATTGTTCAAGAGATCTGACAATTGCAATTCAATTGATTTACAAGTGAATTATTCCTAAATATTATTTGTTGCGGATGCGCGATATGATGGCATTTTTGTATCTCATAGAGTCAAGGAAACAAGCATCTGGGGTATGAAACATGCCCCGGGACAGCGGAGAACAAATAAATGAAAGAATGATTGGAATTCATTCTATATTCCTTAGCCTAATTTGGGATTGGAGAGCCGCGAACGTTAAGCTTTTCTCCGACAAGCATTATCAATATAGCCGATTCTGCTATCACCAAATAAATGCTCCGGATCGTCGTTTACAACCCACCTCACAAAGTAGTTTTCCCCGCATTCGTCCACATTCGAGAATATCTTACGGGAATATAGTTATCCAGGCCAGGTTGTTTGACATTTCCCTCATTGCCACCTGGTCCCATATGGATACAAAGGATATATGATGGGCTGCGTATGCCAACTGACATCGGCCCATGCTAACCGCCCTGGTGTGGTTGATGGAAAATCTCTTGATAAGACTACTCAGGGCCTAAAATCATAAACTACGATCTCAAATTGGGAATTTTGAAAGCCGCCACGCGGATATCGAGGCATTTCTTAGAGATTATTCCAAATACGAAATTGCTGGTGGAATAATTTCAAGGACTTCAAGCGCTCTTCACGTTCTTCCAAACTTGCCAACTTACCAGATATTATCGGTGTATTATCTCAAAAAATAGGATGCATAGTTTATTATCTTTATTTCTCGCCGCAGGGCTACTGCACACGGTTGCTGGGCATGGTGGTGTATCAAACTACACGGTTGGCGATACATGGTACAGAGGGTAAGTCGCTCGTTTCTTCAGTGTCTCGCATCCCAACTCTGCGTCCAATACTCAGCAAGCCACCTCTCCACAGGTACAACCCCAGCGAACCAGAAGCAGAGCAAGATGGCCAGCCTTGGCTCATAAACCGCAAATGGACCTCTATCGACCCAATATTTCAACCAAGCAACCACTCCATTAGCTGCAACACGCCCGGCACACCTGCCGTATCCTCCATCCCGATCCAAGCCGGCGAAAACATAACAGCAATCTACTACTGGTGGCTGCACAATGTCGGCCCCATGATCACTTGGATGGCCGACTGCGAAGGTCCCTGCGAGAAATTCGACTCCTCGACGGGGAAATGGTTCAAGATCTGGCAAGAAGGCTTGTTATCCGGGGGGGTTGTGGAAGGCTGGTGGTGGCAGAGGAATTTCCAGAATTGGGAAGGCGATGGAGAGTGCGTCTGGCCTGTTACCATTCCCAAGGATCTGAAGCCGGGGAATTATTTAATTCGGCATGAGATTATCGCACTGCATATTGCGAATAAACCACAATGGTATCCGGAGTGTGCGCATTTGAAAGTCAGTGGAAATGGGACCAAGGTGCCGGGAGAGGAGTATCTCGCGAGTTTGCCAGGGGTGTGGACTTTGGATCGTAAGTTTATTCATATTGGCGAAAGATGGGTGGGCATGCTGATTGAACTTCTAGAACCTGAGATTAATATTGATATCTATTCGCCTGAATGGTACAACAGGACGGTAAGAACTCCCATGAAGTTATTTATATATTTGGCTTCACCGAAGTAGAACTCTCTTTGATCTTAATATCTTGGAAGCCCTTAGTTTGTACTGGGCTAACTATTTATATAGGACTACCCCATTCCGGGCCCCCCAGTGTGGAAAGGAGACTGAGCGGGGTTTGCATCAACGAGTTGAATTCAGAGGCTCGGGATCCGTGCTATCTATCTAAGCTCTCAGCCCGCAATTGGTAGTATTGTATATACTTTATCACGAAATTTGTCAGAGCCACTACTGCAATGTTTTGCGGATTAATATGCCCGTGACTTATTTGTTCTGTTGGTTCTGTGCAATATATAGAAGTGCTTTTCCCCATACCCGACTTCGTATCTTAATGCCCATAAAAGCATATCGATCTGCGCCATCTGCGAAATCGCCTTAGTTTTCAGAAACGAATTTAAGCATATTTCCACAATGATATCCCACCCTTTATTTATTCCTCATAATCTCCCCAACGTGGCTGCTGTACATGGCTAACCTCCCAATTTAAGAAATCCCCCAAATCACGTTCTAAATTGAACCCCATGGGCATAGCTTCTGTAGCACTCCTTCCTTCCGCCTTTTGATTATTTGTGGTAATAAAATTTGGCATCGGACTACGCGATAAATGTCGAGTTCCTGAGTGCGTATTCACGACTTGTGGGTCTGTTATATATGTAGCGATGTTGCTGTTGCTTGTAGGCGGCGTAGCGTTGATTTCAAGACGTTTCTTCATCGTTGGATAGCCTGTGCCTTCGCTCGAGCTGTCACTAGAGACAGAGTCGTCACTTTGTTCGTGGTCGTTCTCCTCATCGGCCTTCATGCCAACATCCCTCGTACTCCTTCTTATCCCCTTCTTGATTTTCCTTTGGCGGACACCCTTACTCCCTGTAACCATTGCGCCCCATCCCGCAAATCCAAATCCCGCCCACCATCTGAAAATATCCTCACACTCCTTCTCATCCTGCTCCCGCTCATTATTCACAGTCCGATTTTCCTCCATCGTCCCTAGAATTGCCATCTGAAACGCCGTCCAATCTAGTTGCTCCTCCTCTGCTCCCTTATATTCATTTAAGGCTCTGCTATGATATATATCCATGAGCTGCTCGCGCTCGAAGCGTATAGGGCCATGGCGGAAGCAGGCCGAGGTAAGTGTGAAGGGTGTGGAGGGGATAAACACGTATCTAGGGTCCCCTCTATGGCTTTGGTTTCGAGACTGGCTTAATCTTTTGCTAAAAGTTAGAAAGGGCGATAAGGATATGGGTGTGAATTCAGGGATACTGGGAAGAAGCCCCGAGCTGGAGCTACTTTTGACATGGTAGTCTCGAGGTGGCGTGAGAAATTGTAGGTCATCGAAGAGTATGCCTTGATCCCGAGGGCTATGCTTTGCAACAATATCAGCTGCGAGTTCTGCTTTTGTTACGGTGGTTCCTTTATTGCCTGGGGGCGGCACTGGCTTCCTCCGAGGAATTGCTGGTGGAGGAAGAACAGGGCTGGGAAACGGAGGGCCAACAAATTTTGCAGCAACGATGCGAGAAGACAGACTCTCGGGGTGAAATGGCTCCGTTGATATTCTATTGCTGAGCGTGTCAGCACTGCATACTGAGTCCAGTGATATTTTTCGCTCATTTTGATGGCCGAATCCTTCCCGCAGTTGCTGCATTTTCCCCGGACTTAGCATCTCGTCGACCTCCATCCTGAACATCTTCCCACTGAATGCATCCACCATATTGGTCGTAACTTCTGTTAAAGTCCATCGTGATGACGGTTTAGATGGAGGCGGCGGGACACTTTTCAGTGCTCGGCTGAGGATATTCGTCCTCCTTCTCTTGAATGATTTCCTTCGGCTTGCCTTGGTTGCCAAAACCGACTTTTTAGGTATACCTTTGACGAGGGGAAGTTTGTTCGGCACTGTTTTCTTCAAGGGTGAACGGGCAATTATGGGGCTTCGTTTGATCGCCGTGGCTTCGGGTGTATCATACCAGCCCTGAGTGGCAGCTTTCGCGTTTTCCAACGCTGTCCCGACTGCCTTGAAAGCCTCGTCCGTCTCCCGAATCAATTGATCAATTTCCTCCGACAAGTAGTCAATTTCCGGGTCTTCTGTGCTCATGATACTTTGCGTCGGCGTTTTGTCTTCGTATGCAGGTTGTGTCGTCGGGAGTTGAGGAAAGTTCGAACTGGACAAACTTGCCTCTGGGTCTGGCGATGGAATATTTGTGCGAAATTTTATGGATGCCTGTGATGGTGACAAAGGCTCATCGAAAATAAAGCGCCATGATTTTGCGTTGCTGGTGATTGATGGAGATAATGGCGGAGGATAAAGAGCACCCAAAGGGTTTGGCTGTGGTTCAGCTTTTGACAAAGAATCTTCAATTAGACCTGGACTGGCACAGGAATCGCAACTACATAATGAACTTGCCGATGAATAGGTATTTTCGTTTGCTGGAGGTAATGCGCAATTTTTTCTTGTGGCCGCACTATCATGTCCTTGCAGCGAGGAGATTTCAGACGAGCGTTGCAACAACCATGACAATCGTCCCGGCGCGTCTATGAGCTTCTTCTCGTCTGTATAACGCTGGTCATTGGGATAATCGCTTGCCCCTCCGTGGCTATGTGCTTTTCGGTGAGAAACGAATTGTTTAATGCGCCAACCTGTTTCCTGGAGCGGCATTTTCTGGTGACAGAGCGGAGGAATCAAGTATTAAGATGTTATATTTGCATGGCAATCAGACTGCCAGGGTATCGCCAATAGCTCACAAAAGTGAGCGTTCTTAGGAAGAGTTCCCAGATAGCTTTGGTAGAGCATGGTCCGAAGGAGCGCTCCGAGAAAGCACCCAGAGGACGCTAGCAAAGAATATGATAGATTCAAGGCTCTTGACCGCTCATATCGCTTGATATGTGGTATTGGATTCGAAGCCAGAGTCGAAGAGCACCCCCAAACGAGGTATAACCTCTTTAGTGAAGGTTGGCGACGTGGGAGACGGTTAGCTGCTGTGCTTGGAGTATCATCGCCTAGTATTGCTACGTGTCCAAGAATAAAATAGGCTTATAAGAACGCCTAATTACGGACACGAAGATGGTTTGGAGATTTCCGCAACGATTCCGAAGAATTGGCCATTAGGGGTCTTTCAGCCCAGCATTCAGAAGGAGTTGGATTGCGTAGTAGTGATGAAACTGCGCCTCCTCGTATACTCGGTGCCCTAGGATAGAGCCTGTCCGTTATCTAGCAGTGAGTGGCTTTCAATATAGTGGCCGAATAGCTCCAATACATCATCGCACACAAGATATCTACGGCCTCTAGGAACTTCCCAGCTGTAGCTTCTTGCCTTGGTGGCTGTGGGGAACACGAAGCCGGACACTTGCAGTTCGGGTGCCAGTGATCAATGAGAGGGAGGAAGGATAAGCTATGCAACGGCTTCGTGCAGCGAACCCGCCGAGAAGATTCTCGCATTCCGAGAAGATGAGATAAAGAATGTACTGTGATTCTTCAGATAATTAAACACTTAACATAAATGGGCATAGGGATCATGTTCTTGGGGCCAAGGCTTGGCATCCTTGTCTCTCATTCTACCTAGGGATTCGCTGTTTTATATAGACATTGAGAGGATTTTGGGGCATTGCAATGAAGTGAGAGCACGACGGGAAATGCAAGCCGTTGAGTGGTAGACATATTGGTCTAGTGGTGGCGGAGGTCGGCGACTTTCCAGCCCCTGCAGTATTCCAGATGAAAATCAGAGAAGAAATCGGAAAAAGATACGAAGCCTAGTGGCAGACTGTATGCCCACCCAGCCACTGTTGTAGGGCCCCTACTTGAGACTGGAGCGATATGTTTGTGTTGCGTTGATGTCAACGTCCCCCCTGCCGAGTAAAACCTTGGCGTCCTTCCACCATAATCGGTCACATGACTAAAGATATTTTGACCCATTCTTTTAAGCCTCCTTGTACTTGCCGGTACTGTCTAGGAAAATATATGTAATGCCCGCACCTCGACTTTCAGTAAATTATTACCAGGTGCTATAGTTCCTATTTGGAAAATTGTGGACTGGGAATTTGGTTACCACGTGCCGCCACCCACCAAGCTTGTGGTTTTAGGGGTCCAATAGCAGAAAGGGAAATTTTTATGCCGTATCGACATGTGAGTTTTCGGGAACATCGAAGATTTTGGTAAGCTGAGTGGTCTATACATTTGCGGAAACGGAACTTGCCATATCGCACACATGACGAGACACCGAGACATATTTAAAAACCAAACTAGTATCCCTCCAACGCCAGAGCATCAAATCCCAACCTATAAACATGCTCCAAATATGCCCCCCAATGTACGCCTCAAGTAGTACAGCGCTCCTAAACTGGATTCCTGCGCCCATTCAATATCAAAATCGGTCATGGTCCATCCAGAGTTTGTCGCCACCCAACCCCAACCTTCTTCAGATTATACTGTCACTTGGAGGTATTTGCGTCGCGGTAGGTGGTTTCTCCTCAGCCGTTTGCGCTTCCTCCTTGAGTTTTGCTTGCTCTTCTATCGCGAGAATCATTGCTGGAGTCGTTGCCGTTTTCGCGAAGGATGATCCAGCGTGGGTAGGAGTATGATGATATTTCTTTTCCTTTTCATCTCGATATTGTGGTGTTGGCTCTGGTGTTGGCGGTATGCAGAACCAACGTCGTACCCCCGAGCACACGGTCTTCCGTTCTGCATTCTGATATCGGCCTTCGCCTTGGAAGATAGGAAGACCCCTCATGGTGTTTGTACGATCAAACTTGCGCCCCTAGCCGAAACTCGCACTGTATATACACGCAGGTGTGAAGTGCCAACCGCTGTGGAGAAGGTAAATGTGGTTGTTTTGGAGGCAGGTGACAGAGAGATAGACGGTATGCTTGAGGGGCCGCTGATGTTGATTGGTGTCAATAAAAGTAACCACTGCCCGCCGGTGGATAGTAATGGAATATTAAGAAGATAGCATATATCTAAGAATGATAGAATGCTATGAGACAGATAGAAGAGATATGATATGTTGTCGAATCACTGATCCGAGGCAGAAGAGGAAGTAAAGAATATCAAGACGGCAGCATGAAAACTTGGCCACGATCCATCATATATGCTTTCCCACGATGGCCAGAAGGATTGCCCTAGCTTCCGCACCGGAGCCTCAGATGATTAGAATAACAAAGGGAATTAGGGGCAGAGCGTATGCTCATACGTTAGAAGTTGCCAGCCCTGCGGTTCCGGTGGCGTGGGTGAAGCCTTCCAAGGCCGGGAGCCAAATCGGGTGGTCAACCCTCAGAGGGCATTCGTTGAAAACGAAGTTAGCTACGAAAGTAGCGTTTGCTGTTCACTAAACCCGCTGCGCCATAAAACCATGCCATGCCGCTCTTGTCCACGCTTCCCCGTCCACGTCCCCGTCCCCGCGCCTCTATTTTGGCGCGGTGGTGGCGGCTTACCATCACCGAGCGCAAGATACCCGCTTCCAGTTCCAGGACTCTACTTCGTGCTCGAGTAATATCGCCAGCACGAAATTGGATACGCGTGGACGAATGGTTATGAGGCACAGTACGAAGTACGGAGTATGTAATCTCTTCTCATCTCTTAAACCCCGAGACTTCCCTTGAGCCGCACGCAGAAACGAAACGCAAGCGGTGATTTGTAGCGACGCAGGAGAATGCAATAACTGTTGGACCACCTGGTTTTGATAGCACAAAACCGGGCAACGACACATCGAGCCCCAATCAATGAAAGTCATAAAGTCTCAAGGGCTGATCAGGCCAGACTCTGCCACCTGTTACCAGGGCGCAGTCGGCTGAGATCATCCTATTTCAATCTCACCAAAAGCACCAGGCTTTTGGCCCGTGGAGAGCGCGCCAAGAGATGAGGGCTGAAGTGGCTGAAGCTGAAGCTTAGACGAGCGAGCTGTCACAGCTCGCGCGTTGAGAATCGCGATAGGCATCGTGAGCGTGACAGAGTCGAGTTTGATCGTTCGCCATCCAGCCCAACTTCGTAGCTCCAATTTCAACACGGATTCCCTTTTCCATCCCTTAATCATTGGCTGATCAATCAAGTGGAGCGAGTTTCCACGAACTATTGCTCAGCTCTCTAATCGGAATAATGCTCCGAAGACGCGTTTGGTGGATGGCGATGGCGTTCCAGATTTCATTTCGTTCTCGCTTGTGTACGGGTCAACATGTACCTTATGTTCGGTACTTCGTAAACTGTACTTCGTAGGTTCTCCTTGAATTTCTTTCCCCATTTCCAACTTTCCTGCCTGGTAATATTCATGATCGGAGCTATTGGCAACCTGCTGTGAGATGTTTAGTTAGCGCGCGAAATGTTAGGTCATCCAAGTTCTGCGAATCACCTTCTGCTGTTAGTCCCTAGGGCTAGAAGCGAAGTCTCGCCCATTATCCCCGAGAGCTGGGGAGGCTTACATTGGTAGATGAACCGAATTAGACTCCTTGCTAATGTCAGATTGATTTGCAAGCTTCTCGTCTTAAATTTCTTCTTTATGTTCAGTCAAAGCGTACTTCGTACTCGAGTATGGATTGGTGTCTATACGAATCTATGACTGGTGAAGCCCCCACGGAAAGAAGTAGCGACATTTTAGTTGGGCTCCAGTAGTTGGTTAGCATTTCCAGGCAGTCTTTATTGTCGTCAAAATATCCAAGTTTGGCGCTTGTTTCATACCTCTTCTCATACTATTTTGGCTTTCTACTTTGCATTCGTGACAACTTCCATATACAGGAGACGCTATGCAACAATAGCAAATTGCCGGCAGGAACCGCCGCAATTTCGTTCGACTTTTCTTGCACCACCCTTGTGGCCCAGGGCAAAATGAAAGTTTCGGGGCGGTGTTCTGCTCCTTTTTTCGTCATGTGGCAAGAATCAGAAGTTTCATATTCAGTCGGGACTCTTGCATATTATGGGGAAAGCCTGTTAAAGACAGCGAGGGGGCTACTTATTTCGAACATCCGGTGTCAAATTTGTCACACATGAAGAGGACGACCGGCCTGACGCCTTGTTCTCTGATGTCAAGTGCATGACCAAGGAACTCATGACAAGGCCGACGACACAATGGTGTGGTAAACCAATGTGCAGATGACTGAATTCTCCAGTTCGTATCACGAATGACAGTGCGCCAGCAAGCCCGAGAACAGAATCATATAGTAGAAATAGTGTGGGTTAGTGAGTATTGGGAGTTATTTCATAGCACGATATTATATGTCACAAGCTTACTGGCAATAGAAATACTATCTACCTACCTATGCTTGGTGAGCGCATGCTCCTATCCTCAAATAGCTACATGGATATATTGACGGCACGGAATTGCAGGAACATGACGAGAGCAAAACAAAACACCGAATTAATTACAAAGCGGTGTAACACGAAGGCCATTTAATTAAGTCGGCATATAAGCTTTCTGTTTCCAAACCAGTTAGCCCGGATTCCGATTCTGATGATGAAGAAGTGCCGCATAGCGCTTCATCCACTGGTTCAGACCCAAGAAATCCTGGCTTCCTTACCAACCTCCGGTCAAATCTTCCAAATAATTGCAATATCAATCCCAGGACACATACATACGCCCGGATGCACAGGTCCAAAAACGGAGTTTGAAGTCCTGGTTGCACGACGTATGATGGGAGCGCGGGAAGGGAATCGCGGAGTCTGTTCCAAAATCAATTCGCTGCGCGCCAATTATATATGTAGATCGCCAGCCACGTCGGATATACTTCCTCAAGAGGCTCCTGGCCCGCCCAGTCGGCGGTGTAGCAGGACTTGGAGATCCATCGAAATGTCGAGAACGAGAGTTGAGAGTCAAGAGTCAAGAGTCGAGCATAGACTGACGTATGGGCGCAGTTGTGCGTAGCAGAAGCTTCTAGTTGCTTATCCGGGCCAACTCAAATCGAACCTCGGCTCCCACAAAACTTACTCGCTACTGTTTTATCTCGGCTCTCCAGTTTTATGACAACGGCTGCAACGCTTGGAATGTATCTCTGATTTCCAAGCGCAACCGTTTCAATGTGTGGGGTACTCGGTGCATTTGTAACCCTTTGGTTGGTAATCCCTAGAGGGTACTGCCGTTCACGTCATTATGCCGCCCTCAGCAATCCCATATAAGGGCTCCGATCCGCGATGGGCAGAAATCAGTTCATAGCAAACATCAATCCTTCCTTCGTCATACCTACCACACACAAAATCTCCAGCAACCGCAGCAATGGTTCAGAACAAGGGCCTTATCTTCAAGCAAATCCCCACGGGGTGGCCGGTCCCAGGAAAGGATCTAGTCGTTGAGACGCGCGAATTCGATCTCAACCAAGCTCCACCTAAGGGCGGGATTACGACCAAGAACTTCTATGCCTCGTTTGATCCATATCAGAGGGGGAGAATGCGTGACCCCAGCATAAAGTCGTACAGCCCTGCTTTCGTCTTGGGTCAGCCGATCAACAACAACACCGTTGCCAAGGTTCTCAAATCCGACAATCCGAAGTTCAAGGAAGGGGAATTTATCACTGGCATGCTTTCCACCGAGGAATACTCGGCTGTTCCGAAAGAAGTCACGGAGTCGATGATCCAGAAGATTGACAACCAATATAACCTCGACCTCAAGATGTTCCTCGGACCCCTGGGTATGCCAGGTTTGACAGCATATTCGTCCTTTTACGAAATCGGCAAGCCGGTTAAGGGTGAAACCATCTTTATCTCGGCCGCATCCGGAGCCGTGGGTCAAATTGTTGGGCAACTCGCAAAACATGAAGGTCTGCGCGTGATTGGATCTGTTGGATCCGATGATAAGCTGGAGTTTATTACCAAGGAGCTTGATTTTGACGGAGGTTTCAATTACAAGAAGGAAAAGCCACTCGATGCATTGCGACGTCTCGCGCCCAATGGTGTTGATATTTACTACGAGAACGTCGGAGGGGAGCAGCTCGATGCAGCCCTAGAGGTGATGAATGAACGCGGGAGAGTCATAGCTTGCGGCATGATCTCACAATACAACCTTGGACCAGATGAGAAATACGGTGTAAAGAACCTCATGTATCTTGTCTCAAAACGGTTGACTATGCGGGGCTTTATTGTTGGTGACAAGGATATGGGACCTGTCCATTTCGCGGACCGCAATCGGAATGTCGCCAAATGGCTGCATGACGGTACCTTCAAGGCGACTATCAGTGTTACAGACGGTATTGATAATGGTCCCGAAGGGTTCACTGGCATGCTTGAAGGAAAGAATTTCGGCAAGTCTGTGTTGAAGATCGCTGATATAGAGGTTAGTACTTCTAGACTTTAGGCGGAGAGCTTTGCTAATGAACTCGAAGTGATTGAATACATGATACATACGAAATACATTTAGAAAATTAAGCTTTAACCCTTAGATTTCCGCTGAATATACATATGTTGAGCCGATCTACCCAATCAATGCAAGAATTTCGTCCTCGAATAGCAGACACTTTACTACCAATTGGTGATCAACTTTGGTTTACAAAGCAATCGTTTAAAGAGCTGCTAACTTCGCTCCTTCAAGTTTCAAACCCCAAAGCAGTTGCCTTCTTTTGCGTGGGTGCGTCATCGGAAAAATGTCTCCCACACAGCCCCTCCCCCCCAAGAAATCTAGAAAGAGATCTCGCTCAATTTCCAAACTTCCCTCAGCGCGAATTATTTGCGCAGCCCATTGAAAAGATGTGTTGCCTTCCCATAATCCCTCGCTCCCCAAAGAAATCGGGAGTGAGGGCTCGGGGGTGGCTTTCAAGAAGACGCTGGTCGAGCTAATTTCAGAAGCCCCAATTGATATCTCGATCTTGATGTCCAAGTCATATTGGTTGCGGTTCGGGTGATTTCTCGTCCCGCTAGGGGTTCAACCCTGCTATTTCCAAGCTTCCATACCCTTCCTCGAGCTTGTGCATATCACTGTAGTCAGTTGGCAGATTTTCCACTTACCCTTTCTATTTTATGTATCCCATCTATTCAATATTTTCATCCTTGATCTGCATCTTTCTGTTGATTTCTAAGCTATACCTTGCAAACTTGCTCCGCTGCCTTATCTGTCTTCCATATTTCGAGAATAGAGGCGGGACTATACAGAAGATAGTTGCGACGGCGGCTAGGACCACTGTGGCCCAGTTCACGCCTAGCGCGGCGTACATTGGCTCTCCCACGAGCGGGAAAAGTCCCGCGAGTACAGCCCTAAGGAATGATAGAGCGGCGAAGGCTGATGCTGCATATATAGTATATGTATCGGCAAGATATCCAGACAACGTGCAAGCGTACTCATTTGTTGCGAAGCCAACCGCCATCAGTCCTGGGATAGTAGCATACCAAGGTAACGTCGATGCGGGTGGAACGGTGAGGACCAGCCACCACAGTCCAGCCGCCAAACTTGGGGCAGCGAATGCGAACCCGAGGAGCTTATCTTCTGGATGTAGAGATTTATTCGCGGCATCATGATCCCGGAGGAGTGTGTGATCGTGTATTCTTGGCAAGACTCCGAAACAGATACCGACCCCTATGGCGAGAAACATGAGGGATGACTGTTCTCGGGTCAGACCAAAGCCAGTATAGATGACGGGAATGGCTTCCGTGAAAAGGTATATCAGAGCCCAGCCTGCGGAGCTCATGACTGAAACAACGAATACGATTGGTTCTGTGAAGAAAAGCCGGATTGGTCGTCGTAGGCTTGTTTTCGTGAAGGTTTTAAAGTCGGGAACATGATCGGGATTCTCGATTCGAAACCTGAGCTTTCCTGTTTTCCTGTGCAGCATCGAGAGGCGCTTTGCGAGCAATTTGCTTGGGCGAGACTCTTTTATAAAGAGAAGGAGGATTGCCAAAACGAAGGTGGTTATCGCGGCGATGTGAAATACCCATCTCCTGAATTTATGTCAATATCCGAGGCCTGTACCTAGAGAACGCACTAACCAGCCTAGAGTTTTTGCAACATAGGATCCAAACACAGGGCCGAGGAGGAGTCCTCCTGTTGTAGCACACGACCAGGCAAACATTAACCAGACTCGCTCTTTTATATCAAACATATCCTCAAGGCTTCCAGAAACAATCACTGAAGGAACCGCCGACATGATCCCAGATATAAATCTGCCGATCACAGCCGTAGCGATGAACTTTGGGGTTCCTACCATGATGCAGGACACGCAATAGAACACTGTCGACACGATATATACCGATTTGCGGCCGAATGCCTCGGAATAGGGAGGAAAGAACACACCGCCGACAGCTTGTCCAAATTGATACCTGGATTCTTAGCCATACTGAAATCAATGCGCTACACCTTGTGCTTACATGCTAGCAAAGACTACCAGAGATGTTGTCCTGCTCAACCCATATTCAACCTTGGCACGTTCTGCTATTGTAGGCTGTATGTTTAATCAGTAGTTATTGATGATGGCTTCTCTCATAGGTGCCATACTCCTGCAGTACTAACCGCGGTTCTAGGGATAACATGTTAGTTAGTTGTACTAGGTCCAATATATCCTCCCTACTCACGTAAATAAGTCGAGGATGAGAATAAGCATAGTATCAAACATCTTCCTTTTGGCGCCCCAATTGCGAGGATGTGCTGGTGCATCGGACCTCCATTTTACATATCCATCTTCCTCTAGCCGAAGCCCAAGTTCCTCCATGGTGGCTCTGCAAGATTCATCTTGAGGCTCATCCCCATTGGTAGACCTCGATTGTGGGACTATGGTAATGGCATCTTCATCTAGGAAAGGTTTTGATAAATTCATTTCAGATTAGAAGAAAAGAGCGTGAGAAAGAAGGGGAAATCTTTTAATGATAGTGGATGTTATGATACAAGGAAGAGAAGAAGATTTCAAGACATTTCTGATGGAGTAGCAACTAGTAGCTAGCGCGTTTACATGAGCATATGGTGCAATGTTGCCGGCACTGCCACCAATCCTTTCTCGGGCAGCATTTCCTAATCCTATTCCCAGTAGACTTCCACGGCTGACGAGGAAAACTAATCTCACGTTATATGTACAGTACCAAAGAGGCGTCGTAGGGATATAGTGGTATATCCATTCTGACATAATTCCAAGACCAGGTCAAACACGAGGTGAGATATGTAATTGGCTAGAGACTACGAGCCGCACGGATTCTCCAAGTCCTTGGGAAGGGGGTATTCGAGGGAGATTGAATACTAGTATGCTAAGTTATATTGGGGACGGTCCATTGGGATTTTTTGGCGGTGTTCGGCGACCTCCCAACGGTTGTTGTCAGGTTAGAACTAGGATTTATCTTGTTTCCGCATGGTCGATTAAGTTGTTCGCTTGAACTTTGGGTTGGTATAGAACCGCGATGCTACCACAGTTCTGCTTGGCTTGGGCCCACTCAGGAAAGCCACGATGCAGTGGGATACGGGATGTTGTGTGGTGTTATATACGGAGTGATGGCGCACTGGGTTTTCATGCGGAGGAGCGGCACGACTGATTTTGAGACTTCCTTCCCTGGAGTTGGCTGGGTTGGGTTGGCTTAGTTGGCTTGGGTCGTTGGCTTAGACGCGGCTGCTCGTACCTTATAGACGTAGTGCTGACTCCGCTTAGTGAGGTTAGAATGTACCTCCGTAACGAGATGTGGTTTTAGCGATCTTGTCTTGGTTCCAACTTTGTAGATCCATGTGATTCGGGCTGGCTGACGACGGTCGGAGCCTTCCTGCTTTGGCACTTTACTCCGTAATTTTGATCCAATGCTGATCATGATGTCTTATATGCAGTTGGTCAGACTAAGCCTCTAAGTGGCATCTAGTAGAAAACATAACTGACGAGCTGTAAGCGTCCAGGGTTGGATGCCGTCTTTGAAAGGATCGAATCTCCCTATTAAACGGGGCGACTTCATTGTTTCAGAAAATTTAAGAAATGGCTGTAGTTCGACAAAATCATAGGAGCCATGATACGCAGCAGATTGTTGTCGCCAATTCGAATTCAAAATGCGGGACTGTTTCTTGGGTCCCGAAGGTCGATATCTATACATGGCCGGAACCAGCACAGCGCAAGTCCAGCGATACAGACCCTTAAAGAGCATGTAAATGACCCCATGGACGAAGCATGTAACCTTCTGGGCTCGATGCCGATTGCGTGGGCCAATCCCGGGCAAGCTCAATTTGATTTTCGCAGTAAGTAAGTGTCTTTATTCATGACGAAGTGCTTCAAATTGACAGCCTTACCAGGTGATGTAGTAACGACACCGACAATATCCATGCTGCGTGCCATTATAGAGACCTCACTCCTCGATGATGTTTATCAGGAAGATCCTACAACCACATCTCTTGAACGACTTATGGCCAATATGACCGGACATTCACAAGCTGCATTCGTTCTCTCTGGGACCATGGGAAACCAAGTAGCCCTCCGCACCCATCTAACCCAGTCTCCACATGCAGTGCTTTGCGATAGCCGTTCCCATATCATCCACTGGGAAGCAGGCGGACTTGCAAGCCTATGTGGAGCAATGGTTCAAGGAGTGTCCCCAGCAAATGGAGCGTTCTTGACTTTGGAAGACATTCAACGCAAGGCGATCTTGAGTGATGATGTTCACAGATGCCCCACCCGCGTGATATCGCTGGAAAATACAATTTCCGGCCTCATTCATCCGCTTTCCGAAATCCAGAGGATCTCCGAATGGGCTCGCCGACACAAGGTGAAGCTTCACCTGGACGGCGCAAGACTTTGGGAGGCTGTTGCCGCTGGCGGTGGAACCTTGCTGGACTATGCGAAATGCTTCGATAGCGTGTCATTGGACTTCTCCAAGGGGCTCGGAGCCCCCATGGGCGCAATTATAGTGGGGGATTCCGAGTTCATCGCAAGGGCGCGACGGATTAGAAAAAGCATCGGCGGTGGAATGAGGCAGGCAGGTGTTCTAAGTGCTGCTGCAAGAGACGCAGTTGAAGGATTTCATGACGAGTATGAACCGGGCGAGAAATTAAGGTTCGCGCATGCTCTTGCCCGGAGTGTTGCTGAAATGTGGATTCGAAAGGGAGGCAAGTTGAGTAGGCCCTCACAGACTAATCTCGTGTGGGTAGATTTGAACGACGCGGCAGTTAGCTCAGAAGAATTCCAGGACATTGGTAGGAAGTATGGTGTCAAAGTAGATGGTAGTAGGATTGTCCTGCATTATCAGATCAGTGATGAGGGGATACGGAGACTCGGGTCAACATTTACCGAAGTGTTATCGAAGCTACCTAGGTAGCACAAGAAGTCTGCGGCACTCATTTGACTGATTATCTCCGTCGCACTGAGCGTCCAAGTATAACAAATTAACAAACCATTTCCAAAGTTCCACAACGAAATTGAATAAGTGCCAGCATAGGCTTCTCGAGGGTCAAGTAATGGCATAAGTGACAAACTGCAACATAGCATGGTCGGAAAAGGCGCTGTTAAAGCTGCAAGTATAAGGAAATGGTAGACATGATCCACCAGGCTTTTACCTTCACTTGTAAAGTTATTATTGCTAAATCTGAGAATGACACTACTCGCTAAAGTATAAGTGTTTTAAAAGTTGGGAACCACAAGTCTCAAGCATCCTCATCCTCAGTGCCAGTCATCTCAGCCTCACTTCGATCAACGTCCAAGCTCTCCCTACCTTTGCCCTTCTTCCTACCAAATGCTCTACCCCAATTAACGCTCATGCGGCCCTCTTTTGGTGTGCCAGGGTCTCTTTCCTTGCCCTTCCATTCCCCAGATCCTAGACTTCCAATCATCGGACTACTGGTCACGCTATCGAAACTCCTAACGAGTCCAGCATCCTCGCCAAAATCAATGCTGCTATCTCGCTCAGCCCGGTCAGAGTTCGCAGCACTACTGGTGCCTTTCTTGCTACTGAAGAGGCCAGCGTCCTTGCCACGGATCGAGGAAAGACTGAATTTGCTGGAGCTTCCTTTGCGGAGGAGTCTAGTGAATGACGACTCCTTGTCCTTAGAGCCGGGGGCTCCTGGGTTCATCAGCTCAGATGGTGTATCGCTAATGATCCTTTCAAGACTTTCGGAGGATTCCGCCACACTATTTTGAGTATGAACGGAGTGTGTATCACGGGACTTCCTTGACTCTGATGGAGAAGAGGCGCTGGTTTGCTGTGTGGTCTCTTCCGGTGAAGCAGATGGATCAGTGGCTTTTTCTTTGCCTTTGCCCTTATCCTTTTCAGCTTTGTTGGGACGACTGAACATAGCTCTGAATGTTGGCGCTGCGGGGTTGAGTTTTGGGGTGACCGGTTTCTGGGAGGAGGCTGGCCTGGTTCCAATCACACCGACTGGGGGTGGGCTAGCTTGGCCAATGTTTGTGTCTGGCGGCAAGAATTCATCATCGTCGCTGGCAATTCCTGACGCAAGGGCTGTCGAAGAGCCATATTGTGTGCTCGGTCTCCGAGATGGGTTCCTGGACCAGAAATTGGCAACGTTGACGGACCAATTTGCCGCCAAGGGACTGTTTCTGTTGATAGCATTGCCTTCGGCAGCAGGCCAGCCAAAGGGAGCACTATCTGTAGAAGGTCGTGGGAAGTCGGAGGATGCGATTGACACAGGGCGCGGGCTGCTGGGATCACGATCGGAGAAAGCGATAGGATCATCAATGCTAGAGGCAAACATATTAAGGCCACGTCGTCTTCGTGAGGCCGGGTTGCGCGTGGGTGCAGGAGCATTACTGTCTGTCGAATCATTGACTGTTGCACTTCGTGTGAAGAAGCTCGGCATAACATTCCAGCCAGACGTGAAACTAACTCGACGTTGCCTATTTGCAGTGGCTTCAGGCTCATCTATAGAGCGTGGAAATGACTGGCTCTGGCCTGTTTTGAGGCTTCCTAAAGCAGGACTATCCTGAGAAGTTGTTTTGGCACGGGATTTCGGGAAAGTGAATATGTTGCTCAACCCCTTGTGCGTAGGTACAGCGTTGGACCCGCTTGGCGATCCAATAATACCAAATTCTGCTCTCGGAGAGGCGAAGAATCGTCCTTTATTCTCTGTTGCGTGGTCCTGACCAGAGACTCCATACCTTGCGAGGTTTTGGGAGGATGCCTGGGGGCTTGACATCCGACTCGCTGAGCGACTCGACGAGCCTGGCGACTGAGGGTCCGTATCATGAGCCGTCTGACCAATATTGTGATAAAGAGCTGGGCCAAAAGATCTTGTAGATCCAGCACGGGGGCTTGGTGGATCGTCGTCGGCAAAGATATTCGACGGCAGCAATGAAGTAGCGGTGGGACTTAGAGGAGCCCCCATAGTAAGCGCCCGGACATCTGCTTCACTCATACCACTTATTTGTTCCGAAAGTGGTACCATAGCCGTGTCATGATTTAGATCGAAATAGGGCCCGGGGGCAAAGTTAAGAGGTGCTGGGTTGGTGAGATTGTTATAAGCACTGGCGCTTGGGAATGGAGAGTCGGTGATCTGGTAGCCTGCAACAGGCGAAGAAATTGTGCTTGTTCGGCTTTTGCGATTCCGGCTTCTACGAGATTTTGCCTTTCCTTGGCCACTAGGATCGAAATCGACGCCGGAGGAATTGCCATGATACATCAGCTGGTTATTTGCCTGACGAGCGCTAATGGCGCTGAGCGTAGCTTGGGCATTTTGATACTCTGCCTGAAGCTGCCGGAGATGCAGCTGCTGAGCATTGAGGCTCAGAGCTAGCGACCGCTCAGTCTTCTCCCATTCCAAGTCTCGCTGTTTATCCACCGCATCGCGTTCCCTCGATTCGTCGTCATCTTCTGCCCCGGGAAGATTCTTGCGTTCCTCTTCGAGTTCCTTGATCTTCAACCCCTTGATTCTAATTTCCTCCTCTAGGCCATTTAACGAATTTTGACGCTTCCTAATGATACCCCGCAGCTCATCGGCCCTAGATTCCTTTGCATTTGTGAGGTTCTTCTTCTCCTTTTGCCATTCCTCTCTTTCTATCTTCATCGCCTCAATTTCCTTCCTCCACCTTGTCATATCCGCCTGCATCTTCGCGCGTTCGGTCTGCTTGTCCTTCAGAACTTTGTCCTTCTGGGATTTTCGATTTTGTGCTTGTCTGTTGGCTCTTTCTGAATAGTTCACCTCCTTTTTCAGCTTTTCACTTGCCTCCTCCTTCTCTTTCAACGCTTGTCGCTTTTCATCTCTATCCCTCGCTAGGTCGAGTATCTGCACTTTAAACTCCTCCGTATCTTTTGCGACTTGACTCATTACATCCTCAGTTTCTCTTCGAATGGCCTCGAATTTTTCCGTCAGCTGCTGCATTGATTCATCGGCGCGGTTCTTCGAGACATTTGCTAAGGCAACATGATCCACGGCAGGATTTGAGGGCGAATGCTTCCGTCCTCCAGTATTTCGTCTCTGAGAAGAATGCGTGCTGCTTGTCTCTCGAGCGGCAGGTTGGGAGCTCTCCGCCACCGCGGCGGCTTCAATACCAGCCGCATGAGCGCGGACCGCTGGGGATTCATCGCTACTTTCCACAAGCGTAGTAGATTGTTGATCCCCGATAGCAAGATTCGAAGGTATACGCCCGCTGTCCGTCTGTGGACGCCCATCTCGACCATATGTCCTCAATCGTATGACTTTGCTCCCGGCTTGAAAATTATTGTGGCCCACAGCGATGACCCTGACGTTGTAGAAGTGGCTCGGTTTGAGGCCCGTAACGGTGATGGCGGTTTCCGTCCGCGACGACTCTCCCACTACAGATGCTCAGCATATGTCCCTCAACGGGTACGAGTTGTTATGCTTACCGTTGACCCCATTAACCTGGATCAGGTATTTCAGCACAGGCTTGTTGGCCCCAGGGCGTGTCCAGTGCAGCGTTACGGCATCCGCCTTGATACCAGCGAGGAAAACTTCGGGAGAATCTGGGACCTCTACGCCCAAGATGCTGATGAGCTCCGCGACTGGCTTCCACAGAGTGAGCCATGCTCGGTGCAACAACCTTTCGAGATCATTGTTAGCAACTCCCTATTCTCGCCAGCGTGGACACATGGCTAGACCCACCAGAAAAGAGCGCAGCACGTCACAGCGGACTGTACGAAAAACATATTCGCAGCTGTGACATGGTTGATTGTCCACTGGCCCAAGTCGCGGTAAAATGTTATAGCGTTCATCCACGGAGACTCGGCGACAAGCTCGATCCGGTCAAGGGGGCTAGGCGCATAGAAAGCGAGTAAGAAGCCCAGCACCCAGAAAGTCAATAGGAGCGCTGAATAGAAGAATGAACCGAGGATTGAGCGTGGAGGAGCAGCGGCGGCGATGTTGTTGTTGTTCTTGTTAAGTGGGTGCTGGTGCTGGTTCTGCTCCACCAAGTCGCTATTGTCATTTTGCGCCAGGTTGGTTGGTGTCTCAGGCCGCTGCGGAGACATGTCAGGCATGCGTGCAGTGCGGCGGAAAACCCGAAAAGCGATGTGGAACGATGTGGGAAGTGTCTGTATCAACAACTACCAACATCCTCATCGTTGTCGGCGATTGACTGTTTTGTTCATTGATAGATGCCCAATGCCACATGCCAAATTGTATTGAGGACCATGGTAGAGTAGGCGGTGGTGTTTATGTGCTACTGCCCTTTTCACCCTGAGCATTATGTGCACTGAGATCGTTCCTTCACCCAGAGCATCGCCGAGAGGAAAGCGCAGCTCAAGTGCTCTGCTCTGACGCCTTGGCAGGTCTGCTGCGAAGCTCCAACTAAAGCTACTTAGCCATTTCTACGGAGGCAATCTAATTCGAAGAATATATCCGGCTGGAACTACGAATAGGATATATAACAGCGCACCGCCCTTTCCCCGCTGCGTGTGGCGTGATTTTGTACTAGGGACAAACTCAAATCCAAATATGATCAGTTTTCTTGGTTTTTTTGGTGGTTTTCTTTTTAAAAAAAAGAAAAAGTATCCTTTACTTTGTCCTTCTATTAGAGATATACGTAGAAGAGCATCATATTGTGTCGCCTAGGAATATTTTATGCTGAATACACTCATGTCGACATTCATACTTGAATATTCATACTCTGTATTATTCTTCTCACGATGAAGGAGCTAACATTGCCGCATCGGATGGGATGTATTTTTGAAGGGCCGATTGCCGAGCCAGAGCTTTAATTAATAGGAGCATGGAATGCTTCGTTGCAGCAATCGTAATTGAGCTTCGTGCTAAACCGGAGCTATACTAGGAGACTCCTACTTCGTACTTGTTGAATCCCTGGGTCTGTCGTTAGAAATGTAACATAAATAATCTAAATTAATTAAATTGAACAATATCCGAACTACAAGAAAAATACGGTTACTAAGGGGCTTGGGTATTTGAAGGGTTTGCAAAAACATCGATATATAAGCTATTCGCCCCTCGGCCTCTCTCTCGCATGTCTGGGCTCCAGGTTCTCCCCACATGGTGGCATAAGAAAGAATCCTGGTAATAAATCCATAATACTACGTAATATCGAGCTAACTATTCGCTGCTCTCTGCGGCTCAAAATCCCAGATGGCGCCTTGGACAAGGAGGCGACGCAGAGGGCGCAGCGGATATACATCGGAGTAGCAATGCTTGGCCTCTTGGAGTATGTGCCCCCCATAGTCTATCTATTACTGTTATGCGGCAACGGCAGGGGAAGGGGTTGATGAATGAAATGAAGGGGATCTATAGGTTTAACTTTAATGGTATGAAGTAGAAGTAAGCAGTAACAGCAGCGCAGGGGGTTTCAAGAGCGGGCTTGTGATCTCGCGGCGACAGAGACCGAACACAGACAGCGACACAGTAACAAGTCACAAGACGCCTCGGCTCAATGATGATGGTAAATGACAATGCGCAAAACAACAGCGCAAAAGGCGGAAAAGCACAAGCAAAAGCCGTTGGTTGGCAGGTTGGCCCGGAGCAGAGCGGGACTCTCCGACTCGAGTCCGACACGAAGAGGAAATTATGAATGAAGCGACGTCAGCGACTCAGTCAGTCAGTAGTCAATAGTCGGTAGTCGGTCTGTCAGACTGGGCCAGCGCTTTGCGCCCGTTGGGAATGCAACGTTCTGCCGCTATTATTGTATTCAACATTCCAGCTTGTACTTCCTATCACCACAATTCTCTCCCTGTTGCTTCCCTTCGCCCTGGACTACGACCTCACTCTCTCCTTGTGATATATCCTCCTGTTGCCATTCAGCGTCACTAGAACCCCATCGGGATCGGCTCTAAGCTTTGTATTATCTTCGTTGCATCTTTGCATAAAACATCGGCGCCATCCAACATCCAACCCCAGCAACGGCGCAGCAGAGGATCCCCCGCCTGCGTCCCTCAACACTCCGCATTGCTCTACCTCTGTACTAATATTCAATTTCCATACCAAATACCAAATCCCGAATCCCATTACCTGTCGCTACAATTCCCGAGTGCGCGTGCCGTCCGTTTTCACAGTACAGTTATCCGCGACTTCTCTGACGCCCTCCTGGTTCGTGGGGCAAACAGTCCGTCATGCAGTACGTCCGGAGCATCAGTGGGTCGGTCTCGAAGACATGGAACTCGATCAATCCAGCGACACTCAGCGGCGCCATTGATGTTATCGTCGTCGAGCAAGAGGATGGGTCGCTGGCATGCTCTCCATTCCACGTTAGATTTGGGAAGTTCTCCCTCCTCCGGCCATACGAGAAGAAGGTAGAGTTTCAGGTCAATGATGTCAAGCAAGACTATGCTATGAAGCTGGGAGAGGGTGGAGAGGCATTCTTCGTATTCGAGACGACCGACGACATTCCCGAATCTATGCAAACGTCCCCCTTGGTATCTCCGGCTTCAAGTCCCCCGTTGGAACCGGAGGGGTCAAATGGGTCGAATCTATCAGAGCCGGACTTTTTGGACCTAGATGTCAATGGGAAAGCAAGGGCTGGCAGCGTGACGAGACCTAGGGTGCTTTCCACGGCTATAAGGCCTCATAGCAATCCAAGTAAGCCTTTCTGGTGATTTCGTAACAACACAACTGACAGACCTAGACGTGCTTACTCCACCCTTCCCTCAAGAATATCCCGACGGCAGACCCATATCAGGCGACTGGTCTGGCGTTGCAGTTGGGCGAAGCAACACAGACGACCTTCTTTCGACATCCCTACAAACAACTGGGAGCGAGGGCACAGAAATTGACCGACAAACCCGCTCTTTAACGCCAACGTTACCCGTACATGATTCCCGTTCCGATTCTTTCACCGAGAGATCCCAGAGCCCTCCCCGGCCACCGACGAGGGAAGCTATAGAACGTGCCATGACCCTGTCGAATAGACTTTCGGCATCGAATATACCAACCCAGGTTACGGATTCGGGCGATTTGATGCTGGATATGACAGGATACAAGAGTAGCGACGACGATGCCCTTCGAGCTGAGATCATTGCACGGAAGATTCTATCGGAAGAGCTAGAAGGCAATTATGATATTGGTGCTCTGATAGGCGCTGATGAGCACGGGAACCTCTGGATATACAGCAGCGAGGAAGCAAAGGAAGCAGCTAATCAACGTGCCGCCATGGCTGGGATTCCTAATTCTTCGGTCCTGCATCATGATGCCGCCTCTGATCCTGGCTACCACAGCGATGGGAACAGCGACACCACCACTACTCCCATGGTTCCCTCCCATCACCGTGCCAAGTCTGATATTGGCCTGGAGACACCCCCTAACACGCCACCAGGGGCTGGCGATCCAAACCGTAACTATGCGAAGACGCTCCGCTTGACTAGTGATCAATTGAAGGCCCTGGGGCTTCAACCTGGCCCAAATCCGATGAGTTTTACAGTCAATCGCGCAACTTGCCAGGCTAACATGTACTTGTGGCGTTACGACGTCCCAGTTGTAATTTCTGACATCGATGGGACTATCACAAAATCCGACGCCTTGGGCCATGTGCTCAATATGATCGGACGTGACTGGACACATATTGGTGTTGCTAAGCTTTACACTGAGATCGTCAACAATGGGTACAATATCATGTACCTAACATCCCGGTCAGTTGGACAGGCAGATACCACCCGAGCGTATCTCAAAGGCGTAATGCAGGAGGACTATCGTTTACCTAAGGGCCCCACGATCATGAGTCCAGATCGAACGCTCTCTGCCCTGAGAAGAGAAATCTATCTCCGCAAGCCAGAAGTCTTCAAGATGGCTTGTTTGCGGGATATCAAGAATCTCTTCGGACCTAGTAGAACGCCTTTCTATGCTGGATTCGGTAACAGGCTCACGGATGCGCTTTCTTACCGCTCCGTAAGCATTCCGAGCAACCGCATCTTCACGATCAATAGCAATGCAGAGGTATCACTCGATCTTTTGAGTCTTAATAAACTTCGATACAGCTATGTCAACATGCGCGAAGTGGTGGATCATTACTTCCCCTCGGTCAACATGCTTGTTAAGGGTGGCGGGGAGGAATACACAGATTTCACATATTGGCGGGATCCGGTTCTCGAGATCGATGAATTCAGCGCCTCCGAGAGCGGGCTTACAGATGATGAGGATAACGATGAAGATAACGGCAGCGATGATGACGAAGATGGGAATGACGAATTGGGTGATAGTTATATCTCCCGCGACTCCGTTGATGAGGGGGATTATTATAACGGGCTCGAAGAGAGCATGATGTCTGGATCTGGTGATGACGAGGATAACGAGATGTTGATTGATAGCATTTTGGAAGCAGAGGACGCTGAGTACGAACATGACGACGAAGATGGTCACAAATGTGATATCCAGGTTGAAGAGACGCCCCAAGGGATTGACCATGAAGATTCCGAAAACCACCACGCAAGCGAGTCATCGAAGGCAGACGTGGACGCTGAAGTGATCACCGGGATGAAAGACCTACGTGTCGAGCAGGAAGGTACCGGCGATGAAAGAGTTTGAGCATCTATCTACACGCATTGGCGAGGATAAATAAATCATCGGGAGTTTTTTCTTCTTCTTTCTGTTGGAGCAATGGTGTGGCGGGGAAAGCATGGCATATACTAGGAATGGACCAAAGCGGGCGGCTGGGTGTTTGAAAGAGCTTGTATATCACTGTATCCCTGTTGGACATCGTATCGAGAGCATAGCGCGGCGTTAATTGGAGGACTTTTTGTCTGTTTGTGGTTATTTATATATTATTTTGAGAATTTGTCGAGAATCAGTTACCTGACTATTACGTGAACACTTTGACTTACTTGAAGCCATGGTTTGGAGTTTGAGCCCCTATTCGGTTGCTACCCCTCTGACAGGACTCTGCTACTTTGCTGTTGAAGTCATCTAATTCTATTTTATTCTTTTCTTCGTTATATAGGCTCCATTTCTTCCGTGTTACATTAGCAGCAATCTTGTAAAATGGCACCTCTCCGAATCAGTTCCATGTAGGATTTGATTAAATTAAATCAGAGTTTTACTAGTTACTCTAATTTTAATTCAAATTAAAAACCCCTTACTCTAATTCTAATTTAATCCAATTTTATTTGAATTAATTCGAATAACATTGACTTTTTTGCCTACACTGAATCGGCTACGTCCCTGAACACTTCTCTACGTCCCGTCTACTTCGCAAATAAATACTTCAGTCTAGAAGTTGAACTGCTCCCTTTCCCGTCTAGAACGGGACATATAATCACCTCTCTATGGTCTGGAGAAATAAATATTGGGATTGGACTCACGGAAGGACGGGCAGCCGGATTAGGAATGGAAAATTTGGAATCGGATGGAGGATATAAGATTGTAGAGACTTATGCTAAAACCCGTAATATATAACACTCTTCCTCCGCCCTGCTATTCCAAGTCATCCCTCTCCAAACCTCCGAAAAACTACCCAATGCCGTGAGCGATAGTATAGCAGATTTTTTCATGTGGGGTGAGTTTACCTCAAAACGATACTACGGTAGTGGAGAGATGAGAGTGGGGGAGGAATAGAATACTTGGGGTAGTTGGAAGATTGTTGCTTGGACGAAGCTCGCACAGGTTGATAGACGGTGGAGAATTTGTTTGGGAAGTTGGATAAAGGAGTTGGGTATTCTGAGGAACATTAAGATGAGGCCGTGAAGTATATTGATCGGAATTGGGGTATAGCTAGGAGGATGCGAAGCAGTGGCTAAAAACTGTGAGGCTCTTAATAAAGACGAAAGGGGCGGAAGTTAATCACTCGTAACCCAAATATATATTTTGAGGGAAGCTGGCGGACTGGGAAAGGGGGGCTAAGTCTAAAGGCGATGATGATTGCTAGTTAGAGGGGAGCGCCAATGCCTCCAGAAAACAATGAAAAAAAGAATGATTACAGTCGAACCATTTTCAATCTTACTTCAGAACCTTGATTTTCTTGGTGGCTCAACAGAAAGCTACAGGTGTCAACAAAACTCTGAAAATGACAAATCGCCATAAATCTGATAATCAGAGAAACCTCAATAACCGCACTGTACCACTGCTTGGCTCCAATGAAACAGGAATTGTAAAGGCTATGGTACGGAACCTACCGGCCAGCGGGAACTCCTCTTCAACAATGAGATCGAAGCGCATCACATATATGTGTCAACATCAAGGACGATGCTGAGGTCCAGAAGCTGCGGGATCAGGCCATGAAAGCCGTTTTTATGGTCTTCATCGCTCTCTCGGGCTCAGAGTTATTCGTAAAACCTCAACTTTCCGTGGCAATGGCATTCGAACGTTCTAGGAGGAAATACGCTGAATAACAGTTCAACAACTTTCTTTCTCCTATTTTTCTTCTCCGTTGAAATCCTTCATTTCACATCTAGGCTCGCTCCTCTTTCATGCTCCAAACTGAACCGAAAGGCCGGCAAGCATAAACACTAAGCCGGCAGGACAAGGCACATATTCCCATCCCGAGAGTTGCGGGAGAGCTCGCAAGTCCTGTTGATCTGTCAGTCACAGGCTAATCACACAGCATGAGGTGATCATGGTTTGTAAAGATATTGCATTCGACCAAACCTTCCCTTTCATTGGTATGAACCTCCGCCAGTTTTCACGCCCAAAATTGCTATGCCTCAAGTCAACATGGCTACTAGCTAAGCGCAAACTCAGACTGCAAAAGCCTATTTGAATAATTGGAAAGTTGAGTGACTCGAATCCAGCGACAACTCAAGACCATCATTATTGTCATATCCTGGGCCTTTTCGTCAGCTGTGCTAGACATGTGTTTTCAGAAAGAGGTAGGGAGTTTCCCCAGTATCTCTGGTGCAATGCCAGTGCAACTTAAGAACCCCTTGATCATCTCCCTCGAATTTTATTAGGTAATGCGCTGCATCGTAGTAGTGAACAAAGCGTCCCCGTCGAGCAGCCTCGTTGAACGATATCATCCAAGTGAAAGTATCGTCTTGATAATGACGGAGCTCGTACGTTTCCATCTCTACTCCCATGAAACAGATCGACAAGCATTCTTTCACAACGGCTATCTCTATCCAGAAGCTTGTCTTGTCATGCTGATACTTACCCGCATACGAGGAAAGGGGCAGCGACGGCTTGGTACCCATAAGCTGATGTTTCTCCTGAATGCGCTTTAATGAAGGTAGGTGATCAAGAACTTTAGCGGCAGCCTCTCTTGCAAAAGCTTCATAGTCGTGTCGAATAGGTGCGTCGTAGATAACTTCCATGATCGCCTGAGATATCCAGTCTGCCCCGTCGCCAAGTGGGCATGCATTGACGAGAACCGCCACAATAGTATCTGTTTCTGGCAGCAAAGCAACATTGGCAGAGGACCCAGGCATGAGTCCTTGGTGGTAAAGACACAAGCGGGATGGTGAGCCTTCCGTGGCATTCGGCATGACATTATGGGGCTCAACTTCCATAAGTTTCATATTCATGCTGAGCATGCCAAGAGGACCTGGTAGCTGGCAACGCACCCAGGCGCACCCATAGGCTTGCTCCCTTAAAGAAGTGCTATTTCCGAGAAAATTGTGGCCGCTAATCAGAGTCGTGCATTCCTTGAAGGGATTTCCATCCGTGCTGTTTGTACCCCGTTCAGTCTGGTCCTTAATTGCTTCCATGTAAGCACGATACAAGACAAATACATCGTCTATAGTTGAAAGCAGGCCAGATGCACCTTCCATGAAGGTACCAACTCCAATGGCTGGGTCTGGAACTACAACTGGTGATCTGTCATCCAAAATTGCGTAGCACAAGGTGCGATTCTCGTCCGCTTTGAAATCGGTCATCCGAGTGTTTTTTAGTTGCAAAGGTTCGAAAAACCGTTCTCTGAGGAAGTCGTGGAGACCCTGGCCGGATAACTTCTCAATGACAACGCCAATGACTGCGTAGCCCCAGTTGTTGTAGAGAAATGAGCTGCGGAAGCTACCTTGTCGAGGAGTCGCGTTCCACAAGGCAATTGTCTCTGACTTTTTGAAGAAAATATAATTATTCCCCTGCCAGGACATAGAGTCAAGCATAGTATTGCCGGACCGCATTGAAAGCAAATCAAGCGGTGTGAGCTGTTTATCTAGCTCGTCTCCAAGGGAAGCAAACTCCGGGATAATGTCTTTCAGAGGGGTTGTCCATTCGACTTTACCTTCCGCTACCAGGAGCCCGAATGCTGCAGCCGTCATCCCCTTGGTGATGGAATCCAAATTGTATACTGTGTCGGACTGCGTTTTCAATGACAACTCCACATTACGGTATCCAATATTGGCTTTCCATATGGCCTGGCCCTCATGCATCACTCCAATTGAGCATCCTGGAATTCCACTGATCCGAGACAGCTCCTGTAGTCTGGGTTCAAGGTTTTTTAGTCGCTGGATTAGCTCGTCCATATTCTTGAGCTCCATCGTGATGATGGTGGATGTTAAGGAGACGAAGGATAAGGAGACAAGGTGGGCTTGGAGCGGTGAGTACCCCCGTGGTGGTGCTGATGAAGAAGTAGAAGTGAAGGCGCGTTGACTTTGGAAGTTTGGAAGTTTGGAGAGACCCCTACATTTAAGTATATCGAAAGTTCGAAACAGTTGCGAAACCGGAGGATATACTTGCTAACAAGTGTTAGGCATACTTCATAAATTGAAGCTGTCACGTGGAAAATCAGGTTTCAGCGTCGCGTCTGGTTTCAAATAGGGAAATATAAGGCACTACCTTCAGACCTTCATACCTTCATACCTACGGTACGTACTACTAAGGTACTACCTAAGGTACCTACCTGACACATGTCACCGGGCCAGAAACTGGATGTGTTGTAACCCGCTGTAGAGACAGCAGCAAACCTGCGGTGAGGTCGTGATGGTTGCAACGGCGATGTATGCGCCAGGACAATAGCGCGCCGGGTGCTAGTGGCAAACGGCTCTCATCACAGCCAACGGTCTCTACTACTCAGCAATATTAATGTTGTACCTCTACCAGTGCGGAATACACAATCAACTCTCAGGAGTTTGGGCAACAGAAGCCGATCTTTAGCCCAAACTGGCGACAGCAATCACACTTACTGCATTGCATACGTCTTCTCGAACCGTGCAGGGAGGCTTTGGTGGGAGTTAATTATTGGTGACACATGGCACATCGTCGCAGGGTTTGTATATTGGTTGTCAGTCAGCACTGGATTCTGCCTGGCAATGCTTCGCAATGGCTCAAGCAGTCAGCACTAAACTGGGTAGCTGGCGTCAAAATGATTGGGCGCCAGGCAATTTTCCAAGTCCGAAGGAATTGGGCTTGCCTGTCGGTGCATCAGCCAGAAACCGGAGCCTCAAGTCTAAGCTGGTGGTTCTCGAGTACTCGAGTAAGGCAGTAAGGGGTAGAATGGTAAGGTAGTAAAAGTTCACAAGAAAGCCTTACGGTCTGCCTTGGAGAACCCTCCTGAACCATCCCTAGCGAGGACCAACAATGTCACGATGTCTGCAACTGCAAGCAAAGAACATGCATGGGACCAGATATTGCGAAAACATCGCAAGAGTTACGCAGGCCGGAAGCATGCATCATCCCTTGAAGGTGTTCCCGACTACCTGTCACTCGAGGACACCTTGGAGCAACTGCAGCAGGAGTACAACTCGAAGTTAGTCGCTCGTTGTATTGTTAAACTAAAGCCAGCATTCCAGCAACTTGAAACATTTCAGGCCTCTATCACGAGTATTGCGCAAGTTCATGAAGGAAGCATGGTTGTTTGGGGTGTTCTCCAAATGCTTCTTTCTGTAAGTTCCTCAGTGCAATCAATTCGAGTGAAGCTAATCGGATTTTTAGTCTGCTTGTAGATATCTCAAAACCCTAGAAAACTTTACCCAGCTTTTGCATGACCTCACGAGCACTGTAACACGACTCAACCGCTACTTATTCTTGTTGCCGAGTAGTGATATCTTGAAAGACATAACAAAGTCTGTCCATGAGGAATATGTCGACTGCTGTGTTACTGCACTCAATTTCTACGGCAATCGTCCTATATGTAAGTTTGGATGCGTGACCATTACTTTGATCTACTCTCTAATCATAGCAGTTAACCTCCTGAGGAATCTATGGAGTGACGTAAACAAGAAGTTTGAGAATATCAGGCACAGCATTGAAGCTCATATCATTACTTTCGAAAGGGAAGCTCGTGTTGATATTGACGAAGAACTGGTCGGCCACGTTCGGAAAAACCCAAGGAAGGATTCTCCAAGCACGATATTTAGCGTACCGTTCAGCGAAAATGAATATTTCTGCGGTAGAGATGATGTCCTCTCAGAAATACATCGTTGTCTGTCCCCAGATGAAAAAAAGGGTCAGACTCGACAGAGGTCTTACTTGATTTACGCCATGGGAGGGATGGGAAAGACGCAAGTTGCCCTAGCGTATGCTTATCGCAACAGGAGCACGTATCCATTTGTTTTCTGGATCGGCGCCCAAAAAGAGCCAGATTTAGGGGTCACGTTTTCGAGTATTGCAATGATTCTTGGCATGCCCAATATTGACGACCTAGGTCAAGGGAGGAAAGTGAACTTGGTACGTGAGTGGCTCGAAACTACGGGTAAGATAGATCCTGCTTGCACATGCCGGTTGCGAATGCTTATTAACTCGAGATAACAGACAAGAAGTGGTTATTGATTTTTGATAACGTTGAATCTATCGAAAGTGTTCAACCATATTGGCCTTCATCGAGCCTTGGAGGAGCAATCCTAGTCACTAGCCAAATTGCTGGGCTAGCACAATCGATCAGATCTCACATTGCTCTTGAGCCTTTGACTTCGGAGGTAGCATCGACCCTACTTCTAGATCTTCTTCAAATCAAATCTCCAACTAAGGAAATGAGGGAATCTGTCTCGAAAATAGCAGGCTTGGTTGGTGGCCTACCCATTGCCATCGCTCACATAGCTGGATCGATGTTCTTGTCCCAATTAACGATAGACGAGGCCATAGAGATGTTTGATAAACAACGATTGCAAACTATTTGGTCAACTGACGGCATAGTATCTACGCATATGTACGATCAAAGACTACACATGGTCTGGGATATTGCGCTGAGTGAACTGTCCGAGGACGCTTTGCACCTGCTAGATATCCTTGCTTTACTGAGCCCGGACACCATTTACGAATCGATGCTAATGGGAGTTGAAGATGCTCCAACATTTACCGGGAAATTTTCAGAGTAAGTATCCAGCCATTTAACCTTTGGCACTCTATTGACTTGAATAGCACCTTTCCGGAAATACGATTGAACCTAAACAAGCGTCAGCTAGTGCAGCGCAATACGGCAACGTCGGAGCCATATTTGTCGCTGCATCGATCTTTTCAAATCAGTCTCCGCAACAATCTTAGCAACAATCCCGATAAGTACGACAAGGTGTTTCAAGAAACGATACACCTCGTACGTCGAGTGTTTCCTGTCATGAATATGACTATGAAATGCGAGAACGAGAAATGGGTCGAATACGAGAAATATCAGCCACATGTTCAGACATTACAATCCATTGCACAAAACTCACCGTATGGAGTTGGAAAAATTCCTGAATTTGCTCAATTACTTGGTTATGCGGGAAACTATTATTGGGAACGTGGCCTTGTAGCAATCGGCATTGAGACATGTAAGTTTGCAGTCTCTGTCTGGGAAGCTATTCCAGACGCGTACCTGATAGACTACTCCCAACCTCTTACCTTGTGGGGCCTGATGGAACTCGAGATGGGTATCACTCAGCGTCAAATTGGTATGGATTGCTTCATCAAGTGCTTGGAACTGCGCACGACATATCTAGCTCAAGCGGAAAATGGCGGCACTAAAGACGAACAACTTCTTCACTGCAATGCATGGAGCGATTACTCTATAGCTCTTATTGAGTTTGGCTATTATGCGGAAGCGGAAACGTTCATCACACTTACCCTGGCCTTGAAGAGCAGGCACGTCACAGAGAGCTCCTATCCCATGATGTTCGGCATTTCCTATGGACATTTGGCAAGCGTCTATTCAGGTCTCGGCAACCATGAAAAGGCTAAAGCGTTCTCAGCCCGCTCAGTGAAATTGGTTCAGGAGGAATACATTTTCCATTCAGCGTCTATGCAGAAATGGTATTTCTTCCAAGCCAATATCTGGCTCGGAGCAGGTGATCTAGAAGAGGCTCTTGAGGCTCATCTAAGTATTCTTGAAGTACGAATCAAGATCTTCGGCACATCTGGCCCACACACACGATATAGCTACTATGCACTTGGTGCCACATACCATGCACTGGGCAATATGGACGAGGCCGAGTGAGTGGATCAATGAAGTTTACAAGCTAGACATACTGACTACTCTAGAAAAATGCTACGGTCTTCTTTAGAGGATCTCGAACTTAACCCCTGGCTTGAAGATGCCGTCGCGAGATCTCGCTTTCTTTTATCAAGAGTCCTACTGGAGAAACATCGCTCACTCGAGAAACATCACTTCTCTGAGAAACTTCACTTCTCCGAGAAACACCACTCATCCGAGAAACTTCACTTCTCCGAGAAACATCACTCATCCGAGAAACTTCAAGACATGAAAAATGAAGTCTCTCAACTAGCGAAATTGGCTAAAGATCATTTGAACTCAGTATTACCCAACGCCGCGCAGGTCTTTGGAGGTACCGTCAAAGACGAAATCGTGTTTTACGAGTACATTGTACCAGTACAATGCGGTCGCACAATGTTGAGTTATAAAAACGTCAAATCGCCTAAACCTTCCCAACTGCTCGAAGTGCCCGCAAAGTATGTGCCCTTGCTGAAACAAAGACCGGAGAGTTATGGCATGGATGGCGATCAGATGGTGTCGACATTGCAGGATTTGCAGGTGGGACCAGCGAGTAAAGCGGGGTGATGAGGCTCTGCGGACTGTCTATATTGCTCATGAGGCTTCTCAATCTTATCAGCTTCATTACTACTGGACCACGTTTGACACCGCCTTATATGGATAATGTAAGAGCAAGGTTCTGAAGATATCGCGCCGCATTCCCTCGACCCGCGCGTGGGGTATGCAGTTGACTGTCTTACTCGTCTAGCGTGATCGAAGATCTTATTCGATTCATTCGTCTCAGCAATATAGGATAGTGTTATGCGGGCCGGTGTGTTCCCCACGGACAGGATCCACTCCTCATTGGACAACCTCTTCTCCTTCTATCCCTGAGAAATCTTATCTTCAACGAATAGGACATATAAAGGAACCCGCGCCTCAGACACTACCTGTCTAGAGATCCTTAAGATACAGAAACTTTCGCATTTCACATCATTACAAGTAATCCACTCCGTCCCGATATCTGTTCACAAGTTCTAAAAGAAGTATAGCAAAGCCTAAACAACACGTCCAAACAACCAGTCCAACCATCATGCCTTCATCTGAGCAAGCTCCAGTGCAGTTTGACCTCCTTGGTCCTTCATGGATGGACAGCATTGTCTCATCCGCCAAGACCGATTCTCGTGTCAAGCCGTATCAGGCTGCCGTAGAGCATGAAGAGTATCAGAAGGTTGCCTGCGAGAAGAAGAAAGTAGGCGGCCCGGACCGCTTCACGGTCCCTGCCTTTGAATGTGGTGCAGGCTCCACCAGTTAAGCTGGAAAATGTCCGTCTTCACCTATTCTAATTGCCTGCCTGTTTGAAACTTACATATTTTCTCTAGATCGACAACTCGGAAGGAAAGTCTGGTAGCAGATTCATGAAGATCTAGGATTTAGGGAGGTAAGAGCGGGATTGCAGTCAACGAATCAAGGAACATATTTACTGTAGTGCGTAATAATGATACTTTGAATTGCCACACGATGAGATTCATTACCCTGGTTATTTTCACCGTGAAACCTATACCAGCCCTATAGTATCAGTAGTTTCTTCTGAAAAGTTGACCTCCTAAGGGGCGAGCTAGTGAGGGAGGGAGGGAGCTGCGGAGACCCGGAAAGCTGAGGCTCTGCTTCCCCGCTCGCCGTTAGCATTGTGCCACACCACCTGTAGAATTTCTTAATAATCCTTAAGCCGCGTATTGCAATGTGGGGGGCTGCATCTGATATGCAGCGTGATCCAAGAAGAAGCGGTTGTTCCCTCGTTGCAGGGAGCCAATGACTTTACCCAGCTCAAAAGCATGTCCATATTGCATCCGTTCCGACAGCTGCCATCTCCCCTTATATTCATGTTCATGGCGAATTGTGCAAAGGCTTCGCAGATTAATACACTCAAGCTGTAGTAAGCAAGTCGCTGTTTAGCATTTGTTTTATTCTCGAACCATAATCTCGCACCATCATCCTGCCACCATCATGTCACCAATTCTTCCTCGTCACGAAAGCGTTCCGTTGACATACATGAAATGGGTTCCGCTTTACGAAAAGGAAAAACCTTTTGTATATCTTTCCGAGGTCCCCAAACATTCGAAAGATCCCAGACAGAGTAACTTTGTCTTCCACTCTGTCCAAGTGCCTATCACAGATGTTCGTGGCCAAGAGTCCAACTTCTCACTAGATGAGCACGGTTTCGCCTATCGCCAACAGAGGGTGGGTTTCGATAACTTCAGAGACGAAGAAGCCATTGAGCGTGAATATCTTCCACAAGTGGCTGATTTTATACGTGCGGAAGTTGACGGGGCAGATGAGGTGGAAATATTTGATTGGCGAGTAGGTGCGAGAATAGGACTAAAATGATTATTTTGCTGATATACAATTGAATAGATGCGCAGAGCTGATTATACCCCGGAAGAAGTCGATATGAATGACAAAACTGTGTTCCTTCCAACTTCTGGCAATGTGCATGTTGGTGAGTTATTCCTGTCCAGCAACAAGCCTCGCTGCTAACGAAAACTAGATCAGAGTCCCTACCAAGCAACTCAAACACTACAGCGGATGCGAGAATGCCTGGGCGATGAAAAGGTAGATATGTACAGCAGGGGACGTGTTCGGATCATCAAGTAAGTACCAACAAATATGCCAACTTGAAACATGTCTAATGTGACCCAAGCGTATGGAGGCCAATTTCAGGACCAGTAGAAGACAAGCCTGTCACAGTCTGCGACGGCAGTACGTGCAAGACCTCGGAACTGATCACAAACGATGTCATTCGAAGTGCTGGACATGGAGTGAGAGAGGCATGGGCCTTGCTATATGGCGAGCAGCAGAAGTTCTACTATCTGTCTAGTCAAACAAAAGATGAGCCACTCATGATCAAGATATTTGATTCGAAACGAGATATACCGGCTACTTGTAAGTATATTTCGGACTTTGTGTTGTGCTAGCTTCCCTTGTTGACTTGCGAACAGGCTCGCCACACACTTCGTTCCGCCATACCCAGATTCCACCCGGGGTGGATCCGAGAAGAAGTATCGAGGTTAGGGCGTTTGTGTTCACACGTCCGAAAATGGCATGAGGTTGATGTCAAAAAGTGACTAGCAGGCACCATTCTGGACAAGTCTAGGTTGTTTGTTTTAAGAAGTTGTGTAACTGCAGGAATCAATTTAATAGGATATGATCACATAACGTGACAATTCACAAGCTGTCCTTTAGCCCAAAACTTTCCATAATATCACAAATGAGGCACATGAGATGCCTCGAGAATCAGACTCAAGATGCTTGCTAGACCCTCACCCAGTATTAGACCACTTGCAAATATCATCAATGGCGTCTCGCTCCGTTTCATTCTCGAAGTCCAGTACCACTGTGCCAGAGCTCCCAGCGCTCTGGCCAGAGTGAAGCTGGGCACGTTGTACATTCCTAGCATTGGGATTAGCATAATTTGTGGACGGAAGCGGATAAGCCATGCGACGTACCGACTGAGAAAGGTATGCCCATGGGGATGAAATGACGATACTTTGAGTTGCCACAGACAATTCTAGTAATAGAAAATGCTGCAAATATGATGGCTGTTATTAAAGCAAAAATAGGTGCGTGATCCGGTAGGCCCTCGCCAACTGCAAGAGAAGCTCCAGCACGCCACACATATGCTGAAGGCACCTGGAAAATGTCACCAGGGACACTGTAGACCGAGGTATAAAGGCGATAGAGCATGCTGGAAACAATGGCGCCAACAAGTGATCCAAGAACCTGGCCAAAGAACTGAGTATCAGGGCTGGAGCCACTCAAATAGCCTGTCTTCAGATTTTGCATCATGAAGCCAGACTGAACTGCGCCAGCCTCGGCAATGCCACCAGCGACAAGATTGATGAGTTTTGCGTTTGGATTCGATTGCGGGATGATTCGACCCATTATGAGTTGACATATTTTGGCAATTCCGGACGCAGGGTTGTGGTCTGTTGTTCCGACAGCTTTTATTCCCATGACACAAAGCGGTAGAGCTATGACTATTGAAAACAGTGTTGCAGGTGCGGGCATGAACTGGCCAAAGGAGACAGCTACAGCCGGGATACAGATCGCAATCGAGAGCAGTAGGCCGCTGGTCAGCCAGATCCAGTTGAACTTCGAAAACAATACACTGTCCTTTTTGAGGTCGAAGTTCGATTCAGACTCGGCAGATCCATCGTGGTCTACGTCTCCTCGTTGAGCTTTGAGGTACAGAAGTGCCGATTGAGCGACGAACCAGACCAAATCTACCAGTGCATCCGCGAGCATTGCTGCAAGACTGATCCAGATGGTCCATCCTCGGCTTCCAGATTCCCAATCACGAACAAGGCCAGGTGCCCAGCCCATGCCTTTTGCTAGCGGTGACAGAATTCCCCATCCCACGATCGCTCCGGCGAGCATATTGATCATTACTATATGGCCGGTGATCACTCCTTGGCCGAAGTAACCGAAGGATAGGTTGAAGGTCCAGAGCCACTTCGACGCAGCAACTCCTCCAAAGATTGGAATGTTATGGAGGATGGGCAAGAAGTACGATATGGTAGTCTGGGTGGCTGTTAGATGGGGCAGAAGGAAGATCCGAACATGCTTACGTAGACGCCCGATAGACCCATTGCAACAGATATATCCCGGAGACCGACGTATGGACTGATGGTAGGAGAGTGCTCATAGCCTGCATCAGACCCTTCTATGCGATCCTCTAGTACGGTGTCTGAAGTCGCATCTAAGTCCGGGACGGGAACGCTTTTCTCTTGATGCAGGACGTTGATCGTCACAGCAGTGGCTGTACCAGTAGGGAATCTCAACTTCTCCTTCAGTATAATGCGATTGCGTAATGTCATTGCGAAAACAAGGCCAAAAATAGATGTTCCCAAAGACCATATACATAGACGCATTAGATTAGGGTGAGAGGATGCCCCATCTGGCCGTGGGACAAGAAACTCCAATGCAGGAATCACTCCAACTAGTCCAGCAGTTGCTGGCATAGCTCCCACGGAGCTGGCAACGGTTTGAACGAGGACATTTTCTGCTGCAGAGAATGGCAGTTTCAAATGCTTCTGAAGCAACTGAAAGATCCCGAAGCCAATGAGCGCGGACGGCATTCCCATGATATTGATGTAGCCTGTTTGTAGACCGAAATGAATATTGGTCAAGCACACAAGAATCCCTATAGCCAATCCCAAAAGCACACTGCGCCAGGCAAAGCCAGCGTATGGTCCAGGGTATGGTACGGTGTAAGAGCCACCTCTTGACGTCGAGTTCAGAAGACGATCATCTTCTGCATCTTGGTCGAGCAGCGGTCTAGCTTCTTCATCTCCGCTGTGAGAATTCATTTTATCTGTCGTTGGTAGAGCCTAGAAATAAATAACGGCTAGAACGAGGAAGAGAACAACGCCAACAACGAAGACCGTGACAGAGTCCTGAGTTGTTGTCTGTTGTGTGTTCCGTGTTGTGAAGGTTGTGACGAGGGACGAAAGCAAGGCGTGCGGCTCTGTGTGACTGTCTCACAACTCACAGCTGCCTAGCAAGGCTCGCACGGCTTAAAAATAAGCCGCATCCTGGGCCACGCAGCAGTAAAATGTCACATGGGAATGATAGCGATCCAAGTGTGAGAATTGACAATGATACAACTAAGCTTTGCCACAAAATGGGCACTTGATGAAGAAGCCTGAAGTGAAGTCGAAGTTTCCAGGTTATGGCACCAGTACTCGTGGTGCGGCCCGTCTTTAGGGGCGGATGGGGCTCTGGTAGTTCCACAAAGCCTAATCGCTAGCCCGAGGTTTAATGAGCCTCCAGGCACAGGTCAGTGCGCACAGGCTTCATGAAATGGACATCATCGCTTTGGGCCGTTAATAATGTCTACCTGCTTGACTGCTGCTTAAAACCGACAATTAATCGATTATATGAACGGGCTGCCGGGTTGGAAAGTGCCCCTCCCACCAGTCACATACAAGAGCAAAGCACCGACTCTGCCCTTACGGCTACGAGTACTCGTACGAGTATGAAGGCTATAAATTTCTTGTGGCGTGCGTGGGTTGGTTCTGACGACCGAGGGCTGAATAGCTTGGGGTGTTGCATTGAATCTGACACATTGATGCCCCATTTCACAATCACGTTCCAGTTTTGATCTAGACAGCTTTTGGTATTTGTAGCATGCAAAATGCTACGAATACCCTTGCGACCGCTTTCCTAAGCCTGCTAGTGCGCGTATTCCTCTCCTCTATCTCCTGATCTATTACTGGCATCGGTCTTCTACGACGATGCTCTCGATTCTGGCATCCAACCAACCATTTTGCGGACGAAGTCAAAGGAATCCATTTTTATTGATACCCTCGAGATTCCTCTCGGAATCTTCGCAAGACAGTGATAAGATTGGATTCTGACACCTCCAATTGCGTCTCTCATGCACATCAGGTTGATATATGTATCTCCTAGAAATCAAGGACTTGCCTTAATCGTCGGAGCAAACGAAGCTGGAGGAAGTCGAGGGGAGGAAGGTCCCAAAATTTCAACTATACTGGCGAGGTAGAATCGCATCCTATATTTGCCCGTCTCGGGGTCAAGCCCATCGAACTTGCGTTTATTATCGAACACACCCCAGACCTAAAAGTTTTTATCTTTGCTACCATAGGTTTGCGTTATCAGTCTAATTGTCACACGCAATATGTTTACTTCCTTTATTACTGCTTTATGCCAATGTCTTCGAACACATTTAAGGCAACGGGGGCAAGCTAACCTTGTAAACGATGTGACACTCGCTATGCAAGAAGTCAAGTGCAAGTAGCAAATGCATTAAAATTGGTTTGCATTGCCTTGTTTAGTTTCCAATCTAGGCTAATATACAGAAGACTTAATATTTCGTTGGGCAGCACTTTATAAACCAAGCATCGATGGGGATTCCCTGTTCTACTTGTCACAAGGAAGGAATCCTGAATGATGCGGACATATGCCTAACCTGGGCAATCGGCATTTTCTGCTCTGGTGAGATGTTTGTAAATGTAATCCTGATTGTCAATCTCATATTCCGCAACTAGATCGTGGGCGTAAATCTTTCGAACCCTACACCCTCTCTTCTTCATACGGGGCGGTCGAGGGCGACAAAGAGCGAGGCGTAGCACGGCACGCGCGATATGAGAAGCGAAATAAGCATGACGAGATGTATCTAAGCCTAGGTTTCGCAGCTGCAAGAATATGTATCTAGGACGTGAAACATAGAAACGAAAGATTTACAATCTACCAGTAATAGCGAAGCTTGATTTCAAGGACGACTCCGCACATACCGACAAGGAAATCAGCCGAGCTCCCTTTCCAACCCTGGATCAGAATGCTGATGAAATAGAAAATCCGAGTCCGCAAGCTCTTTCACCAACCTAGAAAATCAAAATTTCGTTGAAGTGGTGGGCCTCGCAGAGGCGTTGATATAAAAACAAAGGTGGAGCCGTGGTGTTCTAAATTTGCAGTCTATAGTACCTAGGTGCCTTGCGCCATCGACTGTCACTGCGAGCTTCGGTGTGTTGAGACAGGACTTTGAGAAACTGACTCTTCAATGATATAACAGTCCAAGCTGTAAATTCTTATTGAGTATAAATACATCCAACCATCCCTCTCCCAACTTATGCGGTCCAAATTCTCTTGATTCCCTCAGTAACACCCACGTCGTTCGTCTCAAACTCGTATAGCCCTACGCCAACCACGACCGTAGCAAGCTTCAGCCCCCAATCAAACAGCTTCCTCGTCTTTGGCAAACGTTTGGGGGGGACGTAGTCGACAATAAGGGCGTCGAATCCAATATGCGAGTGGATGAGGATGGCGCCACAGAGGATGGCGTCTGTCGCTGGATTTAATGTTCCTGCTGCGAATGGTGCGATTGTGAGCGGGATCAGGCCAGCTGCAAGGACGCGCTCGAATGTCCAGTGGTAAGAGCCGCTGGCCGGGTTTGCGGGTGCGACGGGAGTGGCATCGTTGACTGGACAGAGGTCATATTAGTTCTTGTTAAAGTGATAAGAATGCATAGATTGGGATTGGGATTGGGCCGCTGTACCGGTTCCTTCAATGGTTTCTGTAGCACATGTTAGCAAGCATGGTCATATATCAGGCTACGTCAGGGTCGGGTCGTAGACGTACGGGGCAGGGGAGGAAGAATTGCTTGTCGCCCGCTGGCATGGAAGGCAGCTACTCGCATTGAACCTGGCAGAGCATCCTTCGCAAATCTGCTGCGGACAGCTTGTCTGGAAAGAATACTGGACGCAGGCTTGTTGATGGCGGGGAACGTCGAGGCAGGCTTGCTGGAGAACGTCCGTTTGGCAGCAGCCGTGAGACATGACTGCCGAAGCATTGCTGCAGGTCGAACAATTGAAGCCATGGCTGATTGCTCCAAACCGACTGAAGGGTTGTGGTCGAGGTGTGAATTCAAACGGAGTGCGCAGTAACCAGAGCCGGCAATAAGAAAGGAAGTTGAAGCTCAAATCTCGTCTCGTCACTACTCTTGCCGAGGGAATGGCGCTTCCGAGATGTTGTCGCGGTGGCCCGCTTACATAAATGCATTGGCCCGCCGCTGATTCGCTGCAGCAAAAGAGCTTCGACAAATCTCCAAGGCACGACATTCCGTATCCCACGACTGCCAATTGACAAGAACAAGACCCCATCTTCCCCTTCCTCTCTCTTTTCCGACTCTACCTTATAGATCCCTCCCATGGCGTCCCGGCGCCTAGCTTTGAATGTCGCCCAGGGACTGCGCAGCCGCGCTGCTCTCAATGCCGTGGCTCCGCTGCGAAGGGGCTTCGCGACTCCTGTGGTGAAAAATGGCCCGAACACGGAAACCACAACGCTCACCAATGGATTGACTGTAAGGATGGCTGCTATGGGATATGTCATGGTTTACTGACGAGGAACAGGTTGCTACAGAGCACTCTCCTTGGGCGCAGACGTCGACGGTGGGCATGTGGATCGATGCTGGTTCCCGCGCAGAAACCGACAAGACAAATGGAACAGCCCACTTCTTGGAGCATCTTGCCTTCAAGGTATGCAGCGGCTCATCGAGATGGATAATATTCGGGGCTGACGATGGGTTTAGGGAACAAACAAGCGGACACAACATCAATTGGAGCTGGAGATTGAAAATATGGGCGGCCATTTGAATGCCTACACATCAGTATGTTTGGAGGCATGCAAAGAAAGCACCATACCTTTACTAACATCAACCGTAGCGAGAGAACACCGTCTACTATGCGAAAGCCTTCAATGCCGACGTCCCCGCCACCGTCGATATCCTCTCCGATATCCTCCAAAATTCTAAGCTCGACCCACAAGCCATAGAACGGGAGCGTGATGTTATCTTGAGGGAGTCAGAAGAAGTGGACAAGCAACTAGAAGAAGTTGTATTCGACCACCTACACGCAACTGCATTCCAAGGCCAACCTCTCGGTCGTACGATTCTCGGCCCCGCCAAGAACATCTTGAGCATCCAAAAGAACGACCTGGTCGACTACATCAAGACAAACTACACTGCCGATCGTATGGTTCTCGTTGGAGCTGGCGGTGTTCCCCACAAGCAGCTTGTCGAGCTTGCTGAGAAGCATTTCTCTGGTCTACCAACTGAGCCTTATACCGGTGCTGCATCAGCTGTTGCCGCTGCCCAAAAGGCCACTCCAGATTTCATTGGCTCTGAGGTCAGAATGCGTGACGACACCATCCCAACTGCCAACATCGCCATTGCCGTGGAGGGTGTTAGCTGGAAGGATGATGACTACTTCACTGCGCTGGTCACGCAAGCAATTGTTGGAAACTGGGATAGAGCAATGGGCAACGCTCCACATATGGGCAGCAAGCTGAGTGGCTTCGTACACAAGAACAACTTGGCCAATAGCTTCATGAGCTTTTCTACAAGTTACAGTGATACCGGGTAAGTGTTCGCAAATGGGTCCTGCTTACTAGGTGCTAACGCTACATAGTCTCTGGGGTATCTACCTCGTTAGCGACCAGATCACTCGCCTCGACGATCTCGTTCACTTCACCCTCCGCGAATGGTCCCGCTTATCATACAGCGTTGGAGAAGCCGAAGTCGAGCGTGCCAAGGCCCAACTCAAAGCCTCTCTCCTCCTGTCTCTTGATGGCACCACCGCCGTAGCGGAGGACATCGGACGCCAGATCATCACCACTGGACGACGCATGGGCGCCGAGGAGATCGAGCGTGTCGTAGGAGCAATTACCGAGAAGGACGTGATGAGATTTGCGCAGACCAAGCTGTGGGATCAGGACATCGCTATTAGTGCAGTAGGAAGCATCGAGGGCCTGTTTGATTATAACCGTATCCGGGCGGACATGAGCCGGAACTTCTAAATCTGAGAGCGTGGTTGCATGTACGGGCGGGAGAGGGATTGATAGACGTGTATAATGCAAGAAGGCGCTGCTTGATGTACACATAGGTTCTCTATAAAATTCCCTTTATTTGTTATGTCCATGGTGTCTTGCCTTGTGATCACGAAAGTCTGCCAGCTGGTAAATTAGGGATGCTGGCATCACTGTGCGCTCTTAAGTAAAGCATCTTATTTTCATAGTGTCACTTGTCTGTTAAAAGTCATAAACGAACCATCTGGATATATCTCGGTTGCCATCTACAGCTATATCGAAACCTGGTAGGAAATGCATGGCTTCGTGGCCTCCTGGTTGTACCTTACGCCAAGATGTCGACCGAGAACTTCTTCGCCGAAGTCGCTCCCGAGACGGTGGACACGTTGCGGTATATCTGCTGGAATACCTTTGAGATAGGCGCAGGTAATTCCTCGAGTTAGATCAGGATTCAATTCTTTGGTCTTAGATATCAACTTGAATCGAAGGATCTGAGTAGCGATCGATCCCCGGAACAAACGACTCGGGGCCATGTTGCTAAGATAGGCCCAAGAGGGGCGAACGAGCAGATAGGAGGGAGGATAGCGGCTAGGAAGTTGGAAAATGGTCACAAGGTTGGTAGAGGTTGTTGGAAAGTGGAGCGTTGACATAGTCCGTGCATAGTATGTGTGGCAAATTGGTGAAAAACTTTAAAACAACGTAGTTCCTACAACTTCTAGCCATTAAAAAAAAAGGATAGAGTGTGTTTTATCACGCTGCTGCTCAATTTGTTCATTTGCCGCGTCAGTGGATATTATAGAGGCAAACTCGTAAATAAGGACGTGGTCCAGCTACATTTAGCTTGTATTTATCATATTTCCTCCCATGAGTTGAACGTTTCGTGCAATTTAAATCTATATATTTTCTTATTGAAATGTCTTTTACGTTTACATGGATTGGTTTGTTCACATCTTCTAACTTGTCTATGTCTTCGAGATTTTTATTCGTTATTTACATTTTATTTGTTTACATGCCCATTTTCTTGTTGTATAAAATAATAATGAACAGGTATTTTGAGATTATAAAACTTGCACTTGGCGGTTAGTCCAATCGAGAATTTAAACGTCATTGGATGGGACACTACTGGAATATCTACTTGGAACTGATTTGATAGTAATCCTTCTACGTACATGTATATACCGAGGAGAAATGGCCATCCCAGCCGCTCTGACATACACAAGCGAGCGTATATTATGGATAATAGCCTCAATTCCGAGTCCGCCTTTCAGGGTTGAATCAAAAGCTTGGCTATGCATCTCAATCCAAGGCTAATAGCGGGTGAACGGAAGTAACCCAGAGAGGAGCTGCTCTAGAACAGGTGCCGAATCGCTGAAGATAATTACCGATACCTCGAGCTCTACTTAGGCGCGGCATGCAACCGCTCGACAACATATTTTCCCCTCGCCACACTCAAAACCGCGGCAAATTGTTGGTATTGTTCTTCTAATAAAGCTTGGGCTACCCTATCTAGTTAGTTCGCTTCCCTTTGACCCGTTGTATACAGCTTCTTGCACCTGATAGGAAGCAAATGTAGTGTTCTTCATAACTTATAAGAATAATCAATTCTCTGATGAGCTTTGAAGGCGAAGATTCCATACTGGGAGCGTATACTAGTAGTATTTTAGGATTCTTGCCTGTTATTAGTAACTATCATTTCATCTGTACTGGTGTTCGGCCCATTACATTTAACCTCAAGCTACAGATATCCCGTAAAACAACTTGCTCTATTTTGCCCTGTAGATATTCGGTAGCAAGTATTACGCCTGCAATTCGATCGCGATCTGGCATGAGGCGGCAGATCAAAGGAAAAGTGCAAGTTGTCTTAAGCAACATCCTCCTCTGGTTGTCGCAATTGTCGTAGAACCTCTACACCAGCAGAGACCTAATTTCTGGTCATGCTACTCAAGATGCGAGTATGACAGCAAAATCTTTTAGACAGTTGGGAAATTCAAAGCCCCGCTCTTGATCCTCAGTCCCCTTCCAAACATCTGCAAAGCGATAATAACCAGGAATGCAGAAGCTAAAATACCCGCTTGGATGCCAAAGCTGACTTTTGTGCCCAAAGCCTCGGCCCAAGTAACTTGGAAGTAACTGATGATGAATCCTCCAATAGCTATAAGGCGTTAGCATATCAAAACATTGCGCTTGAGCAAGGATTGCTCAGCTTACTTCTAGAAAGGTTGAGCCAGGCAGATACCTCGCCAGATGCTTCAGGGTAACAGTCGAGGTTATACGCATTCAAAGCCACAGTCGTCACCATGATACCAAAGACATACAGCCCCCATAACACAGAAGTGGCCATGTAATGATATTCATTCTCCAGGGCAAAGCCAAGTCCAACCAGACCGACTATCATGAATGGAGTGCTGAACCATATGGCGTGTAGTCTGATCTCTGGGTCAAAATGTCCTTTGTGAGTCTTGATATATCTCTTGGCAATAGCGTCATGTAGCCAGTGCCCAATTATTTCACCGATCAGAGCAGCGACGATCGGTGTAAAGTAAAAGAAGCCGATCTGTTTAGCTTCGAAGCCATATAAAGGTGTAAGGAAGATAGACAAGGTAGTATTGATACCAACTACCCATGCGAAAGTAAGGAGGTAGTATACGCAAGAGAGGAAGACGGTTGGCTTGAGAATGACTCGGATTGACCGCATACAGGCTTGACCGAAGCTGTTGCGGAGGTGACGGGATGCGAATTGAGCAACTCCTGTCAGTTGGGCGATGCGTGAGCCTCTGGGTGGTTGGTCCTCTGCTGCAATGCGGCGGTCATAGTACGTTTCCTCCATAAAGAGGATGGTAAGGATGAGTACGAGGGCAGACTGCACAGCAGTCAGCTCAGTCTCTGATTAGGAAGTTGTTCAGTCTTACCTCGACAAAATACACCCAGAACGCAATAGGCCATGGCTGCGTATTAATGATGAAAGCCGCAAGTAGCGGCCCCATATACGGAGACAAGATAATAAAAGCAGACCAAATATTGATCTTACGGGCGCGTTCATGAAAGTAGAACATATCACAAATGAACATTAAGCCGCCGCACTGAGAAACCGTGCCGAAGAACCCGTTCAGGATACGGGCAGCCATAAATGACTCGAAGGTTGTGGCGGCGGCGCACCAGGCGGCTGTGGCAGTTGCGACGATGAGGAAGTAGAACAAGACCGGAAGACGACCTGCCCAAGCCGAGAGGACTACGACAAAGATACCTCCAGCACCAAGCATGAAGACGTTGCCTGCTTGTGAGTGATTCACTGTATCTGGGCTTAGACCCCAAATACTGAGATACTGCGTTAGCCATGAACTGTTTTCTCCCAGCCACCGAATTGCTTGCCACTCACGCTGCCTGTGGAATCAACATAACAGCACCGGTAGCACTACCATAGTCCGGAAGAAAGGCCGCAAAACTTATGATGAAAAGGATGACATGTTTCTTGACCGGGCTCCAGTTGAGGGGGTCTCTGGGATCATCTGATGGCTGAGGGATCAGAACGGTGTGGCCGTCTTTTGCTGTTTTGAGGTCTCCACGGTGCTCGTCGTCGATGTCGGCAAGGTAGCCTTCTGCCTCTTTGAACTCATGTAGGGCAGCGCGGTTGTTGCCCACGTCGTTGCCCACGGTTTCGGTCTGCTCAGAACCTTCTGCATCCTTGGGGTACTCCATGATAAGCGTGGAGGACGTGAAAGGCGAGGTGAACTGAGTGGAAAGGTTAGTTGCCAGGAGAGGCGACTTTTGGATATAAGAGGGGCAAAAAGCTCAAGTGCCGAGATCAAGTGGCGGCGATACCATTAAGGATGGGGAAGGGCGATATAGTAGTTGGGGTAGATGCTGACTGATATATTTCTAAGGATTGGGCGACCCCCGGACCAATTCTTTTCCTGATACAGTTATACCTACCTTACCTACGTACCTATGTAGGTACCTAAGTATCCAAAGACCACGCATTTCCGGGGTCCCCACAGATCCAAAAAAGTTCCAGGGGAGAGGGCGCCTAAAACTATATCCACTGGCGAGAGTCGCCAAGCGGTGTGGTTAAATAGGGGTAATCTAGCGAATTTGAGATGTGCCGTAAATCTCAAAATGCATCCTTCGTCGCCAATACATGTACACATCTCCGCGACTTTTTCCACAGTGAAGATATATCGGTCCACTAGAAACGCCTGTCAAAGGCTGACTTATCCTGGTAGAACTGCCGTCAACGGGCCGTATTTCACTGCCGTGCTCGCCAGCAACGACCCTCTTGATAGGTGTGGAGCGGTGCCAGTCACCACTGATATTCTGCGACGATATCATGCAAAAATTATCCGCTGGTGTGATAGATCTCGTAATCCTGCACCTTGCGTCAATTTGATTCGGAGTATGCCAAGAATACCCATCGTGAAGTAGCTGAAGTTGACGAGTACTAGTATCCGCAAAGTGTTTCAACTCAACGCTCAAGAGTCGTTTGCTAGGTGTCAAGACGCCAACTAGCGGATCACCCTTTGGAACATACTAAGATTGGGCTTGCTCAGTATCCTGACAGTCCTGCTAGATTGGTAGTGAAGCACGCAGCCGCTTGTAAACCCACTTTCCTCAATAGCGACTCGTAGGAACCCTTCATTCGTTAGTCCCGCCACTTCAGGATCTCTTTATCCAATCTGACTGGAGAATATGTGAGGGTACTTTGTGTCAAAGTCGATCAGCTGGCGAGCGGCATCAACGTGCTCCATCTCGAGTGTCTCTAAGATAGGACCTGCTTCTCCCTTAGAAGTCCGCGGCGTCGATCTATTGATATTGTGGGCGAGCTTCCAATTAAGTTTCGAGGGAGGAGCTCATCATGGACATATTCACACCATTCCCAGCATTCTGGCTGTGTATGGTATGCTAAAATCAAGTCAGAGTTTGCAAATGTAGAGGTTCACACATTCAACTTACCATTACCGAAGAAATAAGCACTCTGTCCACACCATCAGACATCCTAGTGGAACTTCGCAGCCATATGTTGACCAATTCAGAATGCAGCCCAGCAATATGGAGTGTTACCTTTTTTTTATCTCGAAATTGTACGGTGCAAAAATAGCCCTTGCCTGCTTAAAGATATAATCCAGGTTGACGGTACGGCGTCCCTTCTTATGGGCAGTCATCTTGTCTGTTCTGGAATCCAATGAAGGTATGTCAACCGCACCAGGTAATTGGACTAAAGCGGGATGGGGCACTCTACCAAGTAGATAAGTTTTTAGAGCGGATGCTTGCTCTGTCGTGCCATCCTCGAGATCATACTCGTACGTGACCAGAACCGGGGACTCTGGGTGGGCCTCATCTACAGCGTATTCAATGAAGCGATGCGATTTTCGAAGAACATCCCTTGGTGCATAGAGATTGTGATTCTCTTACGGGATCCGCTCTATCCGGCCTTGTTGGATTATACGACGTAACCTGGAAGGGGAAGCGTGCTGCAACGTTGACAACTTGATACCCGGGGTAAAGTATATGTGCTCGATTCTGAATCTTCTGTTGAGATTGGTTGTGAGAAACCCGAGGATCATTACCCATGGTGTTAGCAACATCTAGCCGCCCATTGAAAATAGCCACAGTGTCGACCGGTCACACAGAGAGCCGTAAATTACACTATTCAGAAGCTATCCTCCGATCTGCTCCTTCATTGTCTACCTCAAATCCTTCTGCATGTTTTTCATCCAGTTATCACCTGCTCCTCCCTGAGACCCCGAGCATTCGTATTTTTAACATTACCCAGCGTTGTAAGTTGTGCTCTCAGCCTGTCATTGATTATGTAGCTGCGTACGAGGAGCTACGCCGCGCGAGGGCTAAGCTGAATAAACTATTTAAGTATGTGCGGGTGCGAGGGCTAATTGCGTCTGACTGCATTTACGAGTACTGGCAGGGGCTGTGTAGCATTTCTTCCCTCACCACGTTCTTCGTTACCTAATGCCCACCCAATAAACATAACAACAATACTCAAAATGGCCCAAAGCGGTAAATGTACTAGTATTTTTCAATGGAATACTTTTGATGTCATTCTAAAGATTACTTTAGACCTAAGCCGCTGGTAAACATGGTCCAAAACAAAACCGGGATCAAAAGCGCAATGTCTAAATGGCCTATTAATGCGGTGGTAGAATCTACAAATCGCCCATACGCTAAACCGTACAGCCCGCCAAGTACGGTATCCTATTGATAATCAGCTACGACTAAGAAAAGTGCCAGACGGCTTCTGGTCCTTGGCCCAGAGAAGCGGTAAATGCTAGCAGGCTATGCATACAGTTCTAATGCCGCTAGCTAAATGGACTACAATAATTTGGATAGAGAGATTGGATATGCGGGCTAGAGCCTAGAGATAGGATGCAATTAAGAACGCTCTGCATAAAGAAGGATTCGGTCGGCGCTGGGCATGCGAAAGCCCCCAACTTTCGAAACGAACCTTCGGCTTCGGCTTAAGCTTAAGCTTTCGAAGGAACACAAAGGCTGGATTTTGTACAACTAGTGCAGGTTGTTATGGTCTGATTGGCCGGGGTTACAGACAGACGGAATCAGAAGACAAAAATCATGCGCCGAGGGAGAGAACTCGGAAAATAGTGGGATGTGACGCGTATTGAGGAGAAGGTACAGCAGAACAAGGGATATATGTTTTGGGCCGTTTTTAGAGCCATATTAAATGACCATTCTGCTTTTGGAAAAATGATAGGCATGCTCCAAGGAAGGCTCTCAGAATATTACCCTATTAGAAGAGCTCCGAATTTCGACCTTGATATAGTCTCCTTTTTCTCCAGACTTCAATCTAAGTATGCTCTGGGATGTTTACAGGCTCACTGTGGGTATTATGAGTCCCAGCCTTATAAACAGCAGCGGGGGCGCGTTACAGAGGCTTCTCACGTGGTTATTGACCCCAGGACCTTTTGGGAGTTATTTGGGGGCATGCGAAAACGTATGCAAGCTGTAATTGATACAAATGGCAAGTTTACAAGTGATAATATATACTTAATTGAGTTGGTTTTCTATCTACCTAGATGCATTTTGGTATGCATTAGACGAGATAACGTCCTTGCTACCGTAGGTAGGGCCACTAGACTAGGGGAAGGTATTGTAACTCTGAACTCCCACGAGCACCGCCCCCAGCTCGTAGCAAGCCACCTTGGACGAAACGACCTGACTGCTAACCGACATTAGGAGGCATAGTTTCGTAAAAGCTGACGCATTTAAAAAGGATCATGATGTGGCCGCCAAATGTATACAAGTGTTAGGATTATGAAGGATCGCCGCAGCGGATGAGCTGGACCAAGTAGTATCAACACCAAGATAATAATGCGTATAGAGAAATGTGTAGATTAGGACGATCAATTACCTAGGGGTATTGAGGCGAAGTACGTTCCTTTAAATCTCATATGAACTTGCAAGCCTGACCTAGCAATACCGAGTTATATTCTGACTATAAGAAGCAGTGGATTTCCCTCTTAATCCAAAATGTTTTATCTCCATCAGATTCGATTCTATTCCTCCCTACTCTGAATATATTTCAACCAGTTTACATCCTTCACCATGCGTTTTACTCCTCTGTTGTTACTTGCTGTAGGAGCAGCAGCCTTCCAAATTCCAAAAGGTCAGGCCGATGGTGTCTATGAGGTCGTCACAGGAGCGGATGGCAAAGAAACCCATAGACTCGTCGGCTCTAATCCCGACGCCGTTGAGACTCGAAACGCTGTCCCCGACAAATTTAGCATGGCCCATAAGCGTGGTACCAGTAATTCAGTCAACTGCGGAGGTTATGTTCTTCCCCAAGGCGACACTGACTCCGCAAACAACTATTTGGACGCCCAATGCGGTGGTGGCGCTGGTGGTACGTTTTGCATAGCACAAGCTCTCTTTATTCCGTCTTCTCTTTCTCAGTTTTATCTAAGAGGCGACTGAAGCTTCTCACTACTAAGTATGTCTTGATTTGAAATAATACTGACCCTAATATTCTTTTACAGTGGGCGGGGGCCGTGACCTTTACGCTATTAAGGGATGTACAGTTGCTTACTTCTGCAACTATACTGGCGGCACTCAGTTCTGTTATGCGAAAGAGCGACAGGAAACCTCTCGTGCTATCACCTCCGTTTGTGGACTATACGGAGCAGGGTGGGACCAGATCCAAAGCGATAATCGCAATGTCCAGTACGGATATGAAAACAATTGCAATCAAGGCTGGAATTTCTGCGGCCGCGGCATGGATGGAAAGAAACTCTAGACAAGCTCTTTCGGTATGTTTTTAGCTCATGATATTCTACGGAGATAGCATTGATCTGACTAGTCGTTCTAGGGGTTCTTACAATAAAAGCTCAGGGGGAAGTACGGTGTTAGGAGTGTAACAGTGCTGCGACATTTCTTATTCTTCGATTTCACTTCATACCGCTTTAAAGGGTCCTCCAGTCATTCGTTTATCCTGTCACTCGTTTATCGTTTCAATTCTCTGGCGGGAAGATAAATATTAGAACTTTGTGCCGCTTAGCCTGGTAATTAGAGCTTGGGAACTTCTGATCTTGTCAAAATCCAGCCTCATTGTATATAATAAATATTTATCAATTGAGCCTCTAATAGTGACTGCCGCCACTTTGAAATATTATTTTCTATATTTCATTCCGATATGAAAATATATAAGTTGATAATTTGTCTAGGGGTGTTGAACTAGCAGCTAGTAGATATTTCATTAAAGTAATTGAGGGGTAAAGACATAGAAAACTCAGGTTATGGTGGCCTAATTAAACCAACACAAGGTGCGTTTCTCGATGAGCCCGGAGAAAGCCACCGTATGTACAGTACCTTCTAGCTTCTCCTAGAATACACCTTTTAACTCTCGACCTACTACTGCTTGATGGCCTCGAAGATTTCAGATTGCCTTCACTACCAGAAAGCTACATTTTAGATCTGGCAAGATTCGCAGAAATAGTACTAGTAACTTCCAGTGGTTCAAGGAGGGTTTATTTAGACAGAACCAAGATATTAAAATCGGTATGACCTATGGACCTTCAAATTTTAGTAGGAAGGGAAAAAAAAGGTACGGGTTGCCAGCAATTGTCCCTGAACCAGGTGATCGCTACCAAGAACAAAAACACAGTGCAAAAAATCAAGAATCTATATAATTCGATATCTTTCCCTGATGCTGAATGGCTTTTGAACTAGGTTCGACCGGCTTTTCTCGGCCGCAGAATAACATTGTAGTTCTGATCCGGCTTCTGAATGGTGAACTCCTTAGTTCCTAGCACTAGACTCGGATCCTCTAACTCCATGTCATATCGTAGTAGCAATGTGGCAATCATCTTCACGATAAACTGAGTAGCAACATTTCTTCCAATGCATTGCCGGGTGCCGAACCCAAAGCCTAGGAAACACGTCTTCATCGTCGCTAAGTCAGCTGTCTCATCTGACCACCTGTCAGGGTCCCAATTGTCCGGGTTCTTATACACTGTGGCGTTTCGACCGATCGTAGCGGCAGGTACACCAACAGCTACACCTCCCGGAATGAACACACCGCAGATGACAGCACCCTGAGAAGGTGTGTCACGCGGCATAGCATAACCGATAGGTGGGTGAAGTCGGAGACACTCGATCTCAGCGGACTCGAGGAGACTCAGCTTATTCAACTTCGTGAAGGGAATTGCTTTGGTTCCATCAAGGTTATCAGGGAACATGACTTCGAGGTCGTTAATTATGCGGGCTTTGACAGTCGGGTTCTTGCACAGGTAGTATGTCATCCAGTTCATTGTCACGCTGCCTGTGCTTGCACCAGCAACCCTAGTGAAAATAGTGAGCCGAGCATACTCAAACATGGGGAAGGAATGCTCACATCAACGACGACGTCTCAGCACGAAGCTCAGGGAAATCCATTTTCCGGCCCGTCTCTGGATCCTGAGCTTCGATGAAGCGCTGCATGATATCTTGTCGAGGCTTTCCGGTCGGCAACACCTGTTTGCGATCTTCCTGGAATCTCTTCTCCAATGCCATCCTCGCGTAATCTAGATACTCCAATCGGGCTTTCCAGAGTTTCTGAACATAAGGCAGTGGTACCCAGCTGAGAATTGACACGCTGCTTTTGCCAAATGGAAGAATCCCACTGATGTTACCAAATCGCTGTGAAAGCTCGACAAGTGTGGAGTACCTCGCTGGTTTACCAGTTTCAACGACACCGAAGTTGTCTCCCAAAGCTAGGTCGCCCATCAAGTCCATGGTAAAAAGCTCGAACCAAAAGTAGATATCGAAAGCCTCCCCTGTCTGGGCGAATTTGTCCATCTTTCTCATGAACTTATCCAACATCTGATCAATATAAGGCTCGAACAAAGCGAGACTTTGAGTGCTAAAGCCATGCGCAACCATTCTCCGCTTCATGGCGTGGCGCTTCTTCGACCGAGTGGAGAAGAGTGACTCTCCCGTTGTGGAGAAGGCATCATACCAACTCGATTTTCCGAACTCTTCCGCTCCTTTACCGTGACCTAAATATCATCAGCTTCAACTAATATTTGACTTCCTCGCATCACATACCATAGATTGCCTTGATGGCATCTGGGTGGTTGAAGGATACAGCTTTCGGTCCAGTGCGGACTGCTATAGCACCAAGATTCTCTGCAAACAAGCTACCGACCCATCGAGTCCGACGCTGCTCTTTGAGAGCATTAACTTCCAGGAGAGGTGTTATCCTGGTCAACCACGGACCAGGTATCTTGCTCAATGGTGAGAGGAATAACTGGTAGATGATCGTGCACAGTTGATAAGCAGCGACGGCGAGTAAAGCGAGACACAACACCTCCTTTCCACCTATAGAATTGATATTAATGATAACCATTTCATTGCAGGTAAGAGGATCAAGTGTTGCTCAAATTCTGTAACGACAAACGCAAGCTTCAGGTGATCTTCCTCCCCGAGCTGGAGTGAGATGTTTTTGGTGGGTTTTGTTAAGTAATACAAAGACTCTCAATATGAAGTGTCCGGCAAGTCTACAAGTAAAAGAGAAACCACGGGGAAAGTGGTGTTTCAATGTCATCGAGGATGTCAATTTAAATGTTCTTGTGACATACTCGTACAACTTCCCCTCACGATGGTTCAGAACCCACTTACAGCCCCACATCTGGATGCTAAGTTTCCATCGGAAGTCAATACCCTTTAGTAGGCTTAGAGCTTACAGAACTTGATATTTTTGCTCTCGAACTATTTCATAGTACAAAATTCTCATTAGCAATAAACCTGAACATATTTACGACATCTTCAATTGGTTTATATGCATGTTCGATAAGGAGGTGGTACCACATTCCCTATGGGCGAATCGGAGAACCTGCCCTAGAAATTTGGTGTTTACAACCTGAAAAGATATCGAATTTCAGGCTATAATGACAATTAAGCACCATAAAATCTATTCATTAACTGTGTAATCACAAACTCCTCAACTTTACTCATTTACCACACTGTCCATTAAAGCCTGAACAGTGCACGTCCTTCGGCAAGACGCCATGCCCAGAATTTCAAACACAATAGATAACTAAGCTTTTGTTAGCCTCCTCTTGGCCTAATTTGCTATTCAACGTCATCTACTATTGACCAAGAAATATATCCTAAATGTGAGCTCTTCTCACCGCCACATCCCAAAGGAGACGTCTGTGCCTTCAAGCGAGCTGACGACGTTCGACTAGTAAGGGGGGATGATGCTACCCCACATCTCAAATCGTGGAGATACCGCTGCGGGGTATGGGATCTTGACCTGGCATCCTGAGCCACCGGGCCAAATCGGTAGTATAAGTCAAGTAACCGGGATAGTTACGGGTATTCGGCATATTTAGCAACAACTTTCAAGTTAGTACTAGTTTCTTACTTCAATTCTCTTCTGCTGCTACTTATCCTGCCTACCTAAATATACTTTACTACTGTTCCCTATTTAGTAGAAGAAGCTATTAATTTAATACCTTAATTCTAAGACTATATCTATGGCAAGCTACGATTCTTGTTGATATACGATAAAAGCTTCTAATACGGTAGTTTATGATAGCAGTCGAAATCTCCTCTTTTCTATTTTTGGACTGTGGTTAGATGTGGTGAGGTGCAGCGATGAGCCACAGGATCTGTTTCTGCTACTGTCAATACAATATTTGCACCTGAGCAGAAGCGGGTGGGAATGTCGGTATTAAGAGATGGGTTTATGGATCTGAAGTCTGGACCCACTTATCCAAAGCCGCCATGTTCGAAAGATCGTCGGACTGTCCGTCGTCCATCGCAACGATCAGCCCCTGTAGCACACCACTGACAAGAGATCCAAGTGGTCCTAGAATATCAGCTTTTTTCCCAGCTGCACCACCAGAAACGGTCAGTACTGTGCCTATAGCATTCAAAAGATCTTTTGTAAACAATGAGTTGGTGTCACCATCGTTCTTGTCGAAGCGCTGCTCGTAAGAGGCTTGTTAATTGGCGAAAAATGATGCCGAATCCTCAAGACGTTCATTGATTTTGCAAAATATCTAGGGAAAGTGTTAGACCGGGTGATATGGGAAAATTTTTACAGCAAAAATATCTACCTAACCGATATACATCATTTGCAGCATGATCAAGTACGCTACTACACCCTTTTCCGTTGATATTTAGTTACCTAGGATGTTACAATCTAGGGAGCCGCAATCATCATCAATGCCACGAACCTTGAATGACTCTCTCAGGCCCCAGGGGTCGGCAGGAAAATCTACTTCTAGATTTTCATTCATCTAGGGGTTCTTCCAATCTATGATGGTAGGTTTTAGTCGACGTTTGGGAGGCGATTTCGCTTCTTTACATATCTTCAAAATATTTGATTCCCTCAACTTCTCTCTAGTCGCCCTGAGTTGTATGGAGTTTATCTGTTACGTATTTCTGCCACACTAGACATACATAGGTATTAGTACCATGTGGTTTTCAAACACTAGAGAAGTATAGGCTACTGGCACTCAAGGTCAAGGCAACTTGAGTCGGGGCTCAACTCGGGCACATAATCTGGTATTTTCTCGCAAAAATCTTCCTGGCTAACTTAACGTTAACACGGGTCCAACACTGACTAGCAATGGAGTTACTTACATCCATCGCCACAAAGGTCACTCGAGCTACCACAAACCCCGGCCGGAGAGCAACAGCCATCACCCACCACGACTCGCCCAGCACAAAGAGCGCCCTTATGTAGTTGACCGCAGGTAACATCGGTTGTCATACCATTTTTCGTACAGCCTCCAAAAATATAGGCCTTGCCACAGTGAGCCAAGCTTGATCCGCAATAGCCAGAGAAAGAACAACAACTTCCAACGGCTGAGTTGCCAAATACTTTGAATCTATTGTTGGGTCTGCATGTACCATCTTCTGTAACTGGCGAGGCACTGTTATGCATTTAGTAAACGGAAGATAGAGAATGCGGAGTCATAGCATACGTTCCAACACTAGACATAAAGTCTATACTCCAGAACATGGTTCCACCAAAGCACAGACGACCTGACCAAATCAGTTTTAGAGCACGAGTCTCTTCATCGTCATATCCGATCCACTGATTATCCCAGGTGGTCGCCTTCATCATTTCGTTATCTAGAAGAGTGGGAGTTAGACCTTCCTCTTTGATGATATCCTTAATCTCCATCAAAGACAAGACACCAATGGAGTTAGTGCAGGGCCCCGGCAACCTTGGTCCTCTAAATAGGTATCCTAGGTTGTTGCAAGCTTTGTTGGCGACCGTATATCCCCTACCATATGCTGTGAGACCGAAGTTGATTTTGGCGGAGTTCAAACCATCGAACCAGAAAGGCATAGCATCATTGTAGATCTCAAGAATTCCAGTTTGTCCACGGATTTTGGAACAAAGAGTCTTGACGTCCAAGTCCCACGACCCGTGAAGGTTATCAGCCATAAATCAGAAGAAATCGACAAAACTCTCCACCGCCTTGGCGTCAAAGTAGCGGAGATACCAATAGTCCGGTGCGAGAGTGAGGCTTAGACCGTACAGAGTTCCAAGGCTTACTATTGGTTCTTTGATTAGCTAGACGAAATTGGTCTGTGAATAAATATATGAGAATCTAAGCAGCAATTGGTGTTTTAATAAGCATTAGAAATGCGAGAATCTAATGCTATCCTTCAGTAAGTTCGGGAGCTTCTGGACTTTTTGACTTGGCAATGGAGGTTGTCGGAGTGCGGGCCCTCATGGCCTGCCTCAAGCGACCAGGTTCTAGTCACAAAACAAGCAGACACATGCGGTACTATAGCCTTGATAAGTTACAAGTGGATGACATGGATATTAGGTATATATACATAATCTATACAAAGTGGCCCACCCGAAGGGCCCGAGGAAGAGAGCCTTTATAGTGCGCTTTTCCTCGCGCTTTTCCTCCTCGGAGGTAGCGTGGCGGTCCCATTACCGGTGGCCTTCATCACGCCGTTCGCACTACCATTGGCAAATCCATTGCCGCTCAACAAGGGCAGTGCCTCGACCTTCTTCGTTTCCTCCTTCTTGGGTTCTATATCTTCAAGCTCCAACTCCTCGTCCTCGGATGTGTCCGATCTATCGTCTTTCGCAACGTTATAGACGACGAACCGGAACGCACTGCGCAGAAGGCAGTACAGCCAAAAGAGGTTAAGAGACTGGAGCGACCCTAATAGGACGATAGCGATAGTATTAGAGAACGGGGACTTATACTGTCCTGTCTCCCAGTTCATTTCGTAGGGACCAACGGTCCGAAACTCGTTGAAGAGCGAGATGAAGATACGTATATTCAGGTAATGGCGCAAGTAAATCCACGCGCCTATAGAGGTGCCGAAGTACAATCCTACCATAGGGCTGTCGATATAATGGAGGGATTTCGACAACTATAAAAACAAGCCCCGCGTTAGTACTATTCCAGAGTGTCTCCGCAGAACGCAAAAGGGGCACAAGAACGTAATTCGACTTACGGCAAGAAAGAAATCACTAATATCATGGGTTATGTAAATGGCGATACCAATATACGTGAAGTGGAATCGGTAGCTTAGCCCGACAAGGGTCAAAGTAACGATATGGTGTGCTACAAGCTCATTAAAGTCCTTGCGTCGCTTCTCCATGCCCAACAACATGACAACGGCCTGCTGCGCCCAATATGCGGCCTGGAACAAGTAGTAAAACTTGAAAACGGCCTGGTGGGTTTTATGTGGGAAGAACTCGAACATGCCTCGCGCGTCGAAGTACCATACTGGCGTTTGGCGCATAACATATAGTCCGGCCGGTCCTGTGAGCCCAAAGTAGATGGCGGTGTATGCCTGCTCCATAAAGCGAAATTGTTTGCCATGGGCCTTGATGCCGCAGAAACGCGCCAAGGGACGTAATATTTCTTGCATGATGAACTCGCGTGTAAACGATAGGACAATCACATAGAAGGACACGAATGCGATATCCCAGAGGCCCTTGCCATACTGCGGAGGCGAGCTGGGATCGGCACCAGCCTCAAGAGGTAGCCTGTAGGAGAGGAATATGAAATGGTGGATGGCGTTGGATTCGGTCGGATTGATGGCGTATAAGGAGAGGATCGCGAGCAAGAGGACGAGAGGTATCGTCCAGGTATGCTTAATGGCGAAGTTTGTGCAGCGCCGCAGAAGGGAATAGGACTCTCCACGCTTGGAGAGCCTTTTCTGCTCGCTCAGCTGGCGCGCATGGCCGCTGGATGACTTCGTTGACGACGAGTCAGATGTGCGGATGATGCTCGAGAGGCCAATTCCCAGACTCCTTCCCGTGTCTGCAGCGCAAATCTCCTGTCCCAATATACTGGACTTCCTTCGTCGACGCGGTGTGCTATTTCGAGTCGCGGAGGGCGGTTGGTCGGCCGAGGTATTGAGGAGTGGGAAGAGGTCGGGTGCGACCATTGTCGCAGGTGGAAGTGCTGTAGTAGGCGGCTGTGGTTGAAGGTAATGTAAGGGGGCAATGATCCGCGCGGAATCTCGCCGTGCCTTCAGACGAGGGGTGATTCTGATCAGGTACAGGCGCCGTAAGGTTCGTGTACAGCAAAAGCGACGGGACCCAGATTGTTCCAATTTCTCAAGGAGTGAAGATGCTAAAGGAGTGAAGCGATCTTGACTCTTGAGGTTGTGCAATGAGCCAAAAGAATTGGATTTGACCCTTTTGCACGAACCCCTGCTGATTGCGTCCAATTTCAGGGGTCTAGCCAGTACTTTCTTTCGCACGTAGCACGAAATACGTAAGGCCGCAGCCGCCCCCGTACCAAAATCCGATCCTCTGGATATAGCTTATTATAAGATTTGTGCAGCGCTAGCAAGGGTTCCTTGTTAAACTGCGTTTTTCTTCACTTCACAAAAGTTACTCCGAATGTAATCATGTTGTTTTTGATTGTTTTGATAGTATGATACACTGATAGCCGATAACTAAATTAGTGAATCCTAATAATACGGGACAAGTGAGGCCTTGTCTTATCTGTGCGGGAGTGTCCCACCCTAGCGCTATATATACTAATACTTCTAGGCCGTGCCTCTGTACCTCGGTAAAGAGGATATACCAGATCCTGACTCGCTGAGCCGACCATTCTAGAGGACATTCTGCGGTGCCTGCTTTGTAGTGCCGCCAGTACTGGTCCGTACTATATCGAAGGCAGAGAAGGGCCGAGGAAAATGCCATGCAAACCGTTTCATCGTGGAAATATGGGTTTGAAGCCACCTATGCCTAGGCATTTGGCCCATCGGCCACGCTCCAGGTTTCCGTTGTCTAAAGTGCTCCTCAGTCGATTTGCTTTTTGCACCCGATCCTGTGCAACAACTCCTTATGATCGATATGCCCAGGCAGACTGGCGCCACTGGAGCTCGTGGCCATCTTAACGGCAGTGCGGCGCTCCCATGCGGTCAAGTCAATGGCTTCGACGCCGACTTCCTCCTCGAGGGGCCGGGCCTCCTCGTACTCAAACTCTTCTTCCTCTCCATTTTCCTCCTCCTCATTATCGCTTCTGATATCCTCGGCGCCCTTGCCGTTAAGCACGCGAACGGCAACTCGTATGATGAAAACGGACCACACGAGCATCATGACCTGCAGGATGAGAAGGTAAGATAGGAAGCCGAGCATGATATTATCGTTGAAGCAGACAGTACCCGTGGGGTGGCGGAAGGGATCAAGCAAATGAGACCAGCCTTGAGGGATGGGGAATGGGCCCTGTAGATCATCCGCAGTACCCTGGTAGCACGCTGGTGTTATTAGTTGAGGCAAGTGGGAATAAACGCTCCAACAGGTCATAAGGTAGAACACATGGCGCGAGGCAAGCCACACAACTATAAACAAGCCAAATAAAACATCACAAATCGTAGTAAAGCCGAGGTATTTGAGGCATTTAGCAAGCTGTTCTGGGTGTTAGCCGGATTACGTGTCGGGTGATTTGTATGACTTACTGGAAAAATCAAATCAACAACGTCTATCATCACTAAAATTTGATTACCGACCCGAGTCTGGTGGTAGGCATACGAGGCAGAAATAAGAGCGATGGTAACAAAGTGATGGGTTAGCATCTGCCAGTGATCCTTCCGGCGATCCTCAATATTGATAACGACGACTTGCTGTATCCAGAAAGACCATTGCCATAGTATGTATCCCTTCATAAGCCCATCAAGCTCTCTCTGGGGCCAATCGGTCCATAGCTCGTGCATGTTGAGAAAATACGGCGACTTGTAGTAGATGTACTAGAGGAGGTCAGTTACAATACAATTCGCAGCACAGAGGTCGAGTGCGAAATACCATGCCCAGTGGCCAGAATACACTGTAGTACATCAACATCCATGCCTGTTCGGAGAATCTGGTAACTTCTTTCGTTTTAGATAACCCCAACAGTCTAGCCAGCGGAGCTAGAACATATTCCATAAAACCTGCGCGGAGCCCAGTGAGGAGCACGATGCAAAAGGTCATGAAGCAGAAGTCGTCATGACCCGCAGCATATTTCCCGGTGTTGGGGTTGTAGTGCGGCAGCCTGAAGAACTTGGATGTATATGGCCTCGCCTTGGGTATGCAAGAATGGGCGAGGAAAAGGAGGGCGATGAGGTTGAATGCGAGGCCTGTTCAGCGTACGGCATTGTCAACAATTGCTCGAATTCCGGCGTGGGGGATGTGGGAGAGGCACGAGAAGCGAAGGCAGTACCGGACCAGTGCCGGCAGGTGTTCGTGACATACCAGTCTGATTGTCGAGCAGCCATCGAGTCAACGCCTGTAGCGGATCGTCGCCTTTCCCCTTCGTCTTCTTGAGGATGGTTGCGCTAGAATTGCGCGACTGGGTTGGCGGTCTCGAGGGCGCTTTCGTCTTCTGCGGCTCCTCAGGCCTCGGTTCCATATACGGAACGTCGGTGTTGGGTTCGGTCATGGTCATAGGCGGGGCCAATTGAGGCTCGAGGCTTCGAAGGCGGAGGAGGTCGATGCTGTAGAAAAGATAAAGATGCTTGTTCCTGTCACAGGATGACTCCTAATCGTTCAAAAGCGCGCCGGAAGAGGTACTGGCTCGAGGCCGAAAACGAATGTGTCTATTTGAGAAGCAACATCGACCCGGTGTCAAATCCCAAAGAGTAGATAGGGCGTTCTCAGTTGCGTTGAGATGCGTTGAGATTGAGACCAAAGCCCACAAAACGAAAGGCGGAGGCACCAACGCAACGGCCCGGCGCAGTCAGGGGTTTTCCTACCAAGTTGCGTGGCTTCTCGCGTGCAGTACGCTGGCCGGGGTGGGTGGCCCTAGTAGCGATCATCCTCTCGTCATTCAATACCGCAACAAATATATATACTTCAGCAATATCTTCAAGGACATATTTAGTAAGGAGCGCCTCGCAAAGCAACGGGTGCTGCGAATCTTGTTGGGAATGCCCAGGGTGGTGACGGCCTCAAATTTGGTCCGGATGCATCAGTATACGCTGCAATGCAAGTTGCCGGTGTGGTGATGAAGGTCGGCTGTGGCCAGGGAAACACCAGCATAGCTGCTTCGGTTGATATATTAACAACACAGGTGATGTGGTTAATTTTGTACCTGACTGCTCGTGGCCGAGTTTTGAAGTTATTAAGGTCATTAAATTGCATAATTGATAGAGATCCGATCCAAGATATAAAATATCGCAATGTTAAATCCTGTACCTGGTGTAACAAAAGCAAACAGATCTGTAAGCCCAGAGGAAATCTCTCAATTTCAAATGGTTTCCAAATAGAAGCTAGGAACTGCCAGAGAACCCTACAAAAACTGCAAATCCCTTCAGAGAGTGTAGCCTGGCGGGTAAGACGTCCGTTCAATTAGACGATGAAGGGAGATTCATTCTCCTAGGCACTAAAGAGATTCATCACTATTGACGGTATAATAGTTGTTTCTAGATGGCGGTGAATTACATCGCCTAGGCTTCCGAATGAGGTTCGTTATTCGATTCACCATCGATCACCGCCCGTACACATAGATGTGATTCTAATTCGCCATCTACTTCCAATCCAAACGCGAACCATAAACAAAGCTTCCAACAGTCAACGCGACCACGATCTATCGAAACAACTCGCAACAAAAAAAAACAAACAACCCCTTTCAAGAAACAGGCAAAGTCCAAAAGATGTGCATGTCCATCGAATACCACTTCCCAGCCTGCGGCTGCCTCTTCCGAACCGGCACATTTACATGCTGGGCAGCTGCAGGCACGTTCGATGAAACCTGCAAGCGGTATAAAGTCGTTAAGCAAGATTTGAAATGCTTCGACGTATGTGAGGATCATAAGGATGAGGTGGAGGCGAAGGCTAAGGAGGAGGAGGCGAAAGCGAAGGCAAAGGCAAAGGAGGAAGCAAAGGCAAAAGAAGAGGTGAAGGCGAAGGACAAGGAGAATGAGAAGCCTAAGCTGAGGAGGGCGAGGGAGCGCGCGAAAATTGGGGGTGAGGAGTCAACCAAGGAGAAGAGGGGAACCGGAGTGGATCGGAAAGAAAACAGGAAGGAGAATGCACAGGACGAAAGTGAGACTAGACGCTTGTTGGAGGGAACTCGGGAGAGTGACGAGGAGGGAGAGGATGATGAGCGCTGGTTAGAAGGTGAGGGTGAGGAACTGTTAGAGAAGATGATGAAGGATTTGCTGCATTAAGAGAATAATCATTTGGGCGAACCACTTCCAAGTGCGATGGGTTGGACGGGAAGCTACAGGCGTTAAGGCTGTCCAGGTGGCGGGTCATCACAAGCAAATGGCGGGCGTACCTGTATTATAGTTGCTGATGAGCATTAAAGGATGTGCGCTGGATATCCCTTGGTGGGAAGCGCCAATAATCGTGAAATTGCACGTTGCCTAAATAAACAATATAAACTGGGTCGCATGAATGCTTCTAGAATTCTAGATGATGTGAGTGTATAGAGTACTCCCATCTCGAAAGAACCTGCCAGCACTGTTCCACCTAGATTGTTCTCGATATTCTTAGAGTACCTCAAGACTAGTAGAGATAGTTGTGCTTATCAGGGTAGGGCGGAATCGGGTGTACGAGCAAGATTGTGATATTATATAATTAATTCATTGGTAGATAGCGAATATTTAGATTAATAGAAAATAGCTCAAACTCCTATCGGTACCAAAGTATCCTTAAACAGACTCATCATGGTGGGAATTAAACTTCGTATCCCTCTGTTTATCCTCCTCAGATACCGATGTCAAATCTTGCTCTTTCTCTCCTGCGGCGAACGACGAGGGTGGCACCTCCTTCTTATAACCGAATAGCTCATCCATTTGATCCACGCGCAATCCCTTCGTCTCATGGATGAAGAAGAACGCGTACACACTGGCGGCCAAGAGACACGTCGCGAAGAAAATGTACACTCCGTATCCCATGGCGGTGAACATTTCAGGGAGGGCCTTGGTAACAATAAATGTCCATAGCCACACACTCATGCCGGCGAAAGGTCCCGAGATGGATCGTAGCGAGCTGGGGAAGATTTCAGCCGAGATAATCCAAGGAAGACCATTGGCGCCGAAACTCCATGCTGCTCCGAAGATCATAATGAAGGCAGTTGCGGCCTTGCCGCCGGCGACTGTGGAGGGTGACTGCACGACTCCGGCTTTTGGGGCGCCGATGGCGATGTAGGCGGCAAGATAGTATTGGCAGAGTGCACAACTAATGGAGGAAATGATCCAGGGCCATTTGCGGCCGAATGAGTCGATGAAGAAAGTATAGAAGATGATGGAGCCGGCTGCTTTGATTATGCCGTAGATTCCAGTCCAGAGAGTGACATCGGTGAGACCGATTGACTTGAAGATTGTGGGTGAGTCTAATTAAGATACGTTAGCAAGAGGATCAGGCAGCGATGTATAAGGTGGAAACTAACAGTAGTTGATGGCCGCAGCGCCGGACCAGGCTTGCCACATGAACATGATAAACACGAGGGCGAAGCGATTCCACATTCCCTTGGACAATGCTTCCTTGGTTGCGTCTTTCAAGAATGAAGAGAAGTTTGGCTTGCCACCTGAAATTATGCTGCGTTCAGTTTCGATCTGCTTCTTGACGAAAGCTACATCCTCGGCGATATATTGGTGGTCAACGGGAAGGTTACGGAGGTAACCGTAGACTTTGCAGGCTTCTTCCTCCCGATTTTGCTTGATGAGCCATGTGGGAGATTCCTTGAGGACTGGGATCATCAGGGCGAGGAGACCGGCGGGGATGAGTTGAACAGCCATTGGAACTCTCCATGCAATGGAATCAGTTGTGTCGACATTGTGGGTGATGCCATAATTGATCCAAAATCCAATGACAGCGCCAACCTGATAGAAAGACTCAAAGAATCCGGTAAGGCGACCACGAATGGCAGGCGGAGCAATCTCGGAAATATAAATGGGTGACACGGCTGCAATTCCACCGACACCGAGGCCAGTCAAAAGTCGTCCTGCGTAGATCATGCCGAGTTGATGGGTGGGAACGGTGCAAAGAATTCTAGAGGAAACATGAGCATGGGATTATTTATCGTAGGTTGTGGATGACGGAGCGCCAAAACACAAAAACTTACGCTCCAACGATGAAGATAGCATCGGATAGGATGACGGTCATTCTTCGACCGAGGAGTTCGAGAGAAAAGAACATGAATAAGGCACCGAAGAAACCTCCTGCAGAGTCTATCCACATCAAAGTCAGTATATAATTGCAAGGTATGCACTGCATATGAGTAGTCGTACATATACTGGTCAAATTGCTTGACACTTCATTCTGCTGCGATTTGGTCATAACATCAAGGCCAAAATCACGCATGAAGCTCTTCTGCGTGATGGTCGTGCCAATAAAGGCCGAATCGTAGCCGTACGCCAACACCCCCATAGAAACCACCAAAGAGGCCATATAGACTCTCCAGTTATACTAAGAGGGAATTAGCAAAAGAGCCAGGCTGGTAACTCGACAGACAGGAAGTCTGAACGAGATGGAATACATACGACTTCAGGCGGCGTCGGCCTGTCCTCCTTTGCGCGTGAGAAACCCGTCATGATTGCTAGACTGACTATAGGAACTTCAAGCTAGATTGGGTGAGAGGGAGCTGAGTTGCTGAGAGCATGCAAAAAAATGCGGAGGAGAGGAAATCAAAGCCCTTTTAATAGATCGCGAGAGTGTGAATCCCTGGTCAAGCTCGAGTGGAGAAGAAATACTCCGGAGGCACATGGGCAGAGACACTGCGTCGGAACCGGAGGCGATTCGTGTGGGGAATGTGTGGGGATCAGGGGATCAGGGGACGGTACTGCGTGTCTGATGGCTTTCAACCCACGAACCCCAGTCCCCAGTTATGGGGTATTGCATGAATATGGGGGGATGGCGGGGAGGTGAAAGGACATTGTCAGATATTAAGATTAATAATTGTGGTTGGAACTTGCACATCGCGGCCTAGTGTCTGCTGCGTAGCTCTCAGTAGCTCTGAATAGCTCTGAATAGCTCTCAGTAGCTCGAGCGGCGATGCCAATTACTCGCGTAAGGCGGAATTTAGGAGGCGCTCGGGAAAGTTGCGTCGGCTGCTCATCGGCTACGCTAGTCCCAATCGACGCCTGGCGCCCACGGTCGGCAACGCTAGCAACCCTCGTCGGCTGACTGCTCGACACTAATCTGTATTCGGGCATGGCGCTGGGTCACGGGTCACGGAATTCAATGGCGGCGCTCGCCTCCTCGACAAGATGGAATTCTTGCAAAGCTCCATCTGCGAAGTATGCGATTTTCATTCAATATAGTTGGTTTCTAGGAACTAATAAGTAGCCATACCAACCTTACGGAGTACTCCGCCAACTCTTGGATGCTACAGGATCTGCCTTAGATACTACCCGCCAAAACACTGCCATCCCATTCTCCATCATGACCCGGCAGGTTTACTTACGGAGTAGTACAAACAAAGTCTTCACGGCGACATCGACGACGAACTACATTCGTACTAGTACTGGGATAATCGACCCGGGATGTCGGGTCGCGTCCTTCGTGGCACGTGGCCACGTGGCGACAGACGCCCCCCTCGCAAGTCGCGTCGGCACTCGCGAGCACTAAGGAAAGGTTCCCAGGGACCTGAAGGCAACTTTACAGGATTACTGGGTCGCCGTTGGAAACATCTGGACCCCATTGATCATCATGCTAGCCAATTACCTTCATACTGACGGGGAACCTCCGGATTACCCCAGCCGCACGCGGGGACTGATAACACAGCCTTTTCCGAGTTAAGACATCTTCCCTCGTCACTTTGCAATTCAAGAACTTTTCTCTCAAACCAAATTCGTGCTTCTTCCCTCTTCCTCTTCCTCTTCGTCTTCCTCTTCCTCAAACAACATACAACCTCAGACATCATGGCGATTTCACAAACAAACGGCGCCAATGGCACGAACGGGACGAAGGCAGCCAAAACTTTCCCGCCAGGAGTTCATGTGCCCAGCTTGACGTGGTTCTTAGATGATTCCACGCAAGAAATCGATTGGGACACACAGCGGAAGCATATCAGCTTCCTCGTCGAGTCCGGATTACACGGGAGTACGTTGAATAAAATCCTCGATACCCGCCCCACAGTTTCCTAACATGGCCAAAATAGTTGTCCTGGCCGGTACGAATGGAGAAGCGGTGGCACTGACTGCTGCCGAGAAATCAAAGCTTGTTAGCACAACTAGAGAACTCGCCATCCAGCATGGCCGTCCAGATCTTACCGTCACCCTTGGATGCGGTGGAGGGTCTACCAGAGCCGTGATCGACGAGACGATATTGGGCAAAGAGGCAGGGGCAGATTACGCACTCGTGATGGTGCCAAGTTATTTCCACTTCGCCATGAATGAGGATGCCATTGTAGCATTCTTCCAGGAGGTACGTTAATGCTAGTTTTGCGAATTCGGATTTGTCACTGACTCTGAATTTGTAGCTCGCGGATGCCAGCCCTCTTCCAGTTATTATCTACAACTTCCCAGGTGTCGCTGCGGGTCTTGATGTCAACTCAGAGATGCTCGAAACCCTGGGTGCTCACCCAAATATCGTCGGTGTCAAATTAACGTGTGGTGGTATCGCGAAGGTTGCCCGTGTTCGCGCTGTATACGAGCCAGAGCAATTCTTTGCTCTTGCTGGACAGAGCGACTGGTTACTGCCAGCAGTTTCCGTGGGAGGAATTGGCACAATCACAGGTCTTGCCAACGTCTATCCAAAAGTCAGTACCATTCCACCCTCCTCCACCAGGGCGACAGCTAATGAATTATCGTCATAGGCGTGTATCGAGCTTTTCGAACTTTCCATCGGCGAGAAGCACAAGGAGGCTGAAAAGGCACAACTCGACCTTGCAACCGTGGAATGGGGATTCGCAAAAGGTGGAATCAATGGTACCAAGTGGGTCGTTGCACAGATTCTGGGATACCCCGAGTCGAGTTGCCACACCCGTCGCCCATACCCAAAATTCACCGATGCTAAGAAGCAAAGTTGGATCAGGGGTGTTGTGAATGGGTTGGCAAGCAAGGAGAAGAGCCTCACGAACCTGGCCAAGTCATGATGTATTTTGTAGCATATAAAATATATCATATGTAAAGCAGATTATCATCCATGTGAATTATTGCTGGCAATAAACTGCTATGGTAATCTCTCCATGTCGGAAGTCTGCCTATGGCATGTTTCTCGGACGTTAAATGGCCGTGTTACTTGAGATAGACGTCTCTATCCAACTAAATATCTCTGGGTAGAAAACGCATATCACGTGACAATCACCTGATATCAAGGTCTAGGATTATATCTATTAGCTTCATTAGTATTCGAACGACTGGTGTTCTATTGAGCTCTGTTTCCCTCTTATTTTACTGGCTTAATCCAATTATATTATATAAGATATATAGAGACCCTGCTTCGCGAATGGTGGCGTTGTGTTCTTAGTCATCAAACTATCGAAGTTTGCCTGAAGAGACGCTACACGAGCCGCCACCCCGCAAATCTTCCCAGTAATATCAGACTCCGACTATCAACACAACAGTTCACGGGGTTGCAAGGGGTTACTCAGCAACTATTGAGACTTCATGACGCCGCGTATCGGATGTCTCTCTGATATAGGCCCAGAGAACCGCGTTTGAATCGGCTTATCCAGGTATCTATAGAGTGTACCGCTACCGCACCATACTCGCGCTTCACCGCGTCAAACCCCACTGTCCACGGCGATCACCCTACTCCGTAAGGCTCTAGGGCAGTATGCATGAGTCCGTACGCTCTTATTCCTCCGCCGGCTCACCTCCTCCCCACCGACCCCCGAGATCAAAGTCAGGCTGTGTTACATGTCGGTAAGTGGGGCAGCTAAATAATTCTTAACGGTCTTATATACAGCTGCTGAACCATGTCCAGACGTCGTAAGGTCCGCTGCAATGAGCACAAGCCGCGGTGCTCACATTGCGAGCGACTGAATCTAGAGTGTACTTGGAGACCAAGCCTCCAGCAAAGACAGACACCTGCGAGCCTCCGCCTTAGCCAGAGTGCAGGTATCAACGCATCCAACGGACCGCCTACACCTTCCTCTATATCAGCCGTATCGACACTCCAAGATCCTAGATATCCCACTAATGACAATTCATTCAACGACATTTTCAATTACGCGAGCTTTATGTGGGATCCCAACCTACAAGAGCACATGATTCAGCCCAAGGGTTGGCGTCCACTAGGTGTCCCAGAGATGGAGATAGATCATGGCAATAGTATCGAATGGCCTAGCATGGTTAGTTTTTTAATTTTTTTTGCAAGCCATTTTCCTTTAATCGAGTCTGGGAGTCTAAAGTGTATATGATTTATCTCTAACCTCCTTATAGGAAGGATCTAACTCTATGTTGGTCTCGCCATTCTCCTCAACTCGCCAAGATATACCAACCAATTGGAACTCAACTGCGGAAAATCACATCTCCCCGTCAAATTCAGCAGGCGCCAATATAGACTCAAGTGCAGCACTAATGTCTCTCGATAATGCTGGCGAAAAGGAACTGATGGATTACTTCATCCGGTCGGTTGTACCACCGATTATTGCTCAAGTTGAAACCCAACTTAAATGGTCCTCAATGCGACAATTGTTTATTTCTATGTCAGCTACCTCGCCCATGGTGCGATATGCCGTGCTAGCATTCTCCGAGCTTCTTATGCGCCGGGAACGTGGTGTTCCGCCCCAATATGAGCAATACTACCAAATGGGCGCAGCCGAAGTCCAACGGTATAGTACTGGACAATCACCAGGAAACGATGGGATGTCAGCTACGACATTCGAATGCGTACTCGCGACTCTGTTTCTTCTCAGCTATATTGACCTGCTAGAGTGCGGAACTAGGAATGCTCACGCTCATCTCAAACAAGCCTATGACGTCTCTTCCAAGGCTGATAAGTCTCAATTTCGCGTGGTTGGCAAGCGTTTAGTCTCGTGGATAAGGCTTCTAGATGCTCGGGCTGTCTCCGCTGGCGGAGAGGGTCTCTTCCTCCAAGGAAACGATAACGATCATATCGACCAGTCTTCACCCGCGACGAGCATCGAAGTAGCTGAGGGCGGGAGCACAGACAACGCTGAGGCCGATATCGAAGACGTCCTCTTCGACGCCCTATACGAGCCAGGGTTCCTATTCTTTCAGAAAATCCAAATATTCATGGGCAGAATCTCCCACATCGACCCATGGCATCGCTCCCGCGGTACCGTCGCAGATGAAACGGAAGTTATGGGCCTCGCAGCCAAGATCGGACGCGACCTCATATCTCTCTGGGAGCAACGCCCACCCCTCATGGATTGCACTCTCAACGGCAAGTTGACTTCTGCACACTTATCGCCTAGTCTCGCGTCTGCTATCACACGCACCTTCCGCACATACTATGCAAATTACCACGCGTGCAAAATTCACTTGCATCGAGTGGCATATAAACACCTCCCGCTATCTACTGAGACGGAGGCCTCGGTTGAGAATATTCGCAACACCGCGCGTATCATTGTCGAAGGCAGCTTGGAGCAGGAGCCCTTGCCAGTCAGCATGCTATGGCCGCTGCTGATGTGGGGCTCTGAGGAGAACGACCCGGAGACACAGGGCTGGATATATATCCAGATAAACAGGATGGAAAAGGTGGCGACGAATGCGGAGATCACGGGACAGGTTCTGAGAGAGGTGCAAGCTAGGCAGGAGAACTTGAAGCAGAGAGTCGATATTCGCACCGTAATGCAGGATATCTTCAATTCGTGTTTTGCTATTGTATGATTTATCTGATCTATTATTGGCGTCAGGGGGTGGTGGATTGATCTATTTAGTTTATATATCAAGAAAAGCGGCACTGGGATGGAATAGCCACGGGGCAAAGGTTATATTAATAAATATGTATAAACTCGTACCTCTATAATCTGCGCCGAATCTTAATCTCACCAAAGTCCATTTCCGTCTTTGGGCCTAAGCAGTCGCTACTCTAACCTAAGCTAAGCCCTAAGTCCTGGGCACACTAATGAGTTAGCTAGATTTTACTCAGGGAATCCTCTTCCAGCTCCCTCGCGAATCGGTTATAGTTTCCATATTGTCTAAGTATAAATCTTGCTAATACCTGTTATCTGGGACACAGCCACCTCTTTGAACCTATTAAGACGTCGTGACAGCGTCCGTTCTCGCTCCCTTTTCAAACTCACAAGGGTCCCTGCCGGACTACTTATCCTTTCAACGACTAGTCTCACTCGCCTTCTCGTCTACAAATATCTTAAATTCCAAGAAGATCTTTGATAGACAGCGGGATCAACTAGAAATATCGTCTTCCAGACAAGCACCTATAAACTCTGAGCCTGACTATGCTAAGTCGTATAAGATAAAAACGGACTTACTATTCTATCGTCTTAGTATCGAAGGATATCTATTATCGGAGGTAAATGCGATGGTTTCTTGTTACTCGTTAAGTACTAATACTAAAATCACTAAATAAATTTAGTATTTACATGAGATATATTATTAGTAACGAAATCACAGGGAATCTATAAGACTAATTATCACAAATATAAATAAAAATACCTTATAATTAAAGAACTATTGTGGTGGGGTGGAACTGCAAGTGTTACGTGAGTGTGCGACGGGAAGAATAGAGGTATAAAGGGGCTCCGGGCGCACGTGTATTCTTATTCTCTCTTTAGGCAGTTACAACTCCAAACTCTTGATTCGCAAATAACTACTTCTACTCCTTTATCCTATATCTTTATTCGACTATAATTATAAATACTGTGGTGGGGATCCAAGGGACTACCAATTGTTTACTTTGTTTTTGCATTTTACTTGTACTAGAATTAGCACGTGGATAAGTGGAGCCACCTGGGCATATAAGCTTCTGGCACTCACTCTTCCTTTTACACACACGCATGTCAATACACACGATTCACCAGAATGTGGCTGGACCAGGGAGAAGCTGGCCAGTCAGGATAGTTACGAATGCAAACTCAATTTGCCATACTTATATTAACGACTGGATCTTGTAACTATTAGTCGTTCTGAAATACCACTGCCCGAGTACGCCCTGAACATTCACCTCCTCTAAAGAACATTAATCCATGGATTAGTCTTCTTTAGCCAGATGACCAAACGACGATAATCCGACACCGCACCTACCGCTCAATTGATGCTTATCACCTTGACTGCAGTCTTTTGGTTGTTTTATCCACGATTCCTCCTAATAATCCTAAGGGTCCTCTCTGCACCTCGACAATAAAGGGAGGAGGGGGGGATATACTCGGTAAAGCTAGCAAGTACGATACAAGTTACTATTATAGTCATAAGTATAATCTGTAGTAAGGTAGTACTACAAATTGTTAGAGTAGTAAGTAGGAAGTATAGAGGATATATTATGAAGAGAAATATAGCGTGTAACAGGCTAAAGTAAAGGTATAGAGAACTATATAGTCTGTATAAGAGCTATAAGGAGAGAGAAAGAATCAGGGTCACGGGCTTAATAGGTCATGTAATTGGGATTTCGACGGGGCTACTCCGGCATCATAAGCGACGTTTTCCAGTATCATATTAGATATGAGATTTACTTATATCTTATAGTTAGGGTCGTAAATTCTTTATTTCTTCATTGACCTCAAAGGAGGTACAGCTAGGCACTACAAGAGACGCAATCGAGCCAATTGATGCTTCACCAAACTACCATCAATTTTTTATTTATTAATTAGATTCTACCTATAAGGTGATGACAATTTTGTCTTCATAATCTCCAAGGGCCAGCTCACAAAATCCAGCCATTCATCCACTAGAGTTGCCTTAATAGCGTAAACCTCCCTCTCTCCCCCATCGCCAATGTACCAAAAGTCACGCAACAAGGACAGAAGCGCAAAGTAGTGCATTAGAATCACCAGTGCTCTTGGTCGCAGCTCCTCGACCAAGTCCAAGAATCGTGGAGGCGCCAACATTGGGAACACCACTAGTCGTCTGCAGATATCCCCAGTCGCCTCGTGATTGTTCACGGCTATCCAGATCCCACCTATGTAGCTCAGCGTATGCTCATACGCTTCTTGAATTCCCTTGTCCCAAGGCTCTGTGAGCTCATCACTCTGCTTCCGGCGGAGTAAATGTAAGAAACCCCGGCGTTTATCCTCTCCCAGCCTTGCATCAGTATCAAGCGCTATTGGCAGTCCGCGTATCCACTGTGCCGCAATAGACTCTTCACCATCGCTGGCAAGCGTCCACGCCTCTTTGAATATCGTGGCTGTGCTATTTGTCATGCGCAGCCACTGCATCGGTGGGCTGTAAGGGCGAAGCGAACGTTGTTGTAGCATGACAAACGAACAAATACGGAGAATGTTCGAGGTCAGGAATGTACTGTCCACGTTAGCTCTATTGAGCTAGGATACTTCCATACTATGCTCACGCAGAGCCATTTCCAAGTAGGTTTGGTGAGCATCAATCATGATTGGATCCTTGAAAGCATCGGCTTTGGCTATATGCAGGGCTGCTACAGAGTACATTGCATACTGCAAGGCCTCGGACCGGAACGACCAAAGTGGGACGAGCTCACACCAGGCACTTCTGGAGTGGTCGTCGATGGCAATTGCAGGCCCAGTTTTGGACATATACTGATGGAGCAGTCTGAGCTCTAACGTACGCCGAGCCTTGGATTCTGGGGGACCATCTGAACCATTACGTGGGGAGGGGACCTCGGCCACTTTGGTAGATCCAGCCGGGAATGTCCCGAATGGTCCATCAGTAGAGCGTTTGTTTGATGCGAACGTCTCGCGATTGCGGTCATACAGGCACGGTATTCGATGCCGCGCACAATGGCTACAGCTGGGTTTGGCTTCATTGCACTAAGGATCTGTCGTCAGAGACGCTGTCTTGTCAATTGGCAGGAGTCAAATAATCGGCATGGGACGAGTCGATAAGGTATCCATACCTTCACCCTGCGCGCTCTGCACAACTGACAGCCCGTCCTCGACTTCGTGTGGAACATCTTTGCAGGGGCCGGCTGAAGGCCCATGACAGATGCAGGCATGTTGACCGGAGCATCGCTACTCATACTGCTCAGGCCCCGAGTCCAAAGGGGTGAGGCGCTGGAATAATGGAGTAGGTAGAAGCACGGTTGAAATTTTGTCGTTGTGCAAACAACCCGTCCCCGGGCACTGGACGTTAGAATTGGAGTGGAGCCTAGCGAGCTTGGTGCAGATCACTGCTTATTTGGTGCCCCGTTCCCGTTCCCGTACCCGTTCCCACAGAGCCGCAGCCTGCTTTAGATCCCAGCCATCATTTTGTGTTGGTTCCCGATCCGCTTTAGTTTCAGGCTGACAAAATCCTTATCTGGTCGTTTCGCACGCACTTGAGGCACACCCTCGCGTTGAAGCTATCGCAGGTCGGTCGCTAATTCGCAGCTTTCTAGGATAATGAGTGTCAGCTCCTTAATCCCGCTATACTCGATCTTCTTCCCCCTGTCCATTTGCTTCCTCAAGCGCCACGAGATCCTTTCCACCCCGCTATCGCTGAATCCGAACATTGATACTCGCGCTACGGCATGACGATACCAAGAACACTGTGCTCTACTTTCTCTCGGCTTTCGACCTTCTATTTCATTTCTCCTTGCTCAAAAGTCCAGCAATCTCGAATCTACGATGGCACTCCTTTACGTGCCTCCATGTAAGCGTGCTTTTTGTATTTTCAATTAACAACGGAACAAGGGACGGGCGGCGGACTGCGTTTTCAGGCAAATTCCACACCAACAAAATCTATAGTTCCGGCTCTTTGACCTGCAATTTGATGCATCACAAAGTCGATATGAATCCCTTTCTCCTCTAAGCCGAATTTCATAGTTTTTAACTTCCTTTTTTCTGGCTTGTTATTGGTGGGTGGATAGGTGGCGTGGAGCGATGTTGATGGAGTAGTAGGACGGCCTGTAGCTAGTTAAATAATCAGTAAACGTCAAACATAGTGTTACAGATCCTTGCTACTATGATTCGTCTAACGTCTATGGTCGACCATTGCTGGCTTTCTCCCCTATAAATATCTAGTACATCTTAAGGCTTGTGGTACAGTATTCGGACTTCACTACTACACGCCACCGTCAATTCCAGATCGTGGCATTCCATTCCGCAAAGCTCAGCCCAGGAGCCAGCGGCAAACCCGGGTCCAAGATCCCCGGCTCCCTCTCATCATACGTCCCATCCCAGCAGTGTTTCTTGAAGCACCTCTCGCATTGCTTCGTCCGCCTCATACCCAACTTCTCTAGACTCCTCTCCACCACTGCGCAGCCTAGACACGCCGGCCATTCATGGTCCAGTGTCCCGTTGCCCTGCGTGAACGCATTAAAGGAGTTGTCAAAGATCTCGTACATCTGAGCGTTAGAGAATATGGATTGCGTCCATGTGTAGTTCGTATATGCACTATAGGGCGCGTTGGCCATATATAACACAATAGGCGATTGAGTGGTTCCGGTGGTTGTTAAATTGGCGTTACATCCAAAGAATGTTGGCCGCAGAGTGAAGTTCTTGTTTAGCATAGTGCGGGGCGGGGGAACAATGGGGAATGGTAGGCCTGAGGCCTTTGCCGCAAGGTACGTGTTATGTATGCTTGTGCCGTTCAGCCACGCATAGGGCTCTGCGTCCGGATTGTCATCCCAGGCGATGATAAACGAGGAAGCGCGCACAGGTTGGATCTGTGACCAGAGAGGGACGACTTGTCCTGCTTCGGAGCTGTCGACGAGGCTGAGGTCGCGGGGGATGCCGGAGGATGAGGAGGCGAATGGGTTGGGCCAGATGGCGTGGTCAACTTGGGCGGCGGATAAGCCGAAGATGCTTTTGAAGCCTTCGAGGAGCCCATTGAGGGTTGCATTGGGGAATAGGGAGAGGTCTCTTAGAGAGAGCGGCGTGCTCCTTTTATGGCCGTTGATTGACCGTTTGGGAAACGGGGCAAGAACGCCGTTCGAATCATTCTCGATTATCCAGAAGTTTACTGCTGAGGTCGCGGTTCCCATCATCAAACTAGAACTGGTCACTTGCCGCCATGTAAAATCAAGAGGTGGATGGATTATCATACCTTGAGCTGTCGAACCCGAGAGTACATATGCTGCCGTTCACCGGGACACCATCATCAAGTCTCGTCCCCATCCACTCAGTGGGAGTAAATCCCTTTGTCCACGATCCAATCTCAAACGGGGTCATCTCATACTATACACCTAGTCAGCAACGCCCCTAAGATCACAGGATAAAGCAGGACATCGTACCGAAGTGGCATTATAATAAGGAACTTTCAGCCCAAAATACTCCTTATCATCGTCAGTCAACTCACTCGCCTGCAGAATCGGCAGCGGCATCTGATGCTTGACAAAATTGCTCAACCTTGCAATGCCCGACCAAGTATTATTAACCCCTCCATGCGGCCCAGACAGGAACTCATACGCAGAATTACGACCCAAGTAATCTGAAGCGGATACATTAAACCCGGCTTTCAGCTTCGCAGCTATATCTTCAAAAATCGACTCGGGGCTTCCAGGAGAGCTGGAATTCGAACTACCATCAGGTTGCGAAAGCCAGATCTGCACGATCTCGTCCACTGTGGGGAAGTTGTGCGAGGGGAGCGAAACGACGGGCCATGATCCCCCAGAGAGGCCGCTCAGGTACGTCAGGCTCTGGAGAAGCCCGCCGACACGCTGCTCGTTGGCTGCTTCTAGGCGAGAGTCTAATGCGCGGATGGCACCGGTGCCTGTGTACCCGGATCTGTAACCGCCGCCGCTGATGGCAAGGCCCAGGGTTGGGACGTGGGCGTAGTCTGAGCGGCGAAGGGCTCGGATGTACCTTGAGTTATCGAAATCCTCGAGACAGAGGCGTTCAAGGTAGGTATCGAGAGCGTCTGCAACGACGCGCTTACGACCTCTTACCCACTCGGCTTCCTTTGGATTGAGCCTAGTGGGGGGACGGATCCATTGCACGTCTGTTGGGCACTCGACGGAGATGGGTGCATAGCTAGTTGGTTGGTAGGTTGAGGGGCAGAACGTAGCTGCAGCTTCTATGGTATTACTCATAAGACCTGCATTTAAAGTAAGTTAGATATCATGAGCAATGGGTGTTTGACACTTACCAACAGCCACGACGAGGACCATCGATAGCTTCATCGTGGTTGACGACATCATTGCAAGTAGTGATGAGAAACTTGTAGTGACAATCTATTATTTCCGTGAAAAGCTGTGTAGCTTTATATGCCAGCCGAGCCATCGATTGATACCTACTTGTACCACGCCGCTTAGCTCTTGGAGTTAGTATTGCACCGGCGCTTGCCGCCTTGTGCGTTATAAGTCGCTTTCGACTTCGCCTCACCCACATATACGCAAGCAAGACGTACGAGTAAAGGAAGAAATTACAATACAAACCGGCACAATTGTCGTCAGCATCGTATTGATCTCCATACTAGCACAGCCCACAGAAAGGTTAGTTAGCGTCGGCATCACTGCGGTGATACTGGTTGTGCACAAGTATTGCAAAAACAGTATGGTTTAGTTGAGTCGAGTTGATTATCTCTGGAGTCGAATCGCACAGATTATACAGTAGTGCGTTTCTTGGTGCGTTTCCTTGCCGTAAGCATGCAGATCAGTTACCCGCAGCTACGAGTAGCGAGCGTTTTATCCTTGGCGAACGAGAACGAGAGCGAGAACGAGAACGAGAACGGTCGAGTTTGAGCACAACACCAGATCGAGATCACGTCCTTGTGGCCTACACTCCAATAATAATGCCATGAACGAACGAACCTCGCCAGGTACAAGGCGGCAGGCTGCTCGTTCTCGCTCCGGATGCATGCTGTAGGCCCCTTTCCCTTGACTCTTGAATTTTACACTTCTCATCATCGCCTCTTCTCATCTCCTTATCTTCCCATCTTCCTGCCGTCGCAACATGTTCGTTCTCAAGCAAAACCTAACATCACGTACACGAACTCCCTTTTATCCCATCCTTCATCACCACCCTCACATATCGCCATGGCGCGAAACCTAGGCTACGGTTATGATGCCAAGGACCCTTGTAGTCACCGTCCCTACGATCCTCGTAACGACGATATCACGCCGCCGCCTGGCCCCCCTCCCGGCTACGACGAGAGGAGCCAATTTGGCCAGCAGCATCAGCGACAGAAATACGGCTACGACTGCGACTACCACTCCAAGAGCGCCCACGGCCAGCAGCAGCTTGCCCCCCCTCGTGGAATCGATGGCTCCCTCCCCTCCCCAATCGTCATCCCCCAGCAGCGTATGGGCTCCAAAGACCGCGGCTTTATGGCCGCCTACGCCCCTTCCCTCGCGGCCAGCGGCATCGACCGCATGACATTTCTCAAGTTCATCGACGACGTCAACATCGGTCTGAAGGGCAACAAGTACCTCGCCGGTGTCCAGGTAGTGGCATTCGGTGTGGGATTGACCCCCGTTACCATTGTCATGGGCGTCAGCGCTGCCGTCCAAGCTGGTGCCATGATAGCCAACAAGGCAGCTGTTCGAAACAAGTATCTTCGCCTATGTCCGCCCTCGCTTGGAACCACATCCATAGCTAACTCGATCTGCGCAGGACAAACATGGTCATGGACAAGTACAACAACGAAGTTTTCCGTCCCCGTGGCCTCTTTTGCATGATTATGAAATACGACCCCATTGAGCGAGACCTCGCCGATCTTGCTGCCCAAGGTGGAAGCCCCTTCAAGAAGCTCAGCAACCTGGTGTCGGGCGACAGTCCTGGCCGATTAGTCGGTTTAGGCAATCAACAACAGGGACCACCCAAGCAAGACCGCTTCCGCAATCCCATTTCTGACAAAGTCAATGGCGAGAGCGGCTTGCCGACCGACGTCGCACCACTAGAGTACATCCAGGACCGACGCGCCCACAAAGAACTGCTATCCTCATCCAGTTCGCTTTCCCGAGACTCTTCCCCCTCCTCCAACGGCGACAAGCCTCAAAAGGAGAATAAGGCCTTAAAGGCATTTGACTCCTTCAACGACTACCTTGATCGACGCGCCCGCGCCAAATACGCCGCCGAGAACGAAGGCAACATTCTGAATGTCCAGACTAATGGAGGTTTCAGCAACCGCTTCCTCGACCCCAACCACCCGGCGACGAAGGGAGGATTGATTGGCCTGCTTTCCGGCGGCTCGATGACTCCCGATGCGGAAACGCGCAAGCGCAAGAAGATGGCGAGGATCGAGGAGGAGGAGAGTCGGGTATACGAGGAGTATCAGCGCCGCATTGACGACGTTCACCGTTCGCGCCAGTGCCAGCGCGACACTGATAGGGCCCTAAAGGACGTTGAGAGGGATTACGCTCCACGCTTGGCCGAGTTCCGGAACCAGAAGAAGGAGATTGAGGGAGGAGTGAGATCTATCAAGAAGGATATCCTTTACCTGTTCATTGTCAATCTACCCTCTGAAGCGGCAATGGCCGAGGCTCAACAGAGGCTGGGTGGGCAGAACCTCGTGGCTATGACTGATATTTAGGTAGTACCTATTTCGTTGCATTGGATTGGGAGCACATTATGATTTATTTTACGGAGTTTATTAGATGTTGCTGCTCTTTAGAGTGTTATTTTCGTGTATAAAAGAGGGATGTTCACTCATGACTAAACAAAGGGTTGGGCCAGTGAATCACTATCACGGTGCTAAGCGGGGATTGTTTTAGAGGAGGCTGTAGCTCTGTAGCAAGCATCGACCTCAACCTCACATGCACCAGCCACAGCTCCCCAGCTCCCAGCAAGCATCAACCACAACTCGTTATATATTGACACCGACTCTCCACACATTAACAACAACCCCAGCGAATCGCACCAATTATATCAATCATACAAGTGGGATCATAATTTTCAACCGATCTTCAGGAGTAAGTCTACACACTCTGCAGGGTCTCCAAAAGATTCTTCACCTCCACACTCTTGTTGGTACCGATATTGTCAAAGCCATGGTCCCCCTTCCCGAAGGAAAGACGCACTATCTCTCTTACGGGGTACGACTCGTGGCGTTTCAGAGCGGTCAGTCAAATTTAGCAGACTTGGTCATCAGCGAAGATGACTGCGTTGCTCAGATACCCGCCATTGTAATTGGCCCTGGAATAGGTAGGCTCAAAGAGGTGGCGGCTGTAGGTGGTTTGCGGCAGGCGGCGTTTACATCGAAGTGGGATCGCAGCTCGTCATGAGTGGACGATGCTCAATAGACATGGACGCAGGGAGCAAGGGTGCGTGGTGCTGACTTTGGGAAAGAACAAAATCCCCCCTGGTGATAAATGTGCATACAGCCTATTGGAGGTAGCATGCTACTTCAAAATTATTATTGGACTATTAGGTGAGCAGACGCTAGATTGCTCAATTTAAAATATATCCTCTAGCATTCAAATTATCAGGCGCCCCTGGATCAGTCGGTAGAAAGTTCTCGATTTCAAAAGCTTCCTACGCATGAAAAAAATCCTCAACCCCAAGAGCTTCCCATATCAAGAAATTCCCCAACCTCAAGATCAAGTCTTTCCCACGTATTAAAAGGATCGCCAGCCTCAAGAGATTCCCACCTGTCAAAAGGATCGCCAACCTCACGACTCGCGCACGTATTAAAAGGATCGTCAGCCTCGCGACCTTCCCACGTGGCCAGAGGGCGTTCAGCCCACTGGCTATTCTATATTCTATATTATACTTTGACCTCAAGGACAAGTTTGTCTTAAAGAGGGAATAGTGTAGGAATAGGTCACATGGTCTATCACGTGACACCTAAATTACAAGGAAGTCCCCGACAGATTAAATACTATCCCCCCCCCCCCTAAATAATTGTACCTTGGACAAGGCGAAATCCACTTTGTATTGTTTCTTTATTCCGTGGGGATAGTACGATGCTTTTACAACTACACTACACTGGCGTCTAGCATCTCTTATTCATTCACCCGAGTGAGCTTGATCGTCAGCTCCACTTCCTAGAATGCCTAAACTTCTTCATTACAAACAGCCACAGGCGCCGCATCTACAATCCAAATCCCGCCTCTTCTCCCTGCCAGCAGAGCTACGTGTCAACATCTTTACTCTAGCTCTTACCACGCCACGGATTTATTTGACTGTTAAGAACCTGCGGAATGAGCTCTGTCTTGCCCTGGTGACGCCAGGTACTGGAGGCCTTGACGTTTACGTTATTCGAGCTCAACGCCTGTTGAGCCTTTTACTGACCTGTCGGCGCGCGCACGCCGAAGCCCTACCCATCCTGTACGGCATCAACACGTTCTTGGTGGGTAACGACACAGATTTACGGCTGCTGGCGCGGGGCATGGGCGGGCCGTTTGTACGTCAGTTGGAGTTCTCCTGGACGCTGTACGAGGCGCCTATTAGGCAACTGCGTAAGCGCTGGACGAGCTGGCTGCGCAGTGACCGGCTAGAGGAGAGGTGGCTAAAGGCGTGGGAGGAGATTAAGCATATGGAACTGTGTTGGCTACAAGTAGAGCTGTGCGTACCGGGGGGATGGAGGGACAAGTGGATTGAGAGGGAGGCCGAGATTTTACATCCGTTAGTTGACATATTAAGGGAGGGCGCCTCAGGAGGGCTAACCTTAACCTGGGAGCGAGACGCAAACGCTAATATAGGGGCGGAGGAGTTGCTGCCAAAGTGGGATGTTAACCGTCGAGAGTGGTGATGGCCTGACGAGGGCCACCCGAGCTTATTACAGATTGTGCCCATCGTATATGGCAATAGGCCAGAATAAGGACTATTGTGATCCAATTCCTTACTATATTAGGGTAGAATTGCGGGACTATGTTATGTGACCAATATCCAAGTTTCTGCGCCTTGTTTGTCTACTATCTATTGTACCAAAGAATAATAGTTCACTACTTATACAAAATTCTTGACAGTGTCTAACTTTATTATATCTCTTGCCCTGCCTGGACCCGAACCGAGCCTTCGCTTGCTGTTGCTTCGGGTTTGAATTGCTGTTTTACTGAAATCACCGTTCTCGTCAATAGGGCTTCCCAAGGAGAACTGGTAGAGTGCACTTCCAAATAGTGCCCATGAATCAGCATTGTTCACGCCCGTGCCACTCTGACCAAGGCCTTTGCAGTTCTTCCAGCCGTAACCGCTAACTCCACCAACATCCTGCTTAGACCCGCCCGGTTTTGTGTGCATCATCTCGTGCAGCATGCACTTGTCCCACAGACTCATCAAGTCAATAGGCGTGTAGAATTTGTCGGTGATCAACTTGTCCAGACCATGGACCGCCATTTTAGCACGTAGCGATGAGAGGTCTGCTTTGGTCGCGTATTTCTTTGAGTGTGCGTACTCAAGGAACCACGGGCACACCTGGATGATATCCCATTTATTGACGAATTGTTGCGTATACATAAAGGCACCAGTACTGCAGCCATTTGACTTCCCAACTGCCTGTTTGACTTTTTTGTCGTAGTAATGCACGAGATCATTAACCCTTCGCTCGAGGCGGGTCGTATCACAGAAGATGACGACCTCGTTTTGGTCCAAGGTATCAAGGTTCGCAGTCGTCGTCTCTTTTTCAAAGACGAGGATACCAGTTCGTTGGCCTTTGTTATTTGGCGGTTTCGCCTGAAAGACCTCTATATTTAATTAACTAAAATCAAGGCCTTGAACAGATATAGCATGACTTACGGTTGACCATAGCCTGAGCAGCACTTCCTTCGGTGTTGAATAGCTGTTTCATGAGCCAAGTGGCGTCTTTATTCATAGGTTGGGCGTTGACCTCAACCATCGCGATATTGACCATAGTGAAAGCCTGTTCAACCATGCTCTTCACTAGTGTATAGTCGTCTTTATCTAATGAGTATTTGTTCGTTTCTAGAGCTGTGAGACTTACCGCCTTTGCAGGAGTCAGGGTCGATCAAATATCCATAAGCATGCCCAGTAAGTGATAGCGAAGTGAATGCTGCCACTGCAGCAGATAAAAGGCGCATCTTGAATTCTCTGTATAAATAAGAGACGAGGACAGCCAATTAATAAATGCGACGTCGAAGGGAGGCGAGGGTAGAGTGAAACCGAGCCCGAGTTGTACAGCACGGTACAGTGGTGTATTGAAAAGGAAAGAAAGATGGGATACTAGAAATACCAAAGTTGGGGTGGAGGTGAAAATAAAGCAGTAACAGACAGTCCAATCGAGACATATCAATTAAATAGCGAGCCATGGGATATTAATCATGGGCAGGATCCAGATCCCAAGGAGTCAGACTTCCTGCGACTCCACGAGGGCTGGAGCTATCCCGTCAGCCGTGTAGCGCTACGCAGCAGTTAAAGGAGCATATGCTAGTTTGCGGCGGCTTGTTCTAAGGTGCCAACTCCTCTGATGGTTTACAGAGTTAGGAGCGCGTAGCCTCCCAAGGGTCATAGCGAAACACGAACACGGCCCCTGGTCTTCGCTTAGTTATCGCGCAACCCCACTAGGAGAAATTAAATGCTTCGCCCAACTACTAACCATATACAGTATGTGTTGTGCTGCTGCAGGATTCAAGCAAGGGTAGCCCAAATTAAGCATATCCAAGATGGCGCGCCGGGCGCAGTCTACCTTCTTCCACAAGATTATGAGCGGCGTGGCAGGATATCAGGATTCAGGATCTGCTTTGGCGGCACCTTTTGGGTACTGTACCAACGCCCTAAACAAGGAATAGCATCCTTACAGACTGTAGCTACTCAAAGCTGAGCTATATTCGTCGCGCTACTCGCATTATATACTCGAGAACGACATGATGCATGCTCTGTTATCTCAATGTTTTAACCAGCGTCGTTTCCCATTTCTTTCGCAGCCCTTTTCGCATCTCTACTAGAATCTTTTGTCCCTCTCTAAACTCTTTCCTATCATATACTCCCCATCCATGGCGGCAAAGGTCTTGTTGCTCGGGGCAGCTCTCATTTCAGCGGTTAGTGCGAGCGCTGCTGCTGCTGCTGCCCCTAAGGTCACAGATCCTCCCGCATATATCAAAGCATTCGTCCCAAAGGCACGGGGCCAAATTATCATCAACCCCGTGGAATCAGAGCTCGGCAACGCAGACAGCTATCGGCTCACCAACTTCGGTCCTGATAATCCAGTAGTTACATTTGCGGGAGGTGTATATCACGTACGTTCATATAATTAACCACTTATTTTGGACAAGGAGTTAACAACAATCACCCGCCTAGTATATTGAAGCACATAAAGCATATCTGAGCGAAGAGACCGTCACAACTACAGTCAACAATGCGAAAGTGACCACAAAGGTGCCTGTGGCCGCCGCCGTGGCGACTGGCACGGGCACTGCTACTCCAGGATTAGGCGCTGGTGATCTTGCAATAACCTTTTCCGAGTCCGTTGCAGATGCCCTGCGAAAGACTGCGGACAATGCTATTGCGGCCTGCAGTCTTACAAAGAGGGACCTTAGTAAGAGATTGGATTGTAAGTCTTGCTGGTAGATGCGACGTCCTAGTACTAACTATTGAGCAGCGGTCCAGTGTATAATAGACGCCGCAGTCAAGGCTAGTGGCGAGAGTGGCCCTTTTGACGCTGTTATGACTGAAGCTTTTTGGAACCAGCTTGGTTCCCTTGCTGCTACGAACGCACCTGAATACCTTACTTCTGCTCTTGCTGTCTTGGCCACCCAGGCAGTAAGAAACAAGGCTTTGGTTATTTTAGGCGCCATAATAGTGGGCACGAAGCTAGCTGGGCCAATAGCGATGCTCAAAATACCGGAAGCAGGAGTTGGAGCGCCCACCAGTGATCATGCCAAACCGAAGTGCGACGCTAGTGCAGGCGCCAATAAAGGTAAAATCCGCCCCTAGAATCATCCATTGCTGCAGTTAGCTTATAAGACTTCTTTTAGATTCTCCTCTTTGCAGCGACAGCAACTGTAAAGGCAACAGCGACAGCCCAAAATGCACAGCAGGCGACAACAAAGGCTGTGCATGCTTGCTCCTCGGCACAGATTTTCCTCTACAGATTTTCAAACAATCCTGGTGGGACAATCAACAGCAAGTCGTTGCATCTTTCGCCGCGAACCCTAACCTCCTCGGCACTGCTCCCCCCTCTTGCCATGTCAACTCTTTTGGCAATGCCTTTGACGGCAAGCCTGCCGCCTCGCCCGCCTCCTGGTGCGTATGCAACATTGAGGGTATCGATCGGATCTACCCAACGGTGGCATCTGCTTCCGCTCCATGCGCGCTCACTACATTGCCAGCCGCCACCATCTCACCTACCCTTACTGCCAAAAAAGGCGGCTCAGTGACTTCCTGCCGAACTTCAACCGTAACTGGCACAGGGGCCGGCACTGGGTCGTACTGCACCTGCAACGACAACAGTATGTATGGTGTGGACACCTGGACGGTGGGTACCCAAACAGTAACAGGTTGCTCTGCCACGCGGACAACAAGCTCGAAGACAACCAACCCGGCCATGGCTACAGCGACATGCAATCCTCCTCAGCGGTACTCTATGGAGCAGGATCGTATCCTTCTTATTGCCGAATATTACTGCCCTAGTACCCACAATGGAGACGCATATAAAGACAGACATGATACCACGTCGGGTGTTAATGACGGCGGTGTTATAGCTGTATTGGCATCGTTGGATAAAGGCTGTGTAAATCACGTGCCTATTGATCAAGCTGACTGCAGAGCGGCACTCCAGAGCATTTACGATAAATGTCATGTGGGCCAAAGTTTAGGCTATGGTGGTAGCGCCAGTATTAAATGCCAGCGGTTCAACGTTACCATTGTCAAGTACGGGAGTTGGCTTCCTTCTGGGCCGACATTGCCATGATTTTGTGACGTTCAACATGGACCAGCGCATGGGCAGCCCTGAGAGCTACGCACATCAAGGTAGCTGCAATGTGGCAGGTTGGCAGGTACTGTACTCCGTACCCGAGTGTACTACGTACGTAGATACTACTGTATGATTAAGGGGGTTCGGGATGGCACCATTGCATTTCAGGGCTTAGCTCAGGTTAGAGAAGCGATAGCTTAGGACCAAAGACGGAAGTGAACTTTGGAGATGTCCAGATTCGGTGCAGATTATAGAGGTTTTCATCAACGATGTAGCTCTATGTATGGAAAATATTCTTGAGCTTATACATCAACGCATTTATCAAAAAGCAGACATGGCTTGTGCAATGTACTGGACATATGTGGGTCCCCATCCAACGTTTTATGATATATGGATGGCTCGGACAATGACTGGCGACACGATTTTTGAGATTGGAGCAGATGGAAGCTGGGATTCGGCGTGGAACCTTTTTTGGAATTCTCCCACTGCCAGACAGCGATACAACAGCTTCAAACCATTCCAGGTTTTCTCCTGTTGGAATGGAGTAACAGCTTTCATAGCAAAGCCAATAATGGACCAAGAAATCAAATTTCGAGCAGCAACAAAGGAAGAGTGCTCTCAAGGCGAACTAAAGCTTTGCTGTGAAGATCTTTGACATGCTGGATATGGTAAAATTGCAGTTGTCCAACCATCAATGTTGAGTACAGCGACGAGGCTTCGAAAAGAATTTAAAGCGCTAAAGGGATATGTATCACAGAGCCTACTAAAGGATGGAGTGACTGATCTATCAGAGGATATTGAGTGGAACAAAGATCCTCCCGCAGAGGTGAAATATATTTCTGACCCAGACTACTCGGCACAGCACTTTGTTCCATGGGGATCAAGGACTTGGTAGAAGGTTATAGTACAGATGTTAATCAAACATGTTGAGTTTGACTCTACTCTACTACTTTTCCAAAGCTCTTACCTTCCCGGATCTTGGGTTTCTCAGTTCTTCTGCATTAGCAAGAGCTACTCAGGTGGGCAAGCTTCTGATTCCAGGCTTTAAGCTCGTTGTGTCTTAGACTGGATAGCTTGAGGGCGACTGGGGAGAACTGAGGGTTAGTAGTGGGGTGAAATATTTATCGATTTTAGCTATTACTAGCATTTCTTTTTGATGTTCTCTTTATTTATAAGTGTTTTCGCGGTAGAATTGTGTTGCCCAAGATCAATAGCTACTTTTAGCACAAGTTTACCTATAGCGGGTAACATTCTGTGTCTCTTACGTTTAAACTACAGGCGTGCAGACATCCCACCAAGCTCACAAAATTATGGCTAATCTGCTATTACTTTATCAGACTTATATTGGAGAGGCCAGGAAGTTATAAATCATGGGACATTAACCACTATAGATTTCGTGCCTTTTAGCGATCTAAACTACACTACCTAGCATCAACCAGACTAATATTTCCACTCGGCAATCAACGTGAACTCTGTTTTTAGGAATGTTGCGATTCGATCGTCTATCAATCCCTTTAGGACCCCATCACCCGTATCATTCTGGCAGCAAAGTTTATAACTGCTTGATCCGTCGGCCTTCACTTCTGTCTGGCAGATCACGTCCAGGTCTGTGACTATTCGACAATTTCGAATCTTCCGTGCATATACCCTCTGTGTGTCTTTAGACCACCCACAGCAGATGATTTCCCCAGCAACCAAGACAGTAGCACAGTTTATCACCTTTGAAACTGGAGGTTGCGTTGCAATCGTGGCTTCGCGGGCACATCCTGCAATCTCGTCAGCAGCCTGGTTACAGATACCTGAACCGGCACCCCAGCAGGTATTGCATGCAGGCTTTGGGTTGTCGGGACAATATTGAAGGAGTTCAGTCCCGTCGCCGAAGTCTGGGTGCTTCTTACCATTCCCGTTCTTTAGGTGGAATCCTGTTAGAAGAACTCATAATCATCAGGACCGTTTACTATGCTATGTCAACACGTCTACGTCGTCAGCAATGATGCCTCAATACGTACCCCATCAGGTGTTGTATTCATCCTTAGTAACACACTTTTCAATTGCTTGCTCGAGGGAGTCCTGGCAGTCTGGCTGCTATAGACCTACCACGCGAGTTCTTGTGTATGCCCAAGCCTCTATGCCATCCGGCAAAGAAACTGTGATTTCACAGCTATGAGCTTCATGTGTAGCAGAGCCTGGACTTACTCTCACGTATCCGGTACAATGTGTTTCTCGGCGTGACTATTTGCGATTTCGCCTACACCTTGCTCACGATAAAAAGACTACCTAGATTCGTATTACTACAACTTGGATTGTCTACTAGATATGCACCTAGACCGGCATAACTGGATAGGTCTATTAATATCTTCTACTAGGCATCAAGCCATTCTAAATATGGGTATACGAGGTACCTGATTAATGTTGAGAAGTAGTCACACTAACAAGTCTTCTCCGGTCCCTAGAATTTCATTGTCAGACAAACTCTAGGCACACGGAGTGTGAGCAAGTTTACCTCTGTACAAGTGTCGGTGTCTTCTCCCTTGCAAGCAGAGTTGGTACAGTTCTGTGGCCTATCCTCGCTTTTGGGACACTCTTTATCGGGGGCGCACTCACACCCTTGCAGCCCTGGGGCTAGACATCTGTATTCACAACTCCAGCACAAGTGTTAAATGGCGGACAAGTTCTAGGCAGGTGTTCTTGTTACGAAGATTTGGGTCGTTTTTCTCGTTAAGCCTGAAAGCTGTGGGCATATCGTTTATGAGATCGCCATGAAACAAGATAACCGGCGAGGTTAACAGCGAGAACAGGGTCACACATTGACCGCTTAACTTCCGCTCGCTTGAGTACGGTGGGATAGCTTGCCATATAAGACAAATGCCCTGGATAACATAAATTCTGTAGCATATAATCTAAGACCAAAAGCTATCCCCAGAAGCTCTGTGTAGTGCAAATTAAAGTTATTGACAATTGTTGAGGCATACTCCGGGGTTATGGTCTAGCAGCGCCCGCATCTTTGACTCAGGGGTTCGGGCTGGGGGGTTAAGCGACCCAGCAAAGTGAGCCTCACGATCCATCGTTGGGATGGAATCCCAGGAAGACCTTGGTGGTATGTCTAGAGGCAATAGCTGATGAAGAGCTTCATTTCTTCATTCCTGGTGGACCTCGTGAGAACTTTCCGAGCCCCCTCCTCCTGCTCTAATATTTGCTCATCGGTTTTAGCTAGTGTGATGGTGGAAAATTTTGATAGAAGCTTGTGTAGTTCCAAGACTATGGCAAGGGAGTGGTTGATGGAACCATCCAGAGAAAAGAAAGAGAGCACCTGCAGGTTCTCTAGCTCTTCTTGCAAAGAAAAGACGATTCCAGCAAGGAGGTCCACTAAATCTACATGAAATCCAAGAATTAGAGGCTCAAGGTGATATTGAGAGGCAAATTCTAGAGGGGGTGTAAGGGGGGTTGCAGCAATAGAGGGAAGAGGGGACGGGTCAAATGGTGCGAACAGCGGTGAGATAGGTCATAATGCATGAACCTGCCAATTTGATAGAGATACTTTTAACGGGTCGGATGATATGTAATAGTATTTATTTAGTGCTATGGTCGGTATTTTACTAACGATGCTATTGTACAATGTCCATAAAAGTGGGCGGCAGTACGTTATCGGAAATATAGGTACTCCATTTATGTTAGCCATTCGCAGAAGTCGTCACAATAGCTCAGTAGCCAAAAGCTTCTCGATACTCCTCAATGTCTTCGGTTTTGAGGTCTGACTCGCCATCATGTAGAGCACATTACCCAACACTCTAACATGGATGTTAAAACCAGTGGACCGTTCCAGCAATCGCTTCTGGAGGCCAACAGCAGCTGTCGAGCTGTAACCTAGATGTCATTACATGTCAGCTATCCATCATTAGCATGCTGAAGGCTCAAACTTACCAACGTTTGCATCCTGTAACTTGATAGCCAGAACGGATCCAAGAGTCACCACACTCTCAACCTCGCGAGCATATGATAGGCGACTAATGAAGTCTTTTGACCACACACTCCACACATCTGTGACAGACTCTGGGCTTGCTGACTCGGCTCCCTCTCGCCAATCATTCTTGAACTCCTGCCAACTCCCACCAGCCTCCATCTCAAGCATAGTATTCAACGATGTGTTAGCAACATGACACCCCACAGGATGAGCAGTGTAACTATGTCCGTGCAACAGCGCGTCTCTCTTCTCCGACCCCAGGAAAGCATCATAGATACTATCACTAGCAAGTGTGGTGCAGAGAGGGACCAGTCCTCCTGTGAGGAGTTTGGCATGGACTGAGATGTCGGGGCAAGTTTGTAGGAATGAGGCGGAGCTGAAGCGTCCGAGACGGTAAAGGCCTGTGAATACCTCGTCGAAGACTACGGGGAGTCCACTCCATGCTTGTGGGTTTGAGGTGGGGGGAGGGGTAGATTGGCTGAAGATTTGCGGGTTGGTGCGGATTACTTGGACGAGGGTGTATTGGAATAAGGGGTCGCTATTGGGTGTTAGCCCATTTTTGACAGGAAGATGGCAGGGGGATGGAGGGGGTCTTACACAAAGAGCATACCGCCAGCTCCTAATAGCACAGGCTAGATCTATGTTAGTACTGCCAGAAGAACTCGCAAATAAAAGCGGGAGGGGCTCATACCTCCATTATCAGAGCGCCAAAGGTCATTCCCTCCTGCTTCACGAGCCTCTCAAGCGTATCCTGGATATAATTTTGGTACCTTTGACCAGAAGGTGATTCGTACCTGGCCTGGATATCAAAGATCTCCGCTAAAGAAAGAAAACCAACAGCCCCTCCAAACTCTTCGTCCATCCCCTCAGGCGGCTCAATAACCCACTGTCCCTTCACCATCTTGACCTGTGGAAAATCAAACCAATACCCCTTGCCTGTATACCAATGCACCTTCTCATTAAAAGTCGATGGCTCCGAGCAATCCATCGCCCCGATTGTATCCCCATGATACGAGCCCTTCAAACCCAACACACCCACCTCCTTCTTCGGCACATCCCACCTGTACCTCTCAAAAGACGCTGTGAGCGCCATCTTGGTCGCTACCTCCATCCCTGTGCTCCCGTTGTCTGAGAAGAAGACTTTTTGGAGCCGGTGGTTTTGCAGGTGTGCAAGGAGGCTGGAGGCCAGTTGCAAGGCGGGTTGATGTATTGTGCCCGCGAACATTACGTGTCCGTAACGGCCGGAGGCGTAGGCTGCTGCCAGAGATAGCGAGGGGTTGCCGTGGCCGAGACCCTGGGTCCACCAACTTGCGCTGCCATCAAAGGTTGGGGTCAAGATGGTGTCTTGAGGTATGGTGGTGGTAGCAGTGGTTGTAGAGTGAGTTTGGAAGAAATCGCCTGAGGCGGAATCAATGGTCATAATCGTTTGGGGAGAGACGTCTCGGTGTTGAGTGAAGGGGTACCAGATCTGCTTGTGTGCATTGCCAGACATTTCTTCGAGAGACTGGATCCGCGTGGTGTGCTTTTCGGACAATTTTGAGATCGTTTCGTCGACTACGTCTAACCTGCCTGCTTTGGCGTAATATTCTGACATGAGTACGAAGTCTTCTTGTTGCGTTTGTCCATGTGGAGGGGGTGGGGGAAGTGAGAGAACCAGGATTCCTTTCTTTTCAAAATATGCTTTAAGATAGGCATAGTTTTGATACTTTTGATCATCGAATTGTAACACGGCATCCACATCATAACCTCTGATATGGAGTGATTCAAAAGCCGAGATAGAAGCTGAGATTCCGCCTAGACGATGATCTGCTACTAAACACACGGGTAGTCTAAGGGGCCTGAAGAGGTCCGCCTGGGAACTGCCACTGGGGGTAGGAGAATGAACACCGCCTGCTGTTTCTAATAGAAGTGTGCTAGAGCCTGATTTGGCACATGCTGTGAGATGGGCGAGAACTTGTTCATGGATTTCGGAGTCGGACGGGGGCTACACACGTGATCAACAGGATGATATCTGGCTGTCAAGGGAACTTACGTTGCTCGACCGCGCCGCGATATGAGGACTAACTGCTTCGTCGAATTGAAATAAACATCGTGTCTTTGTCTCGGGAGCGAATTGAGCCAAATGTCGATCATCTGCTTCGTCTACCGGTCCCGTCGAAACTGGTTTGAGATAATGCATGGACTCGCCGGGGTACTTTCGTAAGAAGGCTTTGCCGAGGATGGTGGACATGATCGTCTTTCCAACGTTGGTGTTTGCTCCGTATATTTGGTAGGCTCGGAGGGTTCTCCGCAGGGTAGAGTTGTTGAGGGCCATTTTTGTCGTGGTTGCTGAGCTCCATTCGCATCAGTAGCGATTTATGAACATACGTCTGGGGTGAACGATCAAGCTGCTCAGAATCTCAAGGGAGCACCTACTCGAGTACTTCCCAATGACTCTTGCAGCATACCTTTACTTCGATCACAATACCTCACCCCTTCCTGGACCGCGGTCGCGAGGGAGGGAGGAGTGGGATCCGCCCGCACCAAGCCGAGAAGAGGGGGGGGGTGGCAGGATCAAAGGCTATCTCGACCTCATCTCGTCTCGATTGTTGAGATATCGACACCGGTGGAAGAAAAGTCTTTTCCCGTGCTCCCCGCGATGTTGCATGGAAATACATACCAACAGTGGGAGGGCCCGTGTATGGCGCATTCTTAGAAGGATTTGGCGCCAAACTAGTTTCGCCTATATTGTTACGAGTGGGCATAGCGGCCATTACCCAGATATGATTCCGGCATCGCCCTCCCATACTGCCCCCAGCCCTTCCCCCTTCCCGCTAGGCCTTCAAGCCCTACTACTTGCCAGCCATAGGGGGTTCCTTCAGGGCCTCCCTTCAGGCCTTACTAGTCCTGCAACTCACTATAGCGCATTGCCCTAGGGCTGCGCTACAGGCCTCGGTACACGGTAGCTTAGGCGCCTAGGGAACTGCAGCTGCCTGACTCGGCGCTGCCCCCTACGGAGTACTCTGGTCCAGTTCTGCCCTATAGCCTGGGTCGAATACCTAATACAGTACTCTGATGGGACATCCTTTCAGAGCTACGCATAGATAGTATACAGAGCACAGGTACGAAAACGACTCGCGGATAGCTTCGCTTTGCAACCGGCCGGACGGAATTAGAATTATTACTAGACTGAGAGGAAGGAGTCATTATCTGGGTAATGGCCGTGGGTGCCTGGAAAAATGAAGCTGCACCTAATAATGCGCCCTACGATATGCCCTACGATACGCCATACCAGTGAGCCAACAGGCCGCTCGGCACTCGTTGCAGCCATGCCTGATGGGCGGCACAGACGTATTCCGAGAAAAAACGCACTCAAGCAGGCCGTTCCCAACAATTCGAGTTCAATAGTGGTCAGCGCGTGAGTGCGTGAGTCTCCCTGCATGTGATCCCACTACCCAGTGCTAGCCTAGATTAGACGCACCTTGGGGTCGCCTTCGCATCTTCTGTCATCGTTTGACTCAATTGTGTTAAGGACCAAAGAACATCATGCGTGGACATCGACCTCACCTTCTCGTGAAGAGCTGTAGAGCTTGGCTCCAGGAGACCAAGGCACCGCCTATGGTGAGGGCATATGGAGCTGTTTCGGCCGTCTCTCCTCAGGTCACGACCCCGCCTTCGGCTCTCGATAATGCTCTCGCTGCAACGGCGCCGAGGACCAACTGGACCAAGGAGGAGATCAAGGAGCTCTATGACACGCCGTTGATGCAATTGGCTTTTGCAGCAGCAAGTAGTTCTGCCACGGTTCATGGTTGCAATTTCTAACTGATTTTGGTCAGGGAACGGTTCATAGGAAGTTCCACAACCCCGCATCCATCCAGATGTGTACGTTGATGAATATCAAAACTGGAGGGTGTAGTGAGGATTGTTCGTATGTGGGTATAAACATTTCTTTGTCGAGGTATCAACTGGACGCAGAGCATTTCGTCCAGTTCATTACGCAGGTCAGCGAAGGCCGATCTGACATTCACCCAGTGTGCCCAGTCTTCTCGATATCAAACGGGCCTCAAAGCATCCAAGATGGTGACCGTCGACTCGGTTCTCGATGCAGCACGAATCGCCAAGGAGAACGGTAGCACAAGATTCTGTATGGGGGCCGCCTGGAGGGATATGCGTGGACGAAAGTCGGGCCTGCGCAATATCAAAGCCATGGTCAACGGCGTACGGGATATGGGCATGGAGGTGTGCGTTACACTAGGGATGATCGATCTCGCACAGGCAAAGGAGTTGAAGGAAGCTGGCCTGACCGCATACAACCACAATGTCGACACATCAAGAGATTTCTACCCATCTGTTATTTCGACTCGAACTTATGACGAACGGCTTCAAACGATCCAAAATGTCAGGGATGCGGGATTGAACGTCTGCACAGGAGGGATTCTTGGGCTGGGAGAGAAACCCAGCGACCATGTTGGGCTCATCCACACAGTTGCAACGCTCCCTTCTCATCCCGAAAGCTTCCCCGTCAACACTCTCGTCCCAATTAAAGGCACCCCCATGGGAGACAATGCCCCATCCCCATTCGACGCAACCTTAAGAACAATCGCAACAGCGCGAGTGGTCATGCCAAGAACCATCATCCGCCTAGCAGCAGGCCGCACCACCCTTTCAGAAGAGCAGCAGATTTTATGCTTCATGGCAGGTGCAAACGCTGTTTTTACGGGCGAGAAGATGCTTACCACCGCTTGTAATGGGTGGGATGAGGATCGGATTATTTTCGACAAGTGGGGGTTACGGCCTATGGAGAGTTTTGAGGTGGAGGCGTTGAGAGAGTTGGTTACTACTGCCGCGCCGTTGGAGAGCCAGCGGGAAGCCCCGGTTGTGGCCGTGGGGGCAGCTGCTTGATTTTGACGTGAGATTATGAAGTTTTCAGTACTCATATGTTAATCACATATCAGCATTTCTCAACTCTTCAAGTTGGGTTAGAGTACGGAAAATGCTACTGTTCAACCTTTTATTCAATACATGGAGTGTTGAGTAATACCAGTCATGCGTGTCTCTTCAAAATATAGCCAGTAGGTAACTTTTCATCCCTCTAAATCTATTTTCACCCCAATGTTCTAGATTGTACATGTGAACAACATCCGGACGTTTACCTCCCACCTGGCCTTAACTCTGCAAACTCAGGATAACCTCCCGAGCTTTTCTCGATTCGTCTCGAAATTATATCCCAATCCCCCTTTTCCCTCCTGTCATACATCCAGGTGAATTTAATCCACGCCCATCCGTCACAACACAGCTTTTCCAAACCCCACACTCGCCTCGTCTCCACCCCCAACATTTCCTCTGATTTCTAACCAGCTCTTAATCCTAATAACCAACCTTTCCACATCATCAAAAGTGTTCCCTGCGTGCAAACAAATTCTAACTCTCTGCGTACCTTTGGGTACAGTTGGAGGAACAATTGCTCGCACCATAAACCCGCCATCTTGACAATACCCTGCCAGACCTCGCGGTTCTGGAGTCAGAAGTGCAAAAATTGGAGAACGTGGGATTTCATTGGGAAGTTGGAGGAGCTGGCCTCCTGTGAGTGGATGTTTGGTATATGGTAATAAAGTGGTTAGTTGGTGATACATGTGTTCGATGAGTTGGTTGAGGTAAATGATGCGCTGATATCCAGTTAGCGGTGGTTTTGGACGTTTGGCACAGCTTTATGACTTACGGACTCAGTCCCTCCCTGTGTCATTAGTGTATAGACCACTTTGATGGCAGCTAGACTTGGGAAAGACATTGCCGTGCTGTATATCAGCGGTCTTGCATAGTTAATCAAATACTCTCTCGTCAAAGGCGTGCAAAGCATGGCGGCTTCCACAGTCAGTAAAATAAGCATTTAAAATAGGGAGGGTGAGTTTACCTCCATTACAAGCCAGCCCTTTCCCAAAAGTATGGAGCCGAGCAAAAATCCTATCTTCCAGTCCAAGACTACTCACAATTCCTCTCCCCTGCGCCCCATAAATCCCATTAGAATGCGCCTCATCCACGACCACATGTCCATTTCCCTTCGGTAACAGCGCTTCCACCAACTCCAAAATTACCTCAATGGGAGACAAATCCCCATCCATAGAATACAGCGACTCAATCGCCACAAACACATTTCTCTCCCCCACCCTAATCCTCTCATCTGCCCTTAACCCCTCAATCTTCGCTCTTAAATCACCTACTGAATTATGAGCAAAAGATACACAACTCCCCGCTCTCGATAACTTCATTCCTTCCCTGACGCTAGCATGGACAAACTCATCGAACAGCACCACGTCTCCAGTTTGCGGTACACAGGCAAAGAACCCCGCGTTAGCATCGAAACCAGAAGTGAACAGCAACGCCGCCTGGGCACCATGGAAAGCCGCAATCTCCCTCTCCAGATCCTCGGCATAAGCCGAATTGCCATCTAAGAGGCGAGAGCCGCCGCTTCCTAGACTGAAGGATGGGGAGTTGGTTAGTTCGGCGAGGAAGGCGGTTTTGAGAACAGGAAAGCAGGTGAGTGAGAGGAAGTCGTTGGAGGAGAAATCAATGCTGGCCTGAGGTGTGAGGCTAAGTTTTCTGAGGCAGGAGTTGGCACGGCGGTTGGTGAGGTGGGCATGCATTGCGGTGTGAATTGTTGGGGGTGGAGGCATCGTGAAGGATGAGATAAAATAAAAATGTGAGATATGAAGGAAAGCTCTTAAAACAACTGATTATTTTTAGGCGCAGTCTGAGTTTTGGTTGAGAAATGAGTACATTTTGAAGTTATCTTGGGTGTCCGGGAAATTTAGCCGAGGAATACTATTAATATTTTTAGTGCCTCGGCTTTTAAGTTACATATGACTTGAAGGAATAGCTACTAATGCAAAAGTCTATGTCTACCCTAAAATAAATGAAATTAAAGATACTCATACAAATTAATTTATAAATAGACAATAACTATTTATTCCTATAAAGTACTTTTAATAAACTTTTTACTTATTTTTATCAGCTCTATATATTTACTTAGGTATTTCATTAATATAGTTATACACTTCTATTATCGTAACTTTTACTTATTTATCTTAGAAAATTTATTTTTACTATTCCAAAAGTCTATTACTTCTTATACTTATAATACTAGTATTAGTAGAAACTCTTATATTACTATATAATCTAATTAAATAAAATATTTATATATTTAACAAGACGAGTATGTAGCGCCTATAGAGGTATATATAGAAGCTCGCTAATACTATATAAATATCCTTTGCCGAATATACTCTTCTTCGGGACTAAAATCAATTCTTGACTAATATAAACAACGAAGCTAAAGTTCGCCGATTGACCAAGTTAGTAGTACTAGGGAAGGCGAAGGTGATGAGCTATGAAGATATCGAGGAGGCGCGAACAAAGCGTGCGGCGAAAGCAGTTATAAAAGGCAAGGGAAAACAAGCTCGGAAGCGGAAGAGTGCTGCGCCAGAGGCAGGTGAGCCAGAGCCAGAGCCAGAGCCAGAAGTGGCGCGGATGTACTAAAGCGCAGGTTGCGGAGGACTAGATGGCTGCAAGAGGAATAGAAAATCATGACTCTGTTCTTCAGTTCGTCTGGATTCGTGACTGTGCAGTAGAGTTAGACTCGCCATATTCTCGCGGGAAGTTACAAGGAATCAACTCCTGTCAATTATCAGCGAGTACTCTTTACGCGCGTCTAGGCACTCTCGCCCTCTGTCGGAGTGCGCTATCCGCAACCCTCTGGCCTCAGCGCCGCTGTCGTATCTTGTTCCACCTCCCGTTACGGCTGCCTAGTGACCTGATTGTCGATATTAGATTCGGTGCAGGGCAGACCAGCTCAAATTTTTTTGTTGTGCATAGACTTGTAGGAAAGTGATCTAGGAGTTGATTACATATCGTAGTTTCGGACTTTTGCACGCGCCATGCCGCCTTCAGAAAGCCATAAATATCGTAGTAGTCATCAGGACCGGAAGGAATTTAAATTTCCGAGTCGAAAGAGGTCTTCAGAGGTTGAAGTTGGCGTTGACGGATAGAATGACGGTCCTGAAGCTGACATGTAGAAAATCGGTGGGAATGCCAGAAGGTCAATTGAGCGGCGACTCAGTCTTAAAAGCCATGAAGGCTCCTATTGGTTCTGGTTGATGCAGCGGCATCCACTCTCGGGAGGTTTCTTATAAGGCAGACTGTACTGGGTCTCGGATAAATGAAGTTTGATTGGCTGAAAAGAATTACTGAACCTCCAAAAATGCTTGCGGGCCGCTGTCTTTTCTACTAGTGCCTCTCGGGGTTGGTTTTGACGTGACGTCGGTGAACGGCGAACACGCATAATTCTGTTGATTTGTGAGCAAGCTTCCACATTGATATCATTTGTTTTCGTTACTAAGCGGGCTAGTATCATATGTATGAACCGTACTTTAAAGAGCGGCAAAGAATTTACGAGCTCCGTGATGTCACCGAAGAAATGTAGTACCTCAGAACCGCGAACATTACAAATCAACAGCTTCACGATCCTGATTAAATTTTACTGTAATTGATATATATACATCTTGTCCACACCTCAAGGGCCTTTCCTAACGAAGAACAGCACCTCTTCATACCTTGAACTATCAGCGAGGTCACATACCTCCGCCTCCTCTTACACACGACTTCAATCACGATGGCTCCTACAATCCTAATCGTGGGTGCAACAGGTAATACGGGTCGAAGTGTGGTGGAGACCCTTTCGGACTCAATAAACACTAGCGAAGCACTTGCAGGACATCGCATCATTGCTCTCACACGTTCCTCGAACAGCTCTGTTGCACAGAAACTTGCCAAACTCCCGAATGTGTCTATCGAAGAGAAGAATTGGGTGGACATCAGCCCCGACTGGCTCCGTGAACGCAATGTTGTCAAGGCCTTTGTATGAGTACATATGCCCAGTTATATCTGCAATCTACTAATCTCTGCTCAAAGATTGCTTCTCACAACGAACCCTCCCATTTTGCAGACGAATCAACATTCCACCTCGCTGCCCTTCACGCTGGTGTAAAATATGTCGTGCGCATCTCTACCACCGCTGCTAACGTTCACCCTGACTATCCGGCATACTACCCGCGGCAACATTGGGCAATCGAGGCGTTATTGAATTCACCAGAGTTTGAAAAGCTACAATGGACATCTCTGCAGCCAAATACCTTCACCACCATGGCCCTTGGGCCTGCCCTGGAGCTCATCAAGCAGTATCGTAAAGATGGCAAGCAAGACACACTGGTCTTGATGGCTGATGAAGATGCGCGCGTTGGATACGTTCATCCCGACGATGTTGGTCGCTTTGCGGCTGTACTTCTCTGCCAGGAAGATTATTCCGTCCATAATAAGGCCAAATATGTGCTTAATGGTCCGGAGGATATCACAGGGAAGCAAATCGTGAAGTTGGTTGAGCAATATATAGGAACACAGGTCAAGAACGTCAAATTTAGAGATATGAGCTTCATTGATTCTGCGGCGGCTTCGGTTAAGGAGAACAAAAGCCTCATTTTATCCATCAAGTATGCCCCTGTTACAGCCTGGGAAGGAAAGTGCTCGGTCGCAACAACTAGCAAGGAGGTTAAGGAGCTAGCTGCACCACAAATTACCCCTGCTGGATGGCTGAAGAGTGCTCTAGAAGCATAAATAATAGACTGGAGGAAAAATAGATAGGTCAAATAATACTTCCTAGCTATGCCTTAGAAATTTTAACACTGAGCAAAGAAGTTTTATTACTCTATGAGACTCAATCCTTCGTATTGCAATAGACAATATGTCAACCAAGAAAGTAAACTGAATTGAAAAACCATCCCTTTATGATAAACACCTCCCCTGTCTCATTTTAGTACCAAATGCTTTTCCATAATAATCTTCCATCTCTCCTTCATTCTGTCTCACGCCTCCTCTACACGCTCTTCCCACGAGCGTCTAAAGGCATCGTCGAGCATATCTTCGTCCCATTGATAGTATACCTCGCTCTCCAGGGATATGTGGCTCATAACCGTCTTTCTGATCGTGCACTATTTCCGCCTCGTCTGGCTCGAATGGTCTGCTAGGCAGTACGGTGTCTGGAATATCCTAAATTTCATCCTCTAGATGCTTTCTGTTCTTAGGTTCGGGGTGTTTGTTACATAACAAAGTCTCCGATATATACACATAGTGATCTACACATATAACGAGAATGTCTGGCACGACACAAACGGCCTCGTTACAAACACCGTGTCCGCTATGATACACTGGTTCCGTTTTAGTCGGCGGACCGGAGTAGCTGATTTGACTCCCCTCGAAGCCCGGGTGCACTTTCCAAGTTACTGAAAGTGATATATAGCAACATGAAGCCCACGTTCGTTTGAAAGTGTTCATACCACGACGATAGCAATAGCAGTTCCTACGTCTACGATAAACTTGCAGAGTTGTACCGCGTCGGCCCCAAAAAGCCTGCTGAATAGCTCCACCTAAAAGAACAGTCCAAAAATGCTAGACAAGAAATAGCAAACGAGACGCGAAAGCGTAATCGAAGCCTTCTCAAAGTTTCTCAAGCGCCAAAATCGGCACAAGAACCGCAAAAGACACGCCCACAAGGCCGACCTCCTAAAGCTGGAGTAGCCACGAAGGAAGCCCCCAAACGCGGTCGTGGGAGGCTACCAAAGATGGCGAACAAGATCATTAAAACAAGCCTAAAGAAATAAAAGCCGCTGTTGTAGACGATGATTGAAAGTTGTTGCAGGGAGGGACTTGAGAGGTAGTAGAACAGATAGAGTTGCGTTATCAGCCCATCTTTGCAATTCCCCACCTTGGCAGGAGGAAAATGCATGAGAAAGCGAGACGGAGGTGAGGCAGACTTCCGTAAACCTTGTACTGGTAGCGGAGAATTTCATTTTCCTTTCGGCGACAAGAGAAGCCGGATGACGACCGAGATCGAAGTGCTTCGTTACTAAATGGATAAATTTGGGTTTATAATACGAATTTCAAATCATCTATATCCTTAAACTTCTTCGGAACATCTATAAATTCGTAAGAACAATTGTTTAACTACGCACAATACATATTGTATTACTATAATTTTTAATTCTATACGTCTACGTTTCGTCTTCGGAGCTCCTTGCTCGGTTTCCTCTACAATATTTGCGATATTTGCACTTATTCTTTGAGATATCTCCTCCCGAAGCTCTTTCACCTCGTCACGCAGCTGCTTTACCTCCCTTTGATGTACTCTCCTCAGGGGTATCCATATTCAACTAACTTACACTATAGATAAAGCAGTAGTTATATTTGGAAAGTGCCCACTTTAGGTTCGTTAGGAACTCGTTTGAGCTCCTTAAGCATAGTCATCAAAACTTGTAAAATTGATATGAGAGAATAAAGGTCAGATTAAGAGTAATTTGCCAAAAAGCGAGAAGTCAAAATAGGTGACTATGTGGTTAATCTTGCTTAGGATGATTAGACTTGCTTAGGTGAGTTGCTCAGGATGCTGAAGTTACTCAGGCGAGCTGACTGAGCCGAGGGTGATTAGCGCCTGAGCAGAGCGGCAAGCTTACTAACCCTATGCGATGCACAAGAAAGAGAAAATTGATTCATGATACCTATAGATTTTGGTCGCATTCTACTCTGTACCTAGGGTATTATGCTAGATGTAGAAATTGAGACGGAGTCATGTGACTTTTCCTGTTCCCCCTTTATGTTAGCGAGAGAATAGGGGTCAAATAGGGGGGAGGAATGGGAAGAAGGGAGACAGACGCAAAAAGTAGAAAAGGTAGTAGGTACTATTCTATTAACATCCGCTCTTATAACTTATCGCGTGCTTGATGTTAATTTATTTAGTAAAGACGCGGTTATCTACTCCTTGTTGCGCGGTATATAGTTTAGGGCTAAACTGCTATATATGCTCTACTCTTTAGTATAGATATATTCACTCTCTCGGGAAGCTATAGGTCCTCTAGCTAAATCACGCGATCTCGGTTAGTGTCTTGATGTTATCCTCACCTTACAAGCCTTCTACACATTCTACTTTATTTCTATTCTCTTCTCCCCACCTCAACAACCCACGTACAGCCACACCTGCCAACCCTGCAAAGTAGCTCAACTCTTGTAAGTCTCTCTGCCTACTATTTATTATACTATTATACAGTGTCTCCTCTTCATATACTACCTCTAGCTAGAGACGCGAGGTAGTTCTTACTGTAGATCGAGGTCTATACTTCACCTTCGGGCTAGCTGTTCAACTTAGCCTGTCCCAGGGTACTAAGTTGCTAACTACCCTGTTATCACTCTAGACGTGATGGCAATCTTGGCCAATATTCCCGGTATTCAAGTGACGATTCATATCAACGGTCAGCCATTGCCCGAATACAACTGCAAGGACTCGGAGGGAAATGCTGGTGCTGAAGGCTTGACAATATGCGAAAGGTATATCGAGAGCCGGGCCGATCGAGAATTTGAAATTAAAATGGGCTTAAACCCTCTGTACAAGTTCGACTCGGATGCTCTAACTTTTAAAGTTGAGATCGACAAAGTGGGAATTCTGAGCTCTCTCTTTCGCAAGGAGAGGTATATTAAGGAAGGCAACGCAATACAGGTGACTGTGAGCGGTGTAAGAGAGGCAGTCGATGGGGAGCCCTTTATCAGAAAGCTCAAATTTACCGAAATACCAAAGAGTCAGTTTTCGTGCCTTCGTCATACAACTATATACCCCCCCGCTGACTTATTCTTTAGGCTTTCGCAATTTGGAAACTACTGAAGATCAGGATAGGTTTAGGGGTGTAATCAAAGTGAATGTATTTCGCGCGAAGGTGGCCGGGTATATCTCTCAGGTCCCAGAACAGAGATTACTTAATCCAGATTTTGCTGGTAACCGCGATACCAAAATCCACGCTGCCTCGTACGAATCATCACTTCCCCCTCTAACTAGGTACATTACTAACGTTTACCGTAGGCATGGTGGGATGGAAAAAGCCACACCTTTAGTGGTTTATAATATGTGTGACATCGGACAGCACCCACTCGCTACCTTCATCTTTTTCTATCGTCCAAAGGGTAGGTACTTGTATCTTTGGTTTTTTTGCGCGCAAGTCAAGGCTGACAAGGTACCTCTAGAAATGATCCAAAAGCTTGACCTCATTCCTGTTGATAATGCTCCAAAACCTACACCGCTAGCAAAGTCCGAGATTAAATGCGAGTCTTCAAGCCCCCTCCAAGCAGACGACAAGAGCGATATTGATATCGACGCCTTCTCAGCTGAAAAGCAACGCGAACTATATGAGAAGCTGGCGGCAAAACTGGCGTGTGACTGCATCGAGCTCTCTTGATTATATTGGCTCACTCTTCTATGTGCCAGGACTCTGGAAAAAAGGATGACATCTCCCACCTACCAACATCCAGTGGCGAAGTCAAGAAGCAGCGAATTAAAGCAGAGTTTGTTGACTTAACCGAGTCAGATTGAATACATCGTAGGTATGTTCGAGGGCTGCACACCATCTGTGATATTAAATGAGAGGGCCGGATACATTTGGCTGATTGTTCTCTATAGGTGCCACATGTGTATCAACTGATGGATGCTTCCAAATTGTTTACGGCTTGGGAATTTTCGATTTGTTTTTAAGTCTGGCCTGTCTAGGCATCTATGACTGTCAGCTTGTTATTTTCAATGAAGGAAGTTGAAAAATAAAGCTGTTAAGAAGCCTCTTTGATGTTACATAAAGTGCTGCAGTTTATTGATATTTCCAAGCTCTTGTGCCTTTCTATACCTGATGAATTTGAATAGCATACTGATTAAATGATATAACAAAAAGGCTTAGTTCCTCCTTAAAATTGTATTATTAAAGGGGATTATACTGGTTAGAACGATATAATCTGGCAGTATTATCTTGTCCTGGCAGTTTCGTCTCCCAGGGCAGCGTACCGTACCCGTAAAAGCACGCCGTATAATGAAGTTAAGTCTTGACATTGCTTTTTCTTTAACCTGTAATTCCACCGGAATGTTTGCTCTTCCCAGCGCGAATCCAGTGCTCCTGCCCAATCAATCCGCTGTGCAGGGGTCTGATCCGCGACATTCTGGATACTTGCTTACTAAGCTGCCTCATCTGCGCTGCCACAGCCGCGTTGCAACCAACGTCACATCACCCATTCCACAGCTATGGCTCAGGTCTACGACCACTTGAATCAGAATAGCTCTTTTCCTCAAGATAATATACTGAATCTGGTTAATGAGCGACTTCTCAAGCCGACAGATCAGCAGCAAACCAGCAAGCTCAAAAATTACTTCCTGGGCTACAAGGAATGTTTGGACACACCACCATCTCCAGCACTTTCGGATCAAGATCAATTATTTTCATACCTCGAACAGGGTGAAGAGAGCAGCACGAATTTCGACAAAGTTCCCGCCCTTCCCCCTTCTTGTAGAGTACTACTTCAAAACCCACCAGAGGTGGAATCTCAAGGTAAGCTACAATTGTTCGTCAACAGCATCACAAGGCTAATCGTTTTTACCATCAGTCAATTTTGGGAGGAACAACAAGTCAAGATCACATTCCCAAAATGAGCCCGAACGCAGAAAAGGAAGCCGTGGAACTGAGCGGAAGGGAAAACGAGGATGTACGAGGAGCGACGCCTTCAAGGCTAGTAGAGTTGTGAAAGAATACTGTCAAAGCACTCATCATATGGAAACACGGTCACGCACTGGTGCTTGTAGGCTTGAGTAATTGAAACGAGGCAGGGGCTGGAACGAAACGATAGCAATGGGCCTTCTTGTCATCGAAAATGATCGCGGGTATCATGATCAACATGGTGGAAGTATCAACCTCACTCAACGTGGTCATACCATCACCTCCACGACACAGAAGGAGACTTATTTCAATAAAGACTCCTTCCGATCGACACCTCTCGGCGTCACGAGAGCTAGAAGAACGAATGCGAGACGACATCACCCACGCCGAGCCAGCGAAGTGCAACTGGAAGGTTTACGAAAGACCCGTAACAGCAAAGGAAGGGTTCTCCATGTTCTTATGCCACCTCAGTCAGGGTGGGATCTAAGTGGCCAATCATGCCTTACATCTCCAAATTCCATGGAAAGCATGAATGAATCCACATGTGAAGGCCATATTTCCTTTGGATCGCCAACACTTTCGGCCTAGGAGATGAGCTCTTGTATCATGATGCCCTCATTTTATCACGACTACAGCGGCGATTGGTTCAGGCTGCACAGATAGCCGTCGCCGTGCGTCAAGCATCTCGTCTGGATTGGCTGAGGTGGTACTTTTCCTCATCAGCCCTTTCTTAATTGGTGGATATTATTTGAGGAGAAGCGCGCGGCAAAAATCGACAGACCACATCAGCTACGTCCTGACTTAGAAACATGTCCAGGGTTAGGTTGCTTCACAACCCGCCACGCCCTTGGAATCGAATTTAGAACCAACACCTTCCGGCTTTGTGCTACGCCTAACAGTGAGGCCACAAATACTTGGCGGTCCTAGTGTCTGTCGCTTTGCCACGCCCTTCACATTCCGGCCCTGTACGTTCTCTCCGGCTTATCTCATTCTCCCGTCATTCAGAACCTTCATTGGCATATCCCATCCTATCTAGAATGGTAGCTCGACAGGACTCCGATAACCTTGCATGGGACCGGAGTGACGAGCTATGGGAAAAGGCGATGAAGCAAGTCCGATTGTCATCCACGTGCCGCAACGTTGAATCGTTTGCCAAGACGATATTGGGGCAATCCGCAACCTTGGTAACCCCATTAATTATCGGAGGCTTCAACGTGTTATACCCTATTCGAATTGAAGGATCATCCGATAGCTTTCTCGTTCGCCTGCCCTGCCCAAACCAGGCTGTGTTTCCAGAAGAGAAAACGCTTGCTGAAGCCGCCACGATAGCTTGCATCACCCAACGCACCCAACTTCCGGTTCCAAAAGTCTTCTGTCATGGTGTGGATCCTGAAATTGGGCCGTTCATGATTATTCGAGACCTTGGGTCTCGACGAGGCATGGGCCAGGCCCTGGAGGCTCCCCGCGAGGATCCTAATGAGACGCCCATTTTGCATCCCAACATTTCTGAAAGCAAGCTCAAGAGCCTGTACGCTCAAATGGGACAGTGTTTGCTACAGCTTGCACAGCCTATTTTTCCAGGCATCGGTGCTCTCGTCGAGATAAACCCGGGATCCTACTGTGTAGCAGGAAGACCCCTCACACTTAATATGATCAACATGGTTCAGCTTTCTAATATCCCCAAGTCAATTTTCCCATCCGAAGGCACTATATACCAAACCGCTGATGACTGGTACGTGGTATTGGCAGAAATGCAAATTGCAACTCTCCTCTTCCAGCATAACGACATAGTATTGTCAGAGGATGACTGCAAGACCAAATATATCGCTCGCCAACTATTTCGCAGATTATCCAAGCAAGGCCGGCTATCAAAGTTTGGGTTTTCTGATGATAACTGGTCTGCCTGCTCCAAGCACGCTCGTGCGAGGTTGCCCGCGCCGGACGGTTCGGGATCTTTCCGCCTCTGGTCTGATGATTTCCGGCCAGCCAATGTTCTCATTGATGATAATGACCAGGTTCTTGGGGCTATCGACTGGGAATTCGCCTATGCTGGGCCAACGCAGTTCGTCTTGGACCCGCCCTGGTGGTTACTACTTGACGTGCCCGAGATGTGGGATGGTGGCATTGAGGATTGGGTAGCTGTCTACGAAAGACGGCTGAAATCCTGGCTTTCGGCGGTGGAAGAGGCGGAGCAAGACATGAGTCCCGACTCCTTCCTGCTCTCGGCGTATATGCGAGAGAGCTGGGCTACGGGCCGCTTCTGGCTCAATTATGCCGCGAGAAGGAGCTGGGCGTTTGACGCCATCTACTGGAAGTATTTGGATGAGAGGTTCTTTGGTGAGCGGGAGAAAGATGTCCCTCCGGAAGAACTGTGGAAGACTAGGGTGCATCTTCTAAGTAAAGAGGAACGGGCGGCAATGGAGCCGATGGTACAGACGAAAATGGAAGAATCGAAAGATCGAGTTTTGGTTGAGTGGGACGCTACAGAGGCGAGGCAGCGACTATCCTCCTTTCTATTTGACTAGTTACTAAGACGCTGAATCTCACTGTGTGTCCTATTTTTGTACTCGCCTCAGTCTGCCTCGACGCCTAATAGCTTTTAAAAATTGTAGTAGGGGATATTGCGGCGATTCGCTACCTATATAGTAGCAACAGCTCAGGTCCAAAGACGGAAATGGAAATTGCTCATGTCGAGATTCCGATATCGAACTACCTGTTTCCTAAATCTTGAATTACTTCCACTGGCTGTCAGAATACGGATTGGTGTTGCTGAGTCAGACTTGACGTAAGCACGTCCTATAACCGCCATGGAATTTTGCTGCAGCCAGATATCACTCACCGCCTGTAACCTCGCTCCCTTTGGAATTGGATTTATGTTCACCATAACTTGTTATGAAAACGTAATTTCAAGCACCAAACAGTAATGAATTCTCGTCAATTTCTTGTTTTTATGAATTATTAGCTATGACGGTCCTTTTTTGGCCTTAACATGATGACTAGCGATCTCTCAGCCTCGTCTCCCCACGCCAACCTCTACACAGCACACCCACTTTCACCGAACTCAAAATGCATACGTATTATTGATATTCACGCTCCTACTGCTTTGAGTCCAAGTCAAGAACCTGAAATTATCTATGCCGATCTTCGCGTTATCGATCTTGAAAGTCAGCCCTCTTTCGCGGCTCTTTCGTATGTCTGGGGAGCTTATGCTCCGGAGCCACACACCATTTCATGTAGCAATTGCAAAATTCCTGTGACTGCTAATTGCTATTCCGCTCTTCTACATCTTCGGAAGAGGCTCGGGAGATTCACTATTTGGATCGATGCAATATGTATCGATCAAAACAGTGATGCGGAGAAGTCACAGCAGATTCCTCTTATGAACCGCATCTACTCAGATGCAAAGGCAGTGTATGTATGGTTAGGAGATGGTAATCCTGCCACTGATAGAGCGATGAGATATCTAGCGAATGCCGGCAAACTTGAGTACTTTATCAAGAATTCCACTAGCACCGAGGAGGAGGTCTTTTCGCCAAGGCCATTTGCAGCAAGCTTTTCGGTGTATACGTCTCGATGGAGCTTCACAAGACATCCGTACCTCTTTGAAAGTATGCCTCTTGGACTTCCTTTATTTGATTTCGCTGACACTTGATTTACCTTAGGTTCTGCGTCCGGATGGCGTCTCCCTGCATTTATGCGTATTAAAAGATTCCAAAATGCGATATATGCCACCTATGAGGATCTAGAAGATCTCCTCTCAAGAGACTGGATACGACGGCTCTGGACCTATCAGGAGATCCTACTCGCCAACAATCCTATTGTGGTTTGTGGTAACGCGCACCTTCCATGGTCTCGATTTGAATTGAGTATCATCTTTCTTGAAGACACCGGCGTAAATTACGAAGATATAATAACGCCGAAAATTCAGGCACTGAGGTCCTGGAAGAGGGTCGCATTCTCTAGGGAGCGCCTGATTGCATTAGAATCAAATAGACAGATGCTGAACAGCTCTTTGACGAATACCCAAATGCCGCGGCTGCAACAATATCAGAAATTCGTTCATGGTATTGTTGGATGGAGAAACCAGTTTCTGACAGTGTTCTATCCCATAATTGGCATTTCCTGCGGGATCACCATAATATTCAGTATTCTCACCGCCATCAAGTTTAATGATCCTTCCGCTCGCACCGTACTCAATAAAGCTGGCTGCATCTCCATTCTCGCCATATTTTCAATCATAGTAGTACTGTCCTTCTCGGATCGCCTTCGGCGCTATCTTTGTCACCAGCCTGCGACTCGAGCGCCAGTAGAGCCGACGGTATCTGATGATTTGGTCGACGGGCTATCAACTCGACATGCAAAGGACCCCAAAGATATGGCGTTTGGTGTCCGCACCGTCTTACAAAAACGATCAAATCTCAATCTCCCGGCCCCTGACTACTCAGTCTCAACTGGGCAAGTCTATAAGGAGCTATCGATTCACCTTATCGAAATATGTGGCTCGCTACATCTATTGGTATTTGCGGCCTTAAAGAGTTTTCCGGATCAGCCATCGTGGGTTCCTGACTGGTCTTGCAGCTTGTACGATTTCTGGCCGGGCCTCGAGGTGGATATTACCGATTTCTATGAATACAGAAGCGAACGAGAAAGCAAATTGGCTCAAAATGCGAGGACAATACCTGTCCCACGCTTTCGATTTTCAACATTGAATGATCGTATCCTCATCGCCTGCGGCCGCCACCTTTGCACTATCAGTACGTTGTTTGAATTCCATCTCGCGCAAGATAGCTGCTGGGGAACAGTTGATCAACCCAATTGGGAAAACCTCCAAACAATCCTGGAGCTACACAAGCATCACACTGGCTCGGGAAATTTCGCCGATTTTTTATCACGCTTGTTCCGCATAAAATGGCCACCTAGCCTAAGCTCTTCCAGGCTATTGCATTGGATGCACTTCCTAGAGTCTCATCGTGATAAGGATCTTGCCAATGCTTTTACTATTCTTCAGAGGAGCGACTCGATATCGTTTCTATCTTTCCCGAGTCGTTATGGAGCTGGCCTAAAGATACTTCAAAAAACTACCTATCGAGATATCTGGGCAACCCATGTTGAAATATCTAATACTATTGCGCGACTCAGTCGAGTAGCGTTTGCCGGAGATCATAAAGAAATAGGGCTCTGTTTACGTAGCGCGCAGATCGGGGACTGTGTCAAGTTTATCCCAGGCGCACCGCTTCCTGTTGTCCTTTGTCAATCAAACTGTGACGGATTGTCGATACTTGTCAGCCCGGCTGTTTTCGCGGATGAAGAATTCAATGTTGCGAAGGCAAGTGGGATGGGTAATGGACTGGAATATGAAGATATCATTCTGAGCTAGACATCTCAAACTTCAACACTACTAGTCCATGGCTTGTTAGAAGAAACATTGAAAAGTCCTACAGCTCTTGCTTTACTTACAAAGGACGATTTTGTTATTCTACGTATGCAGCTTAGGAGTTCTCGTTTCTGTTGGCCTTATTTCATTGCCTTGTAAAAGTGCTCACACTTATTGCCAAAATTTGCAGCACCTTAGAAGTTGGGACCGAGTGCCGCACGAGCGTCGTAGTCCGGATATGCTTAAAGCCAATAAGCTTATGCGGGTTTTACTGTGCAAGGATTGCCTAAGGATGCTGGCGGCACAGTCACTCCTTGGCAATGCTTCTTTGTACGATTTTGCAACTTTCTCGCATGCTATTCCAAGATCTTTGAGACGATCTCTACCGAAAACCAGATTAGGTCCAAGGAGGGATTTTATTGGCAGATCAAAACAAAGTAAGTAAGCTTCCTAATATAAAGGGTTCTTGCTCTATTTCTTTCCAACTATACCAAGTACACAGGTGCCCGAATCAAACAATCAACTATCTAGTATCTATTGCTCAAGTTTTAGCTGGTATTTATCACCAGATTCGCAACAAAGACAAGTGTGTGATTATGTTTGGTACTACGGGGAAACTTTCATGGACCACAGCAAGGAGAACTTCTCAGGGAGCCATAAGCATCAAGCAGGGCGTTTGAAGGCGGCCCAAGCTCCTTCCAACGTCTTTTTAGGAGAGCCCTCCATTAATAATGCTGTGCCGCTGTGGAGACACTATCTAGCCCTCCGGATTTCAAATCTATCTGCAGTCACAATCCACGCACTCTTGGGTACTGCAACCACAGATGGCTTTACCACATATCGAGGAACCAGGTAGCTAAGAACCTACTACCTAGCCACCTTTTCAAGACTAGGTCATTCTAGAGACCAAATCTAGTTGCGTATCCCGTGGATTCTCCGGAATCCCCGACGAAGCCTTGGCACCTATAATTCGAATCCCAGCAGATACCACTTTCCCGAGTCTCCAGAACACCATGGAAAAACGTGCCAACGACAACCGAATCCTAAAGTGGATGGAGAAGGAAGAAAAAGGTAGGGTAGTACCGGCTTATGGAGGCCTATCTAGGCAATAAGCCTTTCTCACAGTCGTATGCACATCTCCGAAAGACCCTAGGAATAAGAGGGTAGGTTGAGCTTTGAAGTAAAGGCGGGGCACAGTAAATAGGCATATTAATACCCGACACCCAATAGGGACACGGCGCATCATCCCGGGCCCGGGCCCTCCAAACGTGTAATGGAGTAAGTGACAGGGAGCTAGAACAGACTCAGGACGGCCATGGAAATAGGAAGACTCGTGACGTCGTAACGGGCCAAGAACCCCCCTTCTTAGACAGGCAGACAGATGTACTGTCATTCCGTGCAAATTTGCTGCTGCTTACTTACCTTGGTTACCTACCTACCGATCTATACCTTTTTCGTCTAAAATATAGTATCGCAGCCACCCGATATATCAAGCACAGCCCGGTAGCTTATTGCAGACCTTATTGGGAATAATTGTACCTATCAAAAACCCCGCCTTCGCATAATCAAAATGTAGCTGCATGTATTGTGATCCTCCAGGATTTATTAAGAATTCCCGGCACGCTCTATCTAGATTCTAGAATCATCATCGTACCTACTACCTATCAACAACTTCTTCCCCCGTATAAACAAATGCAACTGTACGGATTGTCATCCTCCATGATATATTGAGATGAATTCCCTACCCACCCTACCTAACGCCTACCGCCGAATACAATGAATCGAGGTATATATTGTGAGTAGATAATTCCATTTTTGCTCATTTTCCTCGTCACTCTCATGCTCATGCAGCAACAACCTTCCTTCTTATTGTTCCAATTCTAAAAAATAAAACCTATAATCGAGCTCTCCTCAGTCCTACCAACCTTTCATCACCAATGGTGGGCCCCAACACCTTTCGGCGCTATCTGGCCGCTACCTTCCTCCTCCTAAGCTTTGCCCGCAAGTCATACGGCATGTTCTACATCGTTCAGAAGCATATGCAATCTATGTACTCCTGCGGCACACATGGAGAAGAGTGCTGTGAGGATGACTTCCCAGTGTGGGAGTTACATTCTAATATTCCCGGGCTTCCACCCCAGACTACGGCCTGCACGGATAACCTGGGCAAGTACGAAGCCAGTAACTACAGAGGGAAGATCGGTACCTGCAAGTACGGCGACTTTACTGGCTTAGGCAACAGCTGGGCTTTCTGCGAAACGGACTATGGCGGAAATCTCTATCTCAATGGCTTGCATAAGGTCTGCAATAAGGTCAACCTTTATCAGGCCTATATCTGTGTCCAGTACCCTACTTGTGTGAACTATGGCGAGATTGTTATTGCGTGCTACGATGATGCTTGGCATTCAGGCTGGTAAGATCTTCAATAAGTACCTTGATCAAATTTAGATCATTTTAACTGACACCATCCCTTTAGATCTCGAATACAGCTTGCGTAACAAGATTCACGGGTGGAGAGGCGGAGTGACGGAGCCAGTTTAAGAGGTTCTGGGAGATATTTTACTTTCTTAGTTACCTTTTGTTGATTGCTTTAAGTACAAGAGAGAACTATAATCTAAGCTTACTGCTCCAACTGTTGTATCACACTCTATATTTCGGTGATACCATGGCCCCCGGGGTATCCATATTAAATCCTAGGTAATCTATAGAAACTTTGTTCTCAAATGCTAAGCCTTAATACCTTATAATCAAACACAGAGGCCAAAAGCAACTAATATCGCCAGGCCACATAGTAGGAAGCTATAAGTCTCGTAATTAAATCTGAACACCCTGCTTTGTCCGGTAACTCTGGTTCCCTCATCACTCTTCTCGCATTCCCGGATTGATGAACGACTTAAAAATTAAGAATCAAACTAGAGGAACCTTCCTCCTGCCTACCCCCCTTCCCCCATGCGCCGGCCCAGTAGCAATCTGCCTGTGGGCGGTGTCTAATGATTTAATGTGCCTCATACCGGATGAATCCAGAAGTTACCAGAACCACTCTTAGACATGCCGCAGTGTTGTTAAAGACGCATAAATTCCTCAGCATCTCCAATATGCCTTTCTCGTCGATGAAATCTTAGAGAATCCGGTCCAGAACACATTTGTTACAGTCGAGGCATTTTAGTTATGCAACATTAGAGGCTTTGACATGTTAGCGGGTAACTTTTTGTAATAGAAGAATTAAAAGCATAGGAGGTTGGAAGAGAGTCCAGATACAGATCTGGACAGAGCTATAGCATTAGCACAATCCCCAGCTGCATCCCTGGGTTCCAGCCAGGTGATCAAAAGCGGGGGGGGGTTGGATAGAGTCGATAGACGATACGGAAGCACAAACTGCTCTGTTGCGGGGACACCCGCTGAGACACAGCGAACTCGGTTGATGGTATGGGCGTCACTTAACTTACGGCGGAAGATAAAACAATCTTTGCGCATGGATTGGCCAAGAAATTTTGAAAACTTGACGATAGCAAGCATTTCCCAAGTAGAATTATACTCACCAAGCAGCCGGGGCAGAGTTCGCTCCTTATGTTGCAATTCTATCTCGACCTAATCAGTCACAGAATCGGAAAGCTTGTACTTGAAAGAGGTTCTACCAGTCGAAAAAGAAGAGGACAATTGTGTAGTTGGAGTAAAGTTAATTTTCTCTATCTTTATATTTGAAATGAAAGGGCTGGAAAGGGGCTAGGCGAAGAACCCACGCTATTTGATGAAAAGCTCTAAAGGCCCAAAGCTCCTTTCTATCAGCTGGTCCGGCACACTTGAATATCTCACCAGGACTGATTGATTGACCTCTGCTTCCCATCTTCCTCTTCGGCGCTAAATTTATCTTTACTACACTCCTACGCAATATCTGGGCGCCAATCCCCGATATTGGAATAGTTATAGTGCCTGTTTTATGCAAGTCGAATCCAATCAAACCGCTAAGACTGAAGTTTTGCGAGACTATCTAATGAACTTCTATCTGGTATAGCAAATTCGATCCTTGGGATTGCCGGCGCCCTTGCCATTAGGCGAAATAGCCACGGACGAAACAAAGGTTATATGCCCCTTGTGCATGTTGGACAGCCGTTCTTTGATTCATGAGCGAAAATGGTTCTGAGAATTTCTAGCAGTAAAGTTTAAAGTAATATTAGTGAGGCTGAAATCCAAGAAGAAGACTTTTGTAAACCAACCTGATATAATCTATACATGATTCAAGACTTATAAAGCTGAACGCCTCTCCTTTGGATAGATATGAAGTGGCTTCTTGAATAATCTAAAACACAAGCTTGTAATTCCGCTATCGAGAAGAGGGCCATAAGAAAATACCGATTTGTCTCCGCATAAATGCAAGTGAAGGTATACCTAGCGAAAATGGAACATCTCTAGTATGTAATCAATACGTGCTCTTGTACGATACGCTGTACTCTTAGTCAACCTCTTAAATACTTTTTGTAGCTGAATTAGCCGGTTATAACATATGTTGGTAAATAGTATAGTTGAAACCTCATGTAACCAGTTTGAAAGTAAGGGACTCCGATCCAGATCTACCACCACTCTCCATCTAAGTCCATCCGTGTCCTTTCCCTACGGAGTCCATTGCTCCATTTAATGCAAATTACGCCAGAGTTCATTCATTCCCCCCAAAATCAACCATCCACCACGCACTACCATCTCAAATTAATCCTCGGCAGTGAAATCAACTTGCTCATGCTTAGCCTTCTCCGAAGCTCTTCGTCGCTTTCGTGGCTCCCTGTCCTCTAAGTGCTCCTTCTTAATCCTTTTCATATTTCTTTTCTTGCTCCCTACTTTTCCCTGCTCAGCAGAAACGCTACGGCGACCCTGATTCTCGGCTTTGAACCGAGCCATAAGCTCTTCCATTTGAGGGTTCTGCTCGGCCGTGAGAGCTCCTGGTTCTTCTTCTGGCGCAGGCGAGGATTGCCGAGAGGACAACTCTGACTCAGAGAAAGATGAACTGACGGAGGGAGATGGGGATGGTGTCCGAGGGATCACTTGGAGTTGTTTTAGGGCGTCTATTTGCTTCAGTAGTTGAATTTGGCACCAGCATATGGGCTATGAAAGGCAACAAAGGGTGGCTGGGAAGGAACTTACCGAGAGAGCGATACATGAATCTGAAGACCACGAGGGGATGGTCGTCGCCGTCTTTCTTCTGTGTTGTCCAGACGGTTCCTCTCATGGTCTTTTGTGCTTTGCCTAAGCTACATTCTGTCATGTCAGCTTCTTTCTACACGTATAGCATGGAATGGAAAAGGAATGAGATGCTTACACAGTCCCATGAGTCTTTGCATCTCCGCCCTTCAACGCCTTTTCTGGGACATCGGTCTCTTTATTGTTAAGAAATTTGCTCGAGTCGCCAGGAGTCGCACCGCCCAGAATGCCATAATTTTCTCTGTACACCTTTATCTCGATAACGCCGATTTTCTGTAGTTGCTGGGCCATGCGTTTAACCTTTGCTATCTCAGGCGTGTTGCCGTCTATAATCAATCTTAGCAATGCCCATTTTCTAATAATACCAAGGATTACAATGGGAAATCAAGTTACTTACTGGTTGTGATTTCGGCAAACCTAAAGTTCCTGACCACGCAATTTCGGCCCTTGCCCACCTTAACGCCCATAACTTCATCTTCCCACGTTCCACCATTTTCCTTCACTCTCGGTCTCGCACAGGTACTAGTCCACGCCGGGACGCCATCAATGACGATATGGAATCCACATTTTGAATCCATTATGTTGGAATACGGTTTTGCTACTAAAAGCTTGATGCTGAATACTTGGTTGGTCTCAGACACAATGTATTTTGATATTGTGTGCTTGGAAATGTACCTCGCTACCGCGGGGTCAGCATGCTTGGGGGCGATTGGGTCCGGATCATCGTATTCTTCAGTGGGGACGCCGTTGATTAAAATTTGAGCTGTGATGCCCTGAAGGTACGGTGCTATTGCCATGATGAGAACGGCTTTGGTTGATGGCGATATGTTTGAAGAAAGGTGAGTATTGGATGATATTATGAGGAGGTATGGATAAAGGATAATTTTAGTGTTTAGAGTTTAGAGTTTGATATGGAATGTAAACTAGGTGCTGAGCAGCCTCGTCAGCAGTAAGATTATTGTGAGGTTGGTTTCGGAGTCGAGTAAAGCTTGGGTGTAAAGTGAAACCCTTCAATGTTTGATTACCAAGGATATTGCCTCTTGCTAGGTATGCAAGATGAGAGGTATTGCTTCTGCTGCTGAAGCGTATCTGGGTAATATTTGATTTGGGAGAGTAACGTGATGCTGAGAATTCGCGACCCGCTCAGCTGTGGATCCGTGATTATGATTTTGACTTCTGAGGGTGATATCATATGTGTGACAGTCGAAGGTTGATCGGTGGAAATATCAGTACAAGCGAAGTGGTTAAATTAAGGGTGATTAATGGTGAAGCAGCAATGAAGGCTAACTTATGTAAGTTGGAAAGAAGTTGGAGTTTATTTGTATGCAGCTCTTTGTGAGTGGAGAGTCGTTCATTGATTGTATTCTAAGTGGAGATGCACCTTCCATCCAGCTACAGTTCCTTGATGCCATAAAACCACACCTTCATCATTCCCACGAATCAGCCAGAACAGATTTCTTCTAGTTTCTCCCTAAAATATATTTGTACCAAAGGTCGCCCATCGAGAAATCTAGGGGAACAATCTGAACAGCTCGTTCAACAAAGTAAATGTGGGTGCCCAAGATTTACTCATGCAGGATGCATCGATACTTGTATCCCACCAAAATGGCTGAAACTCCCCCAGAAACTCCCTTCGAGGCCCGTTCGAAAACAAATTCATTAATTGCTTTATCGTTACTTCCCTTGCGTTCAATTATCCGTATCTCCATCTCCATCGCCTTTTTATGTCTCTTTCCCTAACGGTTTGGATAATCAATCTTGTCGTCGCTCTCGATCATGACTTTAACATCATCTGTGTCATGTTGATCAGAACGCTCACATTTAACTCCAACGACTGGACTGATTATTCTGGTTTGGCCAACATTACTCTTTGTGCGGGTCAGCTGCATATAATCATCGCATATATGAGGGGCCTACTCGCCCTGATATCTTGTAGGCGAATTGCACCCAACATCTTTTCTTTCTCGGTTACATTCTCGAGAACATTATCAATAACATTGTTTGGTAAATCTATAAGCTTTACTACTGAAGGAGCCTCTGGATCAGGGCCTGGGGAGCGCGGAATTATATATAGCTGCTGAAGAGCCTCTATGGTAAGGTTAGTATTCCGCTAATATTCCGCTACAAGACCCCAACTTGCTGTACGAGCGATATTTGAACACAAATACTGCTAGAGGATAGTACTTGCCATGTAAAATTTTGCACTGACAGACGTCGCTATTCCCATATTCGTCACTTTTCCAAACCTATATTAAATCGTTTGCATCTCATATAGTCATGTGGAAAAACCGCTATTTCATACTCCGTTATATGAGATTTTGGATCCTCGATGAGGGACTTTTCCTTAAATTTGAAAGAGGCGCTCATCTCAGTGCCGACGAAGTCTTGGTGCTGTCGGCTGCCCCCCGATCGCCTTGGATCTGAAGATCGATAAATCTGGACTCCAATCTCGCCGATTTTCGATAAGCAATCATTGTGTATAGCTCCCATTAGCTTGTCCAAACTTTCATTTGCTATTGTTGCTGCTATCAGTATGGAAGCTTAGGTGCCCTGGGCAAGTCCGAGAAAACCTTACTAGTTCTAAGTTGTGCAAACATCATGGGTCGAATTATGTTACCTGCAGGTGTCTTCGTCACAGATCCTTCCAAAACAAGGTCAATCGGCTTAGTCAAGTTATGCTTGCTTCTGAAAAGCCTAAAGTCAATAATGTTACCATCAACCACAGTAGTGACGAAGAGGATGGATAGCCGAACTTGTACGGATCTGGGATCTATACTTTCAATGGGAACGCCTTCCCTGTGACTGATTCGACATAATTTGTGGTTGTGTACTTATTGTTATGTTGCAGTATACGCAGATCATGTTGATGGATAACATCATTAGGTGTTTCGTATTCTTTGCGAGGCTCACCATCCGTGAGAACAGTGACCTCAATGTTTGGGTGCTCCGAAAGGATAGCCGTTGTTAGTTAAATCGCCGTTGGAAAAGTATTTGGTGGGTATTGAGGAAGTAATGGAGACTAACAACGCAAGGTAGATGAGAAATAGCAAACGGGGCCACCTCAGATGGAGCTAGTGAGGCGTCTGAGGCAAGTCTACAACTTGTTACAACGGCCACGGCTACACTGCTATTGCGAACCAAATTTGAAAACTTTATACAAGCTTCTTAGAAAGCCTATGGGGTGCTTTGTGCAAAGAATACAGACTTTAACAGCCTGTGACACGCAGACGTATTATTTCAAAACAAGCAAAGAAATGTTTGACTAACTTAAGAACTGTATTATCTGTAATTCTCCCCAAAACCTGCCACCCTACAACAATAGCATGTCATTAACATAGCGAGAAAGTCGTACGGACACTATCATTCGCAAGGAGAATCCTGAGTCTCGCTCATGTAATGCGTCTCGTTGATATCTAAGCTACCCAACTCCGTAAATAGCCATTAGAGCATTGAATGAAGGATCTTCCAACAACTGTGCGGCAGTGATTCGATGCTCTGGAATGTAAGTAAAGCCTTTGTACATAACAGACAATGCATACTGCCGCTCGTTGCGACTAATATCAGGCCGGAGGCGGTCAATTTTGTGCTCGAGAGTTTCATATCCCTTCCCAGACGGCACCTCCGGACTATTTCGATCATACCACAAATCCTTGCCGGGTGTACCACCAGAGTACTGGCCCCTCTACTTCTCGGGAAAAGGTCCTAGCGTGCTGATCATCCGAGTTATCATCTTGGTGCCTTCACCATAGAGGGCGTCGGTGCCGAGATACAGGTTCGCGAAAATCATGTGTAGCTCCACATGTCGCTCGGAGGGCCTGGGCTAATGTTGTGAAATCTCTCTGGGGCGCAGTACAAAAGCGGAAATTGGATGGTTTTTTCTACGCAATCGACTGCCTCGATCGACTCGCCAAAGTCGCCCAGGGAAACTGATTCTCTGATCATATCCCTAGGAAATTGCATGGACTCAACCAGTTCTCCAAGTCTGCCCTTTACCTCTGTTAGGTGCACCTTTCGTGGTCGGCCAAAGCGTTGGTATTTTTCTGCGGTCGTCAGATTGTCAATGGAATCCATACCCCACAGGACGGCTCCCTTGTTGAGGTCCATCACATTCATCAGCTTCTGTGCATGAGTATATTAGCTTGAAATAACTCACCTCGATGAACAATGCCAGCCTCATGTAGGCCTTTTAGAGCCATGGCCAACTGTTTCGTCGCGGATACCCGATTGGCAACTGGTATTTGCATTTGTCGCTCGTAGGAGTCGTCAAGACTCGGCCCGTGCAATGGAAGAACGAATACCAAGTGACGATTGGTTCCTATACCGGGAAGGTAAACGCAGCTTGGTAGATAATGAGATTGGATATATCTTGCACTTTCCGGATGATCTCGTTTTGAATGCGAAGCTCACCCTCCCTTTCTTGATCCGGCACCATGACTTTAAGGGCCACACAGCCTTGTTCTGCTAGGTGTCGTAGGCCAGCCACACTGTGGAGAACCCTCCCCAACCAAGCTTGTGTTCGACGCGGTATCTGCGATCAAGGAGTTGCCCTGTCCGGATAGGATAATATAAACCTTCGGTATACCGCTCACGGGGTTCAGAATCCTGTTCCACCTCGCACTCATCACCGGAATCCACCAAGTAGCCGTAATCGAAGGTGTCGGTCTCCGTAGTGGGGACGGATTCCATTCCCATGACTGTAGATACGTATCAAGGTTATGAGAACTCGGCCTGTGTCATGTGTGAAGAGGCGGTTTGGTGATGTGCTAGGGATTTGGTTAGTGTGGTGTCACTCAAATAATGAGCAGGTATGTGATGGTATTAAGTCTGACCAGGAGAAGCCTGTCAGGGGAGGAGAATTATACCTATGTACGGGTCAAAGCAGTGCTGAGTAAGCAGCCAGAGGTCACCTGATCTAACAATAGATTCTATTCGTTACTTTAATATATTTCTTATATTTTCAAAACAAAATGAATTGAATAAGCTAGTACTAGTAAATCGCAAGATTAGATAAAAACAGGATTCTTCCCTTTACAAAAATTCTAGGTTATAGCGAGACCTTTTAGGTACAGCGAAAATCCTCGCTTTTAGAATCGCTACCACTAGCGTCGGATATTGCCTAATGTATGAGGGTATAATTTATTCGTGTCCGCTGAGACCTCCGAAGTTTTCCGGTAGAAATCTACCTTGTAAATTGAAATAATGAGTTTTATGTTAACCGAGCAAGCGCAATTGGTCTAGTGGTATGATTCTCGCTTGTAAGTATTCAAATCATTCTTGTCATCTGATACCATTCCTAACATGACTCCAGAGGGTTCACTAAAAAAGCCTGCGAGAGGTCCCAGGTTCGACTCCTGGATTGCGCCATTCTCCCTAAAATATTTTTTTTGAAATTGTTTTTGAAGGCGTTTAATATTAGAACCCCGAAAGCAGATAAACTGGAGTTTTGACGAGGAATATTCGCTGACAAATCATACAAATTTGTATACCAACAGTCATCTAGTTGACCAATTTGCTAAATTGGCCAACCGGGCCTAGCAGAGAGGATAGATACTATTGAAAGACTTGAAGCTGGCAATATATGGCCTCGCAATTTTGACATTTGCTTAGGCATACATTTTGTCTGCATGCCTCGTTGAGCTTAAAGGCGGGTCGATTCGGTACACGGAAATGTTTGCACCAGTCGTTGATAATACACCGGATCAAGCCACTTCTCGAGATGTTTTCTTTGATACTGGAGACGTTGACTCCGAAGCTATTCGTTCGTGGCGCGCAATTCTAGGTCGTGGGCAAGGGTGGCAAGCCGCTGTCTAGAGTTTGAGACTTGGTGGGTGAGAAAGAAGAGTTAGATCTCATTGTTGGGAATGGCTGATCTGGGGAGTTGTGGAATGATGGGTTGGACGAGTTGAGGGGAGGTAGCAACCAAGGCTACGGCTGCCAGTCCGGGTGAGGCCCGAGAGATTCACCGCCACCTGGCGGCTGATTTATACCATTCTCGCAATACAATATCGTCACTTGGTTGAGGAGGATTAGTGTTTTAATGGCATTTATTTCCGTTCCTGTGTTTTGGTATGCTAGCCCCTGCATAATTTCAAAACCTAGTTTGCCCTGCCTTGAATTACCGTGACTTGAATTTGTGATTATAATGCCGAATAATCTGAATGGCCCCACCCAATGTCTCTATCCTGCCGACTCTCCTTCCTGAGAATCCCAGAATCGCACGTCATATCCTCCCGCGGCATTAGCTACATGTTGACTTTGACCAGTTTGCGATATATTCTGAGGCTACGTGATCTGGTTGACGGCTGTCCATATGACTGGCTTGACCCAAGTTGTAATGATCGTGTGCTTGCCCACGGTAATTCTGTACATGAAGTTAGCTGATATAGTATATAGTTTTTAAAGGAACCTACCTACATAATCGTTTGCAAGATCAGACCTTACGAGGGTCGTTGTAATGTAGTGGGGCTGCCCCTCGAGAGCGATCTGCCACGTAAGGTGGATGAGCACTATAGCCATTGCGTTTGTGAAGATCTGCGATAGTAAAGTTCACTCGGTAATCAAGAGCTTTGTCTCTAGTAATTAACGCGTTATTTTTATCTTTGCCCAGCTTAAATCGGAAAATAGGAGGATTATTCTTGGAGATGTCATGCGCTGTTTGCCAGTCATAGTTTTGGTGGTTCACATCGAAGACGATTAACACGCGTTTCCCCCATATCTCCACAGCAAGTAGTTTGATAAGCGGGCTTTCTGTGGCTGCAGATTGGAATATGTCTGTAATCTGCCCTTGGATGAAGGACGCGACTGATTGCTCGTAATCAGGAGCAAAATCTCGGGCAAGTGGATAGAGAAAGACGCGAAACGGCAGTCGATCTCCAAGAGCCTTGGCTGCTGCTTCATCGAAACTTTGCATACTGGTGTTGATCTCTTGAATCCAGCACTCTGTCAGGTTGTTAGTTGTCCGCGCTTTTTGTAGCCTGTGAAATAGGGCGTACTCTGTAACGCTTGCGGATTATTGGTTCCTCTAGTCCGGTGAAGAAAGGTAGGCTAGGTTTTAGGTTATGATGTAGTGGGCAATAAGTAATGACATAGGCTATGGGTTCATTCTCTAGAAAAATAGCATTACATATTTTCTTAAGGCTCCTTTGGTGTGACATAGCTAGAGCCATGACTAGCACGTGACTAGGGACAGACATATATTCACTTCGAAGAGTCGTACTCTCTCTTCTCCTCTCTTAATATCTTTATCCTTATAGTTAAAGTCGAATAAAGATATCCTTTATCTTAGTAACAAGAAGAACCAAAAGAATAACTAGAAGAAAAGAAAATATGCTTTCACTATAAAATCTTTATCTTTGCCTCATACTTTGTGACTTGGAATATATTGTAAAAGTAAAACTGTTTAAGGTGCTAATCTGTAACACTGCTATAGCAAGGATAACTTTGGCTGACTGTCCAAGTAAGGAGGAGAATTGAGTGAAATTATGAGCCAAATTAAATAGATATAAACAGAAACTATCGTGGATCGGTAGTTCGACTTAAATGTATACAAGTTGGAATTGATTGATCTATAGCAGACAATAAAGAACGACTAGAAAGCAACTTGCAACCTACAACGCGGGGTAGTATACGAACTCGTGGGCTGGGATATCCAAGAATTCTCAAAACATCATTAATAAATAAGCAACACAAAAAACGACGAGATATCTCCGAACTGACCGACGGATTGTTCCCCAATCCCACACGAGCTGAACTATGATGTCGCTTCCGCAACCAAAATCTCACTCCCAGCCACTACCGTCACCATCGCATTTGCCCCTGCATTCCTTCCCCCCCCTTTATGTCTCGCTACCGCACATTACCCAAAAGCAGCGTACTGCATATTCTTTAACCACGCCATCTAAACACACTTCCCCTTTTATTAAATCCCACGAACCAGGCTCAGGGGTCAAGATAGCAAGAGGGCCGCGCGGTTAAGCCACAACAGAATCCCGTTCTGGTCGCCCCACCACTACCCAGAGGTCTTGAAACCTGCCCTATGGGTACTGGGTTCGCTTGGCCCAACTGCCTGATAGCTTGGTATTATTATTCGAGTACTTGAACTTCGAATCTTTTCCTTTTTTGTTCTACGGCCGGGTAAAGGACTTGGCCGCTGCGACTTACGCGATCGCCACGGTTGGCGAATATCCCGATCGCCTGAGTCGCCTAAGTTTCCTGAGTAGTCATTGTTGCAATACTTATTCATGTTTTTCATTTCCTAATGCGGTAATTAACGGCCTATATAAGTTGGTAAGCCTGCATCTTTGCCATCTTTTAAGGATTATCATTACCCTGTGGGTTCAGCTACGCCAGGCGCTATGTAACGTGTAGAGATCTAACGGTGGTAAGGCATACGCCTGGGTAAAGAGGTGAAGTGGGTCAACTGTCATGGCAAATGAAACCCAATCGGGCCCTGTTCCCTGTTCCGGACCTGGACATATCAAGATCGAAGTCGATGTACTTGGTACATGTACATAGTGCGGAGTATATATCCTGCTTGAACTCCTTTCCTAAACAGAACTTGATCCCCAGGGTATATCCCCATTATCCTCATAAGCACCGTATGTGCGCTTTGTTTTTCAACTTCCCTCTTCTACCAATGTCTTGGCAATTCTGATGATCAAGTAATCTAGTGAATTGTATTGTCTTCTTGGCAATAAATATCACTGCCTTCCATTCCTGTCAAGAGGGTTGCCCAGTTACTTCGTAGCTAGTGCTTACATGCTATATCTTGGCCGGTGAATTGCACCATAATTGCCATAGAGAATACTCTTGGCCTGTTGAATTATCAAACCTGGTTTTAGGTGTGTTGCAAATGAGAACAAGATAGTTGCCTACCTTCTCAAACCAGCGATGCCATTACCTCTTGGCCGCTGGGCTGAATAGGCATTCAATTGCACTTCTTGGCCTGATGAGCGGCGTGATGTCATGCAAAGCCGCCTCAAGTGCCCTCCGTTCTTCACCTGAGTTGATGGTGGGCGGTGGATGTGTTGGCTCTGCTATGTTTGAGGAGTTAGCAGGGCGGTTGATGTGATTGATTTCTAATGATTAATTGGGGTGGATCAGAATGAAGTAAGTAAATATCACATCAACTTGACACATGCAACCAAAAATTACCATTTAATGTCTCTATATCAAAAATGCATTTCCACCTCTTTTTTAATCGAGTCGAGCACAATGTAAAGCAACCACCATTAATCAAGTCCATCTCCAAGCCGTCCCCTACTCAAATTCCCCATACGTCCAACCTTGCGAGATAAACACTCCCAAAAGCAGCGACATCCCTACACCCAAGAGCTTCACGTGCTCGAAACCCACATGCCTAGAATTCCAGAAGGCGTTCGAAGCGCTAAAATAGTCCTTGTACACCTGCAATGCACTCCTTCCTGGGCATGCCCAGACCACGCCCCAAGCCTAAGGTACATGCACCTAGTTTAAAGCAGCGGTTACTGCTCACGCCCGGCGAGCCTAGCCTGGAGCACTAGGACGCAGCCGACGAACAAGAAAATAATAGGTCTTGGCTTAATATAAGCCAGAAAGCGGCACTTCTTTTTTACAATCTCACGAACGCACTCAGAACCATCGGCATTTACGATATGCCTAAATACAAAACTTTTATATTTCGTTGTTAAAACAGTTCATAAAATCATCAAGTCATTGCCCTACTTCCCTCTCTCCCTCAACTTCTGCTTCGCATGTTGCTTCCCCTGATCCGAAACATTGGGGTTCTTGACAGCACTACATCATGAATTAGATCGTACATTAGCCCTTGTACGAAAACGGATAGACACTAGGAGCGCCAAGGGAAAACAGGAAAACAGGAACCGATGTGAACATACGCCTTATAACCACCTAGCACATGTCCCTCCTCTTTACCCTGTTGCGCGATGTCTTGGCCGTAGTGCGCGTTGCCAAGGTCGTCGATTGCTTGCTTGGAGCGGGACTTGGCGTTGGAGGAGACGTCTTGATTTTGCGGCAGGTTAGAGGATTGGTAATTAATTAAGTTGGAGTGGGAGCGTACGAGGGTTGGACAGTGCGGCTTTGTGGCCGCGCACTTTGTTGGTTGCTTCTTCGGCGGACATTCCTTCCATTATTGCGGTGGGATTCGAGCTGGGTAGTTGATATAGATAGATAGTTGAACGATAATTTGATTTTGCACTTGAGTGAGAGGAAGTAAATGTCAAAAACGCTCTTATATATAATCATACTGATCCATTACGTTCGTCATTCGAATATGACGTTCCTTCTACAGAGCTTATCGTAATATTCTATGCTGTACGCTTCGAAGAGTGAAGAAGAGGCTAGATATAGATATACGGTCGAGATTCATTGACAAGAGAAATGATTCATGGGGTCAGGTGATGTCTGACATGAGGAGTGGCAGAGTAATATGGAAGTTGCTGGTGTGTCCTGGATGATTGATTCTCTAATAGATGAGGAATATGGTACAGTTGTGTAGGCCTGGCTCATTATTGATCTATAAGAGTGTAATAAGCAAAGATGGCCACTACTTTTTGACCTTATTTAGGATATATCAGGTACCTCACTCCTCACCTCTACACTTGCAACCCCCCTCCCTCAAACCCCCCAACCCACTTTAAACCCCATGCAAATTCCGCAAAACCTAGACAGCAATAATATGTGCTACTACATATTCTCCACTCACAACTCATGAACTCACTTACCTCAACACGCCCAAACCAGGACCCTAACACCTCCCGTTCCCCTTCCCGATCTCGCAACCTCACCAATATTCCCAAAAACACGACATCACAGCCCCCGCTGACTCGTTGCCGAAACTCTAATAAATCCCATACATCCGTACTACCACCCCCTTCTTCACCAAGGCAAGCCCAAACCAACGAAGCTTCCCATCCCTTCTACCTCCCTCCCACCTGCCCAACATCCTCCCTCCCATCATAAAACCCATTATTCTCTTAGCCCTCCCAAGCGCCCATCCACTCACCCACCGCCCACCTCCCCCCAACCAATCGCCACCCACCCACCATCATAAAACCCAAAAAGCCACGCCCATACCCAGCTCCCACTCCTCGCACCTCGCACCTGCGGAACACACAAATGCCAGCCCTTCCAGCCCTCCCACGTGGGTTTCCGGGCGCGCGGAGCGGGGCCCGGAGATTTCCGGTACCGGGATAGTGGGAACCGCCGCTGGGATGTGCCGGCTTGTTTTCCTGAGCTATGAGCAGGAGCAGGCACGAGTCAGGATTTATAAAGTGTTCCTCGGGATTCTAAATTAGTGGGCTTGCCTGATTCCGACTTCCGGGCTGAGCTGAGAGTGTAGTAGTGTTTGCCTCGAGTCAGCAAATGGGAACCCGTTTTGCCTCGGTGGGCATGTAGCCTACTTGGGGAAATGGGTGCTTGCTGGTCATTGGGAGCGAGCGGCTCTCAGTTAGGGAAGTAGGGATTTGCAGGAAACTTTGATTGTTTGATTTCATTCCCCACAGTTTTTGCGAACAGATGGCCCCCTGGGACATCTGTCTAAACCTATCTATTATACTTCAACATTAACGACATAGCTATCATCGCTCATGCTGCCAGCCTTTCTATTGCCTTTCTCTGTTGTCTCGCGCATCTCTAATGCTCGGATGAGAGGCGAGATCCATGTTCGCAATGCTCATGTGCACAGCTCAGCTAACCTCCCTGCCTAAAAATAAAAAAGCCAAATACAAGACTTTTGACAATACGTAGATACAAAGAAACGAAAGGGTCAAAAAAACAAAAAAAAATGCAACTCTATGAGCGATCAATAAACTTCTTCTGTCCATTACGCCCATGCTGGAACAACCCCCGAATAGCAAACAAGGAATGCAAAAATTGAGACCAATGCACCGAGACTGGAACAAGAAAATTGTAAAGCATGAGGAGCGAAGAGTAGCAAAAAAGGTTGCGAGCGATACCGCCAGGCGAAATATTGACCGGAGAAAGGAAGTTATCGTTTCCATGTGCAGTCGAGGCCGACCGAGTTTTTATGTGCGTACTCGAGTGGTGTTAGTTTTATGTCGTAAATCGCATCTATCCAATCCAAAGTCTTTTTCGCCAATCAATCTATCCGGGTATAGTCTTTGCTCGTGATGTATTAACTCCGCCCAATGCAATTTTTGTCGAAACATGTGCGCCGATATAAATGATTAAAAGAAGAGAAGCGGAGAGGTCCCAGGATCCACACGTTATATGTGCATGCGGGTAGGCTGTTTGGTGGCCGTTGGTCGAGCAATTGGGGAGTGCTATCACATCATGTTTTCTTCGCCAATGCCGGGCAATCCAGCTACGTTAACTCCCATTGCGCCCAGTCCCGCAGCGGCAATGTGGTTGCTGAGCTTCAGGTCCGGGTTACAAGGAGGCGAATGTTGCTTGTGCTGCGATGCTGTTAGCAGGGTTATCAAGTGATGGAATAGACTGCTTACATATTTAAGACCGTTCAAGTTCTTATATCGCTTGCCGCAAACCTCACACTTGTAAGGCTTCTCCTTCTCCATGCCTAGAGTGCCTGGATATGGTGTTGATGTCTCGGGGTTGACAATCGAGAATGTACCATCACCATTCTCGTGTAATTGTTGGGTCTGGTGACCGTGCGTCTTGTGATATCTAAGCTGGAGTTAGTGGGTGCAGAGTGTTGCGGGGTAATGAATACATACTTGAGGCCGTTTTGATTTTTATAAGCTTTTTCGCAGCCGACGACAGGACATTTGAAGGGTTTGTTCTCCTCGGCCATCATGAGAGCTGCTGCTGCTGCAGGGTTGCCCATTGCGTTCATCGCCATAAGTTGTTGTTGGCGATAAGCTCTGATAAGCTCGCTATTATTTTCGTACTGGTTCTGGCCTTGGCCGAGGTTGAATTGCGCAAACTGCTGCTGAATTGCTCGTTGGTTGCCTAGGCCTCCATTTGGACTGTATAAGCGCTTGGCTGGTTCGTCGATGCAAAGGTCGATTCCTAGATCATTTGCTCCAAACCCGAAGGGGAAGTTCATGCCCGCCATTCTCATGTTCATCGGCATATTGGAGAAGTCATCATCGTCGCCAGCGGGGGTACCCGGAACGGAGGTATCGGGAGAGAACGTCTGCTGCTGAGATAGGGACTGGGTGCTGAGCGTTGGGGTGTTGACAGATGAAACGGTTGGGTTGTTCTGGAAGCCGAATCCCGATGTGGCAGGTGTTGGCGGTTGCGACGTTCGAAGCCCGGAGTGTTGGAGACCGTTCGAATTGAGATTCAGGGTTGGCCGTTGCTGCTGTCCGAAGAGCGAAGGCTGTGTCTGCACCGGTTTCTGATGCTTCTGGACAGGAGTATTGGGTTCCGTACCCATATGGCCTATTGCGTCATCCATCTCCATATCCTCCACCCCATCCATTTCGGAGTCGGCCTGCTGAATATTATTTTGGGTTGGGGTATTTGGCTGTGACTGTTGTTGTTGCCGCATCAGCTGGATTCCACCGACGCTGGGTCCGCCTTGTGGCATCTGCAGGCGTTGTGGTTGTGAGGGCTGTTGGTGCTGGTGCTGCTGTTGCTGAGCCTGTTGCTGAACCGCCGTGGCTGCTTGTGCTGCGATAGCCGCCTTGCTGTTTGGTGTCGAATTCTCTCTTGCCCGGGCTGCTGCAGATGCCGTTCGCAATGACTGCGGCGTTTGCTGGGCGTGGCTCTCCTCGTAATGTTGCAATAGGTCATGCAGCGTCGGCAAGGTCTGGCCACAGCAGGCGAAGTCTTTCATGAAATTGGCCTCGAGTTTAGGTAGGTAAGAGGAAGAATGATATGATGGCGATTGATATGGGAACGGTGAGGTGCCGGCCATGATTATACTGAAGGCCGGGTCAGCCGCATGCCAGTAACGGTGGCGCGGTGGCGCGAGGGTGATGATAGCATCGTGCGCTGACGAGTGCCGGACTCGACATTCCCAGCCGGCACTTTTATACAGCAAGAAAAAAAGTACAGGATCACTTACTCGTCTCGAATCCAACTTCCCACGGAAACCCCTCCCCAGCTCATGCCCTGGACCAGGCTTCCGGCCAGCGACTCTCGCCGCTGCCGGCTCTCGTTCTGTCTATTGGGGTTGTTCATGGTGATGGGCCTGGCCCCGGCGAAGGAGTCCTGCCTGGATTTGCCCATGGCCGAGTCGAAGGCGGTGCCGCTCATGATTGCAGAGGTCCTGGAATCGGTGTCGGGATAATTGGTGGTGGTGGTGGTGGTATTGTTCTTGGTGTTGCCCTGCGATGCGGGGGACGAGGAAGCGTTTCGAGTAGGTGTGGCGATGTCGATGGGAGAGGTCACCGGCATGTTCAGGCGAAGGGCGCGGTGGTGGGTGTCGTTACTGTCAGGCGTGAGAGGCTGATCAAGGGAGGCGGACGAGGACGAGGAGGAAGAGGCAGAGGACGGGGGCGGCGGAAGGGAGTGTGATGAAGGTGAAGGTGAGTATGAATGTGAGGATGAAGATGCGTGGATGGAGCCAAATAAAGTACGAGTGGTAGTGGTACTACTCTGGGTGCTGGTGGTCTTGGTCTTGGTACTGGCGGGCGACCAGTCGCAAGCCAGAGGTGCGGCGTTAGCAGCGGCCGAGGGAAGAGTGGGAGCGAGTGCGAGCGCGGGCGTGGGCGTGGGCGGCTTGGGAGTGGTAGCAGCACCAGCACCAACAGCACCAGCACCCGGAGACAGCCAATCGAAGAGGCCCTTCATCACGGTTGCTTTTTGCAAGGAAGCCCGAGTAATGGGAAGGCAGGTTAGGTCAACTAATAGTAATAGTAATAATGACAATAATATAATATAATATCAAAGTCAATAGGCACGAGGTAGATATAGTTATGTGCCTAGGTAGGTAGGTAGGTAGGTAGGTAGGTAGGTAAGTAGGTAGGCAGAGTATGGATGGAGATATGTAGATAGATAAATCAGAGACACTTCAAGAGGCACTGACTGACTGCTATTGCACATCGACTCTGAAGGACGGTTTACGGGGGGGAGACAGCAGGGTTTTTAACTTGAATTACTCCCCTCTCCTCCTGTCACTGGCCTACTAGCTGGCCAGTAGTGATCGCCGGCGGTGAGCGGCGGCCTGGTGCACTGGGGGGAGTCGGGGGCGACCACGCTGCTGCCACTTCGTACTTGAGGGGGAGGGGAGAACTGTGAGTTAAGAGGCAGCTCATAAGGTGCTTCGCAGACGAGGCTCAGTGCTAATTATGACTCCCCACGCTCTATGCCTGGCGCAAGGTAAGGGAGTTATGTAATGATAGCGCGGTAGCACAACAGCTAAGGATCCCCCAGGGCCCAAGGACAAGAATAATCACCGTCCTCGTACCAAGATTCATCGGGGAGCGGTGAGTCGGCAGGTATCACCTATAGGTATTAGGCACATATCACCGAAATGTGCTGCCATGCGATCGAACCCTTAATCAAAGAGGGAGGCCGTGCTTTTCCAAGGTCCGGCTGCTTCTTGCATTTGCATTTGCCTCTGCAGTTGCATCTGCAGTTGCATTGTGCCGTGCTGTAATCTGGAATAATCTAGACGCAGCGAAAGACGACTCCTTGCACTTGCGTGTATGTATGTACTTGCGTATACTTGCCATAAGGTGTTCTGGCCCCAAGTCAAATCAAGTCAAATCAAGTTCAAGGCAGGCCAGGCCAGGCCAACTCCTTCAAGTTCATGTCCCAGCTGTTAAACACTTAAGTGCCCGCAGCCCGCTAAGGGAACATCCCAACGTCCCAACGTCCACACTGGCACACTGGCACATCCGAACATCCTAACATCCCTAACCTCCCTAACATCCCTAACATCCTCACATCCTAACCCACGTCCGCAACCGCGCGCCCATCCCAGTCCCATGTCGAGGGAAACCAGCCAAGAGGTCAAGAGCTCAATAATACTCCAATTATAATCCTAACCATCGTAACAAATAAATAAATAAGAGTGCATAATAAACTACGGTGGTTCGGGCCCCACCACCAGCAGTTGCAACCTGCGCTGCTGCTCTGCTCTGCGCTGTGTCGGGACTCGGTTCCAGCGGGTCGGCTGCTGGCTCACTGGCTAAAGCTGGCAAAGCTGCTGCTAGTAAATAAACACCAGACTACTCAAGAAACAAGAAAAGACATGGCTCTGTAGACTTCTCTGGACTCTCTCGACTCTCTCGACTCTCTAGACTCTCTGCTGGAGTATATATGGTCGCACTAGCACGCAGAGAGACGTAGTTCGCATATCCCGGCGGTTTGGCGCGAGACTAATTAGGGCGTAGTGGAGGCCCGACGGCACACTTATTACAAGAGAGCACGAGATGCTCCAACAGTAGTACAGCCGTCTACCGGTGCCGCTGCTACTGGACTTGTAGAAGAGAAAGGTCCCCGACGGTCCCTCCACTCTCCGCTCTCCGCTCTCCGCTCTCCACTCTCCACTCTCTCCGCCGTTTGCAGCCTGCAGCCTGCAGTCTGATATCGCCCCTTCTTTACTCCGAAGGGAAGCTATACAAATCCCCAACGTATATGTACAATTTCCCGGCGTATATTTCGTATGTCTGTCTGTTCATCTCCAAGCACCTGGCGTCGTCATCACCATCTTCACATGCCCGCCATCTACCCCCCCCAGAGCCACGGTAGAGCCACCGCTTACAGCTCTAGAGCCACGACCAGCTCCGATTGCGTCCCCGATAGAACTACATAAGGTACCCAGGTACAGTACTCGTACATCCAGTACATCCATTACCGCAAGTCAGTCAAGTCAGTCCATCAGCCAGTCTCGTCATGCAAAACAAAAGGCCGGTACTTTCGTAATGGCATTTCCAAGCACGCAGGAAATATGTCGCTCTCCCTCTGTCCTTCCTCGGCCTTCGGTAACCACTTTATTTATGACTGGCTTATATCGCCAAGTCCTGCTGTCACGCATCGCGACCCGATCGTAGCTCGTAGCCAGGAGACCGCCGCCTTCCTAATCATCACGACAGCGAAAAGGAATAGGAGCCGGGGCTGAAGCTGAAGCAGAGAGGAACAAACCGGAAGGGCCTCGTAGGAAAGGCATCGGGAAGCATAGCCATCATCGTGCAGATACATGATAACTAATAATAATAAATCCTCGCAACGGACGACCATCATCAAGCATAAATCATTTCGTCACGCGCCGCTCATTCGGCGAACAGCGGGAGATACTTCGGTATCCTGCGCCCTGTGGCTGGCCCTTTCCTGACTAATCAACACACCCAGCGAATCAGCAGCCCCCAAAATGATGTCAGGACTCAGCGGAGACTAGAACCAGTTTAGACGTAACATACGAGTCTCGAGCATTTCCACGGAAGCGGGATCTGTGTATTTGGTATTTATTCCCTTAGGGGTCGTCCGCCACTGCAAAATTCTGAAGAGCCTCCATAACATTTATATTTTGCCTCTTTGTTCATCCATCTTCTCGAAAACAAAAAACAGCATCTACGGAAAATTGTCGATACCCTCCTCCGAAATCCCCGTACTTACTTAACTGCGTGTGACGAGATCCCTGACCCGCCGGTTTTGCCGCAGTTTTTAATATAAATTTCCCCAGAGCCGGAGATCTTCCCGACTACCACAACCACCAAAAATCCAAAAACTCCTTCAATCCTCCCACAACAAAACAAATAACACCTCACATACCTTACAATGAAGATCCTTAGCAAGGAGGAAGAGCAAGCCCATTACAATACCGCCGTCAAGGGCGGTATTAATGGTGGTCTCCTCGGTCTCGCAATCGTACGTTTATTTCCCCCGCCCCATCCCCCACTATACGTTTATACGCCATCCCCTCAAAACTGCAAATTCTAAGGGGAGAAAAAAAGAAAAAAGGGAATAACAAGCTAATGATAATGAACTCCAGGGCGGAGCTGCAGTCTTCGGCGGCCAACGCCGCTACCAACTCATCAAGAACCTCACTATCCCCATGAAAGCCTTCCTCGTCACCTCCACCGGAACCTTCGTGGCCATCATCAACGCAGACCGCGCCTCGCGAGGCTACGAATTCAACCGCGAGCCCCAACGGCTATACAAGGACCGCGCAGCCATAGAACTAGAGCTGCTGCACGCAAACGAGAGCACATCCACCAAGATCAAGAACTGGGGCCGCGAGAACAGATACCCGATCGTCACCGCGTCATGGATTGCCAGTATGATCATCGCGTTTGCGATCGTAGGCCGGAATCCGCATCTACCCAAGGCGCAGAAATTGGTGCAGGCGAGAGTTTACGCGCAGGGCTTGACGCTCGCGGTGTTGGTTGCGACGGCGGCGCTGGAGGCGGGGGATGCGGCGAAGGGGAAGGGGAGGTGGGAGACGGTTATGATTGTTGACCCTGATGACCCGGAGCATAAGCATATGATTGAGAAGAAGATCCATCATGAGGCTTATCAGGGTGAGGATCTATGGCGTGGTATGTTCCCCTTTTCTCCCATTATTATCAATTGTGGAAAGTTGTAGACGGGTTGCTAACTTATGGTGAATAGATATGGTCGAGGCCGAAGAGCGCAAGATAGCAGAACGCAAGAAGGAAGCTCAAGCCACTCGTTAATATACAATTGCGCTAGCTACGAACGAACGGGACCGGAAATAAAGTTAATTGAAAGAAAGCATCATAAGGAGGCATGGCGGATTTTACCTCAGCACAAATGGCGTTGTTGTATCTGTATAACAGAAAGTGTACTAGGGGGTATTGGGAAACGGCGTTATCTGTGCTTACCACAACGACGAAACGGGAAGCAAAGCATCGAAATCTCCTAAACTGTAAATAGAAAATCATTCATGGTTGTCACAAATCCTTGAGAGCCCATTCATTTATAATGCAGAATCTCTTCACTTCTCAGTTTAAAATCTGCTTGCTTCTATGCAAAAAATATCCTCTCTCATATATGGTGGTCGTAAAATCATAAACTCCTCCCCTCCTTATTCGCGGGGAAAAAGGCATATGCCTTTTTCAGATAAATAACAAGAAAAAAGTCCCCCCCGTCCCTTTAAAAATTCCAATGAATAAATATCCCTTAAACGTCAATACGGAAATGGCTGATCTGGCTGTAATAAGCATGGACAGCTAATTCGAGCACTTGCACGTCGCCAAACACTTCCCCGCCGTCGAATCCTCCAACCACCACAAGTCGGCTGTCGTGTAGTACCGTGCCGTGATATCCCCGCGGCCTTGGTGGCTCGCCGTAGATCTTGCGCTTATCCCACACCATCGTGACGAGGTTTAGTAGCAGGACCTCGTTGGAATATTCGACGCCGTCGTGGCCGCCTATAACGAAGAGGTACGATCCGACGATTGTGGCTGTATGCGAGAGCCGGGGGTAGGACAGCGGGATATGGACGTGCGAGAATTGCAGCGTCTCTACATCAAAGACCCATACATCCCTAAAACACTCCCCGCCGTCCGAGCCGCCGAATATAATAAGCTTGCTCCCGACCATGTTTGCCGTGTGGTATCCTCGTGCCTTCGGCTTCGTTTTGTCCTCCATCACAGCCGATGACGGTGCTGATATCAGTTTCCACGACATCTTATTCGTGTCTGCGACGTCCAGCCTCCACACATCGTTCAGAGCACGGACTCCATCGCCTCCGCCAAATATATATATTCCATTCCGGTATAGACACGCCGTATGTGCCCTCCGTTTGCTGGGCTGTCGATCTCCGCCAATCTTCGGCTTGCTCCATCGGAAATTCACCGTATCGAGAACGTAGACATCGTTGTAATATGCAGGTCCATCGCCGCCTCCAAAGACAATTAGTTTCTTGCCCACCGCCGTGCAGGTCATCGCTCGCAACGGTACAGGTATATCTCCGCAGACGTGCGGACAGGAGAGGTAAAATGCATCGGCGTCCAAAACGTATAACTCGTTGAAACAACTCCGCGAATCACAGCCTCCAAATATATATATGTTCGAACCTATTAACGTAGTCGTATGTGCTCGTAGGGAGGTGTGGGGGGCTCCTGATACGGGGGCTCGAGACCAGTACATGCCGCTTGCAGGTGCAGGCTGCACGTCTGGCGCTGTCCTCGGGTCCGCGAGAGGCGGAAAGGATCTGTGTACCCCTCGCGGAGGGCGCTGGGCTGGAGGGCCATTTCGAACTGGAGTTGGTGATGGAGTGCCTTCCTGCGGTTTCGATGCGATTGCGGATGTCGATCGGAGATTTAGGGGTCTGGTGAGAGCGGGACTAGCAGCAGCATTGGAGGCCGCTGCAGAAGGTGTGCTTGAGATTGGCGGAGAGAGTGGGTTGTCTTGTCTTGGTACATTTCTTGCAGGTCCTGGAGTAGTTGGTGATTTCACTGATTTAGGGGATTCCAACTGGCTGTCTTTCTGCGACAGAGATTGGGAGCGCTGCCGTAGGGCTAGATCGGAGGCTTTCTTCCGCCGGTCTTGACTCTTCGTCGAAAGATGTCCTGGTGTATGGCTTCTCGTCGGAGCCTGTCGTGGGAGTTCTGCGTCCTCTGGAATGTCGGGCGCTCTCATGTCGGAGGGAGATAGCTGAATGATCTTCTGCGAGCGCACGAGCTTGCCAGTCTTGATGGACTGGCGCCTCTCTGACTTGGAGGAATCAGCCATTGTGCTTGGGCCTTCGGAGTCTCGAGCTAGAACTGGAGGTGAAGGTCGTGCTTCGCATTGTCTGCTGGAAAGGAGAGAAGGTGGCTGGTATTGAATAGAGGTATCATTAGTAAGAGTGAGTGTTGCATGAGGATGCTCAACTGCCCCTGTAGTGTTGGTTTCAAGCGATCGGCGGGGCCTGGATCACGGCAGTCAGGACTCATAACCCATCTCACTCGTGTCGCGACAATATTGGGGATTTATTGCAGCCCAATCTAGGACAAATTCTAACGATAACGATAACCAGCTATTAGTCTGTTTGAAACAAATGATATATCATATGTCGTACTATATGCGGGGAGTAGCACTGCAAAAAGAAAGGGGCAGCCTATGGGGTTAGCTTGCTTAGTGGTCGTGACCCCGAGGACGCTAAGATAAGCGATAAGATCCATTCTCCCTGTGAAAAAGTTTGAGGGGCAAGAGGGGAGCTCAGTATCTACACCTGCGAAGTATATCCACCTCGGAATTCCACCAACGTCTCTCACCCACGAATTTGCCATTAAGGCCAATTCTACCAGAATGGGCGAGCAGGTTCAGGACCAGGTTAAACCTGTAGAATCTGTCAAGAGACCGGCAGAAGTCGAGCTATCACAAGAAGCTGTCACAACAACAGCACAACCAGTTTCGGCGGTCACAACTGCCACCCAAGGCGAAAAGCGGGAAAGCAATGGCGCGATAGGCAATGATGCCCAGGTAGCTCCTGAAGTTTCGGGAGAACCTGCCGCAAAACGGGTGAAGCTCGACGAACCTGAGACGGCCGTCCCTAAGACCGATTCGCGGGACAAGGTAAAAGGAATAGCATTGGTGAAAGCTGAGTGAGTGCCCTTTTCTCGTACTTATTTTCACTATTTGCTCTACAAACCTGCCAATTGGCGTTATCCCCTTACTGACTAACCCTGCTAGATATCTCATCGACACATACAGGCGCGGCCCGGCGAAACCAGCTACAGATACAATTATCGACGACGATGCTGCAGAGGCAAGACTTCCAACCGATTCACGGGATAAATCAGGCGGTGGTAAAAAGAAGAAGAAAGAAAAGGGCCAGAACAAAAATCGTGAATTCGGATCCTGGTACGACAGTATCAGATTATGCAATACACTAGCCAACAGCCCTGAATTTTCGCCGAAGGAGTGCAGATTTGGGGACAAATGCTCCTGCACACATGACCTGAGGAAATATCTTAAAGAGGGAAAGAGGGAAGACTTGACCACCTTCAATGGAAAATGCCCGGTGTGGGAAGTCAATGGCAAGTGTCACGCTGGATGGAAATGCCGATTCGTATCAAGTCACTCCAAAGAAATTGAGAGAGAAGACGGCCGGAAAGAATTGGTCCTGGTTGAGAGGGACGATGTGGCACCTGGGAATCAGGACGACAACGAAAACCGCGTAGGGGTCGTCAATATTGTTTCAACAGAGGCGAAAGTGGACCTGTCAAGAAAAAGAACGAAGACGGAAAAGGCAGATAAATACTGTGATTGGCTGGAGAAGGAGACAAAAGAATTGGAAAAGATCTACCAAGCAAAAAAGGAAGAGATAGAGGAGCAACGAGAACAACACAGGGCTAGTTATACAGAGGCTCCTTTTCTCGCGTCGGAGAAACGGAGGATATACTTCGGTCCGGAGACGCCAGTCCTCGCTCCGTTGACAACACAAGGAAACCTACCCTTTCGACGAATGTGCGTGGAGCTTGGAGCACAATTGACTTATTCCGAGATGGCGATGACGATCCCCTTGATTCAAGGCCAGAAATCCGAATGGGCGTTGATGAAAGCCCACGAGAGTGAGATTACACCGCCGAAGTACACGCCTACCTCTATCGTCCAAGGTTATGATAACTCCAAGGACCTGAAGTTTGGCACGCAGGTCTCAGCTGCTAAGCCATGGCAAGCACTCAAGGCAGCAGAAGTTCTGAGCAACATGTTACCGCATCTCCGAGTCATCGACTTGAACTGTGGATGCCCAATTGAATTGGTCTATCGATCAGGTGCAGGCTCTTCGTTACTTGACGCTCCATCAAAATTGGAGAAAATGATCCGTGGGATGAGTGCCGTCTCTGGAGAAATACCAATCACCGCAAAAATCCGGATGGGAACGAAAGATAACAAACCCACTGCGCAGAAAACAATCGAACGTCTTGCCTTTGGCGGCTACGAATCGCGGGAGAGGCTTGGTGCTCCCGGCTGTGCTGCAATTACGCTTCACGGCAGAAGTAGACAGCAGCGGTATACAAAGAGTGCCGATTGGACATATATCGCAGAGTGCGCAGCCTTGGTCAAATCGTACAATAGAAAGAAAGACGAATTAGCTGACACCGTACGGGAACCCGATGCGCGCACGCTCCCAAATTCCCCAGACGGCAAGCTATACTTCATTGGTAATGGAGATTGCTACTCTCACGTTCAATATCTTGACCACGTGCAGAACGGAGGAGTTGACACCGTCATGCTTGCTCGTGGAGCTCTCATTAAACCCTGGCTATTCGAGGAGATTGAAAAAGGGCAATACCTCGACAAGTCAGCCTCGGAACGCCTTGGGTATGTCGAGAAGTTCGTCCGCTACGGACTCGAAGCATGGGGCTCGGATGAAGTAGGAGTCGGGCAAACGCGGAGGTTCCTCCTCGAGTGGCTAAGCTTTGCTCATCGATATGTTCCCATTGGGCTCCTGGAGCATTTGCCACCAAATCTGCAAGACAGGCCGCCTGCGTATAGGGGCAGGAATGATCTAGAGACTATGCTGGCGAGCGATAATTATCTGGACTGGATCAAGATCAGGTATGTGCTAATAGCCTACGTATTGAGGGTATATGCTAACAACCGTGTAGTGAAATGTTCCTTGGGCCTTCCCACAAAGACTTCAAATTCCAGCCAAAGCATAAGTCAAACAGCTATGATATTGAAGGGGAGGGATAATATCTATAATTACGTTATTTCTAGACTAGAAGGGATCTAGCGATTCAAGTGGTCATTATACAGCTCTAAACATCATCGTCCTAGCACCCTTTAGACCCCATGCACAAAGCGTCATGCCACCTCGCTCATACGTAGCCATGCTCTTCCCGCATCATCCCCTTGGCTTCCTTCATTCCTGCCGTTTTCTTGGCTTTTCTTCAATTCGTACCTGAAACTTAGACGCTAACTTCTTACTCTATTTCTCTCTAAACCTCTCCTTCGAGTCAGCGCAAATCCCAAACGCAGTCATTTTTCTTCGTAATCGAACTTCTTCTCATAAGCCAATCTAGTTGCTCTTGAGACCCAAATTCCTGAGGCGTTTTCATGTCATTCGGGTCCGTTTCCAGATTTATCATGCTACCACTATGCTTGCAGTTCTCTCACTGCTGAAAGCTGTCGTAAATTCAGTGGCGATCCTTTCCTAGAAGGCCTCGTTCTTTCCCTCCTCGTTAGAGGCTTTCTGGGTTACACTGTTAGCCAGGCTCCATGCTCCTCAGTCCACCTGGTCTGAGAGACTTGATTTTCAGGGTGGTATTTCTTGATATGGTACCCATGTTTTTTTCCCCGTGAAGTAGTGCGTTTTCGTATCTTTTCGTTGTTTGATAGCTTTGGTGGTGGTAATAATGTCGTGCTTGATGACGAGGATAGTCTTGTCGAGTACTTGTCGAGTAATTGTTTCTATACGAGCAATGAGGATCAAGTTGGTGAGGCCGTTTCTGAGAATGACTTGGCTTGAGCCGCTTATGAGGCTGTGTTATGCTGAAAGTTTAGGCGCATGTGCATACGAAAAGGAACGAGATGATTGGATGAGTTTCACAAAGATGAGGAAGGGTTGCATATTTCAGCGCCTAAAAGTCCTCGCACGCGAACCACGAAAACCGACAACTCAAGTCAGCCTCACGGTATACCTACAGACATTAGAGTATATTCTGGATGAGAGTCCCAACCGTGGTTGTTTTGGCTGCTTCATTGTTGCAAGGCTAGAGCTCTGCCACGTCACCCGTTCACTGTTTAGAAGTCTTGGATTACACACGCTGTCGAGGGTGGATAGACCACATTGTCACTCCTTCTGGTTCCCTATTCGCATTACAACCCACGGCGGAGTACTCAAATATTGATGGATCCTCTTTCGGCTGTCTCCCTCGCTGGGAATCTGATTCAATTTATTCAGCTGGGTATGCAAATAGTTGGCAATGCCAAGGAGATCTACGTGAATGGTTCGGTGGCTGCAAATATCGACCTTGAAGACCTCACGAAGGATCTACGCACCTTGACGCTAAAGTTGAAACTTCCGCCACGAGGTTATACGGCGAGCCAAACAGTAAACGAGCAAGCACTCAACAAAGCGTATGACCATTGTATTGAAATTAGTGATGACTTGATTACCCACCTCAAAAATCTAAATGGACCTGGGCATCGCGGAAAGTGGAAGAGCTTTCGCCAGGCGCTCGAAACTTCCTGGACAAAGAAGGATGTGGAACGTATTGCGAGTCGCCTTTCTGCGTATCGAGCTCAAATGGAACTGCATTTGCTGGTATCTCTCAAGTAAGCCCGACGTTCTCCCACGCTGAAACAGCCAACAGTAGTGGCTAACCCATGCCCGCCTGGCTCTAATTAGAGAACATCAGAGTATCACCTCCTTGAAGCAAGCGAATGATTTCAAGGCCCTAGAAAGAGCTGTTCAAGAAGAGGTCTCTAGGTTCTTTAGGATCCAGATAGCAGATGCAGAGGATTGCATTCTCGGCAGCCTACGGTATCCTACGATGATGGAACGATACGAGGAGATCACTGAGGCGCATCGGAAAACATTCGAGTGGATATTTCGGAATCCGGATGGTGAAAAGCCCTGGTCGGATTTTTCTAAGTGGCTGCAGTCTCAAAATGGTATCTACTGGATCAACGGCAAAGCTGCATCGGGAAAATCATGCCTAATGAGATATGTTTTCGATGATGCGCGAACCAAAAAGTGCTTACAAGAGTGGTCAAATCATAATGAAGTGACCTTGGCTGGGTTTTTCTTCTGGAACAGTGGTACGACTGAGCAGAGATCTCACAAAGGTCTTCTGCGGTCTCTGTTATATCAGTTACTCGGCCAACAGCGAAAACTTATACCCATTCTTTTTCCAGACTTATGGAAGAAGGTCTACTTGGAGCCCGCCCGATACGCCACTTCTCCAGGATGTTTTCGTCGGGGTGGCAATTTATTGGCAAATGAGAGTTGGAGCCTATCCAAGTTGTCCAAACTTTTCAAGTCACTGATGGACCTTTCATCTTCGACAAAAATATGTATTTTCATTGACGGCCTCGACGAGTATGATGGAGATTGTGCAGAGATGATCAGACTATTCAACGAGGTTGCGAATTTGCCAAACGCAAAGATCTGTATATCAAGTCGACCGTGGATTATATTTGAAGACGCTTTTAGGGTATCGCCCGGTCTTCGACTCCAAGACCTAACATACGATGATATGAAGCAATTTATCAGCGACACCTTGGAGTCACACCCAAAATGGGTTCAACTGACCAAAGAAACCCCTGTACAGGCCGGAGGCCTTGTGGAAGAAATTATGTCGAAAGCTAATGGCGTCTTCCTATGGGTTAGACTTGTTGTTCGATCTCTGACTGATGGAATGACGAACCATGACGATATTTCGGATTTACAAAAGAGGTTGCGCCTGCTCCCAGCCGACCTCGAGCGATTATATAACCATATGCTATCCCGCATCGACCCTCCGTTTTACCTCGAACAAGCTTCGAAGATATTTCAACTGGTCCGAATGGCCCGGGAGCTGGAAACACTTTCGAAGGTCAACGAAGAGTTCCGACCCAAGCCTCTGACAGTGCTACAACTTTCACTTGCCTACGAAGAGAGCATTCAAGATTGTACAAAATGGGATGGTCTCATGATAGAACCCCAACAACTAGTACGCAGATCACAGAGTATGGCAGATCGCCTAAAGACCAGATGTGCGGGGCTTCTAGAGCTCGGTGAGCCGGTCAAGGAGCCCTCCATGAAAGGCTTCGGTTCTTGGGGTACATTTCCAATGAAAAGCGTTACATACATGCATAGGACAGTTAGAGACTTCTTGGAACGAGAGGACATTTGGCGAATGATCTTGGGCCAGACATCGAGCATGGACTTTTCCGCAGGATCGAGGTTGCTCAGCTCGTCTGTAGTTTGGGCCAAGCTCCTAACCGAACTACCGCAGCTGGAGTTGCCGGAGTGGCAGCAGCAGAAATTCATGTCAAGCGACAGGTGGGCTATCATATTACATACTATGCTGCAAGCTTATTTGGAAGATGTTCTGGCTAGAAACTCACACTCAACGGCACTCGATCAACTCGATCAAACTATCACGCTTCGAAATTGGAGCACTTCCAATCCGGATGTTCACTGGGGTAAGGACCTCCCATTCATTCATCCCACAATACCGGGTGAACTTGAGAGGGGAGAGAACTCGATAATTTCAATTGCAATTGAATTTGGCTTGTACTCTTATGCTCGCTGCAAGATTCTAAGGGACCCGAAGATCATCAGCAATATATCTGGAAGGCCACTTCTTCATTACGCCGTATGCCCCTTCCCGTTTGGAATCGAGTATAAGACTAGGACGAGAATAGTTAAACTTCTCTTGGAGCATGGTGCGGATCCAAATGAAAGTTATCCATTGGTTTTTGGGTATAACGGCCACGAGAACTGGAGTCCATGGCAGACTGCGTTATATTGGGCCTATTACGGAGAAGGTCCTAAGCTTGCAGTATGGCTCGAGTTGATGACACTCTTTATTCACCACGGTGCGGATCCTAATGCAATCTGTGACCACAATTATACAGCTACGCAAATCGTCAGCGAGCTCCTTAGGAGGGCATTCCCCGATAGAGTTGAGGCACTCGAACTCTACGTGAGCTGTCACGGTACTAGAGAAGACTCCTCAACGTCGGCCGATGATATATTTTCGCCGCTTCTAGGGTCCCCTCGACCTGCCAGTCATAGCTCAAGGGCCTCGCCGGAGACTTCTGTGTCCTGGTTTTGGGAATCTATCATAAAATGGATAACCTCCTGCCTTGGGAGATGAACCTTCTTCGAAGTCCCTAGAATCCGAAGACTTCGTATTGCGAATTTTCATACCGAGGGCTATAGATCTAGACCTCCGAGGCTCTGCTAGAAATAACCGTTCAACGCCTCCGTCGGCCCCGCACCATTGACATCACGCTCAACGTCCTCGCCAGCCCCAATTGCGAATTCCAGATGAGATATGGTCACCTGAGTTCCCTCCTGAAGAGCTAAAGCTTGGGCCGTAGAGGTGAGATTTTAATCTGCAGTAAGATGAGCATTCTATTCCTGGGAGCACGTAACAAAAAATTCGGAGTAGATGGAAAGATAATGAATCGAATACCAATCTCTCAAACACGGATATGTTGTAATGGATAATGGACTAGTGAGGCTAGGAGGGACTAAGATACTGATGTTCTTTCCTAGCTCGGAATTTGGATCACGGTACTCAGCCAAACCGAGGGAAGAGACATTAAACTTCCTGATGTCAGCTCCTGTTTCCGACCTTTCAATCAAGCAAAGAATGAAATCTAGCCTGCAGTTACGATTGCAGCTGCTGTTCCACTATGCTCTATATTGCCAGAGAGTAACGTCACCAGTGACATGATTATCCCCACGAGGGTGAAAATCCATGCGACAAAAAGGTATCCATCTCATCCTGCTGATATATATTGGGTCATTACACTAGGAAGAATAAAATAATTGAAGAAAATCCAGAAGCTTTTTGGAATATTTAATAGGCGGGGCTTTGCGGGCCCATCCGATGATCGCCTGACAAGGAGGCGGTTAGATGCTCAGCTAGCTGGGCGTTGTGTAATCTGAGCGACCATACCGAATTGAAAATCAAATACTGTGACTGAAACATAGCGAAGGGAAAGGTTTCAGTAAAAACATATTTAGGGGTTTTGTTAAAGCTTTGAAAAGAGAACACGTATAGAATACGCTACATGAGAGGGGACTACTCCTCATCATGGAGTACCCAGCTCTCAAGAATACCCAGAATAAATAGCATTAACATGGTCTAAAATTCTAATTATAGAGACGATCCGTATCAGGCTTTTTAACATCAGCAGCAGTGGTAAATGAACAATGCCCAACACCTTTCTCATCTTGGCTGACCTCACCCCACATCACCGGAAAAAGAGAGGCTTCGCCGTCTTCTTTGGGCCGATGGCACAGAGCACTAATTGCAGCGCTACAAGTCGATGCAAGTGGCATGTCACCACTGTATCGTCGCATACCGAGAGCTATCAAGGCAAGAAGAAGAACAATCCCAATAATTATAGCTACCAAACCTGTTACTTCCGACGTACAAAATACGACGAGGGAGAGGACTTACAAGTCAAGATCGCAACACAACTATATCCTGATGTGACATATCGCTGAGAGGCATCTTCTAGTCCGTTCGAGTAGTAGCGATCAATACAGATGACGAAGAGACTTTGAGATACAGTCCAGTGGAGAAGCCCAATTGTGACAATCATAGGGACTCCATATCTGGCTGGCAGTGAAACGAAGTAGCTGGACCGTTGAATACCAACTGGCGCGGAAACCCTCAGTGGTTTTCTCGTCTTCGAAAAGCCAACCAATTCATCGGCTACGAGAAAGGTGGAGACGAGGCCATTGTATACAATATATGTGCATGAGATGAAGAATTGCCAGCTGTTATCAAAGAGCACATTCTTATATATCGTGGTGATGCTGGACTGTAAGAGAGTCAGTACGTGGGAATGAGAATCCAATTAGAGCATGCTTACACCAGCGTGGATGAAAACTGAGATCGACCTGGGGTTGACTGCTCCAAAACCCATGCTGAGAATATATTTCATTGAAGGTACACTACCGATGGAAGTCTTGAAAAACTGGACGCCGTTATGGAACTCAACAGCAGCACCAATTAGAAGGGCGGAAGACCTAAAGCATGTCAGAAACGAGACTAAGACAAGAAATCGGGAACAACACACAGGACGAGACAAAAAGTCCACCTCTTCCAACTTGCGGCAAGAAACCAGCGAGAGCGACGGATTTCCCATTTCTTTGGCTGCGGCTTTTTCCAGAGTGTGATATCTGAGCGAATCATATCCCGAGAAAGTATGCCGGCCTTGCTAGTTGTAGGGTCTGGAAACTGAAGGAAGGAGCATAGCGCATCGCCGAGAATAGAAAGCGGAGGGTCTCTGTGCCGCCTGTACCGCATCGTCGTATATATTATGCAACAAAACTTGATGAAGTTGAAGATGCACACAACTGACTTGCATTAAAAGCTAGTCCATAGCCAGAGGATGGGAAGAGCAACCGACGTACTTATCATAATAGATTGAGAGTACTCGACTGTGCACAAGTTTTGCGTCGAGACCTGGCTGCTCAGACAGTAAGCAATTTTTTGGCCAGCAATACTCCAATTGGATATCTTTTCCGCCCTTTCCGCCGCTCCACCTGGAAAGTTCGCAAGGTCCAATTTGGTGCTGTCGAAATGGTTTCCCAGGCCAAAGTACCAGCCAGTCTTCCATGGGTCCTCGCTCCCGGACATACCATACGCAAAGAGGGAATTGTTCGTTGTTGACAGCGTTGAGGTTACCAATATGAGGTTCGATCTGTCCCCAAACAAATCCGTATATTGTAGAATACAATCTAGAGGCTGTACCATTGCGAATAAAGACGTGTTGTGCGCATTTTGTTGCATGGATTGAATAGTTTGGTCAAGGTTCATTGACGAAGTTTGCCATGAGTCCAGCATTGCCAATGTACCGTTCCAAGGAACGGCCTCCGTCTTTGCTGCTGTAATGGACTGCAGTGTAGCAGACGAGCTCCACGAGCTTCCGTTAAGAAATGTTGGATCGACCGTGATATGGGAGTAATTGTTCGTCCCGAGGGTAGGAATAATCGCAGAGTTGAATCTTCAAACGTCAGTTGAAAACACTCTCAAAGGTTTCATCATGATCGACTTGCAAAAAGTGCAAAGGTACCGAAGAGAGGCCCAATATCACCCAAGCGATTCGTCTGTCAATAGTTATGCTGCGCAAATTCCGAATACTGGGAACACCAATATCTAGCCATCGCCACTCCTTGTGGGCTTTGTCAATCTCTTTTCTAGTGGGAGAGACTAGTAGCTGCATGCAAAGGTTCGAAGAACAGAACAATAGTGTACTGAGTATATTGATCACAAGATGAAGCGAGAGACTCAGGCGCTGGCTGACGTTGCAGTCTCCCTTGTATAGACGACCCAAGTCCTGCTCCGCTTTCCACCCAGTTCCGAACGCAATAGTTGCAGCAACATTCAGAACCAGGACTGTCCCTGAGATGGTGCAGCAGGTTGCAAGCAGGACCTCCCGGCGGGAGCGCCATGTGCGCAATGTTTTCGCCCGAGGGTTGTCGGGATCGACTTGAGGGAACCATGGTGAGAGAAAAGTCTTGGACGCAAAGCGAACGTGGAAAGCCCCGGCTGGAAGCAAAGGTTGAGCTTCTGATCTGCCGTGCTCCAGGGATGCTCTGGACGTGGCGCTATCGCTTTCCAAGTCTTCGTCCTCCGTAAGCTCTGGAGGCGATCTTGAGTTTGCTTCGAGACTCAGTGATGGTTGCAACGACGTTGAAGAACAGGCCACTGTATTACTCGAGATAGTCCCCTCTCGGCAGATTTGGCCCTCAATTTCCAACGGCGGCGTCAAGTTGCTAAGTTCTCATTAGATGGACATTTCTTTCGAGCAAGGGTCCAACGGCGCAGAGAACGGACTCACATAAGTGCGGGTGCACTCGCCGGCGGATCGCTCATGTAAACAGCGGCATCACCCCTTTGGCCCTGCGGCATTGAGTGCGGATTGCCCTCACGAGCAAGCGTTCACTTGGTTGATACTATAAATAGAAGCATAGCAGCCTCGTTGGTTGTGACTATGAAATGTTGGAAACGCTGTTGAACGAAATGCGGGGCCAGCCATTTTTATCTTCCACTGGCTTCGGAGAGAAGTCAAATCAGCGTCTAGGCAGCCAACAGCTCCTCGACGAGACCATCATATCGGTATCCAATGAAAGTGAAAACAGACAATTAAAATCAAGCGCCCGGGTCAGACCGCCTGCGGGGAAGCCTCACCGAGCATCCCCGGCGCCTCACGGTCAGATAGCGCCAGGGGGACTTTCGAGAATGTGGCTGTGTTTCCTGTCTGGCCTTGCAAGAACGATTGAATTACAGGCATCCAGGCGGGTTTGTTACGTTTGTCAGGCGTTCTGTTCCCGAACATATGCGTCGACCCTTGCAGCATGTCGCCACTTGCCTGCTGATTTGACGCCGCATGAGAAAGCATACATGTACAGTACATGTACCTCATCGCCGTGATCGAGCTCCCTCTCCACCTGGCAGCCCTCTTCATTAATGCTGGTTGACCCTTGAATTGCGATGATGTATTCGCCACTTGGCTGGTGCGATACAATACGAGAATTGCGATATGCTGTGGGGGAAGAGACGAAAGGCGCATGAGTGGGCGCGGTTTCTTACGGTGCTGCGCAGCAGGAAGGTCGCGACCAGAGATCTTCGGCAGCGGTCAAGAGCTGAGGAAGCGGTGCTGCCTATTGCACATGACTCTAATCGCCTTCAAACTATAGGTAGGAAATTGGTGACATCTCAAACACCTCAACGTCATTGTAGTATCAGCAGTAGGGGTAATTGAGCAATGCCCAACACCTTTCTCATCTCAGCTAGAGACTTCGGTAGAATATGCAGTGTTGGTCACCTGAGCTGGTCCTTGAAATAGCCCAACTCTGCCATCCGCGTCAATTCACTCACCAACGAGATGTTATTCGTATATAGGATCCATGGCGCTGTTGATGGCCGTGCCAGAAATTCTCTCGTTCACGACATGAATATTTTTCTTCTATAAGAGAACAGTCTTCCCACTATTAGACATCCTTTGCTACTTGTCTCTTTCTCTTGTCTCGTTTGAAGATCTGGGTTAAAATCTCAAAACCCGCCCTATAGGCCCCATGCTGCACCCTAGTTCGTAGCCTGGAGACAGAATCTAATAATTTCAGAACAGTATTAGAGCATGCAAGCGGAGCTGGAGAAGACGAGACAAGACTTGGAAAACTTGAGGCAGGTATCAAGCATCTATATCAAGAATCTAAAATTAGCAGAAGCCGAAGTTTACAAGAGGCTAGAGACCTCGAAAAGCCAAACGACCAGCCTAGAAAATGACCTAGAAGTAGCGCGGCAATCTATCAAGGAGGGGAAAGAGAGTTAGCAAGCCTAAGGCTTGAGATCGATAATGAAGACGAGCGCATAAGGCTATTAAAGGCAGAGCTATTTGGGATGGACCGCATGATACAACTGGAGACAGAAAAAGAGAAACTCGAGGCTGAGAAGGAGATTCAAGCTGCGCTAGCCGGAGCAACAGCCTCAAGCAGCCAAGATCTTGTGGAACTCCTACAGCGGGAAGCATTTGTCAATGCCAGTCTCTCACAGGTTGAAGAGAAAATTGTGTAAACGGGATTAGATGTTATGAAATATACGAAGTATAAAGTATGCTTCAAAAGTTTTAAAACAGGCCGCTAAACAGGCGTTGACTATACTCTTATGGAAGACCTAGTCAAGAAATTTGAGGAATTGCGTGATGAGGTCGTTTATTGTTTCGTAAACGACATTATGACGGTGGTAGAGCTCGAGAAGTACAAATACTTCTTAGAAACTCAAAGTATCTCGCTGACCACGGGGAATTCTTCTACGGTGGCTACAATCCACCTCGGAAGAGATATCGAGGTCTGGATGATGCAGGAGAAGATTTGAAAAGTACTGCAGGACCCAGAGTTCGAGATCTAGCAAGACTTCGCGCCGAGTCCAAATAACAGCCTCTTTCATCGCCTTGGTATTTAGCTCGAGGCAGGAGGAGGGATAGGTCCTAGCGATAGTGATATTGCCAGTGAAGTTGCGTTTTAGCGGTGCTCAATATGTAACTCATATTCGGTTCTTCTTTTCGAAGGATCTGTTAAGGGATTGGTCGTTCGAGTGCGGAATGGCGGAAGGACTCTGCGAGATATAGAGTGTGCAATTCTGATGTGAATTAGTTCCTGGCCCTCGGGCGATCGTTTATGAAGACTGTTGTGAAGCTGATCTAAACTTGATCCAAAGTTGCTCCCGGCGTGTTGCACTAACCAAAATAGGTTGGATTTAGGGAATAGTCTCGGCACGGCCTATTATTGCTCCTTGAAATAGATACAATAGCCTGAAATATCGGTTGCAATATCAACTGAATGCGTCGAGCTCTCGGGACATAGGTGGGAGGAGAGGCTTCGAACGAGCGGCTGTAGCAGGTTGTACAAGCTGCTATGAATAGTCACGGAAGAAGCTCTGTTGGTGGGAATATTCATACAAGGTTGAAATGATGGGGTTGAACCGCGACGCTACATTTCTACGCTACAGCGTTAAAAATAAAGGCTCAAGAATTAACTAGGTACCTACCCACAACGACTAGTAATCCCATAAGAGATGCCTCATAATTCATGTCTATAAAGATTTTGAGTTAGAATTTGTAAGTGGTTCCCAACAACGTAGGATAAGACTGACCAAACCCTTGAACTAAGATTATATTTCTTCATATATAGCCCGTTTCGCAGCAAGTTTGGACTTCTTCTTGTCTTTCTTCCTCGAAAAGAGCGAATTCTTTCCCTCCGCGGGTGGCTCGGGTTCGGCTTCTGAGGCATCGGGCACCATTTTACTGTCTGCGATCTCTCTGCTCAAGGGCTCGGATTCCTCAAAGGCTGAGCATCTGGGGTCGCAAGAAATATCAGACAGAGATCTGACATCTACCTCAGACCCCTCATCAGAACCTTCATCGTCGTCGCCAGGATTATAGTTTGCAGATTTGAACCAGATGCCTCTTTGAATCTTGCTATCATCTGCACCTATTCAGCACATAAGTAATGGCTCAGAATGGGACAGTAGCTTGGTCTCTCACCAAGAACTCTGACGCCGATGAAGCTTTTGCAGGTTTCGGAGCCTTTCATGAGAACATCCAATTGTCTGGTTAGTTGTTCGCGCTGGGCGCGATTCTCCTCGGATTCACCAGCGATGCGAGTCACGAGGTCTGTGGGCATAGAAGTGACAGCTATAGGAGAAAAGATATCGTAAAGTGGAGAGATGAGCTTAGATTCGATGACTTCGATAGCGATATCGTCGACGAAACGTTTCAGAGCAACCTGTTCAACAAACAGGTCGGTTAGCTAGGGGGCCTATAGAGGAAGGGGCAAGAAGTAAAAGAAGGGAAGTAGGCAACCTTGTAGTAAGCCTCCATACAATCCAGGGCTTCGGAACATGCAAAGCGGTTCATATCGGGTTCCGTACGTTGCACGAGAGCTGCCACGAGCAGCCGGAGATCTTTGTATTGGGAGGGGTACGGGGAATCAATGGAGGAGACGCCGAAGAAATCTTTTACGATCCTTGTGTATTCATCCTTTCTTCGTTCGTTCCGGACCTTCTGGAGCGCTTCTGTGAAATAATGGTTATATGTGATTGGATGGCTTTTCTGATGCGGTATTAGCAGCTCAGTGCTCTTTGCGTTCAGAGTTTCTAGTAACTGGTCTAGAGCAGGCTCAAAGATTTTTTGGAAGAGTGCTTTGGAGGTTGCAATATCAGCGATGTAGGTAGTTGTGAGATTAAGGAATTCTTTAGCGGCCTTCCAGACTTTTTCGATGTGCCTCCGGGTGATCGCTTCCCAGGGAGATGACTGTTCTAGGAACAAATCTGCCACTATCATGGGATTGAAGGTTCCCGGCAACTCTCGACCCTTAGTCCTCCGCATCAGGTGCTGTATGTGATCCATGAACTCTTCTCTCGTAGTCGCAGTCACACTTTTAGGAACAGTAGCCTTGTTTAGAGAGTCGACAATCTGACGGCGGTGACCTTGTCTAGCGATCCGTTCTGCAAAGTCTAGGTTGAGGTTCTGTACCACGGCCCGAATGCGCTTTTTATAGCCGGCTTCAGACTCCGCGTCCTCAAAGAACGGATCGTTGTACGTACCATCCACGGACGCTTTGATTAGAGAGTGGAATGATTGACTAATATGGAGTAGATAGAGTCGTTGTTCGCCCAAGGTCGCTCGAGGTTCCCCCAACTTATCTAGCCGACTCCGGCAGGCTTTGGATTTGATTTCGATTTCATCTATCAAGCTAGGTAGTTCAGCAGCAATCTGTCCGAGAAGGACAGTGCTAAGCCTTTTCCGCAACTTGTCAACACCCAGGAGTGAGCGAGACAGATCACCCCATATCCCTTGAGAGAAGAATTCTTCCTCCTTAATGTCGCGATCAGTCAACGTCCATACTCCCGTTTCGGAGTCCATGTTTTTCAAAACATGCCATCCAAGACGGAACTCGACGTCCTGGTTTCTTGCAAGGGAGACATACATGGCTTCACTCCCGGATCCAGGGATCAGAGTATCCGGCTTTGTGATGACGCCCAGCGTTCGATTGCCCCCTTTATCAGCAGAGCGTGCGAGCTTTAAGACAATCTGGTTCGCGTAGTCGTTCTTCGCCGAGACCACCGCGAGAATGACGCTTCTGGGTTCCTTCATATAGGCCTGAACAACGTCTTGTACCAGCTCGACATCAGAAGCAGATTGCTGCTTCGTTTCGGAGTGGATGAGTCCGGGTAGGTCCACAATGGTCAAGTGAGGCCGATCGGGACCTGAGACCTCAACACGAAGGAGGTCCTTCGAGAAAGTTTTGCCATGCGTTGAGATTGCCATAACTTCTTTTGCGGCCTCAATCAGAGTTGAAAGCCCATCGAAGCCATCTAGCTTCTCGTGAAAGCTACTGAGGGAGAGCTGCTCGGATTCGCTTCGCGAGTGATGCGGGACGATTGACACGGTTACGCCAATGTGCGAAGTCTTGCGGAGGACTAATTCTATCGGAAATCGAGTGCACAAGTTGCTCTTAATCGGAAATGATACACCCGAAATTGCTTCTAGCACGGAGCTCTTCCCAGATGACTGGTCCCCACATACGATGATCTGTGGCAATGAGACATAATGACTGATGCCTTGCGAACGGAGACAGTCAACGGCGTCCAGTAGATCTAGCTGATCCTTAGAACATAAGCCGTTCAGGGCATCTGTATGGAACGGTTTCAAGACCATTTTGAATGTTGATGGCTAGGTTAGACTTGATTGAAGATGCGTCAAGGCCGCGGACAGTGGAGATGAGGTAGAAAAGGAGCGAGGCACAGTGACTAATACCGTGAAAGCAAGGCAGTCAAGGAAACACAGACCTAGTGATAAAAGCATATGAACAGACGAGATCTTTGAACTGAGCAGCGGATTGATTGGTAGCCTCATTTTGAGGATTTGGGCATAACTGCTGCTCAGCTCATGTTGTGTAACCGTTGTCTGCTGGTGCGGCAGCTTTGGTCACTTGGCCATCTCTCCATCCGCGAAGGGCGGTTGGAGGAGAGTGGCCTCCATCCTCCGCACAAAAATGACATATCGCCCTCAGGTAGAGGAGTGTGGTTGTATAAGATGAAAGTGCAGCTCTACCGCATGCACACTAAAGGTATCTTGCCTATTGCCTCATGCCTACTGGTCCAGAGGATGGACTACTTCCGGTTGCAGGCATTTCGATATACCATTCTCACTCGGCTCCAGCCACTGTGTGTTCGCGCTCGAAAGTTATTTGCCAAAGCTTGCAATTTAGGCGTCGAATTAGAGGACCTCCTCGGAAATCTGCGACTTAGGATAATCGAGTATCTCACAAGAGGGGCGGCTCGAACTCCGCTGTTGCGCCTTCGCAGGGCAGAACCGTAAGTTGAGTTGCTTGCGTGGTTCGTGTACTTGGATGAAGTCTACGAGATGCGATACAATGTGAACTAGCCCATAGCATTCGGAAGATCATTTATGAAGGTTATTGTGAAGCCGATCTGACGATTAACTCGACGCAAGGAAGAATTTGCATTGAGGGATTTGTGACTGTTCCTATTATCACACCTCCCGACTGTATTATTTCTCATCATCTAGAAGCAATCGTCTCCAATTGGACGGCCGTGGCCGTGTTGGGGCTGGGAGGCCTACTTCATCTGATTAGCTATTGATGCTCAACAACGCATCGTGCGTTTACCAACGACGCCCTATTCGACACAATGATTCAAAATTCCATATCATACATGCTCTTCACCAACCAGTCGTTGAGAGCCTCAAAACCACCCTAAGGTGAAGTGGGAGGCTTCATTGCCTAATGAGGCTTCTCAAAGAATTTCCTGCTCAGATTAAGTGTTTCTAACGTTTTCTATGCTCTACCTCCTTCAATCATAGCCTTCTCACGCTACAACCTCTCGCTGCCCATTTGCTTACAATCTTTAGCCAATCATCCATAAGTCTAGAAGATCCGGAAAATATCTTCCAGAATGCCGTGAGTACTCGATACTCTAAGACTTGCCGTTTCTATGAGAACAACCACTGACATCAAGACACAATAGACCAGGGCCCTGCTTCGACTTCAAGCGCGGCCGTTGCCGCCGCGGCATCCACTGCCGATTCAGCCATGGCACAGTAACGAGCACCGCAAGCTCATCAAGGACCACAAACCCACAGCCTCGCGAGGAGACTGAAACCGAAGCAATCTGCCGGAAATGGACATACATGATTCCCAGACCCAACACGACTTCCTCACGATCCGAAGCTGCTGTGGACACAAAAAAGTTCTTCCAGATGGGCTAGAATCTCCTTGAGAGCGAAGACGCAGGAACACGCCAGTACGTCATCACCAAACTCGGTGCAGAGACGGGTCTTGCAATCATCAAGACCCTAACAGACATCATAGATGCTAGCCAAAGGGACAAAACCACTCTCTCAATATTTAGAGATAGGACTCTACCTTTCTACAGGATCATCTCTCACCCAGATGTGCTATCCTCGCTAATACTGGAGACTTCTGTTGATACCATCTACACCTTTCTCTTCGGTCCCAGCGGTCGGCGTGGTCTCCGTGTTTTCCGCTCTACAGCAACTGCTCTAAGTGAAATGATTTTTGGACATCCTTCAAGCGATGAGGATGCCTCTACCATTGCTATATCATCAAGTCTCGCAGTTCTAGACCGCCTAGTCGAGATCAACCAGAGTGCCCAAATCATTGAAGGCTTCACCGCCATTGTAGAGACAATCTCTGCTTGCATTCCGGAGAACATCATAATACCGAATGTACAACAAAGCCTCACTCGAATTAGACGTCGCCTTAATATCGGCTCTTCGTTGCCCCTCGCATTAACCCAATCAACTCCTCAAAATCTCCTATCTGCAGCCTTCGAGTTAAGTCAAGACTTACCTGGAAATCTTTCCAACAATGGCGCTCGACACGATAACGACTATGCGAGTGTTGCCGATATTCATATCCTCCCCACAGCGCAAGAGATCGCTTCTTCACGGCAAGAATACCTCCCATTGATCGACTCAACATAGCACCATCTGTCAGGCCTTGCCGGACTCCTGGACAGACACTTCCGACTCCTCCGCGAAGACACAGTGGGACAACTACGAGATGCAGTGCGCGAAGATGTTACAAGACTAAAACACCCAAACCGGCATGTACCAACACACCAAGGTCAACAAGGCGTTCGGAAGCTCATCTATCACAACATCCGCTTTTCCCGTTTGTGTATAGATCGCAGAAAAGGTCTACAAGTCGTAGCAGAATTCGACCAACCTCCCCAAATAAACAATAAATCCATGAAGCAGCGAGAAGACTGGTGGAAAGGAAGCAAGCTTTTGCAAGTCGATTCGCTGGTCTGCTTCGTCTCTGCAAATGGTAAAACCATCTTCCTCTCTGTCTGCGATCCAATCTTGCCATTCCACGGAAGAAAGGACTCCAATCCAGAAGACAAGAGAAGATCAAATGACATTCCCAGCCTTTTCAGACAAGCGAATCGTGCATCTGTGCTACTGGGCCTGGCTGAATATAAAACGGAAGATGCCATTTGGATCAGTACTCACATTGCACCTTCCAAAACTCGACAATCGCTCGTTGAGTTCCCGGGGGTGCTCCTACCTTCTTTTCAGCCAACTCTACAAGCGTTGCAGAAAATGAGCCGGAAACTGAACCTTCCATTCGCGGAGATCGTAGCACCCGACTCGCAGACTTCTACTGCCGTCATCAAACCTCCAGCATACGCTACCAAAAGAGGATTCAGTTTCAACCTCGACGTTCTCGCCGGCGTACCACTGACTCTCAAACCGGGGCAATATTTCGATTACGCCAAGCTGGACAGTGGATCTACGCTCGATAAAGCTCAGCAATTCGCCGTCATCCAAGCTCTCAGTACAGAACTAGCTCTCATTCAAGGCCCGCCTGGTACAGGAAAGAGCTATACCGGTGTTGCAATCATCAAGGTTTTACTCCACAACCGAAATGCAGCAGACCTAGGTCCCATTATCTGTGTATGCTACACGAACCATGCTCTCGATCAGTTGTTAGAGCATTTAGTGAGGGATGGCGTGAGGCAAGTCATCCGCCTAGGCTCACGATCCAAATCCGATTTGCTTCAAAATCTCACTCTCCGCCATGTAGCGGAAAAAGCCGTGCCCACGAGGACGGAAAAAGGTGATAGGTGGGAACACAATAAGGATATTGGGGAAACGCTGCGAGAAATTGAAGATATATTGTCTGGGCTAAATAATCCAAATTCTTGGACAAACATCCAAGCCCATCTTATGAGCACGCATAACCGACATTTCAAGGAACTATTTGGGAAGGGCGTAGATGAGGAGGGGTTTCAGGAAGTGAAGGGAAGGAAGTTTAGGGTTGTAGAGAGTTGGCTTAGAGGAGCGCCGAAGAAACTCACTTCGAATCGTCCTCTTTCTCAACTCTCAGGAATTTCTCTAAGAGAGATGTCGGCGTCGGAACGCGGCACTCTTCACAAGCACTGGATAGAGCAAAGGAGTGCGCAACTCACCAATGATCTCATCCATGCACTAGATTCCTACCATGGTTCCAAATCCGCGCTGGATAAATGTCACAATGAACTAGATCTTCGATGTCTTCGAGAAGCTCACATCATCGGCGTGACAACGTCCGGGCTGGCAAGGAACATTGAGTTGCTCCAGCGCGTGCGAGCCAAAGTCATGCTTTGCGAAGAAGCTGGAGAAGTTCTCGAGGCACACACCCTCACTGCATTCCTACCGGGAGTTGAACATGCAGTCTTGATCGGTGATCATGAACAACTTCGACCCCAGATAAACAACTACGAGCTTCAACATGACAATCCCCGAGGAAAGAGATATTCCCTCGACATCTCGCTTTTTGAGCGTCTTGTCAGGCCGCAGATGGGGAATCTCCAGCTACCATTGAGTACATTGAAGACCCAGCGACGAATGCACCCGTCTATCTCAGAGCTAATCAAAGTCCCACTCTATCCGGACTTGCAAGATCATCCCTCAGTATTAGAATATCCAGAAGTCGATGGGATGCGAGATCGCCTATATTGGTTTGACCACCAGGAAAAAGAAGACCCGCCACCTGCCCAAGCTGTCTCCTTATCCAAAACCAATACTTTCGAAGTGGATATGATTGGTGCTCTTGTCTCACATCTTGTAAGGCAAGGGACATATAGGAGTGAGGATATTGCAGTTATTACTCCATATCTGGGTCAATTGCAGAAAATCAAGAAGCGACTAGCAAATTCCTTCGAGATCGTTGTTGGGGATCGCGATCAAGAAGAGTTGGAAGCTAAGGGATTTCAAGACGAACTGGAAAGTTCTGCAGATGGCCAAGTCCAAGTCCAGAAAACAACACTACTCAATTCTTTAAAAATTTCTACGGTTGACAACTTCCAAGGCGAGGAGTCAACAGTCATTGTCGTCTCCTTGGTTCGGAGCAACGATGAGCGGAAATGTGGATTCTTGAAGACTTCCAATCGCATTAATGTGTTACTGAGTCGTGCACGACATGGGATGTACATCATCGGCAACTCCGATACCTCGAGGCCAGTTCCCATGTGGGCTCAAGTACTCTCTATTCTAGAGCGCTCAAACAAGATCGGACCAAGCCTTGCGCTGTGCTGTCCTCGACATGAAGAAACACCCATCGAAGTCTCAGTGCCGGACGATTTCGCTAGGCTCGCCCCTGAAGGCGGTTGTGCTAAGAGATGCTCGTCGAGACTACTCTGTGGGCATTCCTGTCCTAACATGTGCCATTCTACATCTCTGCACAATGCAGTTCGTTGCCTTGAACGCTGTCCAAGAACAAGGAAAGGTTGCGAGCATGAATGCCCAAGACCTTGCGGGGATCTATGCGAGCCAAAATGCCAAGTTGTATTATTCGACATCCCTTTACCATGTGGACACATCGCTAGGCAGCTGAGATGTTATGAGGCGCAGATACCAAAGGAAGTTTGCTGTCAGGTCCGGATAGAACAAGTCATGGATCATTGCAAACATAAAATCCAAGCCCGTTGTCACGAACTCCCTTTGGATGTCGATTATCCCTGTTCAGCAATCTGCGGAGCAGCGCTCACTTGTGGACACGATTGTACACGTAATTGCAAAGATTGCAATACCAGGATAGGCGGTATCATTGTTGAGAAGATACACGGCGTTTGTAATACCCAGTGTGGAAGACCATACACGACCTGTAGTCATAGCTGCAAAGCTCCATGCCATGGCGACATGCCCTGTCCTCTATGCGCAGAACCCTGTGGAGTCAGCTGTAATCATTCCAAATGCAGCAAGCTATGTCATGAGCCTTGCACACCTTGTGCTGAGGATTGTTCCTGGTCTTGTCCACATCGTGGACGATGTCCATTACCATGTGCGGTACCTTGTGATCTGCTACCATGCTCAGACCGCTGTGCAAATATACTGGCTTGCGGGCATCGATGTCCGTCTATTTGTGGGGAGGTATGTCCAGGCGTTGCGTATTGTCAGATTTGTGCGCACCCAACAATCAAGGGACTGGTGGTTGACTTCATTTTGTCATCCACTTTCGAAGAGGTCAATCTTGATGAGGATCCTTGCATCGTGCCATCATGTGGACACATCCTTACCATGGAGAGCATGGATGGACACATGAGCATGTCAGATTTCTATACTATGAATGGCGAAGGGTCAATCGTGGACCTGAAGAATAGCGCCGAGCCATTCTCTGCTTCCGGGATGAAAAGCTGCCCAACTTGCCGCGGCTCTTTACGAAACGTCAACCGCTATAGTCGTATCGTTCGTCGAGCATTGATCGATGAGGCGACAAAGAAATTCATCGTCTGGGCTAACATGAAATTCGTCCCTTTAGTCACTAAGATGCAAGCAATTGAAGCAGGGCTCCGTGAGTCTACTGGAGGCGGCCAAATGCCTTCCGATGAGGCATCGCCAGAAACTCCTTTGTCAGGGCCGCTGCAATTGAAAGGGAGTCGTGACCACCAAATCTCCCAGATCGGAACACTTACGCGGAAAGAGAAACGATATAAAACGATAATCGGGCTTCGGAGGGAGACGAAGAAGTTTCTGCAACAGGTCAATGAGAAAGAACAACCCTTTGGCCGCATTTACGACCTCGTTCAAGACGCCCGCAGACATCGTGGAATCAATATCGATTTGCACTCCAAAGTCGACATTCTTCAAGTACGCAACCGACTTCTAACCACAGTGCTGCTCATTAGATGCGACTACACCATCCTCCTGACTTTCCTCAATGATAGAAAAGGCGAGAGCAGCACAAATTCTCCCAGCGTCCAGGTCGATTTGAGCCTCAACAGAAAGGATTGCGAAAATTTGATAGCAGAATCCCACTCAAGAAATCAACCAGGAAATATAGTTGAGGGTCACTTATACTGGGCACGGTTTCTCGCTCTTGAGAGGAGCCTCGCAGAGCCTGAATCAGAGCTTACGTAGCTCTTGGACAAGGCTTGGGGACATCTTCAACTCGCACACAAAATATGTGATAAACATCCTGGCCAAACAGCAGGCATGAGAAACGAAGTTGAGGAAGTGGAGAAGATGCTGCGCGATTCGACATTTTATATGCCAGTGAGCAATGAGGAGAAGGCTGCTGTGTATGCAGCCATGGCAAATGACTTTAGAGGGACTGGGCATTGGTATTACTGTGAGAATGGCCACCCATTTACGATTGGAGAGTGTGGTATGCCAATGGAAACCTCTCAATGCCCACAATGTGGTTCTCCGGTCGGCGGTCATGATCATGAGGTCGTTGGTGGTGTCAGACCTGCGACCGACTTGGAGCGTCAATTCGGTGGACTTAGAATTTAATCTGGGTTTGGGTAGGCGGCTGTATTTAATGGAATAAACTCCAGTAATCTCGTAGAATGAAAGTAATTTGTAAGCTATTTTATTAATACGGAGGTCTGAACCCTCGCTTCCCCTTAGCTGATGTATGATTTAATAAAGTATAAAATATATTTCGAATCTTTCTCAGAATAGAGATAAATGAGTTTAATATAATATTACAGATATAAATAGCAATACTTTGTAATTAAAAAACTATTTCTCTATTCGACTATAACTATAAATACGAAGATATTAAACTAAAAAAAGAAGAAGAAGGAATACAACTTTTCTAGAAGTATATATCTTTTTCAGTAAATCACGTGATATAATCACATAACGCTGTACGTAGTCAGTTAGCAGGAAGGCGTACATATTAAACGTCCAACATTGTCACATTTACGTCACTAGCTAGGTCACGTGACTATTTGTATAAGCGCTACTTCTATTTATACTTTTTGTACAAGAACTCTCTTAGTTCTCTCTTTAGTTAATTCTCCTTGTAATACAGTTAACTTTTACATTGTTCTATTTGTATTCGGCTTGTAATACAACGAAAGATTTCCTAAATATAAGAAGTACTTAATCAGCTTCTTACTTGCTTAATCGATAATATAACTTTACTTAGTACAATATCTAACGTGGATAACGCTAACTTCACAGCTGGCAACTATAAGCGTATTACTCTTCCCATAGCGACGTTCACTACTCTGTATATTATCGTTAACTACTTTCTTTAGTTAGTTATATAATTTATATAATGAGTCTTTTAGCTAGACCCCGTGAAACAGTTCCATAAAACTTCTCTCTAGGTATGATAATATGTCTTGTCGTAATTGAATTTCTTAAGCTAAACTAATAATATTCCGAGTTCTTCTCGTTAACCACGCCCCATGTGTAGGTTCCTTGACTTCTAGATCAATTTTCTTCCACGTATCCTCAACAACTAGCCTTGCTCTTCTTACACTCCCTAGATTCCTCACTTTCCGCAAAGTGGTAAGTCTCTGATGGACAAACCGTCTCTGCTCCTCGTCGAGACCTAAAGCTGTGTTTCCAAGGATGAACAAAGGCCAGAGCAAGGTCGGGGAGTCGGGGAGTGTGCTTATAAGGGATATTATTGTGGCGATAAGTTGGAAGCGGCAGACTGTAGGTGAGTTACCTTGGGTATGTGAAGAAGGGAGCATAATGAGTCGTTCGTGGAGGTAAAGTAGTGCTGTTAGACGTTTTATTTCTGCTATTCTCGGAAGCGTTGATGATTCGCGTACGCCGCTTGGAAGAATTTGTTTAAGGGACTGGATTGATCGCTCGATTAAGTCACGTGAGACTATGAGTGCTTCGATTTCTGACGTCTGTCCACCGATTCTCTGGGATATCTTTGATTGTAAATTAGTGAGTTCTAAATTTATTTGTCGAGGGATACTTGCCATTTTCGCGTGGGATGCTAGAGTTGAAATTCTCCGCACAAGATTCATCAGGCTTCTCGAGCACCCCATTAGCACATCAATCTCGTCGATCGTCTCGTCTTCTACCCATTCGCGACTGTGGTCGACGTCTATCTCGTCACACGCAGTGCGGCTCATGATGTCGTGGGCAACAAAATACATCCGAAGGAAGGCGTGCAGATTACTATCTTCTCTAGGACCTGCAGACTGCGAGAGTTGATCAAGCAAGGTCAGGCCACCACGAAGATGGGTGACCCAGGCTCGATTGCAGCCATCTGAAATCTACTTCCCCGTTAGTCTTAGTAACGATTTTATGCCTAGGAAACATGCTAGGATGTTCTCATACGTCATAGAAGCAAAGCATCAAAACTGTCGCCACGATGCCAACATCAACACGACCTGCATCAATCGCTCTCTGAACGCCTTGGATAGCTTTGGATTTATGATACCAGGCCTCCATTTCGAACCGCTTGTCGTTCAAGAGCCGAAGTTGGTTTGCTGAAACAGCCAGCAAGGCATTTTGCAATGTCGGAAAATTAAAGGACATAGGTACGAGGTAGGTAAGGTAAGGGTTATCGGATTCGCTTAAAGAGCAGCTAGGACATATTGAAACGATGAAGTAATTGAATAGGTTTCCTTCAACGGTCGAATACGACCACATGCAGAGAGAGCCACCTGGTTGATAGATGGCCATTTCCTGACCTGGATCTGCCTCAACTTGATCAAGCTCGGGTGGGATCAGATCCAGAGTTTCTGTTTCCAGCTCGGGCTCTAAATCGTTGGAAGGATAGTCTGAAGGATCGTAGTTCATAATAGAACATATAGTGAAGTCATTTTTAGTAGCGTTTAAAAATATCCATTCGCCAGTATAAGCACTCAAATTGATGGGCTTAAATAGTTTTCCGGGGTCAGACCTTACGTTCTGACACTTTTTGTGTGTCTTGGACCATTTTCCTATGTAATGACATTAGTTACTTCTCTAGAGAATACGGGGAAGGATTTGACTAAGAACCTTCACGGCCAAGACTGATGTTTCTTTGGAGGGCGTCCTCTTTCCAGAGCAGCCGGAGCCCGTACTGGCAATCAAGATGTAATCTCAAGCAGCGAGAACACGACGGTCTTTCTTCGGTACATTGCACATGCTTTGCTGAGTCATGGTCAATTTTGGCACCTGGTGTACTACTTCGTACCGAGGGGAAGGACAGGGGCGAATCTGGCGATAGCAACTTACATTTGCAAGTCCAGCATCCAGTCCGTCGTCGGCCTTCATTCATCCGTCGTTGCATGATGTACAGCTGCTTCGAAGTGGACCATGGCTACATCAAAACCATCCTCGAAATGCTTCAGCACTATAATGGTGTGTGTGCTCTGCAAGCTGGGAGGGTCTGGAGTGAAAGGGTCGAGACTTTCTGTTATCCGATATCTGCCCAAAAAGCGGAGCAACTCGGTTATCATAAGGTCACGTGCCTCTTTTCCAAACGTTTTACGAAGTAAGGGGGATGCGGAATATTACGTCAATTCAATACGACCTGAAGCTATGGTTTTGAGTCATGATCGTACGATGGCTGAACATGTCGAAAATATAGATATGTCTACATAAGATATGTTCTGCTGCCGTCCTGAAGGGGTTACTTATATCCCCAACGTAATTCTAGTCACGTTGGATAGCAGTCCAAACTATCTCGGCGAGCCAGGTTAACCTCATGCTTGGCAAATAGTTAGTCGCCTTAACAGGGCGAGTGTTAGTTTTCAAGAGTTTACATGCCACTGGCTAGGAATCGCTTAGATCCTGTTTCAAGCCTCTGGCGAACGTCAACGAAGCAAATGGCGAAGGTCGGAGACAGGGGAATGCATTGCCAGCACATTGCTGATGCTTCAGTAGCCTTAAAAAACAATAAAGAACACGGTTAATCCGAGCGAGCCTGTAAGAAAGAAGGAAACTACTTAGTCAGGGGGAATTTCAAGGCGACTTTAAACGTCATTTCTTGCATTCGGCAACTCGAAAACAGCAACACATCCCTTTCCATGCATCAAGTTACGGGGAGCTCAGTCCTAGATTTGGCTCCTTGTGTTTAGGCTCATGGCTTCCTTGATATCTCTGACGGTCCCCACTCGCCATGATATATCATCACTGCTCGCCTTACCATCTTTCCATTTCCATCTAGTGATACTTTGCTCGCCCTCCATTATAACGTTCGCCACCCATTCTCCGACGACCGGTAACATCTTGAACGCATGTCCACTATCTCCACCAGCGACCATCAAGCCCTCCACGCCGGGGAGAAAATCGATGATAAAGTCAGATTCTGCGGTGTCACCACACCAGCAAATGAACTTATTCACCAATTGCCTCCCAGAGAACTTCGGCATGGTGTTACTGATCAGGCGCTTAATCAGCTCTTCGTCCTCTTTGGGTATACCTTTAACTGATGGGGTCGGGATAGAAATCTGCTCCTGGAAACCAGGCGAGGTAACATAATTTGTATACCCAGCACCGTTGGCACTCAACTTGAGAAGTCCGGTATCTTCATCTGGCTCGAAGAAGAACCCGAGATCCCTGCAATTCACAACTGGGCAGTCTTTCATCTCCTCCACCTCTTCAGCACTCAACTGGATGTGTGCGACGGACCATGCTTTTGCCATGACTTGGTAGGAGATCTCCGGGAGGAGAGTCCCAATGTGTGCTCCCAAGCAGAGGATTGTCTGCGCGGCTTGGTAGATAGTACCATTGGTGGTTTTCACACCTGTACATATCCTCCGCCCTTGTAATTCGTCTCTAAATTGAAGCTCGACGGCGTAGCCATTATCTCCAGTAACAAATTTCACCCCCATCTCATTGCATGTTTTGGCTGCGTGCTCGAGCGCTTTCGCAGCTCTCGCATACCCCGCATGTCGATTGAAATACCCTGACCAACCTTCCATATTACCATTTAACATTGGAGCACAGCCCTTTGCATCCTTTGCGCTACCAATGGCGGTGAAGGAACCATGTTTGAATGCGGGATCGTTCTTTATTGAGGCGAGTGACTTCTGGAGGGAGTCGCGCGCTTTCTGGGGTGCATCCGGGGATATCGCAACGAGGTAACCGGTGGGTTTGTAATAAGGCGCCCAGAAGGGCGTCTGCCATTGCTTTATTGCATTCTAGTAACATAATTCGACGTTATTAAGTTATTAAGTAAAAACATACTGAACGAGAGCCGCGAATTGTTAGAAAGGCAGGGAGCATACCAGGGCGAGCTTCGCGTAGAATGGATCCTCATACTCTGCGCGCACGATTTTGTTTAGGTCATTCCCAGCGGAGTAAGGACTTGGTACAGCTTCCCGGTCAATAACTGTGATGTTTGTGTAGCCATTCTTCGACAGCTGGAGGGCTGAGGAGAGGCCAAAAACCCCTCCACCGACAATTAAGATGCTGGCGTTTTTGGCGGTTGGAGCTCCGTGGGAAGGCATCTTGATGGAGGTAGGAGTAAGGAGAGAGGTTGAAAAGATGTCATCGCGAAAGTTTGCGGGACGAGATTATATTTGAAGATGGGACGATAAATGAAGGCGGGGTGGAGATGTTGACCTGGGTGGAAGGTCGTCGCGACGACGACGCTAACCAATTACTCAACCACCGAGGTGATAAAAGGAACTTCAAGCCAAGCCTCCTGCTATCACTAACAATTAACATGCGATAATAAAGAGCGGGGTATTGCGGGATTTAATGATGAGATATGGATATTATTGTAGAAGGAAACCAACTTGTTTGATATAGATATTGTTAAATTTAATAAAAGATCCCCATTAGAGACATTACTAAACCTAGGGTTATTATATCAAGGACGAAGTTGACATTTAGAGATATATTCGGAAGAAGTTCTGCCCCCATTGTAGTCTCCACAACTAATAAACGGCATAAATATTTTTAGAAGCAGATGCTCCAATATTTTAGCAAATTTGTGTACGATAGATAGGCATTTTACTGTACCCATTGATGATTAGTTATTTTTTTAAGTTGAGCAAAATTCTTAAGATAAACTTAAAACGTTATATATAATTAAGAAGCGATGTATTGCAAGTTCTAACCTATCACCACATACTCCTCCGCCTCTAATCAATACTTTCCACACGCCACAACCTCTCATCGTGCAAATAAGTCCGCATTACGTGGTGTAGCGGAAGCCTTCCTGCTGCTGATCTGTCAAATCCGTGAATCCATCCAGCAAGTCAGCTCCGGTGCTTTCCTGCGCATCAATCTTCCTGTTCTGCATAACAGCCAGGGCCCAATACAAGGCCATGAGACCAATACAGACACAGTAGCAGGCAATCATGGCAATAAACCCTCCAGTGTAAGCTGGTGCTTGTGATTCCCGGAAGGTTTGAGGGCCTATTAAGTTACCCACAGCGTACCCTATATACAGTATGGCGAAGACAACAGTCTTTTTAGTATGACCAGCAGTATTTGCTTGCGCGAGAGAGATTCCTATCATTTGTCAGAGTCCATATGCTTGAAAATTTGATAGAATACATACCGACGACGTATGGGCCGAAGTAAGTATACATCAAATATAAGCCGACCATCTGGCCCCCCAAATTCGTGCGGGGGACTGCATAGACTATGGCAGCTCCAACAATTGGAATTACACATGCGATGATAGTAACAAGACAGCGGCGATTATTCCATTTAGCAGCGGCAAGGGAGAAGGTGAAGGCAGCGAGGGTAGACATCACTCCTGTTGGCATGCTAAGAAGAGAAGCATTAATGCCAGAGAAACCAAGACCGGCAATAATCAATCCACCGAATGTCGTAAGACCTATCCATAATTAACATGAGCACCATCATGACTTATTAGAATGTTGATGTGCTTACCTCCGTTTGGAATATTGATGGCAATGTTAAAAAAGAATAAGATCCAAGTTTTTGGGTCAAGGAATGCTTCCCTTGCCTGCTCTATCTTGAACTTTTTGTTGACGATACCGGTCTTGTTGGCTGCTAGACGTCGAACAGCGTGGTACTTCTGCTCTTTGTTGAGAAACTTGGCATTCATCGGATCATCTGGGAGATAGATAAATGCGAATATAGACCAAAGCATGGAGATTGATCCTGTGGAAGGTTAGATCAACTATAGGCTGGTTGGAAATTGGATAACATACCAGTAAGAAGGAAGAGGTACTGCCAAATATGTAGAGGGGCAGATGCGGGCACATGGCCGATAGCCCATGAGAGAAAGCCGTTGACGATTGAACTCGCCGCTGCAAACACAAGCGCGTTTCTAGGTGGCTGTTCGTCCTTTCTGTAGAAGCCTGCGATGATAAGACTGATTCCAGGAACGATAATTGCTTCAAACATCCCTACACATTGTTAGTCACATAATTTCTGTGGCCAGGTGCAAACCTACCCATGAGAAATCTAAGAGCTGCAAGACCCGCGAAGTTTGAGCAAGCAGGCATTAGTAAAGACATGGCCGACCATCCAATAGAGCAGGCGCATAGGTATTTTGCACTAGGCAACCGTTGGATGAGGTACGACGAGAGAGGCATTCCAACGATAGCACCCAAGGATAGAATAGAACCGAGCCAGCTGTACTGTTGACCCACGAGGTGGTTGGTCTCTTTGAGACCATAAAGCGCCGAGGTGCCCAAGGCAACTTTGTCAACTGCACCAAGAGTTGCAACCAGAAAAAGCTACGCGGAATTAGACACCTTCGTTGTAGCTCGGAGAAAACTATACGTGCCATTGGGATCATGATCCAATCGATCTTCTGCTTCAGTTTCTTCTCTGCCTCTGGTGTAAGATTATCGTATCCCTCGGTGTTCAACAGAAAGCCCGCCGCTTTGTCGACGTCAGCTGGGGCGCCGGATGCAACATTCTTCTTTTCATTTTGGCTAGCTGCTTCTACATCGGACATAGTAGCCTTGTCGTCAGTAATCGGCTGAGACATCGTGGTGGCAAATTTCATTCGAGGAGTTGTGAATGAAGATGAATAATGGCGAAGGAGAGAGGATTAGACCGATTATATATCTTCAATCCCGAAAGACTTAATAGATACAGGAGGTCTGCATAGAGTTTAGGGAGGAGATAGCGAATGGGGCTATCAAACCGCATATCTTTTTCGATAACGACGACCGGGAACTTCCCCACACTTTCTCCAATCCCGGGAAACATGGAAGGTCGTGACGGCGACCATGGAGTCGGGACATAGTCGAATAGTGTATATTTCTCCCTAGCCCTGAGGAGATTTTCGTGGGGTGGTTAAGGGTTAGAAGGTCAACACGACGAGTGGATGAGACTTGGCGGGAGTGGCCAATTGAGTCATGGTATAAGTAGTTTCAAAGGAGAGAGAGCTAGAAGCCCCACCTTCGATCCCTTGGCCCTTCGTGTCGACCTTCTAACCAGGCCCACCGTGTCGGGAAATGTGGCTGGGCAAATGTCCACTCCGCTCCGCTGCCGATAAGCTAGCTGATTAGGACTCAACAGTCGCCATCTCAACGCTATGATCGTGTGGGTGAGGATATCCCGCGTGGGGAAGTTAGCCGTATAGACCTTCCTCGTGGAACCATGCTATCAGCGGCCAATGAATGGTAATGGCTGATAGATATTTCCCACGTCTCCGATCCGCGCATCCTTAAGTGTTACTCCGGTTGAGAGAAAACCCTTCTATACCGTAAGGGAGTCCTTTATATGCCTCCTTTCCCGCTCTGAGTTCTGTTTCTTTCATTTAGCATAACTATTTTCTTCGTGAATCGCTACAACCCCTCTCCTTTTTGGTGACCAATTTATTATTCAAGATGGGTTCAGTCACCCCAAACCTCCCGAACGGGCAAATAAAGATTGCTATTGGTATTGCTCCTTCCCCCTGGTTATGTGTACAATCAGCTAATACTTTGGCATAGACCGGGGAGGAACCTTTACTGATGTGTGGGCAAGCTCCCCAAACAAACCAGATGTAGTTATGAAGCTGCTCTCAGTCGATCCTGGGAATTACCAAGATGCTCCTACTGAAGGTAACCTACCTTGCCCGGCTTGATTAGTAGAGTGCACATTTTCATGGGGCCATTGGTCCCCCCCCACTTCGTAAAATTATTCTTAACTGACTCTCCTTCCTAGGCATCAGACGAGTTCTATCAATGTACGGAGACGCCGAGATTCCTAGGGGCATACCACTCCCCAAGGAGAATTTGGCCATCGTACGAATGGGTACGACTGTAGCAACAAATGCTCTCTTGGAACGAAAAGGCAGGCGCCACGCGCTCCTTGTTACCAAAGGCTTCCGAGATCTTTTAAGAATCGGGTACCAATCGCGTCCCAAGCTGTTCGACCTTAACATCTCCAAACCAGAAGTTCTCTTCTCAGAAGTCCGGGAGATTGATGAGCGAGTGACCATCGAAGGTTTTGATGAGGACATAGACGGAACCGTTAGGACCGACGTTAATGAAATCCCTGGAGTCTTGGTTCGCGGCTCAAGTGGCGATCTGATGCGGATCTTGAAGCCTCTCGACGAAATATCCATCCGTACCACACTTCAGGAACTACGACAGGGCGGTATTGACACTGTCGCAGTCTGTTTTACCCACTCACATATTTTCGGTGAACACGAGCGGCGTGTTGGTAAGCTTGCTCAGGAAGCGGGATTCAATCATGTGTCCCTCTCTTCTGCTGTTGCTGCGAAAATGATTAAAATGATTCCGCGAGGAAGCTCTGCATCTGCAGATGCTTATCTCACTCCTGAGATTAAGGATTATCTCCGAGGTTTTGTCAAGGGTTTTTCAGGGGGACACTTAGATGATGTCAAGTGTGATTTTATGCAGTCCGACGGTGGACTTGTTAATCATAAGGGTTTTAGCGGTCTAAAAGGGATCTTGAGTGGACCTGCTGGTAAGCCTATTCTGACCGTTAGACTGTCAATTGCTAATCCTCATAACGGGTGGCGTTGTTGGATGTGCGAGAACTTGTTACGAGGATATTAGCAAAACACCCATCGTCGCTTTCGACATGGGCGGGACTTCTACCGACGTTTCGAGATTTGGTGGTGTCTTCGAACACGTATTCGAGAGTACCACAGCAGGAGTAACAATTCAGAGCCCCCAGCTAGATATCAACACTGTCGCTGCTGGGGGAGGGTCTATCTTAACGTGGCGAAATGGCCTCTTCACAGTCGGTCCAGAAAGTGCATCGTCACATCCAGGGCCGGCATGCTATCGGAAAGGCGGCCCATTAACTGTAACCGATGCCAATCTATTTCTCGGTCGCTTGATTCCCGACCTCTTTCCCAAAATCTTCGGGAAGAGCGAGAAAGAGGCTCTGGATTCGACAATCGTTTCAGAGAAATTCAAACTGTTAACAGCTTCGATCAATGTAGCGACTCGGAAATCTATGAGTCCAGAGGAGATTGCTTTCGGTTATCTTGATGTGGCCAACGAGGCCATGTGTCGACCTATCCGGTCCCTCACCGAGGGCAAAGGTTATGAAATCGGCAAGCATCGTCTCGGCGTCTTCGGAGGTGCTGGTGGTCAACATGCTTGTGAGATTGCTGTGAAACTTGGAATTCAAACAGTCGTCATCCACAAGTACTCCAGTATTCTCTCCGCTTATGGTATGGCGTTGGCAGATGTTGTTCATGAAGAACAAGAGCCAACCAACGAAGTGTACGGCAAGGAGTCAAAGAGCCGCCTCGATCAACGTATCGAGAGGCTGAGGGCGAACACATCTGCGCATCTTCTTAAGCAAGGCATCCAACGGGAGGAGATCTATCATGAGTGCTATCTCAATATGAGATACCAAGGCACCGAGACACCGGTGATGGTCCTGAGGCCAGATGATGGCGATTACGAGGCGGAATTTCTCCGAACTCATCTAAGAGAATTTAGTTTCGTGTTCCCTACCGGCAAACCAATCATGGTCGACGATGCGCGAGTGAGAGGTGTGGGAAGGAGTGGAACGAATGACGGTGATGGAAAACGTTTGGGTTACGAGTTGCAAAATATGAAATTTTTCCCTGTACTTGAACAACAGGTTGAGAGAGAGGTAAATTTATATCCCCGAATCCTTACATCGTTCTAACACATCTGAAGACGAGGGCCTACTTCAAATCTGGAGGCGAGCAGACGACCCCTGTTTATAGGCTGGAGCGCCTCTCCGCTGGCACATCGATCATGGGTCCCGCGATGATCATCGATAATACGCAAACGCTGGTTATTATACCAGATGCTGAAGCTCGAATTCTCACGTCACATGTTGTAATTGATATCAATGCCACAAAGGAGAAGGGTACAGGTGCCAGCCTATGCGTGGATGCCGGTCTAATCGTCGATCCCATCCAGCTATCCGTGTTTGGACATCGCTTCATGAGTATCGCAGAGCAGATGGGCAGGACACTTCAAAAGACCGCAGTTTCTCTGAACATCAAGGAGCGCCTTGATTTCTCTTGTGCCATATTCGGGCCTGATGCTGGGCTTGTTGCTAATGCACCGCATATTCCCGTCCATCTCGGCTCCATGAGCTATGCCGTTCAGTATCAGCACGAGCTGTACGGAGACTTGTTGAAGCCAGGCGATGTTTTGTGCTCGAATCACCCGGAGAGCGGAGGTACCCATCTTCCTGATATTACCGTCATCACCCCGGTGTTTGGACAGGATCAAAACGTCGCATTCTACGTTGCTGCCCGGGGGCATCACACTGACATCGGTGGGTATAACGGAACCTCGATGCCTCCGGACTCTATAGAACTGTGGCAAGAAGGGGCGCAAATGCGCTCGTTCAAGCTGATCGAGAATGATCATTTCGACGAGGAGGGTATCATCAAGGTTCTCCTCGAGCCTGGAAAATACCCTGGCTGCAATGGAAGCAGACGGCTACCGGATAACATTTCGGATCTTAAAGCGCAGGTCGCAGCAAACAACAAGGGAGCCACTCTTATCCGAGCGCTCATGGGTGAGTATACGCAAGAGGTTGTCCAGCTCTACATGCGAGCCATCCAAAACAACGCCGAACTCGCGGTGCGCGGCTACCTCCAGCACGCCCTCCAGACCCTCGGCCCTAAACTCCAAGCCATCGACTTCATGGACAACGGTTCGCCCATACGCCTCAACATCACCATCTCCGAAAACGGCACTGCCGTGTTCGACTTCGCCGGCACCGGCTGCGAGATGCTCAGCAATCTCAACGCACCACCAGCCATCACATATTCGGCGATCATCTACACCCTCCGCCTACTAATTGGCGCCGACATCCCCATGAACCAAGGTTGTCTCGCTCCCATCACCGTCAAACTCCCCTCAGGCACTTTCCTGAACCCCTCTGCCGGACCCGCCGTTTGCGCAGGGAACACGCAAACCTCCCAGCGTGTGGTGGACGTCATATTAAAAGCGTTCCGCGCAGCCGCCGCATCGCAGGGCTGCATGAACTGCCTAGGCTTCTTCGGCTCCGGCGGCGTCGACGCAGATGGGAACCCACTCCCGGGCTCTGCGTTCGCGTTCGGAGAGACAATTGCTGGAGGCAGTGGAGCTACGTCGAAGCAGCATGGTGCAAGCGGAGTTGCTATTCATATGACGAATACGCGAATTACGGATCCCGAGAGCCTCGAAAAGAGATATCCGGTTATCTTGAGGGAATTCTGTATCCGCGAAGGCAGTGGTGGGAGGGGTGTGCATGACGGTGGTGATGGTGTTGTGAGGGATATTGAGTGTCGGACGCCGTTGAAGTTTAGTGTTATTACAGAGAGGAGGGTTATTGCTCCGTATGGTCTTGAGTAAGGCCCCCCATTTGTTGATTCCTACGAAGTTTCTCTCGCTTTATGATGCTGATATTCTCCGAAGCGGTGGCCTCGAAGGCGAGCGAGGAGTAAATTATTGGGTCAAGAGGAATCCGGATGGTAGTGAGCGCTGGGTTAATATAGGACCTAAGAATATGGTGCAGATGCAGGCTGGTGATCGTTGTGTGATACACACGCCAGGTGGTGGCGGATGGGGAGTTCCTAGGAGCAGCACGTTAGCTACGGGAGCAAAGGGGGAAGCGAAGGCTGCTGCTAGGATTGAGCACGTGCCTAGAGCAGCTGGAAGCCTTGCTGCGTTTGAGGAGGCGCAGGGTGGACAGCATTAATACTTTATAATTATATTAATTCGAAGGTATTATCAAAGGGATAGGATGTTCGGAAGTGATTGGAGATCATACAGACGTAATAAGCATGGAATTAGGGTGTGGTATGCTAGAGTAAGGAACGGATGGAGAGTTAGGGATAGAGAACGCTATAAAGAACAGACAGTGGGTTACTGTGGGCTTTGCTGTGTAGGGCTTAGCCGGGCAAGTTTTACTAGAGTAGGCTTAGCGGATCTTCGATAGCTGCCTATTGGCTTCGCGCTCTAGCTTGGGCGTAAAAGAACACCACCATCATGATCATTATCGGTTAGGGTCAATTTTAGCGATTTATTGTGCATAGCTCCTTTAGTATTTATGATACTTTTGAATGATTATGAATATGGTGAGCCTTACAACTTAGAGGACAGATTTGAAAATGATCGTAACTATTACGCTCCAGCTCCAGCTCTAAGGCTTGTTGCGGCTTACGGGATCATCTCCATGATACTTGTCCTTCGCCGATAGATTTTCAACAGGAGCATCCACATGATAATTCATGGTGCTTTTCAGATCTCCAATGAACAGACAGGCCACACATACTACTACACCGAAGGAAGCGCCAATAATAAATACTACTCTGATTGAATCCATGAATGCTTGTTTCAGAGCGGCGACTCCAGATCCAATGATTGCAGGATTCATATTTAGGATGCTCAATAGCGCTGCTTTGTCACCGGAGACAAGAGCTCCGACAAAAGCGGGAACAGAAAATGGCGAGAGACCAGCTTTCAATGCGGCGGCGGCAACATAGGCTGGAATCTTCTTCTTCAGACCAGTTTGAAGTGCTGCGCTCCCTATAGCCGTAAACATAGATGAGGCGATTGCTCTAGCTGATACAGTAATTGCTGTGGCAATATATATATCTCCACTAATTCGACTGCTTCTTGAACACTTCCGAGTACATATACTACTGCATATTGATCGACATGCCCTCAGAAATCGGCGAAGCCTTTCTGAGTATTGAGCTTCGATATACTCTCTTTGTCGCTATTCCAGTTCTCGAGATCTAACAGTTGTTAGAATAATACAGAAGAGTCTCCTACTAGAGTCTATACCGAGTTTTTACTGCAAACTACTATATATTATACTTGGGCAGAAAATAATGCGCTGGAACTATAAGCTATATACTCTATAAACCGTGCTATATAGTGTTTTCAGGAAGTAGATTTACTAGTAGACTAAACAGAGTTCTATATATTCCGACAATTGAAATTCTTTGAAATCTCTACTATAGTAAAGTAAGACTGTATATCACGTGTATTATATCAGAGTTTAGTTTTTCTAGAACTAGATATTCGAAATATATTATATTAGACAATAGTAGATTAATATACTTTTTCATTTATATGTATTTTTATTTACTTGAAACTCGACTTACTTGATTGTTTACTATACATTTGATTATACATTCTACTTCGTTATATTAGTAAGTCGCAGTTAAGAGATAAATAGAAGTTATATGAAAGTAGAAGTATTATTTAGTTGTAATTTCTAGGTTATAAAACAAGTTTTCACAACGAAAGTTGTATATAGTAATTATAGAATATTTAGAAGAACTCGAAATGGTGCGGATAGGTTGGAAAGTGGGTACCCGTGTTGACATTGACAATAACTGTTACGCCAACCTTGGGTGCGTCTTCGCCTTGAAAGAGTATCCTTTGGACTCCATTTTAGTTTATGGCAGTACAGTCACTAGCAAAATCGGCTTCACTCAAACTCACTGTGAAAGTTCCAGCCCGGCTCGGTAAACCGGGATGCCTAAAAGTGCCAAACTATAGGCACTCGGTCTAGCAGCTTTATCAGCAGCTACGCCGGAGGGTGCAGTTTCGGCCCATGGATATTAACAAGCTTCTGCCAGAAGATTAAAGTCCTACTCTTATAAACAATACTATTTCGTCACATTATCCCGTACAACCTTCAAGCCACTGTCCCCATGACGTTATACGAATTACTATTATACAATGACCAGCTCCTCCCCAAACTCTGGAGGCGAATGAAGATTAAGCAGTCTCTTCCATGAAGGGATATCTAGAACGAAACCATCGCTACTACTATATATAATATATCAATCTCCTATTCGATTGAATATCCGTTTCCCTAGATTCTGGGCGTCCTTTATTACTTGGAAGATTCTAGTAAACGACCGCATACCCGTTTACCCTTGATTTTGGGATTGTAGTAAAAGCTCCGCTAGAGGAAGAAAGTAGATATTTTCCTCAAAAGGTCCCAAGGAATAATAGTCAAGATATATCTCGCTAGCAAATCTCAAGTCCTTTCGATATCCTTTTTCATTAGACACTTCAAATAGAAATCCTTTGAGGACTAGCTCTTCGCTTATTAGCTAGCCGAAAAGGTTCCTACCTTAGAGATAGTATAAATCAATATAACCTGAATAAAGGGCTATAGTATTTTCCGATATAAGTATAAGAAAACTATACTATTCCGCGATAGTTATAACTGTATTAAAGCTATATTCTAGTTAGTATAGACTTAGAAAGAAGAAGCAAGATTAGTAAACCTCGGTATTCCGTAGATCCAAGCTCCCTGCAAGGAGAACCTTTCTCTACTCTCTATTACTCTACAGTTAAGATTAATCGTCCTAATCTATACTTTGGATTACTACTTACCTTGACTATGTCCACGGATTAGTCATCCTTTGGGTTTATTCGTAGTTCATAATCTTGATAATTCGAACTGAAGAATAGAGTAGTAATTTCTCCTCTTCTTACTTTCATATCGGACTGCTTCCTCACCCAATACTGCGAGTTCATATGTGATTGTACATTGTCTTAGTGAACACGTACTTGCCAAAGTCAAGACCTTTCTACATGATCGGGTCTCGTGCTCCATTGTCCTCGTCCGTTGCCTGTGGCCTAGCCTCCTTCACTGCTCTCGCTCGGTCAGAGTCTTTCCAATCCGCGAAGAACTCTGCGCCAGCCAACTCCATAATTTCACACTGACTTAGACGAGGCCGCGATCCAGCGATATCCTCGAAGCGCTTAAAATTGGCTTGGTTGGCAGGTAAAACCCAGACACCATTGCCGTCGTCCGTCCAGCCGAAGAGCGTATTCTTCGCACCATCGTAAGACTCGGCGGGGGGACCATGCTTCTTAGCATAGGCGTTGACAAGATCCAAAAGCTCAGCTTGCGTTTTGTTATGGGGGTTGGGCACCTCGGTGGTAGTACTGTCGTTCATCTTAACCTTGGTGATATCCCTTTCGTGGCAGGCTTTTGAGGACGATCTATAATAATCAATGTAAAGCGAGGAATGAGTAACTTCTTGTATGTTAAAAAACAAAATCGAAAAGAGCATGATCTGTGAGGCGGGACCCAGACTTTGACGTGACTATGACATGTCGCAAGTGCCGCTGCCTTGCTTGCTTCGGCCGAGGTGAGTGGCTGTGCGGCATGTGCCTAATTGAGGGCCATGGGAAAACAACGAGTGGTGTGAGGTCCGAGAATTTCCCAATATAGAAATTACTAAAAAGGTCATATTTAATACCGCACTTTCTAAAGGACGCAGGTGTCATGGCGAGCATCGAATGCAGTAGGGTCAGATCCTCAACTATAGCAGGTGCCTCTATTAACCTTGGAATGCTAATCTGTATTGTGGTGCTGACACTTAAATGAAAATCCTTTTACGAAAGAAAAGAAGTTTTGTCATGTCCGCAGTGACATTGTGACCACACTTGGAGCGCTATAATGAGCAAGGACGAGAGGACGTTGGTTTCGCGCAGGCGTTTGTCAATGCTGCTCAGCTCGCCATCGCCAATAACGACTTGGCAAGAGGACGCATATTCGCGGAGACGGCGGCATCTGTTTGGAATACGACTCTTGGCAGTGACAGCACGGAAGCTATCAAGCATAGAGCTCTAGCACAAGACCCCTCGAAGTACGAGCAATACGGAATCTCAATGAAGTGGAAGACTGCTATATATGATATTCCTCAGGTCTCAACTCGAAAGACTTTCGAAGATTGGCTGTGGAGGAGGGAGAAGCCAAAACAACCCGGACAGCCGGCAGACTTTCGCAACTAGGCGGCATTTCGGGGTTTCAACGATTTGCCGCACGAGAATCACATTGATCCCGGGTTCTATGCAAGCGTTAACGGGTTTACTTACCAACCACGACGGCATTGGCTGTTCTTAGCCGAGATTGTCGACTTCGACAGACTGCTCCGTCTGCAAATGGTCATTAAAGTTGTTGACGGCATAACGGTTCCGCTATTTTTCTATACAGAGGGCCGCGGCGATGAACTAGAACTTTCGCTGATTCGGAAGGGATATACTAGAGTCGAATTAGATTATGCATTGTACATTTAAACATATTTCAATGTTCCCAACTCTTGTTCCTGTTATGTAGACAATTATTAGAATACACGTGCACTCTGTATTCTTCCACGGCCACATCCAAAAGCGGAGGTTTGAGGCATTGATTTGATAAGTTCATGTCACCGACCGTTGATGACTTTTATCAAAGTCCGACTGCACCTCCCAAAACTTCCTATATCTCTGAACAGCACCCTGGCCATCATCCTTCTCAACCTCCAGAAGCCACTCCTCATCGACTCTGTCCACTCGATGACAGTCAGGCACGGCGCCAGCTTTAAGCAGCACATCCACACTATCCCAGTGGCCTTTGATAACCGCGGCATTCAATGCATTGCCATACTTGGCCCCATATACATCGCACTGGGCTCCTCTATCTAGCAGCAGCTGAACCAACTTGGCGGAGCCCATGTATGCTGCTGCTTGCAACGCTGTATTGAACAGCCCGCTTTTGGCATTGACATCAATAGTTGAACAGGTGTCAAGGAGGAACTTCACTCTTTCATATCCCCAGTCCGGTCTGTAAGCTTCGCCCAAGGACCCGAGATAAACAGCGTCAGGGAGGGGATTTTTCTGGCTTTCAGCTGTGCACGCCCATTGGAGTGGCAAGCCGTATTTGCCAGCAGCAAGGGTAGGATCAGCACCGTGGTTTAGCAGAAATTGGATTTTGGCAGTGTGATTGCGGTAGCAAGTTGCGACTTGAAGGGCAGCTTGCAGAGCAGTTGGGTGCCGTTCTCCACGTGCATCATTGACATCGATTCCGCATTGGAGGAATACCTCCAACACATCAGGCGCGCAATTTGCCGCTGCTGCGTGCCATGCACTACCATAGTAACCACCCTGTATCTGAACATCCGCATGGTTGTTGAGCAGAAGCCTCACAATCTGAAGGTTCGGGGCCCCCTTCCACTCCCACTTACTGCAAGCCGCCTGGAGCGCTGTCCCGTACACTCCACCTACAAGATTGACCTGGGCGCCATGGTCAAGCAGCATACGTGCCGCCTCAAGTGACCCGACTCTGCAAGCGGCCTGCAGAGCTGTTCCAAAAAATCCACCTTGAGCATTCACATTGGCTCCGTTGCTTAGCAATTGCTTCATCAAATGTGGTTGAAGTAGCCTAATGCCTGCGGCCTGTAGTGCAGTGCCATATACACTACCCTCAGCAACCACACTACACATGCGTTGCCCGGAAAAAAGTTCAATTCCAGGGGGGTCATCGTAAAAGCTATTGGTGGTGCCCAGAGCCGCCTGCAGAGCATTTCCATACTTGCCGCGCACAATGGTGACATCTGCACCGTTTTCGACCAGAAACCGGGTTATTTTGCCGTGGCTACGGTGCGCACTGGCTTGCAGTGCTGTTCCATAGTAACCCCCGGTGCTGTTGACGTTGGCACCAGCCTTGACGAGAAATCTTACCAGCTCCTCGCCATCGTACTGAACGCACGCAGCCTGTAGAGCGTTCCCAAACCAGCCTCCTTGTGCATTAACATCGACTCCTTTTTCTAGGAGCATGCGCACTGCTGCAATATTCCCCATCCTGGCTGCTCTGTGCAGAGCTCTGCCGCCCTTATTGTTTATTTCCACGCCCATTTCCACACCCATTTCCAGAACAAATTGCAGACACTCAACTGAATTTGGGGTTACAGCTGATGCAATGACGAGGCTAGTGTCTTTGGAATTCAAGTCAATACGTGCTCCTCTGTTAAGAAGGAGCCTCACAGTTGCCATATGCCCATTGGCCATAGCCGCTTGTAATGCCGATCCGCACACACCGTCCCTATAAGGGAAATAACCGTAACCCACAGCTTCCAAATCAGTCCAAACATTTGCGCTCGCATCCGCACCACGATCAAGTAAAAGAGTAACGACATATATTCCTCTTCTCGTTGCTGCTTGCTGTAACGCATCTCCCAACTCTGCGCTTTTTGCGTTGACGTCGGCGCCCTTCTCCAGTATTAACTCTACTAGGGATGGGCTTTCACTAGATGCAGCACACTGGAGGGCAACGTCTAAATCCTCCTTCGTCAAGTATTGGTGTGCTGAGAATAGCATTTCGGTGAGTCGTATGAAGCCACGGACGGCAGTGTAGAGATACGGCCGAAGCATAAAGTCTTGATCCGTTAACTTTTTAATGCCGGAAAGGTGGTAGCAATTGAGTGTGGAAGCTAGACTTCTGCTCCGCATTGTGAACGCTCGCAGTGCGAATTTTGAGAGTTCAGGCTGCCAGCACTCGCGAGGCGTGTTTTCGAAATGAACAGGCCAGAACTGACTGGCATACTCGTACAGTCTGAATATGCGACGTAGATTGAAGCCATCGTTGCCGCTGTATATTTCTTCATTTTCGTCTCCGGTGCATTGGAGAAGGTAGACGAGACAACCGCGCATTACATCAACCATGGCATCCATTTCATTAAACCCAAACCGCGCAGATCGACCTTTGGAAATACGATCGGAAGTCAGATACTCCTTAACGGAAAAATGTGCCAAACGAACGTAAGTGTAAGTGCCAGAGAAGGAAATATGTTTTTCGCTGATAACTAAACTAGACAACTGCTTCAGGACCAGGTTGTCGTCGAAAAGTCGCTCTGTGTCACTCAAGAGATGTGTGTTTTCGGGACAAAAAACAAAAATCTCGGCGACTTCATTAGTAGTGAGCCTACGTCCTGAACATACCAGCCATTTGAGTACTCTCAAGACCTTCTCTTGAGACTTTTCGTCTATGCTTTCAAGAATCCTCTCGTATATCTTGTCAAGTCCGTCTGGGAGATCCTCGAGAGCATTATCTACTTCCTGAATGGTGGCACACTTGCTCAGGGCTTGGAATTGGTACGACACGTACTGTATCCTAGGGTGCCTCCACGTTAGCGGTTTTCTCCGTTAATGCTGAGCCCAAGATGTAACTTACATGCCGTCTGCCTTCTGAAGAAGCTTCGTCTTCGCTTTTTTTCTTATTTCCACCGGCCAGAAATTCGCACCCTTCGACTTAAGTTTGGTATCAATAAATAAGCCAATGTCTTGATCAATATGTTTTTGATGTTGCTGATCGGCGAGATCAATCTCGTTAGTATGGGATGAATCAGCCAATATCTCCTTCATGGCGACGCTGATATCATGCTCCTTCCGACTAGTACAGAATATATGAACATTGTCGGCGGCAGCCATGTTACCTAAAGCGACAAGAAGCAAATCCCGTTCCTCAACTTGATTTTCATTTTGCTCGGGACATTCGTCGAGGCCATCAATAACGATAAAAGCTGCCGAAAAGCCACTCATCGACTGTGCGAGCATTTCCTGGAGTAGTTGCAAGCTCGGGCGCTCGTCTTTCACTTTGTACTCGCCGAGATCACGAGGAATATTAGGTCGACATGCGCAAAACTGCTTAATAAGTGATGAAAGCATCCCTGCCACTGTCTGCTTCTTCTGGTCGCTGAAGCTAAAGTAGAAGTACGCCAGTGCCATTGTAGAGTTTCTTTTGACTTTATCTTTAAGGTGACTGATGACGGATGAACTCAATACAGATTTCCCCGAGCCAGCTAGTAAGAAGTGTTAATACAGAAAGAGATGAAAGAGAATGGTGGGCCGTACCTTTGCCATGAAGCCACAGGAAAGAGCGTGGAGTTGTAGCCAACTTCTTGAACTCTGGACTATCCTCGAGTAACCAGTTGTTTGTGCCTTTCACATGGGCGTTGCAGTTGGTATTGTACATGGAGGAAGGGTCGATATCGCATAGCCACTTCAAGATGTCCTTGCGTTCTTTATCCTTCTCATTACATGTGATTGCCTCGCGCAGGCCAGATAACTCATGTGCCATACCGCTCCATTGGGTTAGTGATTGTTCATGATATCTTCTTATTTCCACCCACTCTTCGTAGTGGTTTTCATCCTTCCAAATCTTATTAACTTCCTCGAACTCATTATTCTTCTGCTGAACGTCCTGTAGCATTGTTTCCCAGTCGTTCCAGGCAACCATGTCTGAAAGAACACGAGGTCTAGAGTGTTTGATGTAGTAATTGTAGCTTGTTGCTTGAAATTTCAGGATCTGCACATAGAGCGCCTCCAAAGTACCCTTATATTCAGCATGACCTTGCAAGTCCCGTGTGGCGTCTACTGTGAGCTCGTATCGCTTCCTGTAAAGCTTCTCTCTTAATTTACTCTGCGTTATGAGAGATGAAATCTCCTCTAGTCCTGCTGCCAACTTGGCCAGTTGCTCTGATGAATTTGAGATAGGCTAAGCTGAAGGTTAGCTAAGTCTCAGTTTCCTTCATTCATGGACGAAACTAACCACTAGCAACAAGCTGACTCCTGCCCACGCTATAGATGCGGGTAGGTTTTCACCTATAGCGCTTTTGACAAAGGCATCCGTCCAGTTGATTACCGAAACGACGTTCTGTACTACTTCCTTAACTGGAATCTCTGAGGTTCCGAATCTGATCTTCCACTGATTCCGGTTGACCTCGTCCATCCTGTCCTTGAGAACAATCTCCGTCTTCTCTCTGATACTTGCACCGGGTTCTATTGCCGAATTTTGTTCAGATCTTAAGCTCTCGTTCAGGTTTTTCTCATATTTTTCGACAAGACCTTTATCCTCAATTCGGAGCTTCTCGTATGCCTGTGTCCAGAGCTCGGTGATTGAGACATTGTCTTCAATGTTTTGTGGTAGTAAGACTTGGCTTGTAACAGCCGGCGTACTGGACTCTGCGTCTTGGAGGACTGTTGAAGTTGAATGGGGAATGTTGCTCTCACCCGGCGACAAATTAGTTCTGGGCTGTGAGTGTTGACTTTGGTCGCGCCGGGAATTGCTTAAAAAGTCGACCGACCTTAATAAACGCTTCCGCATTGTGAGCTCAAGGTCTATCAACTAGGAGTCACTGTTTAGAATGGTTAAGTTTAACGGCCTTGAACTACGCTCGGCTCCATAACAAAGGCAGATGGCAGCGGTAAAGGCTAACGGTTACACGAAACACATTGCTGCCTAAAATTGCTGCCCATCATGTGACCCTGCCAAGCCTGCTTGTCTTAATAGAGTTGTTGATAATTAGGACCTAAATTAGTATAGATAATATAAGTAATGAATTCGTTAGAATAAGTTATAGAATAAAATAGTTATATTAATTAAAAGGCTTAATATTAATATATTAATAAAGTATTAAACTTTAATTATATTTAAACTTTTTACAAGTTTAAATAAGTTTAGAGATTAGGAACTTTAACTTAAGATAATTATATTAACAGTTTTAAAAAAAAGACTAATATATTTAATAGTATATTAATTCTAATTTAGAAACTCTTTTTAAGAAATATTAAAAGTTAACTAAGTTTACTTTTAAGAATATTAACTTTAAAGTAGAGTCTTTTAGTAAACTTTTAGCTAACAAAATAGAGCTATTATACCTTTAGTATATCGACTATTAGATAGAATATAAAGAGGACCAGATAGGAAAGAATATTCTAACACCTAACTAGGTAGAATTCCGACGTCGACAAAGTGCAGTTACTCAGAGGTAGCGAGGAACATCGACGGCGACAGCAGCAGTCAGCACGAGACCGGGAGCGCAATCGGAGACAGCAAGCTCAAATCGGTAACCAATTACCTACACGAGGCAGTCTTAAATACTCCTTCCTAATCTCTAACGCGATTTTCTCTAGATCTTTCTACTACTCCCAAAGAAGGTTTTAGATATTTTTGAGCGGCTAAACGCCCCTGGTAGCGTATCTGCTTCTCGAGACGGTGGGCAGTGGTGCAGCTCTATGATTCGAGAAGGATTCACTGGCCGAACAGCCACACCTCTCGAACGCCCGACCAAAAAATATGAGGGTTTTCAAAGTGCTTAGAAAATTCCGAAAATTTCCAGATCGACTAAAGTGAGGTCGTTGATTACGAATATGGACGGACTCATTTTCGCTACTTAGTGGTGTTGTTATAGTCAAATCCAGTTTTAGGCGTTTGAGGCGTGTGGTCCTAGTGATCCATTCCAGGCGTATTTTCAATATAGTACTATTATATTTGATATACTGTCGCTCTTAAATTAACTTCACCAATTTTTACTCTCTCCGATTCCCTCAGGCTTTCTTACTAGGGCTAAAATAAGATTGGCGAAGCTTTAAAGCTTTTATAAACCCCGAATTATATTCTCAGCACGTTTCGAACTCCAATCTAACCTGAACATACTTTTTGATAAATAGAAACTCGTAAGAATTAATCAGATTTGTGAATCTTCACATTGTAAATGTCTCGTGCACTATTTATTGTCAAGAGACGATGTACATAGTGGCGTCAAACTCTTGCTTATAATCATACGAGTCTACCCGTCAATCTTTACTGAGTGATCGACTGTTTTTGTAACTCAACTATACGTACCTTGCCAAAGGTTTTGATCAAACGAAAATGAAAAATTTGAATGCGTACTATTCATTGTAACTTCATTGTAATTCTAGATCAAGTAGAGAACGCCGGGCTGGCCACGAAGAAATCAATCGCAAAATGGCCAACCGAGGAGTTCGTCTCATGCCCCTGCAGCATGACCCTTGTTGTCCGACCTAATTACATCCTCTTCTGTCCCCCATCTAGCGACCCAGTTTTTCAAGTCGAGCAATGACCGTTGCCTTGTTGTCAGCTTATGTGAACAATTGCCATCCCGCATCGAGGCTTGTAGCTGAGGGCCTAGGTATGTTGACTGCCAGAACTTTCACATGAGGCCGCTTCGGATACTCCCCGGTACCAATCAGATCGGCAGCGTTAAGCCCCCTCTTCAGTCATTCTTCCTTGCTATCGGAAAACGGAAGAGCAGATGCGGGAACTAACAAATGTGCCGGGGTTTTCTTGTCCGTACGGCTGAAACTCGAATCCTCTAATTCCATGAAGGGAAAATGTTTTGGGACCAGTATCTGTTCTTTGCATTCCGAAGCGGTATAGCTGTGGGAAAGAGATGGCTCCCTTTACAACATTCGCAGAGAATATAAAAACTCCAGTATCTCCCCTTATTTCCCATCCCAACCTCGATAAGGTCATCTTAGATATCTCCAGTCGGTAACTTGTTCCAAACTTTAACCTACGACAGACCGATTCGGATGCAAGTATCCGTCATGTCAGTTGCTACGGGAGTCTCACCTGGCCTTCGCGGGTTGCCAGCTGGTCTTCCCCGGCTTGCCCCTGTCGATCGCAGATTCTTTGCCGATGGCCTCAGAACTAGCGGACAGCATCCTCCAATTGATAGCCAACTTAGCTCCTTTGATCAATTTCCCAAGAGAATCACTGGCCGTACTGTCTGGACCCCTGATGAGATGGCCGATAACCCAGACAAATGGATCCACAAGTGGACGCCATCTGAGCTGGCCGAATTGGAGCGTGCAGTTGATGCGTTCACGTCTTCAGGTGAACACCTAGTCAATATAAGCAAAGTAAGCCTTGTTTACCCTTGCTCCTCTGAGAGTAGACTGATTCGCGACAAAGACAAATTTCCCTCTACCAGGACTTACTCCGGTGCTCGATACAGCAAGGGACGACATCCTGAACGGCCGTGGCTTTATATTATTTCGTGGTTTGCCGATCGATACGTGGGGCAGATACAGAGCCGCGGTCGCGACCATGGGCATTTCAGTCCACTTTGGCTACCTACTATCTCAGAACAAGTTAGGATTGATCCTGGGTCACGTAACCAACCAGGGCGTTGATTACAAAAACAATCTAGACAAAATCAAAATTTCTGCTAGCAACGCCCCGTACGTTTAAACCACCCATCTTTCATTAACACGTGGCTAAAAGACAGCGATAGGCAATTCTACCACACGGACGAGACTGATATCGTCGGCCTCTTGTTCTGTGCCCCAGGTGAGACCGGAGGCGCTTCAGGTTGCGCGTCAGCTCATACTGTATGGAATGAGCTTGTAAAGGAGCGGCCAGACGTTGCGAAGACCTTGTCTTCTCCAATTTGGTATGTTGACCGCAAAGGCGAGATCACCGACGGCCAGGAGCCTTGGTTCAAAAACCCGATTTTCTTCGTTGAACCTGGTGGAAAGAAACGTGTCTATGTCAAGTAAGTGTCCACTTCATAAGTTAGCTGGAAAGTACATAAGCTGACCAAATCGAAGATGGGACCCATACTTTGTCAAATCCCTGTCTCGCTTCAGCGATAAAGGATTGATCCCTCCATTGTCAAATGAGCAGAAAGAGGCAATGGAAGTCCTTGAGGCTTGCTGCCAGAAGAATGGCCTGGTATACGATTGTGAGCTTGGAGACATACAGTTCGTTTCTTGCTGCCAGACATTTCATTCTCGCACTGGCTTCACTGACCCGCCTGCACCCAAGCCACCGCGGTGCCTTTTGCGTACTTGGATTGGTACGCCTGAGCATGAAGGTGGCTGGTGCCTTCCTTTCCACGACAGCACTTTTCCGAAGAGGGGCGGTATCCAAGTCGATAATACACCACCAACGGCTGATCCACTTGTCACTGCCGGAGGGACAGAGTGAACCTGGGTCGTTTTGTTTTACACAGCTTTTGTAGTCTTCTATTATACTGAATTTTAGTTTGAGCATGAGACAAACAAGCTTGAAATAAAAGATTTTTGCCTTTTGGAACGTCTGATTATGAAACCCTGTGGTTAGTCACTCGTTAAAAGGCATTGTGAATGTCCAGCTGCTTGGGTGGCCAACGATACTAACGACTTACTAGCCCTTGCTAAGGTACAACGTTGAGTCATTCTGAGACGAATCCTTAAGATTTCATGAAAATGAACCCGCTCAGAAACATCTCCTCGCTCATGGGCAATAAAGTCCGGATCTACTGATCCGCCACCACATTAATTGCATGCTATCATCATTGACTTGAATGCTGTAGTCACATCACGGAGAAAACCCAACCCAGGCTGCTTTGACACACCCCCAACGTCTCCAGATTCTCTATGAAAATATACCTTGACGCAACGCCAGAATCAACACTCTTAAATTTCAAAGAGAGCTGCGAGAACCGACTTCAATGCAGGGACAGGATTTATACGATATTTCCATATCGCAAGCAAAAATGAATCCTCAATTAGCTTTCATCATACTGTGCAATATGAGTTGAGTGCACTACAATTCATCCTCACAAGAGGAATGAATTTACCGAGTTTGTCAATTTTGATGGCGGACTTTCCTAGCATGTCCCGGTAGGTCGAAATATCATTCCTTTAAAGTCTCAGACGACAACTCAGCCTACTAAAGTCCGCTTCCGTCTTTGGACCTGAGCCGTTGCTGCTCTAACCTGCCTGAGTCCTGAGCACACTAGTGAGTCAGCTGGATTTTGCTTAGGGGGACCTCTTCCCGTCCCCTACTAATCAGCCATTTTTTCATGTTATGAGAGGGAGCAGAAATCGGCTCCTTACCGCTGGCGCATACTTTACAGTGACACTGGGCGTTCTATTTTAGGGAGGGGCATTATTTGACCCCCTAGTTCTATTTTTGGCATTCAGAGTACTATAATCGCAAGTACATCATCGGCTTAGAAGACTATACTTCGAAGTGATTGCGTTTAAAGTATAATGCTTTAATATACTATAATATAGCGTATATATATATATTTTTATACTTTAACCTAAAGCAGTCCGAATTATAGTACTGCAATTCGGACTGCTTTGGCTTAAAGTGCGACAGTCCTGCTACGCAGGCCGTAATCAACATGATTCGTCACGTGTACATAGAAAAGCAACTGCCACTTTCCTCCAAGCGAAGCAGCCCCCTTGCAGGTCTGCGTTTATGAATATATATCCTGGAGACTCCCTTAGGGAGTTTCCTCCTTCCCTCCTTAGCTTTGAGTCGTTATTTATGAGGCCATTCTATTCTTGACTTCCAGACCTAAACTTGAGTACTCGTGACAAAGAGGAAGAGTAAGAGCAAGACGACGACGATAACAACTAGGGCAATAACATAGCTCGGGATTGTATTAGTTAGGAAGATAATATAATTAAGAATAGCTAATTCTTTTAGTTTAATTTCTAGGTTATATACTAGATAATACTATACAAATGTCTTTACCTACGCTTAAATTATCCGTGCTACTAGTGCCTTCCATGGCTTTAACGCCTCGATTATTCGCGCTACTTCTGGCTCTGGCCCTGCCTCACCTGCTTCTTGTGCAGCACTTGGTTGTTTGCGCTATGAAGCTTTATGTTCACGCCCCCGGCCACTTTATCTACCAATTTCCAATCACAGGGCAGTCGTCCTTTGGGCAAGGCTGATCCATCAATTGAGTCGAACTTTTGCAGGAGCCTGACTGTGACATAGGCAATCTCAGCAAGGGCGAATTGTTGCCCGATACATATTCGAGGGCCAGCGTTGAATGGGAGGTAGTTGAATCCAAATTTGCGCCCCTCCCATCGTTCTGGATTGAAGCGGTCAGCATCAGGGCCCCAAAGTTCTGGGTCTGAGTGCATTGTCCAAAGCTACACGGAAGAGATGTCAGCACTGAGGAGATGCCCAAAGGCACAATAGTAATGACAGGATGCAAAGACGTACCTCCCAAGCAACAAGGTGGCCTTTAGGTATAAATACTGGTGAAGTCCCATCGAAGCCACCACCCACGGGCAGTGTTGTATCTCTGACGGCCTCACGGAAGTTGACAGGAACCGCAGGGTAGACTCGAAGAACTTCGTTTAAGCACCATTGAAGGTATGAACAGTTCTTGAGCCCGCTGAGCGTGATATGCTTCGGTCGATCGAAGGATCCAAAGTCATCTATGATGATGTTGCGAAGCTTCTTGAAAATATGAGGATACTGTGCCAATGAGGCCAAAAGGAAGCCAAGAGTTCCCGAGATGGTGTCGCTGCCTGCCAGAAGGATGTTCAACAGCTGGGAGCGGAGCTCCTGCGGATCTTTCACGTCAGCGACAATAGCATCCAGAACGACGTACTTTCCCGTCCTTGGTTTTTTATCCGAGCCACCGTCCCTCAAATGGCGCTGGACATACGTATCGACGAAGTTATGAACAGCTTTACACTGTTCCTTGAATTTGCGATCGTGCGTTAGCCAGAACAGGTCGCCGTATATCAGAGATTTCGCCGTTGTCTTCTCTGCTCCGAAGAAGGCCTCTACGAATTGCATCATCTCCTTCTTAGAGAATAAAGTACTCGTATCTGTACTATCATCTTTCTGGCTGTGCACGCTTTCGCCAAAGAGAAACTCTGTGGCAGTATCCATTGTAAAACGCTCCAATAGCGGTTGCACATCGAAAGTCGGGGTCCAGTCACCAGGCTCCACGGCACCTAGGAGGGCATTAAAGAGATCTTTGACATGTGTTTCGAAGAGCCCCAGATCAGCGATCTGTTCACGCATGAATTGTGGTCTTAGAAGAGCTCGAGAGTGTTCCCATTTAGGTCCGTTCGCTGAGAACTGTTGGAATTAGCTCTGCGTATGTTTAAGTCGCAAACGTACAATACCGAGACCCAGAAGCGCCTCGAACGCTCCCACTCTGGCCGCTGGCTGCTGAAAATCTTGAAATTGGGACGCTAGCACAGCCTGCAGATTCTTCGGGTCGAAGGTGTAGAACCACGTCTCTCCCGGTGGATATTTTATTCGAAATGTTTTGCAGTCTCGCCCCATCCTTGCGCTCATTTCATTCTTGCGATCTGAGAAGGCATAAGATAAGCGGTTTGTCTTCATTCCATTCATCTCAATCTTGAAATTCTGCACGCCAAATATATCCCAAGGTCGAAAGAGTGGTGCTGGGTGGCAACCGAAAGATTTCGCCTTCGCTGCCTGTCTCACGTGTGCAACTACATAGTAGATTATGAAAATTGCTGCCACGGCCGACGGCAAGAATAGTAGTAGGCCCATGTTGAAGAACGACTGAGGTGGGACGGTCGATGTTCTAGGAAGGGCGACTTGCACAGTATAATGTCGATTCTGACACGCCAAGGTCGTGCTTCATAGTGCTTATCTCAGCTGATGTTGCGTGAGGCGAGGGTGAGTAGCGCCTGAGTAGAGCAGCGACGCTGACCAACCGCGTTGGAAGCGAATGTGAAGAAATGTCGTCTGAGACCTCCTGGGAAAGATCTAACTAGGTTTACTTATGCGAGTCAGTTTTCTGCGCTCCGGAAAAGGCTGACAACGGCGAGCTTGTCTGCTTGCTTGCTAGTCCAAATTGGGCAATCAAAACAGTCGGATCGTACTGCAGAGGTGTAATGAGTCGAGCAGAAATCAATCTCAGTGACTTGCCGCCTGGGACAGCGACCACGTTGAAGGACGCTGAAGGTCATCGCCAATTCGTTCATCTTCAACATCGTCGAAACCATTGCAGAAGGTCACGTTCTTACTGAAAAGATAGGACTAGGCAGTGCAAAGCTTCATGAGTATATCTAAGCGTTCTTTCCTGGCCCATACACTTCATACTCCAACCGCATGATGAGCGGTGACTATTGGAACCGTGACGAGATGATCGGAACTTGGACAAATTGCTTCGAGACCTAATAAAATCTCAGCCGCTTTTTCTTGCCTCACTAGCAAGGAAAGATACTCGACATGCGACGAGTTTGGCACAATCTGTTGGGTTCAAGATGGAGGCTTTAGAAGTCGTCGGTGGCCATTTCGCAGAGGTCAAAGCCTCTAGCGGTGTGAAAGGCGACTACGTTGGTATCTATGGTGTGCTGAGGCAAGCGGTGGAACTGCAATTCGAGAATAGACCGATGCACTAAGCTACATAATGGCCGACCAGCACAATGGCAGGTCGTATTAGCCTAGTTGCGGAATGCCCCCACCACGCCATTTTGTTGGTTGTTTTGCCCGTGCGGACCCTTTGCCTGCAGATCAATGTCACTACTCGAACTATCACTTATAACTACCAAAGAAGTCTTTCTTCCATCTCGTTATGAATTTACAGCGTCCACGCTTCTCCCTCTTGCTTCGCAATTCACATTCCTGTCGCACACAGGCAGCTGACGAGAGACGGACCCTTAATTATCATCTATACCGCATCGATGGATACACAATCTAGTCAGGTGGAAAGGGCTGAACCCAAATATGGAGCAATGGATTCGGATTCCGCACTACCTGAGGACGACATTCGAGAAAATACAAATGACACAGATCCTCCTCCTGACGGCGGAGTTCGTGCATGGAGCCAGGTCTTCGCTGGACATCTCATCGTCGCGATTGCCTGGGGCTACCCCTCAAGCTTTGGCGTCTTCCAGACTTACTATGAACATGCCCTGCCGTATTCGCCCTCTGATATATCCTGGATCGGAGGAGTGCAGGTCTTCGCTATCCTGTTTATATCCGCGGTCTCCGGCAGAGCGACAGATGCCGGACTCGCTCGCCCTATTGTGTTCCTTGGTTCAGTCATTATACTTATCGGCACTTTTACCACGAGCTTAGCAACAGAATACTGGCAAATCTTCCTCGCGCAGGGCCTTTGTGTTGGAATCGGCCTAGGGTTGATATGGTTACCAAGCATTACGCTGATCTCACACTATTTTGTCCGGAAGAGAGTCCTTGCTCTTACGACTGCAGCTACTGGTACAAGCACGGGAGGAATGATATTTCCAGCGATGATTCAATATCTCACACCAAAGATTGGTGTGCTTCCCCCAACTTTCCAGTGTTCCAGGAAATTTTTGTGTTAAAATTTCAAGGTTTTCCATGGGCGGTCCGGTGCATGGCCTTCGTGGTATTTTTCATGCTTATCATAATCAACCTCCTCCTACGAACGCGTCTACCACCTCGCAAGTCAGGACCTCTTGTGGAATGGGGTGCTTTCAAAGAGCCTCCTTACGTTCTTTTTACGTTCGGCGTCTTCCTCCTTTACTGGACTCTTTACTTCGCTTTCTTTTATGTAAGCTCCCCACCAAGCCTTCGCAACCACGTTCCAGGCCAAGGCTGATACTTCCTCTTAGATCCAAGTATACGCCACAGAAAAGCTTGGCTTTGACGAGACAACCAGCGTGAACTTACTCATCATCATCAACGGTGCCGGTATACCTGCTCGCATTCCCTGTGGCTATCTAGCAGACCGTTACCTCGGCCCCCTCAATGTTCTGATACCCTGGGTTGCCCTTTGCGGCGTCCTCATGTTCTGCTGGGCTGCGGTGCATAATACTGCCGGTCTTTATGCCTTTGCCATCTTCTATGGCGTCGCTTCAGCCGCCGCAATGGGACTCTTCGCTGGCACGGTCCCTTCGTTGACAAAGGATATGAGCAAGATTGGGACACGTGTGGGCATGATTTTGACGCTGATGAGTGTCGGTCCTTTGACGGGGCCATCGGTAGCAGGTGCCCTCATCGCGGGAACAGGTGGTGGCTATCTGGCACCCCAGATCTGGGCTGGATCCGCCCTGTTCTTGGGCGCAGGATCCCTCGTGGCTGCTAGAGTGTGGACTTCGGGATGGCATTTAAAAGTCAAAATATAGAAATCCGAAGTTGATCGAGCCATCTGGCCTCAAGGTAATCGACTTGGGTATTAGTGACTAAGGGGGTCAGCTAGTAGCAAGTAGTGGAGCAACATAGTTGGTACAATTTAAAAATGTCCCCTAGATATGATTTTGCCCTTCTTTCGTTCTTTAGCATACTGCCCGCACTCCGCTACAGCATTGCAAGTTCCTTGACACCCTGTACCAGAATAGTCAGGGCCAAACCGACAGTTCGAGCAACATCCTTGTGCGCAAGGAGAAGTTGCAGAGAATGTAGACGGCCCGAAGACGACGTGGAGATAAGAACCAAAAAGCAAGAGTAGCTGGGAGGAGTAAAAAGACTTCTAGGGATGATGAGGTGACTCATGTTGCATGATTGCTGAGAGCTGGTATAAGACTGGAGACTGGAATATTTACGCTTTTGCCACAATAATATCATTGTATAGGTGGCTTTCAACAGGAAAGGGTCCCGAGATGCTCTCATATTCTATTGTCTATATAATTCACTTCGTCTCAAGAGTGATAGTTCCATCGTTGTCCTGACTCGTGCTCAAATCTCTGAGCTCCGCAGTATGATCCAAATCCCCTCTAGTTTCCTCTTTTTCCTTACTCTCCTTCATAGTAGTTTCCACTTGCGACACCGTAAGGTTTTTGTTGCCTGTAGAATCAAGGACGACTCAAAACCTTCAGTTTCCGATAGCGGTCTATTTTTTGTTATATTCTAAGAGTAGAATATAATACAAGGGTTCAACAAATAGGAGTTCTCCGGTATATAAATAACTGGGAATAGATCTAGGTACTATATAGTAATGGGGTAGAACTGCAGGCAGGCGTCACGTGTAGGAGTCACGTGGCTCATTCGCGTAAGCCACGGCAATAGGGGTATAAAGGGGGCTCCGGCGCCCGTGTATTCTTATTCTCTCTTTAGGCAGTTACAACTCCAACACCTTGATTCGCAGTCAACCTCTTCCACTCCGTTGCATTATATATCTAGTCTCCTGACCTTATACTCCTATAATTAGATCAGTTGTCTTAATATATACTTGAGTTACTACTTATATTAACTATATCCTCTTATTAGTTATCCTTTGAGCTTATTCGTAGTTTATAATCTTATCACTTAGGTATATATACGAGGCCCTTAATCAATATAATTATCTCATTCTATGACCTATTCTGACTAATCAAGTATCTGTATTACATGTACTAATTTGGGTCCCAATTATCAACAAGAGTTGGCTGCCAGAAATGACGACCAAAGCCCCTAAAAATAGCAGCCAACTCGCCGTCTCATTGTTTACAGTAGAAGTGGTCCTTGTGAGTCTTAAAGTGGCTCTTATCCACATCTGTGTATTGTCCGCCTTCGCTGCATGGCATTAAATGGTGAGCCTCTACAATCGCGCCCTGCCGGCCGGCTTGTCAGAATGACCGACTCTCCAACTACAAAGACGCAGGCTTAAACTGACCCAGTAGAGATGGGACTAAAAACTAAGAAGTCATAATTTTTATCCAACTCAATGCGACAAGGGCCGCCGCTCTTTCCGCCTCGTAATCCCGGCGTAGAAGTTTAATGGCCGCACCACCAAGAACTCAGGATCATACACGACCGCCTCCGGCGACGAGTCTTCGAATTCGTATCGATACACCAACTCTGCCATAACTAGCTTGACCTGTGTGAGCGCCAAATTGAACCCCACACAGCCCCGACCTCCTGCTGCAAACGGCGTGTACGACCCCTGGCGGGCCATCTGCGCCGCGAAGCCTTCTTTCATCCAGCGCTCGGGATCAAATCGCAGAGGATTCTCCCAGTGGGCTGGGTTCTTTTGTATACTTGGAAAGCACGCAATGACAATGGAGCCCTTTGGAATCAAGTACCCTCCTGGCAGAATTGCGTCTTGTTTGGCGTTACGTGCGGTCTGGAAGCTGGGGCTGTGGAGACGAAGAACTTCTTTGATAAAGCAATCGAGAAATTTCATACTGTGGATCTCGTCATAAGTCCAGCGTTTATCAGTATCACCACGGTGGCTGACTATCTCCTCAAAGAGACGTTCCTGATTTCCAGGGTACCGGACAAGGGCATAAAGGGCCCAGGTGAGTAGAGACGAACTGGTGGTGAATCCCGCACCAGTACTCACCACTACGTTGCCAAGTACTAGGTCGTCCGGTAGTCCTTCTCCATCTTTGTCACGGGCACGGTACAGGAAATCGGCTATGCAATTGGCGCTCTGCAAGGCTGTTGGATCGGACAGAGACAGAGGTGGGCCATCCTTGTCGATGGTGGCGCTCATGGCTTCCTCGCAAATGTCAAATAACTGTTGTTGCACGATCTTCAGTCTTGCAGCGTCTCCAAAAGGGAGATACTTGAACCATCGCGGCTTCAGTGATAATTTTTTCATCAACGAGAGATACTCGCCAAACAGTCGGATAGGCAGCGATGGCGGCGTCTTCGGCGTCTCGAAGTGCTTCAGGTCCTGATTTAGAACGACGCGCCAGATAATCTGTGATGCAAGTTTAAACATATATTGGTAGACATTGATCGCCAGATCAGACTCGGCCAACTCATCGAATACGGTAAAGATGGATTGTGTGGCATCTTGGATCAGCGGCATAAAGTGAGCTACAGCGCGTGGCGACATTGTTGGAGGCACAAATTTGTGGCTCGGCGCAAAGGCAGGAGATGCGCTGTCGCAAGTAAAAAGCATTTCTTGTCCACCCATGTAGTGCAGTGGGTGTGATGGGTCGGACGTGGTTTTGGTGAAGAGCTTGTCTTCGCGCAACAAATGGCGGGAGATCTCGGGGTCATTGGTGTGATAGATGGTTGTTCCCATGTTGACAGTCTTCGTCATGGGGCCATAGAGCGAGAACAATCGGTCATAATTTCCGAGAACATCTGGATATAACTCGTATCGGTTGCCAACGAAGGGCAGCGAGCGAGGTCCAGGGGGCTCGCGAATGGATTCATGGCGTGTTGCTCGTAATTCTATAACGTCTTTGGTCTCCTGCACATCTTTCAGAGTCGAAAGATGGTTGCGTTGTTCGTCGACGAGCCACAATGCTTTCTCGAGTTAGCCTAGAGTTCTAGAGAACATAAGAGTAGAGACACACATTTCGTATCAGCAAATGCAAAGACCTCGGCTAGAGTTCCCGTGAGTTGCTCGAGGCTGGTGAATGGTGACACGTCCAGACTGTGAGAGTTTTCACCGTTCTTGCGTCCGATGTAAAATTCCTTGTGCATTTGCATTTTTTCACTTGATTTGTAATTATGAGGGTGCGTCGATTGCCGCAAGGACAGCGAGCAAGATGTCTCCTTGATAATAACGACTCATTTTGTGCAATTGACGCTGTGGTATGATTATTATTAGTTCGTCCTCTTTTGGAAATTCGGCGAAACGTCGCTTTTGGAAATGCCGTCGACCTGCAGCTTCGGCCAACTTGAAGTGGCTTACCCACGACGCATAAGACGCCGCAGCTTAAATCCCCCTGACGACCGTTGCCATTCAAGCGATGGACATATCTTAGCCACTACGAAGCTGCCTGTCCATGAATCTCGTCTTTTCTTTCGCGCCATAGCCATAGCTGAACGGCAATTGCGTCAACAATGTCCCAGCTCAGCGAAACCATCACACTTGAGCAACTGGCCGCCCACAATACTCTGGAGTCCCTGTGGATAGCGGTTCATGCACATGGTAGGCTAATACTGCCGCAAATGATGACACTCGGGAAGTAGAACTAACCAGCTTCCCAGTGTACGATCTCACGACCTTCAGCTCGGACCACCCAGGTGGTATCGAGGCACTCGAGAGCTGTGCCGGGACCGATGGAACAGAGCCGTACGAATATGCAGGCCACAGCGAGTCGAATATGGCAAAAATGCAGCTATACCGCGTCGGCAGGCTTGCCGGGAGCCTTGCACAGGCTTCTTCCATTTCTCCCAATCCCCTTCACGTGGAGAGTAAGCGCATAAGGAGCGCCACATCCCGCCTCAAGCAGTTGAGATTCCCCTCCTGGACGAAGCTGGCAGTCACTATATCCGCCACTCCTCTCTTTGTGGCTCTGGCTCTGTCTTGCCAGCAAAGGGACAGTTTTGTTGATTACATTTCGCGGACACTGAATACCTCCCAACTCCAATTCGGAACTATTTCGGATCAGGGCACTGGACATGCATTTTGGGCGGGCATAGCAATCGCTTCGTCAGTAAGCTGCGTGGGATTCAGCTATCTATACAAGCTCTTCTTGTCGACTCTCGATTACCAAAACGACGTATTCAGCTTGCCAGCTACGATACCGAGAAAAACGAAAAAAAGAAGAACGGATCACCTGACTATCTAAATGTCGTCATATGTTCATCTATCATAGATGTTCAAAGCTGTCATGAATTGTTGCTGCAGATCAGCATGACTCTTATGCATCTGCATAATTGGCATTACTGCATTGCTCTGTGTAGCTACAAACGGGCAGTCTCCCACGCAGCAGAGACTTCTTAATGATATATATACAATACAGACAACAAAAAAAGATATCGTCAAAAAGCTCCCCCAGTGACTTTCAATAATGACTGCTGATGGCCACTTGCGCTAACTTCATATTGTTCTCTGCCTCAATCACGGCCTCCACTTGGCCTTGATTTGGCTGATTGCGATATCGGGACTTGATTGTATTGATATGCTGCTGTAACTCTACAATCTGAAGAGTCACTAGGCTTTCAAGCAAGTGTAGCCCCTCGCGTTGGCTGACTCGATATGTCGATACGGAAATGTCGATGGGGCCAGCAGAGACATCGAGCTCGGGTTTTTGCCTGGACGAGTTTGTGTCGCCGAGGCCACACAGACGCAGGCCCATATAACAGTTGGCCGTCTTCCTGCAAATGACGCTCAGTTGCCGGGCCGCCATGGCGAGCAACATGTTCTGCTCTAGTCGAACCGCACATAGCTCACACGCCATGAATATCGCCAAGGTTTCCATGGAATTGCGAACGTCGGCGAGTAATCGGTCAATACGGTTCTCGCGCGAAGCAGATCTGGAGGTCAGCCTCTCGAGAAAAGATATCGAGCTCAGCAAACAGCCGCAACTGTCGGATTCTACACGTGCTTTTCCCCAAGGCTTGAGACATGGTGATTCCGATGTCGAGCCCACCCAGTCGTGCCCATCGGCGTTCATCGCCCAAGCCGTGTCGCCATGTACTATCTGAGGTTCCTTCCAAGTGTCCATATCACCCAACGGGATGAGTAGCGACGTCGAGGGTGTGTCTGGCATCAATGGTTCCGAAAGTTGGCCTGACGACACCGCTGTGGAATTGCCAGTGCTTGGTGAAGTAAACGATTCGCTTGCTGTGAGGCCAACGCCGGCTATCGGTGGTGTCACTCAAGTGAGCCCAGGACATCTGTAGAACCAAGTACTTACGAGTTGGATTGCCACCACTGCTAGATTCGCTGTCTAAACTGTGCTGCACTGGAGTATCCATATTCCAAGGGCTAGACAGCGACTTGTCGAGGCAGCTGTCGTCGAACATGTTGCAGTGCAAACCGTCCCCCAATGTCGATTCTTCGCTGTCCTTCACCTGGCTATTCCTGGCGCAAGGCTTTGGTTCATCGCGCACAGTCCGGGTCGAGATCGAGGCATTCCTGGTACGCCGAGTCGTCTGTTGGAATGGAAGCCGTTAGCGACTGGGTCCTGCTACCCTGACATCGTTCGTTACTTACGGCTCGGCGACTTTGGTTGTTTTCCTGTCGTTTACTCCGCCCTTGATCTTCTGAATACACGCATTCGAGTGACATGGCTTCGCATCTTTGGCATGTTTTCCATCCTCCAGAGCAGCGCGCCTATAATTTCTATATTATTAAACACCCACCGCAGTAGTAAACTGAATAGGAATGCAGTTATTCAAACCCATAGCTTCAGATACAGCAAAATATCGAACAGGCATACCTTTCTGGAGCGGCAAAAATCGCAAGCAATGCGTATCTTGTCCTGGAGATTGCGGCTAATTGCAGTAGCAGGGTCCGGATTCTCAATGAACTCCAAGGTCCCTCGATCAAAGTCAATCTGGGCCAGGGTGCCAAACATGATAGGAACCGTCAAGTCGTCTTCGGAGTGCAAAGGAGTCCACAATAATGATAGACGTTGTCGAAATAGATAGAGTGCAACGCGGTAATAATAATGACTCCACAAGAAGTTAAAGACACTCCGGATCTATGTGGCCCGAAAGGTCAATGGAGTGATATAGGTATGGTAGGATCAAAACCTCAGTAAAACCTTGGCAAATAAAACGCAGGGCTGACACAACGAATATATCTAATCTATGCGACTTATATACAGCTTTATATGGCTTATATACAACGCACGTTACCCGTTGGCGAGACACCACTCCTGCCCCCCCAGCCACCACATCCGTGGTTGGTGGATTTAAGTTAGTTAAACTATTAAGTTAGTTAATCACATGTCAGTGCTTACAACCGCTTACGACCTCAAAATATCGAATTTATAAGTAGGGCAGCCTGGCAAATCCTACCTACAGCTCGTTGCCTTAGGCTCCTACTACGCCCCTTTACCACTTTACTTATTACAAAGCGACAAGTATCTTATAAAGTTTCCTACTTTTCTTATCCTCTTATAAGCTGAATTAATTGCCTAATTAGTACTTTACTTATTATTACATAGGTATTAATAACTACTTTATAATTATATCTATGGTACTACTCTAAGAGAGCGAAGTATATAAGTAAGTTTCGAGACTACTTCATATCCTCCGCTCCTTCCGAACAACTAACTCTCTAGAGATTTAATATACGCAGATCCTGCACAATGATGTGCGCGGCTGATACGCCCCGGAATTCTAGGCTTCCGCGCACGTGCTAGTGGCATAAGTCTCATGGCGACGCGATGCAATGCTATGAATGTAGATATTGGCGTAACGGACATGGAGTTATCTCGTCCTGGAGTCCTATCGATTGGGATATCAGATTTACCTTACGTGACATCGCGTCTTGAACTAGGGCCACGCTAGATATAAACACAGGATCATTCCCCGAGATGACCTCCTTTTCTCCCCGGCTTAGATGTTCTCCATTGGCACGTAGCGGTGGTGGTGAAAATGTGGCTTACACATGTACTGGCGTGGCGTATTGCATTAGTCATTATTCCTCGCACCAGATTGGTCCTTGAGGCCGATTAGTCTGTCCGGCCCGCGCCGCGGGCTTCCGGAGTAACCCCAAAGGCTTGGTCACCGCTCCAACGGAAAGTGTAATTGTGTAGATTAGCGTAGATGAAGATGCTTCTGCGCAGGGGTTTAGTCGCTTCGGTGCAGGGGTGTAGATAGTGTAGACCCACGATGATGAAACGCCTCTTCAGCGTCTTGCGATACGAAGGATCAGGATGCCTCGTAAACCACCACTGGCAGCGCCAGAAATATGCTAAGACACCTTAAATGTGGGGGGCGAGATACAGTGTAACAGTAAGCAAAGCGATTCATAATACTGTACGAGTATTCTTTCCACCTCAGTGACACAAGTGACATTACCCCATGGAGACGTCTGTATCCGTAAAGGGGGACGGCCCGCCAGCCATTTGGAGAGATAGGTGCGATATGGATCTGTGGATCCCGTCAACCGTGCCTTGGCTGCGCAGATGCCCCGTTGCCACGTGCAATCTCGGCCGGGCTGGAAGCAGAAGAGTTGGCCACCACTGTTTGTTGGAAGTTGGCGGCCATTGTTATGTTGTGCAGGATCACAGCAGACTGGTTTGGTGCAGAAATCTAACAAGCCCGGCGTTGGCTTACAAGTTTCGTTTACCTCCATCCTTTTACTTTTATTTTCACCTCGTCCTTCGCCTCAGCCTTGCACCATCATCAGTGGATTCAGTGCAGTGTCGTTGCTTGCGCCGTCATGGGCCCAGATATTGATTCCACCAGTGATTTTCACACACGAGATGTCGTTAAAATGCTGCCAGCCGCGGGCCACTCGCCCACCGAGTCTTTCGCCTTCGAAGGGGATTGCTTAGCTACCTCAGAACAAGAGGCGGGAGGAGATACGCTCGTACAAATGAGCAATCTTCGGTGGTTCGGCGTATGCGTTGGGCTGTACTCGACCGCCTTCCTGTATGGACTGGACTCGACGATCTCTGCTTCTGTGCAAGGCCCTGTGCTGGAGTCTCTTGGTGACCTGAACCTGCTACCGTGGATCGGTACTGGATTTATGCTCGGCTCCGTGGCCACCATCTCGCTGTTCGGCTCGTTGTACAGAAAGATAGAGGTCAAATGGCTGTATCTAGGTAGTATCCTCACCTTTGAGGTCGGCAGTGCAATTTGTGGTGCAGCTCCCAACATGAGTGCCATAGCTGTCGGTCGAGTCGTGGCAGGAATAGGTGGCGCTGGTATCTATCTTGGGTGAGTGCATGAACATACTGCAGCAAGTCAACGCTGACCATCGAGCAAGAGGTATAAACTACATCTCCATGTTTGTGACCCCAGCCAAACGGTCATTCTACACTGCTCTAATCGGAACGTACGTCTCCCATTGACTAGCCTTTGAAGGTGGAAAATTTGAAATTGATACCCGTGACTAGATTCTGGGGTCTCGGCGCCATCCTTGGACCCGTCATCGGCGGGGCGTTTGCTCAGAGTAAAGCAACCTGGCGTTGGTGAGTGCAGACAACAAGAATCGCTTCGAGCTCCATCAACTAATAATCTTCCGAAGGGCCTTCTATATAAATCTCTTTTTCGGAGCAGTTACTGCCCCAATTTACATCTTCTGGTTTCCGCGCTACGGCGCACATCGCCACGAGAAGATACTTCCGCGGATCAAGAACATTGACTGGCTTGGCGCCTTGCTTAATGCCGCAATGTTCTCCCTCTTCGTTACTTCGTGTACGCTTAGCGGCTCTCCGCGGCCATGGAACTCGGGCTCAATCATCACCCTCTGGGTCATGACTGCTGTTATCACCATTCTTTTTGCACTTCAACAGTGGACTGCATTCTTGACGACGGAAGAAGATCAAATCTTTCCAGTGTGGTGCCTCAAAAGTCGGACACTAGTCCTATTGTATATTGGGACCGCCGGCACCAGTGCCGTCATGAACGTCAACATCTACTACCTGCCTCTCTATTTCCAATTCACAAACGGAGTTGGCCCTATCGAGGTCTCGGTTCGCATTCTGCCCTTCGTATGTCTCATAATCTTTAGTAGCCTTGTCTCTGGAACGCTTTTGCCGAAATTCAACGTTTACACCGCTTGGTACTTCGCTTCCGGCATAATTGCCTTAGTCGGGAGTGCGCTCTTGATGCGAATCTCCGCTTCAACACCTGCGAGAGATATCTATGGATATGAAATCCTGGTAGGGGCTGGGTGTGGTCTGACCTTCCAAGCTGCTTACGCGATCGCTCTTATCAAGTCTCCGGGGAAAAAGGCAACATCGGTTCTTAGCTTCATCAACGTGGCACAATTGGGTGGTGCAGCTATATCATTGGCAATAGCAGGGGCATTGTTTCACAATGTTGGTTTCAATACCATGCAAAGCGCCCTCAGCGGGAGGGGGTATTCCTCCGCTGAAATTCATGAAGCCCTTGGCGGCGGATACTCGCCCATCATCAGCGATAGCCCTCCTGAGGTGCGTGCCATTGCGGTAAATGCCATCGCAAGCACCCTCGCCAAAGTCTATACCTTATCAGCCGTGGGAGCTGCGGCAGTGCTCCTGGCAGGGGTTTTGATGCCGTGGGAGAAGTTGAAAATGATCTGAAGCGCACACCGGGGGACAACGGAATTAGAATCACCTGGAGTAAAGGGGATATCGGGAGTGAAACGGCAGCTCTCGCGGAGCTTATGATCTGCTTTTGAACTGCTTCGACCACCACACCGTCGTGCGCTCGTCAACTAACTACTTTGGTTTGGCGATGGTATTATTAGAGATAGAAAATGTAATACCAAGCCGACAGTCTGAACGGAATTCTATCTGCGCTTGTGCTTACGTTTCTTGCCTCTTGCCTCTCATCCTCGAGTAAACACAATCCGCTTGTGTCTAGCAACCATGCGAGACAGAACTTGAACTACCGTAAAGAGGTTAATACCATTTCTACCTTTCACCAATCGGTAGGACAAGAAGAGTTTAGCAAGGCCCGGTCTACGTAACTTTTAACCATCAAATATTACATGGCAGGTGAAGGGGATCAAGTAGTGCAGTGCGTCATAATTGAAAATATCTTACCACCACGGTATCGTATTGCGTACAGCACTTTTCTCGCTTTCGTACTATTACGTGTACCGTACTACAAATATCACAGTAACCCCACTCAAGAGCGTGGCCCGCACCTCAGAGCTGCAGTACAACAGTACAGACACAATCAGTAAATAGGCTCCTGTATGCTCCTAGTTTATTCTCTTCTTGACTTTAGTTTTAGAATATTTTATTGCGCAAAATCTATATGCTATCCAACTTTAATCTATATACTATTCAATCTCTGATACGCCTCTACAGTGCCTTGTGCGTCACAGTAGGTGACTGTCTAATACAGCGTCGGATACGACAAACTCTCAATCTTCATCCGCAGCGACCTTGACCAATTGACTCTTGGCTGCAATCTTGGCCGCTACATCACTTAGCGGCATAGCACTTAGGATATCAAAGACCGAAATATCACTTCGCATGTTCTTCAGGGCGCGATTCCGAATCTCGACGGCCTGTAGTGAGTCAACTGCAGTAGAAACCATGTTAGCCACGATATTTTCCTATAGAGAAGGGGAAACATATAACTTACCACCATAGTCATACAAAGGTTTTTGAGTATCGACCTCTTCCAATGAGACACCCATGGCCGCAGCGACCAGGTCCTTGATATTATCTTCCACGACCGCCGCAGCCTCTGCCATACTCGTCGCGTTGGATAAGAGGGTGCCCACGTCTTGCTTCGCCTTGCCGTCCCGGGCTTGGTTTCCGACTTTGACGCGGAGCTCGAATTTCTTGTCCTTCGAGAAGCCTCCGGTGCTTTCGTTGTGCTCGATGCGGTCACCCAGACCCAGCACTACCTGGGCGGGTACGCGCTGTCCATTTGTGGTGGAGCCTCGCATGATAGCTCGCATCACGACGCCGAGCTCTTTGAGGTTCGTCTGCAGGCCTCGCCAACCGTGCTGGTACCTGCCCAGGTAGCTGGCGAGGTCACCAAACTCGCCAGCTGCCGTAAAGTGCGAGGAATCGGAGACCAAGCCGACATCGATGCTGGTAGCGCTGATGCCGAGATGGGTGCGAGCGTGATGTGCCAACGCGTCCTCAAAAGTATTTCCCGAGGCATAGTTTGCTTGCGCCGTGTTGCCGATAACACCGGTGATGGACGACAGCAGAATGAAGAAGGGCTTGTCACCAGGCCAGATGTTGGCCAGGAGGTTCCGTGAGCCTTTGGTCTTGGGTTCGATCGCATGACGCCACTGATTGAAAGACATGTTATCGAAAATGCTGTCTTCTAGAACCATGGCTAATTGGATCACTCCGGCAATCCTCCTACCACTGGCTTTGATGGTGTCGAATACTTTGGCAACGCTGGTACTGTCATTGACATTGCACTTTAACGCTTCGGCTCGCACAGAACACTCAGCAAATTTCTGCAGATCTTGTTGATTCTTTGACCCGCCCGATCGAGATAGGAAAACCAGATTCTTGGCACCACATTCGACCATCCAGTTGGCAATGTCCAAGCCAAGAGCGCCCAGGCCACCAGCCAGTACGTATGTTGCTTCACTGTCAAGCTTCAATTCCTGAGACGGGGGTGCAGGCATGAGCACAGGACTTTCATCGCTCAATGACACGACAACTTGCTCGGTCTGGGTGTTGTTTACCGAAGCTGAAATATTGGTAACCGGCAGCACCGCCAGCGGGGAAGGTCCTTGGAGGGTGTACTCTTTAAAGGCCTGCTGGAAGAGCTTACTGACAACACTTGGTCTACCTTGGATCACTGCGGCCATGTCGATGCGAGCGAGAGTCACGTTGGTTTTCGAGGCCGCAAGAAGAGCTCTGGAGCTCTCGCCGTTGATGTCAACAAATTGACCAAAGTCGCACAGAATCGACATGGCTCTAGCGACATGTGCGCCCGACTGTTGGCTGACAACGACATCAACGCCGCGGTTCTGCGTGGCACTTTGAATGAGTGGAACGAAATTGCTCAAGGCCGAATCGAAGATGTGGTCCGAAGAGATCCCAAATCGGTCAGCGATTATGTCTCGCTCTGCTTTGTTGTGGACTAGAGCAAAGATGTCGGCCCCAACCGCTTTGGCAACTTGTATCAGGGCTTGTCCGACCGCACTTGCTGCGTTGTCCAGTAGCAATGTCTGGCTGTGACTCAAATGAGCCGTCTCGACAAGCGCATACTGCGCAGTTATCAACGGCTCAACGAGCGCAACAGCCTGCTGCGGCTCAAGGCCCTTGGGCAGTGGTGCAACCAGGGCCTGGTTTTGGCGGATGTGAGTCCTTGCAGCAGCGTGGGAGAAAACAATGACACGTTGACCAAGCTCAAATGTTTGGGCCGAGTCGGCTCGACGAGTAACGAGGCCAACAGCATGATGAACAGAGTTCAATGTTTGGCCAGTTCCGAGTCCAGCATACTCAACTTTGACTTCAATCTCGCCTACTGCAAGCGGGGATTCGGCCTGTTCATCCGGAATCCAGATGCAGCTTTGGACGTTTGTAGACTCGATCGCTTTGAGTGGCTTTCCTAGAGCACCAAGGGTAGACAAGATCGGTTTCGCGGTATTACTTGTCAATTGCAGTTCGTAGTCGAAGCCAGCATCTTCCGTGGCACGAGGAATGTAAATCAAGCCGTTGCCTTCAGCGTATTCCATTTCTGCATCCTCAGCTAGAGATGTTCGCCAAACGTCGAGAACCAGATCTGCGTACTGGACACTGGAAATATCGGCGACCGCGGACAGATCCAGAGACGGCAAAACTGCGATTGGGTATTCGTTACGCATTACTCGGAACAAACCCTGGCTTGTTGCGAATTCAACACCATTCGACCAACTCTCAAGGACGCTGCCGCGAGTAATCCAGAAAAGATGTCCAACTGTGGAGACCAGTGTCCTGAATGCGCGGAATTGGTCCTCATCCCAGGCATACACTAGTGGGGTTTCAACCTCGAGGAGAGAAATGACAGACTTTCCGCCGAGTGAAGCCACGCCGCTCGAAGTCAGATTTGTTAGTGCGACTGAAGCACCGGAGCCTTCAAGCTTGGTCTGGATTGTTGCAGCAAATGTACGAAGGGCATCGGATGGCGATGCAGGCAAGAGAAGCACAACAGAGTCAGGTAGCTCAACCGAGGGCGAATTCGTGCTTGATACGAACAGGAAATAGGTCGCATCTTCCGCAAGACGGCCGACGTACTTGCTACCTAGCTCAACGACGTCGACATTGTCTGGCTGCCCAGCGTGAGTGAGGCACGCCAGTGGAGCCAGCGTCGCAAGCGTCGCAGCATTCTTCGAGATATCAGGAACTCCCAAGCCGATGACGAGATCGTTGGCTTCTGGAGCCAGCGTCTGAAGAAGTTCGCTCTCCGGCAGCCATTTATAGGTGATGGTCGTGTTCTCAGAATCTTCGCCAAGCGTCGCTCGCATCAACTGTGATCCCGACTCAGATGTGGCGAGGGCAGTGATCTTTCTAGGTCCATACGTTCGGCTCTTGAGGCGAAGGAGAATATCGATACTAGATTCGGACTCATCGAACATGACAACAAGTATGGTGCTGTCCGACGCCTTTAGGAACACCGAGTCCAGCCAGGTGTCGATAAGTGTGGCCGCCTTCCCGGATGATACGAGCTTCGTAAGATCCTCGTTGCTGGTCAAGAAAGCGAGATCAGGAATCCAGGTAATCCCCGCGCAGTTCTTGATGGTCCCGGACGATACGGTACCAGAGGTTTCCAAGTCGTTTCCAGACGTAACCTGACGAAGGGCAAAGTTTTTGACAGTAAGCTTTGGTTTTGCCCACTCTTGATCAGAGACAACCAGTTCAGCGGTAATCTCATGGCCGCTCAGGGACAGCAAACGACCATAGCCAGAGTAGAGTGCTCCGGGTTCCTTTGGCTGATCACGGGCGATGTAGATCTCTTCGATGCTATAAGGCACTGCAGCTTGTTTCACTGGCCGGCCGGTATTGAGGGAAGCAATCACCAGGTGGAAGATAGAGTCCATGGTTGCCGGATGAATGATATTGGGAGACTCGTGATGTTTGGGCATTGTCGACCTGGTATCTGGAACAGCCACACATCCGTAGGAGGCGTCCTTGGATGGTACTGCCGTAAGGGACACCACATTACGGAACGCTGGACCATACTGCATGCCAATGGTGTCTAGATTTTTGTAGAATTCATCAACGTTGACAACCGCGGAGTCAGCTTCGGAGAGCAGGGCCTTATGCGAACCCAATTGTCTCTGCCATAAGGCGTCCGCACTGCCCTCTTCAACTTCGCTCGCTTCCTTCTCGTATACGAGAGCAATGGTTCCAGCACAGTGTTTCGCCCACGGCGGGCCCTTGGTCATCGAGTAGACTGTAAAGGACCACGAGTCGGGTTTCGTATTGTGCGGATAGAAACTTATACGGGTCTCCACGGGCGACCCGTCATCCAAAGATATCACGAGCCCGCGCTCGAATATGACATCGGTCATCCGAAATCCCTCAACTGTCTTGGACGGGTCAGCGGTGCGCAGTACGCCTTCCAAGGCCATGACAAGCATGCCTGCACCTGGGTACAGCACGGTTCCCGTGATTATATGGTCTTCAATCCATGGGTTTTCGGAGATGCGCAGGTAGTTTCTCCACCGTGGCTCGTGGCTACTCTGAGAATCTTCTGGTATACCCAGAAAGTCATTGCGCACGTGGGCAGGGAAGCGATAAGAGCGTGACGAATACGATTCGTGCCAGAAGCTATTTGTATGATTCCAGGGATAAGGCGGTAAGTTGCAAAGCATCTGAAGGGTGTTGTTGACCTGTGAGTGCTGGTTAACTGCACCCATGTCAACCTTGCACCCTGCAGCCCAGAGCACCCCTGCGGCGTTCAAGGATGTCTCCGTGGCGTCTTGGCCACGAACAAGCATTGAGGCGTAAGGCGCAGACTTGGCGAACTTGTTGTTGCTGACGTCAATGATCTGTCGCAACGGTCCCTGGAGAGCCGCGTGAGGGCCAATCTCGAGAAAACCTCCCCATTGTACGGCTACTGGGCGGGTACCGCCTGGGGCCACTTTCTTATGCTTCAGTAATGCCAAGAGACCCTGTGAGAACTGCACGGGATTCTGCATATTGTTGGCCCAATACTGAGCGTTCAGTTCTTTGGCAGAAGAGACTATGGACCCGGTAAGGGACGAGTACATGACTGGGCTGCTGTCCGTCTCATCTGTCTCCGTCGGGGACACTTCGCCAATCATCTCGAGATATCTCGGCGAGACCTCGCGCATGTGAGGAGAGTGATACGCGGTTGTGATCTTCAGTTTGCGGGCGAATTTACCATCGCTAGATATCAGGGTTTCCAGCTGGTTTATGGCATCGACATCACCAGAGAGTGTCACACTGGAGGGACTGTTGATACAGGCCACGACCGCAGATCCGTGTGGAACTTTCTCGAGGTACTTCTGGGCATCATCCTGAGAAAGCCCAGCAGCCATCATTGCACCTTGTTTAGAGACAGCGGCAGAACTGAGACCTCGGACATAGGCCAGCTTTATGGCGTCGTGGTGGGTCAGAAGAGATGCGGCGTATGCGGCGGCCATCTCACCGCTCGAGTGTCCGATTGTGGCTGTTGGTAAGATCTTCCAGAAGCGAAGAACGTCGACCAGTGCGACCTGGACTACCGTGCAGAGGGGCTGGCTGTACTCTGGAAGGTTGATGTTCGGGTTGGGCGTCTTGGCCAACTCTTCAATTGCATTCCACTTGCAGCCCAAAGTCTCGAGGTAAGACTGCGAAGCTTCCACGCTTTGGCGGAAGATAGGATGCTCGAATAGTTCCCGTCCCATAGCTGGCCACTGAGCACCTTGACCGGTGAATACCATGACAACATTGTCGCCTTGACGCTGTGACCGAGTGGCTGCCGGCAATCCTTGTGATAGTCTTTTTGAGAGGTCTGACATCGAACTGGCAATGGCAAAAGTCCTGTGCTCTAGATGTGAGCGGCGCACCGCAAGTGTGTATGCAAGATTGTCCAAGATGGATACGTCGTGCTTGTCTTCTGAATCGCCGCTTTGCAGCCATGTGGCGAACCCTTCAGACACACGCTTGGCTCCGGTCTGGTCTTTGCCGCTGAAGAGGAACAACTTGTTGGATGCATCTTGGACGAGCTCGCTTGATGGTGTAGTCGAAATACCTGAATCCGAACCCGATGTATCTATGTCCACATTGTGTTTACCAGCCAGACCCCTTGCTCGGAGGTAGTGGTAAGCATCGTCTAGGATAACGTGAGCATTGGCACCGCCGAACCCGAATGAGTTGACGCTAATTCGCCGCAGTCCTGGCGCCGGCCATGTGAGAACATCCATGGGAAGACTAAGGTGCCAGTCGCTCAACTTTAGTTTCGGGTTCACCCGTTCCACGCCGTACGTGGGGACCAGCATTCCTTTTTCAAGCAGTAGGATGGACTTGAACACGCCGGCGAGACCAGCACATCCCTCCGTGTGGCCCACAGTAGGCTTGATACTGCCAATATGAAGAGGGGACTTTCCAGCTGCACGCCTCGCTGCGCCAAGGGTCTGGGCAATGGCGGTTAATTCAAGAGGGTCGCCAACTGGCGTCCCCGTACCGTGGCATTCGCAGTACCCCGTCTCCGACTGATCCAACCCTGCATCCTCGTAGGTCTGGTTGATCAGTTCGGCTTGTGATACGGAACTTGGTTGTGTAATACTGGGTGTTTTGCCGTCTGCGTTGACACCAGTACCACGAATCACAGCGCGAATGGTATCGCCGTCGCGAATGGCATCCGACAGACGTTTGACGATCAGAGCGCCAATGCCATCTCCACGGCCATAGCCATTGGCACGGTCATCGAATGTGTGCGAGATCCCCTCAGGGCTGAGCATGTGCATGGCCGTGAGCTGGTGCATCGTGAGGGGATTAATCATGAGGTTAATTCCGGCGACGACGGACTACCAGAATCAAGTCAGCTATCAGTATTCGCACAAACGTGTGTCCCAACCTACCATGTTCGTTTCTTTCAGCCTAAGCGACTGACATGCCAGGTGAAGAGCATATAGCGAGGAGCTGCAAGCGGTGTCAAGCGTCAAACTCGGGCCCTTGAGACCAAAGAACCATGAGACGCGATTAGCGGTCATTGATTCGCTCAAGGCTGAAGCTGCGGTATGTCCGATATCGTAAATATCGTGCGAGGAGGTCATTTCATAGTCGTTTGTCATGCAACCGACGTAGCAACCCGTACGGCTGTTCATCAGATCCTCAACCAGAATGCCGGCTACAACCACATAATTAGAATTAAATCTCGTTGACCAACTTGGAGGGTCATATTACCATTCTCGATACTTTCGTAACTAACTTCAAGCAACAGCCTCTTCATCGGGTCCATGGCGGCAGCCTCTTTGGCTGTTATCGAGAAGAAAGGGGCGTCAAAGCGGCTGATGTCTTGCTGAAGGAAGTACCCATGCTGTGTACTGATTCCGCCTTTTCGGTCTGGATCAGGGTGGTACCAATGATTGCTATCCCATCTATCACCAGGAACCGGACAGTGGCCAGTCTTGACCTTGCTAATCATATCCCATAGGGAGTCCAGTGATGACGCCTCGCCAGCAAAGCGACATGCTGCACCAACAATAGCGATGGGCTCCTGCTTGTCCGAGTCGTCCATGGTGCAGGGCTGGAGACGGGTGGATGGTATGGACTTAACGCAAATTCACAAGAAATATTCAAGCCCATAATGAGGGGAGAGTGCCTTTTGTTGCGAAGGGCAAGGAATAATGGAATATAATGGCGGACGTGCTTAGGACTTTCGTAGAGCTTGAGTTGGATTCCACCGTGGATATCCTACATGCTTGTTCGGCCAAACGTGCTTTGAGCATCTTGCCATACTCAATAGGCAATAAGGCTGCGCCGCGTCGACACATTTACACCTCGATTTGGTTGTGGGCGTGGTCGCCAAAACGGAAGGACGGTGACGTGCCGGATTAGACGAGCTAAATGTTTCAGCTCAGTCAGTGCCGACGACAGAAAACCACGGCCGGCCCGTTGCAAATTGGGAATTCCTCCGATATACACGACGCAGCGGAGGACAGCACTAACGTAGTAAATGTAGGGAACGTAGTAGCGAAAGGGAAAAAAGCATTATGCAAGTTCTACGACTCCAATTCACAACTTGCCAACTATCACTTCTTGTTATACTCTATACCCTACACACAAAATGAGGATCCTGTGTCTCCATGGTGTTGGCAGCTCAGGCGCCATTTTCGAAGCGCAGATGGCAAATTTACGGCGCGAACTGGATCCCAGCTTTGAGCTCGTCTTTGTAGACGGACCGTTCGAGTGCGAGCGAGGGCCTGGTACTTAGCATCGTGGTGGCTTTGGTGTTCCAGCTAACACAGCTAACACTTCGCATACAGGCGTCTCGAAATACCGGGCCGGCCCGTTTTTTTCTCATACCCAAGGCTATTCTCCTCTTCACATAGCACAAGCGGTCGATTTGTTGCAGGACCTCCTCGAAGACGAAGGACCCTTTGACGGCATCTTTGGGTTTAGCCAGGGCGCAGCGTTGACGCTGTCATATCTCTACCAGCAGCAGGCAGCCGCCAACCCACTAGGAGTCAGGTTTGCATGTCTCTTCTCAACGGCCATGCCGTGTAGCCCCGATGTGGGCATGGGGGATACAATAATATCCAAGTTGCGAGCTCTGGAATACGACATCATGGATCGAGCAAAGTGCAACGGCAAAGACCTGGCGATCGCAGAGCAAGAGTTTGTAGATGTACTACAGCAGACAATTGTTGACGCCGCTATCCACGATTCGCATTTCCCGTGGGTCGACATGGACGTATATCGATACGGGGAGCGCGATACTATTCCTCGCGTGATGTATCCATCACTACTAGCACAAAAGATTGAAATCCCAACTATCCATGTGTGGGGTCAGAACGACTTCGAGTATATGATCAAAATGGCCGAAGTGGCCCACAGCATATGCGAGGAGTCTATGTCAAAAACGGTTTTACATAGTGGGTTGCACGATCTACCAAAGAAACAGACTGAGATCAAAGCTGTACTTCGAAAGATCGACTGGGCTATAACTCAGGCATAGAACTACACAGATTCAGGGTACAATTATAGAGCTAGAGAAATGAAAAGTCAAAATTCCTTCCTAAAACTTCAAGGTTGTGCTAGAATGGTACGGCAGTGTATCCAATAGAAAATAAATGTAATGTGTCCAAATCTATCAAAACAACTGTAGGCAGCTAGAAAGTGGCATTAAAGCCTTACCTTCATCCTTGATGTCCAATTCCAACTACTCATACCGCCAGCATCAGGATAGTAACTCCTGAATAGCTTGCCGCGCACAAATATCTCTCCACGCTCTGGTCGTTCATGCAAACGGAATTCATACTCGCGATCCCCCATGGCGCCGGGCAACTTCGTAAAGCAGAGTATCGCTCGCGTGACGACGGGAACGTCATTGGTAGCCATGTGTTTGCCATGGATGATGGCGTGTTGGACATGTATGTGCGTGATGGCATGGGGTGGTGGCGGGGCGAGCGCGCCGCTCGGGGTGTTGAGGTCGTGGAGACGTGGATATGCGAGTATGCGGAAGGGTGTACGTGGAGGGTGGAGCGAGTACTCGTAGAGAGGGCAACGGGGAGGAGGGCTAGAGTGGGCTGGGCTGCGCAAGTAGTTTAGGTGATCGAGATAGTACAGTACCGAGTACGATAAGTTAGAGAGCGTGAGATGTTGGAATATTTCCCCCATCTGCTTATTGATTGCACACCAGTCTAAGCTTACACTCATCGGTTGATATACCCCCTCTCTATAGATACTAGTATTTCTTGGAAAACGAGCAATCAACTTCTCTTTCATATTGTATCTATCCATTCAAAGCTAAGGTACACGTACATTTGGCTACATGAAGGCATGTGATGTTCTCTATCTTAGGTAGGACATACAATGGTAGAAACCAATCGACGAAGCCAACTCAAACCCACAGAGTCGTGCCCCAGAATCGGGAACAAACAAAAGAAATCAACCTCTCGCCTTAATCTTCTGCACAACCTCCTGATAAAACAAGGCCACCTGTTCCGACACCTCCTCCGGCGCCTCCTCCGGCAAGAAATGGCCCACCCCCGCCACCCCCCCAATCTTCAAATCCGCCGTCTCCATCACAAACGACTTCCACCCCGTCGGGACATCATACCTCGAACCCAGATAATCCTTACTAAACATCAACAAAGTATCCGTCCCAATCCCCCTCCCCGCTTCCTGATCCTCCGTCTCCATCACCGCATCCTCGTTTGACCCCGCCTCATAATCATCACAGCTCGCCCGCACCACACTCTCCTTCGCAAAATACCCAGCATACACCGCCAGCGCGTCATCGGCGCGCAAACTCTCTAGCCCGGCTCCTTTGCTCGCCCATCGCAGGATTATGTCTTGACACCACTTCCCCCCACCGTAGGCTACGATCATCGGCGTCGCGAGCGCCGCGTTGGCGAGGAATGGCCAGTGGAACGTGCTCCGCGCGAATATCGGGTTAGCCAGCGATGACCACTGCGTCGTCACGGGCATGATATCTAGGATCACGGTGCCGACAACGTCCCAGGCGGCGAGGGCCGCGCTGGGGGGGCCGGGGATGGAGAGGTCGGTCGCGAGGCGCTGGCAGATGCGTGCGCCGCGGTCGTGGCCGCCGAGGATGATGGGGATTGGTGCTGAGAGCGGGTTGGAGAGCTGAAGGTGCGTGGAGAGGGCGGAGAGGATGGCGTGGCCGGTGGTGCGCTTGTCGTGGCCGGTGGTGGAGGGGGTGCTGAGGCCATAGCCGGGGATCTGGGGGTTTTGGGTTAGATGTGGAATAGGTGTCTGGGGCGATTGTGCTTACGTCGGGGACGAATAGGGGGATGTCGGCAGGGAGCGAACGGACAACCTGGGATGATTAGATGTTCTGTATTTTCTTGACGTTTATTCCTTAATATCGAGGGGGCCTTACATATCGCCACCTGGGTAGATTCACTTCAGCATCTGCTATGCAATGATGAAGAATCGAACTCTCATAAAGCTTGTCAAGCGTCTGAGAACTTACATGTAGCTCCTGAAATAGATGGTCAGTATTCAGAGCCAAGCATAACAAGTGATGGGCAAGCAAGACAGCACGTACGATTGAGGATATCCATGAATCAAGACAAGAATTGGATAGCTTAGATCAAGAGTTTTCGGCAATCTATGATAGAAGTTGACATGTGATCCGGAGGCTGTTGGCGCAGAGGAACGTTGAAGCCCAAGACTCTCAAATAGCTGAGCATCTTGATTCTCCATGGTGAGAAAAATAGTGTAAGAAAGATAATTTAAATCTATAATCAAGATTTGATTTTTTTTTTGGAATAATAAGCTTTCTCTTGGTCTTACGGTAGTAGAGTAACTGGACGTGCTGTCACCTATGTATAACAAAGCGGACCCGCTCTGACCTTGATATCCCTGGCTGGTTGGGGGGCTTGCAGTTTTACCTATCACATGTCGGATTATATCCCTGACACTGGAGGTAAAGAGGAATTTATAAGCCAACAGTAAAATTGAACTATTTATATACCCCCGCTATTCATTCGCTTACCCCTACTCGTACCAGGTTGAGGTCCAGACCAGTTTGTACAAGATTGGCGGGCACTCCCAATTTGGCAAATCGCCGATACTGATACTGAGGGGATTCTGGGTCTACCCTATAATTATATTCAACCCATATCTTTATCTTTCCTAAATGACTTTACTTTTGGTTCACTTCTCTCCCAACGCTATCCCCAGATTGAAAACCGAACTAGAACCATGAGAGCTGCACGAGTTCGACCTACATCCCCCGAAGGAACGCCTTATGGTTTCCCTGGAAATGTGGCTCCCTCTTCAGCCATTGAAATACACGACGACGTCCCCAAACCACAGATATCAAAGCCTGGCGAACTACTGATTCAGGTGAAAGCCTCTACTGTGTACAAGGACAATCTCGAGTGGAACGAATTGTACCCCCCCAGCCACGCTACCTTGGGAAATGACTTTTCTGGCATAGTCGTAGCCGTACACGATAGCGAGCAAGACTTTTGCGTCGGTGACCATGTGTACGGTATGACGCACGCTAATCGGGGGGGTACATGGGCGGAATACGCCATAGTCATGACGGAAGAAGCAGTCAAGAAGCCGGACAATCTGTCGTGGGAGGAGGCTGCAGCGATTCCCGGGAGTGCTCTCACGGCTGATCAGGCCTTGTTCAGACATGTTGGACTCGAGACGGCAGCGCAGAACGGACAAAAGAGGGTTATGATTACCGGGGCCGGCGGTGGCATTGGCACGTTTCTCGTGCAGTTTGCCGTTCTAGCTGGACATCACGTCGTGGCGGCGTCCAGCTCGAACGAGCGAAACGAGTCATTCTTGCGCTCCATTGGCGCTCATGAAGTGGTTGAATATAAGGAATTCGGCACTTTGAACAAGGTCGACGTGGTTGTTGATTCTGTTGGGTTCCAGGTTCTCGCGGACTGCTGGAGTGTTCTTAAGCCAGACGGTACCCTCTTGTCCTTTGATGCGTGCAGCTGGGGGTATAGAGAAGAACACAGACAGAAAGGAATCAGCAATGGAAAAGAGGGCATTCGGGCACTGTACATGATTGCCGAGCCTGCGAGGGAAAGTATGGCGCGCATCACGGAACACGTTGCGAAGGGAAGTATAAAAGGGCGCGTATCGAAATCGGTGTTGTTGAAGGACGTGCGGGAAGCGTATGAATCTGCTCATTCTAGAGACCTAGGACACGGCAAGATTGTGGTGTTGATCTGAACACGCTTTCTCAGCCTTCATTAAAGTGACTAAAGGGGGATTAAATAGAAAATATGACATATCCTTGACCTCGTCTTTGTCCTCGATTAGCTGGTTGAATATAATCTAGGCCTTTGCGGCGACAAACTGGAAAGAGCCACCTTTCGATCAGTTCATCTACTACACGAATCGCACACTATGAAATTGGTACTCTCAGTTATCTACAAACATCGTGGGCTGCGAATATCAAGCATGTCTCGAGCAACGCTACAGTCAATCAGACAGTGAAGGCGTCAACTTTAGGAAGTCCGTTTCATTCTAATACATTCTGGTCAATGCCGTCACCAGCTTCGTAAAACCAGACAGCTATGTTACAGTGGCTTCCCAATCAGATTCGGCCGCTTGCGCCACGCCCATGCGTTCGCTAAGCGTTACCCAAGCACCACAATATATCAAGAGTCTGAAGGCCTTCGCGTCAGAATTCTCGCCCCAAGCAATGTCCATGGCCTCCTGGATTGTCTCCCAATCAATAAAGCCTAGCCCTTCCACAGCTTCTTGCGTCAGTAACGTTTTGAACTTGCGATGCAATGGCCCGTCCACCGCCCACCGAGTCGGCGCAAGGAAAGGATGCTTCTTCCGTTTGTACAGCTCGTCTGTAATGTATGGACGCACCGCCTGGCGCAATATCCATTTTTCATTAAGTGACTGCAAGGCTACGCTGGACTCAGTCCAGATCGGGCCCAATTCACCAGTGTCACTTTCAGTGTCGGCCGAGTAGCGCAGTTTGACGCTGGGCGGCAAACGGTTGACGTACTCGGCAAGGTGGTGGTCTAGGAATGGTGTGCGTGCTTCAACACTGTGTGCCATCTCTGTACGATCGCCAAGACATGACAATAGAACGTTGGCCAACGAGTTCTTGTTCCACATGTACATGGCCGTGTGCAAAGGGTGCCATCGTGACCGCATCTTGGCCTGAACATCGCTCGGGTGCGAGTTCAGGACCGTTTTGCGGCAATCATGGTTATTATGTCGAGCGCGTAGCCATGGAGCAAAGAGAGTGGCCGTAGGATGCCACGCCAACAGATTATCACTCATGTCCGTTGCTCCCACTCCTGCGATGGATGCAAGGGCTGGTCTATCTTTGTGCACTGTAGCACCAGCTTTTTGCCAAATTGCTTTCATTTCCTTCTGTACCGACTTGAACATCTCGTTTCGAAGGTCACTGTTTTTAGACAATTGGGAGTCGGGCATAGCTTCATCAGCTTCGCGAAGGAATTCGCCAGGAAAGTATGGATAACCAGCGAAATGCTCGTCGGCGCCTTCACCGGTCAGGACGACCTTGACGCCGTGTTCACGGGGGAGAGTTGAGAGTGCAAACTTGGCCACGAAGTTGAGGTCAAAGTGATGATGCTCGCAGTGGAATACGGCGTCTTCAAAGTCTTCCGCCAGAGTATCCTCCGTGATGGTCTTCTTGATAGTCTTCACTCCGAGCCATTCGGCCGTGCGTTCGGCAATATCTTGTGTCTCTTAGTTTTCATGGTACCTTAACAATTGGTAAGAAACGCCAGGGCGCAGCTGTGAAGACTTACGTGATTCATCGTAGCCGGATGTCTCAGGAAATGCTACACTGAAGCAGGTAACACGAGTCGCCTCTTCATTTCCTATTTTGACCTTTTCCTTGCGTGCAAGTTCCGTAACTATACCGGCAATGGCGGAAGAGTCGATACCTCCAGACAAGTAGATGCCGACAGGGACATCAGCACGCAGGCGAAGACGAACAGACTCGACCAGCCTTTCGCGAACGCCAGATACCATTTCATCGATGGTGCGAGTTTCGGGTTTACTCTATGGAGAGGCAATTAGTTGCGGCACGCTTTGAAGTAAAATGAACCAACCTTGTCTTCGTACTCAGCATCCCAATACCTGACCTGCTGCACACCACCAAGTTCTGTAATATCGAGATAGTGCCCAGGCAAGACCTTCCGAACTTGGCGGAACAGCGTCCGGTCATCAAACATCCATCCAGCATCAGCAATCGCACGCACGTCCCAGCGCGGCTTCCAGCCCAAGGGCAAGAATGCCTTGGCTTCGGAGGCGACGAGCAGCTTCGACCCAACGCGAGTATACACCAGTGGCTTGATTCCATAACGATCACGTCCGCAGATCACGCGCTGACCTCCTTCACGGTTATCATAGAGAACAAAGGCGAATTCGCCTCGCAGATGCGTGAGAAATTCAGGGGCGCCGTAAATTTTATAGAGGGCCAAAACAAGCTCGCTGTCACTGTCGCTCTGAAAGGGGTAGTTGTGAGCAGTTTCGCATTCATGTCGAAGACGATCGTAGTCGTAGATCTCGCCGTTCACCACGGCATGAATTTGGTTGTCGCTGCTGTGAAGGGGTTGTCGTCCTGCAGAGGATAAATCGTTGATGGACAGTCGGCAGTGAGCTAGCCCGACTTGCTCGTTCTCACTAATCCATATTCCCGAGTCGTCTGGACCACGGTGGGCGATGAGATCAATTGAAGCTTTGAGATCTGCCGCGAATCCCCCTGTTACGCCGTTGGTTTGGTGGTCACCGTTTGCTTCCCCGTTGCAACGAGTGTTGTTACTCTGGCCATTGGTGTTTGCCCCTGAAAGCAGAATACAAGCAGAAAATCCGCACATGTTTTCCACAACGATTGCAATAGCTATAGAAGCATTCTAGGATGAAAAGTGAAAAATGAAGGTGCTTCACAAACAAAATTAAAAAAAAATTAAAACACCGGTACTGGGGGCCGTGCCGCCAAGGCCTCGTCAGGGAGAGTCTGTATTCAGAGGTACAATTGAAAATAAGACGGGGTGAACTAAACAGGCAATGGGCTGCCTAACTCAACGCTCAATCGGCACTGGGCCGTCTGACCGCATCGGTGACAAGTCTCTTAATTGCGGTCCTCGGAACTTTCGTTAACCGCCGTCGGCCCCAACCAAACTAGTCCATTCTATTCCGGGTGGAAGTCCATCTACTTCTGGCACGCTTTGTCAATGCTAAATGAGTTTGAGCCTGGAATATGATATACCTGTAGTTTCATGATAGTCTTTGATAGATGACTCAGGTGATATCTCCTCAAACCCCGTAGGACTCCAGGCAATGAAGAGTGGCTGTTGATTGGCGCATAATCTTTGCGACTCGCGGTACTTGTAATACACGATCAGTTCGCGGGCAGCAAGGTGCTATTGATGTCTCAAAAGTCTTGGAGTCCATGGTCTGAATAGAATGATGACTACAGTCTCACGACTTCAAGGACACATATATGTTTTGCGACAGCAAGCTCGCAGGAAGCCTTGAACAAGTTCCTCCCACTTCTCATCGTCCCCCTTCTGGAGTGAGTAAACGCATGAAGAGCGCCGCCTCCGGTCTCAGGCAGTTGATCTCTCCCAGAACGAAGCTGGCGGTCATTGTAATCGCGACCTCTCTTGTAGTGAAATGAGCACATACTGAACTTGTTTGCATTATATCGCCCCGGACAAATAGGAGACAGGGTATGTAACTGTTTGCATAGAATTCATTCATTCATAACTAAGCTATGAGCTACCAAACTTATCTAGCTTCCATTTGGACCCGGGTTCAAGAGTTGACTTCCTAATCGCTTACTGGTTCCGCTTCTCTAAGCACAGGAATAAGGGGCCGGATTGCAAACTGAAATGCTCATACAAGCCGTTTTCGAAATCGGCTTCCGGATCAGCTTGAGTTCGGGGGAAACTGAGATTGTAGCGCATGATGATCGTTGCAACAGTCACTCGAATATTGGCAAGCGCAAGCCGCTTTCCGACGCAGTTCATGGGCCCCAGTGAAAACGGCGCGATTGCATTATTGTCTTTGACCAGCTCCGGGAGACTGTACCAACGTTCAGGGATGAATTCAGTCGCTCGGGGAAAGATGCGTTCGTCTGTGATGATGCGTCAAAAGATATATCAAGTAGTTTCAAATAAGAACCACTTACCTCGTCCAATGACGTACTGAGGGGCCATTACTTGCGTATTGCCCGGGATAAATCGACCAGCGATCTTAGTACCCTCAGGAGGAGTCACCCGAGTTGGATGGCTAGGACTTGGTGGATACAGGCGAAGTGCTTCCTGAACAATACCATTCAGAAGGTCTATATTCATGATTTGGTCGTCCAGCAACATTTCGTCGGGCGATTGAGGGACATGGGGTTCCAATGCTTCACGGAGCCTGTTCGCGAGCTCAGGTTGTTGAGCAAGTACAAACAAGGTGCAAATCATCGTGATTCTCGAAGTATCGCTAATAACGTGTTTAGTGAATCGCTCTGTACTATATATCTTCTGCGCCTTACCTTCCAGCGTTGACAAGTAGGTGTGATTCTCCAGCCAGCAGTTGTACCGCGGTTGCATCAAAAGGCTTCTGCCCTTTTCTGTATGGCACAAAGAGGGCACTCATCACATCCGGCACCTTTGGCTCAGTCTGTTTGACGCTGGTTAGATGTGGAATTGATAACACGCAAGAATAGGTGAGCACAGACCTTCCATCTTATAAGCATTTGTTCTTCGCAATATTTGAACATAGCCTTCAGGTCCTTGTTACCGCCAGGGATTGAGCTCATAAGACGAATAAACCACATTGGCAAATGACGACCAATTATACTCATCCCTTTGTCGAGAACGTTCATTGCCCAATGAAGCTCCTTGGTATCCAGCAAGCCAAATGAATGGCCGAATGATAGGTCGCTCATGGAGTCCCAGGAATACAACCCCAGCCAGTGGGTGATGTTCACAGGTTGACCGCCGTGAGCATCGAGTCCGGCAAGCATTTTGCTCCTATACGGGTGAAATCGAGTCTCGTAGCCTCTGACCGCCTTGACAGAGAAGGCTTGACTCCAGATTGAACGCCGTTCGGAATGCTTTGCAAAGGTCCGACGAAGAAGCACGGAGTCTTGTGGCCGACTGATGTCGTACCACGAACTTTTTTCACACACTGAATCGGCTCCAAAAATATCTTGAACCGCACTCGGGTGCGTAATCGACACTTCTTGGCTACCAACACGCACGAAGTAGCCGTGTTTTTCGTGCAGGTCTTCGAAAGCCTTGAACATTCGCAATCTTTTGATACGAAAGGAAACATAAAAGGTGGCGATCCGTGCAATCCATGGTCCAGGAAAGGCGTTGAGCGGGTTCAAAAAAGCGCGATACACAAAAAGACTGGCAAATAAACCGAACAAAAAGGTACCATCATACACGACTGTCTGCGTTAAGGCCTCCACCAGCGGGAACCCCAATCGATACAGCAGAGCGGTCGAAGCTGCAAACAGGACAGTGTGAACTTGGATGTAAGCCATACCATGCATGTGATGCTCGCCACGAAAAAAGTATCCGACGTAGCAGAGAGCGCCAGCAGCGAAGGCGAGGAGTTGTATTTCTGGGTGCATAATGGTCGACATGATGGGGGACATGATGGGCGACATGATGGGCGACTGCAAGAGAGAACGTGAATATTCTATCACACACTGAAACTTGAGGTAATATCGAGTCTCATACTATCTCAAAGACTTGCAGAAAAAACGGTTGAATTGTCAAGTAGACTAAATAGATTCTTGGTGTATGCCACCATCTTATCTGGCATTCTGTTTTGGCATTGAATTGTAAATGAGTATCAGTATCTGGATCGGAGGAACGCTCAACCGATCCGGAAAGCGAGCGGAGAAAGCCCAATTTGAAAGAGGCCGAAGGAAGGACCCACCAATGTCTTACTTCGTTACTTCAATATCTTTTGATTATACAGATTCAAGGATCACTCAACGGTCAACCGGAAAGAGATCGGAGGAACACCCGATGTGAAAGAAGGCGAAGGACCTACAGGCCGCTTGATTCAGCGTCTCGCCGTTGTTGGAACGATCGCCAAATCAGCCCTAGGCCAACACTGGACTACCGAGGCAGAATAATGGTGTGTGTACTGATTGATTACAGCGCCTTTTTTGAAGGAGGATCGTCAACCATGCAGTGGATGCGACAATCAATTAGTATACAGCCTTTTACGAAGAGGTGCAGGCTATTAACGTCGTGGATTTGATGCCATATCGGATACCTTGTTTGTTGTCTGATTGCGCATGATTGACATGACGGAATACCGACTTTGTTGCATTTAATGTATAGGTCAGTATTCCCGTTTCTTGCGCTCGATGTCACCTTCGTTGCTTTGAGCGCCTTATATATTTTGCGAATCGTCAATCTAAGGATATATCTGAATCAGAAGCAGCATCGACGGAAAGCATCAGCGATCCTTGGTGGTTTGGCGAGTGCTAAATAACGCCCTTTTTGTATCTGATGCCAAAGTCTCTCAAAATGCCAGTGGTCGATGAAGATCTTATGATCAAAGCTTTAAATGCAACTACACCAGCCGAAATCATCCATTCAGAGGTAGTCTTCTATATGCCACTAATGGTAAGTGGCCATTATGCTAACTGCGACGGCTCCCGTCTTAGAAATTACTTTGTTCGTTCCGAGCTTTTTTTTCCAGAGGATCGATCCAGGACTTTTCCCAGCTGCTGCCCAGCCTTCCGACAGCTGACACGGTACCGCTAAATGACAAGGCCTATTCCGAGGTAGAAAAGACAATCCAGCCAACAACTGCCTATCGTGAACCTGGTAATGCACAAAATTCTCCGAAGCACTCCCAAGCGTCGTTTAACTCGCAGATTTCACGCGCTGAGAGGCCAGTTATTTCCTCGGCCTCTGCTTCCAAACGACTGTTTAGTGCCACGGGGTCGAGTCGTAATCATGACGATTGTGAAGCAAGTGAAATGTGGGAATTCTTTGCCGCAAGAGTTAAGCCACGTCCCCGCATTCAAACCCTCATCCGAGTCGTTTCTGGATCGGTAAAGGCTGTGCAGCACGAGCCGATCTTTTACGAAAAGCTATGGTCTACAAACAAGGACAACATCTTTAGTGCCGAGACATCTGCAGAGTCCAGACTTTCTCGTCTTTTCCGTGGCCGCAGGAAAATTAATCGACATCAGCGAAGATTCGAATGTGCCAGCCGGCTATCTTTATTATTTTTGGCGCATGATGTTGCAGCGATGAAGTCATGGAACTGGGAACTTGGCCCGGGGCAGAGTCGACAGCATGTTGCCGTGTTGGCTATTGCTCATCACCTTGGTGTCTCTACGGAAGAGATTAAAAAAGAATGGAGACGGAGTCGAAATTATGTGAAGTTGCTCGAGGTCTGTGGACCTGGATCTTTGCTCGAACTCGGGTCTGGGGTAAATTGGCAGTGAGTCGTCTTAACCGCCTCAATTAGAGATTTGAAACGTTGACTTCAACCAGCTGGGAGAAAGCCATGGCGAAGGATGATGTTACCCATTTCATCAACTTTCGAAGGGAGAAGTACATACTTCCAATCTCACGTCTTTGCCAGTAGATATTTAGTAACAGCTTGATGTAGGATGACGCATCTTGACAAGCGATCGCGCGAGCTCAACCTTGTTGCAGGAAGAATGATCCTAGATGGGATGCTTGCCTACGGATGGACCATCGATGCCATATCAAGGACGTGTACTCCCGTCCGCAATGCTCTTATTGTCCACTGCCCGACATTGTTTAGTTCTCCAAGTGAATATACACCAATGAATGATATCAATATAGCCACGGCTATCTACCAAGACTTCGATTTTTCAACTTCGGCTTCCATAAGTCATTCGGCATCTGGCGATGCACCTGATACCTCCGCTTCCATTAATGGATTGCTCGCAGCCACAACCCCTTCTCTGGAGCCTCGGAGCACCGAGCATATATGCACTGATAGCCTAGACAAAGATTCCCTATTTGGTGGAAACGATGCAGATTTCATGTCCAATAACTACATACTTTCAAGCGAAGCATATTTGTGAGTCTAACAGATAATATAGACCGAAGCGAATATAGCAAGACGTTTTCATCATTTTATAGAACATAGATGGCTCCAAGTCCGATATTTCTACATAGAACTTATGAGCTCCAACTTCCTTGATCAATCTTTGTTATAACGATGATCGGTCTGATTAAATGAATTGCTGCAATCTTGATTGTGCGTAGATGGCTCTACTGTTTGACTATATCGTAGTGCTAGAATTTTCAGACTTCTTGTCGTCTGCGTCCAAGCTGATAGTCGGAAAGCCTCTCTTGCAAATAGTACAGTAGTCGACTTTGCATTGCTTGTTTCTAATGAAATTTGCCTAGGGTTGTGCTAGGAGAAGATAATTTTGTGATTTAGACTAATATTGACATTAATTGCCATTACCATGTGTGACAAGACTAATAGTGTCTGGCCCGTACGGGCCATTTCAACCCATGGCGAGATCGACTAGTCCCCTAATATCGCCAGAAAGGGTTAGGAAAGATAGATGCGTCCATCAATCTACGAGCGTGCAACTAGCATAACCTCGGGAATGATTGATCAATTAGTGTGATGGGGTGAAACGTGTAGTGTATCATGTGTATAGTAGCTGCTCCCCCGGAGTATAGTTTTTGCGGGCCGGGCACTTGAAGTGCGCTGCGCCAGACGACTGTAGTGGGCATGCTCTTTCATTCATAAATACTTTTACCCACCTGAGGCTAGACGCGTTTGATTATTACCGTACACCTAGACTGTGCATTACACTCCTTTACACTAGTTAGTTGGCTAGAGCTGCGGTTTAAAATTTTATACAAGACCTGAGATGCCCTTGGAGCTTTCTGGGGCCTTCAGCAACCACCATTTCATCTTTCATTAACGATGTCTATACCTACACGAGTTCTTCTTTTAGAGAAAGAACATACATCATTCGAGAACGAGCTCTGTTTCAAGGGAGAATCCAGCAGTGACGAAAGCGGCGGTCAGACAAGTATCACGCCTATTAGTTCGAAGACCACTTCCACCACAGAAGATATTTCAAAGCAGCATGAGAGATCCAGCGACCTAACCTATAGTAGCCGTTGGGCTAGAGAAAGTTTGCCAGACTTTGCCATGCCCGAAGGCAAGATGTGGGTGACTATTCGGCCATAAAATTAACTCCACTAACAGTGCAGCAGGCCAAAAGAGGTAGCATACCGTCTAATTAGAGACCAGATGAATCTTGACGGCCACCCGAGTCTCAACCTCGCCACTTTCGCAACAACATACATGGAAGACGAGGCTGAAAAGCTCATGGTTGAGTCTCTGCCTAAAAACTTCGTTGACCTGAAAGCCTATCCCCGAACGGCAGATATCGAGCGGAAGTGTGTGAACATGGTTGCCGAGTTATATCATGCTCCAATGAACACTGGTGAACCAGCAGTGGGGACAAGTACTCTAGGAAGTTCGGAAGCAATCATGCTTTCCACACTGGCAATGAAGAACAGATGGATGAAGAGGCAAAGATTAGCCGGAAAGGACTGTTTAAGGCCAAACATCATCATGAGTTCCGCAGTCCAAGTGTGTTGGCAGAAGGCGGCCAGATACTTTGAGGTGGAAATTCGATATGTATACTGCACAGAAGACCGCTACGTCCTGGATCCAGATACTGCCATTAGTCTTGTTGACGAGAACACTGTAGGAATTTGTTGTATACTGTAAGTAAAGTGATGCCAGCGTAAAGCATTATCCATGCTCACACATCTCAACTGTAGGGGCACCACTTACACAGGCCATTATGAAGATGTAAAAGCAATCAACGATCTCTTGGTCAAAAAGGGGCTGGACATACCGATACATGTTGATGCCGCCAGCGGTGGATTTGTGGCGCCGTTCATGGCTCCAGAGCTCGAATGGGATTTTCGACTTGAGAAGGTAAGCTCAGGTTTCTTGCAGCTTAATGGCAAGCTAACACATCAGGAAGGTTGCCTCCATCAACGTCTCAGGGCATAAGTATGGCTTGGTATATCCCGGCATTGGATGGGCCATCTGGCGTTCGGCAAGATTCTTGCCCGAGGAGCTCGTCTTCAATCTGTCTTATCTTGGCACCAACCAGGCATCATTCACTCTCAACTTTACCAAGGGGTCGACGCATGTTATCGGACAATATTGCAAGTTTTGCCCTCTTTCATCTGACTTGCAGCGCGGGCAATTGCTGATAATTAGCCAGACCAGTTTATCCGTCTCGGTCGAGCCGGATATCGTGAGATCATGACGAACATCAGTAACTCCGCTACCTTCCTCGCGAATGGTCTTAAAGGCCTGGGGTTCATCATTATGAGCGAGTCGGGTGTGAATGGAGTACCCTTGGTCGCTTTTCGCCTTAACCCGAAGCTGGGTTATCAGTTCGATGAATTCGGTTTAGCCCACCAGCTTCGCCAGTGCAATTGGCTGGTGCCTGCCTATAGTATGGCCGCGCATGTCCAAGACGTCAAATTGTTGCGCATCGTCTGCCGCTGCGACTTCTCTCGGAGCTTATGCGACACTCTGTTGAAAGACATACGGTGCGCCCTAGAAACTCTGAAGAAGATGGATCGAGAGACTTTGAGGCTTTATGCGGAGTTAGAGAGGTTGAGGCTGGTAGCAGGGGCGAATGGAGACATCTTGGCATAATACTCATTTATGACCATGTTTTATTCCTCACAGTGCTCTTTTGTATTTTGCATAGACTTTATTCCTATCTAATTTTATAGTAGCACTGGCTTATTACCCTAAGTTCGCGCTTTAGGAGCCCGCAGCTCCTTGAGGGGTGCGAAAGTCTTGCGTCCGCCGACTTGCCCATATAATCTATACCGAATCTTCCCCTCACCAAATTCCACTTCCGTCTTTGAACCTAAGCAGTTGCTGATCTAACCTAAGACGAGCCCAAGCACGCTAATGACTCGGCTAGATTATGCTCAGGGGATCCTATTGAGGTTCGGCATTGCTAAATATCAGGGCTTTTACATAGTTTTTAGAAGTATACCCACTGTGGCAAATATAACCCACTTTTACATGTATATAATAAGGACTTCTCCTCTACCTCTATTACTAGAATCAATCAACTCGTTCCGTCGTTTCCAAGGCCTCCAAATCCTTGACAGATCCTCTTTAGGCTCCTTAATGAATCGGTTATAGTTTCTATATTATCTATAGATAATTTGAGATTTAGTAACGCTTATTGCCTAGAATGCAGCCACCTCTTTAAATCTACTAAGATGATATAATAGGATCAATTCTCGCTCTCCTGTTAAACTTACTAAGGGTATCCGCCAGAGCCGATTTTGATGCTTTCTATTGTAGCACTACGTGACTAGGTTCTCTAATGTTTATTTTTATCCCTTTCCAAGTTACCATAATCTGCTAGCGATAATCAACAATATAAATGGGCGCTAAAATCGGATCCCTACGTTTGAAAGTACGTGGAGTTCTAGTTTGGGCTCCTGTCCCCTTCATTTTTTTGGGTGGCCGACTTCGGCTCCTGTACTGGCGTCCGATTTGGGCTCGCGGTTAATGTTAGCCCACAAAGGGGGGTTGCTTAGAGCCTGAGGCACGATTGCAATCAATTGTGCCATCAATTAAATCGGGAATTAAATTGTGATTCAGTTGATTGCATAGTTGAATTCGTATAATGTGATGCAGCTATCGGTCGAAATTTACGAATAGCTGCACTTGCTGAGGTAACTCAGCGGATGCAGCTAATCAGAGATCTTTATTTAGCTGAACTTTGTCACTTGCGTAGTGCGCAAAACGCAGGACTACCAGAGAGTCTGGTCTGGGCGGCCCCAGGATCTGCCAGTGATGAGACTTGCTTCGTTTCTCCTTCAGTGTCGACTGGTCCGCATGAACTCGCCTACGTGGTGCTTCAGACAGCTTTTCTGCAAGTTAGCGCCTGATCCCCACGATCTATCGTGGCTGTGATGTTGGAATTGGGGACACAGCCTCTCGAACAGCGAATCGTTGCATCCTGGGCCCTGCATCCACCATACGTTCCTTGGCGAAGTGCTGTGGCTTATACCACCCGCATTGATGGCTGTGTGGCATCACTGTATGCCCCTCTTTACTACTTTGCTCTAGCGCCTACATATACTCTATAGGTCATGACAATCTATCACTCCAATTCGCCTTTCTCTATCTACAGACTGTTCCAAACCGAAATCAAAGGAATCATTAACAATGGTTAACTATACTCAATTTTCTCCCGGCAAAGTATCCACCGAAGAAGTGAAGCTATGGAATCCATCCAAGATCCTAGGAATTATCAATCCCGATAACGATCGCCTCACATGCGTCGGCGATGCCCCCTCACAAAGACGACGCTGTCGAAATCCGATCCGAGCAGACAATCAAGCACTTATTACGAAGGCTCTAGACGAGATTGCGTATCTGCCTCCTGATAGCCCTGCTGTGATGACAAAATTGCGAGCTATTGCTGGACCGGCGCTGTGTGTTAGGTATCATCAGAGTCAAGCTGAAACAGTCGTGATGCAGTGGCAGAGGAAGATTCAGCCGTTGAAAACAGAGATTGGGGAACGGAAACCTGCCAAGTCGGTCCAGAGCAGGAGACTGGAAAAGCCTGCGCGAGATCGAAGGGTAGAGGGTATCCAGGATGTATTAAAAGAAATGAGGGACGCTTTGGCGAACCTGCGAGAAGAGATTAACAACCAACGGCACCAAAGTCAAGAATGTGAAGGGCCAGAAGAGCGAGCTGTAGAGGATCGCCAAGAACAAGAACGCAAACATCGGAGGAGCGAGGAGAGGAATAGGGAGGCGAGGAGGAAGGAGAGCGAGCGTTTGGAGAAGGAGCGTTTGGAGAAGGAGCGTTTGGAAAAGGAGCGTTTGGAGAAGGAGCGTTTGGAGAAGGAGCGTTTGGAGAAGGAACATTTGGCGAAAGAGAAAAGAGAAAAAGAAGAAAAGCAACGACGAGAGCGCATTCGCCAGCGAGCCCAAAAGCTACATGAAGAACGCGAGCGAGAAAAGCGAGAAAAGGAGCAAAAAGAGAGAGAGGAGTGGAACCAACTGTGGGCAAAGTATCAGGAACGGTGGGCGCAGCTCAAAGCCTCTGCTTCTGATATCAGAGAGGGGAATATTCGAGATGCCATTCCTTGGCCGGTCATGTCAGGTTCATATCCTGATGTGAAGAATTCGAATGTTAAGGAGTTCTTCCAAAAGACGGTGTCAAGGGATGAAAATATGGTGAAACTTATGCGGAAGGAGTGTTTAAAGTGGCATCCTGATAGAAGGTGCACCTGGCTCCGAGGCGCTCAACTCAGTGATGTTGATGAAATGATTGTTGACATGATTTGTCGCGTGGTAACGGGGTTGCTAAATGAATTTGCTGAGAGGTCGTCTAAATTTTTGGATTGATTTTTGTTCTTGTACATAGGTGTTAGACACAAGGATGTAATATTACCAGTTGCTTTTCGAAATTATCAACCTAACAAATTACTCTTATACCAAGCCATAATCCAGAAATATCAGGGGCGTTTCTTTCGTATACTTGACAACCCATCACCCCATTTTGCACGTTTATCCCTTCTAGAGCGCTCGCAACAGGTCGCACCCAAATCATGATAGCGGGACAACCATTCAGGTGTAGAATAGATAGGGATGCGGCTTTTCTGTGCTGTCTAGGCAGAGGAACACTGATACAACTTGATTGCGATATTATATCAAAATAGTCTTTGGGTTTTTTGGAGGTGAGTTTATAATGAGTAGATGTAGGAAGTGTGAGGATGCTGTGATTAGAGTTTGGTTGCAGCGAAAGAAAGAGTGTTGGGACATTGCTAAGTAAGCACTAAGTAATCGTAGGCTTGGCATGCTGTATATAAGCCCCTATTAGGTGCAGAGGTTTTACCTAGCCAATATACACACCCAATTACCTATCCATACAGCCTGTATAGCGTTGCACTCAATACGTCACGAATAACTCACCTAACTGGTGTCTTACACCTTAACAAAGAGGCGTGTGTTTTCATTACCACGTGTTTAGTCGGTCAGTTGTAACAATTCTGAGCTTCATGATACTTTGATGGAAGAAAAACAGTGCAAGATTCCACCCCTTGAATTCCGATAGCTCCGTGTGCCACACTGGGTGGTGGTGACACGAAGCTATAAAGTACCCTCCTCCGGTCTCACAACGCCACTGGGAGTATATTGACAACCTACCTCGTTGAAAGCTATTGCTTGATATTGATGCCAGAAATATAGAGTGCCTACTCTACGAGAATTGTGTGACATGAATACCTCTATTGGTTACGTAAGTTCCTTCCGAGAGAGGCAAGAAGAGGAAGATACGTTCGTAATACTGCAAAGCAGAGGGGCGAAGAACGGAGAGGAGGAAAGTAGTCAAGTAGTCTGGTGGAAGAAAGGACGAATGGCCAGAAGATGAAAGAAATACGGAAGCCGTAGCTAAGTATTCTCCTTGGGAGATGGCTAGGAGCACGCTATGTTACAAGAAGAGTCTACCTTGAGAGATTGAAAAATATATTTTTGGGGGGGTCTTATTTGAACTCTCTGGGAGCTGATTTAGTCCCCCAAACACAGTCGTGAGTTGATAACCTTCACATGGCAGAGTCGAATGGTAAGTAAATCATGATTAGAAAGGAGAGCAGGAACGTGACTGAGCAACTTAGCGCCTGAGCAAAGCGGCGACGCTGACTAACCGCGTTGGAAGCTACGCAGGTTAAGACTCGGTGCAGATTACGAAGTACCAGGGTATAATTCACAGGGTAAAACTCAGTAGTACAAGGATTCGTGGCATTCAGTACGAGTAGTACGTACTCCACAGTGCGCCGCCGTCAGAACTTTATTTGGTGGATCCATGGGTGATCCCGCGCGGCCCTCGGGAACTAGCGGGTTCCACAACCTTTTAGATAAAGCAGCGGGGTGGCGCGATCAACAGGTCCTGGGCACCTTTATTCCATCCACGTCGCCTTCTCTCAATACTCTCCCCCTCATGCCTTTGCTTCGGCCACCTCTTCCGCCAAAGCCCTTTCCCCAGCTGGAGCCTCACCATCTCGCCTCCGAAGACGCCATTCAGATTGTGAAGGCATATGATGAGTTAACAAGAATCTTAGGAGATAGAAGTCATAAAGGAGCAAGAGAGGGTGTCTGACAACTGAATTTAGAAGCTCTCACTTCTCCTGCACCTTCCAACGTAGAAAAATATTATTTTCTTTGAGTAGCACCAAAAATGATCAATGAGCACCAGTTGAGTGCCCCGCAGGACTTCCCAGTACTTGCTGTTACTCTTTGCCTCACGGTTGGACTTCCCCAGTGATTTGCATGGATTGCATTTGGGTGGAGTTCAATCCTAGGACGATGATGTGTCACCGACTGCACGAGATGCGCCTTCTAGATAACATGGGTTGAAAAGGCGCGACGAAGGAGGGTCGCACAACAGATGAGCAACGCAGAAGCGCCGATGCTGTGTGGATGTGACTCACATTTAAGCCATACACTTCAATGACAATAAGCCCATCTAACAGTGCCACGTACCATGTCTTGTCAAATACCACGTCTATACCAACCGAGGAAATCGTAGAATCTCTTTTCTGCTGCACAACAGTATGCTGAAAGGGGAGAAAGGAGTATTCTGCGAGTTAATTGATCAAGTGGTAATGCAAGAAGGAGTCGCACGCACGCCTCAATCGAGCTGTCATCGCGCATTTTGAGCTCGACGCTAGGTCTTCCAAATGTGTCTCTTCCGTAGTCATGTCAAAGCAGCTACGTTGGACATCTGCTATTGAGATCATAGCTGCTGTAGATCGATAGGTGAATATTTACTTTGTGCTACCAAGGGAGTTGTTGGACACAATCCTGCATCGCGCCATTCCGGACTAACAATCAAACCCTCACCGCTAATGTACTCATATCCAGGTTATTACCCTCCCCATACCGTCTCTATTCCGGGTTTAGCGGTAGACGAGGCTCTGCCCACGCACCTCGTGGCCAATCCGGAGTGATTCTCAGCAGTAAAAAGCCTGTCGTAAATGGAGAAAATGGTTGGAATAACGACTGAGGTGAAACAATATCATTGAAGGGGGTGCCAATGCAATTCCCCTAGCTGGTCACCCGGAGACTCATCTGCACCTGGTTTTAAAGGACGTAGCTGCATCACGCTAATTTTGAGACCTACAATCTACTTCATTACGAACCAACGTTAAGAATCTCTTTCAAAGGGGCTTTCCTCACAATAATCTTGCTCAATCTCCACCGATAGGGTGCTTGACTAAGTTCTGTAGAACATATGGAGTGTCATCTCAGACATTGTAAACGGTGAGCACTCTCGGTTGAAGGGACTGAGTCACCAAAAAGTATAGTGTTAGTAGGTAGGGTTTCTCCCAGATGTTCATCCAACAGTCAACCTGATTCGCGCCAGCTATAATCGAAAACAGACCTCCACTCTGGTCATCTATCACACAGGAGAAGGAGCTTCTTAATGGCATCCTCAAACACGGTGCTTTAGAACTAGCCACTTTCGACTATTATTATTGTCAACAGAAACTAAGCAGCGAGAGGGTCGGATTAACATAGCCACCTCAATCTTCAGCCCTTCATAAAAAGAATGTCATTGGGTGATCCTGCAATTATATGAATATCATTATAAGTTGCAACTTGCCCATAGCTATAAAATATAATCGCGATGACTACGTAGAAAAAAGTCACTTCACATAGCGTCATCAAGGTGCCCTTAACCCTACCCCCAACCAACTCAAAACCAACTCAAAACCACCGACAAACGACGTTTGGCGATGCTGATCCTACGGTCCAGCTTCTCCGTCTAGAAGTCCACATGAAGTTGTACACCACCATCGGAGTCTGAACTTTCGTCCTCGTGTAACGAGTCTGATAGAATTGACTCAGTTGCAGCCAAGCTCTCGCTCTGTTGTTCATAGTCTCCCAAGGTCTCACTTGTCAACTCTTCCACGGGTTTAGTTGACATATGGACTCCTACTAAGGTCAGAGTCCTAAAGCGTTCAATAGCCAGGCTTTTATTACTTACTGAAGCCGATTTGTCCTCCATTGTGATTGAAGGAGTTAGTAATCCCTGTGGTGGAGTCTGGGTGCCAAGGGCTTGGTCCTCTACATTGATCAATTTGCCGGAGAGCGTCAAGTCTAATTTGTGCAATCAGCTTATTCAAAATGACCCGTCGATGCCTTTCCTCCTCTAAATTTGTATCATCAATCGGATCTGGAAGACGCCAATTGAGATATCTGATTCCATGTGACGAAGGACGCACAAAGCCACCGGGATGAAGACTGATATAGTGATAGCAACAGTAGCACGCTGGTTTGCTACACCCAATAAATCTGTCATCACCTACGAAGGGTATACGATTGTTGTAGAGGTACTCTAGTAAATTTAGCTCTGCATGGACTCTTGGTTTGAAATCTTTATCTGTGAATTGAGCCTGAAGACGGTCCAGAATCTGGAATTTATTGTCCATGACTGCGAGGGCTTCTTGGTACCGTTCGATCTCATTCGACTGAGCTGGTAGCATTCTCTTGATGATTCCTTCTAATGTCGTTAGGCCATCCGTTGGAGGAGGGAATGAAGGCGCCTTCGGTGAAGGTCTAATTCTGATGTCGAAATTGTCGAAAAGCTCCGGCATTCTCCAACCTGCTGCAGTAAGAATCTTCGCGGCCTTCAGATGAGATCCGAGACGCCCAATATAGTGACGGGCCAGAAGAAAATCTTGTTTTCTAGATTCGTCTTTGGTCATGCCAGAAATCTCATCGCCGATGTGCTGTCGAAGCTCTCGTATGTATGGGGACGATCTCTGTTGGTATGAGAACCGGCATAAGCCAGTCAAATCGTCGTCAAATCCTTGAAAGGATCGGAGCCAATCTGCCAGTGGCTTATCTAGGAGGCAAGTTTAGTAGACCCAACACCGAAAGAGGCCGTAAAACGAACCTGCCAATTTCCTCGAGGTCCCTAGAGCTTTCAAACACTTCTTCAGGGGTGGTTGCAACCTCGTTTGATATGTCTTAATCCGTTTAAGGTTGAATTCAATACAAAGGTCCGATATTTCAACCTCTTCGGCAATTCTCGACTTCTCATTCTGAGAGTGTGCAATTCTCTGCAGGATACTCAGAATTTTGTGAATGAAAGATATCGTCCCCGCAGTCACCGTAGTATTGCAAGCGACCCAAAATATGACACCAGAAGGTTGGGATTCTAGTGCCATGGCTGTGACAGTGTCACCCCCTTTGATGTAGTCACAGATATAAGCTATCTGATCCAAGAAGCTCCTCCTTAACTCCTGCAGGGCTAGATGGGGTACATCAATGTCCCCAGAGGAGCAGCGAGACATCCTCTGCTCACCGTTTCGATCTAGAACGTGTAGGAGAACCAAGGGCTCGTAAAATCGACTATTGAGCCTATGTTCAGGACAGATTCGTGGGATTTTCCGTGAGGACGGAACTGTCTTGCCCTTTGAAGTCATCCTTTCTCTCCTATCTCTTTTGAGTGACCACTTCTCAAAGACTGTCCTTGGACGTTTGAGGGATTTTGTGATCGACTTGTGGACATGATAACTAGTAGCAGACTTTCACTGCCTTTTATTCGCGGTCATGGACAAGATCTTGGTTGCCAGAACCCCGCCTTTCCCGCTTTCCCAAGCCTCAGCAGTTTGTTTTGTTCAGATTATGCATGTATATGCACAAGTCGCGTCTCGTTCATTGACCGACGCCTGTTATCACAGGATCAGCTCCGATTGGCAAACGGCTAATAGTATCAGGTTATTGGCTTCACGAATAGAGATCCAGAGTTAGATAATGGAAAGTTAGCGGCGTTGCCAGCATCTCAATTTACACATTCAATTTCTATTTTCTTAGGGTACTTCAAATCACTCCTTTCCATCTCGCACAGCCCTACGCTCAAAGTCCATAGCCCATATCTAGCCCGCATTTAGCTACAACCAAAATATTGGCGTATTGTTCTTAAATTAGCATAGCAAAGTATTTTCTAATTTGAATCCTAATTCGAAATTAGCGATTTCGGTTGGAATTTGTGACGTGTGCATAAGTGGGTCCGTTCTCTCATTTGCTCCTTATACGTTCCGTTGACTTTCGGCGTATCTATTTTTTTTTTTTGGGAAGCGAGTTCGAGATTAAAATGGGGAAACTTCTGTTCCAAGGCCAGTGCAGGTAATAAATTGACTGGTCATTTTAATACAGCTAATAGAATGCTAGTGAAATACGCCTTTGTACCCAGAGTTGCATTACGCTAAATTGAGGCCTACAACATGGGGCTTCTACACTAGTGTGCATAGTTACATGACGCTAATTTTGAGGCCTACCATCGTTTTCGCCCGAATCAGTAATAGACTCCTCTCTGCCAACACCCAAAGAGGATATATCCATACTTTGACTTTTGGTGCTCTTCTGATTGCCAAAGGACGTTTGTGACGATTGCCACTCATTTTCAATAGTCACAACACTCTAGCTCTCCGACATTGTGATTTACCTCACCACGACAATCCTGGAGACGTTCCTTGGGCTTCCTTCGTTCGATTGGAGATGAATTTATCACGCCAAGGGAGGACGGCGAATAGTCCGCAACGACAATCATGAGGGGATCAAACTTTACAGATATATCAGCAATATCCGTTTGAGACGATCGATCCCCGATTGCTAGATAGCAGACTTTATCCTCCTCCTACCCAGAGCGCATTTGCACCTGAAATGGAGCAAACCCAGCACCTCGATCTCGATCCTCTTCCCTTAGAATACAGAGAATTACCTCCTCCATTACCTCCGGTGCTCGAAAACTCCTTCCAATTTCCGATCAATCCTAGCCACGATAGATTCGCTCTGGTTCCCGTACACAATCTTTCTCCTGCAGTCATACCCCCACCAGGGCACGATTTTCCACAATTTACCTGCGATTTCTGTTCCTTATCATTCCTTAGGCTCTATCTACTCAAGTATATACTTCCTTATTATATCGTTGAAGATATTACGTAACTAACAATAATTGTTTGCAGCATCCATATCAAATGCCATACAAAACCTTATAAATGCCCTATCCCATCGTGTTCTATTTCGGGATTTCGATACCGGCACGGACTAAACCGCCATATCGATTCGATACACAGAGAAGACGTGCCTGATGCTAGGCGGTTCTACTGCCTAGTCCAGACGTGCAAGTATTCGGAAGCAAACAGGATAGGGTTTGCGAGGTCAGACAACTTAAAGAGACATGTTCGAACTACTCATCCAGGGCTAAACGAGACAGGATCTGGAGTCTGAAAAATACTACGTTTATTTTATTCCCTCCGCTTTTACCTAGCTTTTTTCCCCAATACAGTCACTATCGATGTGCTACCTTTTGCTCTTATCGTTTAGAAGTTCCGATACCTACAATAATCTTAGCAAGGCTTAGTGAAAACGAGTATTCCTAACTTGTCTCTAGTCTCCGAATCCCATGTCTGAGCTTGGAGTCCAACTAGGTCGCCTGAGAGGTTCAGTTATGATTAACGATTATAATGTACATGATCAAGGTGTTTAACAGGGCAATTGGCTATCTGAGACAAGAGGGTCAGACAATTGCATCGGCGAGGCGATTACCAATCCTGGCGTGATACACAGCCCTAGAAAGGGGCTGTGAACTTAATTTGGCTTCTTGAGCAACAATTCGTAGCTTTAGCAGTGATGCGTGCCATCCTTCATAACTTCATTCATATGTCACGTAGTGGCCAACCACAATACCGTAAAGGATTTCCTGGAAAGGAATAAGAGATCCATTCGATCTGTTGGCTTTCACGATGTTAAAACCACCGGATCGAGTCGGCGGGAGACAGCTTTCTGAGCTGTCCTCAAGTATGTTTTGCAAAATGCTAAAAGTGCCACAATCCCCGTCATGCCGAGCAGCTTATTGTGGCTGCCTTCGCTTTTGGAAGAGGGATGGAGGCTGGTACTGAATGATGACCACCCATGACCTTGTGTAACAGATGGCAACCTTACCAGGCCGTATAGTGGGGACCACCTAGGGGCGGTATCACTTGAAGTGAGGCAGCAGCACTCAAAAACCACCCGACATACCTCTTCAAACATTTTTTCGTGACAGATACTCCTGATGGACCGTGCTTCCAAGCTCAACCAGTCCCTCCTCAGCGACGGCACGACCTCATTCAAATTCCAAATCAATGAGTCAGCCTCCGACCGTGGCGACTTATGCCTCGTCGCCACAGAACACATCCCAGTTGCGCAAGACATAATCTGTAAGAAACAGATGCTCGTTGTGGCGGATAGCAATCACCTCAAGAGTACTTGCGACAATTGCTTCTTATGGTTGTACGGCGAAATCGGCAAGAATGGCCGCATCAGAGCTGCTGGGGATGCTGAGCCCAGTCTAGACAAATGCGGAGCCTGCAAAGTCGTGAGGTATTGTTCGAAAGTGAGTTACATGCGTTATCATCCTCTACCCTACAAATTATGTGCTTATATTCCTTGTGGTAGTCCTGTCAACGGGGGGCCTGGAAACACCACCATAAAGCCGAATGCAAGATCTTTGCTCAGCAAGAGAAATCCGACGAAGTCCTCCGGGCAACCGTCCGCTTGCTCCTAAATCGAAAGGCGGGCATTATTGATGACAGCGAATGGTCTGCTTTCATGGACTTGCTGTCCCATATGAAAGACTACATTGAGGGAGGGGATATGCTAAAACAGGCGATATCAGAAACGGCAAGATGGACAGGATGGGATGAAGCAGATGAAGCCTTCAAGGAAACCTATTGTCGGGTATGTCAGAACCTAAGGAAGGTGATCTTGTATTGACGCATTTTCAGGTCAAGCTGAATTGCACAGCTATCCACTCTCTGGAGCATGAGTACCTTGGTATCGGCCTGGATCCTCTGATATCGTTGATCAATCACTCGTGCAAGCCTAATACGTATTGCTTGTTTGAAGGCTCTCAAATTCGGGTTCGATCCGTAGAGCCGATATCTGCTGGAGACGAGATAACGATGACGTACATCGACAATACTTCCGATAAACATTCCAGACAGCTGGTGCTAAAATCTCGATGGTTCTTCAGCTGTCGTTGTAAGCACTCTTCACGTTTTAATCATGTCTCATTGTATCGCTTTAGACAACACAGTCTGCTCACTTGTAATTTATTAGGTGGCAAGTGTTCCTGTGACGCTGGAAACGATTTTGACAATATACCGGAAGGCTATACACTAGACTCTCTACGTAAGCTGATCCAACTGGCCTCCTCGGCCAACATCTCTGATCCTGAGAAAACCGAGTCCGCCATGTTGGAGGTGATATCTTCGGGCAAAGGATGGCCAACTCATATCCAGCCTCTCCCATCGCTCTACTCCCGCTTAGCAATCGGCTATCACGCAAAGCGAAGTCACAGCAAGGAAGTTCACTATCTGCTTCACCTCTGTTTCGTCGGTGATCCGGTGCTTTACCCCAACCGCGTGGATCCCACCCGTGTACGCAACCTATTCATGCTAACTATGGCCTTGCACAAGCTAGCTAGGGATAATTCTACTGCGGTCCCTGAATTGCCTCTCCAAAGCTTTGAGCTGGGTTTGGTTTACAAATATTGTATGTGGAAGGCTGCTGAAGATGCACAGACGAGTCATGGGGAAAATAGCAATCTGTGGAAGGCTCTGAATGCTAGGCTCGTAGAGGAAGCCGCGCTGGTTGCTGATCCGCAGACCATGCTCGCGTTGATGGCTACAGATCAAATGCAGGGAGACATGAGCAAACTCCTATTGCAGTTGTTGCCTTGGGCTGGTATTGATCCATCTTGCACAACGGCGTGGAAGGCTTGAAGCTATGGCAGACGATGTGTATCGAGTGTTCTGTGACGTACGGTTTGGGCTTGTTACCGACCGCTTTATAGTGCCTGAGGAAGACCTCCATCACGAGAAGGTCTCCCCCCTCCCCCGCTTCGGATTCTGCACTATCCATCCAAGGTCGTATATTTGAACTTTATCAACTATAACTAAGACAGCGAAAAAGTAATAGATACCCCTCCTCGTTCAGTTCGACCATCACTTGACTCATTTGACCCCCTTATCTCCTTTCGTTTCGTTGCTGCATTGATCTATCAGAACAACCCACCTGTAAATGCGTCCAAAAATAAAGTATGTCCAATACTAGAGATTGTCCAAATTGGAGAGTGTGTTTTACATTAGTGTCCAAAATTGGCGACGTGGAATTGCTATCAGTATTTTAGCCGAGTGCTACCAGAGATCCGCAAAGAGTGTGAACAGCTTCGTCGGCAGATTGACTCGTTACAGAGGCGACGTGAGCGGGCTATCAAGGTGGCGTACCGACAAGATTATTTCGACCGCATCTACGATGAAGACTTAATGAGGCTACTAAGCAAGGATGTAGCGGATAAATATATCAAGCCTATTGTCTATCACCAGCTTTCAGAACGAACCCGACTTCAAGAGGTGATGTGCGATCTCTCACTTACGCCACTCCTCATAAAATGATGAACAATGTTGATAGCCACTTGAAAGACGTCCCACCGTTGCAGAGATTCTCCTGCAGCCATCCTGTCTGCCGGTCCGAAGGACTCGTTCTCAAACAGTTGCAACATTTCACGAGTCATGTAGTAACTGTGCACCGCATTAATCTTCGGCCTTGAGTGTGCGCTTTAAGGAGACTCCTCCTTACAGGTACGGTTTCATAGGCCGTGGCCCCTTTTAATCACGTGTTTCTCACTTCTTTGTACATCGTTCGCTGTCTATTTGGCTGATCAGGTGCTAAAAGCGTTAGAAGGTGAGTAATGGCGTGGGGAGTTATAGATCGGTCTTGCATGCACCAGCATTACGGAGGTTGATGTGTTTTGGCATCATTTTCGTTTGTATATCGTCTCGGAAAGAAAGGCGACGGCGTCGCAATCAAAAGGCCAACGATACAGTATCTGCCAATATCCCGTTCGGCGGTTGATTGCGGTTTGATAGATCGTGAAAAAGGCTGCATTTATCGACGTACTGGTAATGATATCCTTGCTACCAACGCTAGAATGGCTCTGTGCAAGCGATTGTGTGATACGTAAGCTATCTGCTGTTCTAGGTTGCTGGATGAGAGACGAATGGTTAGTTGATCCTGTCTGTGGGTTGATGTAAACGAGTCCACTCGACGGTGCTGTTTTTTGTCAACAATGGGTTAATGAGTTCAGAAATCAAAGGATGCGCTCGGTTGAAATCTGTCAACAAATTATGGAGCAACGTCACAAGCCCCACTGACATTTCCTGGTGAGCCTCCCTCAAACTGGACAATGCAGGGAACTCACGTCTCATCAAGCTCAGAAGCCGGTCAATACAGCATATATGACAGGAAATTTGAGGGACTGATAGCACGCGCAAGGCAGACATGCGAAGCGTTTTTATTCTTGCTAAATTGCCATCACACTCTTTCCCCCGTCTGTCGTTAACCTATTTCTGACTCTGATCTTTATAAAGTCGGTGCCGAGCGTCTTAGTCGCGGTCGTGCTATCACTGACGAAATTCAAGCCGACGATTGCAGTCGGTGCAAAGAGAAGCGCCTCTCCTACTCTCAACCTCACGATCTCGCCAAATATCCGCTCCGCAGCTCTTCCCTTGCTATATGAACCCCTATGCTCGTTTTCATCGGCGTCGTCGCATTCGGCGCCCGACTCTAGCTGAGGTTCATTCGTGGCTACAGCTGCCAAGTGGCCTTTAAGACTACGTAACCATTTGGGCGAGGTAAAGCGGTGCGCAATTGTTATGGAACACAAGTCGAGCAGCGTGGGGGATATGGTAGGCTCCTGGGTTGAAATAATAATGCGAGCCCCGAGGTGACGCTGTAGGCGAATTATCGATAGCAGTGTATTGGTCAATGTCAGAGCCTCCGCAGAATCGCCCATGTACTTTTCTAGCCATCAGCTCGTTGCCAACAAAGGTCTACCGCTTGCTCTTACCTTGTGCGCTTCATCCAGTGCAATCACTCGGCCCGCAGCCATGCTCTGCTCGATGAACAGGCTCAAGCATACGTTGAACAGCGAACAAGCGCTCTCTGGCGTTACACAAGGGCAAGAAAGGTCGACAATTGTAAGCCAACCAGGCTGGAGTACTCAGTAAAGATTCTAAGTTTTGTCAGGGCACGAACCTTGGAATCCCAACCACTTTTTGTGATCGAATGCTTTCCCTTTTGCGTCTTCTTCTTGGTGTTTGCCGGTGTCCGATCTACCTGAGCTCTCGGCATGAAGCTTTCTAAGGTATCCAGGCGTTGATTTAGTGGCCCAAGCTGGGCAGGGCTCAAGCCGCTATCCATTACTTGACGTTTGAACTCGCGGTAGCTGAATTTGCCTCCCGCCTCTTGCTGTACTACGCGCATCTCCCGTAAGATACGATAGAGTGTGTGTACGTATAGGGGTACGGTTTCGCTATTATCTATCGCCATTATTTCTATCATCCGTTTTGTGTTCAGATCAAAATCATTGATCTGAAGCGGCTCGACCTGAACATTCAGACGTTGATAGGTACGCTGTTTTTCTCAACTGTTAGCATTCGATTGTCAAGGGTCTAAGAAGCACTTGCCTTGATTGTGTGTATGTTCGTCGGCGAGCACAGCACACGTACTTGGATCTGTGGATTTGAGGACAAAAATGCCGCTTCGCAGGGGGAGCCACCATCATCGGAAATAAAGGTATCATAGTGAAACACGATACCAGTCAAAGGCTTCGGAAGTGGACCTGCGTCAGAACGGCTTAAACAATTTTCCAAGAGACAGGATAGGGTATGACTCTTGCCGGATCCCTGAGAACCGCAGATAAATGTGCTCGATGGGGCAGCAACGTTGAAGAATATGCGAGGGTCTTGGTCATTGTGCAGTTCATTTCTCAGGATACTCTGTTCTTTGTTCTGCAATACATCAACCAGCCCACCGAGCAATCCATATTGAGGAAAAGGCTCCGGGGCACCTTGTGACAATGATTTCTCGGTGATTTTCAAGACAGGCATTGTGAAGATTGGCGATGTTGTCGTTTCTAGGAGTTCATCCTGGCTAGGCCTTTTTCGAAGCAGATGTAAGTGCTGTGCGAACGATTGCTCCTCCTGTCTGTCGCTGGGAGCCGTAGGCGCGGCGTTAGACGTCATCGAGGAATCATGGCTCAGGCAGCGTGACGAGTTTCCCGAGCTTCTCCCGGGGGAAGCAGAGCTGCTTTCCATATCTGTGAATATAATTCAGGATTGGTCTTTGCGGAGGAGAAATTGTCTCCTGCTTCAGAAGCGTCATTTGATTCCTTATATGAGGAACACTCAGCGATTGATGCTAGACAGCTAACCAATTGAAGTTATTAAGATAATCAGCTGGATCGAGGTATTTTTGCACATGAGTAGCGGTGAAAGAGTTAGTTGATACTCATTCGCAGGTATGCGGTTGTAGGCCTCAAAATTGGCGTAACGCAGATCTGCACGATCGTTGATCAATAGTTTCGTGCTGCACCGCAAAGACAGCGTCAGCTAAGAGCCTATTGATCAGTGCATCGATTTGCCTTGTACTTTGGATTCTGCATCCATTTACTTGGCAGATCGACATCTAGAGTTACAGTAAGACTCAGGTAGCGCAGCCTCTATTTCTTCATTGCTAATCCCTACGGCTATTGGTAGATTACACACAACTAGCCTCCAAGATTAGACCCTTGTATAGTCGCTGAGAGTTGAGGCCTACAATAGAAGTGCTCGGTGAAGTACGCCCGGTCATGCAGAGCTGCATCACGCCAATTCGAGGCCTACAATCGCATATTTGCGAATCAGTGGTAGGCTTGACGCCCCACAGCTTCCAACACATTCATGGTCAAGTTTGAGTTTTCTTCTTGTCTCCTTTTGCCAAAAGTCTGCTGCAACCGTCACTTCTTTTGATTCGTAGTCACAACACTCACTTACTCCTACACTAGCATTTTTGAATATTCCCATATTAGTCCCGGGGACGTTCCTTAGGCATCCGCTCTACTAGAGAGATACCTATCGCTCTTCTTTTAACTAACATTTACTATTATACTTATCCTACCCGTTTAAGTCTATCGATCCTAGTTTACTAGGTAGTAGACTTAATCCTCTACCTTCTAACTAGAATTTGTTTATATCTAGAATATACTAGTAATAGCCTTAACACTTTAATCTTAAATACCTTTCGCTTAAGTTTAAAAATCCCTCTCTTTTACTTCTCCCTCTTAAGAACTCTCTTTAGATCTTAGTCGAGTGCTATTTTATATAATTTAATCCCGCACTTATCTATAACCTTTATACTATAGTGGGGATCTAAGGGACCACTAATTTTTACTTTGTTTTTGCATTTTTACCTGTACTAGAATTAGCACATGGATAAGTGGAGCCACCTGGGCATATAAGCTCCTAGAGCTCACACTCCCTTTTACACCCTAGAACGGAGATATACAACACAAGAAGAGACAATACAGCTAGACCAGGGAGAAGCTGGCCAGTTAGGATAATTACGAATACAAACCTAATTTGCTATACTTATATTAATACCTAGATCTTGTGACTATTAGTCGTCCTAAATGCTACTACCTGAGTACGCCCTGAATATTCACTTCCTCAGAAGAATATTAAACTATAGTTTAGACTTCTTTAGCTAGATGACCAAACGACGATAATCCGACATTACGTCCACCGCTCAGTTGATACCTATTACGTTGACTGTAATCTTTTGGTTATTTTATCCACGATTCCTCCTAATAATCCTAGGAGTCCTCTAGTTCCTCTACAATACTTTAAGTATTATAATAGTTAAATAAATAACTATATAGAAATTAAATATATATATAAACTAAATAAACTAATACTTTATCGCTTACTTTAATACTTCCTTTAAAATTAAAAAGTCTCTCTTAAGTATTTCTACTAAATTTTATATTTTTTTTAGTTCTTTAATCTTTCTACTAAAAGATTAGTTAATTTAGAGTATATCTTATCTAAGAAAATATTAGAACTACTTTTGCTGTCCTACAATTTCTGTCAACTACTTATTTCTACTTATCTCTTATTCTTATATACTTTTACTTCAGTAATTTACTTCACTTTATTCACCCTTTTTCAGCTTTATTTCTACTAGCCTTACCCCTTATTTTCCACAAATTAATTTCAAGCCGTGCCTGGTCGAAAGGGCTCGCCGATTTTGTGGCATGAAAGTCGAGAGCTACGTTTAGTGTCGGTCTAGGAGATAGACTATAGAGTGTAGAGGATAAATGGAGGGGATTAGTATTTAGGACTATTAGCAAGCTCAGTAATAGGTCGTCCAGGGCTCACGCATTATTTAACTCATCCTACCTCGAATTTTGTTGCACGTCGCAAAGAAAGGGTACCCGTGGCAATTGTGGTCTGTATCTGGGCGAGTAAGACTAGTGCCAAAAGGGTAAAGCATGAACGGAAGGGTAATATGGGCTCACAGGGCAATTTATGATGATAAGACAATCACTTCATGTAATCATGCGGGAAATTCAAAAGTTGATTTGTTTCCTCCTATACATTTCAAACCAACGAGTAAGGTGTCCTCAAATGTGCCAGGGCTCCTGCTTCTCCAGCGCCAAGCTATCAGCACTCTCACAGCTCATCCTATGCCCCACCTGTGTCTGCTTCCACCCACCTGGCCCGGGTACAGGCGGTTCAGTGCTCGCTGACTCATCGCCATTGTCACTTCCACTGTGTCTTCCCCCTTTCTCCTCCGAAGCAGTCATCGACTGGGAGCGACGGAGAATCCTGGCCTTCAACCATGAACTAGGCGAAATAGCTTGAGGAGCTTGAATCGCTGGCCGAGAATCTAGAGGCGCTCTAGTATTGTTTGGCATTTTATGCGGGTAGTGGAATTTCATCCATCCGGGGATGGACCTGAAGGAATGGGCGTCGCTCTCCTCGGAAGCCAAGGTTATTTGACTGTTCCTGTAGCACCATGAACGGTGGAAAGTTGGAGGGAAGACTTCGTCTGGTAATGTTTGTGGTCGGTGAAAGTCGTCTGTGTCACTTTGTACAATTTCTCTCGGCCGGCGAGATATGACTGGAGGTCGGGGAGGCGGGAAACCCGCAGGCGGAGGTGGAAGTGGTGGAGGAGATTCCACGTCAGTCATACTTTTGGACGTTGAGGTCGTCGAGCGACGGCGGAAGAATGAGGTGAGTGAGCTCCGGTTCGAAGTCCCTTCTCCTGCTGCGTAAGTCGTGACAGGATTCTGGCCCAGGGGATTGAACCGGACGAGCCTTCTTAGGGACCTGGGGAGCGACCGCGTCGATTTCCGGGTTACAGTGGGCGGCGCAAAAGTAGACCTGCAATCCCAGCCTAAGCTACGCCTTGGGCCAACTTCTGCTATTAGTAGAGAGTGGGACATCTCTTCTGGTGTTTGCCTATAAGACCACCAACGGGAACCCCTCCCAGTGCCTAGCCAGCGCCGAGAAAGACATGACACCGCCTTTGGGAGTTCACCCCTACGCCGCTTGAGTAGAAATATCAACGCCAGGAGAAAACAAAATCCAGCTGCTTGGTTATTAGCCTTAGATGCCAGACGGTCCCGGTGGAATTAAGCTTTGAACCCACCAATAGTCCCAACGGCAATCCCAGCTTTCTGGCCTGGCCCTAAAGCACTATGACGAAACTCAGCAACTGTATTGGGAGGAAAAGAAACGAACCCTGTCGGCAGAGCAGTGAAGCTGGTGGTACCAACGAAGGCTGTCCGCAATGTTGTTGTCACCAAAGACGGCGTGGAAGTGACGGGGGACGTTTGGTAATATAAAGCTGGAGCGAGTGCAACGGACGTCCTAGTTACAGAAGGCGACGTAAAAGAAGGAGAGATTTCTGATGTTGAGGTCGTGATGGGAGCTGGAGGAGGAGTTGGCGAAGGAGGAGTTGGTGAAGGGGGAGTTGGCGAAGGAGGAGTCGGTGAAGGAGGAGTTGGTGAAGGAGGAGTTGGTGAAGGAGGAGTTGGTGAAGGAGTAGAGAATGAGGATACTATCGACTCTGGCGGAGGAACTTGGATGGGTGGGGTCGTTGGAGCTTCGGTTGTGGTAGTCGGCGCTGCAGTAGGTGGTCCCTTTTGGTTTCCTGCAGGACCTGGGGGTCCATTCTTATTGCCTTTGAGACCTGGTGGTCCATTGCCTTGGAGACCTGGGGGTCCATTCTTATTGCCTTGGAGACCTGGTGCATTCGTGTTCTTCGGGTCGCGAGGGACAAGACCCTTTGTGAGCTTTTGACCGTCTAGTAACACCATTCTATCGACATCCCTAGATATATGATGAGCGACTGCTTTTAGGCTCAGGGAATCTGAACACTCACCAGAAAAATTTTAAGATGCTGAACAATCGTTTCCAAATTCCTGTCCAAACTTAGAGAACTGAGCGCCAAGGCTTGGCTATTCGAAACGTTTTTAAATAGATGGAAATAACAATAAATGTACATTCCGCAGGCTACAGGCCGGCTGCTACAAGAGACCAAAATAAAGAAGGGAAAGAAGCAAAAAGACAACCCTCCGCCAGCTATTGAAGGGAAGAAACGTATAGCAATAGAAAGAGGATGTTGAACACGAACTAGAAGATCTGCACGAACATGAAGATCTGCACGAGCTAGTAGCTATATAGCGGCCGCAGCAGTGCAACGGAAACAAGCCCACCCGAATAATGTTGCCCAACAAACGTGCAAAGAAGTAAACGGAAAGCCACAGTTCCGTCAAAGTGTCAAATACCCCGCGTGGGGCATCATAAGCACGTCCTACTACTAGTGTAGAGTCGGAAGTAGTGTAGGCCGTGCTTTGAACTATAGTACCGACTGTGACAGGCTGATATATCCATGTTCGTCTAATAGAGGTCTAAAGATAAGGAGATGTGTAATCTTATTGTGGGGTGTTAAAGATAGTAGTGGCTTTGGAAATGAAACAGAAAAACAGGACGAGTGTTTCAAGCGCTAAAGGTAGAGATCCGCGCGCAGGAAATCTATATATATCTTTATTTCCTGACACACGCACGACCCTCATACATAGGCCCGAGCGCTAAAACTAGAGTACATAGCATCGACTTTGAGTAGGATTTCTATATAGCTACGATATTCCTAAGTATAGTAGTAAACACACCTCACTTCATCACTCGTGTGACCAGCAACCTCCTCCACTGGGCGGTCTGGCGTCTATCTACGTATATATACATATCCGTCAACAGAGTGCTCTGTTTGTGACTTGGGTATAAGGCTTGGACTCGGCGACTAACTTGTCCGCCTGTGTCTGCAATGCCTGGATACCTGGTGGGCTACGGCTACAATGAAGGCCGCTTTTGTGGATTGGATAGTAAATTGTATGGGACGGCGATACCAGAGGCATAACTGGGCAATGGCCGTGGTTGCCTGAAAGCAACGTGTAGCAACAAATGGCGCCGTACCCTTGTGCCGATCTCGACCAGCGAGGTTTCAGCAGAACTCCGTGTCGCCCGTGCTCAGCGAGTCATCTCGACCCAACTTCGATCACGACTGGTATCGGAACGGTTGTCGTCGACCTCCAAACTTTCTACATCATTGTCTGGTCGCGCTCAAGTATTTAACAATAATGTTATGGCTGTTTTTTCGCTCTTAGTCAAGCCCTCGTTACATTCCGACGTTAGAACCGACCTTCTCGACCTCGCAAGGTCCGCTATCTCAGTATGGGATGTCGCTCAAGCCGACGAGCGTGAAGTCATCGTGGAACCTGGACTCGACCCAGTAGGTCATAAAGGATGGCATGATAATATTCCTGAGTCCCAGACTAATATACTTGTCATGTTTCCGCGTATTATTGCTCGGGGATATTCCCGAACAAGTGTCAGTCGTTCCGCCAATATCCCTGGACGGTGGGTAGACCCAGAGACCGAGTTACACATTCTAGAGACTCCTATATACGGTGGGAAAGGACCTACAAAATGGTCAGAAGTGGTATTAGAAGGAGAGGAGGAGGAGGAAGATTGGAAAGCAAAGGAGGAAGATCAAAAAATAAAGGAGAAGAAGAGAACACTGCAAGAGGATTTAAAGAAGTTGGAGAACCCATTCGTGGGAACGCGAAGGATGTCCCAGATGGAATCGAACGCAGGAGCGGCGTCAAAGCCAAGTGCAGTAGGGTTGAAGGAAGGTGGGCAGAAAGTTAATCGAAGTGTTGAGTAGACCAAGATTGAAAGCCAATATTCATCCTATAGAATGCTCGAGGGGCCGTAGCGTGAATTTCATCTTCCGTCAATGTAGGTGCTGTGACTATCAAGAAAAACATCGAGTACACTACCATGGGACAGAGTATTGCACTCATTGACTTCATATTAGCTGTGGAGCAGGAGAACATGCTAGAAGTTGCTGGACTGGTACTTTGTAACGGTGCATATTGTTTGTGGCATCAACGTCGACTCGAAGCAGTTAATGGATGATCTCGTTTTCTTTGTCGTGGTAAAGGATATTCAAATTGTTGGTTCGAAAAGTGTTTAATTTTAGTGAGGACCCAAGTTAGTACTCAATCAAGGAAATCAGGACATTAACAGGTTATAAGTCCGGTTTAACATTTTTGAAGATATACCTCTCTGCATTAGTCGCACCTTATCGCCACCATGCCGTCCGATAATTTGAAGTTCCCCGATCTCGTCCACAACCACGACGGCACCCAGAACTTCGATCCTTGGAAGATCAATGCAAAGGTAGAGCTTCGCCCGAAGAAAGTGTGGCAATACACGCAGAAGCCTTTACCCCTGAATACCAATGCCACCCTTAAAGAGAAGCACGCTGACGCAGCAGATATGCTTACGCACCACATCTTGCAAGAGGTCAAAGACAAGCTGCCCGCCGGGCGCGTTCGACGATGCCTACGTTGTGTTCCAAGCCCTCGAAACCATATTTACGCCAATCCCCGAGCAAGCGTTTTACTCAGCATGCCAAGAGCTCTTTAGCTTACGGATCGAAAGCCATTCGATCGAGAACTTCTTGACCAAGATTAAGTTGTTGAACGAACGGATCAAAGCCACGACGGTTCCGTTTAATGCCAACAAATATGCCCTCCTCGTCCTTATGCTCGCTCTCGGTGGCAATACCGCGTACGACGGCCTCGTTAAATCTGGTCCACGATGCCCGATATCGACTCGGCGAAGGCGATTCGAATGCTTTGAGCGGAAACATAACGGCAGGATAATCAGAATAACTTGGAGGCTAGGTTGTTGGCTCGGCAGACAAGGAAGTGGAAAGCCAGGGAGCACGATTTGAGGGGAGGCATGCCGAAAAGATCGAGGGGGAGACGTCTCGAGGGGAGGTTTATCTTCGTTTTCGTTCCTACCGTGCGAAATCTGCCGGAAACACTACCCGGCAGCGTGTTAAGTAGAGCACGTCTGTAAGATCTGCGGGATCAAGGGTCATATCGAACGTCACTGTTACGATAACCCGACAAACAACAAGAAAGAAGACGTGGATAACGACGAAGGTTGTATTGTTCGACGCACCAATTTCGGCTACTTGGCGGCAGACGTGAGTAAAGATGGTGATTTCATACCGTGAGCAAGTTAAGAAGTGGTTCTTTATCCCGGCTGCGTGGTCAGTTGCGTGGTTAGTTACGTAGTTAGTTAGTTAGTGAGCAATGAAGTGAGTGAGTTGCGTAGTGAAGTACGTGGTGGAGTACGTGGTGGAGTACGTGAGTTGAGTGGGAATGGCTTCAAAATTTCCTATTTGGGACTCCAGCTGCTGCTGAAGGAAAGTGTTGGTGATCAGTATGGCTGGGAGATTAAGGGGTAAAAGTGGGTTTGGTTGAATTGTTTTATATTCCTCGATTCCACCCAAGTCAGTAATTAATCAAGGAAATCAAGATATTCAACATCTCAGGAATCGAGCACCGGGTTTCTTGCAATAAGCAAAGAAAAATAGCTTTGCAACTTCACGAACTCCCCGCCGTTTTCTGGAGCGTCATATTCCATGGTCCACTTCCGATACCTCTTGTCAGTCTCCTTGCTGTTCAGAGGTGGAATACCGTGTCTGTAAACACAATGCCATGCGTCTCGATTCCAACCTCTCGCATCGATATCCGGGTGCTTGGTTGAATCGAAGGTCTCCGGGAAAGCGCTTCGATATGCAAGCGACAATGGGTTGTGCGCCCTCATGATCCGGTACCATTTGTTCATTGAGCTCAGCGTATCGTGTCCTTGCACGTCATCGAGTAACAATTTCTTGAGTTCATTCTCGTAAGGCGAGTTGCCATGCAGCTTGTCTGTATACCAAGAGCTGAAGCGGTCCAGGCGGAGCATATTTGCTGTTTTCGTCGGCAAGACATCCAATATGCGCTCTACCATCATGAAGAGGACGTCAAGGTGCTCCTCGATTCGTTTACCCTGATACCGATCTGGATCTGCCCGCAATCCATAAGGTGTTGTTTTCCTCATGATCCCTTGTGCATGCATAAATGCCTCGCCCATCCTCAGGTTCTCCCGTTTTCCCTCGAACATCTCCGTAGAATACATTCTAGCCATCTTCACGTTCCGGATTTGTAGGAACAGCGGGAAGATAAACTGGTAGTCCCATTTTGCCCATGGGATTTCTCCTGCCCATGGCAATAAATCGGACTTGTTTTTGATCGACCGCTGGGGCTGGGCATCGTCGAACCAGCTCGTCTTCGTCGTATGCCCGAAAACTACCCAGAGAGACATAAATCCCTTCGCCCCCTTGAGTATCTCAACAAGGGCTCGAACTTTCTTGTAAAGACAGATGATTTGGGCACTGACTTTTCTATGCGGGGCCCAGATCCAAATTTGAACGTTTAGGCTATGCCAAGGTAGGTCACAGAAGCCCCTGGAAGTGGCGTCTGATAGGTCCTCTAGATCCCATTGCACTCCTTTAGTGGTTTTTGCTTTTATCCACGATTTGTATCGATATTCTGGTCTGACAGATATTACTATCGTGTCATCATTGTAACCAGAAGGTACTTCGGCGGCTACTTCTGCGTAGATTTTGCGGCTTGCAAGGAGGATTTCCTGGTCTCGTGAGAGGTGATTTGGTTTCCTGGGAAGCGACCGGCTGACATGTAGCTGGGGTGAGAAGTGCTTCCATATCATTGTCCGGACCTCTGCTGGTAGAAGGGAGAGCATCCCGAGGTTCGGATCAGTTATTTCCATGTTGGAAATTGAGCAAAACTAGGGTGTTTTGAATAAGCTATGATTCAAAGTGTGTATTAGTGTGCTCGTCGCCCGAGGACAAGGTGAATAGAAGGGTTTGAAAGGTAACTTGGTATCTGGTTGATTTGGTGTTAGAGAAATATGGGTAGTTGTGAAATGCTCTATTGTAAAGTGTCGAATGTATCTGTTTGAATCAAAATTTGGCGTGGAATGGTTGAAGATTTATGGTGGCTGGTGTGCAGTCATACCAATATGAACTGCGTCGGTGACTCAGCTCCGTCACTGGCAATGGTATGGGTACTTGAGTCAAGATTATCTGGAGACTTGCACCTCTTTGGTTCGTGCTTCATCTGAGACCAGAATTGGGGAGACCAGACTGATTTATATTCTGCCTAGCTTCAAAGTACTCAAGCTACCTAGGTTTTTCGAAGGAGAGTTGGGTTGAACTCCAGGTGGCCCAAAAAGGAAAGGTCGTCTGACCATTGCAAAGAAAGTAAGCTGGAATTGATGGAAAAGACTCACGCATAGATAAGCGCAGGACCATGGTTACTGGCAAGTGTTTCACGATATTTTAATTCCATTCAACACATTTCAAAGCTTGGACTGATGAGTGGTGATAGCGTTATATTCAAACGATGAACTTCCAAAACCCAATGACCGAGTCCAGATTGAACGCAAGCCAACCATAAATTTTTAACCTAATGACTCCAAGTCATTCAAACACACTATCACAATATAAATAATCGAATTCTCCATTTGCAACAGAGAAATCACTGATCTAAGCCTCGGAAAGCCTCCAAACAACCACCAGTTGTCCGGAGAATGGCATGGGCATGGGAAGGAAGGCACGTAAATTTCGTCTCTCCTCGCAGCTTCCCTTAACTTCAATAACACACTCGTGAAGTTGGTGGGCCAAGATTTGTTTTGGATTTCTCGCTTTCTTGATCTCTCTTCTGTTTCTTTTCTGACAACACTTTTCGAAAACAACACAACGCCCGGAACGTAAAAATTCCCTTCTTTTTCCAAAGCTAAGCACGACTAGGATACTATAAACCATGGATTCCTTGCAAAACCTTCCCTTCCACGATCACCCTTCGAACGTCGAGTCGTTCCAGACATCCTCGATTTCAAATCAATCTTTGATTGATTTATTGAACGGCAAGTTGGCAGGCGGCGTTGACACGATAGAACTTTTGCCGGATCAGGTCAGGGAGATAATCCAGGGCCTTCAAGAACCGAAAAAGTTCCCGCCTACCGATGAACCAGAATCGAGCGCGACGAAGGAACTCACAGTTCTGAAGCACCATTGCCGGCTAGGTGACTATACGGGTCGCGTCTTCAACGACCGAAAGTTACACAATACTGACGCCCCTTTACCGAAGCTCGCCACGGAACTGGTCGAACTCTTGGGAGAGGAGTATGGCGCGTTCTTGGGCGAATTCGGTACAAAATTCTGTTCGCTAGAAATTTCAGGCGCCTACAGCTATTACCTAAGGTAAATCTGTCTCCAATATCGAGCTTCTATACTACTTGAATACCTCGGTTTCATTGAGATATTCGCGTAACTAATACCTCAATTCTAGTGAGATATTCATACAACTTAAATATCTCAGTTCTAGTAAGATATTCGTACAACGAGGGATTCCTTCTCTCGCTTCTGCCACTTTCCATTCGAGTCCTGGACGATGTACCTGTCTGTATAGTAGCACAGTACCCGACTCCAGGTTTCCAGCTGCTGTATCTGGCCTTTGGGGAGTATTTCGGGCAGCGCCTCGAGATCCAGAGAAATTCGTTGGACCAGGACGTCCCATTTCTCCACGATCACAAGTTCTCCGGCTTCTCCATGGCAGACCTGATTCTGAGCAGCATAGGCCTGTACCGCGAACTTGGCCATCGCTGAATCTATGTCTCATCTTGCCTGGTTCCTAGTATAAACCCTCCACCTTTGTTTTAAGATTTACTAATTAACCAGCTGTTGCTAGGTTACTAGCTTCGATACAAAGTCTCTATACGGTCCCCTACGCGTGATGGGATTTAGACGATGGTCATAGTACAGCGCTCAGGGTGTCAAACGGTGGTTGTAGTACGGTAGTGACGGTCCTAGTGTGGTGGTACATACACGACGTGCAAGGTAGCAGCTAAGCTATACTATTGCTTACAATAGTAACATCCTATCTGAAATATAGGAAGTACCTTACTCAGATTTACTGGCAAATGCGCGTGGCGCAGCTATGATTCAGGGTACTGTGTCGCTGGACGAAGGAAATGAGGAAAACTGCACTCTCATCCTACCAGGGATGCAGCATAAGCTTGGTGCGTGGTGGGAGAGAGTTGTTGCGCGGGGGCAGGAGACATCCGGGTTCGTGCACCTCATCACTGACCAGCTGTTTACCAAGGGGGACTCGGAGCTGCTAGGAGTGCAGTGGAAGAAGACGCGGCAGGGCCCAAGCACTTCCAAGCATCACAGATCCAGGTATGAACCAGAGGATCAAAGATTGGATCACTAACTCGAAGTCAATCGCTGACCATCCATCAATCAAAGTGGCTCGGAGGAACTTTTTGAAAGGTGTTCATGATAGTCGACATGTATTTATGCAATCAAGGTCATTCAGTGACTTCCTGCGTACTCATAGCACAATTGCACTCAATCCTACTACTCCAGCAGACTTTGCTCGATGTGAGAAAATTGATCGACTTATCCAAGAAGAAATGATCACAACTGAGGATTATGAAGTTGGCAGATTTATGATGCGCTCTTTCCCTTGGCAGAAGCTACTTCAACGTGATTAGCCTGGAGGTTCGAAGTTTGATTCTCAATAATATATTACACTAGGTGGTTTGATATAGATCATAGGATCATGGATAGTTTGTTCATAGAAATATTTTGGGATCAGGTCTTTCAGATAGGATTTGTAGTTGCATAAATGGGGATCATTACTTAGCAGTTTCCTTTCCTTTTGTTATTATAGTTATCATCATTATTTAGCCTTCAGACGTGCGTAGTCGCACTATTGCGTTCAGGGAGTTGAAAATGGTCGGAATTCATCATGGCAGCCTTAGGCAACCATACTGCATGCCAGGCTTCAACTGTATTTAGCCGGGTCCTTACTATCCTGGACCTTTCTCTCTCTTACATCAATCAATCTACACCTTTACTTCAATCAAATCCATCTGAATTCTAATCCCACCTCAAATTATCTACTATCAATTCCTCATGGCGCTACTGGACTTACCACGAAACTTCGCCGCACTATGCTCCCCTGGTTTGTTGGCGTCCAGGACGATGAGAGTTCGCTAGAAGTTGTGGTACCTAAGCCCTGTCTACTACCCTCCTCCACCTGTGCCTTCGACTCCGCCAGGCGGCCGGGCTATGAACCGCAACACAGTCAAGGCGCGCGCCCGGCAGGACATGCTAAAGGCAGACCCAGGAAAATGGAAGCGCGAGGTATATAAGGCACGGTAGCGGTCATATATGCGAACGCGGAATCTGGGAAATCAAAACCCTCAAGAACAAGAAGGTACGCCCCGTAGAGGCGCCTATAGTAGTGGTGCGCTACAGTGGGTTATATCCGGAGTACTAGCGTGTAGTTGTGTAGGCGTCCAAGCGTCCAGGCGTATCTAAATAGTCAGTCAATGGATCTCCTTCCAAAGCTTCCTGGCAACATCCGCAACGAGGCCCATTATTGAATGTCCTAGAAGCCGCTTGTATATATATTGCTGCGACTTGGTAGGAGTGGGCCACTTTTACTACCCCATGGATCTCGTACGGCTCATTCACGGACACACCCGGTTCAAGAGTGTGATCTGGGTCCGTATCTATCCTATCCTCTGCTGACAGCTGTTGATAGAGATCTGGCTCCACCCAGATATAATCCATGGCCACGACCATCACCTGACCTACCTCGTGTATTGCGGCAGTTGACAATATCAGATGATGAGTCGGGATAAAAGAGTAGTATTTGGGATTCGGATATAAGCTTTTGGATTTGAATTCGAGTAGATCAAGGGTGAGGTAGTATGAACGGAACAGGATCGGCCCGGAAATGTCCCTTTTCGAACTAGTATTTAGCTACAAGGGGTGGGAGGTCGTGGATCGGTCGATCACCGGGAGTGGAGACAGTGTCAGGAAGTTGAACTTGAATATCTCAATCCTGGTGAGATATTCACGCGATATCGGATTTATATCTACGTACGAGTCGTTGGGCCTTACAATACTACCTAGGGAAAAGAGTTTTGCACCAAAGTCGCCCAAGAATACGCTATAGAGGAGGATAGTGGCGGGCCCATGGCGCTAGCCATCGAGGATATTATATATCGCATCCGCAACGAGGCGTGCGCTGATGGAAAGTCTAACTATTAAGATGCACTGCTATAGGCGCCACTGCGGGGCATAGCTTCAGGCCCTCATACGCTGTTAGCCCAGGCCTGCGCCTACTATAATGTGCCACCATAAGCAACACTATATAGCCTCGCTCCAGAGCTTATTGCCCTATAACCGAAGCCTAGAACCTACTGTCGCCGCGTCCCTTAGGGCCTTCCATCAGGCCTGCGCCCACTATAGATCTAGATCACGACCCTGCTAGAGAGAGGCATCCGGGTGGGCACCTAGGCGAACGTCGTATTTTCTACTGTGACGAGGCTCTGCGATTAGAATTTAGAGTTACCCGACTAAATTCATACATGATCGGGCACCAGGAGAGTTCCGGTTTAACCAACAGGCGATTTTGAGTGCCTAGGATTGAGACATTCTGCCACAGTAGCAGGCCGAAGGATCGGTCATACACAGGCTGTTCAAGTGGTAGTTCGACTCCCCACTTAAGAATGAGATATACGAAGAGTTCGATTGAGTATTTCGGAATTAGGAGGTCAGGGCGGTATATAAATGAACTGTACGCTGTGATTAGTTAATCAGGAGCCTCGATTCTCGCTAACTGGTAAAGGGGAGCGAATTCGTAGACTCGCTTAACCTATAGTGCCCATAGGCTGTGATATTGATCCGCAGGGTCCTATAATATACGGTTAAGGAAAGGATAAGGAATAAAAGCTAGGTGTAAAGGAAAAATGGAAATTGAGGTTGACTAATATACTTCTACTAAACACTTCTACTAGTTCGCCTACTACTAAACCAGGTAATTACCTCTGCTTCGATTTTAGATCGGGATCACCCCTACTTCTAGTATCAATATACATGGGCTTAGATCTAAAAGCTTCCAAATAGCTACTCACCTTTGATCTACTCGAATTCAAATCCAAAAGCTTATATCCGAACCCCAAATACCACCTTACCCTTGATCTACTCGAATTCAAATCTAAAGGCTTATATCCGAACCGAAGGAGATTCTGCGCCGGAGTCTCCATCCAAGAAGCCTAAGAAGCTGCAGGACCCGAAATCTCCTGTAACGGCCAAAAATCTATATGTGAAAGCGGTCTGGGACCTTTTTGCGCAGATCGAGCGGTTGGGAGGTAGGAATATAGGTAAGTCACTTACAACTGTGCAGGAAATGATCCAGACGGTGAAGGTTGAGCTCGGAATCCTTGAGCTCGCGGAGCAGACCGCGGTGGCTGCTTCGGGGAGCACAGCAGAGTCATAAACATCGGGAGCACGCTTAGAAGTATACTTAAGATCCAAGGCAAGTACGACGAGGCTAAGCAGCTATTTGTGGCTAGGGCCTATCAGCCTTTGTAACTCCAGCGCTGTGAAATCAACAGATTCGTGTGCGCGGCAAGCAAACATTATGCCTCACAAGCTACCGCTCCAGTTGCGCCCTCTCCCGCCTGCTATTGGGCATATATACTTACGAGGGCCTGGGACTTGTCGTCCTGGTCCCGGTTCCTGAGCAATACGAATTTCTCAAAGCGCCTGGTTCACGGCATAGATATCGAATCAATTTCCGGCATGCGGCATACGCACCCGACAACAATCCGTTGTTTACGCTGTATGCTTGGGATCATGCCGAAGGGGGGATACATCATGGCCTTGCGCACAACGCTTGTGCTATATTTGCAGACAACCGTATCAATGGCTACTTGAGCCGTGCCTGTACTGGCGAGTCGGGGTAGCGGGGTGGTACCTGGATCTGACCTCGGCGGCTCCGACTTTGACGTCTTGATCGAACCCATCACAACTGATATACTGGGGGCAGTTAGTAGGGAGGAGGCTATTTTCCCCTGCTGGGCCCGCCCGCCCGAACTTATATCGGCGAGCTGGGGAATGCGATCTGCGGGGAGCGCGGGAGACGGAGATCCTGGGAATGCGGAACAGCATCTCTGGCCGGATTGCAGGCGCGAGCGGAGCTTGAACGGGAACGTGATAAGTGCGCTCAGGAATTCGTCCGGGAGCGGCGCTCCTGCCTTTGCATACTTCCCCTACATTATTATATATAGAGTTGATAACAGCTATTACAGCACGGGCACCGTCGGATCTGGTCCTGGCCCTAGGGGTTTGGGTCACCAAATCTTCGAAAGCTAAGATTGAGCTATGCCAAACCTCGCCCCCCGTCCGTAATATACAGCATACGGAATCGGAAAACGACGCGTCACGTTCCGAAGCAGAGGCACTTGAAGACATAGTTCACACGGGCGTGCTTGGTAGACACGTTGACCATAGCCAGGCTGCACAATCCCAAGAGCGTAAGATTATGGAGAGGGTTGGGCCATCTGCTTTTAATGCCAGTGTACAGGAATTTGTGTGCATTATATTATAGTTTCTTTTAATAACAACTTCCTCTCTCTGGATATTCCTGCTACTAAGAAAATGTGTTTAAACCGCTCTAATATGAATGATCCTATTAGCGATGCATAATGGACCATCTATTATCAGCATACATTATTATTTTGATCATCTCTGAGAATGGATCATCTGTTCGATAGCTGACGTTTGCAAATTGCGTTACCCTGGTGAGCCTCGTGGAGGGAAAGAGGCCAGAGCGTGCTCTCAAGCGGTGCCTCTGAGCGCGACAGGAAGGGGAAGGAGAGAAGGAATCCTTCGGGCCGGAGCCCGGGTCTATTGTCTACCTCCGTACAAGAGCCGCACGTTGGCCTCACCCGTCGAGAGTTCCCAAAGGTCTAAGCCCAGATTGTCGAAATATCGCAGGATTTCGAGGATATAACCGGTTGCGCCTTGGATGATGGGCTCTGGGGATGGAGAATCGGCCCTTATCGAGCCATGGTGCTGATTTATGTACTTCAAAGGATGCGAGCTGTTTCCCAGGCGTTGGGCTGATTGGACAAATTGCCACGTGGTTGTACGAGGCATGTATCTAGGTACTTGATGATCCTTTCTACAGTTGGAGGGCGTGTGTGTTTCACACAACGATCCCCTGAGGCTCACTCTCATAGCGCATGATCAAGATAAATTAGAAGCCTCTACTGAGTGCAAACCTTGATCCCTTAAGTGGCATAGTTAAGTGGATTCAACTTAGTTCGGAGACCCTTTAACAATACAACGCAATTTACAACGAGGAGTGACTTCGAATTAGACGTATTTTTTGAAACGGACAGCGCACTACACCAGCTAGATCATGCACAATTAATTGTACTCGGATCCTTTCTCTCGGTCTGTTAAGCCTTAGTACTTGTTTAATCACGCTATATTGCACCTGATATGTAATATTTTAGGGTCCTCTGGGCAATCCGTTAATTCCTTCCAAGATCTTTTCCTTCCTTAGTAATATTCACGGCGAAATTTCTTCTTAGCTCCTATTAAAAGAATAGAGAAATGATTAATATAAAGAGTCCGTCAGGACCCAATTTCGAGGGCTATCTCAAAACACATCTCTTACTGTCCTTTCAACACCTAATCTTGCTATAGCTTGTTAAGATTCATTTCACTTCCACATCAGTCTGAGCGACGATTTTGAAATAGTCTTCACAATGACGTACCTTTCTCTCCTCGCTATGGCTGCAGCTATTCCTGCCCTTCTGGCCTTCCCAACCGAAAGCAACCCTCTTGAAGTTCGCGAAGACCCAACACCCACACTCGTAAGTAGAATCCTCTGAGCAACCCCCCCCTTTTTGGCATGATGCCCTATGCGTGAAGTGTCATCCTTGAACCCTCCCTCTTCACTTTCAGATGCTATAACGCATATGGAATCATAAGGCAATACTGACTCGGATACGTAACAGGGTGATTACACAGGTCAGAAGAGTCAGTATGAGGACGGATCTGGCACCTACGTTAGATCAGACGACTCGTATACCTATCGTCCATCTGGAGACTACTGTTGGACAGACACTGTCAGTATTTCCAGCGCAACGTCTCAAAATCGCTATACTGACAAATGTATTTAGTTCTTTGTAACCAAAGAAGATGTAGCCCAAGCCTGGACCAAAGCCGACACAGAGGTCGACTGCGCAACTACCCAGTCGTGCTCTACTTCAAGCATCAACTCAACCAATGCATGCATAACCTGGACGTTCGACAACCATCTCGATGTCTCAATGACCTGGATAAAAGATGTCTTAAGCGTAGGATACAGCGTAGGATTCTCATACTCCGACCAGAGGTGTTATTCATCCACGAGCAGCAACACCTGCACTTGGGACGACAAAGCTTGCCACGCTACCTGGACTAGCAATGTTAATTATAAAGTCAGCGGTTATATCCGTCGCCGATGCAATTATGTTACGGGCGCGAAAGAGCAAACTATTTGGAGTCACGACTATACGACTATAGTACCAGCACTGAAGACAAGGCTCGGATGTGGAGCGTCCTGTTCGGATACCTCGTATCCAGCCGAAATCCCTCCTGTTTAAAAGGTGACTCAGAACTTGAGTAATTCTTAGAATAGTTTTGACTAACCTGCACCAGAAGGCCGAGGGTTATATTTGAATGCATCATATCACAGAACAGAGGACGTACTTTTTCCTTTGCCCTTTTCACATGAACCTGCTATATACATTCAATCTGAGCTTTCATCCACACTTTCAAAATGGGGATATTTTCTATTCTAAGTATCTGTCAGAGATTCACTGTCTTCCTCTTTGGGCTTATCTCCCACACATTCTAATATAGCTTTGTCCTCAAATCCCTGGAGAACTTACCTCTCCAGAGAGCTCAATTAATCCACTTCTCTCCCCATACCTTGACCTCCAACAGTATTTGAGCTATCAGCTAAGAATATTTTTCAATATTATATAGTAAAAGCTATTACTTTATCGGGATTGCTATTACACTACGAACGACTATTCCTACACAGGCTACACCCGCTACACCCGCTACTATAGCGACTAATCTCAAATAGTGCGTATTGAGGGCGATTTTCCAAAAGTCGGGGGTTCACCGCCAACAACTTACCCAACACCTAGAAAGTAATAGGGCCTACGTAAGATCGAAAACTAAGACAATCACTTACTACCTTGATATAAAATACAGATAGCGATCTTTCGCTGCTGATACAGTCCCGACCTTTCATTCACCTAACAATCTTTAGAACCCCTTCGCGATGACTATAACGAAGAGTAAGTAAGTGTTAGAGAACAAATGAAAGAGGGAAGGGGTTAGTAGGAAAACAAAGACGTTGCTAAATCAAGCCTATAAACTAGGAAATCTCCGTAGTATTAATATAGCTTTGATAATTTATAATTATAGTAAATACCCTATATTTATATATAGAAAAATAGTTATTTCCGTTAATTATAGCTAAGATTATAAAGCTCTCATTAGTTTTAATTATTTTATTAATATATATATAAGAAAATATTATATCTTCTTCCTAAGATTTTCTTAATTTTGAGAAGAACGAGTATTAAAGTATAGACTAAAGAGGAAAATAATAACATTAGAGAAAACGTAGGATTTCTTATAAATAAAAGTAGCGTTTATATTTAGATTTAATTCAAATGTCTACTTTTCAACTTATTATATAATAATAAATTAATCTAATACTTTCTACTAGCTTATTAACTATTAATTATATATTTGACGAAAACGGCTCTTGATCATTACGGCTCCATCTCGAGCCTTGCTCACCTCCAAGACTTTTGCTATCATTTAGGCATTTCTCGAAGACTGTGAGGCATAGACTCGCAAGTGACACTCCACGATCTCAAACACTGCAATATCCTAAGTCCCAAAGAGGTTCCAAGAAATCGTGATCTCCAACTACAAATAGCCCCCAATGTCCTCAAATTTTCAATGGATCAGTCTTCCGACTCAACTCTGAAGCACAAGTAACTATGCTTCCCAACCAGTATCCTTTGGAAAGCAAGAGAGGAGCGGCCCCTTCTCCGGGGTAACTTTACAAAATGTAAGAAGATTATGTTTTCAGCGAGAGGTGTATAGTCTCGGGATGAGAATCGCAAAGCCAAGAAAATCCATCTCGGTCAACAGCGGTTAATTAAACCCCGCAGAGCGCCTCCAACTAGTGAAAAACGTCCCGACGAACGTCCTCGAGTATTTCATTGTAGTATGTCTCGCTTTCAACTGTATTTAAAGAAGAATTTCGCAGTGGGAACTACCCAAACAGCCACTCTCGATCACAGATTGTCGACCTCAGCATCGTGTCGACAAACCACTCAATAGCGACCTTGTACCGTACTCATGAAGCAAAATTGTATGCTCACCATCTTCCTTAGAAGAACAACTTCCAGGATCCGTCAAGGCTGACAACAAGGGTACACTTAACAGCCATATCTTGTCCTCTAGAGAAGGCGACGCCGTCGGCTGGTATCCTGTTTCCAGCAGGTCCAATTGCCAAATTCTCACAGGCCGCCGAATACTTATTCATTACAGACCCAGTCACGGTGTCTGCATTCGCTTAACATATTCAAGTTCATATAAAATAACACAGCTAGCAAAATCTATTTGTCAAGAATTCTAAACGACTCAGATCAAATCAGATCTAAGCGGGGGGGGGATATTTTCCACGTCGTTATATCAAGGAAACGGCAAATATGTCAAAGTTTGGTCCCAAGTTTGAGAAGTGTTCAATAATTGGAATAGCAGACGTTCCGAACTTGCTAGCATTCGCCAAATAATACTCTTTCTTCTCTTCATCTCCTGCGTAAAGCACAATCTCCAAGTAGTCCCAATCTATCGGGGTATTTACTAAAATCCCCGGGAAAGGCTTGAGAATCCGAATCATCATATCCACGTGGAACATTTGGGTAATTAAGATAATAGGATCCAATTACACGAGTTCCTGGAAATGGGGCCGTCCTCGTAGTTCACGCCAAGTCAAACGACTGCTCATCCCAACTATACGCCCTCTTCAGACGACTCGCGAAGAGGAGAAGTATTTATTAAAGCGACCGCAAGGATCGGAGTTATTCGCTCTATTACACTCGGTATTACCTGACTAACCTTTATTGAGTCGAGATTGCGGTATTCTTCTACGGGGCTTATGAGAGGCTCCAAGGTAGATTAGGAGGTCAAGATACTGCTAACTAGGTTAGGAGGGCCGAGGAATATATGCCGCAAAGAAGGGACGGCTAATACTACTAAAGCTTCGCTAAAGAATAATGAACCAAGGTAGGGAGAAGAGGAGGGTTAGGTAGTTAAATATTAAGGAGTCGGGATAGGGCAAGCAAAGGACGAGGACACCCTTTAAATATATCCTTAAGGGTTGTGTAGGTTAAGAGGGCGAGCAGATTTTTGCTTCTCGAAAGTCGAGTAAAGATAATAAAGGTCAAAGAGGATCGATTCTCAATCAGGATAGCACACAAGCAAGGGTGTGGGGTGTGCAAGTAAGGGGTGCGGGGTTAGCTAAAAGCTGGTTCTCGCCCGCTAACGGTTATTGGAAGCCCGCGTGATGACGTTGTCGTTGGAGGGAGCTGCGCATCAAGCTTTCTGTGCGTAAAAACAACACGCAACCAACGTCCACCGACTCGGACTCTCCTACATTTCAACCTCAACTACTCTATTCTACGATATTGCGCATTGCCTAGCAATCACATATACCTCTACTCTCGTGCGTATCTCCATCTTGATCTCCATTCCGAATTACGAGAGACTCCGTGCTGCATTCGCGAGTTGTCGAGAAGAGCTTGGTAGCCTGGTCAACAGCAACGGCAACTGATCGTTTCGAACAGAACACGATTCCGTACAACATACTCCTTGAGAATACAAACGTCGTAAATCCGGCAATATGACGCTATACTACAGCCTGGTAAGTTGTGCTCATATCCATTATCCGCCGCCGATTCCAGACTCTACTTCATCGAGCTGGAGACCATCATCCCTGGAATGCAATGAATACCGTGGCTAACACTATGCCGTGCTAGGTGTTTGTGCTGCTGGTGACAGAGATGGCTCTCTTCATGCTACTCATCGTACCCCTTCCATTCACGATCCGCAGGAAGATGTTCAACTTCATGTACGCCCCCCTTCGTTCCACCTACTTCCGCAGCAACGTACTCACAGTCTACCTAGAAGCGAGAGCCCGTTGGTAGCGAAACTACAATATGGAATGAAGATCACATTTATCTTCATCTTAATCCTCTTCATCGATAGCGTCAACCGTGTATACCGTGTCCAAGTCGAGCTTGCAGAAGCGAACAAGACCCAAGGAGGCGGGTACGTATTCCATTCCCCGCATATTCCATGACCCCAACTGAACAAGCCAGCAGAACCGCGGTCCTCGGCCACGAACGCATGGAAGTCCAAGCCCGAAAATTTTACTCGCAACGCAACATGTACCTCTGCGGCTTCACCCTTTTCCTCTCCCTGATCCTCAACCGCACGTACACAATGATCCTTGATGTCCTCCGCTTGGAGGAGAAGGTTAAGAGCTACGAAGGCGACTCTGCTGCTGGCGGAAAGGAGGGCGAGAAGTTGGCTAATGCCGGAAGCCCCGGAGAGATTGCCAAACTGAGAAAGCAGTTGGCCCAGAAGACCCAGGATTTCGAGACTTTGAAGAAGCAGTCTGAGGGCTTAAGCAGGGAATATAATAGATTGGGTGATGAGAAGACCGAGGCCGATGTTACGCCTAAGAAGGACAGGTAGATCATCTGTTGGCTAGGCCCGAATGCGATGATTGGCTTGTATTCATGAGCATGAAGGGCGACTTGAGACATTGGTGAAGGCAAGAGGTATCATGAAGGGGTAGATGACATATGATTTGTGTTGCTGGATGATATGGTACGAGCATATTTTTGGTGGATTTGGGGGCATTGCAGGAGAAAAGAAGTGTTTTTCTTAGGCGCTTTTGGTACTGTACGCTTTAGGTTGCGGTTTATAGCGTCTAAATGAATGTCTTATTCTCAGGGTTCGTGTACTAGTGTCATGGATTTGCTGATTTGCATAAATATCAGTTCCAGCTTTAATATGATCTAGTGTTCCTAGTTACCCGTGGCTACGTTTTTATGTTGAAGTACCACCTCTATATATCATCTTGAAGTCGTTACGGCCAATACTTACGGCTCCAAGAATGCAACATATATACAATCCCTGTTCTCCTGCACAAAACTGGACTCTATTTCCTTTTGGGTTTCTAAGAGTTGTGGATAACAAAGAATTTCGTTGGTCGTTCAACCAAATTTGGAAGGATCTAGGTGTGACTCCTCACCTAAAGGTTCTGGTACATTCAAGGAGTTATAAAATTGCTTCCTTTGATATATAATATCTCTTTAATTGCAGGACTAGTTAAACTCTCAGTACCAATGCCCTATGTATAACGTCCTACGTTGCTCAACCTGCATATATAGTTTCAACGAAGTTGAGGATCAACCATATGTCTTGCTTGTTCAAGTAATAGCCGGCAGTCACTGATTACTTGCTTTGATATACTCATATATTTCCATCATGAAAGACCCTTCATACCTTCTCTATGTACGCGCTATCCAACAAGTCATCTCCAACTAGTCCCAGGAGTACTGTAGGATTGGAAGAGATATGCTACACGCCCTGATTGCTCTCATCTTACCTCTTCTCTTGCAATCTACCCTCATACACCTAGGAGATGGACTGGAATGATGCAGCGTATGCAGCACAAATTCAGCGCCAAGAAGAAGAGCGGCATAATCTGATAGTCGCAGACTCCCAGCTTGCTCATGCCCTGCAGGACTGGGAAATCTCTACCGCCGGAGCCAACACCTTGCCGAATGCCCAAGCAAGACATCATCAAGAAACACATCAGGCATCGGCGAATATTACGAATGGCGCCAGGCAATCTACCCCTCATAATCCCTCTACAAATTTGCCTCCACGGCGAGGCCGTGGCCGAGGCCGCGCCCGGAATAATAGATCCCGCAGATCTGGCCCACAAGTATCTCAATCTCCGGCAAACGCCAGGCCAGCAGCGACGTTGAATAACCTTCCTGATATTCCTCTGCCAGCGAATGGTGGCCTGGCGGCTTCAAGGTGGGCTGAGCCTAACCAGACCCAGGGAACACCCACGCCAGCCATATCTTCAACAAACCGATCTAGGGCTTCAACGAATGGTGGTTTGGGGGCTTCAAGGTGGTCTGAACGTACCCAGACCCGGGAACCACCCACGCCGGCCAGATCTTCAACAAACCGAGCCAGAGCTTCAGCAAACCAGGCTCGGGGTTCGATTAACCAGACTCGGGGTTCAACTAATCAGGCTCAGGCTTCAAACAACAGACCATCACACTCATCTTCTATCCGGTACAACCTACCAGGCTCGTACCCCGTCGAACAGAACTTTGTCAGCGCGGCGGCCGTTCCTCCAAGGGCTGTCACTCCTCCAAGGGCCGTTACACATGAATGCAACATGTGTCTGGACGATGTAGAGCAGCATAACATTGCAAACCTGAGCTGCGAGCATAATTGCTGCCGTGACTGCTTGGTCACTATTTTTCAAAATGCAACAAGGGACGAAACCCTCTTCCCGCCGAGATGCTGCGCTCCTATACTCCTCGAATACATCAGCCACTTGCTGCCGGGTGCATTAGTCTTCCAGTTCATCGAAAAGAGCAAGGAGTGGGAAACGCAAAACAGGACTTACTGCTCGAATAGCACATGCGAGGCCTTTATTAGGCCGGAGACTACACTCGAGAACTTTGCCAACTGTTTACGCTGCGAGACGCTGACATGTACCCAGTGCAAACAACCCGCACACTACGACGATTGCCCCCCGGACAGAGCGCTCCAGGCAACGATGCAATTTCTTGAGCAAAGCAATAACATCCAGCGCTGCTACTCTTGCAATACTGGCGTGGAACGCGATGGTGGATGTAATCATATGACGTACGATCCACCCCATCCGTTATTTTTATATGAAATTAAAACGTAGCTTCTTATGCTAATACGGGGATAGCTGCAATTGCAAAGCGCAGTTCTGCTATCTTTGCGGGCTGCCGTGGCACCAATGTAACCATGGTATTTTCGAACCCGGTCCACCAGTAATCCGAGAGAGCCAGGCATTAGATCGGCCTCTGCCAAACCAAACTGAGGCAGTAGGAATGCATGCTCCGCGGGTGATTCAACAGCCTCAATTTTTCCAACAGCAGCTGGGATTTGGCGGGCCCGTCGGATTGTTCGCTCCACCAGTAACGCAGTGGGACCAGGCAATCAGCTGGCGTTTCCCAGAGGCAGCCGATGACGACGGAAGGAATGGCCCAATTGAATGTATACATACTGTCATGGCGGTGTGGCAGCGATTCGACTTGTGGTATATTACCGCAGGAGACGATTGTCCGCGGTGCAGAGTTTTAGACACTACCATTTGGCAATGTAGGAACTGTGGATGGAGGGGATGCCGGAACTGCGTACATTGGTCGAATTTTTAGACTTGATTAGCATGAAATATAGAGGTTAGTACAAAGAGATGCCAAAGGGTGCTCGGGGATGAATGGCTCTACAATGCCAATAAGTGAGTTGAGCTGTCTTCGAAAAGCTAGCATTTTGGCCCCCTCCTTTAGAAATTCTGCGTTATTAGAAAGCTCCACAGGAGAGAATCCGTGATGATGGTCTCCCTGAAAAACTTTGATGGTTGTCACAAGATGAGAGGATCATACCATCTTTCTACCATATGTTAATTTTATTCAGCTCGTCCGATTGTTTTTAATCTACCTTATTTATCTTCAGGTATGCTTCCATTAACAAGTGTCTAAAAGGTTATCGATGACCAAACAAAGCTACGAGGAATCCCAAATAGATACATGCCTTACGCCCATGTTCTCCATTATTGCAAGGGATATAGCTAGTAAGTAGAGATGATTAAGGCTAGTGGCATAGCAGAATAAGATATTCCTCACTCTAGAGCTACTTAAAATACAACAACTTAAGTTAAAACGTGAGTCTGCTTCGCATCTTTTAAGCAGGCACAAGTTAGGCAAGCAAGCCACTACAAGGGAAAGCTGCCCCAGAGGAAAGGAAAGCACTATGAAAAGCTTATTTGTACATAACTACCAACCCCGAGTGGGAAGTCGCCTCATATAATGAACCTATCACTATAGGTTTGATTTTACTTCTGTTTTTCAATACCATAATATTATATTTTATAAGAGCCTACTCTTTGTGTTAACCGTATCCTTATACCGAAAACTCTCTATAGCTGTAATTGCCCAAACAATAATCTACAGTCTATAGATTTATGCATCTCTTTCCACATAATCAATGTCAAATATATGTTCCCCCGTATATATCTAGCAAAAACCCTAGGAGGTATAGCGACTCATGAAGTTTCAATTCGCTTAAGCGTTTTGAAGGACGAAGTGGAGGTTGATTTCGGTGAAGATGTAGCTATTGATCGTCAAGTGTAACAGGATATGAGCGGTCCGGATTAGCCTTCAACCAAATTCTCCGTAAGCAAAGCCATCGCGCCAAGATGGTTGGTCCACTTCCCGCGCCCGGGCCAAGGCGGCCGTTGTTTCGATATGATTATCTACCAACCGCTAGATAACTCTCTATGAATGAATCGGTTGAGAGCCTAAAGGTAAGGTAGCTAAGGGGACGATAGGCTTGGGCGGTGCTATAGGTGCTGGCTCTGCTACAGTTCCTTCAAATATTCGACCAGCAACTAAACTATCTCGAGCTCAAGTGGGAGCTCTCCGAGTTCAAAACGCAACTCGACTAGAATTTTCTAGTCGTCCTGACTAGACACACGGTAGGACATATCGTCATCTTGACAAGCAGTAATTTCTACGTGCTATAGTGACCGGGGAATAATTCTGTATAAACCTAGGTACTATAAACTTATAAATTGACAGCTGACCGTCACTTGACAGCTAGACTGTCTATTGATAGCCAACTCTAAATTTGACAGAGGATGGTCGCTGAAATTATATAGTAATATTATAACCAAAAAAAAGAAACCTGATTTTGTTCAGCGAGCTAACACGATCGTTGGCTGGAGCTTTAGGTGATCCGTCAGCGATCTTCAAAGTGGAGTATATAAAATTGATGCTGGTTTGTCACCAGTCACATGGAAATCATCTGGTGCTTAGGTAGGTAGGTAGGCCGTCATTACAACATCCTCCCCAGGGGTATTTATACACCAAGAAGTATACTAAGCCTCCCAACCACCTCACAAAACACCCCCACTCTTTAACTCCCCAAACCAAAAAGAGTCCACAAGAAAACCACAGAATACAGCAAAAAATGGTGATATATTGATATAAATTTGATCTGATCCAAAAATAGTATTGGGGGGGGGGGGGACCGGATTTGCGCCTGCCTACGCCTATATTGGAAAAGGAAGCTAAATAAACAGACTGCCAAAGGGGGTATCTAAATTTCGCAAAAGAAAATATAAAAAAGGGACTTTCCATGCCACACCAAATATCAAAAAGTCCTACTCCCACACCCCATACATAGCGCGAATATAAAAAACAGACCGCTGAAGGGACGGTGGCGGCGCCATGATACATTTCCAACTCCCTGCTGCCCACCCCCCCCCTTCGTCCCATTGCTGGGAACTAACCGCTTGATTGTATTTATGTGTGTGTTTTCAATTTCAAACTGCGTGATTTCATCACGTGCTTCTCTTTCCGCAATTTCCCCTTGGCAAAATAGAAGGGTATACTTTTATACCGTGATACTGACATTCTTCCTCGTCTCTGCCTCCTCGACGTGGAATCCAAAAACTAACTTGAATAAATCTTTCAGAAACGTATATCTTCCACTGTTCATCATCCAGCCAACACTCTTGGCGACATCCGCCGCATTAGCCTTCTTGCCAATAGATGGCAGTGAACTAGCACTTCGGAATGTCGGGTCACTTAGGACTAAAGTTCGATATGCGGTCAAGAGCGCAGCATGTGACGGTAGAGAGCCAAAAGAACCCGTCGGAAGGGATTTGACGAAGGCTTGTAAGGCGGGTGGATCGGATTTATTAGGTGCTGCTGAGGTAGGTGTTGTGCGGGAGAAGCCGACGTTCATCGCGGCTTTTAAGATGAGGACCTTGAGACGGGTGAGATTTACATCTTCAGTGTTTTTTGTGGAGGTGATTGTGCTGGAGGATTTCTGGCTGCCCTGGGAATAGGTTGATAGCGAAGATGTTGCACTGGACCATCTCGTTTTGGAGCGGCTCCCTTCGGTGCCGAGAACCAATATGTTAGGAATGTTAGGGGAGTTTTCCTCAGGTGAGATGGGAGTGTCTTCAAATTCAGTGGTGGGTGTTTCGGGCATATATCGTACGTGGGTACGTTCTGGAGGCTCAGGGTTTTCAGGAAGACTAGGCAAGCTACCGCTCCTTGAATGTGACGAGCGACTCATTTGTTCAGACGCTTGTGCGAATGTGGTTTGTGAGGGGCGGGGAGTCCCGCGCTCGGGTCGGACCTGGGTCCACCCTTCTCTAAATAGATCACACAACTCCCAACATGCCTGGACCGCGGAACCAAGTAGCTCCTCGTCTGCTGCCTTCCCATCTCGTTTGTTCTGGCGGAGGCTGAAAAGCATCTCAGCTAATGACCAACAAGCCCGGAGGAGGGCATCCGTTTCCTCAGCGAGTTCATTCCGCTGCTTCATTAACCTGTGGCACAAGGTAATATAGAAATCCAAGGTCCGTTCCCTAAACGCTTCGGGAAGAGACCGGTCATGAGTGTTAAAGAGGTGGTTATTCAGTTCGAAGCTGACCCGCAGGACGGAGTCAGCGATCTCATCCTTTCGTTGTCTCACATCAAACAACGCTTGGCAAAAATCCCGGCATAGCTCCAGTGTTGGCCGTACGTGGAACTCATGATCCTCATCACGGCTGTCGTAAAGCTTCTGGCAGAGTTTCCAACAGCATTTCCAAGCTTTCTCGTGGGCATCCCCAGTTCCGGAATAGCTAAAGATTCTTTCCCGGTGGATCGAGCTAAGACTGGCCAGGGTGTTGCACAGCGTCCAACATTCGTGGAGGGCGGTCTTCAGGGCGTTAATTTCTTCGTCCGTGTTGTGTACCGTTCGCGCGTCGAATTCATCTTCTTCAACCTCGCGTTGATCCTCGGGAATGCCTGGGAACCATGAGTAATGCGGATAATCGCCGAGTCCGGTTGACACACCTGCAAGGCTATTTGCGCTACTTGACCGTTGTCCTTTACCGACTAGGGCCTCAACTTCTTGCCGGGTTTGGGCTCGAGGAGTTGCATCTTCCAGTGCATATCTGACAGGCGCGACATCCGTCGATATGGGAGGAGGTGAGATGGGGCTTGATTGGACAACCTAGGTGGGTTAGTGACGTGCTAGTACGACTGGACTGGGTGGTCTACCTTATCGTTTGGAACGGATAGGTCGGTTTTGATAGTTGACGGGGACGTCTCTTCATGATGATATGGTATCGGAGTTGATCTATCCACCTGAGGGGGTTGAGCCGGCGGGGTTGGCTTTGGTGTATTCTTAGCTAGTCAGTAATTTGCCATCAGCTAGAAGTCGCGCCCAGCTCACAAAATCCCCAAAGCCCTCCGGCGCATGTATGACTGATATAGATTCGTCGTCGAGGGAGGTTCGGAAATGCTCCGGCAGGTTTGTACTAAGTCGCTTCAACTGCGCAACACATTAGCAACGTAAGCGCCGCATGCTTCTTCCATGACCCACAGCAGATTGTGATTCTACAGAATCGGCTATGCTAGATGTGGTGGATGTTGTCGGGCTGGATTCATGCTCCTGCACATCCTCGGCTGCCTCGTCGTCGATTTCAGTTGTTTCAGTGCCATTCGATGTGACGGGCGACGGGCCCACCATATCACTTGGACTTGCCATATGCGCGTTGTTTGGAGAGAGTCCGTAATCTACCGAGTGAGGATGGAGACTATTTGCTTCCGCAGAGCTACGGGCGGAGCTAGAATAGAATAATGATCAGCTTTCTCTCGCTCACTCCATGAATTGAGGGCAGGCTGCCTTTGGCATTCAACGTACAGTGATTGGAATCTTGGAGATTGCTGGGCCGGGGAGTTGGGCGACAGGGAGAAGTCAGTATATGGAGAAAAGGCCGACATGATATTTCCCGGCGAGGGCGCGAGAGGGCTCTCCAATGCCATTGTCTGGGGGGTGCTGGCGAGGCTGTGACGCGTGAAGGTTCGAATGGTGTTGTGTGACAGGCAAGCAGGGTGGTGGCTATTTTATGTAGGCAGAGCGAGAGGTAGAATCATGAGATGGCGGCGCTGTAACTTCGTACTCAGTACCGAAGTCGAGGAGGCCCTCTGGCTACAGGACTGCACGGCGCTGCAATGCAGGTCGCCGACAGGGAAGGGCTCCGAGGTGTTGGTGTTGGTGAGAGCCGTTGCGGTTGTGGTCGCGGCCTCGGTGTCGTGGAGTCGGGGACTGGAGGCCAAGCCGGTCAAGGTCCAGGAGCCAAAGGCTGAATGCAGGAGAATGGAGCTTGACTTTCTGCAGTGGACTCGGTAGCGCGGAGGGAGCTATGAGGACTGGTTGAAGCTGAATTGGACTGGACTGGACACTGGATGGGATAGGATAGCACTGGATATGTAGCCCTGGACTGGACTGGAGCGGAGTACGAGTAGAGTGAAGAGAGATGCACCAAGCTGACAGCAGCAGCAGCAACAGCAGCAGCAGCACGTAGCACTCAGCACGCAGCTTATGAATTAGCAGGCAGGATGTTGGGCTGGAGAAACGCAGGCCAAGAGGCAATGCAATTGTTGGAATATTGTGTTGTTATATCATTCGCGGTCCGTAGCCTTGGGATTTAGTGCCATCCACCAAGTTCCACCAAGCCTGCAACTTGGGACTGCCTCCTGTGCTCTGGACGTATAATACTGCGTATAATAATGTTAATGCTGGGACTAGAGTATGAGACAATGGGACAATGAGCCGAAGGAGCCTGGGACGCTGGGGAGTCTGAGCCAGCTGTGCCACGGGCGTACTGCTTGTAGGGGGCAGCTAATGGGAGACAATAGTGTAGGTCGATCAGAAGGATTGCCGGTCGCTTGGCTTGGGCGGCGAGAAGGGCAATCGAATATCGAATGCCTGAAGGTACGTGCTTGGTAAGTAGTGCACGTAGTAGTAGTATCAAATATCAAATATCCAAAAAGCCGACTTTGGCGGGATGGATGCCGTTGAAACGAAAGGACCAGGACAACCGTCCCTGGCGGCCGAATCAGCGACAGATACACTTTTGGACGCACATTGCACTCAGATGCACTTGAGTCTTGCGTGCATCGTCCATTGGGCGCCCACCAACCACGGCCGCAGATGCGCGTCTCTTGATCGCAGCGTGCAGTTGTGCTGGCGCTTAGAGGGAGAAAGGGTGGAAGACTGGAGGAGTGGAAGACTCGATGCGCCATCAGGGCCGTGATAAGCCCCAAGAGCCTTGTTTTTTCTAGCACTGTCCAGCGCCCTTCCACCCGAACGCTCTCCTCCCTCTCTCCGTCGGGGCGTCAAAGGCTCAACCTTCCAGCTACTGGCTTTCTAGCTACGCCACCACGTCCCCCCCCCTTTGTCCCAAGCTTCTGCCCTACCTGGAGCCACCTCCGGCCCTGTCCTGGACGCTCACTACTACTACTACTACGAACTAGTAACGGTTCAACCACTCGTCGTCGTCCCAGCCCGCGGGATATCGACGCCTCCTGCTCCGAGTGGTTTCGAGCCACGAAACATCGCGGCTCCAGCCCTCTATGCCGGCCAATCGATGCCACTGTCGCACGGGCTATCACGATTTCCAGCACTCACCACAGTTGCCAGAGCCCAGAGTCACCCACGGCCAGGAGTGAGCACCGCCTGGAATGGACGGGATGAGCCGCTTTTGGGAAGCCAGAGTCAAGGCGAGGGAGAAACATCGATGGACGAGCAATCCCCAGAGGCTGAATGAGAGGCACGGAACGATTCCTACGGTCCCAAGGTCTCAAGGATTCAAGGATTCGTGGGGTTAAGGTCTCAAGGATTCAAGAAGAGGCTTTTCCAATGCTGAGATCAGTCTTACCCATCCCATCCCATCCCAATCCCATTCGATGCTCCCGCCCAGATGGTCGTGTGTTCGGGGCGTGGCCGAACGGCCTCGACCTACCTACTCCGTACATGCTCCGTACATAGTACATAGTACATACCAACAGTTGGGTGGATAAGCTTTTGATTACTCGGTAACCTCTCGGTCAGCATGGCCACGATGTCTCCCCCAAGTGGAATGATCAGTTACACGCGGTGAGGGCTTTGTATGACACATCGCACGTCTAGAATTGCCGCCCCGGCGTCACTGGCTGGGGACAAGAAGTAAGTTTTATTCATGGTGGTACAGGACATCGTGGGTTATTGGTGCTGTTTCCTGCTGGCTCGCTCAACCTCGGATAAGTTCGACTGCTAGATCTCTTCCAGAAGGTGCCCGATGCAGTGGCTTTTCCCATATCCATGGAAGTCGACCGCCTATTCATTCATGCGATGAGATCCGCTGCGCCGCTACTGTACTAACCAGAAAAAAGGCACCTCGCGCTTGCATAGGCGCTGCAGCGGGTATGGCCTATCAAAAAGTATCGATATACACGAGATGTCTCCGATCAGTGGATGTTGGTTCCACAATTGCGGAGACGATATACCCCAAGGGGAAGCGGAGGGCCCCCCGTGGCTGAAAGGAGCTGGCGGCGTACGATTCTGTAGTTCTGTTGGAAACAGCCGGCGGTGACAGCGAAGCCGATGCGCTGGCGATGCTAGCTAAAGGCGCAGACGCGAAAGAAGGCCCTCCTATGGGTGCACTAAGAGCGTACGCGTATATTTCAGCGGTTCCGGCGGCACGGCGCGCCATTTTTGCAAAATAAGAGGATGGAACGCGTCTGATATTGGGGATTGTATCATGTATTCCGCAAACCAAGCCTCCCCCAGTCCCACTTCAACGCCTATTCAACGCCTTTTTCAATAAATCGTGCATGGAACCGCTGAAAACTCCAATCCTATACACCGCCTGTGGCCCAAGTCTTCGCGTCCAAGGCTTTCCTGTGTCTCAATGCCATTTGCTTCATCCTGACTCGTATAATCTACTGTAGTTGAGCTTTCTTCGCATCTCTTTCCGCAGGGTTGTATCTATCCAATAGTTAGCATCGAATCTACAGCATATGCTCTGAAAGCGAGCTCGTAGATAGACCCCCCAAGGAAATACTCACTTCAGAAGCTTTTCGATCAGGTCAACGTGTGTCATGATCATCCGGCGACAGCAATATCTTTTGCAACCTAGTTGATCCATGGCATCACTATGAAATATCAGCACCGATGGTAGAGTAACTCTGGGAAGCAATGTATCCAACTGACCCATCTGACACCCCCTCATCAATAAGCTTCAGGTAGCGCTCCCATAGATCTCCGATAACCTGTGCTCAAGTTAGTAAGGGTAGGACCTGGAGAGCTCGTTCACAGGGGGCACGAACCTTCCCGCAGGAAAAGCAGCGGACTGGAATAATCATCTTGGAATCCCTAGTTCAAAAAATTCTCCAAATCAACGAGCGGCGCAAGGGACAGAGCGTATCAAATGGGCGGAAGGATGATGTTGCGAGATGAGGGAGGGCGCGTGGGGTTGTCGTATCAAAGAAACTCTCTCGTAGGAAGTTCCGCGCTAAAATTTATTTTTCGCGAGAATCAGCCTCGCTCACCGCGATAAGAAAAAGTTTCACACCTTCCAACCTCCAGACCGTACCAGACCTCCGACAAACCACCATGGCTTCGGAATTGAAGCGCAAGAGAGGTCCAGTGGGGGTCCAGGCCGCCCCCAAACGTGCGAAATCCGTCAAGAGCCCCGTTGCGAAACCTCTGCAAAAACTCGGTTTAGATAACGTTGGCTGGGACGCTGCTTTCAATCCCCCAACTAAGGGGAAAGAGTTGGTAGCTACGAATGGTGTTAATGGACATGCCGCGGAGGGACAAAAGGATCCAGATTCTGCGGAACCGCTTGATTACGATGTTTTGGAGCAGCAGGAATTGGTTAAAAATAAGAATCTGGCAGAATATGGAGCTCCGACGCTTCCAAAGCCCATCAGCAAGACATGGAAATTATCGGAGTCTATAGGAGGCCGGATGATAGACGTGGAACCGGTCTTCTCTGTAGATGAGAAGTATGCATTAATCCCTAACCTGCCTTGCTTGATGTGATGCTAATTTGCAATTCGTTATAGGTATATCGTCGTTGCAAGCGCTAAAGCCGTCCATGTCTACTCCACCTCCACTTCCCTTCTGACCCGGACAATTAAACTCAAAATCGACGAATCTCGCCCTGACTCTCGAATCATCACATACTGCCTGTCACCCACAGAGTCCGATATAGTCTGGGTCGCCTGCTCGAATGGCTGCATCTACCGGATAGACTGGACGTCAGGGGCGGGCTCGGAGCAATGGTGGGGTATCTCTTCCACAGGATGTATATGGATGACCGTAGCATCCATGGAATCGGCTGGACGACGAAGAGATGTTGTATTTACGACTGAGAGCCGAAAGGACGGAGGCTGGCGGGTAACTGCCAACGAATTGGCTCCTCCCGATGGCCCAATCCAGACGGTTGCGAAAACAATATACACATCAAACGGCCATATATCCTTTTTGAAAACTGCCAACGAAGGTGCTATTATTGCCGGAGCGGCTGGAAACAAGGTTCTACTGGGCCGACTTAGGTCAACCGAGTACGACACCATCGACAAGATCAAATACGAATTCCGGATATTCGAAACTGCTGTTCCTGTCTCGGCCCTCGACTTGAGGGTGTCTGATAGGACCGGTACGGAGAATCTCAAGAAGTCCATCTTGAAGAAGACGCCGATTGTTGATGTCGTCGTTGGGGATGTTCGGGGTTCTATATTCCTGCACAACGACTTACTTGCGAATCTCATCCGATCCCAGGATGGCACACTTCCACAAGGAATAAGTCTTACACCAAGGAAGCTTCATTGGCATAGACAGGCGGTTAATACTGTCAAGTGGTCTCTAGATGGTATGGATTGTTCCCGTTTTGAAGGGTGCTCTGAAGCTAACATCGTTTAGGTAACTACGTTATTTCTGGTGGTTCCGAGACCGTCTTGGTGCTATGGCAACTGGAAACCGGAAAGCTACAATTCTTGCCGCATTTATCTGCCACCATCCAAAATGTTGTTATTTCTCCTTCAGGAGCGTCGTATGGTATCCAGCTTGCCGATAATTCAGCCATGGTTCTATCAACTGCAGAGCTACAACCGACCACCAACATCGCAGGCATCCAAGCAAGTGTTCTTGCCACTGACGAGACAACCGAATCAGATATCCTGAGAGTCCGCGAGGAAGCTTGGGAGCAGCCTCTGGTCCAACGTACTCCCGCCATTATCAACCCTGCGGACCCTTCGAAATTACTACTTGCCGTTGGACAGACTCAAGAAATCAACACTGAAGAGCCTCTCGTTCAAGGTTGCCCTTTCCTGCAAACCTTTGATCTCGGATCTGGTCACAATATATCTCGCCAGGCATTAACAAGATCACATACAACCAACCTAAACGCAACTCCAAGTGCCCACCGTGTCTCTGAACCAAGGATCACACACATGAAGGTATCTCACGATGGGAATTGGTTGGCCACGGTTGACGAATGGAATCCACCAGCGCGAGATTTGGCGTTTCTGGGACCGCAGGATAAAACCGACCGGCTACGGAGACGTGAGGTGTTCCTTAAGTTTTGGGAATGGAGCTCTGAAAGTGATACTTGGCAGCTTGTATCGCGCATTGATGCTCCCCATCTCGCAAGTCCAAATTCATCCATTGCCAGCCGAGTCTTGGATCTTGCTGCAGACCCTGACACGTTGCGGTTCTCTACGATTGGGGAGGATAATATTGTTTGCATTTGGTCCCCGAAGACGCGGAAGAGGGAGGGTGTTATAGTGCGCGGAGAGAAGGGGCAGGCACTACGCAGTTGGAATTGCCAATATGCCGTTCCACTCGAGAAACTAGAGCTGGTTGAATCTGGCAGCGTTGACACACTTCCCGCCAGTGGTGCTATCGCCTTCTCAGACGATGGCTCTGTTCTAGCTGCTGTTTGTACTCAGAGCGGTCTGGTCCATCTTTTGAACCCAGACTCAGGCGTAATCCGTCAATCTCGGCCTGGGTTATTCAAGGGCCAAATCATGAAACTTGACTTCCTAGGACAAGACTTGATCGCCCTTTCTGATGAGTTACTCGTCTATGACCTCGTTGCGGATGAGGAACGCTTCCGAATCAGACTGGACGACCGCATAATCGGTCTCTCCGAGGCCCAGAAGCGGGAAATGGCGCATCTGGCTGTTGACAAAAAGAGCCAGACCTTTGCGATCGCCCTCCCGGTTCGAATTCGAGGCGTCAAGGGGAATGCTTTGAAACATCGACAATCGGAGCTTTTCATCTTCCATCAAAATGAGGCGCAGCCACAACTTGAAGAGATGCTTCCATCGGTGATCACAGCATTGTTACCAGCTGTGGACTCCGACGGCTTCCTTGTTCTCGATGCCGCAGCTGATGTTCGAAGTATCCACAAGAAGGGAAGCCAGGTAATCACCAGACTGGCGCAGTCGACGTCTGCACAGCAATTGGAAGCAGAGTCAGCAGAACCTGCAGGAGAACTGGTACCTGTCACCGAGGAGGCCGATGAAGACGAAGAGATGGAGGAACTGATTCCCAGTGTCACACTGGATGAGAAAGACGAAGATGATGACGAAACGCCTGTTGTACCCCATCAAAAGCTGTCAGAGATCTTTGACATTGGGCCCGCTTTTGCGCTCCCGCCTCTGGAAGAGATGTTCTACCAAGTTGCCGGCCTCTACTCTAGCAAGCCGCTTGTACAGAGTGTGCAATGACCTGTTTTTCTTTTCATTTTCCCCTTCGATGCATGGTTGCTTGCATAGCGGTTGGGTTGTCGAGCATATTTTTTTCACGACATGGGTGTCTAAGGTGTCTGTGTCTATGGAGATTGCATAAAGTATTAAAAGCTATTATCTGAAATTACATACCCTTTCATCCTGTGTCGTTCCGTCCCTTTCCGTTCTATTTATTATTGCCCTCCTGTTTTGTTGTTGATGGTATCGTCACGTGAACTGCCCCTCAAACCGACAAAGGTGGGGTCGTTATCAGTTACCCGAGTTCCCTTGGTGGTGGGGAATTAGTCGTCTATGGCGCCATATACACCAGTGCAACGACATATAAAGGGCGTGGAGTATCACAAGGTCACCAGGTACCAAGAAGTACATTAACTATGTACCTCTGCACCTCCAACTTTTATTTTTATTTGCCCTGTTGATCCCCAAGAATAAATCCCCAGCTCTAGTTTGCAAAATGTCCTCCTTCGATTCGATCCCTCTGCTGGACCTCTCCCTGGCTAAGGATCCCAGCACCAAACCCCAGTTCTTGGAGGACCTCCGCCATGCGCTGCTCGAGGTGGGCTTTTTATATTTGAAAAATGTGGGCATCCCTGAGGAGCTCACGCAAGCTGTTATAAAGGAGGGCGTTGCGTTTTTCGATCTGCCTACGGAAGAGAAGTGAGTTCTACATGTTGCATTCCTGGATATCCCTCCATTCGCCCAGCAACACATATATCCGAGAGTCCAACACTAAAGACTTAGTAACATAATATTGATATCTCCTGCAGACTCAAAATCGAGATGAAAAACGCCCCCTCATTCCTAGGATACTCGCGCCTAGACGCCGAGATAACAGCGCAAACCATCGACCACCGCGAGCAAATCGACCTCTCCACCGACGGTCCCATCCGCACCCCCTCCGAACCCCTCTACAGAAACCTCTTCGCGCCAACACAATGGCCGTCCGAAACTCACCTCCCCAACTTCAAGTCCGTCTATAGCGACTACATAACACGCATGGGCACGATCTCGATATTCTTCACAACACTCATCGCAGAAGCCATCGGACTCGCTCCTCAAGCGTTCGAGAAGTATTTCGACAAGCAGCAGCAGCATAAGCTGAAGATTGTCAAGTATCCCGATTTACAGGAGCTGGGACTGGATACGGACGGGAAGGAGGGGCAGGGTGTGGGGCCGCATAAGGATAGTATGTTTACGAGTTATTTGCTGCAGGTTACGAAGCATCGCGGGTTGCAGGTGCAAAATTTACAGGGCGAGTGGATTGACTGTCCGCCGATTGATGGTACGCTCGTGGTGGCTATTGGGCAGGGGATGGAGGCGCTGACACAGGGCGTGTGTATGAGTACTACGCATAGAGTGCTGAGTCCTGCGCCTGGAACTGGGGCGCGGTATAGCGTTCCTTTCTTCCAGGGTGTCAGTCTGGATGCTGAGTTTGACGAATTGAATGATCTTGAGGGTGGCGGAGGTGTCGGGAAGGTTCCTGAGGATATCAAGGAGATGAGGAGGAAGGTTGTGGCGAGGAATGGCGGAAGGTTGGACGATGTGGAGTTTACCTTTAGTGGAGGCAGTGGATCGAAGACGCTCGGTGAGGCGACGCTCAAGAATAGGATTAAGAGCCATCCGGATGTAGGGGAACGATGGTATCCTGATATTCTAGCCGAGATTCGAGCGCAGCAGAAATTAGAGGCGGAGAAGAAGCAGAAGGAGAGTGCTGCTGCTCCTCCCGCTACTCAGAATGGTAATGGAGTCGTGGGAGGTCGTCAAGGCCAGCCTGTGGAAGCACACTAGATGAACTGTTTCGTAGAAGATTGATGAATGACGAAAAGAAAGCCTTTTTGCATCATAGACTCATTGTGACTCCTTGTCTATGCTTGATTCCCAGATACGCCGTTCCGCCGTTCGCTACCCAAAGAGAACCAACCATTCACACCATCGCTCGCCGTGCTGCATCATCATATCAAACTGCCAACATCGCCGTGCCAAACCCACCCAGAATGTAGGTATGATAAACGTCTATGTCCACGCCAGCATTCAGCCGGCATTCATACGCAAACTCCCCATCCCCTCCACGCAACTCTATTTCCCAAAAGTAGGAAAGCAATCCTCGAGAGTCTTGCTATGCTTGTTCGTCGCATGTTCCGTAAGTCTATATATCGCATCGAACAAGTCAGCATAAGCCCATCATAAAATTCTCCAACCGGGCAACATGGCGTATATCCGGGGTAGGTGGGGTGGGATAGGGAAAAGGACATACGCAGGACCGCGAGTGGTCTTCAAGAACGTGGATTTGCAGACATTGCATTGGATATCCTTAGCTTGCTCGTTGACTTTCAGTTGCGACTTTGCGACCTTGCTGTCCTTTGCATTGCGCTCGCGCTTCGAGGCTGCTTTTGCGCCCTGTGGAAATAGCGGGGTTGTTAGTTTACCACCCAGACTGTGCTGTAGCCAAAGAGCCGCAGGGGGAGAGACTTACGTTTCCCATTTTGACGGATAGAGTAGTTGGAAGTGCGAGAGAGTGTGAGGGATTTGTGGATTGGGAATAGAACGATGTTGTAGGAGTGGAAGAGGTGAGCGATTATTTTGGGAGCAGGAAAAATATCGGGATAAAAAGTCCAGCCTCAGTTCTCTCTAGAAATCGCCGCGGTCTCGGCCCGGTGCGGGCGGGCCTTGCAAGGCTTATATTTATTTTTACACCAATACCTTGTTTTTCTATACTCCTTGTTGTAAGTTTAAGAACTACATAAAACATCCGACAAGCATTTACCGTACTCAATCAGCGAGTATTTCATATCGATATCTCTGCGGTATATGAGAGTTCAAGAACCAGGACCTATACACACCTGGTGTTAGGTGGTAGTTCCAGGGCCATCGACATCGTTCTGGCTCTTGAAAACATTCAAGACATATGGTCAGGATTGTTTCAATCAATACCAGAGCTCTAGCCATAATGTTTTGGCCGCCTTCTAGCTTTCGGAGATAAGGCGGTCAATAAATAGACCCGAGTCTAGCAATCTCGATATACGTGTACTAACAATACAGATTTTTAGCACTCGAAGTGTTTTTCTCTTGGCCGCTGATTATTTCACGTCAGTTAGTCATGTACCTATAAATTGCGCATTATCTCTCGCTACTTCGATATATAAGTGAATAAGTATCCAAGTAATAAAAATAATAAGAGCCCTATTAGTGACTTGATTTGGATTGTCCCAAGAGCGGTATTTTTATAGGCTCGCGCCCTTTAGGCGACATCGCGAATGCAATGTGGGGAACACACCACAAGTGACATTTGGAATTGGCGAGTATTCGCCACCAACGATCGTCATTTAGCGTCAGCTTCGACATCTCCTGATTAACTTTCTCCGCAACTGAAATTATCAGTGTGCATCTCTCAGTTTCGCAGATCTTGACGGGGCAGTAACTGGCGTCAAAGCTGACCGATTCCTTTCTGCGAAATCCTTAGAGACCACTCCTGTCGGCAAAATGGCTTCCAAAACCCCCAATGATGATACGCCCAAGACGGATAACGGTGTGTTATATGTCTCTTGGGCACATTAGGAGGCGACACTAGCTAACAGAGGCTTGTACAGTCAATGTATCTGGAAAAGCCAACGGCTCCTCCGGTGCTAACGGAACCGCGAACGGCATCGCATTAGAAAACTCTGGCGAAGGATCTGATGACGATCCAGACGAACATATCATTGAAACAACTGCTGGTGCTGATGAAGCCGGTGCCAAGAAAAAGAAAAACAAGAAGAAGAAGCCTAAGAAGAAGAAGAAGGCCCCGACTGCCCAGACTGATCCCCCATCAGTCCTCATGTCCCAATTATTTCCAAACAACACCTACCCCAAAGGTGAAGAAGTCGAATACAAGAATGAGAATCTGTATCGCACTACCGACGAAGAGAAGCGCCATCTCGATAACATGAATAGCGACTTCCTCTCTGATTACCGCCAGGCGGCTGAGACTCATCGTCAGGTCCGCCAGTGGGCGCAGAAAAACATCATGCCAGGTCAGACGCTCACCGACATTGCTAATGGCATTGAGGATAGTGTACGTCGTCTAGTAGGCCATGATGGCTTAACTGAAGGCGATGCCATGAATGCCGGCATGGGTTTCCCGACTGGTTTGAACCTCGACGAGATTGCTGCCCATTTCAGCCCAAATGCAGGCAATAAGACTGTACTTCAATATAGCAACGTAATGAAGGTTGACATCGGCGTCCATGTAAATGGTCGTATCGTCGACAGCGCCTTCACGATGTCATTCGATCCTATGTATGACAACCTCCTCGCAGCCGTAAAGGACGCGACAAATACCGGGGTGCGCGAAGCAGGCATCGATGTGCGCCTTGGAGAGCTAGGTGGGCTCATCCAGGAGACTATGGAGAGCTACGAATGTGAGATCAATGGGACTACCTACCCAATCAAACCGATCCGCAACCTAGCCGGCCATAATATCTTGCCGTACAGTATCCACGGCACCAAGAGTGTTCCCCTCGTAAAGACGAACGACACTACCAAGATGGAAGAAGGCGATGTCTTTGCTATCGAGACCTTCGGCACCACTGGTACTGGCCACGTTGATGATAGGGGTGAAATCTCGCATTACGCCCTACGTAAGGATGCGCCAGAGGTGGACCTGCGTCTCTCCTCAGCCAAATCGCTTTTGAAAACTATTCAGAAGAACTTTGGCACAATTCCCTTCTGTCGACGCTATTTAGACAGGCTTGGGCAGGAGAAGTATCTACTCGGTGTAAGACATGCCTAGTCCTAACATATGTACTTCTAGAGTGGCTAACGATTGGGCAGCTAAACAATCTCGTCAAATCCGGCATTGTTGAAGATTACCCGCCTCTGTATGACAAGAAAGGGTCATACACGGCGCAATTTGAGCATGTAAGTAATCGTCTCGGTGCACTCAAGGGGTCGATATTAATGAAACACAGACGATCCTCCTCAGACCTACCGTAAAGGAGGTCATTAGTCGTGGCGATGACTACTGAGTAAGTAGGATTTGCCGCGCTCAAGGTATATCCAGGGTTCGGAGATGGCGGGTTCGCACGCAGATCAGGAGGATCCGTATCTAGCGCCACGGCAGATCTTGCATTACCCAGTCTACTTTCTTCCAGCAGTTAGGCTACGTTCTCATTACAGTCATTACAGTATCCACTGATCACTTTCGTTATAAAATTCGAAGATCCAGAGAAAAATATATTGAGCACTGTCGCTATCCCCAAACTGCTAGTCCTTATAAGTGATATAAACTGTAACAAACTGTCTCAGGTGACATCATGAAGTATTAGGTATGGTCTTATTCTGAAAGATACTCTCCTCGTTCTGAGCCTCCGTCTTGGCCCTCCGAGGAGGACAACTGTGCGCAACCTGAAAATTATCCCAAGCTCCCTTTCTATCTCGTGTTCGAAAACACAATTCGTGTCATGGCAACCAAATAGGGCGTTTTTCTGGAATTCCGAAATGAATGTCTCAAAACAGTCATTTATATGCTTCTTCTAGCTGTCCTATTTCCTATATTCATGCATAGTCCATGATAGTAGCTATGTTAGTTCTTGGTCCCCTATTAAAAATACAAGGATCTTGAGGAAGCCGATTGTAGATTCCTACTAGTGTAAACCAGTCCCGCGTCCCTTGTCCCATGTCCAAAAACCCCCTTGATCTAGTCTTACGTGACTATCATTACAGCCCTGATCTTCAAGTCACCGTTCCCTATCGAACATGCGATAAGAGCTGTGAGCATATTTCTTGAATACATAACTGTGCTAAAGTCGCACGTTTTTGGCAGCGGGGCTCACTTCACAGTGTGCCTTACAACCTTACCCGGCGGCTTGCTTGTGGTGAGCTTCTTACTTGGGATGTTCCCTTCAGAACACGCGCGTTACTATAAAGGTAATATGAAATTGGCTTGCTAAAACTCCGCAAACCCTTTTCTTCCAGCTGTCATTCTGACAACGTGTTGGCTACCCTTCTTTCGATCGTTGTCATAGTCTCTGCGGCTTCGAGTGCAGCCTTCCGAGTCTCCTCGCTCAAGTTAGATTCTTCCTTTCCAAGCTCTTCAAACCTGGCCAGCCAGAAGCCCCACTGCCGCAGGCACATGGTAGATGGCCCATGGTACAAAGTGCCTCCTTCAATGTAGCATGCACTATCTTCCACTGGGACATCTACGTAGCCAATATTTTCCTGGGCCCACAAGAGAAGAAGCTTAGCGTCGTGAAATATCCATTCACAGGCGACCTGTACTCTACATTCCACAATACCTACCTCACTAACTGTGTCCAGCTCCTCCTCAAGTGCTGATCGTAGAACGTGCATCACTAGGGTGTAGGGACCCGCTATACCCGCTCTAAGGCATCGAGCCGCGAAGGAATTAAAGTTTCGCCATATCTGTGCGGACTTTGGAGTAAACTCTTCTTCTGGGTCTGTGGTAGGGTCTATTACAAGCAAATTAGACTCATTCGTCTTACAAATTGCCTAGTAACATACCGCTAAAGAACGCGTCTATGCATATGGGAAGCATAGGCAAGTCTCCCCATACACGTCGGTGGATCTGGATGTGAGAATTATTAGTAAGTACTAGAGTGAATGTGAATCGATCTGATGAATACTAACACCAAACTCCAAGTCCCCTTTTGCAATTTGCCGTAGGCTTTCAACAATGCTCACGAGACGCATGTGCACCTCACTTGTCACGTCTGGACTCCTAGCTATATTAAGCATAATCGACCAAACCATCCATATATAGTCGTTGCATTCGTGGCGCTGTTCAAGAGGAGGACATAAACAGTCAAGCTGATATGCGGCCCCCGCCGCGGTTTCTGGTGTAGCAGGCTGCATTCCGTAGGCAAATGCGTAGAGTATGTTGGTTTCTTGTTCTGAAAGATTTTTTTGTCTTATTAATTCGAGATGGAATATGCTACTTTCATTTTGCGCCATCGTGCCTGTGAGAGGAGACACCCGTGTCATGTCAAACTAGGCCGGGAGGCAAGTATTTCGGGGTGGTTCCAAAGATCACATTAGAAAGTGCTTCGAGTTGGTGATGCAATTATGGAAATAGATACAGGAAGCTAGGAGAATGGGAGAATGAGTTGGGGTACAATATTATGGTCGATAGAAGTCCGACGTTGGCCAGCTGTTGGCCCTCGCTGCTTCCCCGCCACTTCCAACAAGCCCGGTCTAGGATGTTTACGGCTTACTCTCTGAGTGGCTATTTCGCGCGCGCCTACAATCTACAGGAGCAGCATAGACCTATCAGCGAATGTTAATGTCCCGAATTATGGCGCAGTCTTGGGCGAATTTAGTACAAAACTCTTTTCGTTAGAAAAATCAGGCACCTACAGCTATTGCCTAGATATATATCTCTCCGATATCGAGCTTCTTTACTATTTCTATATACTAATCTAGATAGCGTAGATATCTTAATTTCAGTTAGATATTTATACGCCTTGAATATTTCAAATTCTAGTGCGGTATTATATAACTTGAACACCACAATTCTAGTAAGATATTCATATATTTGACAACATTCAGGGTCAACTTCTCACCAGCCTGATGCTCACCGAGCCAATGGTTTTCATACCCAATTGTTCACAACCCAATTAGAGTCACATGACCTGATTCTATCCTTTTATCAGCCATTAGATCCCTCTAACTATTGTTCGCTGAATGGTCTCCCCTCGCGGGTTCAAGGTCTAGTCTCTTTTGCTGATGCTATTATCCTCAAGCTCAAGCTAACGGCTACCTTTTTAAATGATACCCTGGTCTATTGATGGGGTCAATCCCACTGGGCCATCGAAGGCTCACTGCCACGATCTCTGGGCCCTTCGAAGGGTTAAAGATATATGGCGAAGTGACATTTCTTGCGATACACTGTCTTTACTGTCCCTTCTAGCTTTCGGTCCCAGATGAGATTATATCGTGCCACCATTCATGCTTCAAGACTTCGTCCATCGTAATTCGATGTGCCGGGTCAAGATTCGACATTCTAGATATCAAGTCCTTGGCTTCTGGACCGAGCTCGTCGCCCCAATGTTCAAATCTTGTTTCGAGCCTCTTCTTCGCCTCCATTTCAGCAACCTCGGACGCCTTTTTCACGTCTCGTCGTTGACATGGTCGAAGAGCGAATTAGGGACCGGTCCAAAGGAAAGAAAGTGTCTCATCAAGATCTCCTGTTCCGGCGTGATAACTTGTTTTTGCATTTCTTGCTAGTTGTCCAAGAGGAGTAATTCTCCACCACCAAGAGCATATAAACACTACGACAAAGATTTAGCATAGACTACATACTCGAGAGTATGATACCTTACCACCAATCCAAAAGAGTACACGTCTGATGCCTTTGTGACACCACGACCGGTTTGACCTTCTGGGCTTCGCCACATGACGTTCCCTATTGCATAGTGGGTCCGAAGAGGCTTATGATCTTGCATCTTGAAAGCGATGTCGAAGTCGCCCAAGGCCACATCTGTGACTACTTGGTTACCTTGATCGTCACAAGTCCAATCGATCATAATATTGTCAGGCTTCACATTTGTTGAGGCGAATAGTTAGTCCGAGGTTTTGAGAGCAATGACTAGAAGGAGTAGCATTGTACCTATGTAGATCCAATCCTTGGCATGAAGCTCCTCCACCGCTTCTGCAGTGAGTCGCAGAATTTTCTTTCTCTCTATCACAGGAAAGTCCGGATGGTCCCGAAATAAGGCAAGAAAAGTGTCTCGGAAATAGTCATAGACTAGGATGTGCTCTTCTTGATTGTAGTCGGTGTGCATTCGGAGCCGGCGAGAGCCTGCGAAATCGCCCTCAAGGCGCCGGGATAGATTGAAAATAGACTCGGATACGCGCTTCAGGACAAATGACTGCCCTGCAGAGCTGAATGAAGTTGGCTAGCCAAGGGCAATGGTGGCAGCTGTGAGTAGGGTACTTGAGACGCACTGAGCTTGCTAAATGCTAAGGTTATGGTCCTGGCGGTGGTGCTGGAGCAGCTTGCCTTGAACGTACTCTCGACCAGATTGGCCAACGACAGTGTAGATGCCATTCTAGTGTTTATAAGGTCAAGACGTGGATGGAAGGATGAACGGCACGCCAGGCGAATGAGAGACATCTGAATCATAGGAATACTTCGGGTGGGATGCAAAAAGGCAGAAGATGCTGAGATGTTGGAGGTTGGTGGTGATGTGTGTCACGGTCAGTTGTGAACCGCCAGAGAGTCCTGAATTATATATTCAATAATCTCAGTTACCTTATCGACGTGAGTTTGCATTATTGCCATCATGAAACACTTCCCATGTCAAAGAGGAATAGAGGGGCCCAACAGCGTCTTCGTCATTGCTCTCAATGTTATTTTCTCCTCACCTTGTTGCTTGTGGGGGCACGTGTTCCCAGCAGGAACGGCACTGAGGAGTCCAACGAATGAACGAATGAAACCAACGGAGTAGAATGGGATAAACGCCAAAGATGCTACACTTATAAGCGAACTCTTTTTTCCACGGGCGGCTTAGGAGCAGGAGTAGATGCTGCGAGTTTTGGAGTAGGCCTCCTTACTTCGCAGGGTAAAGGGGGGAAATACGGGGTAATGTGCAGTAATGCGGCGGCGGGCCCGTGCACGCGCCTCGCCCCGCTTGCCGCGCAGTTGTTTACTGTAATAATAATACGAATACCAACCCCGACCACCCTATTTTACCATCTACCAACGTCTCAATAAGGCCCCTCGTATCAAACAATCAAACAACGCGTCACAGTCACAGGTTTCCCAACCCGTCCGCAATGTCTCATTCACCATCAATCAGTGATAGTCCGAGCAGTCGGGAGCCTGTTTGGGAAGAAAAACAGGACGATACGCGCGAAAACATGGCTTCTACTATCACGCTGTCCGACTTTAAGGACGCGTTGAGCAGATATCCCGAGGTGCTAAAGAGCATTACTAAGACACGTACGTACCCTCTCTTCCATCTTGTGATACAATGATACAATTTGTATTTGTATTTGTTAGTCAGCGCAGAACCTGAAACTGATCTGCGGAATAGCAAAACCTGGCTCGATTCCCCTGGCGGAACTTGATGAGTTCAGATATGTCGAGGCTCCGGCGCGCTTCTCTTTGAAGACCGGTAAATCGATGGAGATGGAGGATCTTATCAAGTTGATCGAATGGAAGCTGTAAGTGGCCACCAATTAATTGACAAGCCTGTTTTGCGATTTTCCGAGGTTTTCTTTTTGATAATATCGCGCGTTCTTCCTTTCTGCTAGCGCAACAAAGTCAATTTGTTAAATATCCGTATTTTGTCTCCGCTCTCATCAATCCCCAGCGTTTTCGAAGCGCACTATTTCTTCAACTAACATAAATTAGCCGTCATGGTATCTTTCGCCCAACCCTTCCCAAACTGGTTGCAGCCAATAGCACCCAGCAACTCCAAGAAGCCACTGACGATGCATTCTCCCACTACGCCAGCTCTCCAGATGACATCAAGACGGTCCTCCAGAAACTGGCGAATCCCTTGAGGGGAATCGGCCCTGCCACAGCATCCCTGCTTCTTGCAGTCCATGATCCCGATCATGTGATATTCTTCAGCGACGAGGTCTATCAATGGCTCTGCGCAGATGGCGAGAAAGTAACGATTAAATACACTTCCAAAGAGTTCGACACCCTGTTTGTCAAGGCTAAAATTTTAATGGGCAGACTCGCGGTCAATCCTATTGATATTGAGAAAGTTGCTTTCGTTCTGATCAAGGAGAGTGCACCTGTCATTGAACCAGCGGCGAAGAAGGAGCCAAGTGGACGTCCAAGAGGAAGGCCAAGGAAACCCGAGCTCGAAATCACGGCTGTGGACCCGTCTATTCCACGTCGCGGTAGGGGCAGACCACGAAAGGATGGCAAACCAACCATCGAAGCTCCAAAGGCTATTGCAACCGGAAAGAGAGGACGGCCAAAGAAAGCAATTGCTGAAGAAGAGGACCTTGGTGAAGATGAACTAGTTGAAACTATTGAGGAGACTCCAAGGGCTACTCCAGTTGGAAAGAGAGGAAGGCCAAAGAAAGTAAACATCGAGGAGGAGAAGCATGACGATGGTCAGGAAGTTGAAGGCTCCGCTGAGACACCAGAGGCTACACCAGCTAGAAAGCGAGGAAGGCCAAAGAAAGTAATCGAGGAAAAGAGCCAGGATGAGGATGAAGGGGCACCAGCACCCGTTGGGGCGGTCAAGCGAGGACGAGGACGACCAAAGACGATCATATCCGACGCACAGAAACAGAATGATCCCGTAGGACTGCCAAAGCGAGGACGAGGACGACCAGCCAAGGCTAGGCCCTCCGAACAGAACCAGGATGAAGATAACGAGGAAGCCACCCCTACTACCCCGGCAGGGGCTAGCAAGAGGAAGGCCGAGGACAATGATGTTTCCGACCACGGAGATAAGAAGGCAAGACTCTCCCGGAGCGTGACTGTGGAAACTGTAGGCAGCTAGGGGCAAGCATTTCAATTGGGATGCAACGTGTGTATTGTAGGGAAGGAGATGGGTTCGGGATCAATGGAAATAGCCCAAATTATCTTGTATTTCTGGATCAATAACAATCAATGATTTGTACAGTATATTTGCTGCTTTTGCTAGCATTTCTCAATCCTGCAGATCCTGACGTATTCTCTAATTACCTTCGGCGATCTTCATGCCCTCGATACTCGATATAACTGAGATGAGTACAAGATCTTAGGTTCTAAGTTCCACAGTTATGGGTGTCTATCTGAAGAGACTGCGGTTGATTCCATTTAGCGCCATACACTTAAGGGTATCAATACAACGAATACAATTCCCAACCGCCAACCAAGCTTTCAGCCCTCGATCAGGAACTAAAAGAACGCCAGACAGTGCAATCAACGATATATTATTTCCACATCCCCTTTTGGGAATTTCCTCAAATGCTCCATGATTTTCTGATCGCTCATATTCTGCTCCACCATAATCTGGTCAAAACAATGACATCCATCGGCGTATTTCTGCAAAGCCCCTCCACCTTGGATATCCACGCTCCGTCCAGAGACAATCGATTTAATGTATTGTGAGGATACGGTGTACTTATGAACCCGATATAGCAAGCCTTTAATCACACCGAACTGGATAAACCGCCGAACATCCACGTAATTCAGAACGGGAAAGCCCTGGTCTAGATGCAGCTTTAGCCATTCCTTGAGCGTCCGGGATGAGCAAAGAGTAGCGAAGAGGCTGCAGAGATATTGATTTGAGAGGCGCGGTCCGTTAATATACACGTAATTAGCACATTCATCCTGCATACCATCCTTGTCGGATAGGAAATCGTTGATTGATGGTGTTGGCGCGTAAATGTTGCCGAACATAAACATGTCGAGCATTAGGATGGAGTCGTAGTATAAGAGGTGTTGGAGAGCAATTTTGGTAAGGTCGAGAGCCACGTCTGCATCGTGTGCGATGCGTCGAACGTCTTTAATGCCGTCGATGTGGAGGATTACTTTCTTCATGGTCAGGTCCCAGGTGTCGTCCATGATCTCGGAGAACTTCATTTTGGAGATTGGCACGTGCCATGATTTGACGGGAGGTGGGTGTTTGTAGATTGGGAAGAGCTTCATGTTGATGGTATTGGCATCATCTATTGTTGTGAGGAACTATCATTTTTAGGTAGTTAGAAGGATGACGTACCGACTGGAATCATGCACTCATTATAATTATTGAGATCCTCCTTGATAATTTCTAGTAATGCGGAGATAGACCGGCTGTCTTTTGTCGATACATGTTCCTGGCTTAAAAACTGATTCTGGATTTCCATTTCTGTAAATGTGCTAGCCAATCGCCGAACGACGGCTTCATATGGCATCTTGTCTGCTTCGACATCAATGACGATACCAAAATTGAACATGAATTCATTGCGCTCGTATTTCTCATCCTTAATACAGACTGGATGGCCGAGGATTCGGTATTTGTTATCTGGGTCGCATATCGTGACATAGCGATTGCAAAATGCTTGCCTAGGGATGATATATTCGGCCATTGTCTCGAAGTCAAAGAAACGAGGCTTATCCACACCAGGTTCGTGAACGATACACCCTGGAGGACTTTGGTGGACAACCTTTGTTCCTGTTGGATGTTAAGTCTATAATAGCCAAGTTTCAAGCATTAAGAAACGTGTTGTGATAATTATATAGCAACCAAACTGTCGTCAAAGACTGGGGATATATCATTTCCCGCTCAACGCGCCGAAGTACATGAGAGAATGGCGTAGCGCAGACGTCAACCTACCTTTTTGTGGAAGAAAGCGGGCAAAGAACATGCCCTGAATCATCTTGCCGTCTGATTTGAATCAACAATCCCTCAAATCATGTGCGACTACTCGATTATTATCCGCCACTGATATGGTTGCTGGGGGCTGGAGTTCAAAGGATATATGATGTTGATGTTCGAAGATGGCGGACAAGACTTGGCGGATTATTAAGAGTCTGGGTACTCGTACTCGTATTCGCACTCAAACTGAAGCAAAGCTACAAAAAATCTTCCCCGTAAAGTTCACCGACAAGTTTCCACATCCACAGTTGTAGTTCAACAGTCCCGAGATGTCTCAAATTTTCCAGTGGAAATTGAATCACTTATGCTATTATGATGTTCATGAATGACACAAGAAGACACTGAGCGCTTGAGAGTAGTTCGCATCCCTGATTACGATTCAGCATTTGCCACGTGATTTGGCATTTTCAATTTTTTACGTGGCGGTTTTTAAAAATACAATGTGATGTTTAGACTTTAGATTTTAGACTTTAGATGTTCTAGATCTCGCCTTTTGATTCTATTCCTTTCGTACTTGAAATAAACTAGAAGTTGAGCCTGTATAAAGACCGTGGCTATTTTCGCAGGAGGTTCTTTCCTTCATTGTGGGCTTGAAGCGATATTTTACATTTTGCGAGACATTCATCAATCGACGTTGTGCCATTGCAAACTGGGTCCTCTCTCATTCTAAAGGATCAACATTGGGGACGCAGGCAAACTTTTCATTTCTAAGTTTATTAAGGAAGGAGGCTATACCAGGTCACAGATTTCGCCATGGGTTCAATATCTATCGACGGTATGTGCTCGCCGCAAAATAAAGCTTTGGAATTATAGCTTATGACTTACCGACAGTGCTTGACCTTCCCCGCCTTCGTGACGAGCCAACATTCCAAACACTCATTGAAACCCTTCAAGTCCTCGAGCTGAACCCCTCAAGATGGGCCGACTCTAAATCCGAACTGACTGTTGCCGAAGATACAACGGGGGTTTCTCGCTGGTTGACTTCAATTATGAAGAATTCCTTCGACTGGTTGCAAGATTTGACACATCCGGACAGCGATGGCATCACTGCCGCTGAGCAGCTGGAGATGCTTTGGGACCTAGCGAGTCAACGTATGTCAGAGCGTTGTGGACGAAACGGTAAGCTCATTTGTACCTCCAAGACGCTGGTTTATGTCTAATATATCAAATCTAGCTATGGGCGAGCTATCTCGAACGTGGACTATCCCAAAGTCAGAAGATCATCCTACTCTAAATATTGAAATCAGAGAACCACCTCTGGTATGGATATTCATTACCCAGCTTCCGCTCCTTTCTGCTCCCCAAAATCTCAAAGCTAACATTACGCTTTTAGACCGGCGACAATCTTGGCTTCAAAACTTGGGGCACCGCATGGGCTATCGCGCAGATATTCTCAGACTTCCGCAAGGATTACTTGTCGCATCTGCTTCCCGGTAACCGTATCAACACATTCACAACTGCCACAGGGGCCACTTTTACGCAACCTCAAACACGGGTCCTCGAACTGGGTGCTGGAACTGGATTGCTGGGTCTCGCCGCCGCTGCTGTATGGGGAGCGAATGTTACAATGACTGACCTCGAAGTTATCCAAGACAATCTGCTATTCAATGCTCGAAAGAATGCAGGTATACTTGAGGGCCGAGGAGTAAATGTACAGTGCGGTGTGCTGGACTGGAAGGAGCCTGAGAAGCAATTGCCTCTTTGCTGGGATAAGGAATTTGAGGTAAGGCCTTTTAATATAACCCTGTGCAACTCCAATCATTAACCTCAACAACTAGATTGTGATGGCCTCCGACCCTTTATACGATGATGGCCATCCCTCCCTTGTGGCGAAAATGATCAAACAACACTTGAAACCTATTCAAGGTTCGCGTGCCATGGTTGCGGTGCCAATGCGAGATTCGAACACGGTGCGGATGGCGTCCAAGCTGCTGAGCATAATGGCAAGTTACGGTTTCAAGATCCTTCATGAGGGTGCGGAGATTTGCCGAGATGACTGGGCGAGTGATGAGGATGAAGTAAAGTGCCGGTGGTGGATTTGGGGATTATCAGGCGACGAAATTACAAGATAGAGGGTTAGGAGCTTGTAAAGGACCGAGATCCTGTTAATAAATCGAGGTCATGATCATAATGTACGCTCTATAGTAGTATGCCTTTCGAATAAATGGTAGCTGGGTTGTCGTTGGGTTGTGGCTACTCTTACTAAGAGGGTCGTTCAATTATTTCACGACTGAGGAACCCTCATTATCGGTACACGTAGTTTTATCAGAATAGTACCTATTTCTCAATTTCATCAACCTTCTCTTATTTGCTTACATCCCGTTTGCAGATTACCTATATACTCGTCCCCGACAGTTTTGCCCACTAGTATCCGCTTCCGTCTCTGAACCTGAGCAGTCGCCGCTCTAACCTGAGCCGAGCCCTGAGCCCTGAGCACGCCAGTGAGTCAGCTGGACTTTGCTCAGGTGGATCCTCTTCTGGCTCTAGAGAATCGGTTATAGTTTCTATGTTATCTATATATAGAATTTTACAGATCCTGCTGCCTGTTATATAGCTATCTCTTTGGGGCTATTAACATATCGTAACGGTAGCCGCTCTCACTCCCCTGTTACATATCAAGGACCCTTACTGGAGCCGATTTAAGCGCCCCCCCCCCCCCTTTTTTCGCCGAAAATTCGCGAATCGAAGGACGCCTTGCTTAGATATCCCTCGAGACCTCCTTAACTCTCCTCAAATACCTTAACTTATATACATGTGAAGGCCCAGATACTGGGAGTTATCAAGGAGACACTAAACAAATAAGTCGGAGCTTGACGGGAGTAGATTGCGTATATACAAGGATCTAAAGCTAAGGAAGGAAAAGAAGAAGAATAAGGAGAGGATTCTAAAACCAGTATATATATCCCTTAGTAGGGCCACCTGACCCTCGTTAGTGATGTGTCAGTAGTGCAGTGTGCCACTGCCGTAACATTTCCTGTTCCTGTCTCTCTTTTACTTCGCAGAGGAGAAATATAACGCAGAGGCTATTCTAGAAGACGGTGAGATAAAATAGGAATTATCTACAGACAAAGAACACAGAGGAGGATATTATTCAGCGGTTTCTATAATTAATAATCATTTCTATTATGCTTTTGTCTTATCTGCTCCTGTATCCATCTATCCATCTAACCCCAAACTCCCGAATCGGGTCCCAAGTCTGTTATAGACCATATCTTTCTTTCCATCTAAACTCCTCGCTCGCTAAATGCAACAACAAAAATGTGGTGGAATAAGTGTGAGTATAATAAAATGCAGGGCCAAAGGCTGCAAGGCTAGGTATATATATCCTGATCACATGCCATAACAAAAAGCAACTCACAACAAAGCCCACTCAGATAGACACCCCACCAGAGACGCACTCCTTCCATCGCCAACCGTTTACTTGGCCGCAAACCGACTCCTCGCTCTCAACTTATCGCCATACCAGAACAGGATGTATATCCCGGCAATACAAATAACCGTCAACCCCGCGAGTAGCCCAACTCCCCCGTCAACCCCAAGCTTCAAGAGCATGGGCCTCGAGAATAAGATGGCTGCCGCGGCTAGGGTACTGCGTGCGAAATCGTTGGCAGCGAAGAGGGATGCGGAGTATTGCGGGTACGTGAATGGGAGGTACAAGAATATGCTCTGGAAGACGACATACGTTCCTCCCACACTGAGTCCAGCGCCGATGGTGGGCACAATCCAATGGATCGATTCCCGCGATGTGAACGCGAAGATGAAGAGGCCGGCGGGGATGAGATACGTGCCGTAGAGAGCGGGGATAAGGCGCCGCTCGGGAGCTCCGAACCCCTTGGTCGTGAACGGCTTCTCAACTGTGAGGTAGAAGTGTAGGAGGTAGAGCGGGAGGAAGATTCCAAGCGCGACGAGGATCGACAGGAATGGCAATGAACTCTCGCCGAGGTTGAAGTTATACATGGCGACGTAAACCATTTTATGCACGCGTTTGTGATTCCCATTGTGATAAAAGCTTGAGCTTCAAGATCGGACAGCGTCCAAGAGTCTTTCTTGACGTAGGATAAGGGGATTCTGGGTTCACTTCAGTCAGCTTCTCGATAGGATACTGAATTATTCCCTCAAAAGCCAGGTTTCTGCTAACTATAGTATATCTCTTGTTGTGATGGCCAACGGTATTGTGATATGGTAAGTATACAGTGCTAGCTAAGTCTGCTGTCTATTCCTTCCGACACAGTGTAGCAATGCAATATTTCTTAATTTGACTCGCGGCGGGTGTAACGGTGCAATGTGAAAGCAGTTGCTCATGCACCTTCTGCTGAATAGCCATCTTCTCCATCTACCGAGCCTTGAACTCCTTGACCAATTTCTCCACCACGGGTGATCTTCTTGGCCTCCTCCGTACTCAGACCATGGGTCCATCTTGTCAAATGGCGTGTCAAATCTTGAGGCCTCTTAAATATCTTCTTGCAAGCTGGTGAACCCCCGATAGGACATTCGGTGGATTGGAAGCGAGAAGTCGACACCTTTTGAGACGATTCATTTTGCGGTAAGTATGGCTTCTGCAGAGCCGCGGAGACGAGGTGGTGGCGGAGTTTCAGATGCTCTTTGTAATTATGTCTTTGGCTCCAAAGCGTTGATGATTTGCATCCGGGAAAAGAGCAGTGCATTGCCGGCTCGATAGGGTGATGGCGTTGCGTGATGTGGTTATTGAGAGTAACACGAGTTGAAAACACTCGATCATCAGTGCATCCTGGAATGGTACAAGTTGTGGGATCCCAACTATGGACGCCGTCCATGTGTCCCTGGAGCGTACTAGAGTCTGAAAAGGCGGATCCACAACCCTCGCGGTCACAGATATATAACTTCTCCTGTTTATCCTTTGCGTCCTTGCCCTTACAGCTGTGTTGGTGAACGCGTAGGTTGTCTCTCGACCGAGTGCTATAGTCCTGGCACATCGCGCAACTGTATGTGAATAGACTCGGATAGTCTCTTGCGTTCCCCATAGGACAATGAACTGGGAAGAGTTCATCAAGGGTGGATGTGTGTCTTTCAAGCTGCTGGCATCGGACAATGTTGATTTTGGACAATGCTTCAACAAATTCTCGCCCGGGGAGTGTCAGGATGCTAGTCCCACTGCTCGAGTCCGCATTTCCCAGGACTATATCCAAGCCCATGGCTTCTTCATCCCCTCCAAGGTCCTCGCCGCTACCGTATACCAGTGACTCAAGTCTCTGAGCCGTGGAATCTTCTATAACCACGTCAACTCCATCGAGAAGAAGAAGATGCTGGTCATTTGGTGAGGCTGATGCGGTTGTCGCTGATGAAGCTGTCGAGGCTGGTGTTGCGCCAACTCCATCGAGAAGGAGAAGACGTGGGTCAATCGGTGTATCTGGTGCAGTTGTCGCTGAAGAAATTGTCGAGGTTGGCGTCATGACAGGCGCAGATGCAGGTGTAGTCGTAGCATTACTGGAAGCAGTTGTTGGAGTTGACACGGACGTTCGCGAGGATATGGACGGCGTCCATGGCTTACTCTTCTCTGACTCAATCCAGTCTGTCTTTCTCTGGCGATGCATTGCTTCACCTGCTCTCTGTCTTCCATTTTTGTCGGCGGGATCAATGTTGTTCTCCTTGCAATGGTTATCGATTTCGCTTTTCGTCAGTCGGCGCTTCTTGTATGGACTTCCAATGGCAGGCGTTTTCCTACTCACAAACATCTGCTCAGCTCTCGCAGTGTAAGTATCCTTCTCGACCTCTCCCACATACTTGTCCGTGGTGCCCTTCAGGTAGCTTGTTGCAGCGTGCCCAGCCACTCGAGCAACCTCCCTGGTAGCCACGCCAATCGAGTCATGAGACGATGGCTTGGCATTTGCAAGGTCTCTGAAGGCACCTCGACGAAGATCGTGAGAGATCACATTCGCCAGGACCCCACTCACGAGTGCCAAGTCTTTTGTTGACTTGTTGACTTGTCCGGCTCCAGCAGCTACATCCCACGCTATAAAAGCACTGCATTTACGAAGCTGAGGAAGAACAGGGCGGTCTGGATGCAACCACTGGACCGTCCGATCGCGTCGGAGAGATGCCTGCGTTAGAGCATCATCGAGTGACGAAATGTTCCCGGAACGGAGCGCCTGGATCAGGAGTAACTTGACCGGGCAGACAACATTGAGTGCAGGATCGCGCAAGGTTCTGAGAGGGACATCCCAGTCGTCGTTCATCTCACCTCTGAGAGTTCTGTCAGTGCTGAAAACGCTGACGAAGGGAAGATCTGCCATACTTCTTGCCCTTCATGTAATTCACCTGGCAAGTTAAATGGACGTCGTCCAACGTGTTCTGACCCGGTGGAAGCGTCATCACCAAATGGCTCCATCGCATAAACTCCACCGTGTATCCGCAGCTCTTTGATATCTCCCCTGCCCTGCAACACAGGGCGGATTGCAGAACGACGGTCATGGCCCTATGGATCACGACATCCCATGATAAGCAGCCGCAGTCGAGGGCTGCTTGTAGCCAACATCTGGACATATTTTCGACAAGGGCCACACCAATCCATTCATTCTTCGCCCGACGTTTGCCTCGAAGCAGCTTCTTTTCTGATGCAAGAGTGTCAATGAGTGCATCTAATTTGGTACACTCGTGCCTCGTCAGGTTGAACTTGGGATATTCGAATGTTAAACCCGAGAAGAGACTCTGGATCCCCTTCCTGATACAGCTGCGTAGAGGGGTTGCATCATCGACACCGCGGCCGCGGATATGTTTGACAATGGTATCGACGAAACGTAGGATCGTGACGATGTCCGGGCCGGTCTGTGGATCGATCCTAGGCACCCCGTCAGCTTCGCGAAGTGCGAGTCCCCTTCTGACGGCGAGGTTGGACGTCGTCCATCACATGTTCGGAGGCAGGCCCATGTGAGGGAAGAGGTGAACCTACTGCATCGTCGTGGCTTTGACGTGGTTCTCGAACCGGTTCAGCCAGAGACCGCGTCCATATTGGGTTCCGGGTGCTCCCCGAACATCCGTCAGGCCCCGCACCCTCTTCTTTGAGGAGATCCGGTCTTCAAAGAGCCGATCCCTCATGGAGGCGATACTCGCCGCGCCCGCATTGGCATATCGCTTCTGCACCGGAGAGAACTCGATGTCAGAAGAATTGAACGGTTCGGGATCCCCCATCTTGCTCGAGCTGTCTCTCCCAAGATGGACAGTGTCTAATATCACGAAGAATAGGAACAGAGTTGGGCAAGGGAGAGCGTGTTGAAGAAGAGACGAAGTTGAGGATGGATGGAATTGAAGAAAAGAAAAGAAAAGAAACGAGAGAAGGGCAAGGAAAATTCAAGGAGAGAGAAGGCACGCGTAGTGCAAAAGCGGAAGCAGCAAGCGTAAGCGAGGAGGGTAAACATTGGTCTGGGAGGCACATCTTAACCCTCGAATTTTCTCACCTCTGATCACGACGCTCAATCTTCAGCAGTAGTCGATGCACCTGAACCGTCGGACACCATCCAAGTCAAACCAACAAAAGCCACCACCATGGGCAGCAGCTCAACCAAAGCTCCGAAGTCAGCAGCTGACTCTCCCAGCTCTGAGGCCGAGGGCTCGGACTCGTACTCAACGACGGGCCCAGCGCTGGGAGAGTCTCACCGATAAGCTCGAGAAGAGAGCGATCAAAAGATCAAGAGGCACTACTCCGAGACTTGGTTCTGCAGACCCTAGGCTGATTATAATACAAGGCAAGAGAGGTCGGCGGCGATACAGCCACAGAGGATGAAGGCGAGGAAGAGGAAATGGAGGAAGCAGACAATGACGACGGGGGTGGTTACGATTCCATGGTTCTAGGAAGCGACGATGAACAGATATGACCGAGGAGGACAAGAGGGCTTTAGAGTTAGCGTTTCCTCGATCAATCCTCGCACAAGACCATGGTTCAAACGATGATGAATCGACTTGCACTGATGTTGAGGAAGATGATGAGTTGGACGGCGTCGAAGGGTTCGGGCTCCTTGGCGGAGGATTCGGCGGATAAAAGCCGACGATGAAATAAATGGATGAAATGGATGAAATAGACAATGTCAATGAGATGATGGAGACGTCGACATGGACCATGAAAGGAAGGGCTCTGTCGTGCTACTTACTACCCCTCTCCTTTCTTCGGGCTCGCTACGTAAGACCTACATAGAATTTAGTCCCTCTTATTTTTTCGGTGACCGAGATTCCCTACATATAATTTACTTCCTCTTTTTTCGGCGACCGAGTTTCCGAAACGATTCGAAGAATGAGTAGTAAATCATGTATAGCAACGCCGTGTAGAAGGTCGAAAACGCGACCGCGGGATCGAGGGCGTTGATTTGCCAAGGGATGAGCAAAGCATTGTATGTGACTTCGGAGAGAGACATATTGGCTTGGTCGATCTCAGATTGAGATTTCAGATTTGCATTGTTTTGGAGTTTGCGGAGGCGCTGGGCGCGGCGGAGGAGGATGTTTGCAGCTGAAGTCTCAGGGAGAGAGATGAACATGAGGAGGAAAATGGGGGCGGAGAGCCAAAGCATCTCCCATTGGGCCCAGCGCCAGTTCATGGCTTGGACGGAGAAGCCTCCGATCACTGGCCCCAAAGCCGGACCGAGAGTTGCTGCCGCCGCCCATAGGGAGAGCACGTACGGGATTTTAAGCAGAGGAAACATATCTTGCAATGTCGCCGGTCCCGTTGCCAGACTGGGAGAGCCGAAGACTCCAAGCAAGAATCGAACGGTAATAAGGCCACCGAATGTGGGAGCAAGCGCTCCCGGTAAAGTCAAGATGACAAAAATGGCGAATGTGGCGATATACGGTGGATTCCTCCCAACCAGTGGCATCTCACTCAGCGGAGAGAAAACCATAGGGCCGATTCCGTAACCAAACACATACAGTGCTAATCCAAGAGAAGCAGCTGTTTCTCCAACTCCAAACTTCTCCATCACACCGCCGATACTAGGGGCGTAGATTGATGAGCCCATATATACTGCGAATGTATATAGTAGGATTTGGACAGCGATGAATGTGCGTTTCCCAGTACTCCAATTCATAGGATTATCGGCATCATCCGTTGCGTACCAATCCACCAATATCGTCCCATCAGAAGTCAGCGTCGGCTGGATCGCCCTACTAATTGTCTTCTCCGGCCGCACCGCTTCAGCTTGCGATGTGCGCGAGAAATAGGGGCGGAGATCACGTGTTCCCGCGGTTTCCACCCTTTCTAAATCGGCATCGGATGATGATTCGCCGGTTGAGATGGATTCGCTGGTTGAGATGGAGTCGCTGGTAGAGGCTGCATCGCCCTCGACCTTTTCCTTTAGGTGTTGCTGTTCATGCTCGGTAATTGGTGTAGGGAAGACGAAATCGGGACGTTCTTCGGCGTAGAGGAGGTATTTGTTTCGTGTTAGGAGGCGGATGAGCTGCCCTAGGGACGAGTCGCGGATAATGTCAGCCATTGCGATTATCTTTCAATTTTCCACTGCGAAGTGAGGCGGAGAGAAGACGATTGCGAATGCTGATGAAGTGATTGACGAGTTCTTACATTGGGATTTACGATGTATTTATCTTTTCCTGCAGTCATTGCGCCGAAATGGTAACATCGAGCTTAGCAATCCGAAAGCCATCATTGTGGGGTTGCGGCTGCTGGTGGTTGGTGGTTGGTGGTGGTGTTGGAAATCGAAAAGGGACAGTAACAGTGAGTGCATTTGTAACGAGGGTTAAAATGACATCATTGTTGCTGTTCAGGCACCGCGCCCTGGCCGTGCAATGAGAAGCGACGCTGATTTTGATTATCAATCGCTGCTGACTGTACACAGGTTCCCTCCCACTAGGGATCGGATATTTCACGTTATGTAATTATATAATAATGTAAGATTTACGTTATTATTATAGGAGATGTTGCGTTATATAATTGCATAAAATTAAGCACAACTCTTGCATAGCTATGCATAAAAAGACCCAAAAATCAGGGCGAAAACGGGGTAAAACTATGCAGCTCTATGCCTCCAACGCCTCGCGATTATTAGCTATTTGGAGTACTATTTCGTCCTCAATTTCATTAAAGTGGTAGTTGCTTTGGGGCAGTTGGAGTAGTAAAAGGTGGTTGTTCTGGAGAAAAATAATAGTCCTGGGAGATTTTGATATTACCTAATAGAGCTAAGCCTAATAAGGCCTGGACTAGTCCTAATACAGTTAGTATATGGTCACGTGGTACAATTACATTATTATAGCCCAAATCGCACATTATTATGGTATAATCACTAAATGGGCAAATTATGTATAAAGGCCGATCCCTACCTCCCACGTCTTAATTCGATACTGTAGCACCTCATATCATATCTATAACATACCAGCACGCAATGTAAATCTGTATTGTATTTGCAATCTACCTTAGGTAAAGGGACCACTCAGCTGCTCTACTATTATTTTGATTACCTTGCGGAGTGCACGTCGTAGACTGACTGCACTGACGGATTGGCCAATCACAGCCCTGGGTCTGGGCTTGACCAGAAATTGCCCAAATAGGCAATCTTAACGAGGCGGCAGAATCAACCCCTATTCAACAACGACACCTCATGTCACTTTACAACATTATCGCACCAGACCAGCATCTAGCAACATACGTCTATGCGAAATAGCTTATCTGGTTCGGAATAACGCTATTTGTAATTTTATACTTCCCATCATTGTGGAGACTCCGCGCGACTCGAAAATGCTACTATGTCGTGGATCACCGGTTTGGCGGACTCGCATCCTCCCTTCTCACCATATCAATTGTAGATCATAATATCTACAATGGGTGGTTTGGACACGTTAAAGTCCAGCACTTTAGTTAATTTAGTACTGGATTCATTTGTTCCGTATGAGAAGATCCTTCATTCGCCCAGCATGGCTTCTCCTCACAGTGAGTCAACAGCAATTCACCTCCTCAGATTTGGCACCTGCCCTCCAGAAAGATGCTTTGCATTGTGTTCATGCTTTGGACACGCCCTTATTAGCTTGTTCTTGGTATGGTACAATCGTAATCCTATCTAATATAACATAAAACTCGTTGAGTGACGATCCGTCAAATGCCCCCAAATGAACCATCCATAAGTCGATGGGGATAACCTCAGTAACCCTTCAACACCACGATAAAGTTATCGCCTCATAAATTATTTTACTGTGAGCTAATTGCTTTCTCTGCGGGGTCCTCAAATCGCCAGTTTGGAAGCCTGAGCCCCTTTGCAATTACTCGGCAAGATACCCATGTGGTGATATCGTGCTCATCGAAGGTGACATTCACGATGTCTGCGAGCCCACCCACTCACCTTTAACCCGCCACATTCACTTATGAGATCAACTCCACAACATATTCCGCTTGCCCTAAACCCAAACCCATTTCCCACAAATCTCTTGCGAACCTTCCCAACTCCAAACACTTCTTCTTTCTATACCGCACATCCATTCCCCCCAACTTCGTTTCCATCAACCATTTACATCCGCAGGACATCCAATACTTTATTCATTACGTCTGCTGAAGAGGCAGTGGGTAACTTCAACCTATTCCCACAAGTTCCTAACATTCCCGCTCGCAACTTCCACCAGTCAGCAAGCTGTGGGCTGATCTTTCTTGAAGGCGTTGCCTGCGACGCTGCATTGTACCTTCGACTTTCAAAAGACTTTACAGAGCCGCAAACATGGTTGGAACTCCTAAGTATACCGAGGAGCAAATCAACTTCATTTGCGCTCGCAGATACGAGCGCCCCCAGTCTATTGTCGACGCCTGCACCGAGCAATTTCCTCGCTCGAGGGTTTTCACAGCCAGCGGTATACGATATGTCTTGAACGCATACAAAGAGTATATCCCCATTACCCCTTATGCGCTTTTAGTTTCCGAATGCTAACAACTTCCGAACAGTCGTCCCTCAGACGTCAATCCCACTATCAATCTAATAGGCGCTTTGGCAGGCCACCAACCCAATTCTCAGCAGCCTCAAGCTCAATACAATCAAGTCATGTCCCAGCAGGCACAGAATATGCATAACCCCTATCCCCAGCGCCCCCAAAGCTCCACTCCACAGATGATAGCGCAAAACGGAATGGTTTCTGCCCATAGACGCGACAACATTCCCAACCGTGCCCCGCAAGCCCCGAACCCGCAAATGGCTCCTCATAAGTTGCAGCAGCTGCAAATTCAACTGGCTCGACTTACTCACCTACAGAACACACAGCGCCAACTTGTTAAGCTTCAGGGTCGGCTGGGCAATGGTGCTGAAAACCAAGACAATCAATCCCAGCCTGCCCCGTCCGAAGGTGCGGAAGTCAGCGCTCAAGATCCAGGAAACTCAGTACAGCTTGGCCCATTCCAAAGCGCTCAAGTCATTGATCAGGACTTAGAAAATATATTTCAACAGTCGATGTTCCAAGGTGCTCGAGTCAACGCCCAAGGTCAGGGGAATACTTTCCAACGTGGCCCCATCCAGGATGCTCAATTCAACGCTCAAGGTTTGGGAAATCTATCTCAACACCCCTTGTTTCAAGGTGCTCAAATCCAACCTGGCATTGCTCAACCCCCTCAGCGCCAACCTTCTCAGCCAATGGTCCCTGCAATGAAGCAGCCACACCAGCGCACCAGCAAACCAATCTCACCAGTACAATTCCCCATCAACATTCAAGCTTCGGCAAATGGCTTCTCTACCGATCAAGCAGATGACTTGGGCAAACCCCCAAATAACAACCAGGCAGATGAATGTTCGAGCAACATGATGAGCCTTCCGGCTAGCACTCCGTTGACAATGCCCGTTGCGCCATTGCGCGCTGATACTGCCGCTCAAGATCAAGCACACTGTGCATTGGACAAGGCCAATCAGTCTACCACACCGAATACCAACACGATGGACGTTCCCGCTAGTGGCTCGTTGCCAACACCCACCAGAGCCGCCACCCCGATTGAGGAACCCCGCTACCATCCTGTCCCGCGAAGCAGCCCCTACCATCTTGATAACCAGCTTCCTAGCACCCCAAATGCCAAGCTAGCAGATGGTCCTTTGGAAAAAGATATCTGTCCGGCTGAGAAGATATTGGCAAAGTCTGCAGTACCAGCCCAGCAGCATGGCAATATTCAGGCTTTGACAAACAATGCATCTTCTACCCTAATCAACAATACGGCCAACAATGCAAAGAAGACGTCTGCAAATGAGCCTTTGGACTCGCGACAAGGTTTACCTGGGGACGATCTATGTGCTCTGGAGCGCATGGTTCTGGGGCACGAGGAGAGGAATGAAAAGCCAAAGTCGGTAACTTACAATATTTTCGACCCTGTCTATAAGCAAAAGCTCCATCTTCCAGGATCAGATTCAGGTTGGAAAGTCAGCATGAAGGAGCAAAACCGTCGACCCTCAACCAATAGCTCCCAGGGGGCCCTCCCTGACTTTACAATCTCTGGCGGAAAGAACGTTATTGTCAATCTTTACAGACCAAAATTCCTGGCTGGTATGGGATACGAGCCGGCTGGAACTCCAAATGCACCCTCCAATAACTCAAATGTACATGATACTGGCGCGGATTATATTGTGCAGAGTATGCTCACGGGTCTGGAGATTCAGCAACCTCAGCAGAGCCCCAAGAGACCCGCACAGGATAAGGGAGAGGAAACAGTGCGTCCAGCAAAGCGGGCAAAGGCTACCCCCATATCTCAACCCAGTACCCCAAAGAAATCTGCCCCGGAAGTAGATGTTAGAGGTCTCTTGACCCCGCCACATAGCTCATCAAAGGCAGCAACCATGACTGCGCCAACTGTCGTCAACACTGTGATGCACACCCATACCACCCAGGCATCAGTTAGCAATATCTCAATGGTTATACCGGCTTCGACTACCAAAGTCTCACCAGCTTCGATTGCCAAAGTTACGCCGGTATCAGCGACCTTGTCGAATCGATTCTACAACATGCCTGCTCAAATCGCCAAAACTATGATGTACACTCTCACTCCCCAACCCGCAATTAGCAATGTTCCTAAGACTACACCCGCTTTGGCTACAAAAGTATCACCAGCTCCAACCAACACGCCATCGACCTTGACTACCAAAGTACCAACCGCATCAGCTACTTTGTTGGGTCCAATTGATAACGTGGACTCTCCAATGCTAGAGCAAAGTAAGCACCTATTCCCCTTCCAAACCTTAACCTTGTCAACTAACCGCTCCAAGATACTGATGACCCACGGCAAGTTGAAGTCCACCAATCAAATCTCGCTCTTCCCACCGTACAACAGGTGGACGACCCAGTACACGAGACCCAAACCCTTGAAGAGGAGTGGGATGCCTTTCTCCGGGACAACACTGATGACACCTACACGAGCGACGTAGACCCGGCAGCCCTACCACCTAATGAGTCATTCCATGGGGATCTCTCTTGGCTCCACGGGTATGCAAGCCTTCCTACCAATTCGGACGAGGCGTCAAGCGGCAGTTTTGAATCCATGGCTGGTCAGAATCAAGTTCAGCAGATTGAACTATATGATAACAATCAGAACGACCAATGCCACAACATTCAGAGTGATCAGCACCACAACAATGAGATTCATCAACCTTATAACGATCTGGATTTCGAAAACTTCGACTTTTCAAGTCTTCAAGGCAATATCGATTTTGGTGTTGGCGACTTTTTTTGACTGAGTTTGATTCGGATCAATTCCTCTAGATGCTAGAGGAACCTTTATGGAGCAGATGAACGATGAATGGGAAATAAGAGTGAAACGAATGATCTTGTTGCGGAGAAAGTTGTCAGGGTCGCTTTTCATGAGATTGCGGATGCGAATCAAGTGGACAAAGGATGCGGTGTTATTATGGTGGAGTTCACAGATTGATTTTATGCAAGGAGTGTCGGAGTTGTTTTTCATTCTGTTTAAATTTCCTTGGTTTGTTCGGCTCAACTTATCATGGCCATTCATACAGATACCCATTCATACTCTTGCAGGTACGACTAGTCTGGTATTACGATACTTTGACATTCATAGTCTAGTACATATTCGATTCTTTGGGGAACGACATGACCTACTACCTCGATTTCCGAGGGAACAGCATGGTTTAGTAACCTTGATGGCGGAACGTCACAATCCAATACTTTGAATTTTCAAAGGAATGGTTGTGGTCCAGTACGCCGACTACTTGGTGAAGAGCTTTAAGAGAGATTAGATTAGTTTACAGTTCTATGAGCAATGTTACATTTTGAAATTAACGTGCCAGTTCCTACTCGGTGATATTTGACTCGCTGCAAAAGTGAAGATTATGTCTGCTGGACTCAATTCGAGTGACCTCAGTCCTTTGTTGTCTATATTTTGGGGCGACTCCAACCACTTGATATTCCTTCGTTTTTTGCCTTCCGAATTGTATTAGATAGACACGTAGATAAGTGGGGCAATTGGGTATATAAGCTCCTAGCTCACTCTCCCTTATAACAGCCTTTCTCACATGGGAATGTTCTCATAAGCATTTTCCATTTCAGTCTCTGGACCTGAGCAGCTGCTGCTTTAGCCTGACCTATGGGTGAGCAAGCTTAAGCCGAGAGCGGGCATTCCTGAGCACCGCCTGAGCAGACGCTAAGTTAGCTTAAGCATGCATTTGAAAGCCATTTTAATATCAGCAGGGACTCGTTTTGGCTTCTTTCAGGCCCGGTTACACTTTGCTCGCCTTGTCTCCGGGGGCAGATCCTGTTTTGGCTCCGACAAAGATCCTTCCGGAACCTTTTTTGGATCTACACGTGATACTCGTACAGTTAAGCGGCTCAGCCTCATTATTCCATAACGTCTCTTCAACGTCTAGGGGGTCGATTTCATACAATATGGATTTCGGTGGCATTTAATTTACTTCTTTTTGCTTCGGATCTTTTAATACTATATTTTACCTACATGTTTCTTTCTGTTAGTTGTTGTCCTGCCTATAGAGGGCAAAGGGCCAAGGTGCTCTGACAATGGGTTTGGTTCACGCAGGTTGAGACAAGAGAGGGACAATCGTATTGGCTGGGTTGGCAAAGGGTAGATTGCTGGTGGTAAGCCTGCTGATGGTGTAATTATGCAGCGGTGGTGCCGTGATAGTGAGGAGTCGCACCAATCTCTAGTGGTATTGGGAGATTCATGTAAATCCTGGCGATATCGAGCCATATTAGCGGCACAATTTACTGACAAATGGGTGTGGGATTAGCTGGGCAGGCGTCAAACCGAGGTGAAATCGTGCAGGTTGCACTAAGTCCTAGTGGCACTGGGAGATTTATCTTAGCAAGGCAGAATCACTTTGGCAGCAGTGTTGCGCAAGATTGATGGGAAAGCTGAGGTAGAGATTCATGTATCAACAATGCCGCGTGTCTGAGTAGTTAAGGTCTAGTATTTCTTGGAGATTCATGCAGATCTTAGCAAGGAATAATTGCATTGGTGTTGGCACCCAAACTGTGCTAGCGAAAGGGGCAAAATAATTAGCTACCTAGGATCAAACGAGGTGGAGAGGCATGCTGTGGCAAGGTAGCAAGGGTGTTGGTGAATTTATGCTATTACGGCAAGGCAGAATCATTTCAATAGCAGGTTTTATAATCCTTTAGCAAGATCTAGAAGTGGTATGCTGCTTGGAGATGATGCGGCGTCAATGGGTGGGGAGTCATAATAGTAGCAACATGTCAATGTATGCTTTGTAAATATTATAACAGAGTAACGTCCTATAGTGCATTCTTGGGCGACTGTGGTGCAAAACTCTTTTCGCTAGTATTATAAGGCTCAACAGCTATTACCTAGATATAAATCTAATATCATATAAATATCTTACTAGAATTGAGGTATTAAAGTTATATGAATATCTCACCAGAATTGAGGTATTTAAGTCGTATAAATATCTAACTGGAATTAAGATATCTACGCTCTCTAGATTAGTATATAGAAATAGTTTAGAAGCTCGATATCGGAGATATAGATAGGTAATAGCTGTAGGTGCCTGATTTTCTACTGAAAAGAGGTTTGCACCAAATTCGCCCAAGAATGCGCCATAACGTCCATCCCTGCGTGCCGAAAAAAAAATAGGTACTTTAACTTAAAGTATCTTAAAATCTGTGCACACCTTAATATCTCCTATAATCTTTTATAAGTTATGTTCTATAGCCACTCCCAAACAACCTAAACCCCTTCTACTAGAAAATCGCATTTATATCGTCGCCCTCACGCCTAATTTATCAAGAGTCCCTTTTTATAGTATAATAGTATTCCTTTACTACAACTCTACCACTAAGCTTATACTATCTCTAACACTTCTAAAGGAGTCTTATCTAAGCTCTTAAGCCTTACCACCATGTTGGAAATCGTCATTTAGCCTTGTGCTACTGTAGTGTGCAAATTCATACATAACGCCACGCGGATCTATACCTCGGATGAAAGCGAGTAACGATTTTAGTTAGTGCAAAGTAACCCCACAATATTTACGCCGTAATTTCAATTATGAAGCTTTAGGCTTAAAGGCCGATAGTGGCTGGAGGTACTGTGGTACCTGGTGCGCCACATCTAGCTTAGAACTTGAATGTACATTTTCTAGAATATTCTCGAAGATAAGTGGCGTTTTTTAAGTAGTATATAAGGAGATGGTTCCCTAGGACCCTCCGAGAATTCGCTGTTGATTCTGGAAGCAATCCGCGGCAAACGCGATCTTTCCGAGGGCCAAAGCGAGCAGAGCCAAACGAAACATCTCGAATAGAGCTAGTGTGATGCGGAGAAAGGAACGGCCACCTCTTTACTAGCGAGGTCGATCAAAGGGTATTACAGCGGTACCTCCGTACCTTACAGAGATGGGGAACGATTGAGTGGCGGATTATTGGAGTGACAGGAGTGGCAACTCGGTGTTGAACTAGACGCGTGGCTTGTGGACACTTTTCGATCGACGCCACATTATGCCAAACATCACGTGACATATAAAAATGTTCAGTAAAATACAACTCACGTGGCTGTAAATACAATATTTAGTAGGGGCGATAATCAAATCCTTCTTCGCTTATTAAGATGTGGCAGTTTGCCCACCTCCCACTTTTCTCCGGATAAACCCGGCAGGCAGGTTTCCTTACGCTCGATGTCTTTAAACTTAATAGAAGCTCTATACTACAGCCCCGAATTCCTGGCACAGGCCAATAGTTATAATAAAGCAGGGGGTAATATATATGTTTATTTATAAACAGTATAGGATTTGATTAAATTAAACTAAATTCAATTTTACTAGTTACTCGAATTTTAATTTATTTAATCTAATTTTATTGGAAATAATTCGAATAACCTTGATTTCTTTTCCCTACAATATTTACAAATTGAGAATTACCGATTTACATTATAGAAGGAAATGTATTATACGCCACAATACACCAGGGGATAGGAAGAATGAAAAGTAAATTTTAACTTCTGAATAACACTATGCGGTTAGGAACGCGCCATTACTCATAAGATTTTTCTCCATGCTCCGAGATTATTTTCTATTTATTCCAATAGGGTAAACGGGTATATCTGACCCAGAGAATACGAGATACATAAAAGGCTGTGAGTACATCACTACCCTACCACTAAATCCAAAGAAATAAACCTAAAAGGATTTCCCCCTCTTCTTGCTAATTCTCCTGTATTTAATCTCTTTCGGTACATTAGCAGCCGCATCTACATCCTGCTGTGTAGGCGTTTTATCCAAATCTCTTGACTGTGCAACCTCAGCTAGGTCAACTTTCCAATTAAACTCCAAACTCGCTGCAGCTTGTCGATGATGTTCCCATTCTTGCTCAACCTCACCCGGGGGAGGAAGTCAAATCTCAAGCGTCTCAAGGTCGACGGAGTTTTCCCTCGAAGGAGTCCTAGAAGTAGGCTGGGCAAGATTCTCAATCTTGGTGAGTATGTAGCATGATGCGTACATATTAACTCTGTGATTCATCGTAAGCTAGGTTGATTGATAAGGGGATAAAAGGTACTGACCGATCAATGCAGGCGCCTCCAATCCTAGCGCCCACCCTCTTGGATGTAAAGCCATGTTCTTCAAAAGCGGCAATGTACCATGGTGTCAAAGCCGCTGAGCGGAGCAGGACGCGGCCGCCGAGTTTGAGAGCGCGGTTGAGCTTAGAGATTTGTGTATTTGCAGCTTCTGCACCAGGGTCAAACCAATCCATGCTGTCCATGACAACTGCGACGGTGAGTGTGCCAGGAGTCAAACGGTTGACTACCTCGTTGATTTCGTCGGTGTGGATGCGGAGGCCGTCAAATGCTCCGGGGCGGGAGAGCTTCTGGTGTGATTTCGGCTTTAGGTAGTCAGGGTGACAGCGCTGCGAATAAGCACCTTGGAGGCAAACAAGATAGTATGGGTTGTCTTCGCCGATTATGGAGGATTCGATTACTGGGTCGAGGGTTTGAACCATGTATTCCCAAACTGCCTGGCCTCTGCTGGAGTTCAGTTCTTTCTCCGAATGCCCTAATGGTGATGAAGGTGATGGTGCGCCTGGGATCGATTCGGCAGCTATATGATCAGCTTCTAACATAGCTAACTGATTGTGCGGGACGCCAAGGGCTGCCCAGAGGAACTTTTCCTGAGAAACCACCAAGTATGAAAGCACCCTGGACATAATCAAGGGACGAATTCTTTTCGTCCATATCTCGCGTTGTTCATTGAGTGTTTTGGCCTCGAGAAGCCTCTTGATTTGACCTCGGAATCCAAGAGCGGTGCTGAGCAGGCGAACGATACGAATAGCATGTCGGGAACCCCCTGTCTCGTAAAGTCCTTTTCCGCGTGCAGACATGAAAACGTCGGTATTATTTAGCCAATATTGAAAAGCACGAGATGACATGTGAGGGGATAGTCGCGAGATGAGCAATGAGCGGAAATTTGGATGTTTACCAAGCCCAAAGAGTTTCCAGAAGTCGGCGTAAGGGAGAGCACTATATGCGGCGACTTTTAGTTCGAGAAGATGGTTTTGGTTGGGGTTGAGATCCACGGCATGGATGCGAGCTGGTGACGATAGGGCATATGATAGGATATTGTCGCCGGCGGAGGTAATAGCAAGGACAACGTCATGAGGGCCAAGCTTCAGAAGGCGGTAATCAACTCGTGAATCTTCCCAAGTGAAAGCATAGATATACTCATGCTTGAATTGAGTATGCTTTTTCAATTGGTCGTCGTAATGAATTCTCCAGTGGTGGTTCTGGTAGAAGAAGGATGGAAGTGGAAGGTTCGCCGAGAGGTTGATAATAGCAGCATCGAATGCCTTTGATCTGATCTCGGGCGGCGTTGACCTCTCCACAGTGCGGGAAAGGGTTTGTGTGTGATTAATCGGTGACAAATATGGAGATTCTGTAACTGCAGCATCGATACGCTCAACGATCTCATGAGGGTAGTTAGGCGTGCTAAGGGAAGCATCTGGTCGTTTTGAGCAGCCGAGCCACACGTAGTACGGAATCGATCCCAGGAGATAGTTCCGAGAATCAGCACTAAGAACGGTGCCAAAGCGATACTCGAGATAATCTCTCCGGCCGGCCTCAAGACCAACACGGTCGACATCGAACCAGGCACGCCAGAAAAGCCGGCCAAACCAGTTCACATGACGATTGATAGCTCCACCAGTGTAGTTTCTGCAGCTCAGATCGACGATCGACTGGACGTAGAAATCAACCACTCCAATTGTACCGGATGGTGCAAGTAGAGCACTTAACGAGTCGATGACAGAATAGAAATCGGGCTTTGGAAATCAGCTAGGACCAAATATGGAGGGAGATGGAGGCTCACGATCATCGACAAACTGTACGACAGTGTTACGAGGTCTGCACCACCAACACTGCCAGTCTTCTCTGCAAAATAACTAGGATTGGTGGAGGCGGCATAACCCACAGCATCAGAAGCACCATTTTCATGATCTTCTAAACGGAAGGTCCTCGCATCCTGGCAGACAACTTTCACATTCGTCCAACCCAAGCGCGCGAACCGCTTCCGAGCTACTTCGCAGAGTGAGGGGGAGAAATCAACAAGATAAACGCTTGAAAAGAACTCCGGAACCGAGACGAACCCGGACATTGCTTCGATGTTCCAGCCTGTTCCTCCCCCAATCTACAGAGCACGAAGAATTAGCGCTAGCTAACAACAGATAGGGGCAATCGTCTCATACATCAACCCAAATACGCTTTGTGTCCTGCGTACGTTCATTCCCAGCTTTGTGGACAAGTTGAGCAGCCACTAGTCCAAGCATATCTTCGCGACCACGCAGCAATCTCTTTCTGGTCGCATCATATACGCCAGCCTGGGCCTTGTAGAAGCTCTCGAGAGCATCCTGCTGGCCATTCCCGGTGCCATCTCCTGTATGGGGTTTCAGGAATGAGGCGTAGAAGAATCGCAAGAAGGATGCAAGGCCGCCTGGACCCTCATCGACTTTCTTCGAGAAACGGAAAGTGCTGGCAAAAATGAAGCCGATGAGGACAACTAATGATGCTCCTACTATGAAAATTTGGCTGTGGGGATCCCTTGGTAGGATGTTAGGGATAAGAGAAGCCATGGTACTCTCTCATTTCTGGTGCAATGAGAAATTGAGGCCTTGAAGTAGTTGATACTCGAGATCAATTCAGAGTTGATGGTTGGAAGGAGAGAGGGAAACGCGAGAACGAACTGAGGTAGGAAGCAAAGTATATGATAGCTCAGGACCCCGCTATGCAATTTGGCAACCGGTGCTCCTACCAGTACCCCTCGGTCAAGGCCCAGGCCAAACGCGATAAAGATTGACAAGAAAGCACAGTTTGGACCTATCATGGCAGCACATGGCTATATATCCAACTAGGATTCCAGGTCCTGCAGGGCAATGCTACATCCCATCTTGGCGGGGCAGTCTGGCTGCATTAGTGGGCAAAGACTAAGGCTGACCCATGGCTCTCGGATCCTGTATTATAGTTCTTTGACACTTCAACGAACCGGGTGAAACAATGCAACACAGCTTTCAGCGAGTCACTACTTCCTGACGACGCCCGGCACGCCTACTAGAATGGATCTCTATCTTCGTTTGCTCTGGGAGATCTCCATCGTCTCGCGCAGCCGGAAACATTAGCACTAGCCTAAAACCCAGCGGCCGTGGCGACGTTGGGAAAATCGTGGGAGAAGTGTTCCTCGCATGTAGTTAGTAGCAACAATAGGGGGTTGGAGTTGCGTAGCCTCGCTTGTATGTCCCCGAATCAAACGGGCCACGCTGGTAGACGAGGCACTCTCATTGGACGCTAGCCACGACACAGTTATTATTGTACTATACGGTACAAATTACTTCATACGGAGTGTCGGAGGAGGTGAAATCGTGTCCGACTTCTTCCATAACCTCATGTCTCGTATCCTTCATATCACTCGTGGGATGATGTTGGGCCACGACAAGCTTAAAAAGTACCGTACCTAGGTAGGAGGATGAAGGTTATGTCATGTGCCTCGGAACTTTAATCCGGCATGGGTGTTTCTCCCGGTCACCAATGGCTCTCTTTCCTTAGTAAGTTTTGTGCTCCTCAAGTTATTGATATTCAGCAATACATGTATACATTGACCAAGACGGGATGCCGTCGAAACCCACGGCTGGTATGATTTTAGTACGCCCGACTCCATCCGATTCCCAACGATACTCCTATGCCTGCCCCCTATTCGTCATCCTCCTCATCCTCGTCTTCGAATCCAGCTTCTGAATCGTCGTCTTGGTCGGCATCGTCCATATCCTCGTCACTGTCAGACGTAGCCTTCTGCTTCCCACCCTCGAGTTTCCGCTTTCTCTCATCCTCTCTCCGGCTTTCCTCCATGATTCTAGCTCTCTCCTCTCTCTGTTTTCTTTGGCCAGCAACAAAGGCGCCAAGGGGTGTCTTCTCCCATTCAAATCCTTTCAAGAAGCCCTCTACACCGGCTCTATTGTTCGGTGCAAAGTCAACCTTGGCTCTCATCCCTTCAATCCATTTCGCATTTGCTTCCAACTTCTGAATCAGAAGCACAAAGCCCGAATTGACCTTATTGTTCTTATTTCCAGTAGTCTTGTTCCCCGCCTCCTTCAGCCAGCGCTTTACCATCACTATCACAGGCAATGCCAATTCCGGGAACGCAATGCTGGTGGACCACAGGACAAAGAATTCGGAGAGTAACTCCACTAGTTGTTCGCCAACTCCATCCTGGTACACGCGAGTTCGAAGATACGACTTTGGCGCTTTGTAGCTAGATGTAAAGTCTAAGCTCTTAAGGGTACTAGCCTTTGGCGGCTTCTTCATCTCTACCGAGTTCAGAACTTCTAGTAGGGCTGAGGCTAACGGAATGTATGTGCCCGTTGCCCGCGATATCCGGAGAAGCGACCGCACCATTTGAAACCGCAGGGGGAAGTAAGTTGCCGTTGGAATAAGACGCATAGCCCCAAGGGTCACCTGAACAGTGGGGTATATCAAAAGCCGAAGCTGGGACTCCTTCCCACTCTCAGCCTCCTTGACAGGGCTGCAGTACTCTGACAGTACACAGGACCAGAAGTCTAACGAGTGTACATATTGCCAGTTGTAGACGGTCTTGTAACTCTCTTTTTGGTTGTTTGTGATGCTGGTTCTGAGATGGATCGCCAATTGACGTATGAATGTAAATCCTGTAGCATATCCAACTTCCTGGTCAATGCCCCAAAGCTCGGCTGCCGAGTTTTTCATGAGATTTATCCCTTGAATGGTGTGGATTGATGTAGTGCGACTGCCCTTGATCAAACCTTGATACACGGTCTTCAAAACAGCCTCTCGCAATCCGGGATCTCCTATCACGGCAAGTCTCCGAAGAACCAAGAATGCCGTTATTCTCGTTGCCTCGGAACTTGATGCATCTGACCAGATATCGACAACCGTCTTGACAATATTTTTGAGGATCTTTTTGAATGGAAGAAGGTATGGTAAAAGGGGCGTTACCGAGGAAAGCGTAAGTTTGAGAGTCGCTTCGTCGGCGAGAGTAGTGAGAAGATGATGCACAGATGAGGTGTGCGATTTGAGCAGGGGTGTAAGAGTCTTGAATTTCTTCGAGTCTGTTGACACCCGAACCTTGCCAGAGGCTGCCTCTTTGATAGGTAGATGATGGCCAAGGACTTCGGGAACGTTTTTGAGGGTGGTAAGGAGGAGGTCGTGATAGACATCAGGATTTGAAATCGTGTACTTGTACTCTTTCCCATCATCCTCATTGACGTGGGCCGCGGCTCGGAATGCAAGAACAACCTGTCGCATAGCACGTAACGAGTGCTCTTTTGTCATCGCTGCCGTCCATTTCGCGACCATGCCCTTTGTGACCTCTGCCGAATCTGCGACCTCCTCATCTGACATATCGTCAGCCTTCTTGGCCTTCTTTTGCTTCTTCTTCTTTGGCGCTTCCTCTTCGTCACTGCCACTTAGGTCGTCCACCTCTACCAGATCCGCATTTTCGTCAAATTGTAGAGCCTCAGGGTCGTTCTCCTTCAAGTATTTGTAGAACTCGGGATCCTTCTCAGCGAGAGCATCCATAGCCTCTTTGGTCATGCCAATATCGTCTTCTGCTTCGCCTTCGCCCTCGCTATCACTCCCCATTGGTGCCTCCTCGAATGAGGCTTCTGAAGATTCATCATCATCTTCCTCTGGCGCCAATCGCTTTCTTTTTCCGAGCTTCTCTGGCACTGCTTTTGATTTCTTCGCAAGATTTTCTGGAATCTCAAAGCCACCTTGGAAGAAGTCGTCCACATTCATCTTCCCAAAAGGATCCTCCCTCGCAACTTCGGGTTTTCCATCTTCATCTTTGTCGCCTAAGAATTCATCATCTTTCGCATTTCGAGCTTGACGCTTAGCTTTGATCTGCTGTCGTTGCTTGATCTTCGCACCAGCTTTTCGTTGCTCAAGAACAGCCTTAAGATGCTTTTTCTCGAACTTGCGAGTCGATTTCTTGGTATGTTTTGCCATTGCAGCTCTATATGTTCCGCTGGACTAAGGCTGGGGAAGTTTCTCGTTCAAAAATTCGCGAACTTTTCGATAAGGAAATAAATGTTCGGACTAAGCGGCTTTTGGCGAATGGTTAGGCGGTCGCGATCGGCAGTATCTCGGGACCCTTCATCCCACCGAGCTTCGACCTCCGCCTTATCGGTTGTAGAATCAAGCATAATAATGTACCAGACACGGCAACCATATGCGCCAACACCTCACAGTTATGTTCCAAATACGACGCTCTCGGCCACCATAAATCTTGATGAGGTATGATTGTCCGCTATATCCAATCCCGACATGGCACAAAGTCTAATATGAATGTCTCCTAGGAAGTCAAGCTGGCCGAGACACGAGCGGAACGGGATCTCCAAGATTCGCTGGCGGAAGTTTTCAGCGTTATTATCACATTAGACGAGTTGGAAAAAGCATATCTCAAAGATGCCATATCCGAAGCCGATTATACAGAAACTTGTGATAGATTGTTAAAGCAGTACAAAGCTATCTTGACGGATGAAACTGTCGCTCGGGAATTTGTGGATTTGGAGACCTTCAAGGCCGAATGGGATGTACGTTCCATCACTATCCAAACTTCGTTTTACTGGATTAACTCTCCCAGATGGAAGTACCAAGAGCTACCGAGCGGATTCGAATCGGACTTCCAAGCACTGTGACGGCACCATCCCATACCGCTACGACGACCACGAACGGTGGGACAAACGGCACGCTCATTCTTGAAGCTACGCAGGACTTTATAACTTTCCTCGATGCGCTTAAGTTAGGATTGCTTGCGAAAGATCAGCTGCACCCTCTGCTTTCCGATGTCATTCAGAGCGTGAATAAGGTGACGGATAGTGATTTTGAAGGGAGGGCAAAGATAGTTCAGTGGTTGATTGCTTTGAATCAGATGAAGGCGACAGAGGAGGTTGGCGAAGAACAGGCACGGGAGTTAGAACTGGATATGAATTCGGCGTATCAAGGATTCAAAGCGACCTTGAAATGAAATTATAACTTTTTGGAATCCACCCACCACGATCGACGATTGATGACGGATACGCCTACCATGAAGCTTCTGCAAATTTTATTTAGTAGCTCATTCTTAAGTGGGAGACATAATAGGCATGTCTACATTACTAGGCAGCATTGATTGGTAACATGCACAAGGCCAATCTGCGTGTATGCTAGCAACCGCGTACAAATCTTTCTGAAAAGATTGAGAAACCCTCATGGTCCCGAAGGGGAGAGAGTCGGGGTATTAGGCCGAGATTCGTCTCAGGCAGAGTGTTATTAAATTGAAGATCCGTATTTCGGATGCAAAGAGGCAAGCTAATAGGGAGCATTCTAGATTAAGAATGTCCAGAAACTAGGATATACAAACTCGTCCTCGAAGATTCGTCTGACTTGTTCCAAGACAAACTTCTCGACCTTCCCAACGTTTTTCAAGACCTGCTTGCCATTCTCTCTCTGCCCTATTTCGCTTTCAACCTTGATCTCATGAAAGAGCCCACCCATCTTCATATCACCAGCGCGACCACGTCCATTTTCTTCGGGCTCGACAGCGGCATCCGCATCCTCTGGGGATAGAAAGCAGAAGTGTGCTCGTTTCCGGATATATGCCAGGACTGCGATCCCATCAAATGACAGGCCGGTGATGTTGAGCTTGAGTGGTATGCCCACAAAACTCGGCATAGGATAATCTAAGAGGATCTCGGCCGTCAGAGAAAGCGTCACATCCCCAGAGTAACGAACACGGAATACAGTCTGGAGGTCTTCCACGCTGGGTTCTCGAAAGCGGCGTGGAGGGGAAGATGGGTCTTCGACGGGTTCGTCTTCGACCCCTTCACGAGTCTGTGGCCTAGTGGTTGAAGTTGACGGAGCCAACGTAGAAACACTAGCCCGTTCTCTCAGAAATCGTTCCTTGGATGAGTCTGATGTTGGTGGAGGTGACAGTGAACCCCCGCTGGGAGTGTGACGGTGCCCTCTTCCAGTAATAGAAGACGGCATGTTTGAGTAATCTGGCCAGCCATTTTGCAGATGTGCTGCTCCCGCGACGGCCGCGAGTGGCGTCTGAGTCCCTGATAGCCCAGTCGTCAGGTGGGAATGGAAGTAGCTGAGATTCGACGTCCCTCCTGGGATCCCAGGTGTACTGCCCCCGAGGAATGGGCTGCCCATATCCGGCTGAGTCTGCCCAGACCTGATTCCCGCCAGCCGCGTGTCGATGTATGGCGGAGGATGTCTGACCTGTGAGTGCCCACTTGTTCTCTCAAATCGATCCATCTTTCGCTGCTCTCTCAAAGCGTCTGGTGGCCATCTCGCCTCGAGCTCCTCCTCCTCGTCATCCTCCTCGTAGCCATCCTCAATTTCCTCATAGAAATCAGGTAAGGGGTCACATATGTCCTTAATTTCGATCTCTGGGGCAATGGACCCAAATTCAAAGGCGTGAACCTTGACGGCTTTGATAAAGCGCGGCAGTGTCACCGTCTGGAACTTATTGTGCACAAAGTCTTGGATGCTCTTGGCCAGGGCAATTCCATCAGGGCCAGTGGTCAGGGTCTCCCAGTTCAAATCAATGGACATCTCCAAGGAACAGTTGGAAGCTCAGCCGATACTCTGCATTTGCAGTGATGGCACTGCCTCCGCCTCCAAAGGGGTTTGGTTTCAGGCGCGCTACGACCTCCGCGGGCTCCGGGCCGAAGCCAGAGGCAATGTTTCCAGAGAATACGACGGGCCACTGAGTCCTCGTTGCTGTCCGGATTGGGTCTTTTGGTATTTCCAACAGCTGTACGAAGTAGTATTGGGGAGCTTGGGAGGGATGCAGCAGCAGGAGGAGTCTGGGTCGGGCAAGCGACTTGATCTGGATTGTGAACCTTGAAGTTACTTCGTCGTCTTCGCTTGTAACGCCAGCGGTCGCTCCCGGCCAATCAGCGGCACGGTCCGCTTACCGCGTTCTTTTGTTGTTCCGCCCCGGCACACTAAGCACACAACGAGAGCTACTCCCTGAGGTACGTAGCATGTACTTCTCATCAAAGGATCAACCATCAACCTCCAGAAACTCAACAATGATCGCTGATCCAGCAATATTCACATCCCTCTGCACTCCAATTCAAGGGCGGCAGTTCTCGTCCTAATGCCAGAACCGTCTATAACAGCCTATAAGCCATGGTCTGCTGGGGATTGTGACGCGGGAGCTGCGCTTCAGCGATCTGAATGGCCGGGCGACTGAATTGGGAACCCCGGATCAACATGTTGGCGGCCTCCAGTGGGGCCGCAGCTCTTGGGATTCAAGTGAAGGGCTCCTTCGTATCCGAGACTCGCTTTGTCATTCCTTCTGTCAAGGCCAAGTTGCCAGTCGAGATATATGTCTTGGGATCTAAGCGCCGGGCGTTTGTTTTCCAGCTTTGTTGCTTGGGTGAGTGAATGGGATGGGCTTGCATATAAGCGCTTCGCGCCTCAAGGGATTCCCTGCAGCCGCAACTCCCAGTTGGTTGGAACCCTGTGCAACCTCTGGAGAACTGTTGGACGACCAGACCGTTTCGGCTCATCGTCCGCTGTCAACCGCTACGGCAAATCACCTTGCATGCCTCCTGAAAAGGCTGTCTTGACGTCCCTTCCATAGATCGTGCCTTATCTGGTGTTCCCGCGCGGTTACCTTTGCGGCCGCATACTCTTTTTTCATGCCGGAAGCGTTCGTAATTCTTCCTCTTGCACTGCGAGTTTACTTCACCTATCGTACACATTTCCACGGCTCTGGATTATAGCTTGTGGTGAAGTTCTCTATCCAAACCCCCGATCCCAGCCGGCCAAGGGCAGTTGCTCATCTTCCGCCAATGGCCTCATCCCCTGCTGGACAATATTTGCCAATGGCCTCTCAAACCTCTGCTCTCTCGTAACCTCATCACATCCCAGTTTCTCGCACTAACAGGATGGTCTCGTGCGACTCCTATGCATGTGCTAAAGACGGTTCGGACCATCTCCATCTGTTCCCCGTGCCATTCCGTAGGTAATGCTAGAACGGGAAGATACCCCCTCAAAACCAACATGTTGCCACATACTATGCAACTGCCACATGACTCGCACTCAATGCAACAGGGACTGCAACGACCTGGGCATTGCAAGCAACGGCTTTTCCGTCTGGGTCGAACCTGATCTACCAACCTTGATTCAAAAATTTCCAACATCTACTAACTCCATTGTTGGTGGCACACTCTTCTAGCGACCTTGCGGTGTCTGAGCTTCAATGCGAAGTGTCAATATACTTACCAAACTGCGAGCCGTCCCGCCCGTGCTGTGCCGGACTTCCACAACTTCGAAACGACTAGTGCCGAACGGCAAATCGCTCCACAGCTAATATGCAAGCCCGACTATATCAACCGGCTGTCATGATGCCTTTACCTATTGGCCCTGGGTGATCTCCAAGCCCGGCATAATATCAATATCGGCAAGGGAACTGTTGGTGATTGAACATACTCCGTAGAGATCATCAGCTCCAGTTGATGTTCGACTCAACAGGCTCCAGTCCTTAGCAGACGATAATATCCAATATCTACCAACATCGCATACGTGATCACAAGTTGAAAAACGACCGGGTTCGTGATGAAATGTTGACATGGCTGATAATTCCATAGAGTCTAGGACCAAACCTTATGCCAGAGCCAGTAGCTTCCTATCCGCACCCCCGGCGGCCGAGACCTGCTGTCAGAACCAAAATCATGCCACCCGCAAGCCATTATCCAAAGAAAAACATCTACAAAGAAGAGCCACCAACACGAAGAAAACAGTTACCCCACCCCAACTTCCCCCCACAGTCATAACTCCTGTAAATGCGGAAAGCCCAGTCCGTGTCAAGATCAGTCATCTTAAACAAGCCGGACCTCTTTGACATCTACTGCCGGGGTCTCCAACAACTGCGAGGTATACTAAGCACTAGATTTAGTTAGTATCTTCAGCGACGCCACCATATCCATGCTTGGACGTACCCTTCAACCATGGCTACAATCTTCACAATAGCCGTCCATCTCTATGGTCACTGGCTCTGCCCGACAATAGCGGGTCGGATTTGCCTTCTTACTGGAGCAAGCGGCAACACCAACGTTGAGTGTGTGGCCACAAGCCGCGTAGTAGTAGTAATACTGCTTACACATAGTGCAGGTCGGCTCTGAGAGGCTGGTGAGGATTTCCTTGTCTGGGAAGAGTTTGTAAAACTGTGACAGAAAATTGTTATTTTCAACCAGCACATGTGATTTGGTGGAGTAGGTCTGCCCAAGCATATATCGCCGACATACCTGTGGAATTATGTGTTGCCCACGAAGCCGAAGTTGTACGGGAAATACAGTGAGTATTTCAAATTGGAAGGCCGGAGTGAGTTGCTGGCAAGATGGCAGTTAAGCTTGATGACTGGAAATTTCAAGATCCAGCAGCGACGGCAGGTTGCTTTATAGACCGTCACACCATACCGAGTCTCCGGTTCAGACTGCTCAGCTAAATTGATCAGTCGTTGTTTGCCATCCCCCATGGGATGTAGCGAAACGGTGACTCTCCCAATTTGCCCGAGTGCGAACTATGCGCGGCGTTGGTCGTTTGCCTTGTGTAGATAGGAGGGGCTGAAGTTGGAATTGTCTACCTAGGCACTTGCAGGCAAAGACACAAAGGTCATACAAGGCACTGGCAACTAAGTACCAACAAGCCAGCAAGAACTAACACAACTAACAAGACTAACAAACCCAACAAAACCAACAAGACCAACAGAACAAACAAGTACCGCGCCAGCCGTCAAAGGGGGTGGAGCGGGGGGG